CATATGTCGCATTTGGTGATTCTGTAGCAGTCGCCATATTCGTCTGTAAGGGATTGATAACAGACATTTTAATATTGAAAGATAGTCGCTATCAGATAACAGTCCCAAAAAATTGGTAATGTTCAATTAAGATTTCAATAAATAAGACTTAACACATTTTTTTTCAATTTAAGGTTATTTAAAAGTTTTTATTTCTTATGTTTGCATTAAAGAAATAATTCATTCTTCTAATTAAATTAATCTCTTCGAAAAGAGATAGATAGATGTAAGATACTTTATAGTTAAAGCTTTATAGAATGTATTTTATTGGAGTTTTTTTCTGTAATATAGAGTTGTTTTGTTGATGGATTATATTTGATGATATTTGAATGAAATTCGATGTCGATAACTTGCTGTTTTTCCCTTTCATCTACTTTAAAAATTTCCAATTTTTTTAAGTTTGTATAGCCAATGATGATTGTATTTTCATCTATTGAACAAATTGAAGATGGTCTGTCTAATATTTTAGGTTGAAATTTAAGATCTTTAGATTCTTCAAACGGTTGAAAACTACTTTCAGAGTTTAAGCCATCGTATATCCATAGCCAACTCGATTCTGAGCAATTCTCATCTATTGCAATAAAACAAGAAGAGCGTAATAGACAAAAAGCTTTAAAATTAAAGGATTCCTTTGGATTGCTTTTGTGACTTAAAGTCTCTACAGATAAATTTTCATCGTAATATTCTATATAAGCGTCTTTCGTTAAGCAATGAAGAATATTTAATTTATCGCAAGCAGCATCGACTATTCCATCTAACAGTTTGACTGTCCTACGTTTGGACAGATTTAGATACCAAAAGTAACCCATTTGAATATAGCAAATATCTTTATCAAGTGAGAAAACAGTGTTGAACGGATCTTTTGAAGTTCCTAAAATAAGAGCGTCTCCATTAGTATTTATAGAACGAATAGCATATGTTTGATTTAATTCTTTACTGCTAACTATCAAAGAAGATGATGGTCCAAAATTCGGCAGAATACCTAATATATTTTCGGCACCAGTTACTTTAACAAATACAGTTTCTTCAACAGATTCGTTTAATAACACATCTCTCTTCATTGTTAATGATCTAAGACAATTCTCCAAAATAGTATGCATTCTTCCATCTCTTCCTCTAATTGATTGAATGACTTTGTTCATTGATTTTTGACCAAATGAATTATAATTATGATTTAAGCGATTAATAACTTTTCTTGCTTTCAGTTCGCTTGATATGGAAAATTTTTGAAGAAAATTTTGAATGAATTCATTATTCATTGATAAAAATGGCAATTTATTTTCCTTATTGTCATGCTTTAAACATTCCAACATACTGATTTCAGAATCTTTTTTATCATCTAGAAAATTTAAGAATGTATAGTAATCTTCCGAAATCATAAATTCTAAATAACTATGTATATCCTTATCTTTAGATGACCTTAACGTATAATACTGCTTTAGCTTTTCTCTAATATTTTCTAACTTTTTGGTAATATTTCTTATTTCAATTTTAGAACTATCCACCTTTTTATCGTCTAATTCGTGCAACGCTTTTCTATCAAGCTCGTTTGATTGTTCAAAACAATCAAAACTAGTTTCTTCTCTATTGAGATCTAATTGTTCAGAATTATTAGTTGGAGGAAGAGCTATTTCTTCTTCTTGGTCATTGCTATCTTGATCGCAGATAGTGATGAATCCGCACAGAGGACAAGAACATTCATTATAACACGACGACGTTCTAAGTAAGAATAGACAATCTTTACATAGAGTGTGTAGGCAAGAAAGAATTCTAACAGTAGTTTTTGTCACTTCATTGCCACAAAGACAACAATTTCTATATGTTTCATCCATTATTATTTTAAATATTGAACGAACATGAACGAATTTTTAAGCTTCAATCTTCTTTATACTACTGATAAGATAAGATAATATTAAAAAAAATAAGCAAAACTCCAATGTCAGTAATAATACGTATTATTTATTTATTAAATACGTTAAACTATACGTTTGATATACTTTACGAAAAAATATGTAAACGATTTGTACCTTCTTCTGAAACGAAAATTTCATCAGTCTTCTCAGAATAGCTGACAAATTCTGGATGAAAATTTAAAGAAACAATTAATGGTTTTTTCGTATAATTCCCATAAAATAGGTGTAATCTTTTCGCTTCCTTATCGGCTATTATCATACCTTTCCCCTTTAATGAACAAATTCCAGAAGGATGTACAAATTGTAATGGTCCAATTGGTTCATGAGCCTTTTTACCCAACGAATCTGCGAATGATCTATCACGTGTTCTCTGTCCGTAAATCCATATACAGGAACCTTTCTTAAAAGTTTCACTCAAAACCGCTAAACGACTATTACTTAACGGACAAATACTCTTGTAGTTAGCTGAGTCCTCGTTTTCTTTCGGTCCTAGGTCACATCTTGAAATTAGTCGAAAATCTGATCCAATAATTAATTTTCCAATCGTGTTCTTCGTAATATAAATAAAGCTATTACTGTCTCCAATACAAGCATCGACAGCATCATCTATAGCTGCTAGGACAGTTATCTCATAGGAAAGGAAGTTCGAAACGCGCAACATAGAATCTGATAAAAGGACGAATAATTCCTTCTTGTACGACAAAATACTCCTAATTGGTTTCCGGAAAAACTGAAAAACTGATATTCTATCATTTTCATCAATCTTGTATATCTTTCCTGTCCCGCCTGTGCTCATTACACTAACGTAAGTGTAACCTGTAGAACGGTGATCTGCGCAGATTGCCGTAATTTCACCAGCTGATGGAAAGGTAACAATTCTCTCCTTTTTATCGAATTCTTTAACCAGCTCATAATCTCTTTCTGTGCAAATACTCTCCAACCTAGTTACCATTTCAGTATAGTTAACTCTCGATAATCTGTCGGATAGGCACTCGCTGAACATATCCATAAAGATATTTGCATATTCGAATCCCTTTTTTCTATTCAATTCAATACCTTTACTATTCGAATTGGCAATTTTAGACTGAAGATCTTGTACAAATAAGTTTAATTCTCCAAGCATTTCATTTCTAGCCTCCACGCACATTTCATCAGATTCATCAATAGATGCTATCTTTCTCTTAAGCTCATCAATTCGGTAAATTTCTTGACAGTATCGAACTTCAATGTCGCTTGCTATTTTAGTTTTAACACAGTCGACTATATCTTTTAGTGTATCTTCCAGAGAGACAGTGTCGGATATTGCATGATTCATTGTAGCAAATATTCGACATTGAATATTTTCTAGTATTTCTCTGCAACGTCTTTGAAAATCATTATGATTGATATCTTTTATTGTTACTATTTTATGATCTTTATGATTTTCATGGCAATCTACACAAAATTGAACGGCACAAAGTTGGCAATAGAATATAATTCTTAATTTATGTTTTCTACAAATTCCAAAATTTGATGAAATTTCTAGAGCGTCGTCTGTGTCTAATAAAAGATCTGCAGGAACAAGATTATCTGCAATTCCATTAATTTTGTCCTGAGACCAAAGTGTATTTTTGTCACATATAGGACATTGAAAAGTAGATTCATCTTTTGGCTTGAATAGAGAAAGTAGACATTTCTTGCAGAATGTATGTTGGCACTGCAAAAGCTTTGGACTATTATTCAGCCACTCTTTCGTACAAAGAGAACATTCCAAGTAGTTTTTCTTCAAAGTATAAGAATTAGCATTGCTGGCAGACATTTCTAACTGTTTATTATTTAATTATCTACTATAATAAATGATCAGAATATTCGATTATTAAGCAAATTTTTGAAGTAAAATAATATAATCTATAAATCGGCAGGAGAACAATTTTTAGACTGGGCGGTGTTCTGTATACCCGCTTGAGTTTTACACATTTTCCAGTTGATTTGTACTCACCATATATATATAAGTATAAAAAAGATACACAGACGCACTATATATATATATATAAATGTACGCCAATATATTTAATAGGCCTAAAAGAACTTTAATAGATTTAACAAAAGATAATTTATAATTTATTTTAATATTAAATTTATTCATCAAGAAAAAAGAGAGATTAATAAATCATTAGATAAACATTTTAATCCTTAAAACAACTGTTTCCTTTATCAATATTAATTAATTAATTAATTTTTAATTAACAAATAGATTTTTAAATAAATAAACGTGTTTGTTTTTGTTATTAAAAACTTTTAAAAAAAATACGAAGATAAGTTTCTTCTTCTTTTTTTAAAAAATTTTCTTAACCAAATATATATACGACTAAAAAAAATATAAGGATTATAACTATTAAACAGATATTACTCTGTATCAAATTAATAAGGGTTTGATCGTAAATAGACTGATCTCTTATTTCTAAAGTATTTGATATTTTCTCAAATTTCGATACTAAAATTGAATATTTCTTATATAGAGATTCAATTCTTGCCTCCTCCTTTTTAAATAAGTCTTCACCTATAATTTTAACCCTCTTCCTCAACTCTGGGATTTTTCTTTCGATCTCAACTACGCCGTTATTCAATGAATCCATACTAATTTCCATTCTTTGTTTTAGATCTTCCATAACCGTATTACATTTTATAAGGAAACTACCATTTCCTAAATAATCTAACCAAGGTTTTAGATCGTGATCTTTATGATCATTCCAACACTCTTTACATACTGGAACATTCCAACATTGGCGGCAAAAGAATAACACTTCCGCTTTATGTTCAACGCAAACTGATGTAACGTTACTTAGATCTTCAACATTATCCTTCTCTTTAGAAACACTTAAAACATTCCACGCTATCCGATTTCTGATCAGACCATCAGCTCCTTCTATTGGCCAATAAAAAGCAGATCTACAAATAGGACATAAGAAGTCGATAGCTTTATTCTTCAATTGAAGCTGATTCAAACATTCTTTGCAGAATGTATGCTGACAAGGTAGAACTCTTGGATCTCTATGTAGCCAGTTTTCGCAGCAAATGGGGCAAGTAAAGTAATCTTCTTTCAACTCGTACCTCAAATTCTTTGATGCTTCATCCATACTGTCTTTGTTCTACTGTTACTCTTGAGTTCTATTATTCAATCTATTCATCTATATCAAACGTAGGAATATACGCAATCATCGTATTTTCTTAAGATATTCTTTGATATTTATAAAAATTAATTGCAAATGTTTCTACTTCGTTCCAATGTTAAGTAATGAAGTATTGTAGATTTGTTATTAAAGGCTATTTTAAAACTGAGTAGTTTTAGGAACAATATACAATTTTGTTATAATAATCTGCCTAAAACTGGTAATAACTTTTATTAATTATGCTTAATAAGGCATAAATTAATTTAGCTCAAAGTAAGAACCGGACAAACACTAATTAAAAAGACAGGATAATAATCTTAAAGAATTTGTTACACTCTAATTAATTAGCTTAACTAATTATTGAAGCTCGGATTTGAGAGTATAGACTAATACTACATGAATATATTCGTTTTATGCATATAAAGCAAGATATGTCATTCTTGTTTATCAAGGTAAATCAATGGCAACAGTGGGAGAGAGGGAGCCAGAGAATTAGAGAAAGAGAAAGAGAATTACTTGCTCAAACGAAAGATTTTCGATGAAGCATTTCCAAAGTGTTACTTATGAAGAGTTGTATAATTCGCATTGTATTATTTTGAAAAGAAAGCTGTTATTATACGAAAAATAACGTTAAAATCTATCAATTAATGATTAAAGAGCTAAAAGCTAACTGATAAAATCATATTTTTTCCCTCTTTCGTAATTAATATATAGTTATAATCTATAGCTTTCTAACTCTTAATAGGTTATATTTAATCAATTAGAATTGAATATTTTCTTGAAATTCACAATTACATAGTCTTTAAATCTTCTTAAAAGAAGTAAATTAGTTACAGTTATTTAGAAAATATAGAGTAGGAGCTTCTCTCTTAATCTTCTGTTTAAACTGTCGCTTTTTTTTTCTCTCTTTCTCTCTCTCTCTCTCTCTCTGCTCTCTGCCTTTTTCTAATCTCAAGATATTCAAGTCAAGTAAATAAATTATATAAAATATACTATACACGGTCTTTCTACGATTGCTTGATGAATATATCTATCTGGGTATATGTAAAAAAATAGTGTTACAGTTTGTTTAATACTGCTTTTTAACTTGAGTAATATTAATAATAACAATGGCGGAATCAGCAGACAATAATAAAAGTTACGAATTAAATGCTGATTACTTCGATTGCCCAGTCTGTTCTGACAGTTGGCTATCAAAAGATCCGAGAGTATTACCTTGTCAACATACATTATGCAAAGAGTGTTTAGGCAAGTTGGAGCACAAGGAATGCGTCGGCTTTGATTATATTGAAGATGTTATAAATTGTCCTGTTTGCAGATTAACGGTAGTATGGCCGGAAAGAGGAATAGACGGATTTCCAAAAAATCTAGTAGCATCTAATGTAACAATAAGCAAAAAATTAGATCAAGTGAATAATTTAAATTGCGATAAACACGGCTTAGAAATTATCTTTGTTTGCTGTTTTTGTTCAAACATTCCAATTTGTAGAAAATGTTGGAAGAATCATGAAAATCACAAATTAAAAGTTTATGAAGATTATATTAAATCGAAAAATTTTAAAGATAAATGTAACGAAGCTCTTGAACAGTTTAAACAGCATTTTGATAAGTCGTACTCGAATTTGGCATTGAATGATGATAGGGTAGAAAAGATAATTAGTCGTGCAATACATCAAGTTAAAGAAAGTTGTATTCAAAGTAGAAAGAAAGCTATCGAAAATATAAATGAAAGATTAGAAATATTAAAACAAGTTGCAAATGATAAAGAAAACTGGAATTCTCTCAAAGAGCTTGAATTTGGAAATAAGGTATTACATTCAATACAAAGTGAATTACAAGAGAGCGAACATTACAGTATAAAAGCAAACAATACTGAAGAAATGGAAAGAAAGATTATTAATTTTGCAACTGAACTTTTCCTTGCCAAAGAGAAGACTGGATCTACAGGGAAAATATTGGAATATCATAACTTATTAATACAAATTGAAGATTTATTCCGAATATGTCGTGAACCTAAATATCCCTATAAATTGTTCAATTTTGAAGATGTTAGAGAAATAAATAGGGTAAAATTTCCAGTTGTTTTATGCATTCACGCTATGTGCTATCATATGGATAATTTTAATTCGCTTTATTTGAGCGTTACTACAGTTTATGAAAAGGCTATTATATGGCAGTTGAATTCGAATAACTTTGAAATAATGAAAACATTTCGCCTAGATAAGATTGCCCAGAGCATAATGATTTTTAAGGATGAAGTTTATTTATGTAATTGCGAAGCTATTGTTAAACTTGACGAAACCCCTATCCTCATTACTAGAATTGAAAATGCGGTTGCTGCTATCGCGGGAGATGGAAATTATTTTATTTGTATAACAAAGCATACAATTAAAAAAGTTGTTATGGATCCTTTAATAAATCAAGTAATCGTTATTGATATTGGTCCTGGTATAGCTCCGCATTTAACTCAGTATAAGAGTATTTGTAATTGGAAGAATGATTTTGTGATTGTTCTTGATGGCAGTTTTAGAGGTGGAAAGTGTATATGGATTTACGACGTTGATCAAAATTGTAGAAGAAGTATCTTTTCGTGCGGTAAATATAGATCGCCAACTATAAATAAAGAAGAGCCGCTGTTTTTCGAAAATCCATTAAGTATTTGTTCGATAAATAATGATGTTGCCATTGTATCTGATTCAGGTTTAAAAAGACTACAAATATTTATAAATTCTATGGAAAATAAGCCAAAAACATATACTTTGGATTTTAGTCCAGATCTTATTTGCTTCTCTCCGAATAAAGAAGAGATCTATGTCTCCGAAAGAAGAGGAAATAATATACTTATATTATCTTATAAAGACTTTCCAACTAAGACAAGAAACGATTGATGATAAACAAACAAACAAACAAACAAACAAAAAATACTAACAGTCTATTTTTTTAAGCCTTTTAACAAAACGAAAAAATTCAAAGTAACATAATCAACTTCTATATTTTCCCTAATTAAATAAAAAAAATGTTAATAAAAATTTATATTGTCTATTATTGTAATAATATGAATATTCATTAGCTGGATGAATTGTATTATAAGGGGGTAGAAAGACAAAAAAAGGGAGATAACTTTTAAACAAGGCTTCAAGGAAGAAGTTGGTGATAAATGAAGGAAATGAGAATAAAAAATCAATAAAGTAAAGAATATCTAATATATAAAAGAGATAAGAAAATAATCTTTTATATCCTTAAAAGTAAAACTTTAAGACAAATGACTATTTTTTATTGACTATAAAGTACTCTTCTGTAATAGCTTAAGTGTATATACTATAATTCTTATTAGAATAAGATATCAATATGTATAACGAAAATCCCTTTGAGTAATGAATAACGATTATGTTGAGAGTGTCTTCCTCCATGCCTCACTAGTTTATAACTATATTTCCTATCGATTAGATATTATTCGCGTAAATAATATATTAGATACTAGTTATATTGTATTATCTATTGCTCGTTATGCTTTTCTATATATATATATATATATATATATATATATGTATATTTATATTATTATTATATTAATGCAATATAACTTATCACCTATAATCTGTACTTTTTTATTTTAAAAATGGCTGCTTTAGAGAGTGCATTCTTAAAAATTAGTGAAGATTATTTCGAGTGTGCGATCTGTTTTGAGCAATGGATTTATAGGAACCCGCGAGTGTTTCCCTGCCAACATACTTATTGTGGTATATGTATTGATGAATTATGGAAGAGTTGTAATCAGGCGATTTCTATTTCTTGTCCTCTGTGTAAGAAATTAGTAAATTGGCCTAACGAAGGTGTAGATGGATTTCCGAAGAATTTGGTTGCGTCTAATATTTATTTACCTGAGAAAGATGATAAGAAATCAATGTGTAAAAAGCATGAAAAAGAGATAATCTTCGTCTGTAAAGATTGCTTTGATGAGAAAATCTGTCAAGGCTGTATCACAGATCATTCAGCTCATAATTTACTTACTTTAGATAATTATATAAGAGATGGAAAAATGTATCATGGATGTCACAAGATCAATAATATATTAAAGTCTCTTCATCAATACCAAAGAAATGTTATTGCTAAAGATAGTTATCTTCTTAAGGAGTTACCATCAACTATATGTTGTATAATTGAAGAGAAACAAACAGCAAATATAAAGAAGTTAGAGATGATTAAAAAATGTATTTCAAGAATTACTACTTTTATTCAATTAAAGGAAAATTTTAACGATGAAGAATTGAATGATACAAGTCAAATATTAGAAAAAATAGAGAATATTTTACCGAATGTAGACAATTTAGATTTTAAAAATAACGAATACGAAGGAAAATTATTTATGAATTTAAAGAATATGCTTTTATCAAAGGAGCTAAACGATCCTAAAAATGTTAATTTGAACTATGCAGAATTATTACAGAATTTTGATAAGATTCTCACATCAGATATCTTATATAAGATATCAAAAAATCTATCTTCCATAGATTATTTACATTTCAGCTCTGAGCGGTCTATTAATATTCAGAATATTGTTGAGATATTTTCAGTATGTTCTCATTCTGATGGTTTTATCTATATGGGTGTTTATGCACAAAATACACTCAAATGGGCATGGTTAGGTTATTTAGATAATAAAAGAAGTTTTGCTATTTGGAAAGTTAATGAAAAGACTCTAAAACCGGTAAAAAAGTTCCAATTAAATGAATTACCTAATAGTATTATTGAACATAACAGAGAACTTTACGTAGGTTTTAAAAGTTCCGTTCAGACTTTGAATGAGTCATTAGAAATTGTTCTAAAAAGGAAGAATATACTTCATTCAATAAGGCAAGTTATACCAAATGATAAAAATTCATTAATATTCAGCACAAATAATTCTATTGAAAAGTTAAGTTTTAACGAAAGTGAATCGAGCAAAACAAGGATCAAAACGCTATTGAATTCTGTTCATTTTAATGGTCAAATATGTAATTGGAAGGAGAATTCATTAGCTCTTCTTGTTGGAAGTAAATTAATAATATACAAACCAGAAAAGGAAATAATCAAAACAATAGAGTTAAGGAATCAAATATACTTTAATAGAAAAGTATTATTTTCGTCAATTCTATCAATAAATAATGATTTTTTAGTCATTTCCGAATATAATTCAAAGACTTTAACGATATTCTATAACGTTGAAGATGAACCGCAAATCTATAAATTGGATGTTAGACCACGTAAAATTTGGCATATAGAAAGTAGAAAAGAAATTTGGATAAATAACGGAGTTAACAAGCTAATTGCTTTATCCTATGCCCACTAAACTAGAAAAGAGAGTAGATTCTGTCCCTGATTTATTATGATTCTGTTTTTTTAAAGAAAATACAATTAATTAAATACTATTTTATTGTTTTGATATAATTATTCAAATTTATTCAAGAGCTTATTCAAAATATGTCAATGCCAATATATAAATATATATAGAGAGGGACAGAGACTGAGAGAGAGAGAGAGAGAGAGAGAGAGAGAGAGAGAGAGAGAGATTGAGTATAATATAAAGCAAACAAAAAGAAACAGCTATACATGATATACAATTAGTAACCTGGTAAATTAATGGACAATACAATAATATTTGAGGTACCGTGTTCTGTTACGTATAATTCTCTGTTGAAAGACGAATAGTGTACAATATTTGGATGAATGTCCAAATTAACTATTAGTGGTGGCTTATCTATTGCTGTAAAGACTTGCAGTCTTTTATTACCGCAATCCGTAACAATTAACAATTCATTTTCAACGCTACAAACGCTACATGGATAACAGAAAGTTAATGGCTTAGCTAGGCCTAATTTAGCCGGTTCGTACTCTCCAAAAGATATAATATCTCCTTGATTATTATTACTGGAAAACATATCATAAGCCAAAATGCAATTGTCGTTAGAAAAAGCTGAATCGAGAACAATTATCTTATCTTTCCATATACAACAATCCCTAAAGTCGATCAAACTCTCATCAACATCCTCCTCCTTTCCAATAACCCAGTCTACAGAACTTTCAGCATTCGAAAAAAGCCTTATCTTTCTTACAGAATCTTTTGTCAAACAAACAATTGTATTATCATCCAAAGTACAAGCAGAAATAACGTTATCTATTTTAAATACTGGCTCCTTCCTTTTTGAATTTAAGGTATAAATACCATCCGATGAACATAAGAATATCTCATTACGTAATATAAATATCTTTGTAACAACGTTAGGCATTAAAAACTTCTGTTCAACACTGTAATTTCTAGATGATAACTTTAATAGATAACTGCCACCATTCGTTTCGGTAATACTTATATAAATTGAATTTAAATATTCAATTAGTACGTGTACATTCGTTAAATTAGATAATTTGATTTCTGATTTCACTGTTATGCAATCCTCGTCAATTGTGTCGTTATCATCTGATTCATTGTCCGATAGTTGCTCTCTTAATATAAACTTTTCAAAACCATTTATTAAAGGGTTAAAATCAATATATTGTTCAAGCGTACTACCTCTTTCCATAATTAGAAATAGACGATCGGAAAAATCAATCATTACTTGCCTTAAATCATCATTTGGAAATTCGAGATCGAAAATTTGATTTTCAATCTCTTCTTGAATAATCTTTAGGAAATCATTGTTTACTTTATCGCTTTTACGGCGAATAAATAATTTCTTATCGATAACATTTGTTTGTAATTTAACGAGCATTGAATGAGTATCTTCAACTTTTCTATACCATTTATCTAATATCTCTTCTTTAGCTTCTTGAATACATTCGGCCATTTTATTCTCAATTTCTTTCGTTTTATGTACAAGGGCATCTAAAAACTCATTACATTGGTCTTGAGCATTTGACAACATGCTAAGACATTTCTCGCGAAATTCTTCATTATCATTATAGCTCATTAGGGGCATTAGTTTATGATTTTGATGATTATTCCAACACAGCCGACATAACTTTGCATCGGAACAAGTTAAACAAACTAATTCTATTTCCTTTTTATGCATAAAGCAGGATTCTTTTTTAATTCTATCGCCTTCGTTTTCATGATCTTCTTCGTCCTCTTCTTCAGTATCATCTAAGCCTTCGCCATTAGGAAAGCTAACGTTCGAAACAATTCTACTTTTTGGAAAGCCGTCCTTACCGCTATCTGGCCAACGAACAGACCTTCTACAACTAGGGCAAGATATATAACTTTTTCTACCGGAAGCTTTCCAAATTCCCTCTATACATTCCTTACAGAATATATGTTGGCAAGGAAGGATACGAGGATCCCTTTTCAGCCAATATTCAGTGCAAATAACGCACATGAAATAATCGTCGTTTATCATAAAGCATTTTTTACCACTTTCCATCATCCTAACTGATCAAAGAGTTAACAAATAACAACACACAATTTCAACACTTTGGCTTTATATACTCCCTTTTATTATTAATTAATTAATTGAGTAGTAATCAATAATATTAAACAAGTTAAAAAAACAACAATTCTTTTATATTAAGACTTTTTCTTTCTATTTTAGTTAGATTGTTTTAAAGATTCTTGCGACCTAAATTTTAATTAAAAAAAGAAAACATCATTAATTATCATTAATTAACACGTCAAATTGCACATTTTTGTATTTTTTAAGCATATTATTGATATAATATAAAATATAATTAATAACGATACGCATAGTAATTTTAGTTTGATCTTAAAAATAAATGAATTTAAGCAAATTATAGAAAATATTAAAGAAATTAATAATTTTATATAATAATTTGCATAAATTAACATAATAATGTTAATTGAAAATGTAATAAGAAAAGATAGAAATAATAAATATAGAATATTTAAGAATTTGTTTCTCTTATTCATTTTATCTTTTTCAATATTATTACCATTCGTTAGAGTATTTGAATCCAATCTATCTTTAATTCGGCTTATTAATGGTAAATATCTTGAATTTAGATGATTTAATCTGTTCTCTTCATTCGTTAGAAAATCATATCTCAATTCTTTCATTCTAGAATTCCGAAAATTGATACTAGCCGTTGTCGTCTCTCTCTTTTCTAATGATGATTCCAGAGGTACAATTTTATGATTGACGTGATTTTTTCCCCAACATTTTAAACATAAAAAAGTGCTAGAACAACTTTGACAAACAAACAATGCGTCCGAAGGACGTTCTAGACATAGCTTACAACCTTTTTCACCATCATCCTTGTGCGTATTATTTACATCGCCCTCTCTCGGAAACAAAGAGAAGATATTAAGACAAGAGAAATAGACCATACTATAGAATGATTAAGTAACTAAGAAAAGAAATAAAGGAAATAACGTAACATTTTAATAGTTGATAAAGCGAATATACTGTATTTATAGCAATACCTTTAGAGTTACCTCTTTCTATCAACTCTTTAGCAAAATTAAAGCCAAACGTTTAATTACATTTCAATAGGCCTATTAAAATCATTTAGTATATACTTAACTTCCGAATTGAGCTATATAGCATACAAAAAAGAATATTAGTTAACATAATGTGTTGAGTAGTGCAGTCAATACTTTTTGGACTAAAAAAGACACAAGTAAAACTAATCAAAGTTACTCCATCTGTATTCTATTGTTATCATTATTAGACAAATTTGTACGTAAAGATTATTGAATATAAACTTAATTTATACTCTATATAGATTACGATTAGTAATTTTTTATCGTTATTTATTTCCTTTATATAATAATATTAAAAGCCCACATCCTTTTACTTATGATGTACAAAGTTAATTTATATATTATGTTATATAATGGATATTTAGACATTTGTTTAAGCCTAAAAAAGAAATATATATACTGTATATACTGTATATACACAAATATCCGGCCAGTCTTTTTTATTTTATGTAATCCTAACAAACATAATTGATAGATTATAGAGGCCTAATGGTATTTTGCTACTATTTCCCTTATCTCTTATCAAAAAAAAAACACAACACAGAATACAAAACGAAATTGAGAAACCAAAGGTAAAGTATAGGTATATACTGTATTATTATAAGTTATATGTCTATAAATAGTTTCAAATGCAGATAGATATAGAGACAGAAAATATAATAATATGTGTAAAGTTGTTATTTCCTCACACTGATTCTTTTGATTATACAGAACAGGAAAAGAAGTAAAACTTCATTATGAAAAAATTTTCGAAACTTTACGAATTCTTTACCGTTTCTAAAGGTAAAACTCATATTTATACTATAAATATTAATACAACATCCTATTTATAAATACCGTAAAATTAACTATATCATAATATTTAAATTCTATAAACTGTATAATATATAGTATATATATATATAGACTGTTGTTTGTCAAGTTTGTGTCTATCATTATAAAATCTATACTCGTTTTTTAATTTAACATAAAAATAAAAAGTACAAAGTACGTTAAATGGTATTAAATAAGCCATTTGCCATAAATAAAACGAAAGAAGAACAATTGCTTGGAGAAAACAAAAAATTAACTAACATGGCCGAATTTGTTGTGGATAAAACGTATGAAAATCTTGAAAATGTATGTCTTATTTGCTTGGGAAAATTTACAGATGGAAATAAAATTATGTACGATTGTTATCATTCGTTCTGTAAGAATTGTTTGGATAAAAATTTAAGAAATAGACGTCTAAAGAGCTTATTATCTTGTCCAATTTGCTTTAAAGGTATTATTGAAGAGAGAAGATTTAATTCAAGTTCATACCAATATGACAAGGTAGATAGTTGCAAACATTTTGATAAAGAATTAATAGTATGTACAGATTGCTTCAACTGTCTGATTTGTCAATTATGTATTGGTCAACACAAAGAACATAAATATATATATTATAAGGATTTCCTTAAAAGAGATCAAAAGTTTTGGACAGATTATGAAACTGCAACTAATGATTTAAAGAAACGCTCCTTATACGATTCATCTGTTATGTTTGGCGAATTTAAACAGCAAATACATAGTGAGTTTGATAATATTGAAAAGTTAACTGTAGTTAGATGCGGAAAAGAATGTAATAGAGTACTCGATAAGATCAATAGCAAAATGATTAAACTCCAAGAATCAATTGATAGAAAAAAGAAAACATTTGCTTCTGAAATAATGGAAATTTATGGTTCAAATGTATTAAATAAATTAAAATGGGAGTTAACTTCTGACATGAATAACATAATGGAATTTCCCAAAGAATTAAGATTAAAAATAGAAGATCTCTTAAAAGATTATATAAAAGAAAGAGTTAATAAATTATTAGTAAAGTACGATCTATTAATTAAAAAGTTTGATAAATTAATTAATAATAATAATTTTTTAATTAATTGTCCAATGAATGATAGAATTCTATATGATTTATATTATATTAAGAAAAAATCTATTAAAAAATCTAAATTGATTCATTTCTTAGCCTTTTCCAATGAGTTAAACGATTACGGACAAAACGAAAGTATAATGCTAAGTATTAGTAAAAATAATAATAAATATGCCATTCTTCGCTTAAAGGCTAGTAACTTTAAAGTAACTAATGAATATTTAGTAGATGAAATTGTGAAAAAAATCACTTGCTATAAAAATATGATTATTTTATTCTTTGAAAATTCAATATGCAAATTAGATGATCGTCTTTCGGTGAATATTGAAATTACGGATATAATTGATGGAAATTTTGGTGAATGTTCTTCGTATTTCCCTGAAAATTTTTTCTATATAACAAGTAATTCAATAAATGTTATGCCAAGGAAATATTTCTCTGATATATATCTAACCGGTATAAATTGGCAAGTTGAGGCTTACAAGCACTTGCCAGCAGATTATCTAGGTCTAATACGTTTATCTGGCTTACTAACAGCATTTGCTGTTGTATTTTACGATAAGAATTTAAACGGCATTTACTTGTCATCATTCTATAAAAGCAAAATTCTAAACTGTTGGAAAATATTAACTGGTTACCAACCAATATCATTCTGTTGTTTAGAGGATTGCGGAGTTATTATTGCTCATAACACAAAGAAGAAACTTTTGATTTTTCCCAATGTTTTATCCGGTTCAAGCTCAGAGAGAATGGAATATGTAATAGATTTCGTTCCAGGTTCTATATCATCTTCTAAATTTAGCAAAGAAATTATCATTGTTGAAAATAATACGAATATTATTCATATCTTTAAATATAGCGCTTCTTTGAGAGAACTGTAATATCTATATTATAGACTCTTATATACTAATATATATTAGTACATTTGTTTTTATATTATTTAAATAAACCCTCTATTTAAATAACTTTATTCTAATTTCGGAGTAGCCTTAATTGGCAAATAATTAATTAATTATTAATTGATAAAACAGTTTCCCTTTCGTATTTAATGGTAATTTTTGTATGGCCAACTAGAGCACAATAGCTTATTTTCTGGTTTTTTTTCCTTTTTCTCTCTCTCTCTCTGTTTCTTCTTTCTTTTCCTGTTTTTATTACATCAGCCTACTCACATACGCGCCTTCTCATTCTTGAACTGTCTATTAGCAATATTTCAAAAAATTGAAGGTGTATTTCTTTCTGTCTCTCTGTTCAAAATAATTCAAATTAATTTTCTACGATTTCAGGTAGGACTAATTTGAAAATGGAAAATTTGGAACCTGATGAATCAGAGGTAGAGATTCTTCCCAATGCAAATCAAACTGATTGTCCCATATGCATTAACTGTTACATAAGAAGAAATCCAAGAATTTTACCTTGCGCTCATACTTTTTGCTCCGTTTGCTTAGAACAATATGCCTTGTCAAAAAGAGTAGGAGTAGGAGATACATTGGCATGTCCAACGTGTGAAACTCATGTCAAATGGCCTAGTAAAGGCAGTTTAGGATTCCCGAAAAACAACTACTTTATAGAAAGAGATAGTGCAATTGAAGGAGCAACAGCAGCAGTTAGCGTTATAATACCCAAAGAAGATGATCATATGTTTCAGCAAATGTTTGAAAATAACCTTCCTGATATTTCAAATTGTTTAAAACAACTTGAAAATCATTTAATACATCTTGAACACGAAAAATTTAATCTACTATCCAAAATTGATCTTTGTAGACTACTTGCTATCGATAAAATGGATAAATGGGTGAGCTGTATGAGAACTGAGGTTGAAGATAGGTAAATATATATCAGTATATATACCGTATAAACCATTATTAAATCTATTGGTTTCTTATATATTATTCAGATTTGCAGAAGACAAAAAACTTCTAAAGCAAATTCAATTCGATCTCGAAAATTTAAATAGCGATGGTATTAGTTGATAATTTTCTTTCTTCATTTCTTTATTGATGCTCTGTTTTTCATATTCTTAGATACAAAAGATACATTAAACGTTCTCTTAAATGAAAAAGAAGCTCTTCTATCAAAGAAATTATCTTTAGTTAGTCATAATTTTTCTGTTGGTGAATTAAAACTTATCGAAAGAGAAATTATACTTGAAGAGTATCATACTGAAGAAATTGATTGTTACACAATCACGGCTTGTTGCTTAGGACCAGATAATCATTTGTACATACTCATTGACAAATATAGAAGTTGGTATTATTTAAAGATGGAGAGATATTATCATTTTTCAATTTCTCTTTTTTTAGCAAAGGATAATAAATCAAAGGTGTTCGTTATCGAAAGGTATAGCGCAGATGGAAAACTTATTGAAGAAGACTGGTCCTGCCATCTAGAGGGCGACTATAGAGGTTTGGCTCTTGATTGCGAAGGAAATATGTACTTGTGCGACAAAACTGCAATAAGGTTATAAAACATTCTTATATATTCAATCTTATTATTAATGTTAAAATCTCTTTTAGATTAGGCAGAACAGCAAACTGCATTGTAAAGGCAAGTATAAAATATCTATTATCTATTGCAAACTATCCAAAAAATACTTATACGTCTTTTGAATAGATTTTAAAAAATGGAACACTAAAATCAAGAATTCTACAATTACCCGACAACGAAGAATTATCAACAGTTGCTGTTGACTCGACGGGAATTTATGTTGGTATTGATAGCGGTATTACGAAAAGAAGTATTGAAGAACACACAATAAGAATTTTGAAATATGATCTACAAGCTAAAACCTTGATGTGGCATTTTCAAGATCAATCATTTGGATTAGGAAAAATGTTTTCCATTGATGATTATTTAATACTTACAAGAATTCACGATGAAAAGATAGAAGTAATTCATCGTGATAGTGGAGAGAAAATAAAAAATTTGAACTTTAATTTTAAAGAATCAGGCGATTCTCCCGCTTGGCCTAGTTCAATAGCTCCTCTTCCAATGAATTGTTTTATTTCAGCAGTTCAAAAACTTAAACAATTATTCGTATTTGACAAAGACTTGAATGTTTTACAGAAGATATCACTAGAAAAGCAAAATATACCTGTGAGCGTTATAACATGGTCAAATTTAGAAGGAAACTTTCTTCTGTTGCATTATAATTGTAAATTAGATAGAAAGCGTTATTTGTCATTCAGAAAAATTCTCTATAAGTAAACTCTATTATTTATACTTTATTACTAATTACTTATTGAAATATTATGGTTTATCCTTTCATGTTATAATGAATATTCAGAGATTTTTGTTCTTTCTTTCAGAATGATTTTTCCTTTTTAATAAGCAATAGTTACAAGTATTCTTGATAAAATAAGTATTGTTAGTAGGAAAATCCAATTACTATTTTATTAACTAAATCCCAAATATTTATCATACGGATCAGTGATTTTGAACTTTGAACTGTTTGTCAATTATTGTTTAGATAAATAGATTACTTTTTGTTACTAAGAAGAAGATATAAAGCAATGTTTTCTCGCTTTTTTTGTTCTTCCATTATAAAGAACTAAATCGAAATATTGATAAAAAGCACATTTCCTTATCAAATTTTGAGTACTAACGTAATGAATTGATAATATTTTTCTATTTTTAACTTTAAATGTACTGGAACCTCCCTCTACCTGTATTACCCTCACCTTCCCCCTTCCCAACTTTTTTAGCTGCCTTTCAAAAACATTTGTATGTCATCATAGGACGCCACCATCACGTGAAAGCTGTATTATACATTCGTTTTCTGTTGTGGTATTTTCTTTCAAGTTTTTAAAATATACTACTCTCATCCCCAGATTCATTGTTAATTCTATTATACAATTAATTATATAGGACTATCTAGTATCAATATAAAGAATACGTAAAACAACTAAACAAAATTGTTCAATACTCTCATTCAATTCGTATTGAATGAAATAAAATACAAAAAGGAAAAAAAAAGTAAAAACAGTGTTAATTTCTCGATTTTAGATTGGAAAAACAACGCTACTTCAACGTCTGAAGCTTGAAAAGGTAAATTATAAATATACGTTTTGAAAGAAAAGACATTGCTCTTTTTTTCAATACTTAATTTAATCTATTTTTTAAGAGATAATATTCAAAAAAACCAAATTAGTATGAATGATAAATGATAGATTATCTTTTTTGTATTATTATTAGATACGTAAATATATATATATATATATATATGTATATAATTTATATAATATACAGTATATATATATATACTATATATAAAAAAAATAGCTAGTTTACTATCAAATGAGAAGGGATACTTTTGCTGAAAGAATCAAAGATGAAATTTTAACTCGTAGACTAAAGATAAATAAACAAAACAAAAGAGAAGAGAAAGAACCTTTCCCCTTTAAATTTACACTAGTTAATCAAAATCACAGATATTATCTTTCATTTTACCCGATTAAAAGTTTAATTACAAATTTTATCTAGATAAAATGACAATTTGATAAGAGTAGGGAATGAAAAGGGTCTAAACCATTAATAGGGGTATTTTTTTAGAATATATATAGTATTTATAATATATATATAATTATATAAGTTAGCGTATTTTACTTATCTATGTGTGAAATCACGTATACTCTATTCTCTGCCTGTTCAAGTTGAGATATCATGGGAAAAAAACAAAATAACAGACAGATAAGGCCTATGCAGATTACGAAATTCCCTACTCTATCAGTTAGAAATCTTTCAAACACTATACAATTCGTATTGTGGCACCAGATCCACCTATATCTCAAAAAAAAAATCTACTTCATAGATTAAAGAACTATAATATTGAAGGTCAGTCTATTTTTCAACTTGAATAGAGAAACACAAATCAAAATAGAATAAACTTTCTTATTAAATTGTCTTTATGATAAACCTATGATATTGTTAAAAAGAGAAAAATAATAGCAAATTCATTAATCAGGAATTTTGAAAAGAAACAAAAAAAAAAAAGAATCACGTGGAAATAATTTAACTGTAGTCCTTCTACTATGGATGATAATGATACGATTTGGTGGGTATCTACCTGCGGAAATAGAACTATTTATGATGCTCTTTGGGTAAGTAAAAACAATAGTAGGTTATTGTAATTTATATAGTTAATATAATAAACAAACATGTTGTAGTGTTTTTTTAAATAGGCTAAAAAAAAATCCTATATACCGTTCACTAAAATATTTTTACTATTAGAGGACATCTTTTATTACTATTACAATCAATGATTAAAATGTCCTATAAGTTTGTTTCTTTTTTGTTTACAGAGCTATAGTCTGAGTATTAATACATCAACTCCAGATTTAACTTATTGCTTCCAAGGCACAATTCTATCGTGGATACCCTGCTTTTATATTCTTCTATTCTCTTCTCTAATCTATCTGCCAGTCATCTGTAAACGTCGTAGAACAATTAATAACCTTTCACGGCTATACTACTCAAAGACCGTAATAATTTGTTTACTACTCGTTATTGGTATAACAAGATTAATTTATGATCTTACTCTCCATACGCCGATTGTCTACTTGGTTACAAACTGTCTAGAGCTACTATCATTATGTTTATGTTTGATAATCAATTATTCCGAGTTTAGAAGAGGTCTACACTCTGAAGGAACTTTATTCGTCTTTTGGCTCATGGAAGCTGTTGTCAAAGTTATTCGCACAAGATCCTCATATTTAGACGGCTATTCGACACCAGCAACGAAAAGTTTGTCAACTTTAGACGCCATAGTTACCTGTGTATCGCTATTATTATCCATACCATCGGATCTAGGCGCGTTAAATTATATAAGTAGAGCAAAGCATGAAAGGAAGCCCCTATTGTCAAAAACAAAGGAGGAAGAAGACAATGATGAAATCTTATCCAATGTTTGTATCTTATTGAGAGATTTGTAAGACTTTACTTTCAGGGTAAATAATATACCAAAAGAATGTTATAGATTTTATTATTTCGTAACGTACTAGATAAATTACAATTATATTAACTATTCTATTGATAACATATCCTTATATCATTATTACTATTTTAAATGCCAGAAACCTTGCCCTGAAATCTACGCCAACTATCTATCCAGGACTTTCTATTTATGGATAATTTCGTATGTACCAGAAAGACAATTGATGATATTAACTAAATGATAGATGATTTACGTTTAAATTTCCAACAATAGAATCGTTGTAAAGGCCTTCAAACGGACAATCAACTTTGAGGATCTGAATGATATATTACCGACCGATAAATGCCGAATTTTAGTTAGAAACTTTAATAAACAATGGGAAAAACAATTAAAAAAGCATAAATTTGATTTTGGGTATAAAAATAATAAAGTTTCTTTCTATATAAATGGCTGATTAATCAAATGAATCTATTTTAAATAGTAAGAAATTACAAACTAAGAGGAAAAAGTTAAAAAGCTCTTCATATACGTTCGAAAGTCCAAATGATACTGGTATTTTGGAATCGGAAGAGAATGAACCATTTTTTTCAACTCCTAAAAGAAAAGAAGAGAAGAAAAAGGATAAACCTTCAGCAGCTTGGGCTATGTGCCTAACATTCGGTCCATACTTTCTACTTGGTGGATTTTACAAGATTATTTACGATCTTATCTCATTCGTTTGTCCAGTTTTACTAAAGTAATTAAATAATATATTCGATAAGTTAGTTTCAATTGTCCTATTGATATAAATATTCTTTTTTAATATAGTCTTCTTATCGACTTTGTCAAAAGTAACGGAGTCTACTCGTGGCAAGGATATGTAATGGTTGTTGTCTTATTTGTTGTTACTACTATCAAGAGTCTGATAATGCAGCATTACTATCACGTTTGCTTTAAAACTGGAATGTTCCTAAAGTCAGCTGTTACTGGAATTGTCTACAGAAAGGTAACAAAAGAAGTCTATCTAATTACGCCATCTATAGGAATTATGTTTTAATACTTTTTGTTTATATAGTCTTTAAAGATGAACAATGCTGCAAGACAGGAATCAACGGTAGGAGAAATAGTAAACCTAATGTCAGTCGACGCCCAAAAATTACAGGATGGTCCAGCGTATTTCCATATGTTATGGTCGTCTCCCTTTACGGTTATAATAGCCGTAGTCTATCTTTATCGAATATTAGGCGTTGCTGTATTTGCTGGTCTTTTGGTTATGGTTCTTATGGTACCTTTCAATATGCTTATGGCAAGGATGGTTATGAAATATTACATAGCCCAAATGGGTATAAAGGACATTAGAATTAAGCATATGAGTGAAATTTTAAATGGTATGAAAGTTCTTAAACTATACGCTTGGGAACAAGCATTTGAAGATCGAGCTGATTCTTCTAGGACGAAAGAAATAGCCAAACTAAGGCAAGCTGAATATCTGCAAGCTTTCGGCTCTATTAGCTGGAATATGTCATCATATTTAGTAGCTCTGGCTACTTTTGCCGTCTACGTTAAAATATCTCCCGATAATATCCTTGATGCCAACAAAGCTTTTGTATCGTTATCTCTGTTCAATATTCTTAAATATCCCATGTCAATTTTACAACCGTGCATTCAATTCTTCGTTCAAGCTATGGTAGCTATGTCTCGATTACGAAAGTACTTACTACTTCCGGAATTGGATGAAGATAATGTAACATTTGACAAGCACGCATCTCACGCTATATCCATAAGAGATGGAAAGTTCTCATGGACCAAGAATGATCCTCCCATTCTATCCGACATATCTATAAACGTTTCCAGGTCGAAACTTGTTGCAGTAGTCGGTCAAGTAGGTTCTGGAAAATCTTCACTATTATCCGCTATGCTGGGAGAAATGGAAGTTTTAGAAGGTTCTGTTAGGCTCAATTCTGAACGAATGGCATACGTTCCACAACAAGCCTGGATACAGCATAATACTATTGAAAAGAATATAACTTTTGGAAAAGCTATGGAAACTGGAAAATATAATCAAATATTAGACGCTTGCGCTTTAAGACCTGATTTACAAATCTTATCAGGAGGAGACCAAACGGAAGTTGGCGAGAAAGGTATTAATTTATCAGGTGGTCAAAAGCAACGTATTAGGTTCGTAGTTATAAAAATACCTACTCGTAGTTTTATTATTAATACTTCTTCTACTTGTTTATTTCAAATTAGTCTTGCAAGAGCCGTCTATCAGAATGCAGATATCTACTTTTTCGATGATCCTCTCTCTGCTGTTGACGCCCATGTTGGTAAACATCTTTTCGAGAATGTAGTAGGTCCAACTGGGCTTTTATCTAACAAAACAAGAATTCTGGTGACAAATGCTATAACATTCTTACCGGAAGTTGACGAGATTTATGTATTGAACAACGGTAGAATTTCAGAACAAGGAACATATCAACAACTAGTCGACAATAAGAAAGCATTTGCGGATTTTTTAAATCAACATACTTCTATCATATCAAACGAAACAACCGTGAAAAAGAGTCAGTTGATAAATGTTCATTGAATAAATTTAAATATTAATAATATATGTACATAAATTAGGTCAACCTGCAATCCTGAACAGAACAATATCATCATACGGAGGACAAAGCTTCTCAGAATCATCAATGTACGGATATTCCGACAGGTATATTTAATATATTATTTGAATATTTATCATTTTTATCCAATAATTTAATAATTTAATTAATATGTTATAGTTTCACCGAATCGGCTAAATCAGAAAGAACAAGATACAAAGGTAAATTAACGGAAGAAGAATCGGCTGAAGTTGGAAAAGTTAGCACAAATATTAAATTTCCTGTTTATAGTTTATTAATTACGATTTTATTTAATTTAATTACTATAGGTAAAATGGTCAGTTTATACTAATTATATCAAGGCTGGTGGAGTTATATCTTTTATCGTTTTAATGGGTTTTCATCTATGCTTCTTGGCAATGGAGGTTGGATCGAATGTATGGTTAAGTAAATGGACTGAGGATAGTGATCGTTCAACATCATTTACTGATTATCGATTAGGAATATATGGTACATTTGGATCGCTTCAGCTAGTATCTGTGCTGATAAGATCGGTAGTTTTGGCATTATTCATAACAACTGCTTCGGCAAATCTTCATAGTGATATGTTAAAAAGAATTTTTAGAGCTCCAATGGCTTTCTTCGACACTACACCATTAGGTCGAATAATGAATAGATTTTCAAAAGATATCGATACCATAGACGTTAATATACCTTTAACATTCAGAATTTTAATTAATGTTCTCGTTCCTGTATTATCTACCCTTATTGTTATTTCCATGACAACACCATATTTCTTAATTATACTTGTTCCTGTAGTAGGAGTGTACTATTTCTTGCAGGTAACGTATACTATATATAATATCATTTATGCTACTATTAAGTATGACTTTTGACAATTGTTCTCTGCAGGTGATTTTCATTTCTTCGGCTCGTCAATTAAAAAGATTGGAATCAATTAGTAGATCGCCCATTTTTACACATTTTTCCGAAACTTTAAGTGGATCGATGAGTATTAGAGCGTATCGAAAGGAAGGCAGTTTTATAAAGAAATCGGATAAATTAACGGATGAAAATCAAATGTCCTATTATCCTAGAATTGTTGCTGATAGATGGATAAGCATGAGCCTGGAAACTCTTGGAAATATTGTTGTTTTCTTTTCTGCATTATTCGCAGTTATTCAAAGGGATAAAATCACTGGAGGAGACGCCGGTTTATCCGTAGCATACGCCCTCCAAGCAACAGTTGCATTAAATTTGGTTGTTAGGATGACCTCTGATTTGGAAACTTATATAGTAGCTGTTGAGAGAGTAAGAGAATATAGTACTATTGAATCTGAAGCTAGAAGGTATATTCCCGGATTTGATCCACCATCAAGTTGGCCAGAGAAGGGCATTGTTGAATTTAAAAATTATTCGACTAGGTATAGGTCAGATCTTGATCTAGTTTTGAGAGATGTTAATCTTAAGTTAAAATCTTGCGAGAAAGTAGGTGTTGTGGGTCGAACTGGTGCTGGTAAATCTAGCTTGACACTTGCATTATTCAGAATAATTGAATCTGTATCGGGAAAAGTAATTGTTGATAAAAGAGACCTGAGTTCAATGGGATTACAATCTGTTAGGTCAAGATTAACGATTATTCCCCAAGATCCAGTACTCTTCTCGGGTACACTACGCTTTAATTTGGATCCTCATATGAACTACTCTGATGATAAACTACTTAAAAGTTTGGAACAAGCGCATCTTTCGCCTTTCGTTAATAATCTTCCAGGAAAGCTAGATCACGAATGCTCTGAGGGAGGAAGTAATTTAAGTGTTGGACAAAGGCAGCTAGTATGTTTAGCAAGAGCTCTACTACGCCATACAAAAGTTCTTATACTTGATGAAGCCACGGCAGCGATAGATCTAGAGACGGATGAACTAATTCAAAATACCATAAGATCTGAATTTTCCGATTGTACAGTAATAACAATTGCTCACAGATTGAATACCATTCTGGACTACGATAAAGTTATTGTTCTAGACTCTGGGCAGATTATTGAAGAGAACTCACCGGATAAATTACTATTAGACAAACAATCTATTTTCTATTCAATGGCCAGTAATGCCGGATTAGTATGATTAAATAATTTTATTAATATTTCTCTTATCGGTATTAATTATGCTCCTGTTATTACAAAACTTTAATAATCGTCAATCACTATGAATTAATCAAATTTCAATTGTTTTTATTGACAAACAAAGGATTATAATACTGTATATGCGTTATATATATTTACAATATACTTTTTACATGACATACCACAGCTATCAATGAAGATTCTATACTATTTTTAGAATTCCACTATTATTCTTTTTATACAAGCAATACTGATCTATCACTTTCTTTTAAATTCAAAGGCCTATGTCTATAAAAAGAGCGTAGAATCAACTGTGAAAGGAAAATGGGTAACCGGTTTTGTACGTATTGAACACTTTTTGAATGTGTGGAACATGTAACCTTTTTATTTTGGATATGAGCTAGCTGCAGAATTTAGCCAGTAACAATCAGTACAGCAAATTATCTATTAACAGAAGGCCTATATTGAAGCGGTATAAAACATCTGCTGTGTTGAATAATCACTTTCGGATTTACTTGAGCTGGGACGTAGTGTTGATGAATTTGAACTAAATATACGTTGTTTCTTATAGTTCTTTTCTCTCTTTCTCTCTCTTATTGATAATTCAGAGACGATTTTGAATAGTTTTATCAGACTCAGATTAAAAGGTTGACAACTATTCAAGAGTAGAAGGAAGAAGAGTATATTGATATTAAAATAGATATGGATATATGGCTTGTTTTTTAATAGAATATATATATATATATGATTGAATAATAGAATATATATTGAAGAAGAAAAAGTCAAGTTGAAATTTATGAACTTTTTCATACAATATTTGGCCTTTTTTGTTGAAAAATAGTATGATATTGAAACTAAACTAAAGAGAAAAAAATATGTCGGAAAAGGAGAAGATGACTAGTAAAAATGGTAGTAAGAATGGATATGGTACAATTGATGATGTAGAAATTCAATTAGTCGAAAGAAATAACGAAGAAGAGGTATATTCTATTTCGTTAGATATCATTTTTTTTCTATAGGCTGAATAGGGACATATTTTTGTGATGTTTATTAACTATTATCTATATTTTCAAGCGCTAAGCATATATGACAAAAATTATAGATTATACCCAAAAATATACATAGGAGTAATAATTCCTACTATTATTCAATTTTTAAAATATAGGCATTTTCCTCGTATTGTCTATAAAATACAGTGAAATATAGTTAACTTCCTAACTATATATATATATATATATATAGGAATTTATATAGTTTATTAAAGTGTTAACTATTTTATATTTACTCAGTATATTCCTATATGTAACAGGTGTTGACTTTTCAATCGATTTTTAAAAGCATCCCAGAAAAAAATTCATAACACGCTTCCACAAATAAAAAAGAACTCAATTTTTACCCATAAAAAAAACTAATTTATCTGTTAAAATGTCAAAAAAGATTTTCTTTTTCTTTTTAAAAAAAAAAAAAGAAATCTTTTTTTTCTTTTTGTTTTTAACTTTCCTCTCTCACAGAGATTATATACATTTAGATGTATAAGGAAAACTATAATCTGTAATAATATAATGATTAAAGCTAAGGAGAGGGAAAAAAGTAGAAAAAACAATAAACTATGATGTTTTTATTCAAATTTTTTAATATTATTTATTAATTTATTACAGACATATGGTTTGAAAAGTATATGGGTAAAATGAGATTTAACTAGATAAATGCATATAGTTATCTATCTATATATATATACTGTATATATATATACATTTATATACATATGTAATTAATAATTTACCTCTTATAAATATCAAAGGGATTGTCAATTCAAAATCATTCTGTATAATTCTCACTAGTTCGCATTTTTTCTTACAGCTGTTGTTCAAAGTTATGTTCAATTTTATGCTTTAAATTTAAAGGATTACTTTTTCTACCGTAAAACGCTTTTATTATTGTTCATTTCCTTTTATTTCTACTTGAAAAACAATCAATATTGCTTTATATCCAAGGGATTTTCTAAATTTTATCCTATAAAGACATGTACAGCATGTATGCATAAATTTGTCTATTTTTAGTAAGCAGTAGTAAAAAATTGTTTCCTTGTTTATTCAATTCCAAACAATTTAATTTTTTATTAATAATTTTATTTTTAGCGTCCATGCGGATCTGAGAAAACAACCTACTTTAATGATGGAAAACGAAAAATCGGTTTGTTATACAAGAAATCATTTAAATATTAATAAAACAAGATATTTATTAATGAAAATCTAGACTTTGTTATTGTTTACGAAGAACAAAGTAATGCTGAAGATAGCGAAACAAAATCTGATAAACAAGTTTTAGATGAAAGTAAAGTGCAGAAGAAATATCGGCGATGGAGAACGACCTTCATTGAAAATTTAAAAGACTTGGGAGGTCAACACCCAAGTTTGGCCGAGAAAGGATTAGAGCTTGAAGAGGTTGAACGAATTTTCTATACTTTTGCATAAATTTTATGTTATCGATTTAATAAAAAAATGCCAACATTTCTCTTTAGGAAATTTCTATTGTTGATAAGAAAGAACTTCATTTCATTAAGATACACTGTCCATGGCCTGTTTTATCCTACTACGCTGAAGATTTATCATTTAGAGCTCCTCTACAAGTAAATATATTGTTTTTGAACTTGTAATTTATTGACTTTTAATGATTTTTGATTTTTTTAAGGCTCATCAGAGACCAACAATAAATTGGTCTGACAGGGTACTTTCCACTTTAAATTTACCCAATATTATGAAAGAGGATGTTCCTAATAAACCACTAGATTTCAACACAGCAGCTTTTAAATTATCCAAACTAAAGACGTATTTATTTTCAATAAACATTATATATTTCCTTTATAACGTAATCTATAATATATTTTTTTATCCAGTTATCTGGGTAGCGAGGATACGGATACATTCTTTTCTAATCGCGAAAGACAAAGAATCACTTGGGAAATATTAGTAAGCGTCGTATTTGGTAAAAGTACAGAATGTGGTATAGAAAGACTTTTAGATTGTGGAGCCTTCGTTGCAGCTTATCCTCTACATGACGTAAAAATTGATTAAATTAATAATGATAAATTTTCTTGGAATTAACAGTCTTTTCTCTTTTTTAATCTATTTTTAAAGGGTCCCTACGAAATGCCAGTAAATAATGAAGAAGGAGAAAAAAAAGTATTAAATATGAGACAAATACTATACGAATATTGGGGAAGATGGGGAAAATGGTACAAATATCAGCCAATGGATCATATTAGACAATATTTTGGCGAAAAGATAGGAATATATTTCGCCTGGTTAGGTAATTAGAGTTAAAATATCTAATTACTAAAATTCATTTTATTACATATTAACAATCATTATAAAATTTTAACAAACGATAATTAATTATAGGCTTCTATACTGCTTGGTTAATACCTGCATCTGTTGTTGGAATTCTAGTCTTTTTCTATGGTGTTGGCTCAATGTTTTGGGATGTACCTGCGTACGTTTTTTATTCATTCATTTAATAACTAATAAATCAATATCCTCTTCCGTTTTTTATTACATAACTAGTAAGGAAATATGCGAAAGTGGAGATACATTTAAAATGTGTCCCTTATGCGACAACGGCTGTGGTTATTGGAACATGTCGTCGGTATGCTTCTATCAAAAGTTGGCTTATCTATTCGATCATCCTGGAACTGTGTTTTATGCCGTATTTATGAGTTTTTGGGGTATGATACGATAATATATCTATTGTGTTTTCGTTCTATTTATAGTTATGTACAGAAGAGGGCGCTTATTTTGAAAATTTTCTTTTTATTTTTATTTAGCTGTTACATTTTTGGAGTATTGGAAAAGAAAAAATGTATCATTAGCCCATCATTGGGATTGCTTAGGGTACGAGGAGGAAGATGAAAGACCTAGACCTGAATATGCCGCCTTGGCTCCAGCCAAAGAAAAGAACCCTATCACAGGTGTAATGGAACCACATTTCCCTCCTAGAGATCGAATACCGAGATTGCTGTCAGGAATAGCGGTTATCGTTATCATGATGGTCTTGGTTATAATATTCATTGTAGCTGTTATTCTCTATAGGATTATAATAGCAGTACCGATAGTCAAGAATCCAGTATGTTTCAATATATGATTAATACCAGAGTGTTAGTTTATAATTATTGCGTAATTATATTCATTTAGGTTCTTAGACCAAGAGCTCAAACAATAGCGAGTATGACAGCAGCCGTGGTTAACTTGATAATAATTATGGCTTTGGGGAAAGTTTATGAATTGCTGGCACATAAACTTACTCAATGGGGTTATTAATTATTATTAATAAATTCTACTTACTAAACGTTAATTAATTAATAATTATTTATTGTTTTATAGAAATGCATAGAACTCAAACAGAATTCGAAGATCATTTTATATATAAAGTCTTCATTTTTCAATTTGTCAACTTTTATTCGTCTATTATTTATGTTGGCTTCTTTAAAGGAAAATTTGTCGGATATCCAGGACACTATACAACATTTTTTGGCCTAAGGAACGAAGAGGTATATACTCTCTCTTTCCCCATCAGTTATTCTGTTATTTTTTTAATCAATAAACTTCTTTTCTCTTTCTTTCAATTGTTAATTTAAAACTATAATGTTTCTTTTATCTCTTTGTTATTAAAGTGTCAAAATGGTGGATGCTTAATTGAATTGGCCCAGCAACTAGGCATTATTATGATTGGTAAACAAATGATCAATAACGCTCAAGAGCTCATCGTACCGTAAGACCATTCAATATTTATTATTGAGTATTACATCAATTATTTTGCAATAAACACTTGACTACAGTAAGATAAAGGGCTTTATTCAAAAGTGGAGGAGGGGTAGTACAAAAAAGAAGGGAGAAATTATTGAACGCCCCCAATGGGAAGAAGATTTTGATCTAATTGAAAGTGAAGGATTATTTGCCGAATATCTTGAAATGGGTAAATAGTGTTAATACATCTATAATGAATAAAGACATCATGCATTTAACCGCTCATTAATAAAATTTACAGTACTCCAGTTTGGATTCATTACAATATTTGTAGCAGCTTTTCCATTAGCTCCAGTTTTTGCTCTATTAAATAATTGGATAGAAATTCGATTAGATGCAAGCAAATTTGTATCTGAAACAAGACGCCCTATTGCGGAAAGGTGTGAAGATATAGGCGTTTGGTTCACCATCTTAGAAGCTTTAGCCCAGTTAGCCGTCATAAGTAATGTAAGAATTTTTTTTATTAAATATTATCAATAGCAGATAAAATATTAAAACCCGAGATGAACTATTACAATCACTAAAAAAACGTTTTTTTTCATCATTAAGGCATTCCTTATCGCCTTTACATCAACATTTCTTCCCAAGTTATTATATAAATATCACTATCGCTGGGATTTAAAGGGCTACGTTAACTTTAGCCTTGCAATAGCACCACCAGATAGTGGGTACAATGAAACATGTCGATATCAGGCTTTTAGAGACCCTAATGGTAAAGAAACTACATTCTACTGGAATTTATTAGCGGTTCGGTTAGGCTTTATTATTCTCTTTGAGGTAAAAATAATAACGATAATAAAATCGTTATTTAAGTTATCTATTTTTACCTTTCTTTTTTATCTCTGTAGCACGTTGTCTTCGGAATATGCAGGTTAATTGATATTCTTGTACCAGACGTTCCAGAAAGTTTAGAAATAAAGATAAAGAGAGAAAGATATCTTGCTAAACAAGCATTAGCTGATATTAATATAAAGGTAAATCATAGTTCTATGTATTGTAAAGAGATTGTATAATTTTTACATTAAATTCATCTTATAATTGCAGCCGGAAAATGCTGAGGAAAATGCTTAAAGAAGATAAGAAATATCTTTCTATTCTGTTGCTTTATATATGGTTTTATTTTTAAGTATTCTCTAATTTTTCACTCTCTATCTCCCCTTAAATTACACTAGACATATACTTACTTATACAGTATGCATAATATACTCATTATTTAAACACTAACTATAAAATACTACTGTATGTTAAATAATAATAAATATATGCAGTTAAGCCCAAAATTTAGAAGTAGAGATATGTTTTGCTCGTTTCTTAAAGAAATTAACTTACTCGTATATATACAGTATATATAATATATATATATATATATAGTATATATAATCTTTGTCCGCTTCATTTCTCCCTTTGTTTTTTTCTTCACACCTAGGTGAATACTAATATTTTGAAGCTTTAATATAAATGTTTATTTCATTTGTTTTTTTTAAAAAAAAAGCAATTTTTTTGGGGCCATCTGCAGAAAAGAAACAATATTTTTCTTAACAAAAAACTAAAAGAGAAAAGATTAAATTTCTTTAATTTTTTTTTTTAAAAAAAAACTTAGAAATATCTGATTTAACAATAATAAAAAACTAAAAGTACAACAAATGAAGTATATTTCCAATGGATTAATTAATATAACTAGCATAAAAGGTATATTTACCAGGAATGAAAGATAAAGACCCTGTCTCTGTGTGTATGTGTGTGTGTGTGTGTGTGTGTGTGTGTCCATTAAGGAGAGAAAGAGAGAATATATGCATGAAAGGTTAACATTTACTTCTTCTTTGGGATTGGTAATATTAGTGAAACAATTGTAAACAGTAACTAATTATTATCGTTTAGGTAGTTATTTAATGATTTAATCTTGCCTTATGTTGAATAATACAGTATATTTTAACAATGACAAGTACAAACAATATACTTTTTATAATTTATTCATAATTTCTTTAATCATTTTTTTTACATAATATATGATTCGAATCATTTAACTATCGCGTGTTTTCCAACATTGTTCTCATCCTTTAAAGGTTATTACGTAATTCATTAATCAATTACTTCATTCTAATATCTTCTTATTCTTCTCTCTTAATATTTTATATTTCCTTATTTTGTTAGACCCAAGCTTGACCTTCGGTTTTTGTATTCGGTACCGGTATCGAAATTATCGGATCCTCGCATTCTGACCTAATTAATGCGTCATAATCGATACCTAAATCGATATCATCGTCTTCAGAGGGGGCAACAATATCCAAAGCTAAAAATCCGTAATCAATCGATTCACTTGAACTACTACCACTCGCCTGTTTTAATGAATAAAAGCAATATTTTAGTTAAAGTGCAAGTTATTAAATTCTTTTTGGTGTTTTTTGTCATTGTCTTCCTCTTCTTCTTCTTGTTCTTCTTCTTAAGTTAATGTTTGCCTAAAAACGATAATGAAAGATTTTCTTACCTGTGCTTCCAAAACGTATTTATCAAATAGTATTTGCAATCTACTAGATGGCGCGAAACGAGCTAAATCTGAGCCAGGCTTACGTAGTTCTTGGTGAATTACCTGAATGGGAAGGGAAGAGGGGAAAAAAAAAAGATTAAAAATAGTAAGGGTAAATAAGACTTAATGTAAATAAAAAAAAAATCCGAATCCAATTTTGTATTCCTTACATGTAAAGCTTCAGCTTTGTATTTATCTTCGACCTTTCTCTTCCTCTTCTTCGGACGAACTTGATAGAATATTAAATTTTCCGATGGTCCATCGGCATACCCAAAAGTTAACCAATACAAAAATAGTTTCCAAACATATAAAAATCCTTTGGCATATTTGGCTTTGCACAGTACGTTCAATAACGGATTTATGAATAAATTCGAAAGCAGCACCTTAAAAGCAATATCCTGAAAAATTGGGTTGTAGGACGTTTTCGTGATGGATAAAAGGAAAAGCACCTAAACGAGACAAGACAATAATAGGACTATTAAATTACAATAATAACGTGTTTAAAACTCACGCAAAATGGAAGCCAGGTAATGATAAAGGAGGAAGCGCAAAGAGTCATCAATCTTGCTAAGATTAAGTCTTTCTGTTGTCCATAAGCTTTCTTGTGTAGTTTATCTTGTAGTATGCTTAGTTGTCTGTCATTTTTTGTTTTTAAGAATACTCTTTATTATCTCTTTTATACAATTTCTCTTAGTTTAAACAAAAGCATTCTAAATTAATATCCATTAAATGCTATTGAATCATTGATTCTTCTTTTTTTTTAAATTTCCCAACCCATCCCACCCAAAGAATTATTGACTAGCTTTCTTTTTACAAGTACCCACTACTACATGCTGTACTTTTATAGGAATTGTTAAATAAAAAATACTAAGTAAAAAGGTTGAGGTTTATCGAATGTTTTTAGGTTTTTGAATGGTTTGTCACATTTTTACGTACTTGTTAAAATAGGCTTGTCTTTCCGCTGGAACAGCGGGAACACTTTTAACGTTATCCTTTAGCATATTATAGCTGCATTGTCGGTTATAATCGACTGTGTAGGGTCGCTTCATTTTATCTTCGTGTTCACTTTGCTGTCGTAAAACTCGTACTTTGCAGTTGACAGATTCAACTAATCTTTCTAATCGGCCGTTAAACGCTTGAGAACCTTCGCTCATTCTTGTACTTCGAGTTGAAATAGTCGATTCGTCACTTTCTCTTCTAGAACGTAGGAATACAGCAACAGAATGACGTCTCGGTTCTGATGCGTCGTCAGAGACAGTCAACAAGGATTTAGACGCCTTGCCTTCGTTAACAGGGAATGTATTAAAAGAGGCCGCCTTCGGGAAGGATTTTTGCGGTGGTGTTGATTCTTTCAAATACCTGATAAAATAAATGTTATCTATAGAACGATGTTTTCTTTCTATTAATCAAGGATAAATCATTGATCCAAACGAGCAATATCCTCTCAGTGTAAACAAACTTTCTTTCTCAAAAGCACACTTTTATTCAATATACAATTTTTTTTAACATTTTACTTAAAATATTGTCGTATCCATTATAATCCCTTTATATTCAAGTACAAACAATGCGTAAAGAAGTAGAGTCTAAAACCGTGTTTGCTAAGACCTATCCTCCTTACTCTCTCGTAGTAACCTTAACATTTTAAACAAAAAAAAAAAAATTACAGAACTTTAACATATCGACCTACATGTTAACAACATACATACATTAAATAAACAGTAAATATACATTTAAAAAAAAAGAACGCTTATAAACGAAGATCAAAAGAAGAAAAGACAAGTTCTTTATTCTTTTAAATAAAAATAAAAAGGTTTCTTTATAAAGAATTTTTTTTAACCCTACTCTTTTTAGATACAACAAATAAAACTAAACAGTTTTATCCTTTATTTATAGTATACTATATTAACAACATAGAAGAAAAAACATATATATTTATATATATAAGCTGTTAAAACACTTTCGATTGATGTTTCCATAGGTTAAACTTTTTCTTTTTTTACTTTTTTTTTAAAAAACAAGGATAAAAACTTTTTCTTAGATTTAAATTTGTCATTAAACAGGTAGCTAATTACTTGATCATTTATATGTTAGAAATCTATAAAGAGAAAAAGAAAAGTGAATTTCATTCATTCATTCTTTCCTTTTATTTCTTTCTTTTGTTACCACTTTATTTCTTTTTTTAATTTCTTTTTAACCTTTATTTCTTGTTAATAGGCTAAAACCGGATGTGTTTTAGGCGAATTCTGAGAAATTTTATGTTTGCAGTCGGCAAAAATATATACTTAAATGTAGACGAAAAGCGTCGTCATATGTTAATAATTATCAGTTAACAAATATTTTTTACCAGCTGGATTCTGGTGTTTTGTGTTTCCCTTTGTTATTTTTAGGAAATTAAAAAAAATATGATAAGGAAAGATGCTTACTTTTCTGAATTGTATCTGATTTTGATTTCGGACGCTCTTTTACTGGATGAAGTTATCTTGGATTTGGAATGCTTTAAAGTTACTTTCTTGACTAGGTTACCGCACGCTTCGTCAACCTGCTCAACGACTGCCTGTAACCTCATTCTCAAGTACTTTCGTAATATTCTAATAAGAGCGCCATTAGTTAGGATGAACGTTCCCATAACGATGAGGAAGAGAATGGCATTGATGATGACAAGCAGACAATCTGGTAGAGAAGAACTCTCGGATGGAGAGTAGACTGGAACACACACAGTCCATGTTTCTAAAGTTTTTATGTCGTCCCAAGAAGTCCAAGTTCCAATTATCGTATTTAAAATTATCAGACAAATCAAAGAGATCAATATTGGAACAGCTTTACTAATTAGTATTCTATATTTTAAAGGAGACGCCACTGTTATGTAACGCTCGGTAGATGACAAAACCTAACCAATTAATTGTTATTACTCAAAAAGAAAATTCATTTGATTATGAGTACCTGCACTATGCAAATGGATTTAAGGTAAACGCTCAAGGACGCCGCTTGAAATTGACAGAGCACTTGCGGAACATGATTAGATTTCTGGAGAAATAGCGATGTGACGTGAAAGGCGAGGAGGCAAAAAATATCGGATGAGGCTAAGCACGCAACGAGAATATCTTGTATAGATTTCCTGCTTTGCTGATGTCTGCAAAAATATACAAACCAGGTTGATCAATTAATTAGACGTCTATTAGTTGGGTACGTTAGGATTGATCGGATTTTGATATGAGTTATTACCTTTTCTCTTTCAAAAAGTATCATATCGATATTTTCCCCATGACCTTTCCTTTTCTTTCTGGCGATTGAATCCTTAAAGACCCCCCTTCATTTTCAGATGATATTTTTACAATGGTATAGAATGAGAACAATTCGATTATTGTCAGATATTAATTTCGATAAAATATCTGATATTTTCTTAAGCAATCGCCTCGAGATAAGGAAAGTTGACTTTACCGATAAATCCTAATTTATAATGGATACTCTACTATTCATAAAGATGAAAAGAAGAAAGAAAGGAAGAGAGAGAGTGTGTGTCTGTGTATGTATGTGTTGAAGAGGAAGAGGACGAGGGTAGAGGGATCGAGACAAAAGAGAAAAAAAATGTTGATAAATTGCTATTAAAGAAAAACCTATAAAAGAGAAAAGAGAGAAATAATAAAAAACGATTATCCTAATTATTTAGGATATTCCTTATAGAGTACTAATTTTAACTTTTTTCTCTTCTTTTTCCATTCATTCCTCCCTCTCCTTTTATCATTATTTTGTCTCTCACACTATTCTCCATTTTATTCTCTCTTCCTTTTTATCATGTATATAGATGTACATGAACTATTCTTTATATCACTTATTCCTTCTTTCTTTCTATCTTTTAAAATTAGATTTATGTAAAGAACAAAGAGCTTGCCATTCATCTTCTCTTTCCATCTCTATCTATCCATCTATCTATCTATTTACCTATCCCCCTCTCTTTTTCTTCCTCCCTTTCTCTCCTTCTCTTCTCGTTTTATTACACCTCTTAAACGTTTTTCTTCCTAAAGTTATTAAACGTTTATCTTTAACCTTTCTTCGTCAATTAATTCATTAAGCATTATGTATGTATAATTTATGTTTACGTTAGCCCTATTTTTCATTTGCAACTTACATTACTTTTAATCGGTTAATAGACGTTGTACATAATGTAATAGACTAATACGTTAGAAAACGATAGGCCTATAAAGGAATATTTTGTTTTCTCTTTCTCTTTCTCCCGCCCTCTTTCTCTCTCCCTCGCTCCCTTTTTCATTCTCTACTTCTCTTTCTCTCTATCTATTTATTTACGCGTAAGTTAAACCACCTGCTCAAATTTATACATCCTCATGAATTAATCCGAAATATCATATACTAGTTATATTAGTATATATATATATATTTCCATATAGAATAATTATTAAGACGTCTCTACATATAGGCTCAAAATAGCATAGAATTTATATTACAATTTGCCAGAGTTGAGAGTTTTCTTATAAGGTGAAAATAGACAATTTTAACATAAAGGAACTTACCTTATTATAATAATCGAAATAATTAAAGTAATCAAATTAGCGATTAAGGCTATAGGAAAAACTGAAGCATAGAATACAATGGCAGAAGCCTCTTTATAGCTAGTAAAATCTTCTAACTGCGAGAAATTTTCACTCATTCCTCTCCCGGATGAAACAGGCGAATGAATTAGCGTTTCATTGATCAGTCGCTTTTATTTATATCAATAAGCGGCACTCTTTGCGAAAAAAAAAGCTTCTCGCCTATTCGTTGTTTCTCCTTTGCACCCCTCTAACTTTACTACATTGCTGCCCTCTTCTCCTAACTAATCTCCTTCCCCCTCTTCGTCCCTTTTTTCCACTCGCTTTCACCCGTATTTTCTCTCTTGTTCTTTCCCAAACACTGTTCACTAAGTCAAATCATTCGTTTCTTATTGTTTTCTATTTACCCTTTCCACCACTTATACCGTTTATCGTTTACCTTTAACTGTTTTTAACTTGTAAAATCGCCAATACTTTCCATTCATACCTACATTCCTACATTTTAATTTAAATAATAAATAATAAAATACTTAATAGACCAATTAAAAGATAAGATTCACTTTTAGTTAAATATTTTTTTCTTTTCTCATTTAACAGGCCATCTGCTCAGCGTTCTTTTTATTATTTATTGGACGCGTTGATATTTATAGACTGCATCGATTTATTGAACACTTTTTCAATTTCTGTAGGTAGTAAAGTCGTTCGCTGTTGTTAAGTTCCAAAGTGGATATTTTCCTTTTTTATTTATTTTTCTTTTAAAAAAATTTTCACTTTGAATTAATCTATTTTATCTTCTCTCTCTTTCTCTCCCAACTCTCCTTTCTCTATTTTCTCTCTCTTCTCTTCTTCGTCTATACTACATGCTTTCTATTAAATAAGATATTTAAAGAGAAAATTCTCTGAATAGACTTGATTTATATTATATTATATTACATAAATTACATTATCTTGTAAAATGTCATCACAGTCGAATAGGATTGTTTAAGGAACATTAAGTATATGAAATAATAATGTCAAAAGTCTTTATTAAGCCATAATTAAACTGTAAATGATGAGAATCATTAAATAAAGAAGGAAACTTCCCTTTTTTTAAATATTCAAACCATCTTTTTCTTTATTGATAAATAATTAAAAACAACAGAATTAAAAAGAGAGTGAAAGAGAGAGGAAGAGACGAATAAAGAGAGAGAGAGAGACTTTCCGGAATGAAAGTTAAGAATAGGTATTAATGGAAAATAAACAAACAATAAAATTAGGAACCACATAGGCCTATAATAAAAGTTGTTATTACTAAAACGTTTTAGAGCCTCTTTAAGTTAAGAGTTTATCTATTGAATATTTTATTATAAGCAAATATTTCTTTTGAATATTATAATTACTCAATAGGTTTGTTAGATAAGAAAAGAGTGGTAGATAAGGGGAATGAAATATTTCGTCTTATCTAATTTCCATTAATATCATAAATAACGAAAGATAAACGAGTAGGCAAAAGTAGATCATTCATTCCATATAGTTCTTATTCCATTTCCCTTACATTCAAGCTAATTGAAAAGTTCTTCCTATAATTTACTGACAGAGTTTCGATAATAAAAAAAGACATTCTTTTGGGCCCTAGTCTAAATAAAAACTTCACAAGATTTGACTATTGATTACAAATTCAGAGCGGAAACTCTGAATTGCCTGGGCAACTTGCTTGGGATCGTCTATAGCAAGCGAATGTCCGGCTTCGCCAATGATATCTACTCTCCTACAATCCGTTAATAAGTCACGTAACTGTAACGCCCCAGAAACGTGGAACAACTCATCCTCTTCTCCCCAAATTATGGAAACTGGTTGGCGTAAACTGTTGAAAACGTTTTGCATACGAATATCTTGCTCTTCTTTCACAACGCTCTCGAACAGTTCCCTAAGGAATGGCTTGTAACGCTTCTGATCCTGAAGTAAGGCATAGGCTACCGTATCAGATATTACCTTGTTATAGCTAGAAAAGAGTAAGAAACAGAGAGGATTTAATAAATTTTAGTTAGCTTAAGTAAAAAGCATCTTACAGAAAAATAAGTGTAACATGCTAAAAATTTTACAAGGACAAGTATCAATTTATACAAAATACACCATTAGCAATTGTCGTCAATGACTACGAGTTCGACAAAAATACGATGACAAACAAAAAAACAAATAAATAGGAAGTTAAAAAAAGAAAGAAAAAGAAAAAGAAAAGAGAGAAAATATTAATATTTTCCTTTCTATTAAACTTATTGCTCCACTTTAAACAAACTATTAATTATCGAGCCAGTCGTTGTATAATTTCTATAGGCTTAAGAAATAAAAGAAAGTATAAGGAGGGTAAAAAAGAAGAAAGAAAAAATAAAAACAAGGGGTAACTTTTGGGAATTTATTGCAAATTTATTATGAGTCTAAAGCATAATGCCATAAATAATTTCTGTTCATGTGAAAAATCTCCTATGAAAATCACGATTAGCGAAACGTTTAAAGCATAAAATTAACTTAGCCTATAGTAATTTCCATTCTTAGACTATAGTTTAATAATATTACGTCACCTTTTGTATAAAGTTATTTTTACAATTTCCTTTATATCTTGCACGCTTTCTGCAATAAATAAACACCGTTTGTCATCAAAGACCTGCAAATAACAGGATATAATATACAATATAGAGTACATAAATATGTAGTATATAAATATATATATATAAGAACAGATTACACAGCAAGAGAAATCTGTCATATCAACAAATTAGTAATTTTAATAATTATTAATAGTATAGTTTAGATACCAGTTTATTCTATCTATAAATATTATAAACCTGCTTTTGAAAATTTGTTTCAATCGGAGTCCTCATTCCAGGGCAAATTAAGGTTATTAATTTAATTTTTTCTGAGTATTGATTGGCAAAGAGAGCAGTTAAAGTTCCACCAAGACTCACTCCAATTAGATGAACTGGTTTATTATTATGAATACAGTTTAGGAAATCATCTATCCTCCTTGTCATATATAATAGGCCTAGAGAGAACAAAATAATCCTATTCTTATTTAATTAATATTTTTTGGAAGGTTTTTCATATTTTGTACGTAATAATAAGAAAGAAAAAAAAGAGGAAGAATTTCTATCATAATAGAAGGCTGTTAAATTAAAGTTTCAAGTTACAATCGTATTTTGTCAACTCTTTATGGAGGAATATTATGACTATTCATCCCATTAGGAATATCATGTATTAGAAAACATGATAGTCAACTTCTCTTTATACATATGGCTATCATTTTTGTCATTATCTTCATTGTTATCATTATAATCGTCATCATCAGAATTAGGCGTCGTAGCTATGATTCTAGTTTTAATTAAGATTGTGATCTCTAAAATATTTTCTCTTCTTTTCCTTTATGTCTTTTTTATAGCCTCAATCTCTTCCTCCCCCCTCCTCCCACCCCCTTCAATCACGTTTTTTTACCCTATTGTTATGACTTATTCTTAATTAATTTTTTGTTCGTTAGGCCTAACCTTCTTCCTTAACTTGCTGTAAGTCTGAGGGTATATCCGTCGAGCCATGCCCAGGTATGTCCAAAAGTATAATGTGTGTTTCGGATGGAAAATACTGAACAATTGGCAGCCACCACTCTTTACTAGAAGAGAAGCCGTGCAAGAAAACAATAGTCGCTTCTCTTCCGACTATTCCACGTTCAGCGTAACAAAATTTCATTCCATTTGCATTGACGTATCGAACATTCATTCCCGCTTTAAAAAGGGCGAAACGCACGAGTAGTTTTAAACCTAAATTTAGAATTAAACGATAATTCTGAGTTATTAATATAACCAATTAATTTTAACTTCACAAAAAAATAGCTCAAGTACGCCATCTATCATATTTTAAGAAAATATTTATAACCATATACGTTATTATACTATATATACTGTACTGTATACTGTAAATATATCTAATTCTTTAACAATCTCTTCACGCAAAAAACAATGATATTTTTACAAAATATTAAATAAGATTTACCGATAATAGGCCTAAAATATTTCAACCATACTGTCAAGGAAGATCCAAAAAGGATGACACTAATGACAATGATTTCAATCATATCTATAAAAAAAAAGATAAACAAAAACTAAGCTTTTTTTTTTTAAATAAACAAAATATGATGATTTTTTTATATAATTGAATAAAATACATTAAAAATTAAGTGTTTTAGTCATAAAAATGTATTAATCGAAATATTTTTTTCTTCAAGGTTACTTTCTTTTTCAAGAAAAAACTTATATGCTTATATACATTTAGAAATTATACACATATGTATATATATATATATATATATATATATATATAAACCTCTGTATATAATCTATAGAAATATACATATATGTATACATTATATATATTGAATGTGAAGATATCTGTTGGACAAAAATTAGCAAACTTTTAGTCGCTTTAAAAAAAACTAATCCCGGAATTGTCGATTTGCAGTCATTTCGTGCATTTTCTTCTTCTCTTCTAATCTTTTAGTTAATTCCTCAACTTTTCTATTTAAAGATCCAGTGCTTGTATCAATCCATTGCAGTGAGTCAGTGTGGGTATTTAAAATTTGGGTAATTTGAGATATCGTATCTGGTTTGTCACCGTCTACACGGGGGAGGCTCATTCTGTTAACATATTCAATTATTTCTTTTAAATCATCATGCATTCCTTTCATTCTGATTCCAACTTTTTCGGCCATTTTGTAAGTAACTTCTCTCTCTTCATCGGCATGTTGACGATGCTCAACAGGCTGAAGACGCTCAATTTCTTCTTCCATTGGTTTAAGTAGGTCGTCCAGTTCTTTCTGAGACGTTAGCATTGTATCAAGCTCTTTTGACAATTCAGTTTGTTCATTCTTGACTAACTCAACATCAGAGTGCAATTTACTGACTTCGTCTCCACTTTCCATAAGCATACGATCCCAACCATTGATCTCTGTAGCTTGTTGTAAAAATGCCTTCTCCATTTCTTCCAAATCAACATTCCACTTATTTAAAGTATTTTCTAGTTGTTTGTAAGTCATGTTGACTGTACTTTCGGTTGTGGTCGTTTCATTTGCCCCAGAGGTTGCTGGTTTGCTTACAGGCAAAGAAATTGTTCCCAATCCAGTTGGCATAGAAACTCCAGTACCAGTTGTCACTGGTTTGACCGCACTAATTCCAGTTAATCCAGTTGTGCTTGTAGCATCTGATGTAGTTTTAGCTACAGTGGGTAATGAAATTCCACCTAAGCTTTTAGGTGTACCAGCCGCTGGATCTGCTGGCTTAGTTGCATCAGCAGTCGATGTTGATGGCTTTGTTCCAAGTAATGAAAATCCAGTTGCTCCTGCTGGTGCTGCTGAAATGTCACAATATTCTTCAATATGCTTAATTTGTCATAAAAATTCAAACCTGCTGGCTTTCCCAATCCTAAGTTTAGTCCAGTATTGGCAGTAGAGGCTTGAGTTTGGTTGAAATTGAAAGCTGGAGGAGGCGCGGAAGCAGTTGTAGCTTGAGGTGTAAATTTGATACTTGTCGCGGGTCCCGATGAAGCCAAAGTTGCACCAAAATTAAAACCTGAGGTTGCCCCTGCAGTCGCTCCCGCCGATGATGTTGCAATTGCCGAAGATGCCGATGATATAGTGCTTGCGGAAGATACCAATGTCGTTGGAGCTGCTTTTTGACCAAAACCAAATCCAGCTGATGCTGTTGTAGGTGCTGCTAATTGACCTAAAGTTGGAAATCCTGACGATTGACTCAATGCTGAAGCTGCTGGCTGACCTGAACCTGAAGCTGCTACCTGACCAAAAGCAGGAGGAGCATTAGATACTGTTCCAGCAGGAGCAGTAGATACCGTTCCAGCAGGTGCTTGACCGAAAGAAAATCCTGTTGTTCCACCTAACTTGGGTGCACCAGCATTTGCAGCTCCGAAAGTGAATCCAGTCTGGGCTGATGATACATTAGCCGCAGAAGCACTAGCAGCGGAGGTACTAACAGATGGTTGACCGAAATTGAAACCTGTAGAGGATGATGTGGTGGCTGCGCCGAATGAGAAACCTTTGTTCGCTGGTGCAGCATTAGATGGCTGACCGAAATTGAAACCAGACGATGCTGATGTTGTTGCAGCCGCCTGACTGAAATTAAAAGATGGTGCAGGATTTGTATTAGTGGTAGTGGCTGGTTTTTGGTTACTGAAGCCAAAATTAAATCCACTAGACGGAGTACCTAAATGATTAAGTTACGATTAGATTTTTGGAATTAATTATCAAAATTAAAAGTTATTACCTGTGCCAAAGCTCATATTAACGTTTCAAATACGGCACTCGGTAAAAGCGATAATAAAACACAAAATGGCTGATACCGGACACCACGTTCAGGATTAAACATACGAACAATTATTGTCCTCAACTCATTTTTGATGAGCCTTTTCGTCTAAGTCAAATATCTAGTCTCATAAGTTTTGTTGAATATATGGATAGACACTTATCAAATAAGAGATCAGTCACGTAATCTTATATTCAAATATATAGACACTCACTGTTTTTGGATAAACCTTATAGTGTACTCTCATATGGGCGATAATATGATTCAAAATTAAAATCCTACTTTGCAGACGTTCAATAAATACGAAAAAAATATAATGATAGAAAACAGTACTAGCACTACATCAGCATTTACTGAAAATATAACAGTAAATAATTCCACAACAATCAGGAATCCAACGCATATATCTGGCTTGTATATATTTGGAATTTTTGTTGCTGCTGTTGCTATTGTAGCTTTAATTGTACTTGTGGTGAGTAAATTCATCGTGACGCCCAAGTTATTACTAACTAAAAAATTTTATAATCCACAGGCTGTGTTGCTATTTAAGCGATTAAGATTAAGAAGACTTAGACATCATTTGATGCCTGTTTACAATTTCGAAGCGGGTGAAGAAGCTGATTATTGGGAAGATCAATTATTGGACCATGATGCCACAACTACCGCATTTCACAATCAAACTTCCGTCGCTAACAGACAGCTTCGTTTAAAGGTAAAATGGCTTTTATATTAAAAACTTGATTTTAACTAGTGTATAAAAAGAAGAAAATTAATAGACGTAAAGTAAAGAGACGTAAAGTAAAAGAAGAATAACCATACTATTAAACAAAGGAAACAATTTATTTAATCCCTTCTAGAAATTAATACGTTTAAAATCTATATCCTATACATTTTTATCCTTTGAGTTTAATACCTTAATGAGTAGTATCGATCTAGTATAAAAGAATAATTAAAAATATATTTTTTCGCAGGTTCCGTCAAGTCCGAGCCAGAGCCCTAAATTAAAGTTCTTCCCTCAGCCAGATACTCCTGGTGAATGAGAAAACTTGATTAGCTATATAGATATTTAATTGACAATGTTTTTGTGGCTCATACTTTATACACTCTTTCTCTCTCTCTCTATCTCTCTCTCTCTATATATATATATATATACATATATATATACATTTCTTGTTTCTAGTGTTATATTTTCTCCCTCACTCTGTTGTGTTCGGTATCCTGGAAATCTGATTTTTTTTTCTTTTGTATTGCAAACACAAAACTAAAAATTATTGAGAGGAAAAGCCGTCTTCTCACATATATAAAAAAGTATTCAATTGCTATCTAATACGTATATAATTATTACTATCTTGTACAGTACATTTGTATATATAATTATGTTGTCGATGTTTGCCGAAAGTACAGCTATAAATGAGCATTTATTAGGCCTAGACCTGTGATAGAAGGCATCTAGTCAATAATCTGCAATTTATGATACAATATCAAAAACCCGTTTTCGTGTCATACTGCATGTAAAAAGTTATTCCAAAATTTCAATGTTTCATGGATTGAATATAATTTTTACTACTTTAAACGTTTTTGTGTTTTTTTTTTCATTTAGAAGTATAAAAAAGAGAGAATAATCAATAACATCTCCAATATATTTACTTTGAAATAAACATCAAACATAAAATTATATGTTAATTTTCTTTTATGAAATCTTCTTTTCTTTCTCCTTTCAATCTCCTATTTCTCTTATTTCTTTACTTCTCCTTAGTTTTGACAATTCTTTAAAATATTTTTAAGCAAGGAACGTTTGGAATAGTGAAATGTTTATTCGATTTATTCTATTGGTACAAAGATTTATTCTATTACAAGATTAGTTTACAATTTAAAATGTTTTACTGTGTTTTAGAATATTATCAGAACAGTATGTATATTACTATTACAAAAGAATATATATAATTATACATTATTTGAAAAAACAAACGTTATAATTTGAGATCAGAGAGAGAGAGGGAGAGGGGAATGAGAAGACAGACACGAATGCATCATATTGCAAATTAGGTTTCTTTTGTTGTTAATTTTATGCGAAATATTCAAAAAGAGTTTAAAATATAGTTAATTATAAATATTGATTTTATTCAATCGTAATTTGTTCAATTAATCAACATTCAACAACTTTTCATATTGAATTATATAAAAACCGAAAATTCAATTAGTAAATTTTTACAGTTATTAACAAGTATAGGGTAATTCTAGTATGAGGAAATTCGCCGCTCTCACTCAATCTCCGGTCTCTCTTCCGAAGGCAATGCGAAAAAAAATTTATATTATTTCTTCCTCCTCTGTTCTAAGTTTGGTCATATGGGATTGTTCATCGACGGAAGAAGATTTCGTTACGTAGATGTATCGATTCTTTTTCCTAGTTTTTAGCTATTCGCCTTTAGCTGACATTTATCGTATTTCAGCTTAATTTAGTTTTATAGACGCTGTACAAAGTATAGTGGCGTCTATACAACTGAATTAAGCTGAAAAAAAAATTTTACATAGTGATTTCTTAGTAAATACAACGATTTATACTAGTCAATGATTCTGTCTAATTATCGACGCATCAATATACATCAGGCTTAAAAGTATGATTATTCAGTTTTTTTTATACAATTACCCTACTTTCCTTCCTGCATATATAAATATACTCTATTCTCTATGTACTGAACGTTCTATATATCAACAGTATATATATATATATATATGTATATACCACAAACACTATACATTTAAATTGATTTATTTTCATACGAAGTATTCATTTATGTCGTTTTTTTTGTTTTGAAATATAAACAAGTCTATTATACAGCGTTTATACATGAAGAGAAATATTAACAATGATTAGAAAAACGTAAACATTAACTAAAAAAATATAGCAATGGTAAATAAAATCGTAAGTAAATAAGGGACCGGTTGGATCGAGACACCTTTATTTACGTTATAGAGTTTTTCTTTAGCTTGAGCTGGGCTCGACCACGGATCTCCACGGATATACGCTTGAGGACAATCATCAACTGCAAATGATATGGTTAATTGATTCTACTCTTAACACGTTAAATGTATAATGAATCACTCACAGAGCCTCTCGTTTTCCTCCAATAATAAATGTAAGGAAGCACCTAATTTTGGATCAGATGTTGATGATTTCATCTGTGGTCTGCATCTTGCTCCTGTAGACCTAGATAGTTTGATAAATCTCCAATCGGTTCTTTCATAATTCTAAAATGATAAATGTGAACGAATATTAGATTATATTGATTTATTAAGTTTAATATTTACCCAACAACGAAAGAACGAGACAGGATCTTCTTCATCGTATGTGATTAGATAAGAGTTCCAATTCTCGTCCCAGTGACCAATGCAGGTTAATTCTCTATCAGGTTCATCTAATAAATAATAAAAAACGTTTAACGATCAATCAATAGGAATATTCTGTTTTAGTAAAAGCTACCGTATTCTCCTATGGGCATTCCGATATGATCGACAGTCTCGCAATACTCGGCGTCAATTGCTATTTTATTGGCGTTATCATCGCAGGACTTGAATTCTGTGACGTATTTATCACAGGGAATAGAGTGACGAGGCCGTTCTATACAGAAAAAAGATTGATTTAAAAAGGAAAACGACTTATTCATTCTATAGAAAAGTAATGTAATATCCTTTTTTAGATATCTTTAAATTATTATTTACCAGTTATTCCCCTATATCTCGTTCTGTATTTTTCATTTTCGTTACCAATTTGTTTAAATTGGTACCTTCCACGAATTGGACATAGAATTGGAACAGGAGGATTTACTAGAAATAAAAGTAATAAGAAAAATCAATGGTTAGTGTTTGGATGAAGAAATTGACTTGATTTATATATTTACAAACAAATATATGGGATATATTTTTAGAAACTTACATAAAAATGTATTATACATCCAATTAACGTCGTTTCTGTTAAAGGTAAAACTGGACCATGTACAACCTAACCTAAATATCTTCTCATTATGTCTAGGATCTGCTCTTTCCATTTCGGTTAATCGATAAGGTCGACCTATGAAAGGTTCGAATTTGTTTTAGGTAATAGGATTTAAAAAAAAAACAACAATATATTCATAGCATATACTCTGTATTCTAGCTAATACATACCCATTCTCCATCTGATAACGCTATGATGTCTTGGAAGAAATTCAAAGCAAATGTAATCAACTTCGCTGAAAGAAGAATTTAAAAAAAAAATTAAGTAATCTCTCCACATTATTTGTCAATTTATCATTCAAGAATGGAAAAGTATAAAGATTACCATTTTCCTACGGTGATGGCTTGCATCAAATATCGATTGCCGCTAGTCATTTGACATATAAAATAGCTTTCTTTATATGAATATTGGTCCAGCTTGGTCTTAAAATATATATGTGTAGAGTTGATTTGCACATCAACATCTTGCTCAGATTGATAGAACCTGTTGCGTTATTTTCATCAATTACAATTAATGAAAAGAAAATTGAAAATTTTACCAATTGCCAGTAAAATTCCTTGGCAAATTGCAACCAGGCTCTATGGGTCTTCCCACTCCAGCAACGGGTTCCAATATAAGTCTGATAGGACCCTCATAAGGACTCTGTAATTGAGAACAATCCGCCCACCACGACATACTATATCTTATTCTATTATTCATTTCCTCTTGGTCAAATCTCGTCATCTATTGGAATCAAGAGAAAAAATAAGAGGGTTTTTTACTGTTGAACGCATTAGTTCTTTATTGCTAATCATACCATACAACGAAATCTTTCTCTCCAAGGTTCCTTGGCTAACTCGGCAACTGCAGACCAAACATTACCATTTTTATCTGCCCAACTTCCTAAGCATTGAAATTCCACCCCTTTAATAGAGAAATATGCGTTATTGAATAAAAAACTATATAAAAATAAAAATTAATTAGTTAATTAATAACTAAACTAACGCTCATTTCGAGATGTCGACACATCGTTACATCTTCCAAAATTCATATAAAAGATTTCGTTATCCTTGTATCTAGAACCAGGCTCTTGGCAAGCTTTTATTAAACTGCTCCTGGAATTACAGATTCCTCCACCACCAATATCCATTTCGTATGTGAAATGAAACGTTCCTTCAAACGTATTTTTGCAGTTAACAACTACAAGCGTCTTTCCTAATAATTTATTGACAAAGATTATAATTTATAATTCATAAAAACCACGGTTTTACATACTAAAGAAAGTGTTTACAGCTGATGTATCACTTAAATCTTTACAGCCCTCCTCAATAGATGGTTGATTTGAATATTTAATACAGTTGGCTGTTGAATATTAAAAGTTCTTTGGTAAATTTCTTTATCTATTAAATAATTCATACTCACTGGTTCTATATTGGATAATGTTTGGTGTCTTGTAAAACATGTCAAAGCATTGATAACACTTTTCAGTTCTGAAACCGGAAGGCATCAATAATATTTTGTATTTTTCTTTGAAAGCAAAACGTTATTAATCATTAATATAAAAATATTTACCTGTTATACATTAAAATTCTACTATCGTGATTGCCGTTTGCGTCTGTTTCATTATTATTCAATATATCTACACAATGTCCCCAAAATTTAGTCTTCCATCTTACCACGTCCGTTCCATCGCTTTCATCTTTTTCTCTCATGTCAATCAACCTAACCGATTTTTTAATTATTTATTAGAACTTATTTACTAAATAGGTTAAACCCATCGCAAAAAATACTCTAATTAGTACTTTAAGCTGTTGATATTTATATACTTTATTATTAATTTATTCGTACCTGTCATTAATTGTTGTTTCAATATCGTTTCGACGTTCCATTGAGAAGTAATCTCCTCTAAATTGAGATGGTATTTTACACATCGATCTTCCGATGCCATCGCGCTCATTTATTACTTCTTCTTCCTGCCCTGAATTTTAAACGATTTATTAGTAAAATATCTGGAAAATTTACAATAATGAGTAATATTCATCGCACAGGTGTGATATATTCGAAAAACAAAAATATGACAAACTAAGTCTTCTTAATCAAGATAAAGACTATTCTTAATTAATATTAATAACTTATTTACCTTTAATTATTGGTAAAACTAGAAAAATAGCTAAAATATAGAATTTTATCCTCATTCTACCTGTTCAAGCTTTTATCTGTTATCGAAAATTTTAAGATAAGAAGTGCTAATAAAGCTAGGCGCCATCTACTGTACATTTGATACTAGGGATTATACAATATCTTATTAAACTTATATATAGTATACACTGTATGTAAGTTTTCTTTATATGTTTGTAATTCATCAATTCTGTTCCAAACACGTGTTTTTGATAATAAAAAAATAAAATACGTTAGTCTTTTTCTTTTATTCAAGAATTAATTCAAAAGGAAAAAAACAAGAACTATTTATCTTAGTATTTAATAATTGATTAATTCCTTTCAATTAATTTAAGACTAAGATCATACGACGGTATCAGGAGGACACGATATTTTTGAGATAGTTCCTCAGTCTCACTACGGTGGACAGGTTCTAAAATATAATTTTGTAAGAGCCGAACAACCAACGTAAACATTTCTTGTTCAGAAAATCTTCTTCCAGCACACATTCTTGGTCCATGTGAGAAAGGGGTTAGTAAGTAAGGATGGACTGATTTACTTTCAGGACTTCCCCTAAGCCACCTCTCCGGTTTATATTTATCAGCATCCTTAAAGTATTCTTCTTCTCTTAGTAAGAGATTTGTGTTCAAACTAACTTCGGTCTGTTTGTCAGAGAAAGAATTCGTTATAAGTTAATGAAGTTTTAAAAATATTTTTTATCAAATTAACAACCCCTTTAGGAATAGAGTAGCCACCTATGTCTAGATCTCTTTGTAAAATACGATTTACATCTATCCCGACCGGAAAGAACCTTTGACAACAATCCGTAAAATATCATTATATTATTATAACTCTTCGTCTAATACTACAAACCTAAATCCTTCTTTGATACAAGCCTTTAAATAAGACATATTGTTAATTTGTTGTATAGTTAGAGGCGATTTCTTGTTAGAATGGCGATTTATTTCTTCAAAAAGCTGCTCCTGTTTGTCCCTATTCGCAGCCAAGCAATATAATTGACCAACAGTAACGGGAACCGTCTAATAAATGATAAAGTCAATTAACCATAGCTGTTGTATACTCGTTATTTTTTAAAAAATAGCTTTATGGAAATAAATCGATCATTAACGCATATATAAAGATGTTTGAGCAAGTTAGAAGATTATATTACCGTACTCAATCCGTCAGTGAATAGAGAAAACGCTATAACGCTTAGATCTCTATGATCTAAATTCTTTTGGTTAAACAGGTAACGAATAAAAGTGTAGTTAACTTGCGTAGGAGTAGATTTAACCTTTTCAACGGTTTCATTTATAAGCGAATAGACTGATCTGAATAAGAGAAAGATTAAGAAAGGTTTTCGAAAAGCTCCTCTTAATATGGTATGCTTAAATATATCATACTTATAGAAAAAGTCTTCGGCTTCTACTAATTTCTTCCAAGTTTGACTTAAATTTGGTACTAATTTATAAAACGGTAATGAAAATTTAAGACTATTCGTTAATTCAAATAGAATTCGATTAGCCTCAATCATTTTTAATGCTATTTCATTATCATTTAAAGCATTTACATCCTTTTCGAAGCAGGTCATAGCTGCAGCTGTAAGAATATTAAATTAGAAATTTTTAAGCAGAAGTAATTACTTATGATAATAAAAAGCTATACAATCTAAATTCCATCTAGCAATTTCCATATTCAGATTATCTATGATTCCTTGTGAATCTCTTTCTTGATTTAGCCTGGTGATTAGTTTCAAGACAACTTCATCTACCTTCGTTGGAGAAGGTTTTTCATTATTCGGATGAGCATTTATTTACTATCTCACCATTGGTAGATACTGGCTAACTGCAGTCGGCTTCATCATCATTTGTTGAACCGCACTTCTAAGCTTATGCCATTCTTCTCCATTTCTAGAATAATTAAACTTCTATAATGATTAAGGTTTAAATACAACTTTTAAATGAATTTGCATACGTGAAGCCTAAACCAGGAGAGAAACCACGTGATTTCCTATATATATCAACAGTTTCCATGAGAGGTGGTATTTTTGGTGTTTTTGTATCATTATTGTATACTATTTTGACATATTCTGGATCGAATAAATGAACTCTCGTATGGCCACTAATTGTTTCTTTAAATATTTTCCCATATTTATGATATTTCTCTATTAGTGCTTTATGGTATTCGTCGGATTTCCATTTGCCTGAAGGACAGTTATCATTAACAATAGCAGTAGTAGTAGTACTATAGAACTATAATTACTAGGAATATTTTAGAGGATTTACCTAATTTGTAATCTAGATAAGTTCCTAAATAAGGTACATTTCTCGGTCCAGGTATTTCTGTAAATGATTTTATATGTTCAGCACCACTGTATAAGAAGGCCTTTGAATTTCTTCCCTCTAAACTATGCCATAAAAATTGTCTTGTAAAGAGTCTTTTAATATCGCTCAAATGACTTAAACGTTGAAAATTCATATTCATCAGCTGTTGATAAGCAATCCTAGAACAGAGTGAGCATAAACTAATTAATAAAATGTTAAACAGCTTCAGCAGCAGCTGTACTTTGAAACTTGAACTTTAATCTTTCTGTTTGTCTTTCCTCCGGACTTCGTTTATACTATATTCTAATTGAGCGAAATTCGAACAATTTTTATTCGCTATAAATTTAACTTGTTACAGATTGTTATTCAATACTTACCATTAATGAAGATTATACTAAAATTAAATTCTTACTGATTGTATAATATATAAATAAAGAAGATACGCATTCATTAGGGAATTGAACATTATCGTTTCAAATGAGTCTATTAAAGATATATGACATTATCAGTTAAAACTGCTTGTTCTTTTTTATTATTGTAGCCCGACTTTTTCCGGTACAAATAACAGTTTCTTGAGAATATTAATCAATAATCGCGCGTTTTAAAGACATTGTACTTTTGTAGTAGTAATGTCGAAAAATTACGATCTCCGATCTGATAATACGCTTTTCTGACTAAAATGTCTTATTAAAGAAATACTTTCGTTAAGGTTACTTTCAAGATTTAAATTTTGTTTACAATTCTATTAACTTTTAGAAAGAATGTTTACAATCTCATTGATAGCTTTATATTTAAATACAGCAGAAATTTATTCCTAGAACGTCGATTAAATCGATTGAAATCGATATTCATCCTCCTATAATCGGAATCAGCGAACTAGTTCTGTCACAAATTTGAGTGCATCGAAAGAACAACCTTTTCGAGGAATTCGAGGAAGTCATGGAGAATAAGTCTAAGAAAATTGAAGAATTAATAACGAATTTACACAACGCAAAAAATGATAATGACAAGTTTGCAGGATGTTTATTCGTCAGTGAAATTAGGTAGTTTTTCTAATTTCTCTTATTATCGCTCCTTTTTTTGCAGGCGGCTCATGTTGTGAAGTCCGATAATTTAACAACGAGTGATAAAAGAAAAGTTTTCACGGCAATAGGAGGTTACTTCATAGAGAGATTGCTTAGAACAAGTACATATCTAATTGATTTCGAATAATTACTCCCTTTTTTATGATATAAATTGTATTTTAGAAAATGTTCCCGAAGGCTGTGGAGAGTATGTCTATAAAGATATTGCTATAAACATTTTAAAGAGTTTCTCAGACGATCAAGAATTGGTAAGTCATTTTTATGAAGATTATTTGAACTTCTTTTCCCTAGTGTGTAATTTAAAAGTACTTTACAAAGCAACAAATTTGAATAAAATTAAAATTTATAAGATTGAATGCCTACATTTTACAGATAAAAGAAGAGTTTATTGACTTTCTCCCCTATCTATTGACTATTATTAACCTTGTTCCTGATAATGAGTGCGTAAAATAAATATAGAAACGACATCAAGTATAAAAAATCTTGTATAATTTTAGAGAAGCTAAGGATACTGTAGAGAAGCTGATAGAAAATACATACGATTGTTTAAATGCTATAATTCAAGCATCCTTTAATTCTTCAAAGTTTGATATAAATGGTATCATCAAATCTCTCTGTACAACTGTAATTGCGCAAAACTTTAGTAAGTTTCAAAGCAATGTATATACCTATAAGTAACGTAATAGGACGATTAAAACTTTTTCACAGGTTATACGAAGGCATTGGATTTGTTAGAAGCATTACTACCGTTTCACACAGAAATTCTCTGGACTGAAATAAATATGCATGAGTTCCATAAAATTATGAGTCTATTGTTAAAATTGTTGGAATCTGCAACCGTAAGTTGCTTTCTGGATTGTTTCACCTGTAAGAATTTTAAATTTTTTCAGCCTATCAAGAAAGTAGCAAGACTGAAACTCATTCGAGTGTTTGTAAATAAAGGTCCATCATTGGTACATTTTCTTGTATACGATTATTTGAGCAAAAGTAATTGTTTTCTCTTGGATTTTCAGGATTTAACGGACTTAAATAGACGGCAATGGGCCAATGACTTATCTATTGCTTTGTTAAAGTTTATAAAATCTAAAGTAACTATATTACTTTTTCCTTCTTTTTCTTAAGTCTAAATAAAAAATCCCTATTAGTTGACAGTTAAAGATCGCCAACAAGTACTTATGTTAGCATCGGCTTGTGTTGGCAAGTATGGTTGTTTATGGCTAACTGCTACAAGCATAGAAGATCGAAATAAAATTATAATCTTACTGGCACGTCTGGCCTGTATTGAATATCATATTTCTTTTGGATCATCAAAAGAAATTTCTGAGGTTGAAAAACAGATTGCTCTTTTGTTTTACTTTATAAAACGAGTTCAACGTCACAGGTTTACATAGATTCGAATACTGAGTTATACGTTACAATGTGTTCTCTTATGGCAAATATACTGGTATATATAATTGAAAATTGTGATTCATTTACAGATTCTGAACAGGTAATGAAAGTGTATATTATCTTATTAAATTAGGAATTAATTAAGCTACTCAAACAGATACGGCAATTTAAAGATGCTTTCGTGACCTCTATAGAAGATATGTGCGCAATAATTGTATCGATTGGTGAGAATAATCAAGTAGCAAATGTTTGTCTCTATTAATGAGTTTAGTTTAAATGCATTAAGAGTAATGGGTAAATGTTATACAGCATATTCACCCAATTACCTTATCAAGTTTGCGGGTAATTGGAACATGGGGCTCTGAAGAAACTGATTTAACAAGTGATCACTTGGTGAAAGCTATTCCATCAATAATTAAAATATGGTTCGTTCTTTACTTGAAATACTTTTACAAAAGGTTTTATATTCTGATATCTAATTTGTATTAGCGAAAAATTTAGCCAACAAGATCCTCCAACAGATGCTTGGTCTTTTATTCTAAGAGTAAGCATTTTAGAATTACTTTATCTTCAACATAATGATCTTAATATTCATTTATAGATGCTACATTCCCTTATAATCTCTAAAGAAGAAGTTCGAGAAAGAATTCTAAAAGCCTGCATTCATCTTAAATTAATTGATATGACAACTGAAAAGCTCAAAAGCATTAAAATTGATAAGTCCTATACCGAAAATTTTGTAAGTATTTGCTTTTCAAATAGAAGTTCATACCTACAATAATAGTTTCAAACATTTCAGGTAGATGCAATAAATGCTTTTACTATAACTGATGCATTGATAAGTTTAGGCCTCAAAGATCAGTATCCTGATGACATTATGAAAAATTTTCTCTCCTATTTACTAACCGACACCTTGTACTTTTGTTGGTTTTATACTCTTTTTATACGCTTAAAATATAATATTTAATTATTTGCCAAATAGATGAAAGTCATATGTGGCTGGAATTACTACTTAGTAAGGCAGCTCTAACGTTAAAGGTCTGCCATGAATGGAATAGCTTTGACGGTAAGTAACATGGGCACCTTTAAAATAATTTAGTAATTCTATATCTTTTATAGACGACGTCTTTGTGAAGAAACTGTGTGTGTACATTGAAGTCCTCTGTAAAAATATTTTAAATAATATATATGAAACTAAGAGATCGACGAAAAAAAATCAAAGAGTGAAGACCAAATTTTTTATATCATTAAAATTCAAGCCATTTTACACAGAAAATTGCCTTGAAAGATTCTTAGAAATTATTGAAAGTTAGCTTTATTAATAATTTGAAAAATATTTTTTAATTTTTAAACATTCTATATTAGATATTAATTCCTTAATTGATCAACATAAGGAAATTATTCAAAGTGTTATTGATTCTTCGTTATTAAGTTCGCTTCTAAAGTTATTGAGAGATCTTTATGATGGAGGTAATTACATAATTAACACAGAATTATGTTCTTTCGCTTGTCTTTAACATTAACTTTTTAAACACAGAATTATGTATGCAAGATATGGCAAAGATTATCGACAATCTTCTTGTAAATTGTCTCGAAAAAAGCAATCATGTAAGAGGCTTAGTTCTTACAAAGCATATTAAACTGGAGTGGCTAAGGTGAGAACTAATAAAACTTGTAATACGATTATACAAAGACAGTGTTTCTCCAGATATCACGGTATGGTTAACTCTGGAAGATATATAGCTCAAATGTTAGAGGAAAGAGGATAAAACTAGTTTTATTAATACTTTACATTACGTCCAGTATTTTTTATCAAATTTCGTTTGTTAACTTTTTTATAGACCATTGTATTGGAAAAAAAATAAAAACTTTCAAATTTCGTTATGTAATATGTTGTTTTAAAAATTTTTTTTGAGCTAGTTACGTTGTTTGATTGTAGTACGAAATGTTATAATCTAATTAAGAAAATATACAAAAACCTATATTGATATATAGCAGATAAATTAATTATGTATTTAACAAAATACCACTGAACCGCTAGTTGAAAGCTACATAAAGACTTTTCCAAACGTTTAAAAGATAAGTTTGCGAAAAGCGCACCGAATTCAGAGTGAAAACACAATACTCCTTTATCACTCTGAATACAATAGATATGTTAAAAATTACAATCATATTTTACATCAAAAGATTAAGAAGTCTCTTTAAAAAAGGTCGTTTTACGACACTATTAGTAATAAATTGGTGGAAGTTTATCAAAACGGACACAATACTTAATATTCGACATAATAAGTAACGGTACTTTTATTTTATAGGCACAAAATATTTCACCGTCACTATAACTGAATGACAAATAATATATACATTTAAAATCGTTAAGTCAGAACTAGTATATATATGTATATTTATATATATATATATATATATATATATATTGAATTGAGCTACATTCCATTTTTTCTACCAATCTTTCAATTTCATATTTCAAAAAAATTTTCTAGCTTTCTTCTGATTGATAGAGAAATTTTATTTCTTTAAGGAGAGAACAATAACTGATTTTTAATCACTAAAATCATCTGATTCGGTATCCACGTCATCTTGGAACATTCCAGCATACAAAAGTAAATCCTCTAAAACCTCGGAATTATCATTTCTGGTCTCCAAAAAATTCCACAATAAGAAGTGTACTTCATTTTCTGTCTCGCCATCTTCACGAACTCTTCGTCTATTCAAAGAAAAGAAAATAATTCCACATTCTATATTTGAGATTTATTTAAGCAATAAGAAAACTCAAGGCTTATATTCTATTATGTTTGTATAAACAATCTCTCTTTAAATATCTTACACCAGTAAAGTTGAATTTTGGAAAAGAAAACAACATACTTTGGCTTAGGTTTTGGAGGCATTGGATTTCCCTGTTCATCGGTGTGCTTGTAAAAACAATGCTCGTTAAAGGGACAATCTCCTTTACCATGATTCCAATATCTACAAGGTTTTTCTGACAGAGCATTTTTATAATTTTCCATCAATTTCTTCTTCTCATCTTCTACATTAAGTTATTAGTTAAAATTTAGCAGAATGAAGAAAAAACAATACTAGTATAATAGAATAAACAATGCAGTATTATACAAACCATCTTCTACCCAAATAATAGAAGGTGTTACGAAATTCGAGCACACTCTACATTCGGGGCACGCACGTACAACACGTTTTTCAAATTTATCCTGACCACGCCAGCGCCGAATGCAACTTAAGCAAAACACGTGATTGCAATGAGACAAAATTCCAAACCTAGCATCGGATGCTGGCTTTTTATCTAACACCTAAAAAAGCAAATATTAGTTTAATAATTAAATTTTATAGGTGAATATTTTATATATTTGTATATACATATATATATACTGTATATACATACATATACCTTATACAATACTAATAGCTGTATATATATATATATATACTCTTGCTGGTTTAGTTTAATTATATATTAAGAAAACAAAAGCGTAGGGAAAGGAAAGAGCGACGGGGAGGGGAAATAAGCTGATTAATTATATTCTATACTAATAGTAAGTGTATAGTATTAATATTGTTACTTTCGAATTATAAAAACTTAACAAACTCCTAAGTAAAGCTATTGTGAAAATTAAATATCTCTAATTATACAGGGTTTATGTTTGTACGGATGGTTAATAGTTTTACTTTGTATATGCTTAATTTATGATAGAGAAATAGGTTATGAATGAATCGATATGAGTATTTTAGTTAACCTTTTCCATACAAACTCCGCAGACTTTGTCTTTCGATCTAGCAATAGCAAATGATGCTTCCATGGCTTTTTCATGCTCTTCAATACAATCCTTCTCGTGTCTCAAACGTTGATTTTCATCATCTGGATGGAGGCAGGCATATCCGCACATTTCACAAACGTTACCATGGACATACTGGCACTCATCGCCTAATCGACAACCATCGCTACTCATCGCCCAAGGACATAGCTCATTAAATTTTTCTTTGTGACTTTCTGAAACTATGGCTGCACTATCGTCAACTGCAGTTATTTGGGCATAGTTCTTTCCATGGTATTTCGCCCCTGGAACGAATTCCGCAGCTTGAGCCCAATCATATGGTTTCGGACCTGTAGTAAACATAATAGAAATTTTTATCTATGACTCAGTTCAATGCGAATTCAATATTAACGAGTCACTGCGAGTAACCATGAATGGTTGGGACATGGGCATAGAACAAAACCTCAATGCATTTATAATTAATATAATAACCTGAAATCATTGATTTTTCAGGTGGTTCGCTACTGCTTGGTAGAGGTGGTGGTCCCAAAATTTTTGTCTTATGTTGTTTAACATGATCAAATCTGGAAGAATATTCAAACTTTTTTTTATATAATCATCATTCTCAGTAATATGTTTGAATTTACCTGCATTCTGAACCGTAAGAACAAGACCCTCGCAGGTAATATTTACAAACAGTATCTTCTTTAGATGATAAATCATGTGAGAAAAAGCAATTTGCACCTTTCCCACAACAACCGTTCTTATAGAACCTTAAAAAATGAAACAAATTTTAAGATGAAGTGGTTAGTTAGGCCAAAATTAATAAAGCGAAAACAAGAATTTCATCGAAACTTGAAGTTGTTACGCAATAGAAAACAACAAACCGCATGAATAGAAAATTTATAAATGCAATTTAAAAGCAGCTATAGATAAATATAATTATCAGTTAATAGCTTATTTGTGATAAATACCGGCAAAGAACTTTTGATGTAGAAAGACGCTCCGAATTTGCCATTGCTTTCGTTTTTGCAACTTGTTGCAAACTGGACTATGCAAATTGGAACTATTTTCGATTAATGTGTCTAAGGGTAATGGTCGCTGGTTTTATGAAACCACCTTAACCACTAAATAAATGTAGTATAATATTGTGGAGTGAGGTTAAATTACCTTTCTCTACTCAGGCGTATTCATAGTACTTTTTCAGATGATTATGTCATGATTATTTATCGAATGTGTAATACTATAATGCCTAACGATCATATAAAATTTGAATTACAAGAATTCCGATCTAATTGATCGAGTAGTGTCGATATCTCAAACAGTCTGGTTCTTGTTAAACGAATTTATAGACAAGACATTTCTTACGAGGATTACAATCAGCAAACATAGAAGAATGCGTTTATTTAACTAGCAAATTGTATTGAGTTTTTTTGTCTTTTCTATAAAGCAAAAATGTCACCTTGGATTGTTTTATAAAATACATTTTTGCTATTTGTATATAATATTTCACTATTTTATATAGTCTATGAGTTTTTAGGTTGGTTACAGTTACTTTTAATCATTTTCTAAATGTAAATATAGACTCTACAGGAAATGGTTTAAATTGTTTTTAATCTATTTAATCGTTTTAGCTTATTATGCAAAGTCAATGGAGTTAAAAACTTCTTTTTACAATTTGCAACCAAATATTTATCAAACGAATTCTATAAATAATGTCTAAATTTGGTTTAATTGTATACTAAATTCTCATCTATACAAACCAAAGTTCTATTATTATAGACTGTGTATACAATCTAATAATTCATAAATAATACTTGTAATTAGAATTTTTTAAATAAAAGTTAACTAGCTAACTGAAGAAACTAGTACTTATTTACTTAATAGGATTATAAATAATCTGTTAAATAGCACCAGATTTCTTAATAATAATAATCATTGTGCCTTTTTTTTTAACTATACTTCAATTCGAATTAGTTGCATGTCATTTATCAAGTTCAAAAAGTTAATTATTAAATTCCAAATAATAGTTTCCTGTACTTCGTCCTATTTCATGAGAAATAGATACTATAATGATTCAAACATCTGACGACTTTTATATAAATGAACTTGTCCGAAAATTAGATGAACGAGGTATTAAAAGTGGCAATAGTATTTATAGTAATACTGTTAAGCAATTAATAGATGAATTTTTTAATTTATTACCTGAGAATCAAGCTTTCAAAAGCAGTAAAGACACTGATAGATCACTGACAGCTGCCTTAGTCAGTATACTTCTTATTCTTTGTGTAGTAACTATTTTTATAATTCATATAATGCGGGTCTCTCATAATAAAAATGAGAATATCAACGATGACGAGTAATTTTGAAACTGATCTTATATATCTTATATATATATATATATATATATATATATTAATAAAATATCTTATGTTCAGTATATTAATAAAAAAGAAATCATATCTAATTTCTCTCAGTTTCATAAAGATATTAAACTTTACCGAGGCGATATTCGTTTCTGGTGGTTTATTTATTTTGTACCACTTAGCTTGATTTGGCCAATTATTTATAATTATGTTATGTCTAAGATTAGTTGCTTTTTTTGCTTTACTAATGGAAAATGAAGTAATAAACGTCGTGATAATGGCAGCAAGAGTTTTACTTACGATTATAAAATGTCTAGTTGATAGTATAAAAACAAGAGATTAGTATCTGTTTATCCAAATAACAGAAAATTACCATTATTTAAATAAATATGAAAGGCAATAAAGGAGAGATCATCATTCAATAAAAAAGAGGATGAATTCCAGCTGTTGTTTTTATATGAACACCCTCAAGCATGCCAAGTATTATACATAATGGGAATTTATCAAAAAATTTCGATTAGAGAATTAAGATTGAAATACTAAATTTGGGGTTTTTAATGAATAGAAAAAACAAAACTAAAAAATTCTTTATCTTCCTGAATAATCAATTTTTTTTCTATACTGTATATAAATCTTAATAGGGAAAAATAACAGGTATCAAAAAAAATATAAGAGAGTTATAAAACGCTCATTAAAAAAATGAGCTAAAAGAAATATAAACCTGCTGTTAGTATTCTATAGCGGCAACTTTGTTCGAACACCTGTTGCATAATTTTTAATCTGTTTTTAAGAAATGGTCACTCTGGAAAAATATAATAAAAAAGACGATGCGGTACAATAGAGTCCGCCGTCTATCTCGTAATCTGCATTTTTCGAAAATTTTTGAGAATTGAAGAACAAATATTTGTTTTATTTTTCTTCTTTACCACTAACATCTTTTCTTAACATGTACATTGTTTTCTCATCTTGATTAACTTAGGATTAATACCGAGCTTGATAGATCTCATCGCCATTGCGCGATTGAAATGCCTCTGAGTTTTAACAGCGTCGTTCGAATCGTCCAATCCTGAGTCGATTGACGTGAGAATACCACATAGGACGCCCAAAACTAAAAACAAGATGATAAATAAAGTATAATAAGTAACTGTTGCGTCCGATCCGGCGTTCAATTCTTTTAAATGAGCTTGTGCTGGACCGAAACCTGGATTCAAATCTAAAGCGTGCTTGAGATGTAGGGCAGCCTCGGCATTATGGCCATATGCTTTTAAAATTTCACCCAATGTAAAATGCTGTAACCAAGTATTTTGGTCCTGTGGTGCGGCATCCAAGGATTGCCTAGTCAATTGAATAGCGTCATCTAAGTAGTGTAGATTAAACAAAACTCTGGCAAGATTCAACAGAGCGTCCGAGTGACGAGGAGACAGAGCTAAAGCTTTGCGAAAGCATTCTATAGCAAGATAAGTATCACCCTTTACCCGCCAAAGATTGCCAATTTGATTATAAATGGATGCGGAATTAGGCTTTTCTTTTATGGATTTTTTCAACTTTCTCTCAATTTCTTCCAAGTTTACTTCTTTGCCAGATTTTTTGCGGAGAATCATCGCAACTTCTGGTTCAGCTACATGAGGATGGGAATGACGTCCAGCAACCCCTCTGAGATGATCTACATGAGTAGAATTAACAGCTTTCCCACAGTCTAAAGTTTTCTTTTTTTGCTTTTTATTCTTCTTACCTTGGCCATTTATTTTTGTACCCTCTCTGAAAAACACAAAGTGAGATAAATATACGTATATAGATATATATTCTCATATTAAATCAAAAGTCTAACAAAATGGAGACAGTGGTTTAATAATTCGATTTTCATTTGGTCAATACTTCCAATACTGTCATTTAATTGTGTGCAGTCACAGTAAACAAGAAAGAAAATATTGAATAAACTTTTACTCTTTATGGATAACAATTATCAAAGAGATTTAAAAAAAAGCATTTAAATACATGTAAATTAATACATTCTTCATTAAGCTTAAACATACTGATTACACTAGTCTTTATTCTAAAAATAATTATTTAAATAAAAATAAATGCTTATACATTAATTATCATAAATATAATCAATAAAACACTATTTTTCTGTATTATGCAGTAAAAATGTACAACTTAACCGATTTTTTTCTTTTTAAATCATCACTGCAGAATTATTTAGTAGCTTTTAACCTAGTAGTTCCTTTTAGAGAAATAGATATTGTCATGTTGATATAGTTGTATCGATTTTTTTAAATACAGGTGTTCTATTTGTTAAATTTGTCAAACTTTCAATTACATTCAAAAAAGTATTGAGAACATTATTGGGTAACAGCAACAATTCATAATATAATTCGTTTCGGATAAAGATTGTTGTCAATAATTCTTAATTAAAATAAGACTAATAATATATATATTATTAAAACATATCCGATTATGTCTTAATTTTCAATTGCATAACGATATGCAATAATCTAAAATAAAAAATTTTTTTGTCATTATTGATTGTTTACGTAATGTAAAGAAAAAACTTTTATCTGGTAAGGATGGGCTATCTTTAATAAAATTATACATACATACATTTCGCAATCTATATATATAGTTTTAAAAAAACACTTTATGAACTATGTATTTTGATATTACATTGCTAGGTTTTATTTTCGCTGCAGATGTGTATACTGGGTTTCAGAATTATATGGTGAATAAACTGAAACGCAGATCTCGTTGTTATACTATCATCTTTAAAGAGTTGCATTAAATTACATATGAAAACATAACATTTCTATTAACCTATAAATTATTTTGAATAATATTTACATGAAGAATTTACCGTTAATATAAAGTGGGTTGATCTTATTATTTGAATTGAAAAAAGCCGACTCTGGTTTTGAAATTTTAGGCGGCAGATGAAGACTGACACTTTTAATTTATCATACAAAAAGAAATAGACAGTCTTTAATATTAACAAGAATAATAGAAAATTATTTACCTTTGTTTACTTGAACTAGAACTCTTTTTTTCAGCAGATAAGCTGTAATTGGACTCTTCTGATTGTAAGCAGTTTTCAGCCGAACAGGAACCTTCCTCTACTAATCTCCATTCACCCTCGTCGTTCACAATAATCTTACTAGTTAGAATACTCATTATCGGATCGACTTCAGATGAGGGGGATGCTGTTGAATCGACAATTCGATCATCTTCCAAGTTCAACTTCCAGTGAGTCGATGTTCGCGAATTTGTCTGCAGAACATGGACCGTTATAAAATACAAGGTCATGTAAGTTAAGCAGGGCATATCAAATGCCATTTCTTTTTTCTTAAATTATTCGCAACGTCAACAGAAGAGAGTAGTTAGGTGCTCCTATTCTATTTCTATTTATAAAATATGACGGAAGTTGAGGTGCGAGACTATAACAGGCGAACATTTCTTTTTTACTACAAAAAATTTTCGATGTATTTTATATTCATGTATATTTTTTTTTAATATTTAATATTTCTCAGTAAGAATAATTTTTTAAAAGTTTTCTTTAAATTTCCGAAAACATTTAGAGACCTCTATGGGATGAAAATATTATTACAGCAGCCATTTTCGTCGGTCCCAGTTACATAAATTTTCGTTTGAGGAAATATAGATATATATCGAGTAAGTTCACTCTCTAATGTTCATAATATTTCAGGCAAAGAAACATATATATTTTCCTCGATATTTTTGTATTTTTAACTGCGATTATAGTCGTATACTTTACGATTCGGCTTTTTGAAGTAGATCAGGTAGGAAAAATTTTGACCTACTTTGACTGATGCTATACTCAGATGAACCCCTAAACTTTTTTTTTAATAATTTGACCATTTTATAAGAAATAAGTATTGATCTTGCAATTTTTCCCAAACTTATTACCCTATTAGTCATTTATTTTAAGGGTAAACATGATATTTAAAATATTTTGCTAAAATTAACAGTTTATTGATTCTTATTGGATTCTTTGTTTGTCGAAGAAATTTTGTCAAACGTCTGTGTATAATTTTTTCTTGTGTATTCTCAAAATTATATTTCTAGTTTGCATTGTAATCTAACAGTTGGGCGCGACCTAAATATTTTAAATATCTCATCGCATTACATAGCTTTCCCTTTGTGCTCTAGAAACAATCTAGCATTACAACTAACACAAACCATGAAGAATGACTAAGAATTCCAGTACTTCTTTTCTATAAAATATATGAGATAATATACTATTTACTTAGTGTTTTATAGTCCTATAATATTCGCATTGTTTAGTAATTGAAAAATGTTGGTTCATAAAACAATAAAAGATTAGAGTTTTGGCCATATCTGACATTGATCAAATGTATAAAAAAAGTTTTTTTTTATTCTTCTAAATATCCTTAACACGTACATATTTAAGTTATTATTCATCCGACCTTCCGTATATTGACATTTTTATACCTGTACCTATCATAGTTTTTTTTTTTTAGCAAAATGGCGGAAGCAGAGGCCCAACAAATGGAAGAGAAGATGGGTGGAGATGAAACTAAGGAGACTGAGCAATCTCAGGAACCAATGACAATAACAATTGATGACACTGAAATTCCTCAAGAATCACCTATGTCTCCCGAACAGGAAGCAGCACCAGTTCGTGAAATTCATATTTTGGAAACACCTTCTGACATTAGAAACAGAAGAGAACAAGTTTTAAACAGATACGAAGCCTTTAAAGATGCAAGCTCTGCTAAAAGACAAAGATTGGAAGATGCCAAACAATTTCTTCTCTTTAAGAACGAAGCCGATGAATTGGAGCTTTGGATTCAAGATAAGTTAAAGACTGCATCAGATGACAGTTATAAAGATCCAACAAATTTGCAAGCTAAATTACAGAGGCATTCGGCTTTTGAGGATGAAATAAATGCTCATAAACACACATTGGATGAATTGGATAATGATGGAGGTGCAATGATAAATAATCAGCATTACAAAGCTGAAGATATTCAGAAAATTTTGGATAATTTACACAACCTATGGGATGCATTAATGAAGAAATCGGAAGAGAAACGTGGAAAATTAGAAGATGCACTAAAATTACTGCAATTTATGAGAGAATATGATGAAGTCATGTATTGGATGAATGATCGGGAAAAGCAATTGACAACTACAGATTTTGGCAGTGATTTAGAGCAAGTTGAAATGCTTCAAAAGAAATTTGACGAATTACAAAAAGATTTAAACAATCACGAACCTCGCATTGAAGAGGTTGATAAAAAGGGCAAAGTGCTGATTGATGATGATCACCACGACAAGGAATTAGTCGCCGAAAAGTTAGCTGCTATGCATGATGCATGGGATGAGCTTAAAGATCTAGCATTGAAAAGACAAGACAAGTTGGGCGGAGCCCATGAAATTCAAAGATACAAACACAATGTAGATGAAACTTTAGCTTGGATTGCTGAGAAAGACAATGCGGTAACATCTGATGATTATGGTAGCGATTTACCGACAGTTCAAGCCTTACAACGTAAACATGAAGTAATTGAAAGAGACTTGGATGCTCTAGATAAAAGGGTTCAACAAGTTAATAGCGAAGCTAATCGTTTGGCTGAAAATCATCCTGATGATGCTGATGACATCAGAGCCAAGCAAGAAAGAGTTGTTAACAACTGGAATGATTTAAAGGATAAGGCGGACGACAGAAAAAAGAATTTGGAGAACGCTTATTTTTTAAATAGATTTTTGTCCGATTTCAGAGAATTAATGTTGTGGATGGGTGATATGACAACCCAGATTACCGCCGATGATTTGGCAAAAGATGTTGGTGGAGCAGAAGCTTTACTTGAAAGACATCAGGAACACAAAGGCGAAATGGATGCTCGTGAAGATGCATTTAAGACCACTGCCGCTTCTGGACAGAAATTGTTGGAGTTGGATAATTACGCAAATGAAGACGATGTTAGAGATAAACTAGTTGAACTGGCCGAATCCAAAACAAAACTAACAAAACTTTGGGAAGAGAGAAAAGTTTTGTATGAACAGTGCATGGATTTACAATTATACTACAGAGATACTGATCAAACTTCTACATGGCTTGCTAAACAGGAATCTTTCTTACACAACAACGATCTGGGAGATTCCTTAGATTCTGTTGAAAGTTTAATTAAGAAACATGAAGATTTTGAAAAAACTCTAGCTGCCCAAGATGACAAAATCAAGGCTCTTGATGAATTCGCAACAAAGCTCATCGAAAATGAGCATTATGCTAAGGCAGATGTTGATGAAAGACGTCGTCAGCTTTTGGAAAGACGTGATAAGCTGATTTTCAATTCTAAGACGCGCAGAACAAAGTTAAATGAGTCTCACTGCTATCAAATGTTTGAACGTGATTGCGATGAAATTAATATTTGGATGAGAGAAAAACTAAAAGTTGCATCTGAACAAAACTATTTGGATCCAACAAATATTCAAGGAAAACTACAAAAGCATTCTAACTTTGAGGCTGAACTTCAAGCTAATAAACTTAGAATTGATAAAGTAAAAGATGATGGCCAAAAGTTAGTTGATGATGATCATTTTGCCTCTCCTCAAGTTAAAGATAGAATGACTGAAGTTCAAAATCTCTGGGATCAACTGATCGAAGTTACTGAGCGTAAAGGGTCGAAACTACAAGAAGCTAATGAACAACAGCAATTTAATAGAACTGTTGAAGATGTGGAGGTCTGGCTATCAGAGGTTGAAGGACAACTAATGAGTGAAGATTTTGGAAAAGACCTACCAAGTGTACAAAATCTTCAGAAAAAGCATCAAATTCTTGAATCCGATATTGGAGCTCATCAAGAAAGAATAGACCAAATTAGAGCTTCCAGTGCCAAGTTTCAAGAACAAGGTCACTTCGATCTTGATAATATTAAAGCTAGAGAATCCAGTGCCATTGGCCGGTACGAGAAACTCTCCGAACCATTAAACAAACGTGGAAGTAAACTACAAGACGCTCTGCGATTGCAACAGTTCTACAGAGATTGCGCTGATGAAGAGGAGTGGATAAAAGAAAAACAACCGTTAGCCGCCTCCAAGAATTACGGACGCGATCTGATAGGTGTTCAAAACTTACAAAAAAAGCATCAAGCTCTCGCTTTGGAATTAAGTGGACATGAATCGAGACTTCAATCAGTACTTAATGAGGGTCGTAAGATGATGGATGAAGAACACTTTGCTAAAAAAGATATTGCAGAGAGAATCAGAGAATTAGAAAAGCTTTGGGATACTTTGAAAACAAAAGCTGAAGACAGGAACAAAACTTTAGATGACTCCTTCCAAGCCCAACAGTATATGGCGGAAGCTAATGAAGCTGAAAGCTGGATGAGAGAGAAAGAACCAATTGTCGGATCGAAAGAGTATGGAAGAGATGAAGATGCCGCTGAAGCACTGCTCAAGAAGCACGAAGCTCTTATGTCAGATATCGATGCTTATGGCACCGTTATCGAAGGCCTAAGAGAACAAGCTAATGAATGCAAAGACACAGCAGTTGTTGTTGATGAACCCAACAAAGAGATGGTTGTAGCAATATACGATTATCAAGAGAAATCACCTCGTGAAGTATCAATGAAAAGAGGAGATCAGTTAGTTCTTTTGAATGAAACAAATGACGATTGGTGGAAGGTTGAATTAAACGATCGTCAAGGATTTGTCCCTGCTAGCTATGTCAAGAAAATAGAGCCATCTTTGGCTGCACAACAGCAAGCTGACGAGTATTCCATACCCTCCCGTCAATCGCAATTGGAGAAGCAGTATGACCAGTTGAAGCAAAATGGTTCTCAGCGTCGTGACAAATTGCAAATGCACTGCGAAGCTTATGAAACACATAGAAATGCTGCGGAACTTATGCAATGGTTAGACACCAAAAAGAAAGATGTTGAAGAAAAAGAAATTCAGCCTGATGTTGCTAACCTAGACATGAGCGAAAAAGAACAAATGCAAATCAGTGACATTCAGAAGGAAATGAAAAATAAAGAAGCTCGCTTATACGAGCTGAACCAAATAAGAGAAAAATTGACGGCTAAAGGAGAAACTGAAGCAGCCGAAAGAATTAGAATTCAAATTGAAGACTTAAATGCCCGATGGGCAGGTCTTCAAACTATCACAGCTGAGAGAGCTGAAACGCTCGGAACAACCTACCAAGTTCAAAGATATCACAGAGATGTCAATGAAACCATGGATTGGATTAGTGACAAACAGAATGCTGTTGCAGTCGAAAATGTTGGGCATGACTTGGCCAGTGTTCAAAGACTACAAAGAAAACACGAAGGAGTTGAAAGAGATCTAGTTGCCTTGGGTGATAAGGTGAAAGAGTTAGATGAAACAGCTAAAACTCTTATGAACTCTCATCCTGATCAAGTTGATGCAATCTACGAACATCAACGAGAACTAAATGAGAAATGGAATGAACTTACCGTTAAAGCTGGAGAGAGAAAGAACAAATTAGCCGATTCTTATGACTTACAAAACTTTATGAGCGTTGGAAACGATTTATTGTCTTGGATAGAGCAGATGATGGTACAAGTCTCCAGTGAAGATCTAGCCAAAGACGTTACAGGAGCTGAAGCTTTGGTAGAAAGACACCAAGAGCATAAAATGGAAATAGATGCAAGAGCACCGTTGTTCCAAAGCTTTGAGGATTTCGGAGCTAAACTAATCGAGAATGAGCATTACGCTAAAGAAAATGTTGTTGAAAAACTGGATGAGGTAGCCAATGCCAGAAAAGCTCTCGATGACGCATACAAAATTCGTCGGGCTAAATTAGATCAATGCCTCGAGATGCAGCATTTTATTCGTGACTGTGAACAAGCTGAAACTTGGATGGCAGCTAGAGAATCATCTCTTCATCAAACTGATGAAGAAGGCAGAGATTCTGTTGATAGCTTGCTGAAGAAACACGATGATTTTGACAGAGCTATTGCAACTCAAGAGGAAAAAATTAATTCTCTCCAGGCTTTTGCTGATGAATTGAAACAGAATGACCATTATGATACCAGTGGCATTGAGCAGAGATGTCAAGATGTTTTGGAAAGATGGCAACTTTTAAAGAATGACATGTTGGAATCAAAGTCCAAACTAGGAGAGGCTCAAAATATGCAACAATTATCAACTGATATTGATCAAATGGAAATGGTTTTGATGGAAAAGCTTCAGGCTGTTCAAGACGAATCATACAAGGAGCCATCTCATATACCTACACAACACAGAAAACATCAAGCAGTTGTGGCTGAAATCGATGCCAACAAAGACAGACTTCAACAAACCGTTGTCGCTGCTGAAAAAATGATTGATAAAGGAAAGTGCTCTGGTACCGAAGATCTTATCAGACAGAGAATTACAAAACTGGTTGAAGAATGGAAAGTTTTAACTGAAAAATCTCGAGTAAAGAGTGAAAAGTTACAAGCTCTTAATCAGCAAAGAATGTACACAGCTGGAGTTAAGGACATAGAATTCTGGTTAGGAGAAGTTGAGCACATGCTGAAAAATGATGATTATGGTAGAGATCTTGCAACTGTGGAAAATTTGGTTAAGAAACATAAGATGCTTGATGCCGATGTTAATGCACATGAAGACAGAGTAAAGGATTTGAATGAGCAAGCTAACGTTTTCCTACAATCTGATGAAGTTGACAATCGGGAAGAAATTCAAAATACCATCACCTCTATTAATGATCGATTCCAAAACGTCAAAGAACTGTGTCAGAATAGAAAGGAAAAATTGGAAGAAGCTTTCACTTTGCACCAATTTCTTAGAGATATTGATGATGAGGAATCATGGATTAAGGAAAAGAAACTACTTGCTACTCAAAGCGAATATGGGCGCGATCTTACTGGGGTAAGAAACTGGAGAAAGAAGCACAAGCGTTTAGAGGCTGAGTTGAGTGGACATGAAAAACAAATCAATGAAGTTCATGAGGCGGGTGAAAAACTTATGGAAAAATCGAACCTCATGACTGATGGTATGGAGAAAAGATTGCGAGAATTAGATGAGGCTTGGAATGAACTTAAAGAATTGGCTAATGAGAGAGATAGAAAACTGAAAGAAAGCTTAATATTTCAAGAATTGTTGGCTAATATGGAAGAGGAAGAAGCATGGATTACTGAAAAACAGCATCTCCTGTCAACTGAGGATAAGGATGTTTCGAAAGATGAAGATCGTACAACCTTGGCAGCCGTACAAGGCTTGTTGAAAAAGCACGAAACCTTCGAAACTGACTCTAAAATCCATAAAGATCGATGCCATGAAATCATTGAAGAAGGAGAAAAGCTGATCAATGATGGTAATCATAACGCTGAGGCTATCCGCACTAGGTGTGAAAACCTTCAAACGAAAATTGAGCAGTTGGAAAGTACTGCAAAATTAAGAAAGACAAGACTGATAGATGACTCTGCCTATTTACAATTTCTATGGAAAACTGATGTAGTGGAAAGCTGGATAAAAGATAAGGAGACTCAAGTTGGTTCTGAAGATTATGGAAGAGATCTGTCTTCCGTACAAACTCTTCTAACCAAACAGGAAACTTTCGATGCAGGTTTGCAAGCTTTCGAGAAGGAGGGAATCCAAACTATTACAACTCTAAAAGATCAGCTAGTAGAAGCAAATCATACTCAAACAATCTCTATTGAAAAGAGATACGAAGAAGTTATAAAACGTTGGAAACAACTTCTTAGCGATTCTGATGCTCGAAAGCAAAGATTGCTTAAACTAGCAGAACAATACAAACAAGTTGAAGACTTGTATTTAACTTTCGCAAAGAAATCTTCGGCATTCAGTTCGTGGTTCGAAAACGCTGAAGAAGATTTAACAGATCCAGTTAGATGTAATAGCATTGAGGAAATAAAAATTCTTCGTCAAGCTCATAAACAATTTAAGGACAGCCTTTCTGCTGCCGAACGCGACTTTCAAGCTCTGGTGGATCTTGATGGACAAATCAAGTCTTATGGCGTTGGGGCCAATCCTTACACTTGGTTCACTATGCAAGCAATGGAAGATACTTGGAATAACTTGCAAAAAATCATTAAAGACCGCGACAATGAATTAGAAAAAGAGCAAACTAGGTAAGTTTTGATATTAACTAAAAAGTACACTTCATAAAGCATGTGTTCTCTATTCCCTAGGCAAATAGAAAATGATGACCTACGTAGAAAATTTGCGGAGGAGGCCAACCAGTTCCACAAATGGTTGACAGACACAAGGTTATTTTCTATTATTTTCATGACATATTTATACAAAAAAAATAACGTTGGTGGTGATAAATGATCAAGGGACTTTTCATATCGAAAAATATGTACATTTTTTCAGAACTGAATTACTTTATTGGAAAGGGTTAATATTATTAGTGATGACTAACATATTAACAGTTTTCGTTTTATTTAATTAAAATGAAAAAAGGACTGAGAAAATATTCGATACTATTTCAAAACTATTTGAACTATATTTTTTTCTTTAATTAATCAAAGAGCATTGCATGTTGAAAAAATGTGATGTGCTAGAGTTTTTCATTCTCTTCTCATGATGAAAACTTTATTAATTTGTAAATTCAATTTTAGATCGGCAATGATGGAATGCACCGGAACACTTAAAGAACAATTGGAAGCTACTAAACAGACGGCTGCTGATGTCAGAGCTCAGAGAAGTCAACTTAAGCGATTGGAAGATCTCGGTCAAATGATGGAGGAACGACTCATTTTGGATAATCGTTATACAGAACATTCAACAGTGGGGCTTGCCCAACAATGGGATCAACTAGACCAATTGGGTATGAGAATGCAAAACAACTTACACCAACAAATTCAAGCTTGCGACCAACATGGAGTTTCTGAAGATGCTCTACGAGACTGCATGATGTTATTTAAACATTTCGACAAAGACAAGTCTGGAAAATTGAGTCATCAAGAATTGAAATCGTGTCTTAGAGCGCACGGTTATAACATTAATGTTGCCGAAGAAGGTGAAGTTGATCCTGAGTTTGAAGCTATTCTAAATAGAGTAGATCCTAACCGTGATGGATATATTTCATTGCAAGGTTTTATTACCTTTATTATTGAACGAGAAACGGAGAATGTTCAATCTGCCGAAGATGTTCTTAAGGCCTTTAAAGCTTTAACCTCCTCCGATAAACCTTTCATTACTTCGAAGGAATTATACTCGAATTTAACACACGAGCAAGCTTCATATTGCCGTCAACATATGAGGCTATACGTCGATCCAAGAACTGGAGAGCCGATTCCCGACCATTACGACTTCGAAGATTTCACTAGAAGTTTATATATTCAATAGTGCACCTATTTTTTGTTAATGCCCATATCTGATTGGTGGCTTTTGTAGAATGTAGTAGAGGTTTTTTTTAGCTGCTGCTTTTTCTGGATTTCTAGCCTTTAATAATATAATGATACGCTTATGAATGATGACAGTACTTGGTGTTATATTTTTTACTTAGTTTAGTCTTTTAAGATTTTCTTTGAAGGTTGTACAAATTCCCTTTAAAGACACTGACATTTTAGAATGTTGAAGTTTACTGGTATCTAGATAATTGCAAACATATTTTTTATTGAAGCTTTCGAGAACATTACCTAGAGCAATCAATGACAAAATTACCTTGGATATGTTTATATTCACTAGGAGAGAAGAATCAAAAGTACTAATTGCATTTCACCTAGATGTAAAATTAACATACTGCACTCAGATATTATACTTTCCAATATTATTAAATTATCTTAATCTAAGATACACGTCTGCCTTATTACACTGATATATTTTCTGAATATGTATCGTTTTCTGTAAAGTATAAATTTAAAATATCTCCTTTTATTCGTGTGTCGTTTTAACTAATTTAAAATCTTTCAACCAATTGCTTTTTATAATTAACCGTATAAACCTTTTATAATATATCATGATTTTAAAGAACATGTCATCACACTGTGCAAGTCACGGCCACGTGCCTGTGCAATTCAGTTTATACCGAATAAATTGACTTTCTTGAAGCCTATATGACATTTTTGTAAATAGGTTTATCTTCTGAGAATCAGTTTTATTAGGTTTATAATCTTTTATCAAGTGTTTCCCCTACTTATTTACCTCCTTGTTATTTTAAACCTACACATTGCATCAGCAATACTGACAGAGTTAATAACTAGTAGGATATAACTAATAAATTTGTATCTGCGTTATTTGCGAAAAATAATAAGTTATTACACGGTAGGGATTTTGAAAGTTTAAACTATATTTACGCAATGCTAACAACGAAATCACGATTGAAATAGTGGCATGATTACCTTATATTTTTTTGCTGCTTATAATAACCGATTGCAAACAAATAGGCTTTGGAAGAGAAACTTGGAAAAAAATTGGCTTGACGTTTTTTCACCGAAAAAAGAAATCAATCGGAAGTACCGTATTACTTTTACAGCTTTTCACCTTGGTAATACAAACTAAGCGAACATTTCTCTTTAAGCACGAAGTGTTATTTATTCTAAAATAGAAATACCTAGATCAAAAACCGGAAATTATTCACCTAATAAAGTTTACTTAGAATTAGAAAAAACAGAATTCATATAAATTGTTAACTCAATTAAAAGTTTTCTATTGCTGTTACTTTGACAAACTCACCTAAAATCTAATAACATTTAGGAATAATATTTCATTTCTTACAACTATTTTAAGCCTATCTGTCTCTATTATCTCTAAGATGACGATATGCTCATATACTTATGTAGTGTGGAGGGTATATTTCTTTGGAAAAGTTGTTAAGTTTGGACGTAATTAAAACGATCAATTAATGGCTTTTTCCTTTAAATTATTTAATGGAATATACATAAACTGTAATAGAAATTTGACATGGAAATGATTACTTGCACTAATTATAAATTTCTAAAACAATAACTGTTATGGGAATCGATAAGAACTGAATAGAGCTAGAATACCAGTTGATTTGTCAAAGAAAACCATTAACTGTCGTAATGCACCGGTCTTCCGCCAACGTAAAGTGTATGTTAATTATTGGCAAACAAACGGTTATGTTTCATCAATAAACTATTCTAAGAACACTCTGACCATAATTATATAGGTAAAATAAGGTTAAAACATTTAAATTAATTAATGCATTTTTAATTTCCGGCTTTAGCATATTTGTATTAATATTAAAATTGCAATCTTTTGTTTCTACTGTTGATTGTACAAAGTTCAATCTACATCTTTGTCAATTGTTATTCATTCATCGATGCTTGTACAGCAATTGATGTATCACATTTTAAGATTTCTCTTAAGGCCATAGTTGCGTAAGCTGAAGTCGGGAGAGTTAAAGTCAATAGTAATGCAGTTTGTTCTTTACTATCACTCGATTCTTCCTTAGAACTCTCTGAAATACCATTTAATTTATCCAGATCTGAAGGAACTAAGGCTTGTGTTACGTCTTTATATTGTAAGAACTTCCAAGAAATCGATCTCGGTTTAACAACCACGGATCTATAACTTCCAGATAGCGAATAGGATTTTACCGTGTGCTTCAAGGCCGGTAGCGATAATCCGTCTTCCGCCAGCATTTCACTAAAAAAAACAATTAGAATAAAAGCAATAGAAATTTTAAATAAAGCATTATAACAGAACTAACCTATACCATTGGGATGTTTCATTTTCAGGTAAAACAATATCATATCCAGGTAATGGTAGAACTACATCTTCTATTGAATAGTCCAAGACATTTTCTACAGTGATTGATTTAATATCTCCGTCTTTATCCTTTATTAAATCTCCGACATGAACTGCAAATCCAAACTTTTCTACCCTTTTAGATACAATCCTAAAAATGGAATATGAATTAGATTAACAGTATTCTAATCTAATCGATTTCAATTAGATATAATTGAGAAAGTCACAAGAAAGACTAAAGGGTAACTGCCCTCAAATTTGACTTTGAAGAGGAATTTTGTGCTATATTAAAATTTCAAGGTTCTTTCGATTGGTAAAGATGCTTTTGATATCTTACCTATTCCATAGTCTACTTTGATACGAATGTACATAGAGCAGACGATTTGTATCAGATAGAAATGATAAAGCCCCAACGAGATCATTTTTCGGTCGTTGCATCAACCCAGTGAGTAGTTTATATTCAACACTAATTCTATACTTTCCATCCTTTAGTTCTTGTAAGGCGGCTTTAGCATCTCTATTTTTTTGCCACGATTCCTTGGCACGTCGAACTTCGTCGTTGTCACATTTTTGTGGAGTCAAAAGTAAATCAATGGCTTCTTTAAAATTCCCTAATAGTATAGACTTTCCAATTGTGTATGTAGAGATATCCGTTGTACCAAATCTCTGCATACCAAAGTAATTAATGAACCCATTACGTTTCAAAGACAATATTGATTCATTTATTATATCAGGATCTCCTCTAACTGACCGTAACACAAGTGTAAATCGATTACCACTTAAATCTCCCAATTTTAATTCTTTTTCAACGAATCTAATAATATAAATTAAATGCATTAACAATATATTAGTATATCAATTTGGTATATTCTACAACGTACTCAAAATCTCCTATAGCCATATTCCTTAGTCTTGAATTTAGGGCTGCTAATTTATGAGGTAGAACTTTAAAAGCAGTAACACTCTGTGACGTTCTCGCTCTTTTATCCTTAGTACCAGCAAAAGAGAAAACATTTGATCTACATCGTAGAAAATTGCAAAGTAACGAAATAGCATCTATAGTTCCCTTATTCTCTTTATATAATGTAAATCGAACATATTTTGCTTTAGGATGAGGCCATTTAAGATTTCTTGATCTATAAATTAATAGAAATTTATATAAATAAATATGTATTATAGTATAAATGTTGTGCTAGTTAAAATTTGATAAACTATTTATACAATCCTCTACGAATATTGCAGATTTAACAATAATGCAATGCCACCGCAATTACATTCTAGTGTTTACATCTAAATTTGTAAACATCCACGTATAAGAAGCTATAAAATTTAACATCAAATAGGGAATTTAAGCTTACCTGAGCTTTCATGTTATTTTATAGCAAATGAAGCTCAGTTATTTATAAAATAAAAAGGTGAAAACAACGACATCCATTACTTTCTATAGGTATTACACAAGGGAAACGTCTAGTCTTTAATATTTTATGTAGCAAAAAGTAATTCTTTCACTAAATCCCTTCTTCTCACTTTAATATCTTATATCCAAAAAGAAAAATAAATCTATACAATGTTACTTAAACAAAGATTTTAATTTTTAAACAACCCTTTCGAGGAAAGTTGTTGCATCCTTTTTACCATTTAAATTAAATCTATTGAAGAAAATAATTCCTTCCCTAGCTTTGTAAATAGACAGCTTTAAATAATGTTTCCTTTTGTTAAATAGGCTTATTTTCTAATAATAATTTATGTTATATAGGTATTAAATATTTATGAATTTTCTAATAATCCTATAAATTAATAATATTGTTTATGTCTTCCTACTTTTAGACTTGATGCATTATGTATTTTTTGTATACTAATGACGTCTTAGAAACGTTCCCCTTTAATATTCCAAGATGAAAAGTAAATACTGATATATATGGCTTATAAACAACAAAAAAACGGATAATCCACTTTAACAATAATGCTAATAAAATATATTTGTCTCTTACCTAGCCTCTTTACCTCCTTTATCTCTCTTTACACGAATTATTTTCTTTCCATTATCGGCTTCATCTGTATTTGAACATAGTGATGGATACAGGCTCTTTATTGCTTGATGATAATTTCTCCTTTCGTCCTTTGATAGCTCATCTACGGGTATTTCGAATACAGTTTCAGAATTATCTTCTATTTTATTCAGTTGTTCTTTAATTGAATCGGGTAGAACATTTTGTAAATTTTCAACATTAACTGTCTTAAATATTCAATATTAAGTTTGAATAATGAAAGTAATTTTATTTATAGAATGTATAAAACAAAAATATTAATATTACTTGGCCATAGTCTGGAACTTGTAGTGACTTTAATTCAACTATATTACCGGATTGATCTATCTCATGAACAGTAAAATCTGAATATCTAAAACAAAGACAAAAATTGATTTTATTGTATTTTTGTAGGTATGAGAATACCTTTGTTTAATAACAGCATGAAATCCTGGAAGATTTGATATATATTTGACAATACCCATATCTTCTTCTCTTAATTTTGAATGGCGCGGTTGATTGTCAGGTTTTAGACTTGCTAATATTGTTACATCGCTTTCTTCGTCTTTTAATTCGCTACTCTTTAACCGTTTTGCTGGAGTACAACCAGTTTCAACTTCATCTTCGCAAATCATTGTAGTAAAAGGTGATGTAAATATTACAAAACAACGTGCTCTTACAGTAATTTGAATACTGAACCGCTCTAGGAAATATTGACAGGTACCGTCGATGTAAATGTATATAAGCGGTACATTTTGGTCTCGCATAGCGGGACCATACCTATTAATCTGGTAAGTGACCAACGCACGTGTTAAGCAAACTCTTGATTGAAAAAATCTAATAAAATTACCGAAGCATGTCATTTCCTGAAGAAAGTATGGATAATAATGAAGGGGAAGCTTATCTCCCGGGTCAGCCAATGGAAGAAGGTGAAGAACTGGTTTATGACAAATCGGCTTATATACTATATCACAGAGCTCAAACTGGTTCTCCTTGTCTCAGCTTTGATATTCTCTGTGCTGATGGAGATTCAAGTAATGTTGAAGAATTTCCACTTTCTATGTACATGGTCTGTGGAACTCAATCGGAAAAAGTTGGACAAAATAAAGTAATAGTTTGCAAAATGTCGAAAATAAACAAGAATAAGCAAGTGGACAGCGATGAAGAGAGCGACAGTGATAGTGATGATGACGACGATGATGAGGAAAACGAAGAAAACCCAGAAATGGAAACTGTCTTTATGAAACATTTAGGTAGGGAATATAAGACGTCTTTTGTAAAACTAAGAGCAGTCTAATATGAAGAAAAAATGGGTCAATTTTATTATTAATACCACAGGGACAGTAAATCGAATTAGATGCAGTGGGAACATTTCCGGTAGAAGACTCGCTGCTTCTTGGTCTGAAAAAGGAAAGGTATATATCTGGGATATGCAACAACCTCTACAGGCGCTAAATGATTCAAGAGTAATGAACGAGATTGCAGGAAAAGACTTGAAGCCTATATTTTCTTTTAACGGCCATCAAAGTGAAGGGTATGGCCTTGATTGGAGTTCACTAGTACCTGGAAAATTAGCAACAGGAGATTGTAAAAAAAATATTCATATATGGAAAATGAACGAAAGCGGATGGACAGTTGATCAAAGGGCATTCAATGATCACACCGATTCCGTAGAGGATATTCAATGGTTTGTAATTTTTTTCCATTGAAAATGTGTAGGGGAAGGATGTAGTAAAAAAAAAAAGAGCCTCTTAAAAGGATAATTTCTAAAAAATGTCACTACTTTTATCTAATAAACCGCTATTTCCATAAGACTTACGTCTAGAAGATATAAATCCAATTACTTTGGATGCTAAAAATTGACATTTAATAAACGGAGGAATTCACATGTAAATTAATTTCAGGTCTCCTAACGAAGCGTCGGTGTTTTCTTCGTGCTCCGTAGATAAATCCATTAAAATTTGGGATGATAGAGCTCCTCCGAACAAAGCATGCATGATAACTGTAGAGAATGCTCATCAATCAGACGTCAATGTTATTCACTGGAATAGGAAGGAGCCTTTTATTATATCCGGAGGTGACGATGGCGTTCTGAATGTTTGGGATTTAAGGGAAATTTCTTCTAAACCTTCTCCTGTAGCTACATTTAAACACCATACAGGACCAATAACAAGTGTAGAATGGCATCCATCAGAAGGCTCAGTTTTTGGAGCAACGGGAGCGGATAATCAATTAACTCTTTGGGATTTGGCCGTTGAAAGGGACTCAAATGAAAAAGAACCAGAATGTCCACCTCAGCTTTTATTTATTCACCAAGGTCAGAAAGAGATGAAAGAAATGCACTGGCATCCACATTTGAGTGGAGTGGTTATAAGTACTGCGTTGTCAGACTTTAATATCTTCAAAACAATTAGTGTTTAACACACACATTGTACATTATATATTTCATTTAAAAAAGAATGTTCATCTGCCCTATATACATTATTAAGTATTGTAATATCTAAAGTTATTTTCTACAATATTTCTTATTCAAAGAGATAGTGGAAGGAACACTTGCATTACTATTATTCGCGTTACTAACACTCCATTTAACGCCATTAGTTCGTTTAATTTTTGTTGGCTTATACGAGGCCAGCGTTTTTGGTAATAAGAATCTTATAAAAAAGGGATTGTTTTTGTTTTAGTATAAAATATAATTTCAAAGGTTAAGCCTAATTCCCCTTCCTGATTAAGGGTCTAGAGGAAAGTGGGTGGGAGATTTCCTGTTTTTTCCAAGAACAATCCTTAATATTCTTTTTTATTTTTTTTCCATTTACCTCTTTTGCCCTTGTTGTTTTCACTTTTTCCCGTCTGAAATCGCTGATGCAATTATCAATAGCCGGTAGACTATAGAGATTTAATTATAAACATTTTCCAGTTGATAGTAACGCTAACTGGAAAAAAACGAGCAAATACGTTAACGATCCAATGAACTTGACGTTGTATTACAAATCTGTCCCTATTACCTTAAATAAGGAAGAAAGAATAAATCAGTTCTCTAATTAGCATAACTATATATCTTATTTCATTCATTTCCGTATCACTACGGCGTTAAATACAAAACTATTCAAGCAAAATCCCCGTTTTGGTGATAGATATGAAGGAATAAATACAAAAATGGCGGAAATACTAAATTAGAAAATTCCAACAAGATATATTAATATAAATACAGAATTCGGTAGCAGATTGGTGTTTTTTTTCTTTTAAAAGAAGGGAGGAAAACATATCGAAGGCGTTTGACATTTTCTCCGTATACTTAGGATATTTGTTGGTACAAACAAAAGCATAATAGACAAATACTGTCATATAATTTTTTTAAAGAAATCCATTTACTTTTACTTTTATAACAAAATCAAATATATACATATACTGTATATATATACAATACTTGGCATTAAGTAGATAAGAACCTTTTTATGGGAAAAACAGTGAAAATTTGTAAAAAAAAAAAAAGTGGAAGAGTACTTCGATGTTCAAAGGATAAAGGAGGGAGGGGGAGGAAGAGTAGGTTTCCTCTTTATTTTAAGACTTATTGTATAGTACATAACGTAGTAAGAAGATAAGAATTAGATCATAATTAATTATATCTTCAAAAGGGAACATTATTACTATATAGTCGTTCTTATTTTCTACTCTTTTGTTGCTCTGATAAACGTCTAAATGTAAACGAATAAGGGAAAATGAAAAAGACGCCCACAATATTAATTTTACGATGACTTCGTATTATGCTAAATAAGTTTTGTAAACATAATGCGAACGTCTCCTGTCATTTTGTCATTGAATAAAGGAACCTTAAATAATTGTTATTAATTAATGAGACAGGCGTTACTCTTATACAAGACTCCCAAAAGTAATTCTTAAAGCTATGCTATAGGTCATTAAAGTAATAATGAGTATATGTAGCGTATAACGGCATTTATTTATTATACGACTTAAATTTACCACTAGGTGACTTAGACTGATGACAGTAATGGGCTTTGCAGTTCAAAGGCAGTAGTCGTACTAACTGTAGCTTCCACCGTAAGTATTATTGGTATGCACTGACAGTCTGTGTTGTTAGTTAACATAACGAAATAATTTAATTGAAAAATAATTAAGCGTTTCATCGTCTATTTTCTCTCTTTATACTAGTTAATTCAATTAGTATTCGTATTAGCTGAAAATAAGCAATTATTATAATAAAAGCATCAACTACAAATATTATAAATATGTACATTAAATAGAAGAGAGAAATGAAAAAGGAATGAAAGGTGGTATTCTTTCTTTTTTTTATCAAAGCTCAATTTTCAATCAAGTAATTGTTATCGTTAAAATTTACAAGATCTTTAGTTTTTATGCTCAAGTTTTAATCAAGAAAATTGAGACTAAAACCGAAAAAAAGAAGATTATTGCTCATTCCCTCTACGGTTTTCTTCCCTCTTTCTCCTATTATAACTTTTTCATTTTTCCTGATTTCTAAACTAGTTTCTTTCTTTTCATTTCATCAACTAATGATAAATTAAAACTTAATAATTTACCTAATTACATCAATATCGAACGACCTATATTTGAAATAATTAATATTCACGATTTAGAAAGTTCGTTTTCTTTTCCATGCATAAATGAACTTTTTTTAGGACAATGTCCAAAAGGATAGTATAAATTTATAATATATATACTGTTATAATAGAAAACTTGTAGACGTATATCGAGTAGAAACACAAATTACTAACAATTTATATTATGAAATAAGAATTGTAGATGATTGAAATATTGATATTGATATTTGGTACAAGTTAAATTAATCTTAAATAGCAGATTTGCAGTCAGATTTTGTTGATACAGTATACTGTATATATATATATATATTTATAAAGTACGCTTATACTATAATAAAGGAGGACGTTTCACGCGTAAAGTAAGAGATACATTGACAGAAAGTGTAAGAATATAGACTGAAAAGAAAGAAGAACATTTTTTTTTACTCTTCCTCGTATTGCTTGTATAATTTGTATATATTTTTTTTTCTTTAACTAAGCAGCATATAATAAATTAAGAAAACTGGGAATAAAAAAAGAAATACGAAAAGAGCTAGTAGAGAAAAAATAGCGTGAGGCTAATTGAATTCTCTTCAAAGTCATGACGTTTATGATGATTCCTTACGTTGTTGAATCGTTTTTTAAAATAGTAAATAGACTTTGAATATTTAATTATTTCTCTCTTTTATTAATTATGAAAATAATCTCAATTAGGTAATTAATTGAAGGAATTATATACGACTAAATTCTATATACTGTATCGAAACAATACCAGTATTGTAAGTATTAATGGCAATTTGAGGAATATAGATAGTTGAATAAATAGGTAAAGGAAAGATATTATACGCGTATAAAAAATTTAGATTTAGTATTGCATAATAAAGCCTTCCTATCCCATGTCTCTCTCTCTCTTTTCACTGACTTGTCTATACATTTTAATGAATAGTCCCAGTGAAATGTTGAATATTTTGAAATAAAGGTTTTACCAAATAACTTTGATATTTAGAACAGCTAATCTAAAGAATTGTAACATTCACAATAAACGCCCCCCTACTGTTTAATACACTTTACAATTAAAACATGCTTTTTAATCATTGTATTAACATGAATAGAATTTAAAATTTTCGAAGCAAATATCAACAACTATAAATTCGATGAATAAAAAAAAGAAAATCTATAATAAAAATGTAATTGACATTAAGATAAAAAGGGAATTAAAAATTTTAATTTTCTTCTTATTGATTCCATATCTCTTCTCACACAACCGCTCCTTTATTTATACAAAAATTATATTCTATCAAAAATATTAATATTTTAATATATGGTGAAAAAAGAGAGAAAAGAGAAAGAAAAAAAGAGATAGAAGAGAAAGAGTAGCGTTTTATATTAATGATGATAATAAACAAAGTTGTTTTTTAAGTATTATCATCTGTTTCATGAGGTGTAGAAAAATTTGAACATATTTAAGAATCAATCATATAGGATACTATATGTTACTATATAAAGATACAAAAAAAAGTCTCTCGTTAATCTTTTCAATTCAATTTTTTATCGGTTTTTATAATTTTTTGCGTGGGGTGTTTGTGGGGGAGGAGGGAGGGGAAAGAGAAGTGATGATATTTTTTTTCTATTATCATTTGTTTTCTATTCTTTTCTTCCCACTATCATCCAAAAATGCTATTCGAATGAAATAACTACATGCGTGTGTACTTGAGTGAGGGTAGAAAACTCTTTAAAGTATGAAATTTCAACTTTCCATTAAATAGGTAAATACGCCTATCAATCTAAACTATTAAAATATCTTGAACAGATTAATATATATATATATATATATAGGATATAAATAGAACTAACGAAACAGTTACCCAAAAGTTATAAATACCGGACGCAGTAAATAATTGAAAAATGCAGTTTTATCAAACAGTTATGACGTACAAGAAAAAGAACTATATAGTCTATATATAACTTATATAAATAGAAATTAAAACAAAGCAGAACGATTTAGAGTAAACAAATAAAAATACATAGAGTTATTTCTATCTAGAGTTTTAAGAAAACAAATAAAAACAATATACTATATAAATATAACTAAAATATTGTGTCATTTATGATTTTGAGTAATAAACAATAATTATAATCGTACAAATTCGATTCTTTATCATTTTTAAACTTAAGTATTCCTTTTAGCTTTTACTTTCTCCTTTTAACTTGTTAATTAATTATGAAAGAAAGTAAGTTAAAAAACACTAGACTGACAAACGGTACTTTTGTAATTGTAAAAAAACGTTCTCTAGTGAATTTTAAGAAATGGAAAAGACAAGTTTGCTAGGATTATAGCTTAAGGAATAAGAAAAATACCACATTTACGCTGTACGCATTCCCTTATATACATATATATATATAGTATTAGCTTATACGCGTATATGCTGGATATATGTTAAAAAAAAAAGAAAAAAAGAGTATAAATCCACAGCACTTTAAGTAAATTATTCAACAGGATATAGATACATTCTTAAGGCCAAGGTTATTTATTAAGTCTCTCTTTAATTGTCACGTTTTCATTTTTCGCCTACAGTCTGTACTCTATACTTTTACTCTACTTTTCTATAAATATATAGTATATTATATATACATACATATATATATATATATACAGTATATATAGTTATATGTAAAAAAGATAGTCTATTGCGAGTAGGTTATCTTCCTTGTAGTCACTGATTGATGTTTTGCATTTAAAAGAAATCGAAGGGGAGGAAAGGAAAATTAATATTCTAGTTTGGCCATTTACATCTATCTTCTATTCTTCATACTATTAGAGCTAATATATATTCATATACTTTCACATTTACATATATATTATAACTAGGCGGCTTGAACTCAATTAGCTGTATTTAACTTTTATATGGAAATATCTTTGAAATTGATAAAACTATCATAAAGTGTGTACATTTCTAAAAGAAAAACAATTCTATTATGTTAATTAGATTTATGCATTAATTAGTATAGGACTTCGTCACATTTCCGGTTTTTTTCCCTATATAACATGAAAACTGCACCATTATATACATAAGCGCAGAAGGAAACGCTTGCCTACTTAGTTTCGCTTCTCCAACAAACTTTATCATTGTTTTAAAAGAGAACCTTTATTCTCTTTACTCTCCGTCTCATTATCACTCTCATTCAACTTTCTACAGGAGAATGCAGTTTAGTGCGTCAATTTTCCTTCTTCTCGTAGTTCCTTTTGTCTATTTGGAAGCTTATCGTCTAACTGGCTATAATAAGGAGCTATACGACGCCACGGAAAAGAATGTAGAAAGATTATCTTCATTGGAGAATTTGAAAAGAGAAATATCTAAAGTACAGGTAAGAATTTGACTCTCTTCTTTTTCAATCTCAATTTGAAAAGTTTCTTCTCTCCATCTCTATATCTATTTCGCTGTCAGTCTCTTTTTCATTAAACTTTTTTCTTTGCCATCTCCCTCTTGTCTCCGTTGATTTCTAGAAGAATAGTCAACAATAGTATGTCTATTTTATTTACAATAAATACTCATACAATATATTCTGAATCAACTGAGATTACATTGGCAAATAGAAATAGTGGAGTTTTTATTTATATATCATCGGTAATAATCCTGTAGTTGTCTAGTTGTTTTCCAAAATACCGTGGGAATTCTATACAAGTTTATAGATGATATGAACCGTAAATACATTGAAATATTGCCTTTAAAAGTAATATAGAATCTCTTTTTATTAAAAAAAAAGCAATTTCATATTTTCATGATTTCTGCTATATATATCTATACTATATTAGTATATAGAAACTATTTTTTTTATATTTGCCTGTTTTGCATTTTCTCCTCTCTCTCTCTCTCTTTCTCTCTCTTTCTTCTCTTTTTCAATTTTATATTTCAAATAAACACATTTAAATTCTACAGTCTTTCAGTGTCTAATTTCACCCTGTCTCTATTTGTGTGTCTGTTATCTTCACTCTCTCTCTCCTTCTCTGTCTCTATGTCTCCCTCTGCCTTTCTTCCGATCACTATTTACCTTTACCTGTCCATCTCTATTGGTCTCTTCATTGGTGAAGAGTAAGTACAATAAAAAAAAGTCGAATCTATCTAACAGCCAATGACGTTTTCAAAGTTGAAAAAAAAATGTTGATTAAGACTTAATTCTATAAAAATAGATTTGTATATTTTTGTATAAATTGTAGGTGGAGGGAAAGGAAATAATTATTGATCAAGGCTAACAGACTCATAGAAGCTACACTTTAGACAAATGTTTGACAAACATTAACTCTAAGTGACTTTTATTCTCTCCTTTTACCTTTATTCTTCTGTAGTTGTATATCAGTATTCTAAATTTACAGTTTTAAGTACGTTAAACCGGTTAGATGTTCATTTTTGACATATTGAAATCTGTGAAAGGGTAATTTAACCCTATTATCAATCTTTTCTCTGCTGTAGGAAGATTAAATTGATATTAATAATTTATTACATTAATTTTACTTTTAAAACCAATTAGGACGTGCTTTTTAAAAGAATCTACGCAGCCGAACAACTGGGAATTAGCAGTGATGGTGAAGAAAAAAGATCGGGTTTCGTTCCAAGTAGAGGTAGAAGAAATTGGTCACGTGATAGGAGGTCGCCATCTCCTTTTACAGCTATGAGAGGAAAGAGGAAATTTTACGGAACTAGGGGAAAGAAGAGTGAGCTCGATTATTTATCAAAATTTTCGGGTAATTAGTAAAGTGTTACTTTTAACAGTCTTTCATTAAATATTTCAACCTTTCATCACAGATACTGAATTAAAACGTAACTCTTTCGCAGCAATGAGGGGGTAAAATTCAAAGTAAGCTTAAATTTATATGTCTGCAATACAAAGTCATTGGTATACTACTACTGTACTGCCTGTTTGTTGAACAATACAGACAAACTACTGTATACTGCATGTATATATGTTTCTAAACGAAGCTGTTTGTCTAGTAACATACTATTGCCATCTACTGTTAATTATACAATATTTAATCAGATGGTCACTAAACTTAAGATAAATCATCTTAAAAAAAAGAAAATCACCTAAAAAAAATAACAAAAATAATAATAAACAATTAAAAAAAAAGACCAAAAAAAACAAAAAAAAACTAAAACCAGGACAACTTCAAAAACCTACCTAGCTTGAACATAAAGAGAAAGAGAGAGAGAGAGAGAGAGAGAATAAAATAGGAACAACAGCAAAGCGAATGAATTTCATACATATTTTAAATATTTTCAATCAACCAACAAAAATGGGTGCGGAGATAAAAGAAAACTTGAAAACTAAGAGATATCTCACATTAAAAGAGAAATATCTATTTTTTACCACGCATTTCACACACTCAAAAACACCTTTCCTTTTCCACTTACTCTCTCTCTCTCTCTACCCTGTCTATATTCTTTCTTTTATAGAGTTAATTTCTTTTATTTCTTCTTATCTCAATTCGCGCTTCTCACTTTGAAAGTCATTCCTATTCTTTCTCTCTCCTCTGTCCCACCTTCTTTCTTTTTCAGTGTTCAGTTTTAAATACAACGTTAGACGCTGCTTCTTTTTAAGTTAACAGTAATTTTATTTTATGGCATAGGCCTAATGATACATCACGAACAATTAGACTGATTATAAAAGCCTTATTTCTTCTCTCTTTAGTATCACACAACATTTATAGTCGTGGAAACTATGAAATAAAAAATAAACATTAGGCCAAACTAATATATTCTATAGTATCCAATATAAATATATATATATATACCTTATAAGTAATTTTAAAGACTTTTGAATATTCATAATGGTAATAAGTTATTATGTATGCATATACAGGTGTCACTAAAATATTTGGTTTTGGAGTAACAGTTGTAAATAGATACACAGTTACGTATTTACTTTCGTAAAGTAATGTTGATGTGTAGTTACACATAAAAAATTAACGGAAACTACGAAAGCGAGTTCAGACGCGTGAAATAATGCAAAATATAAAAAAGTACATCGATAAAGTGTCCCTAGTTGATAATTTATTATTGATATTTTGCAAATAACAGCAGTAGTAATTCAATTATTTCGTTATTGTTTCTCGTCTAAATTTGGAATTTAACATTGACAATTGTCTATCAGTTAATGCTGTAGTAATAATTAATTTATCACAATTATCCTCATCAACTTTTGTATCTATAATAAGATTTTCAGAACTGAGATAACGATAGATTGCACCCCCATTCTTCAGACGGAATCTCTTTAGACTTCTATCAGTAGTCTTAAGTATAACCTTCCCAATGACATTGGAAAGACATTTTAAACCATTTCCATTAGAGACTGATGTTAGAATCCTTGTTTGTGTTTCTTTAATTTTTTCTCTTTCGTCTTCGCTTAAGAGATCTTCTTTGTTACAAACTTCTATCAAGTTTGATCTTACCTTTTCAGATACGTTTAGCTTCAGAAGCGTTTTCTCTACATTTAACTTCTGATAATCTGTATCTGGATGACTTATATCTCTGACGTGAATAATAGCGTCAGCCGTATTTATATCTTCAAGTGTAGCTGAAAATGGTTCGACAAGAGTTGTCGGAATATCGCTTATAAATCCTACTGTATCTGTTAATAAAACATTAATGTTATTAGTCAATTGGCAAGGGTGGGTGGTAACGTCAATGGTAGCAAAAAGTTTGTTTTCCGGTTGTAACTTGGTATTTCTTGTTAGTGCTTTTATTAAGCTTGTTTTACCGGCATTTGTATAGCCAATTACCGCAACATTAGGTATTTCTCTTTTAACTCTTTCCTTTTTTATGAATCTTCTATGATTCTACGAAAGGTGAGAAGAAAAAGTAATAATAAAGACTCTTAATAGTTCTCTTTTTAACGTTTTTACACAAATTATACTTATTTTATTGTAATTTCTATTTATTATTACTTTTATACGTTCTAAAGATTTTCGAATTCTTGCTTCTTTTTCGCTCAACTGTTCATAACTGATGTCGATATCTTCTATACCGCAATTTAATTTGGCTCTTAGAAGAGGAATTTGAGCTAAACTAATTTGTAATTTTGCTTCTTTTGTTCTTGCGTGTGCCTGAAAAATCTTCAAAATTATTTGATATCTATCAAAAACTCTTCTATTAAAGCGTTCAGTCAAATATTGTAATTGGGGTGGTGTTAGCATTTGTAAATTCATAAATACTGCTGAAGATTTATTATTTTGAATTCTATCTATTATCTCTTCAAAGTTTCCTTTACCAAATATGCTTTTACCACAAATTCTACGTAATCTAAATGTATCAGCGGCTGTTACTTTCCAACCTGGTAAAGTTCTTATTAGAGAGATAGCCTCCTGTAATTGCAAATTTGCGTTTGTATTTTTCTCTTTAACATCCGGTTGAATCACGTGAATTGTTTGCCTTCCATCCAGCGCAAATTGGTTAGATATATGTTGTATGTCCTCATCTTGGATGCTTTCTAGATGATGACAGAATCTTTGGATGTTTAATTTAATTTTAAAATTTAACAATCGCTTATTCTTATAAAATATCCGCTGCAGTGATGTAATTAACATTTGTATAAAACGATTATTGCGAGTTATTATCTCCTTTATATGTAGTATTCCGGTAAAACGATATTAAAGTATTCATTAAAATGAAGAGTAGGGCGGAAGACTATATTGTATCGGATATAGTTCTTCGTTTCGTTGATTCTTTAAATTGGCCGTTGCAATTTAAAGTCAATAAAATACGTAACTAGATTGAGAAGTAATTTTCGATTAATTACAATCGACGATTTTTCAGGAAGAGGGTCTGTCTTTTCTTTAATACTAAAAAGATTGGCTGACAAGTGAATGACCTCAGGTAGATGATGACCTATTTTATGCTCTGTAATAATCGATAATAGTGATATGACGAACATTGCATGTGTTAAACCTGTACATATTTATGTTGAAAAATAGTGATGTCCGATTGTGTAAAAGATTGAGTATTGAGTAGTAACTATCCTACTCATAACATACCATTCTTTAAATTAGGTTAAAGATGGATTACGCTGAAGTTCCCAGCTCTTCAGATATGGGTGGAGGTTTAATGAGACCTCCAGAAAATAAAAAGAAGAAATCATCGGACAACGATGGACATGTAAAAGTGAAACCTCATTCGAATCTATTGCCCCCTTGTCGGGTTTGCAGTTCCGAAGCTTCGGGAATTCATTACGGTGTAAACACTTGCGAAGCTTGTAAAGTTAGTATAAAAATAAGAGACAATTTCATTCCTCAAACAATCAATTATTTGTAAAAGTAATTTTACATAAAGAAAAAAACTATTTCTGTAAAATTATAGAATATATTATCATCACGTGATAATCTTTTATTCTAAAAAGAAAAAAAAAAAAGATTCTCTGACATGCTCTGACAAAGAGATTAAAATGCCACAAACTCCTTGATACGTTTTCCTACTTAAATATCAATTTTTACTTGAGGATAAATTCTTGATTGATTCTAAAAAAACATTCTAAAACTAAGCAAACAGAATAGAAAGCAAGAAATAACATTTATATCTTATTATTAATTAATGTTAACCTGTTACTAATTTTCATATTCATTACCGTAATTACTTAAGAAAACGCTTTTAAATTGTTATATGAAAATTCCTAAAGAAATTACAATAGTTCTACTGTTGATGAGTATATGCTTTATAGATCAAGTAAATTTCTTTCTTTTTGTGTGTTCAATTGAATATTTCTATTATATCAATATGCTTTTAAGAATAGAATAACTAGTACGAACGCCTAAATCATTAATAGTTCTAAAAAATGACCTTAAGATTGATAAGCATCTACTAGAGAGTCTAAGTGAATAAATATTTCCTTTTGGAATTTTTCCGCTTTATCTTGAATTTAAATTTAGTTTTATTTCTATTAATTGATAAAGAAAACGTGCGATAAACTGAGAATTTAACTATAGCTGTTCATAGGACGATTGTTAAACGTATATGGAGTATTTTTAAATTATGATATAGGCTCTAAGTAAAGGGTGTTACTAACAATAGGGTTGAAAACTATTTGAGTGCGTGAAAGTTGAGATAAACAAATCAACATATGATTAAAATGGTCATTAGTGGGTAAGTTGTGAAGGCAGTGATTTTAGGACAAAAGAAACGTTTTATATAGTTTGCTTATATAGTGTTTTAATTTTTTTTCCTCATGAATTAGTCAGAGAACTTTTCAATTTAAGAAAAATATTTCAAAGCTTGTATTAACGAAAGAAGTTAGAAGATTTAAGAAAATTCCAATATCTTTATAAATCTTTCTTTAAGCGAAAATGTATACTCTTTAATAATATATTATATTTATTTATATATGTATGTATATTATACATATCTATATACATAGGTAACTTATAGGTTACGTCTAACATTCTAACAGCCAATATCTATCATTTATTTATAAAGCTTATTTATTATAGCTTGCGTTCTTATATATCAAAAAAGAAATAGAAAATACATTATCTCTTAAGTTTTCCATGAAAGATTGAAAAAACAAAAGAGTACCATAGGCCTACTTTGTGCATACTTTATTATCAATATAGATAAAGGAACATTGGATATTGCTCATTAATAATAAATTGAAAACGTTATTCAAAAGATTGTTAGCAATAGACAATTAAAAAGAATTATATTTGTTCTCCTCCAATCATTTTCTCCTTCCGGTTTCCCTTAGAGCCCGAAATAATCGAACCTTCCTTAAAAATTCTGATGGAATATTATATAATAGTTTTCTATATTTAAAGGAGAAAAGAGGGAAAAGAGTTTTACATTTCAATTAGTTTAATTTAAAAAATAGTATGAACTTCATTTAATAAAAAAACCCATAAATATGATTATCTTAATTATTTATATTCTCTCATTAAAACTATTGAAAAAAGGTTATATAAAAATATATGAAAGTATGTCGCTTTATATGAATAATACATATATTTATCTTAAAAAGCAATTAATAAACGAACTGATTATAATTTATGATAAATTAAGTAATAGATTATTATTATTTGCATATATTTTGTTTTTTTTTTTGTTTTTATTGAAAATTCTATATTAAACATAATAATTTATATTTTTTTCATTTAGAGTTTCTTTCGAAGAGCCTTGAAAAATACACCTCCAGAGTGCCTTGAGTCGAAACAATGCGAAATAACTTCTGGTAAATTACGTAGTGCTTGTACTGGTTGTCGTTTTAAGAAATGTTTAGATGTTGGAATGTCGAAAGAGAGGATAAAAACTGGCAGATATACAACCGAACAACGCAGAGCACATGTTGAAGAAGTAAAACTGCTAATGAAACAACAACAAAAACCTGAAAATGAAGTTAATCCTATTGAATTGACCAATCATCAGGTTGAGCATATCATTCAAAATTTAACAACATCCTTTCTTCAAGTTGCTAAAGAATGTTATAGAGAAATGGCTGAGATGTCTCCCGAAGAGAATGCCATATATATATCACTAGAGATGGAAGATCAAATTGTTCAAAAGTTGTCGATGTTTGAGAAAGAAGTTAAAAATTGTATATATTTCGCGAAGCGAATACCAGGCTTCATTAATCTGCACGTTGAAGATCAAATTTCGTTGATTCGGGAAAACCGAATAGAATTCCGACTTTTATATATTAGACCTAAACTATCCGAAGATAAGCAGTTTTACATAATAACGAATATCGATTGGCATTGCACAAAAAAGGAAGTAAAAGACTATTATCATTCCGACGAGGCTACCGAATGGTTATTTAAAACTACCGAGAGAATGAATGAAATATTCGAAGGAGACGATAAGCTAATCGCTATAGTTACGGCTATTTGCGTTTTATCGCATGATAGATGTAAGAATTTAAGAGATATTCCAGCTATTGAGAGGATTGAAGAGAAAATGCTTCAGTGTCTAAGAACTATGATGTCGAACCGGCAGATGGCGCATGTGTTTTCCTTATTAACAGATTTACGAATGATAACGGATCATACTAAAGCCTTAGAGCATTCGATACTAATATCGAACGCCAAGGACGTCCAATTCCCTACACTGCTTAAAGAAACGTGGTATTCGGAAGGTATAAAGAGTTTACTACTTCAACCATTGAACGATGACGAATATCAGAGAGAGCAACAGAAACTTTCTGTTGAGATACCTGCAAATGTCCTATCGAAGTTGATTGACTTACAAAAAGCATCTAGGAATGGAGGAGATCAGGACTCACCGAGCGCACACTCTATAGTCAAATCTCTCGCTCAGTTACCTGATCTCAGCAGTCTTGTTAATATTAACAGATCATAGACACTTGTAAAATATACTGCACATGTAAATAAATAAATATGTATATAATATATATATACATATATATCTATATCTATATATATATATATATTGTATATACTGTATACTGCATATTAGTAAATGAAGCTACTAATAATTATCATTCGAGTCTTATATATGCCCTGAAACCAGTTGCAAATACGTATATACTATATAAGCTGTGATAATGTTAAATGTAATAATACTCTTGTTAACCAATTTGTTTATAATATACAATGTAGAAGATTAATAATGGCCTTAAGCTAATTTGAAATTAAAAAATTCTACTATTCATGATGCTTCTCAGTCTTTGCAGTTTAACCAATTACAATGTACTTGGTTTGATTAATTTCAGTCGTAACAGCTGCATCTTATATACTTTGATCGAGAACTGGCCAATTTGTTTATAAACTAGCTTAAGTAAATGTAATTGAAGAGGTATTTCTTCTACTGCTAGCTTTTTTTTCTTTAATGGAAAAGTTTCGACCTTGCAATGGTTAATAACTTATTAATTTCATTCAGTTTGTCCAATACAAGGTCAGGAAAAAGTAGTGTTGTATATGTAAGTAATCTGGTAAAAAGAGAAAGATTTTATAATTAAGCCGTCCTGCTTTTCCTACTCTTAATAGTGTTGGATAATTAATTTTCAATGATTGAAAAATCAGGAGGAAAATGTACACAAAAGGAGGATGGGAGAGGTGGGGACGTAGAAAGGTGTAGAGATGGAGACAGAGAGAAAACAGAAAGCTAGAAAAGGAGAAAGAGAGAAAAAGAGGAGAGAGCAAGATTAAAGAGCGAGAGATAGTTGAGGGCTGACTGGGCTGACTATGAATCTATCTCAATAATAAGTCATCTATAAAAAAGAACACTTATCCGGTTAACAGTTATTATTGAATTTCTTTCGTTGACATGAGAATATTACATTGATAAAGACACAAAGAAACAAGTAAATATGACATACTTCTTTTGCTTTTTCAAAAGTGGAATGGTATTTTATTTTTATTCCATCCACCCCTCACCAAAAAGAGAATGGAATAGGGAATTCCGACTGATAAAGAGAGTAATACTTTTAAATATGGTGACTGAGGAAATTCGTTGATTTAATTAGCCTTGTGAAGATGAAGATGAATAGATGATAATCTCGTGATTGTAAAATATTACGAACTAATTATATATCTATTTTGGTTCATTTTTTTTTCTTAAATCGGAAATAAATAAACCTCGCTGCTAAATCAGAATGAATCATTTATATTAAAACAATAATAGATCTAGTTAATAACGCTACAATTAAAAAAATCGACACACACTAAAATTTGCATAATGTATATATTAATGAGGAGAAAAAACAATGAGACAGGTAAAATTATTTAAATGCGGTAATTTGAATAGTCTTTTTTTAAAAAGGTACCATACAATTAGTCGATCGAACCTTTAAACTTACATATTCATATATAGATCTATATATTTATATAAACATACATTCATCTACACACACACATATATATATATATATATTAGTATATATATATATATATATATATATATATTTATCATATATATATATATATTTACTTAGTTATTTATATAGGTATGTACATGCACACGTAAGTTTCTTACACAGACGCGCAATCATTAGTGTACATACAGTATATAAATGAATACACACAAATATATATATATATATATAAATATGTATATTTTGAGAGAAAAAAGTGACTTTTTTTGTAAAACAGCAGCCGTGTTTTATCTGCTAAGGGCTAGAATTTGTACATTACAGAAAGAAACACGGAATATAAGCGAAAACGAATAATCATCTGCAAGGTGCGCTTATATTCCATGTGAATGCTATATATACGCCATTTGAAGCTTGATTTTTTCTATGTACAAATAAATTGCTAGAAATGGCGCAGACTACAAACTAAGATTCTTCAAGGTGAGAGGAAAGGTTTCGTTCTGCTAAAGCTAGAGAAAAGACAAGAGGAGGGAAAGAAAGGGAAAAGAAGTTAACAAGAAACTCTTTCCATTGGGAAGGAAGGGAAAACGGTCAGAGGTGACGACAAAGAAAAGAAAAAATATACGATTAATATACGTTTATTATATGGCCGCCAGAAGAAACGCGGCAGCCTACTCACAATTCATTATTCTACAAGATGATTCGGAAGAGACGCTATAGGCGAACGTTTCTATGACAACGCAGGTTACTATGTCAACAGAGAAAAACGCTTCGAGAACCTGAGTAAACTGCACAACAAATCAACTAATAGAATATAGGATGAGATTCGCATACATAAATAGTGAGTAGGCGTATATATATAGCCATATTAATATTAATGCAACAGGCAAAAAATAAATCACACGAGTTCCTCTACATTCGTCGAAGGTGCCTAAAATTTGCATACATTTTTTTAAAGTTAAAACACGTGTTTTATTTTAGACAGGAATCTGTTCTCCCCTTTGAGATTCTTGAGAGGCGAACGAAGGCCTAGCCCTAATTAGGGTCATTTGTGGGGGAGCAGTGGGATCTACTCCAGTATTAAAAGCGTTTACGACACGGATCTGTAAAAAAAAAACAAACAAAATTTTTTTTTTTTGCTTTTTTGCGCTGTCCCAACCACTTGTTAAATAAATTCAAAAATATATCTTTCTGTTTCGTAAAATCAACGAAAAAATTATTTAAATACATTTTTTCTAAATACAAAAAATTTCCTTATTATGAAACCATTCACACAAAAGATGATCTATGGTTTAGTCACTGACATCCAGGCAGGCGGCATGCGGCAAAAAAAAAACAAAAAAACAAGTAGACAGTGAAATCATGCATAAAAAATAATATTCTACAATCCTGTAAAAGCAAAAACCAAGACATAATCAGACGCAGTTTTTGTTTTTTAATTAACAGTTTTGCCTATATAACGATAAAAAATTTGTACAGTCACATAGATTTCAACTGTACACAGAAAAAAATAGCAAAAACCAATAGAGTCTTATTGCTTTTTTTGGAGCCGTGGAAAGAAAAATGATATTTGCCTTTTTTTGTTTAATAGGAAAAGTGTAATCGTTTTTTTTTGTTAAAGGACCGAAGTGTCTTGTTGTAAGGACGATGGTAGTGTAGGTGGTTGTTGCGGCAAACGTCTGGACACTTCGGCGTCGTGCGACGTCGATTTCTTCATCACGTGCATTCGTAGATTTGTAAGAGAATGATGGCTTTGCAGCGACGACAAACTACGCTTATCAAAACTGTCTGCATCAAGGCCCATGCGGAATGCATTAACTACTCGAATCTGAAACACACACACCACACGTCACGGCCGTTTTGTTTTCTTCTTTTTTTTATAGATAACATCGACGCAAAAAGGGACGGTCTCTCAACATGGTTGATTAAATTTATAAGTATCAGCATTTTTCTAAGATTCTCTCTTGCAAACTCAAGCCTTTATAAATCAATGCTATAATACTGCAAGACGAACTAGTCCATGTCTAGACGGCTTTTTCACACTTCCTTTTTAATTCTTTATTCTTCTTTCATAATTTTTCCCTTTCTATTTTTCACCCTCATGTTTCATTTATGCTCTTTTTATGTACTGTATCCTATTTTTTACTTAAGTTCACCTTAGGTAGCATAATTATTTTGTTAATTGGCCGATAATAGGAGCACGTCCTAATATATTCATTATAAGGAATCTAGAAGATAATGATCTAATAAAATTTAATCACAATGAGATAAACTTAAAGCACTTTTCGAAGGATAGATATTTTATTAAATTTTTGCTTTGGCGTTGTCACTAGTGCAAAATTATTTGGGATTAAGGTTTATTTTTCTTTCCTTTAATATTATGATCAAAGAAAATTAATAATTAGATATACTTTTTATTTTTCTTTTTGTTGTTGAAATAGCATATTTTTTTTATCTATATATATATATATATATACTAATATATATATATATATATATATATGCTTGGTTTTTTATTTTTGGATTTTCCTATATCATCTAAACTATAATATTTGGTTTAGTTGGTATAAGTCAATACTTTTAAGGTTAAATCGATTTGTATATATACATATATATTTTTTTTTATATAAAAAATATATATATTTATAAATATACTACATTTTCTACTTAAATGAAAACTAGCTTAGTATCTCTTTCGTGCTAAAAAAATCAAAAATGATCGATTTTCTACCTAATTTGGTTATTGACTAATCAGTTTTTGTAAGAGCAACTTAAAATTCAAAATATTAGAGGTGATTGAATAGAAGGTAAAATAAATATAAAAGATTTGAGCGTGCAAGAGATGGATATTCTTTAATAAATATTGAGAAAAATCCAATGTCCCTTTCAGCGTCGAACAACGTAATAAAACATGCAAAATAAACAAAAAATTAAAAAAAATTAAATAATAAATAATAATAAAACATCTTCGATCTAAAATCATACGCGGCGACAGTCGAAATTGAATATCTCAAGCCAACTGATTGATCATCATGTGCGTATGATCGATAATCGACGTCCGAACAGTCGATCTCCGATCAGGCACTGGTAATTCCAACTTTTATTTAAAAAAAATGTGTAAAAATATTAATTAATCAATCAGCAAAAAGCGGTAAACAATCAAGGTTCTACCACAACACCGGGCTAGAAAATTATCTGATCACCGACAATGATCCCGCATCCACACACCCAATATTTTATTTTATATTTGAGGTTATAATAAATTTAAATAGTTTGTTTAAATATATAATTTTCTTATGATATCAAATAATTATAAAACTTAATTTATTCACCCCGGTTAATTAAAAATAATTGTTGATTTGCACCTTAAATACATACAAATATATATACATATATATATATATATATATATATTAGTATATATATATATATATATATACAATAAATTTATATATACAAAAATGTGCATACAGCCTATTCCTAGCTAAGTAATTAGCCTTTTCGATCGGTCAAAAATAGAATAGCTGCCCAAAAGCAATAAGTCCAGTCGATTGTAAAGAATTCTAAGTTTACCTTGTTTTTTTGTTATTAAACAACTAAACACTTAAAGCGTGTTCAGTGCAATTCTACATATTGCGACTGGTTCTAATTAAGGGTATTTTTAAAATAAATAATTAAAAATTTTAAACTAGTGTAAAAAAAATTGTTTGCAGAAAATAAAATGAAAATCAATTTTTTTTTTTTTGCATGGAGACAATTAAAATCCCCGGAAAATAAATGAGAAAAGCTCTTTCTTTGACAGAGTTAACCGTCATTGCATCACGCGGATGAAGCTTTAAATAAATGATTTTAAAAAAGAAAGCGATAATTTTTTTTCTTTCCTAAATTTTAATGTCAAGTTAACGAAAAATTGGATATTATTGTAAAACTGGACCCTAAAAAAACATACCTGATGTTGTAATCTGGTAAGGCCACGCAACCATAGAATCTGGCCTCGTTTTCCATCATCATCCATATCATACATGTCAACGCCTGCTCCTCCATCCATGCCTTGGGCGTTCGTATTTCTGCCTTCACCCCAGGTAAATAGTCCAGTGGGTATCACCGTAGACGGCACGGTAGTAACTAGCTGACCCCATAAGAGGCCGCCGACGCCCAAGAAAACGCACCACAACCATTGATCGGGCGTTAGTGCAGCAGTCGACATAGCGACATCACCAAATTGTATAATTATTGTCTGGGCAATCATTGTAGTTATCCAGATCGAAACGAAGATCGGATTACTAAACAGACCCTTAAAAATGTTACGTTGATTATGAATCTTGCGGGCGTTGATTTCATTGAACAATGTCATCATGACGAAAGTATTAAATATGATGGTAAAATGCTGCGTAGGCGGTCCGCTGTTTTGTTCCCTACCGGAATCTATATCGAATAGTCTATCACCCACGAATAACAGGATCAGAATGACTGTAATTTGGTAAATAGCATGACCGAGAATGTTTTTCGTCATTGTAACTGAGACGAGCGGTTTAGTTCGGCCATATGGTTTCCTTTCGAGCAGTTCTTCCGTAGGCATTTCCGTAGCAAGGGCCAACGAGGCTAGAGTGTCCATAATCAGGTTCACCCACAACATTTGTATAGCCTTGAGTGGCGAATCGCTTATTATACACGCTCCCAAAAAGGCTACGATAACCGCGACAACATTGACCGTTAACTGAAATTGCAAAAATTTCGAAATAGAATCGTAAACATTCCTTCCCCACATAACTGCCTTGACAATTGACGTAAAATTATCATCAGTAAGAATAATATCCGATGCCTCTTTAGCAACGTCTGTTCCAGCAATACCCATAGCAAATCCGACATCAGCTTTTTTCAAAGCTGGACCATCATTAGTACCATCTCCAGTTACAGCAACTACTTCTCTATTTTCAGTAACTTTAGATTCTATTATACCTTGAACAAGAGTATGTTTATCAGTCGGTGATGATCTAGCTAAAACCCTCAAATCAGGCCATATTTTATCAATTAATTCTTGACGGACGTTACCGTTTTCGTCACGTACCCTAGTATTAAATTCCTTTCCTTCGAGTACTAGAAATTGGTCGCCTGGTTTAATTATTCCACATTTAATAGCAATGGAGCGGGCCGTATTAACGTTATCACCAGTAACCATTCTAACGCAAATTCCAGAACGTTGGCATTTTCGAATAGCCTCAGGTACTTCAGGCCGAACAGGGTCTTCTATGCCGACAATGCAAATGCAAGTCAATTCCGTTACAATCTTCGTATCTTCAGCCTCCCAATCTGGATCTGTACCATCCGATGGCATTCTAGCATCATTGCTTTGCATTTCAGCATCACGAGGCACGAAGTCCTTGTAAGCAACGCATATTGTTCTTAATCCATCGCAAGCCATGGGTTCAATAATATTTTTCACCATATGTTCTTGATCTTTTGATGAAAACGGTTTTATTTTTCCACCTGAAACAGAAAATTTGTATTGAATTTATTATGAAAATAACGAGGAAAGATGGCAATCGCTATAAAATTGCCGCAGGTACAGAATTAGGGCCAAACGTAAGACAACATCCGTATGCACATTTGTCAATAGTTTGGAAAGAGAAAGACAAGTTACAGTAAAATATAAATCACCTTCTCCTATAATCCAGGTGCATCTTTTCAAAATAATTTCGCTAGCTCCTTTCGAAAATACGCGGTAGCCACCATTGTCCAATTTAACAACCGTAGACATTGATTTTCTTACGCTGTTAAATGTGTAGACTTTATACAATTTTTCTTCGGGGTATTCTGTTCTGACTTCATCATAAGTTGGGCCGCCTAAACTGTTGACATATCCAAGGAGAGCGCATTCAGTTTTATTACCCAATTGTTTTGGAAGTTCGCCGGGATTTTCAGGCTGAAGAACTTTAGAAGTATAGCCACAATTTACAGAAATAGCTCTGGGCATAATTTCAGGTATGGGAGGTGGGAGAGCGTCCATTTTTGGTTGATTTTTATGATGTATGCCAGCTACAAAACTTTGAACTACAGTCATCCGGTTTGTGGTCAATGTTCCTGTTTTATCCGAGCAAATGGCAGTGGCATTGCCCATAGTTTCGCAAGCGTCCAAATGTCTAACTAAATTATTGTCGTCCATCATTTTCCTTACAGAATAAGCTAAGGCCAAAGTGACGGCGAGCGGTAAACCCTCAGGAACGGCGACCACAAGAACAGTTACTCCTAGGATGAAGTATTTGATAAAATGTTTAAAATGTGCATTATTCCATGGATCATTCCTCATCACATAGGTTTTAATGCAAAACTTCACTATTAGAACGATAACGGTTACGACAGCGATAGCAGTACCAGCATAGCCAATTTGAATGGCCAATCGAGTAAGTTTTGCTTGAAGTACGGATTTCTCTCTTCGGCCAGATTGAGCAGCCGCTGGTGGTTGTTCTTCTTTTTGTTTCTCATCCGATGTTCCCTGAGCAGCTGGCCCATTTGCCTGATCAGCACCTTTCTCTGTTTTCTTCTTTGCCTCTTCCTCTTGAACGGCGCCAAGTAAAGTGAAAATCTGGCCAGCTTGCGAATACACGCCGACAGCTGTTACCACTATCTTACCAGAACCTTCCATAACGTGCGTTCCAGAATACAGCATTGGATCTTTGTCAACACCTTTCGTAACCTGGTGGGTTTCTCCAGTTAGAGACGATTCGTCCATTTTCAAATCGTTCGACTGGATGACTATACCATCGGCAGGTAATAAATCTCCGTATTTCACCTGAAGGAATAACACACGATAAAGTAAATAAAACCGACAAGGTAATACTAGTATGAGAATTTACTGTCAAGCGTAATTAAAGGTGATAAAATTGGACGATTTAGCGAATAGATCGCTTATCTGTTTGTACCGAAAAGTTAGATAGATCGCGTTAAGAGAGGGGTCTCATTGCTAGCTGACAATCTTGTTATAGTTAAAAGAAAAAAACGATCGACTTTCTTTTTTTAGATTCTACCTTCAACTCAATCCGATCAACTGTACATTTAACTATTAATATCCCTCGGCAAAAATGAACTTCCTTGAGGTTGTGCGAAACTAGGAAAAAAGAGCTTCGGCAATAGCCGTCAGGGAGAACTTTGTGAGATGTTTATTGGCTATTTCCACGTATTGGACCTCCCGCCTAATTTTATCCTTACCTGAACAATTTCTCCGACCACAATATCCGACACTGGAATTTGAAGGTTTTCACCATTCCTTATTACAGCAAATTTGTGCTCATGCTCGATTTTGCTTTGCAATCCTCGGAATTGCTTCTCCTTTTGCCAGTCGTTTACTGCAGTTACAATTACAACAACTATCACGGCAATTAAAATAGCTGCTCCTTCTATCCATTCTGCATGAGAATCGTGTTTTTCTTTCTTCCTACTACCTTCTGCAAAAGGAAAATTAATGCAATGAGTGAATAGACTATGCATGGAAGTAGCGTAAGTACTCTAGGCAGCTTTTCAATTATTTTTCCAAATACTTCTTCAAAATACCTAATGTAAATACATTTAGAATAGCTATGCAAGATTTCACGTATCAGAAATAAGCTCTTCAGCTTTGTTATTCGTTTTAATCGCGAAAAAAGATTATTCACTTAAAAATCTCCTTATAATTAATTGCTTTTTAACATAAAGTAAATGTCTATATCTTCACAATACCATTTCACACACTCACTACTTGAATTCAGGAGTTCACGCTAACGGATAATATAGATAATAATATTGAACTATGGGTAAACGTCGCGAATTCTTCAAGATAAGAAAAACAAATACCGAAATTTTCTAAAAATAAATAAAATATCGAACTATTTAATCGTTTAAGCGTATTGCATTAACGTGCTCGCCCATTGATAAGATATCACAGACTAGAAATCAGTACAAATATGCTAACAAAGACTGTAACGGTTTTATTCATAGCTGAATATTTTACTACAATCTTAAATGAAGACAAATTTTAACGTACCTTCTCCAATTTCTGCAGGTGGCCGATAAAAACTCAGCCCAAGAGATATAACCGCCGCAACGATTAAAATTATAAGAGTAACATCCTGCAAAGCTTCCCATACTAATTGTAAAAAAGTTTTGGGCGGTTTTGGGGGAATAACATTGGAGCCAAAAGTTGCTCGTCTTGCTCGCAAATCCTCCGCTGATGCAGATATACCTTCAGTTGGGGAAGTTCTCAGTTTTTTGCACAATTGAATAACGCCACCAGCCTCTCCAACTTTATCAATAACATTCGAATCCCCCTTCAATTCCATCAGTTGGGTAAGTTCATTGACGGTGATACCAAAGTCTCCTGCCATGGTATCCATACCCCCCGTCATTCTCTTGCGTTCCTATTGAATGAGATGCTATATTTTTTGCATTTTATCGTCCGCTTACAAATTATTCACAATTTATGGAATTGCTAGCGACGTTTATATCAGGCATTCATAGCACAAAACTAGTCAAATAAAAATCATCTCATTCTTTTTAAATCGCAATGACATTACATACAAAACTCTTTAATTAAATTGGGTAGTACATAAATTTTTTTTGCTAAATGTCATTTTTTATGCGGTGCTGAATAAACACCCTCCCAAAGGCAATTACGAAATTCATCTTTTTTTAGTCAGTTTGTTCAATTAGCTAATTTAAATAACCCGCTATTAAAAAAAGACCGTTATTAAGTGTCACTACTGGTCGCTATTTTTGTACCGCAAAAAAACACTGACAGATGCAAAAAAAATTTAATTTCAAAAATGCATACCTCCGCTGTACTGTCCATGCTGGTTTTAATTTTTTTCAATTCTTCTTCCTTTCTATCTATCCAGCCTAAAATATGAGAAAAGAAAAAACGAAGGGATAACAGCAAAAAAAAAAAATTATCGTAGAAAAAAAAAAGCAACTATGCGAAAAGTAAAGAACGGTGATTAAATCTACGGTATTAAATTAAGTACGGTTTCGAGCTTGTTTTAGCTGGGAATTCGAAACTCTATGACCAACTTGGTATAAACTATCCAGAAAAAGGGAAAATAATATCAGTAAAGATGCACTTACCTTAAAGATATTCTCTAGCTGAAGCGTCGCTCTGATGGAAAGCAGGCCTCCATGTGCCCAATCTCTATTCACGATTGAAAAGAAGACTGATTAGATAGCGAATGTCTTATCTTCGATGCATTTTGAAACATTCAAAATGACTTATTGACGTCATCAAAAATTCTAATTTCTAAATTCATACAGCAATTGTTTACAAAAAAAAATTAATCGTTATTCTGATATTGATACTCTATCTCGGAGCTAAGCCACCAAAGATTTTCCTCTCCTTACTTTTTTTGTTTTCAGACGAGTAACAAAATACAACAAAAAAAATAAACAAATGTGCTATGCTATCGCTTGTGACTTTTACATGAAAACGAAATAGCGGTTGCTAACTCGCTTTCATGAGCTGTTATACAGGAACAATCAATCCACTACTGAACGATTATTCTACTCTATGGAGTGGTTAATTTTCTGATAATTTATCTGTTCGAAACAATTTGTTGGGAGGAGTTTAGGCCGCTGAGTCGGAAAGATCACTCTCCTCTGTTTAGTTGAGGCTCCCATTTAATTTTTTGGCGTATAACCCAAGACAAAGGAAACTAGCGTACCAAGGCCGCCGGATATAGAAACCGCACGCGACGAGGCGTCGATCGATTCCTCAATTCGCATGGAAATTTACTTTTTTTCTTTCCCTTCTTTTTCTGGTTTTTTTTTCGTCAAAAGATTTCATACAACTCCTCGATATTCCTTAAGAAGATTACAGATACGGGACGATAATAACATCAAGTGGCAAAACAATAGTAAAAAAATAGAATAGCCAACTCCCTCCCTCCCTTCACTTGTATGGGCAAACAATGGTGCATTTCTAGGCGAAACCCAGCGTATGAAGCGAAATTGCTCGTAATGGATGCCGTATAAAATATTCACAATAAATTACTTTCTATATAACGCCGTCGAAATCTAACGATAAGGGCTTATCTTCTTATCTGCGCTGACGTACGTATTCGTATCGGTTAATTATAACTCGCGATCTACGTCAAGTATATAGTCGCATCTAACAACAACATCTCGAGGGTAATAAAAAAATCTGATTCGATCCCAGATAACCGGCAAACAATCGATACAATACCCTCACCAAAGAACTATATACTCACGATTGAAAAAAATAAAGTAAGGGGCACCTTTAAATATAAAAAATCAGACGAGGGTACATCTCTCCGTCCATCAAATCTGAAGTATGATGCCGACCATACAACTGCAAAAGAATCGAGCGCTGGTCGCCATGGAAATGACCTACTGCAACGGCGCTAAAGTGTCGAACAGAGAAGAAAAAGAGATGTAGGAGAGTAAACGAGAGTGAGACATATAGACAATAAGAGCATGAATAACAGGAAAAATCTACAAAATTCAAATTCGTAATCTTTCCGTTGTTAATTTAGATAGCTAAGAAAATCTCGTTTATTTTAATATGGAAATACTTCCGAAACTCATAAAAATCTATTTCTTTTCGGATAGAGCAATGGACAGGTGAAGAATTTTAAAACGTTTCAAACGTTGAAGCAACTTACTTTATATACTGACAAGGTTATAAGTTTGCAGATGACCTTTCAAAATTACATCGATTGCACCTAGCCGTCTACAGGCAGCAGCTGTTTGAACTGGATTTCGAAATAAATATCAGAAATTTTACTTTTATCCAGCTCGGGTTCTTTCTAAAACAACCACTGTGCACTTTTTCAGTGTATTATTAACGGACAAAAAATTATAATAAACAGCGAAGCGCGGATGATTTATTAAATCTAGCTTCTATTAATATTAGATAGTTTGAATTTCGCAGCAAAAAATAGCATTTGCAGACGAAATAATGACATTCCAAGTCGTTATTGATCAACATATGGTTCTAATTGTTAGTCATTTTTTATGCAGAATAATTTTTTGAAGTATTCGCAACTCATATTAATTGACATGTCAATCTTTTAAAACTCATTCCGGGATGAGGATAATTATTTAGCTTGCAAGTACGAGGAAAAAGGACTACGTGAAAAAAAAATTTGCTGTATATTTATGTACTGAGTTATAACTGCTGTTATAATGAGGTATTAGATAGGCCTGCAATAGTCAAATAACACGAGAAAGGAAGGGAAAATAGAAAAATAATATACGAGCTAGAAAAAACACGATAGCGAGCTGCAAGAAAAAGCAAAAATTCTTCGATGGTGTAACAACCGCTAGAGCTTTCTTTGCTTTATTTTTTATCATTTACAAACATCAAAAAGCCACTGACCCAGCACCGTTCCTTTTCAAAGTAAACCGTGCACAGACCAGAGCAAACAAACCAAAACGACATTTTCGGTTGAAAATTCGATTTAATGCGCCGCGGCGACTCGTTCTACATCCCCGGTCGTCCCTAATCACTCTCCTTCATTTGCCTTTTTTTCTCGCTCTCTTTCTTCTGTCCCCATTTGATTTCTGTATCTGATACGTAATTACTCTTCTGAAACTATCGCCTGTTTTCTCTTTGCCTAAACAATTTTCAACTAATACCATTAGTTGAATTATAGGCATTAGCAAATTGATTCAAAAACGGTATATTCTTGCGAAAATACGGTCAGACGGCCGAAAATTGCCTTTCCACATCGGCTGTCACTGCCGCTCTGCAATGCATCTTTTTTTTCAAAGAAATCGATAAGGCACTTATGCGTAATGATTGCTGCCTCGTGTCAATTTTTCCTCTCAATAGTTCGTAGACCGGCAGGACAATCGATAACACAGGACACTTTTGCTCCTCTTTTTGGTCAAACCCTAGCTAAAGCTACAATTCGCCATCTCTTCAATGTTAAGCCTCTCATTCACAAGCTGACTTTTCGAAGCTGGCGAGCAAGGGATTAAAGGACCCGCACATTATGGAGAATAGACCACACCTCAGACAAATTATCGTCTTCTGTTCTATTTTTAAGAAAAAGGCAGACACCCGCTGTCGTGCATGTATGGTTACTCTGACGTCAATCTGAATAAGCTTTTATTGACTATTATAGCAGAATAATTGCTTTTTTTATGCCTACATTATTATACAGTTATTCACTAGTCCCGCAAACTATCCCAAACTCTACATTTGGCTCAATTACAGTTAGACGGCAACGCTATAAATAGAGGAAAGATCCTAAAATAGACTTTCACTAAAAATTCTATGAGTTTTCGTTAAGCAAACAGACATGGACAGATCGATATCTTTTCTCTATTATTTTGTACGCCAAGAATTCCCTTTCTATCCTCAGTCCTAATAAGATGAAAAAAAACCATTTCTACATTCAGAACATCATACTAAAATACATTCTAACATGCCAATTAATTCTAATACACGAATCAGAAAGAGTCCGATTCGATAGCTTAATAAAACGAAAAATCGAAAAAGAAATGTAATGTTCATTTTATATGGTGGCCATCTTTTACAGAGCACTAGCATACAAACCGTTTTAGAGCGAAATATTCCGCTTAAGGATTAGTCAAATCCAATCTTCTCGCTACCGCCGACGCCTTCCACTACAATGTTCCGATTTTAGCGGAAATGTTGAGAATTGCATGTAAAATTCAGAGGATTTATTGAAAAATCGTCAAGCCGGCCCCTCCGTAATATCTCAACGTCACGTGACTTATAGTCGCGCATGCGTAGTATCTAATTAAGATCACAGCCTATAAGAGCAAAAGTAGCGTAAGTATAATCAAATGGTTATGTTTATTAATTCGCTCTGTACTATTATAACGTCATTGGTGGAATTTCGGCGCTAAAAATAGTTTAAACAATGAGTCGAATAAACAGTCATTTATATTTGTAATATAAACAATAAATTAGCGACAGAGGAATGAGTTATACTGGCTGAGATCCTCTCTGATTATGAGTTTTATTTCCCTCTACATGAAACAATGCTAAACATTTTGCTTACGTTTGCAAAAAATCGATCTCAGCCTATTTGAGGCTGTGAAAATAAAATCATTGATCAGAACAAAACAAAATTCCCGACTCTTTAATTAAGACAATTTCACGGTTGAACGATCACAAGGATAGAAAGAAGCATGACCGATAGATGGCGTGTAACAAATTTAAAAAAAAAACAATTAAACGCCACTAATAACACTAGACGAAAGAGTTTTGTAGGGATTAAGAACGCAATTCGGATCAAACAATGCTTTAATTCGCTTCATTAATTTCACTGCCGAAGTCCCCTTACTGTAACGGATGCATTCGTTCTTGTGAAATCCCAAACCTGCATAGAAGAAAGTCCCTAAACTGAAAATCGAATATTTTGGCTTATTAAATTCCCAAACCGTGTTCGGCGCTCACGCTTCCATTTAGCTGGGCGACCGACTCGAAAACAAAAATTTCCAGTGCTGACTTTACATCCTTTTCGAATTTTTTAGACACAATATTTAAGTGAAGATTACCTTTTTTTGGAATAACCAAATATCTGTAATCAATGTTCAATCGATTGCTAAAAGGATGCTATTACATACCATCTCCAACATGACCATATCCCATGCAATATAAGACAGGATAGCCCTTCATTAGCTCCGTAACGGATTCAGTGACTTCTGAAAATTTCGCAACTGGAATTGAGACATCAAACTTATATGTGTAGCCGTCTTGTTTACATGCTTCGGCAAGTCTCTCCCTCAGCGCCCATAAGGCCTATATTAGAGAAAAATAAGATCAACTAATGACATGTATACCACTTAGTCAATTCAAAACAATTTGATAAAGGACCAATAAAATATATTTCTCTACTTAGCAAAAAAAATAAATTCAATGGCCGTCTCATAACTCCTTTTACCCATCTAACTTCTTTTCCTCCAAACAATAATTTCATAATTATTCAAATATACTTGCTGTTGGTATCAGCCTTCGATCTTATAAATAATCTGTAGGCCTTCATTATAATAGTTTTTATCGTTTTGTTTGAAGTGGATAAACAATAAGACTCAATTAAGGATGCATGTATAGTTTGAAATAGATCAATCTTTTAATTTACAACTCTTGTGTTCTTAAAAGCAAGCAAAACAATTTTTTAATGAATTCATTTTTTAAAATATATTCAAATATCTTAAAATAGAATTAATGGTGAATTAAAGCAAGTACTACTAACCGCATCGGATGAGAATATTTTTTTTATTGTTATTGAAGAATACAGAAATAATGATTGTAAACTTAACAGTTTAGTCAAATATTATATAAACTAACATTCAAAGCCCCTTTTTAGACATGTGCCAAAACCAGAAATGGTCTAATGAAAAACATCTAAACATGCTAATTATGCATCTTTTTCTGGAGAAAGGTCATCTTCATTTCTATATATTCAATATAATAAAAAAAATCTTGATCAATGTTACAACGTATAACATAATTATTTAATAATTTTTATCGAATATATCGCAAAATTTTGCGTTATAGATCGTATAGTTATGGATATTGTTAAAATATACATTATCATTATTTATCATTTCAGTCCATTTTTCCTTCAAGTATTTATCAAGTGAATTTCTATATTACTCTCAATATAACTAACGACATAGCGACAAACGCGTATGTAGGCCTTTATCGGATTGCTGGTTATTTATAGATGACTCATGAAATAAATAAAAAAGGAAACAAGATGAAGAGAAGGAGAATGGAAGGGAAAAAAACTGATAATGATAAGAATAATAATGAAGGAATTTTTAGGAAGTAGAGTATTAGAGAGAAAAAGAAGATAAAATATTATAATTTTTTCCCACAGTTTAAGGTTAAAAAAAACTATTTTAATTTGTTTCATCAAACTGATGTAGATTTACTCTCGTGATAATAGATTCTTACGTCTTTATGAAATTCTATACCTTTATTAAAAGTAATATTTTTTTGTGTTTAATGTTAAAATGATAAAAGTAAATGAGGAGAGAAAAGAGAGAAAAGAAAAAAAAAAGCTATCCTTATATGTATAATCCTTTGATTTAGTTAGGTAAATAATAAAAAGTAAAGAGGAGTTTAGTGCGTCTATCCTTGTGTTCTTTTGCTTTTTTTTTCTTATATTTTTTATTTGGGTTATCGAATTATCTTATTAAAACATTTTGATGTCTATTACCTTCAAAGCGAACAGCTTGTTTACACTTCGATGAATATTTAATAAACATACATATTTTCCGACGGCTGCTGTTCAATTATTTGTAATCTAGGTCATTGCTATATTTATCCTGTCGTATCGAGATATCTTTTGATAAAGCGTAATAAAGCAATATCGAAGATGTATGTGCGTCATTATATTATAGGATTAGGGATGAAGGAAGCGGAAAATAAAAGAAGTAAAAGAAAAATAGGAATAAAAAAGTCATATATGCAACCTTGTCCGAAAATACAGAAAAATTTTGCATGATGAAACTTATTCGTGACGATCTGAACGACAGAGTCGAATTGCTGAACCGGAATAGCAATGTCATATTTAAAGTCGTAACAGTCGCTTCTAACTGTTTTCGTAAGCGCTTCTTACAGTCGCGCCCTAAATTTATTGAATATCTTAAAAGCCAAAAATAAAAATAAAAGAAATTGCGCATTTGGCATAAAATCATATTGAATGAACCGTATATACTGTACACGATATAAATAAATTGTCATAATATCGGCTTATTACGTTCTAGCATGCATTAACATAAACTCAATAGTTAACTAAGTAGCAGTAAATGATATGTAATGGGTACGACAATGTCATACACCGATTTCAGAATTTCATTAGGATCAATCAACTCCTTAAGTCCTTCGATTAACTTTACTGTTCGCTCATACCTTCAATAATTCAATAACGGGCTTGTGCCTGTTTTTCTCTTATTTCAATCATACTTTGTATATGCATATATAAAGTAAATTCAGCGTCTACAAACTATTTTGTATTAATAAGAGGAGTATTCCATTGATAAAAAGGAGGAATTAGTAGATTCATTCAAGAATTTATAGAATTGTAATGATAATTATTATAGTTTTTTTTTCTAAAGTCATACCAGAAAAAATTATAGATATACTGTATATATGTTAGAATGCGTATGAAATATAAATAGCAGTCTATAATTCTTATTTAAATGTTAATGAATATGCTCATTGCTCTTAACCATTGTTTAACATTGACACCATATACAATTCTAAGGTAGGATAAGTTAATGATACACTGGTCTAAAGCGAAGCAATACATCTACTATATCATATAGGGTGTATAAATAATACATGTAGCATATATCTACGACAATAATCAAAATCACCTTGGGGTAATTTTCCTATCAATGTAAAGGAAATAATATATAGTTTTTCTTAGATCAACAACTTAGATATTATTATGCAATCCTCTCTTTTTCATCTTTAACATAACGTTCTTTAAACTGCATCTGTCAAATATAATATTTCATTTCCTATTGACCCTTTATTGAAATATTTGAATGACAGATCATATCAGATTTTTATAGAACAATGTTTTTTTAACAATAAATTAATAAAGAAAGATTTTCTCTATAGTTAAATTTAGGTTAGAAAAAAAGTATGGTAAAATAAATAGAAATACGTCAAGGATTCTGATTAATCCTTTATTAAAAATCCAGTGGGATAAAATATTGCGAAAATCGTTAATTGGTAATGGAAAATTTGTGTGATTCGTGTCTTTCTCTTTATGTATTTTTTTTTTACCTTTCTACCTATATACGTATATAATTCATATACATTTATTTATTTATTTATAGTCATCTACTATACCCGTTCTCTTTCTCTTTTTTCTCCTTATAGGCAGTATTTTCCATTCTACTACTTTCTATCGTAGTCATCCTCTTTTATCAAAGTTTGATATTGTAAAATGAGCACTTTCAAAAGAAAAATTTTACTAATAATTATGATTAAAAAGTAAAAACAAAACGGAATACTTCAATCCAACAAAAAAAAGGTATTGATTTCCGAAAGAAAAATTTTTCTTTATTTACTTCAGAGAGATAATGAGAAGAAGTTCTAGACACCTAACAGCTTAATAAAATAGACGGTCTACTATAAACTCTGCTTAAGAATACTTTCTCAAAAATGAATTTCGATAGCTTTTGCTTCGCCCTTTTCGCTTCGGTTAACGCTACTTATTTTTCATTGCGTAGAACAAATACCAACGTAATGATATACCAACAGCAAGCGAAATAACGATATAATAGTTTACAGAACGTGAACAAACATCACGACTTGGAGTAATGCCCTTTTAGGGGTGAGTGAGGGGAAAAGGGGATTTAAAATTCCATTATTACGTATAAGACCCTAAAGTCTTTTCCATTAAATTCCACCAACTCATTTATTTTTCCTGTTTTTTTTTGGAGTAGAACAGCTGGGATAAAGAGGATGCTAAGGACGATTACCAATTATAAGACATTCAAACCAATTTAGATGAAAAACTTAATCATTTTTATTCGAGGCGATATTCAATAGAAGTCAAGACTATATTCCGCGCAATATAAATTCTATTTCGATTGTCGTGACCTTTAAGTCATTTTGTTGATTTCACACCTAAAAATCTTTAGTTTAAAAGTTCTTATTCTATTCATTGTTTTTTTTAAGTAGAAGAATATCTTGTGTGATTATATATTAGTTATTGGAGAACGAATAAAATTTGTGTTATACGCTAATGCAAGGCAGAGGAAGTTTAACGTTTGGAGGCCGTTTTTTTTTAATATGTTTATGGAAGAGTCTTGTATGGATTCAAAATTCCTTTAGGATCCATATGATCTTTAAGTCTCTCCATTAAGTCGACGGCCGTTTTACTTTTCGATAAGTTGATGTGCTTGTTCTTTTGTGTACCTAAACCATGTTCCGCACTAATACTCCCCTTCTTCTCTGCCACCCATTCAAAGATAAATGGTTCTAATAATTCTTGGACCTCTTTTGAATTTTCCCATTCCAATTCAACGGTAAGGTGGATATTTCCTAAATTCCACATATAGGAATTTTGAAAAAGATAGTATGTACGTATATTTTTCGCCTTTTTTTGTACGCCTACAGCTTTTACGTAGGCTTTTACTAACCGTCTCCCAAATGTCCAAAACCGCTTACAGACGAAACAAGATTTCCGAGACGGCGTCTCAAAATTTGCGTCAATTCGTCGAACAATCGAACGCTTAAGCTGAAGTCGTAGGCCATAGACGCCTTCGGAGAGGATCCGCGGTCTGCTATGCGTTCTCGTAGTTGCCATAGCGACTGTCCGGTAGCGTTTAAATCAAGGATCCTTTGCACTTTTAACCCTACGTTAACCTCATCCCACCATCCCCCTACGTAATTTAAGCTTCATATTTTATATACTTACGTTGACTTTTGATGGTTCAGTAGCAAGCACTCCATCAGCAGCGAATCCGCCATCTAGAGCATTGTTCAAGAAGGTATTCAATTTCTCCTCGTCATGCGATGCATTAGAACCCGACGTCTCAATTAAACAATAGAAGGGATATTTGTCTAGAGGACATTGGAGGCCTAGATTTTGTCTAACCATCTCCATGGCTGTGGAGTCCATATATTCAAAAGCGGATAGAATCTCCCCCAATTTCCCCTTGGCAACATCTAACGTCTCCAATACACTTTTGTAGTCCGGGCAACCTGTATTTATTTTTTAAGACAGTAATAATTTCCGCAGAGGGTGGATTGTTTAAAACTTAACCAAGTAAGGCGACGTTAACACTTTTAGGCTGTTTGGCACAAAGGATCGACACTTTCGTTACAACACCTAAATTTCCTTCCGAGCCTATAAATAATTGCTTCAAATCATATCCAGTATTATCTTTCCTAAGTGTAGACAAGCAATCGATTATTTCCCCGTTAGCCAACACCTGCAATGGTTTAAAAGACGAAAAATTTTTAATATTATATTACAGAGAATTTCCATACAGCTTCTAAACCCAAAATGGATCCGTGTAAAGATCCATAACGTAAGAGTCGGAGACCGCCAGCATTCGTCGAAACATTTCCCCCTATCTGGCAGGAGCCCTTAGCCCCCAGGTCATAGGGAATTATATAATCAAATTCCCTCGCGTACTCGTCCAACTTCTCTAATATACAACCGGATTCACAAGTAAGGACGCCTGAGAAAGCGTCGAAATTAATTATTCGATTCATTCGCTCAGTGGACAAGATAACCTCGTCGAAAACTGGTACGCTACCCCCAACTAAGCCCGTATTACCTAGATAATTTGAAGATATTTAGCAACGGAAATACATGGTTAATCGGGAACCAAACCTCCTTGTACTGACACAGCTATTTTTCTCTCATTACAATACCCCAATATTTTTGATATCTCTTCTGCAGACTTGGGCCTAAGAACTAGGTCGCTTTTACCTAATTAACCCGTAATTGCTTTATTGTGTAATTCTTAGTGTAAATAGTACTAACCTCTGACAGTTTTCAGCCAATCTGTATTGTAACCACTTAAGTCCTCGTCCTTCGAACTCAGTATTTGACCCGAATTCGTCAAAATCTTTTTAAAAGCTTCTATATCATAATCCTGCAAAATTGCAAAGTCCCCCCGTTTTAAATGAGGATATCTGTCACTGGTGTACGGAATATTTTCCAACCGACGACTAGTCGTTAAAGACCTAGTTATGGTGAGCGATAGTAGACGGTTTTTATAGATTTTCATCAAATATCTATTCATGTTTGCTGCTATTCTGTAATAGTCTTTGTGATTGTCAAAGGTTAAGGTGTAAAGTACTTTACTAGGTTATCTATTTTTAGAGACTTTCCTTGAAAATTTCTAAAAACTAGATAGGAACAAAAGGGGATTGTATAACGAAGACAATGTTATAGAGGGCGCTCATCCATTTCTCAGATAGATGGCATTCTTTAATGAAAACAGCACAATAGCTGAGACCTATTAAATGTATGAATAATATATGATATTGCAAATTGAAATACATGAAAACTGACTGCTTATTGTCTTTTTTTCAACACATCAAGTTGATAATTCATGGATTATGAAAAGATTAGTTAATTATAGTCTGGTTCCCAGTCGCCAAGCAGTCTAAGGTCTAAAAAGGTTTAATAAATTATTTGAGATATAATTTATATATATATATATATATATAAAGAGAGAGAGAGAGGAAGAGAAAGAAAGAGAAAGAGACGTATGTGTGTTGTGTATGTGTCTACAAATATATAAATATATATATATATATATATATATACTGTATATACTGTATATAGTACACATAGTATATATAAACTACTAAAGAGATGAAAACGTATTAAGAGGAGCAAAACGGTATATAGAAACCGTCTAAATAGCAGAAAGTAGAATTTACTTAAAAATTATTGCATAAAAGAAAATCAAGTAGATCATGAGATCAAGCCATTAGCATCCAACCCATTAGAGGAAGCTGTGCATCAGCTGAAGTTTTACTTTAGTGTGACAAAACCTGGAGACCGGAACGTCTACATTAGAGGCCCTTTCGATCTCAACAAAACAAAAAGAGAGAACCTCATTCTTATCATCCTATAATACCAAACATAAATGCTATATATACTTTATAAATGCTCTATATATTTATACATAAACTAGACAGTTTATTAACTCTATTTGAACTAGGTTTTTACGTTTATTGAGAAAGTACTTTGCAAAAATTTAGTGTTTATAAACTGAATGAATAACTTGATCGATTCTAGAAATTTTCTTAATGCCTTACTAATATTCTTCTATCCAATTGCATTTATTATATAAAGACAGATGGAATAGGGCTATGGAAGCCCTAAATAATTCACTACAATGTCTAATTTCTTTGAAGGACCTCTTATAAATCCACATTTGTATTGGTTACTTAATGGAATGTACGACCACTTTTTCAGGTTGTCAACTTCCATTATATCCATTATGAGCAAGCAATGGCCGCTTATATATTATATAATGTACTAGCTTCTATTAGTATTATGAGTATTTTGGCCACGATATAATTCATAGGAAAGCGTCTTATATAATGTAACAGTGTATACACTGTATTGTATATCTATCTATATAGAGAGACTTTTAAGGAAATTTATCTATAGGATTACTTCTCTTATACCCATCAACTTAAGTTGAAAGCAATTGAAAAGCATCTATCCGATTAGAAAATAATTAAAAATAGTTATTTTTTAATTTACTTTCTTCATTTACTTTAAAATCAATAATATTTTACGGTTAAGATAATTTTATCATTGTTCGAAATTCTTAAATCTAAATATACATTTTCTTATCAATGTAAAATATAAATAGATAATAAGTTTATATTGTTAAAGAAGAATATCTTATTATAAACTTCTCGAAAATAAACTGGTAGAAACGCCTTGAATTTTTTAATGAAACAAAACATTCATATTTCTAGTTTACTTTTAAATAGCTTACTTTTGAACTACAGAGGAAAACAACGACAATAAAAACTGGTTATTTGAATCCTTCAAGTGTCTACTGTTTAATTATATCACAATTATTGTAATGTAATTAACAAAACTATAAATAAAGATGAATTCAATAAAAAGGAAACATCTCTTATTTATTGCGGTTATATTTATGCAATTATACTTTACTACCGGAAACGGTAAGAATGCAGTTGGAATATAAGAGCCCAGAGTAAACAATGGGTATTATTAATTATCATGAATTTTAGGTAGAGTTGAATTAAATGGACCGGAAGGGGTGCAATTCACAAGAGTTGATACAAAACATGTTGATATTTTTGTAAATAATAAAAGATGGCTAATACTAGATGAGCCATGGTTTATTATAAAGGGACAAAAATGCTCGGTTAGTAATGGTTGTTTGTCATTAGTTCGGCAAACTATTGAAACTGGACGTGATGTGTGGGGAAATTGGAATGCCACCAATGCCTTATTAAAGACAAAGAATGATTATTACCTAAGTTTAATGATAGTCCAATACAGGGAAATAAACGCAATTGCCTTTGGCCAGGTTAGATAAATTAATATCATAATTAATGAAAACGTTATTTTTATTAATTTAATAATAATTATATTCATTGACAGTTGTTTCTTAACGATACAATTGGAACATCGAACAACAATTTAGACAAGACAGGCTCAGGTTTTCCAGTTTTTGCTACAAATGCCTCAGGTAGAATATAAATTCGTAATCATCTCATGCATATTCATTATGTTTAAAAATAGACGCCGAATTGGGGTACTATGCTGTTAGAGGTTACATGTATGGGGATGACGATAAGGTCTTTGGAAGGTTAGTACCTTTTACAAATTTTTAGTGTATTAATCTTAACAAATAATTTACGTACAGATGGGGTTCAAAAATGGATCTTAGCAAAGGCCACAAAATTGGTCCTATAAGCTTGTATGATCAAAAGGGCCGAACGGTTGTATTGTCTCATTTAAACTCTTTCATGGGCCAGTCAATTTGGCATGATGGAAATATGCTAAATTTCGGCATTGGAGGCCGTATCGAAAAAGTTCCAAGGAATTATGCAGCCTTCAGTCTTTTATTTTTCGGTGGGGAAGAACTCGGTGTCAGAGATGTAATAATTTCTATTTAATTAGCATACTTTATATATATCCTTTCTCGACTTTTTTTGTCATTGCTAAAAATAGATATTTTAATGTTAATTTTTCAGTCAATACTTGAATGGGGTCGTCTAATGAGACTAAAATATAATTCTCAAAATTTAAAGTACGCCGAAACAGATTTCGTTAATAATTATTTAGGATACTATACGGACGATGGTAAGTTCCTTTCGATAATTAATAGACATGCGAGCCGCATCTCGCTTTCCAAAGGTCGTCTAATTATATGCAATATAGTACTAAAAACTGACGTTCGCAGGAAGACGGCTTCTAGCTTATGGCATTCCTAATTGGACGTCTATGCCACTTCTATTCTTTCTAATATTCGTTGATTGAAATTCTTTCTAGGGGCCTGCTATTATTATTACAAAGAACCGAATAAAACCTATGAACAGACATTAATAGATGTTATTGATGAGGCGAAGCAACGTCGTATACCATTCAGGTAAAATCCTTTGCTATAAATTTATCAATAATTCATACAGGTGATCTGCATACTTCAGATTTATACAACTAGACTCTTGGTTCTATCCTAAACATCCAGATAATGCTGGTGGTGGAACAATCGATTGGTACCCTCATAAAAAATACTTCCCCCAAGGTTTAGAGTAAGTGAACTTTGCTGTTGATAAATAGGTTTCATCTTTTATCACGCCATCTAACGGTTTAACAATTCCATTTTCTAATATGCTTTATTTATTTTTTCAATAGCTATTTCTTATCCTACAAATCGTTAATATTACTTTTCTTTCTTACGTTGTATATTTATTATAAATATGAATGGAAATAATAACTGTTAAAATAGCCTAGAAGAGTCAAAAAATCCTTATTTTTTATATTCTTAGATTATTAGTTAAGACTATTCATAACTCTTGTAAATATTCATTCGAGCAAGATAAATTCCCTGATTTAAGAAGAAAAAATAAAATTCTTAAGTTCTAAAAGAAAACTCTTTATAGCGTAAACAGAATATAATAATATTCTTCTTATTCTACATTTTCCCTTTTCATATTTAAACAAAGTAAAAGAAACATCTCTAATCCAAATTACAATTGTATATTTACTGGCTTATCTACTTGTGTACTACTATACAGTTATACATTGTATACAGTATATAAACAGTATATATAGGACAAAAAACACTCTACATTTTCTATATTTATATTTATATATTTGTTTACTTATATAAATCAATATTTAATATAGTACGTATCGTATAGATAGTGTACGATAAAATAATATTATTCTAGACATGTATCCAATTGGTTTGTCTTTTTCTTTAAAAAAAACAGGCATTTCATTAATGTGACAAAATTACCGGTAACTTGCCATGGGAAATGGTGGTCGACGAAAACACCTTTGGCAAAGCAAAATGGTGGTCCCTTCGATTTTTACTTTGAAGACAAAAATGGCATGGCCCTACCCATTGATCCTGTATGATCAACAGCTTTTAAAGAATTTCCTACGTGCTTTTACTTTAATAAAAACCTTCTTTCATATTTTTTCTTTTTTTTTTTAAGAAATTCTGGGATTTTATACTTGGGAGAGCCCGTCAATGGGGTTTGATTATGTTCGAACAAGACTGGCTGGGCCAGATGTTCGATTGGATGGATATTCTTCAAACAAATATAACTATCGGTGAAATATATATGAGGCAATTTGCCGAAGGTTCGCGGAAAAATGGACAAGTCGTTCATTTGGCAACAGCGTATCCAAGACACGTTATGGCTGGTTTACAATTCGACATTGCGACCGAAGTTTGTATTTTAATAATAACAAAAAACAGCAATCTCTAAGGAGTTTGTTATCACAAAAAAAACTTTCAATATATAGGGCAGAACCTCTGAAGACTTTGCTTTGCAAAATTACCAATGGAGAATGGGTGTTACGTCAATATTTGCTTTTGCTATGGGGCAAAAGCCTACTAAAGATACTTTTTGGACAACCTCGGTTCAAAAGTGTCCTCATTACGCTCGTTGGTCTATTAGATTACATTGATTACAAATTGAGAAGATAAACTAATACTTTTTGCATATTTCCACCATTAGATTTAATTGGAAAATATCCAGATTTAGAAGTTGCTATCAGTACGATAAGCGGAGGGGTCGTTGGTTCTGGCGATCAGATAGGCAAGACGAATAGAGAGAAATTAATGAAATGTTGCAACGATGACGGATTGATATTAAAGCCAGAAAGGCCCGCTATGGCTATCGATCCTATGTTGTTAGAAAGAGCTTTCAAAGAAGGTCTAGGACCTCGTGGTACATCTGAAGTGACATCAACATATTCAATAGTCAGTGGTTTCTTTTTTGGAATAATTTTAGCTGCTGATTTAAATACTACGTACGAGATTACCCCTAAAGCAGCTGGATTTAACTATGATGTAAGTTACTTGAAGACAATTAGTTAATTACTTAACAATTATGAATAATAAATTTATTAATTCTTTTAATTTTCCCTTTTCCTTTACGATAGTACCCGGAGAGTGTCATTTATTCGTATAATAATTTTAAACACTCGCTACCTTTCTCCAACAATCAACCATATAGCATCAATAACTGCACTATGAAAAACTTTTGTATGCTATATACGACGCCAATATTTAGAATTGGGTGAGTAGCTTTTAAGCATTTTCTCTCATTGAGATGTGCACTATGATACTATTTATATAGTATATATATAAACGAAACGAGAAGATTGATTAGGTAGACCAGTATCGACTATGTGCATTTTTAGGATTTTCCCATGAAACTCTGTCTAAGCAGTGCATATTATTTATAGGAACTCCGAAGTTCTTCTCTTAGGGGAAATGACGAAATGGGTACCCATGAGTTCGAAGCGCTTCAGAAGTTTAAGTGTAATGGGTACTGGTATAATTATGAAAGTTTATGGAGCGCCCGAAGAGCACGTTTACATATCTTTACAAATCGATAGGAAACTATTCACTATCGATTGCAAACTAGACCTTTCCGGATACGGTATCTTCAACTCGAACACGATGTCATGTTAACAATACTTAACTCTCTTTCCCTAAAACTCTATAACTAAGTTTTATATACTCTTTATTGAATTATTACAATTGCTCATTTTTATGATTTTTAAACACTCTTAATCATACTCACAATCGCTCAAGAAATACATAATGTCGTTTGAACAATACAAGCTAAGTCTTTATATGATTAGCACAGAATTTTTTTCATTATAACTACACTTGGTGTTATTCAACGATGAATAAGTTATTAATAAAAATTCAGTGGATTATTATTCCCTTTACAAAAGTGACAATTCTCTTTTACCCTACTGACATACTTAATTTTTTTTCTAACGTTGTGTAAAGTAACCCGAGATTTACAGGAAATTGGATGGAACTAACAAAAGCGGAATCGAATTGAGAGGAATTATTTAAAAATTTACCCTCTTATTAACTTAATCCATTTTATTTGACAGACTATTTTTTAAATCAACTTATTTGATGAGATTTATAAAGAAATAAAAGTAAAAATTATGTAATTTACTTTATTTTATTGATCAATACATACTTAGATTTAATCTAAGTACTTATATAAATACATATTTATGTTACATAGAATATATACAATATCTAATATATACTGTATATAAGTACTGTATTTTCAGTATATATATATATATTTATACATTTATTGTTAACATTATCTATAAATCAATCTATTAAATTTCATCTAAATAGCTATACTGAAACTGTATTTGTATTCATTTTTATAATCTTTGTAATAAATAAGAAACTGGAGCAAATTAATGTGTAATAAATAACAGCCAGGTGAAAATAATTATTTCTTATTTCTTAATAGGCTATAAATTATTGATTCGAAATATCTTTTGTATTGTAAAATCAGTTGTTAGATAATCGTTTAATACTTCTTTAATTAGCTCCAAAAAATAAAATACCCTTTTCTTCTCTCTCTTCTTTTGCCTCCTTCTATTCTCTTTCTACTTCTTATTGGGCTTTTTTTGCCTATTCTTTCCATTTCCTTTTGTCTTACTTTCTTTTATAATATTCACACTTAATTTGCATATTAGTGTTGTATAGTTTAGTTTAGTCATAAAAAAGGTCCATATAAATATATATACTATATATATATTTTTTTTATAATACAATCTTCTGTATAATATATACAAAATAGCAGAAAAGGGAGAAAAAATGCACCGGTTAAGGAATTTTAATTTATCACTCGTACTTCGTCAACAGCACCTGCTAAACGAATGTTTTCTGCACTGTGAAATTTACTTAAATTGGATTTCGGTTCTCCCAATCTAGAACATCCTAAGACTCTTGGTAAAGTCAAGGAGGAACTTGTTCTGAATCCTAATTCACTTTGTACCATCCTTGTGGATAGAAGAGGAGTTTGAACCTTAAGACATCGATTTAGGCACTTCGCAAGATCTTCATCTACAGTACGAGGTGTAGGTCTGCACGTTTGAGTTGACCGTCGCTTTCTTTTAAGTCGAATTATCCAGGGAAGTTCATCATGGATAATTGATGATCCTTTCCCACTGTCAACATCCGATACTGAAGGTGATAACGATTTCACATACGCTTTTCCAATCGCTTTTAAGTCGTAAGGACGGCGGTGTTGTACAAGAACCGGCAAAGAATCCTTAGGTTTAGGTGAAGGTAGACGTTTAAAAGCCTTTACTCTAATAGTGTTTAACTTCTTAACCTGTGTTTCTGGAACGGATAAATCTATTCTTGTAGGTTGTCTTTGAATTGAAGAACTCATGTTATGGGTACTCCTGTCCATTTATTTTGAAATAAAAATACTTATAATATCCTTTTTGTGCAAGTACAACTTGTTTTTGAGACTGTGGCAATAGCTATTAAGCCTGTTAATCCTCAATCTATTCACTGCGCATTTTTCTTACATACTTAATCCAATGAATAAGAAAGGTCTATGCTAATTTTATTCACTCAATTAACTAGGTAGTCGGAATTACTAATTAGTGTATATAATTTTTTTTTATTTGAGTTACAAGCAGTTCACTCACAGTGAGACAAGTGCTTTTATAAAACTAAGATCAAATATCTATATCAATATGTATCCAAGAGTAAACCTAGTCAAAGGGATTTAAACTCCGAGGAACAGGAGTTAAAGTATGGCAAAGAGATTTCATCCAATTGTCACCATTTATAATTGATGTTGAAGCGACTATGTATTCGGCAGGAGCATCATCCAATTGAGAGAGAAATCTAATTTTTTGGTAGAAAGTACATATTTAATGATTATTTACATAATATTCTTTTTAAATATTGGACTGTACCTTAAAGCTGCAATTTCAGCAAAAGTTACACCACCAATAAAAAAGACTAGAGTACACTTTGGCTGGGAAGATGAGAAAGAGCTTGGATTATTTGCAACTTGAACTTCTTGAATTGTTGGTCCAGGTATATGTGACAAAACATCTTCAATACTCCTCCAACCGGGTCTATGAAGAAATTGTGCCAGTCTAACCGTTAAAGGAGCATAACCACTATACGTATAAGATATATCTTTAGGATTTTGAATGTTAACATCTTCAACAGTTAATTTTAAAGTTTTCCTCAATGTTGAATACGTTTTTAAATTTGATGTATGAACTTTAATTAGGCCAGCTCTTTCTAAATTTTGTAGAGTTATAATATTCTCAAAGCCATAGGCTAGAAGAATATCTCGTTTATATTGTTCAAATACTTTCGGTTTTAATCCATTTGAACAATAAGATTGAATACAAATTAAACGTAGAACTTTATTTAGAGACACTCTCTTAGCTATATACTTTTCAATAATTTCATGTGGCTTATCCGAATGAGAACCCATATAAAATTGTTGTTGAACGTCCAAACATTCTATGAAATCATGAGAATGAACTTCCTAAAACATTTTAATTTATTACTCAATGATTCTTGATGATAACTTTTAAATATAATAGTAATTAACAATGCCTACCTGATGGATAATGTGAGCAATGTTCGTATGTAAACTTAAAGAAGACTTAACGGCTTGTATATGTGGTAATTTCATAACAAAATTTTTCATATCTTCTACAGTTTTAGCTTCGTGTCTTTCGTTACTTTGTGACGTTAATAATTTGGCTTGTTTACTCAAATAAGCTCCAACGCTATGAAAGTTTTTATCTCTTATATCCGAAAAAACTTTGTCACCAGAATTTAAAATGACTTTTCCCTTATCACCACCTGATGGAAGGCGAACGATAGTATTGTTAATCGATAGTATTTCGTCGATTAAACCTTCATAGGTTAATTGATTTAGTAAAGGACTAAGAACGTCAACTGATCTGTCAATGAGAAGTAGGTTATCTATTTGACTTTTTCCAGAATCGCTTATGTTATATTCCCTTGTCATTCTTTTTAGTATATCCCATACATGACCAGCACTCGCTCCCTTGCCATAAACATTTGGAATGGTACCATAAAGTTCTTGTAGAGTCATCAAACTCTTAGCTACGTAATGGAGAGATTTATAGTCGTTGTTTATAAAGCAATCGGCAAAACAAGACGAATAGTCTAATGACAAGAGGTCGTAATCTAAAGGTAGCATTTCCAGAGGAAAATCTCCTACGTTTGTGAAGCTTTCAAGAGCTCGTAGTTCTTCCAATTTTCTAATACATAATTCGTTTTTTCTAGGAACGAAGAACAAGTGATAAGACACCTCTTCAAAAGGGTTGGAGGTATCGTTGCCAAGTATGCATCTGGCAATAGTTTGCATGAGTGAAATATTTGGACGTACGAAAAAAATAATGTTCCTAACAGCCGGTCCTGATGGGAGGGGTGCTCTCAGCGACCACATAATGATTACCTCGCAATCTTTTAGAAGAGTGTTTTCGGCAATAAGATCGAAGGGACCCATGAGAGACTCGTCCCAAACTATAGCTTTTGTCCCTTCGCAACATTCCAAACATCTTTTTAATCTTGAACGATAGGACTCACGAAGTTTTGAAACATTTATTCTTCCAACACTCAGATGGGTCGCCATGTTTTTGTCATGTGACACTGTTACTCAGCCATTGACAGCGCTCATACAGAATTCAACCAGCTGAAGTACAAAAAAGCTCAGACAGAATCACGCGATGAAAAATTTGTAACGGGTTCGCCTTCCTCTTCGCTTTTCAACTGACTAAATCATTAATAGAAACCAGGTTACATAATGAACTTTGAAAAAAATCTCATTTTTTTAATATGAAACCATAAACAAAGTGGTTATAAATTATATCTATTCAATACTTGTAAACTTGTTAAAACCTTTGCCGAACTTCTATTTCTAAAAAAGTTCTTTTCTTTTTGAGATTTATGCTTAAAATATATGTGGGTCATTACTGTGAATGACCTTGCCACAGAGATACGTGAAGATCAAATAAAAAGCCGGTATCACATTGGATGCGAGACTTGATTGGTAAAGAACTATATTTTATTTAAAATATAGTTGAAACTTACCAAATAAAAGATGGGAAAAGGTTCCTTTCATGACAATCTTAATCTTAATACTCTAACCTTAGAGGAAGTTCAAAAGCATAATACTAAAAAAGACAGATGGATCATCATAGACGGTTCTGTTTATGACGTGACAAACTTCGCTAAAAGACATCCTGGAGGAGAGAAGATTATACAGGGTTATGCTGGCCAAGATGCAACGGTAAATTGAATAACCATTTATTATCCTTTAAACTATAATAAAAATATTTTTTAAAACACGTGAAATTCATTCTGTTCTTCTCTTTCCTTAAAAATATACTACAATATTTAGGATGCTTGGACTGCATTCCATATTGATAGATCAATGGTTTCTAAATATATGAAACCGCTTCTCGTTGGAAAACTCGAGCATTCGACTGAATATAAAAATTCAAAAAGGGTACGTAAATTTGAATAGGCCTATGTACTGAATTTCTAAAATGCTAACACCTGTAATAATTTTTCACATAGAATAAAATAGAAGAGGATTTTCGCAAATTGAGACAGAAAGTTGAAGAAATGGGATTATTTAAGCCTAGTGTATTGTTCTTTTCGTTTATACTCGGTCATATTTTAGTCATGGAGGCAATTGGCATTTTCATAATGTATTATTATGGTACTGGATGGTTACCCTATGTTATTGCTGCTATATTCCTTACTGCCGCTCAAGCCCAGGCTGGCTGGGCTCAGCACGATTATGGTCATTTAAGTGTATTACCTAATAGCAAGTTAAACCATTGGGCTCACATATTTGTTATTAACTTTTTAAAGGTACAAACTATCTATCTAGATCTCTATAAGCACGTAGATGCTTCACATGTAAAGGTCAATTATTATCTATAACAACCAAAGGTTAATTTATCACACGATATCCGAATTCTTTTATCAGCTGGTTTTGTATACATAAAAAGAATTGATAGCATTACATAATTCTTAATACCTAAAGTCCATATCAAAGTTTTTAAATCAAACTAATTCAATAATTTTGTTTATCTTTTTTTTGTAGTAAAAAACTATAATGAATCAAATATGTTTTTTTTTAATGACTAGGGTGCTTCATCCGACTGGTGGAACTATAGACATTTTAATCATCATTCCAAACCAAATGTTGTAAAGAAGGATCCTGATATACGTCTCGATATGTTTTTTGTTTTGGGTAAAGTTATTCCTATTGAGGTAAATAGAACGTATAACTTTCATTGAGATAAGCGCATTTAACATAATTGACTTTCATTCATACAGTGGGCAAAGAAGAAGAAGGGATTTATGCCATACCAGCATCAACACAAATACTTCTATTTAAGTAAGAGTTTAAAGATAATCAATTCCAGTAATCTAATTATCCTTTCTTTTTTTATGTAATGTATTTAGTTCTCCCACCTCTATTACTTCCTTTATATTTCAACTACGAAATTCCTTACTATTTGTTGAGTCGCAAGCGTTACGGCGATCTCTTTTGGATGCTGACCTTTTTCTTAAGATACGAATTAATATTCTATCCACTATTGGGTTTCTGGGGAACTTTAGGATTGTTTTTCTTCGTGAGGTAATGCAGTTGATGAAAATGAGTTATGTCTATGTTAGCAAACAATAGTTCTTTAATATAAAATTATATATTCAGATTTATTGAAAGTCATTGGTTTGTATGGACAACTCAAATGAGTCATATCCCTATGGATGTAAATTATGATCAAGACGATGACTGGGTAACTGGTCAATTAAAATCAACATGTAATGTTGAACCGTCTCTATTTAATGATTGGTTCAGTGGACATCTAAATTTCCAAATTGAACATCAGTAAGTACTCCTTACTTTTTTGTAATGATCTCCTAAGTGCATTTTCATTCTCTTTCATAGCTTGTTTCCAACGATGCCAAGGCACAATCTGATTAAAGTGAAACCTCTTGTCATGTCTTTATGTAAGAAACATAATATTAAATATCACGAGAAGACACTGTTGGAAGCTATGGTTGACATTCATAAATGTTTACGAGAGTCTGGAGAACTCTGGATGGACTCCTACTATCACAAGTAGAAGCTACTTGACTGGTTCATTCATTAAAAATATTAACGTTTTCTATATTGAAAAAAAAAATCAAGAAAATCCAAGAAAAAGAACATTTGTTTAGTATTAATTTACTAAATTTTATGAAAATTCTGAAAATTTATTTACTATATACTAATACACCAAAAATTGGTGATTTTTTTTCTTTTAAACTACTAATGAAAATTAATGTACAGACAATAACAACTTTAAACTTGAAGATTAAGAATATTTTTTAATATCTTATTAAACTCTTGCTACAGACTAATCAAATCAGATTTGCGGTAATATCAACAAAATCATAGACAGTTTACACAATGTAAGATGATTCTTCCCCCTTCTTTAGATCATAGGTTCCCACTCGCTATTTCTTAGAGAATCTTCTGGTCTGGGATTTAGACCTGGTTCTAAAGAACCTCTCGTTAAACCCCAAAATACTTGCGGTTTTAGTTTTTCTTTGGTTGTAAATCTCCATCCGAGATGATGTCCACAATGCTTACATTGTGCTATTGTCCAACCATATCCAGGAAACCATGAATTTTCATAGATTGGCTTACCTATCAAACTCATATTTTCCGCTTTCATGGCAGTAATTGTGTCATGAACGTGCCCATTCGGATTAACATAGGCGGCTAGTGGACCAGATGAAGACATGCTAAATATGTCATCCTTAGATGTAACATATTCACCGCAGTGAACGCACAATAAAGCGTCCCATCGTTCAATGATGCTAACAATCATTCTTAGCCTTCTTACTACTGAATGTTGTGATAAAAGTTTTAATTTTAACTGATCATCGACTGGTATATTTTGAGATGCCCAAAAAGAGAAAGCGACTGGATCTTCTGGCATTGTCTCAACTCTTAGCCAAGATTTCAATTCTTTGGCTATTTTTTCTCGCAGGACATCTACATCGTACTGCTTATAAAGGAAATATGGTATATTGGTTCTATCGGCTCCAAGTTTTAGATATTTTTTTCTTTGATTTCTTGGTAGATTTCTGTAGCCGCCAGGTAATAGAGACGAAAAAGGACAAGAAAATTTTACTTCAGGTAAAATTTTCACTTTAGCAGTGAGGGTTCCGTCAACAGTTCTTCTTCTTCCGAGACATTTAAATCTCTCCCTGCCAATAGATTTTGCTGTAACCTCGAATATTCCAGTTCGACCATCCGAACAATCTTGATATGATATAATTTCGGCTGTAGTACCGATATCTGATAGTTCCATTACATGAGCGTTCGTCTCTTCATCTTCGTACACTCGACTATTTATGACCCCTATAGAACAAGGACCCTGGCCTTCACGCAGCCTTTTAAGGAGACATTCGGCAGGTCTTCCGTACAAGTGTAAAGGAAGAACATTTCCAGGAATTAATACAATACTTGGCATGGCTATTAATGGTAACTCTTCAACAATTTCATCTTCAATTCTTACAACTCTCCCATGAACTTCTTGTTGATTACTGCTCAGATACTTTGAGAAAAAAAAGATGCAATGTATTTCTTGTGAACTTTCAAATTTGACTTTTGACTTAAAATATACTATAGCTTGAAGAATATCATATGAACAAGATATCATTGCTTAATATTAATTACTTCACCCAATAAAAAGAGATATAGAGGGCGCTATATAAGTCAAAAGTCTGCTATCTTAAAAATTTAAAGGTATACTTGATGTGCTGCAGGAAGTGAGAGGTCGTACTGTACATCTATTTCTCTGTCTTCTCTGGTCTCAACTTCAGGGCTCGCATTATACATCTCAATACCTTCATCGCTTTCTGAAAAAGAAACTATTATACAAGCTTGCAAAACTAAATTATTGACAAATTGAGCGATATACTACTATGTGTCGTATTTACTTATTACCTTGATTTCTAATACGTAATAAACTAGTAAATACATCGCGTAATAATCCACCGAATAATCGAAACAGATGAAAATATTTTGAGAGAAAAGTATTGTTTACAGCTCTGTTTACAGCAGCAACATCTGAAAATCGGCAATAACTACTTGTGTTTCATATTAATATCAAAGCACTTGTACGTCTACTAATTAATCATTCGAACACAAGATACAATATTTTTAATTAATTAGATCTGGTCTTTACCAATTTCTTCCTGTTCCATAATTTCTTCATTTTGTGCTACATTGTGTAGATTCTCTAGACTCTCCGCCATTTTGAATGTTTACTAAGGAATTCTACAACAAGAGTGTGTAGTCTGTAATATATTTCTTTCTCAATAAATAGAGTACAGTATCTAGTTGGATATAAATATTGAGATGCCGCTGTTAATATAGTGACAAACAAATGTATACAATTAATAAATGAAAATTGGTACAATCGATCAACTTAACAGCAAAAAAATACCAAATTTCTAAACGTTACACTCAATTTTATTTTGTGCATTGTTTAATTCGTTTTCGCTTGGAGCGAAAATATAAAAACAATATTGCATAAGGATTCGTTCAGACTTGTTCAGAAATGGCTGATCCGATTGAACTACAAAATCTTCTCGCCGATGAAAGGGAAAGAATAGAGGAACACAAGAAAAATTATCAAATACTAAAATCCCAACATCAAAGGTAAATAAGGAAAAGAATAATATATTTAAAAAAATTTGAATTATTCACCCGTTTAGGTTACAAGATGAGTTTAATGTTGTTCAAACTGATTTCAAATCTTCATTGGAAGAAAGTCAGATGATGAAGGAGAAATATACACAGTTAATTGAACAGCTAAGAAGAGATTTGATGCAGAGAGGAGCTGAATTAGAGGAAGCAAAGTCTCAGGTTCTAAACAAATTTCCTGGCTAACGTTCTTTTTTAATACTTAATGAATCTTTTAGATAATTTCTAAGCAAAAATTAGAAATACTTAAATTAGAATTCGCTGATGATTATGATTCACCATATAAACGAAAATTAATAGCTGCAGAAGAGGAGTTAGAATTTGTAAGATCGGATTTAACTAAATTGAAATACGATTATTCTTTCCTTAAAAGTGAATATGAACATCAGGTACATAAATTTCTTCATTTTTTCTTCGAATATTATCTATAAAATATTCAATTTTAGACTGTAGAACGTGAAAGAATACTTGCCGAGCAAAATTTTCGCCATGACACCGAGGTTCCGTTATTCTTTTTTTCGAATAAGATTTGTTTTATTCAAAATCAATGTTATTACTATAGGTAAAAGCGTTAAGAAAGGAAAAAGAAGTTTTGGTTAACAGGCAAAATAAAGCTTCTAAGATCGACGCCGAGAAAAGTATGCAATTGCAAAGGGAAAATACTCAATTGAACGCCAAGCTAAAAAATTTAATTAGCGAGATAGAAGAATTAAGAGCTCAAAAGGAGCACGTTGGCCTCCAGAATGATCAAGTTTGTCGTTTACAACAGAAGCAACTGAATGAGCATAACGTAAACTGCAAAGCCTTAGAGGTTTGTGAATAGTTAATTCCATTATATCAATATCGAAAAAAGATTATCGAAATACTTATCCTAGGCTGAAAAGCAAACTTTGAAAGGGCATGTTGAGAGCCTGCAGAAAGAAATAAGGGAAAGTTTAGATAATCAGAATATATTAAGTTCAAGAGTTCATGAATTGGAAAGGGAAAACGTTACTTATAAAGGCAAAGCAACGGAAGCTGAACATTTGTGCAAAGTAAGTAATTGTTTAAAATAATTTTTTTGCTAAAGGATATTAATACTGTGTTTAATCTTTTAAGGTTGAAATTACAAATATTAAAATGCAAATGTTACGAGAAAGGGGAAATCTAGAAAGAGAAAGAGATAGATTACTGAATGAAATTGAAGAACTAAAAACACAATTGGAAATTAGTCAACACGAAGCTGATTCTAAGACTCAGCTGATTGTTGACAAGGAAAGAGAGATAGTGAAGAGAGTTCAGGCTGCTAGAGAAGAGGAATGGAAAAAATTGAATGAGATTGATAATGAAAGGTGATAAATAATTAAGTTTTTTACTGGTAGTTACTACAAGAAAAATTAAAGAAACGTTATGCAATTTACAAATTAAATTCTTTTGATCAGTAAATTTCAATTAGAAATTGTAAAATTAAACTCCTATATGCTATAGGCCTGACATTATTTGTAAACATTATATTTAACAACCAGGCTGCAATACGAAACGAAACTCCAAGAAATGGAAAGAAGGCGTATTGATGAGGATAATCATACTGCAAATGAAAAACAAAAGCTAGAAGAACGTCTACGTCAGAGTGAAATAGAAAAGGATGACTTAGAAAGAGCTGTTGTCAATTTGAAGTAAACTATCAATATTTTGTTTACATATTAGTTTTTAAAAAATACCATAATAATTAAATATTTTAAGGTCAAAAATTTCTCAAATCGAAAGTGTAACTCATCAAGTGGAACAAGAAAGAAAAGAAAATTCCGATTTGAAAAACCAGCTAAACAGGCTGGAAACGGAGTTTGGCTCATATATTAGTAGCGAACAACAGCTTATGCAGGATAACGATGAATTACAAATAAATATTAAGCGCTTAGAAAAAGAAATACTAAAGATAAAGGAGAATGCAAAACAAGATTTCGAAAATTTGGAAAAAAAATGTGATCAAGAGGTAATTAAGAAAATTCTTTTAAATACATTTTGTGAGATTAATAATTGATTTCAAACGTTGATAATATAGAGAATAGTATGGGCTGAAGATCGATCGAATTTACTACATAGATTATCTCAGACGGAAAATCAATTATCCACATCTAGCACAGAATTAAGAAGGATGAACGATTTGCAAGCCAAGGTATTAGCTTTACAATCAATAAGAAAATCAGATTACTTAACCCTGTTCCATTGATTAATTTAGAAAAAACATCAATATTCAGCTCTGGTCAGTAAGATGAAAAACAAATTAAAACTTTATCAAGTTAAAAAAGAGGAACTAGAAATTGAAAGAGATGCCCTAAAGTACGATATTCGTCTTTGAAAATCTAAAATATCTCTTACCTGTCTTTTTGTTTTAGAAAGTGTATACCTTCTGAACAACATAACCGTATCAAGAAGCAATTAAACGACTTGCTAAGAAGGCATAGAGATTTTAGGCATTTACTTTTAACAGGAAATCCCAGCGAAACAGCAGCTGAAGAAAAGCAAGGAACAAGCTTTAATTCTGATTCTGCACTACTAGTTGGGAGCGATAGGCTTAACTCTACCTTTTTAGATTATGTAAGTAAATATTGGTAATTAGATATAATTGTTAGAGATAGCGTCTTTTTTATTGTTATTGATACAAAGCAGATAAGAGCTTTATATATTAAGTGATTTTGTATTTAAGAGAGTCACTCTCATGACTATAGATATTTATTATAGTCTGAAACGCACCAATTCTTGGAAATTAAAGATGACATGGTCGAAATATGGGTAATACTTTCAGAAATCGAGAGTATTTTAATAAATTCCACATGTACTGAGGCTCTGACCAGTGGTGATTATTATAGTGACTTTGATTCATTGTATATTTACCAATTTGGCATGTGGAAAACAATCCTACGGGAGTTAAGGTGGTTTACGGGGAGAATTAATTATCAAGTTTATTTTTCTTTGTCCCTTGGTAGCTTTATTTTTAGACCCTTTAATGTTTGCTCTATTTATAATATATCTTTAGTTTTAGTATGAAGTACTCAGATACTAAAGATATATATTGAATTATCTCTAGGAGAAAGATTTGATGGACATAAAGACGAGAGTGGACGAATTAGAAGAAGCTCAAATGAAGCAAACGATAGCGTTGAAGCAAAATCTAGTTAGATCTATTAGCCCGGTTTTGTCCAGTACCGATGTGGAAGATGACAAGGATAATGGAACAGAAAAAGATAATGTTAACTCAGAAGAACTTTCATCACCTGCTTAATTTTTTATACCTTTTTTAGTATTAGGTTCAATCTGTCTCATATATTCATCCAATTAGTATTATTGTTAAACTGTCTGGTTACTAGTTTAATTTCTTTGTAAAAAGCTTAGATAATTAGTTTGTTAAGGTTGGTAAGGAAAAAATACACACATTATTATCTTGATTTCCCTTTTCATATTTATAAAAAAAACAGCGAACTGAATCGTCGTTATCGAAAAACGAAGAATTCACAAAATTGCTAAAACGTGTATGCAAGTTGATTAGACAACAAAAGCAACTAATTCACTTTCATAATGAAAGGAGAAACCTCCATTTAGGAAAAAGCTATAAAGTAAATTGTCTCCAGCACATTCTTTTCAGTGCTATAGAGAAACTTAGATGTCAAATTGACAAGAATTCATCGACTTATTGGTGTGATTGTTTAATTGAAGATAACATGAATAATGATAAAACACATCGTAAAAGCATGTCGAGTACATGTGATACCAATGAGAAATATGATAACAATGTAGCAACAAGTTCCAAGAGGAAAAGAAATTGTATTAGAGAGCGGAAAAGCTTTAAAACATCCCTTTCAGAGGTCCATAATTTAACTGCTCTTTTATCCTCAAAAAAAACATCAAGTCAGTCAACTCAAACAATACAAGTTAGTCGCAATAGAACAGATAAAATGAATATTCAGACTCAGACTGAACCAAGCCTATTGTCTATAGGAGAGAATTCAGTTAATGGCCAAGACTCTTTCAGAACACACCAAGCTGATTGCAAAACTTTGCCAGAAATAATTTATAAGATATCAGACAATGATAGCAATGAGTATTTTTTCACTTATACTGAAAAAGGAGATGTTAAACTGCAGAATTCTAATAATCTTAACAATCCAAGAGAAGAGTTTAACATAGTATCTAAGACAGAGAATAAGGAAATATCTATTCAAGCGGATAAACTTGACAACGATAATTTAGTAAAAACTTTAAAATATAATACAAAACCAGCATCCAATTTTATAAAAGAATTGCAATTGTCTCATTCATATAATATCGATCGAACGGAGGTTTTAGAATCAATTCCTCTATCGGATGAAAAAATTCTTAATAATCATTTAATTATCAGTGATGAATTACCCACTTTGGAGACTATTAGTTATGAGTATTATCCAATGGTATCTTATCAAGAATTTTATCATATTCCTCAAGATACACAAAAATTAGCAAATGTAGAAAAATTCGAAATATTCTCTACTAATATTCATTTCATTTTGGAGCAAGTTAAAACAGCCAAACCTCAGAAAAGTGAAAAAGCTATTGGAAATAGTAGAAAAAATAAGAGATGTATTAGTGCATTCAATCTTCAACATTGCGGAAACCCTTTCGAACATTTTCAAAATGAAGATAACAACAAAGCTATGACAAATATAACAAAACCTGATGAAATAATATCAAATAGATTAGAAAATCATGAATATAATAATTTTACAATAGAATTTGACGAAAGAGGAAACGTTTTACAAGGAGGCACTGCAATTTTTAAAAGAGAAGAAAATTCACAGCAGAAAAGTTTAATAAAAATAAAGAAGAATAAAACGGAAATAATTAAATCATCCTCTAAAGATAATTTAACTTGTTCATTAGAGTTTGACGATAGTTGGAAGAGATTGATAGACGACATCTTTAATTGCGAACAACTTCAATATCTAGGTTTTATTACAGATGAAGTAGAGAACGCTTATACTCTAAATAAGCATCAGAAGCAGAGCTTATTAGAAAAAGGATGGTGTGATCTACTGGATAAACCGCCTGATGAACAAATTAATAGGAAAATGATTCTATGCTATTTATATTTTTACTTAATTAGTATTATCCATAAATTTAATGAAGAGAATTTCTAAAATAGAATCATTACTCTCCTTGATCAACACATTGAAATTCTGGGTCAAAACGAAGTTAATTTTAACGAACTTGAAGAGGATGGTGTAAACCTATTAAACTACAAGGATATCATTATGAAAGCTTTGAATTTCTTACGTAAGATATCATCAACTATTAGACGTTCGGCAACTCCACGAAATATTGATATCAAATGCATACAAAGACTATTTTCTGATATTATAAACTACGGTAGAGAAGCAGCCATAAAAAATACTCTATTACAAACTTCTTCTGTAAGCGGAAAGGAGGAAGACTCGATTGGAGAAGATACCACTAGCGTCAACAATGAAAAACCATATTTTTCATCAACCGATTTAAATAATGCATTTAAAAAATTTTTAGAACCGAAACAAAAGAAAACCACTTCAAAATCCGCAACTGTCTTGTCCGACCGAACCATTCAATCGGAACTTTCGCTGAATGATGAAACAGCAAATGCAGTTGACTCATTGGGACAAATAATACCCGATGAAGCAAATTATATATATTCTCACGTAAACCCTGTTGTTAATATCCAATTATCATCGGATAGTTCAAGCCAAATATCGCTTAGTTCAACTGGTTCTGTTGGCCAAATTAACAGTTACGATACAATATCACATCAGGCAAGTACAAGTCAAGAGATTTCGTATAAATTGAGTAATATTGCTAAAAATAAGATGGATAGCATATTAAAAAGTTACGTTCCAACTATTAATCTTTGGGGCAATGACAGTAGAAAAGATGAATTGGAGAGTAATTCTCAAAATGAGATGAGAAAACAAGTTAAAGATAGTTTCTTATTAAAATCTAGGGATGCATTTCATTTTTTATCAATTTATTAATGCAAATAATGTAGGAAAAACAAAAAGAAATCATGATGTGCATCCTTAAGGCAATTTAATCGAATAGGAAAGGAGGAAAAAGCCACTAAACCTATACATCTTCCCGGCTATGTTCTAAAACAAAAAGGAAGCAATGATGGAATAATCCATCAAAAATCTCCTCAAAATGACAATAGCAATGAATTTAAAGAATCATTTATGTTTGTTACCAAACAAGAACAGCAAGAGAATTGTGATAATGATGAAGAAGATTCACTAGATCTACCAGATTCTATAAGATATATTCAAATGTCTCTATCTACTTCAACCGATGACGATGAGGAAATCCATACGAACAACTTAAAAAAAGATCGAAAGTCCTTCTTTTAAAAAGTTTTATATTTTAAACATATCATACAGCTTTCTTCTTAAAATTTTTGTACTGGATGTCAGTGGCCACTCAGTTATAAAAAATATTTTCTTTAAAGTATGCACGACGCCACCTTCCACATCACTTTTAAAATTCTCATTCCAATAGTCTTCAATTTCTTTATGGGCTTCCGTTTCTTTATGAATCCATTCTTTTTTCAGTTTAACAACTAAGCATAGATGACATCCTAACCTTTCATCCGGTAGACCAAGAACAACACAAATTTCTATACATTTATTATTGTTCATAACATTTTCAAATGGTAATGGATAAGTTTTTAAAGTGGCTATTTTGATAACGTCATTCAATCTACCCTGAAATTTAATGTTTCCATCATCGGTCATCAATGCTAAATCTCCAGTTTTTATCCATCCATTTTTATTAAGAGTTTTCGAAGTGTTTTCCGGATCATTAAAGTAGCAGATCATCATCGTCTTATTTCTTACCCAAATTTCTCCAATTTCACCCCTTTCTAAAATATCTCCATTCTCATCGCGAATACTGAATTCAGTTCCAGCAGGCAATACCGGAAATGGATTTGGATCTTCTTTCGTTCGAGTTTTTAAAAAAGCTCTTCCCATTTCAGTTGAAGCATAAACTTCAACAACTGGTAGAGAAGGAGCAATTTCCCATATGTGATGTATAGTTGACATACAGATCGCTTGACCGCCGGTAAGTATCACTTTAGCATGTTTGGCAATTAGTCGAAAATCATTTGGACTATTGACCATATCGCATATTAAATAGGCAAATAAGACTACTCTCGAACAATTCTCCTTTGAAATAATAGTAGCAATATCTTTTGTTGTAAAAGAACCTTGATTTGAACACGGATAATCTGTCATAACAACCTGTAATCCAGATAAAAATCCAAAAATAAGCGTAAGGCCACCCGAATATGCTAAAGGTCTATCGCTGAAAATAACATTATCCCCTGCTATAGAATTCATAAGTGCTTTATTTATATTTCCAAGATATTTTTTTTGATGAACCTGAACAAGTTTCGGTTTTCCTACAGATCCCGATGTTGTTAATATAATTAGGTCTTCGTCATTTTGAACTCTCGGTAACTTTGGTTTCATTGAACATTCCTTTATTAAATCTTTATAAAGTATAACATTATCTGTAACATTGTCCAATTTCTCATCCTCTATTAGAATAATATGAGAAAGGTCTTGTGCTTTCTTATTGTCTGAAAATCTTTTCCAATAGCTTGATAATGTTACTAATCCTTTGAATTTAAAATCATTGAGCAATAAACGCAGAAATTCTGTTCTTGGAGTAAGCAAAGTATTGAAACCCAACCTTTGGAGTCCAATAAATGATATAGCAAATTCTGGTCTATTTGGTAAAAGAAGACAATACACATCGCCTTTTTTACCTTTTCCGAAGAGATTATAAGCAAATTGAAGCGATTGATTGCTCCATTGAGATCTCGTAAGAGAAGATCGTCTCATACAAGAATCATAAAAAATCATACATTCCTTATTACCTTCTTCTTCGTCGTATCTATCTAGGAAATAGTCCACAGTATTATACTTGACTTCGTATTCATTTGGATGGTTTTTGCAACAATACGAAAGCTCATTCATTTTTTTTTCTAAAGTCAATCTTATTAAATCTCAACAGTTAAAAGTTATTGTAGGAGGGTGTGATAAAACAAGGCAAATACGCCTGATCCGTATACTTTAGACATTTAATACTAATGTGTTTACAATCCATTTGTACTTTTAAACTTTGGGAGGTCAAAAAAGTTCCTTCAATACTATTCTCGTCGTACAATACATATAGAGAAATTTCAGAGTTCTTACTGCATAATCAACTGTAGACGGGTCTTAGTTTATTAGTACTACGTAAGCAAGAATGACTAAATTGCGTAATTATTAGTAAAAATCTACGAATGTTCATACATAGTTATTTTGTTTGGAAATATTGAATCACCCTTATAATGGCCTACATAAAATCGATAACGCGATATTTTCCTCATTTTCCCTTACAGTGAGTTTTCACAACATATACTCCTTTCAGGCCGGCTATGAATACTATTTTGAACGCGTTATGTTTGTTTCTACTGTTGAGTATTTTCTCCATACAGTTATCTTATCAAGTTGTCTGCTATGAGTGTAATGCGATTGATAATGACTACTGTAAAGATCAATTCATTGAACAGAATAGCTTCGTTGGAACATGCGAAGGAGTGGCTTGTTTTAAGAGAAAGACCTCATATCCAAGTGGAATTCAAGATGTGATTAGAGGATGTAAGAAATATATTAGGGGAGACGACAACACATGTAGATCAGCATCTGTGCCTTACTCGGATATAAGACGTGTTAAAGCTGAAGATTGTATTTGCACTGGAGAAAAATGTAATAATTCAAGCAGAGCTACAGTACATGTATTTACTTTCTTAATGATCTTTCTACATGTTCATTAATGTAAACTACTTTTAGAATAAACTATCAATCATTGACATTTAGATTTTACCAATTTGGCATAAGTTTATCAGCTCCCTTCTCAGAATTTTTTGACTCGAAGTTAAGGGCCATTTGTTGATAAATAATAATCTGCTGAGTGTAAAAACTTCACCAGACTCTTTATCATTCTTGAAATGTTCATTCCAAAAGTTCTCAATTTCTCTTCGAGCTTCTGCTCTTTTATCTCTCCATTCTTTCTTCAGTTCAACTATTAAGCACGGTATTGTTCCTAATCTATCATCCGGCAGACCAATTATTATGCTTATTTCGATACATCTCTGAGTGTTCATTTTATTTTCGATCGGTTGAGGATATTGATTTAAAGTTGCTATCTTTAGAACGTCGTTAATTCTGCCCTGGAACACAATATCTCCATCGTTGGTAATTAGCGCAAGATCAGCAGTTTTTAACCATCCGCTTGTAGTTATAGTTAAGGAAGTTTGCATTGGATCAGTCAAATAATATTTCATTTGCGAAACAGTTCTAACCCATATTTGTCCAATTTGATTTCTATCAGTAACATCTCCGTTCTTATCTCGAATACTTAACTCAGCTCCAACTGCTAAAGAAGGAATTGGATTAGGATTTACCTTTGTTCTCATTCTGGAAAAGATCATTCCAGTTTCAGTTGCGGCATAGACGTCGATAATGGGTATTGCTGGAAAGGTTTCCCATAGACGATGAATAATAGGCATAACAATCTCTTGACCAGAAGTAATAATAACTTTAACACTTTTGGCAAGTCTTTTAAAACTTTCAATATCGTTTACCATATCGTACAGAAGATAGCCAAAAAATACTGCAGATGTACAGTTTTCAGTAGATATTATGTCGGCAAGATGTTTAGTTGTTACAGTATCTTAAAAATAAAGAAATTATTATAGATCTGTTAAAAATTTCTTCTATTTGAGTTAATTTTGCTATTAACTCACTTTCATTTGAACAAGAATGCTCAGTTGTTATATACTTCATTCCATTCATAAATGAAAATATATAGCCAATACCTCCGGTATATGATAAAGGTCTGTCACTGAAACCCACTCCTTGATAAACGATACTACCTGATTTAGCAATATTCGTATAAAAATTGATGTAGCCTCTTTGACTCTTTTGAACAAGTTTTGGTTTTCCTACAGATCCCGATGTTGTTAATATAATTAGGTCTTCGTCATTTTGAACTCTCGGTAGCTTTGGTTTCACTGAACATTCCTTTATTAAATCTTTGTAAAATATAACATTATTTGTAACATTGTCCAATTTCTCATCCTCTATTAGAATAATATGAGAAATTTCTTGCGCTTTCCTGTTATCTGAAAATCTTTTCCAATAGCTTGATAATGTTACTAATCCTTTGAATTTAAAATCATTTAATATTGACACTAAATGATTTGTACTTGGAGTAAGCAGCGTGTTAAAGCCCAACCTTTGGAGTCCAATAAATGATATAGCAAATTCTGGTCTATTTGGTAAAAGAAGACAATACACATCGCCTTTTTTACCTTTTCCGAAGAGATTATAAGCAAATTGAAGCGATTGATTGCTCCATTGAGATCTCGTAAGAGAAGATCGTCTCATACAAGAATCATAAAAAATCATACATTCCTTATTACCTTCTTCTTCGTCGTATCTATCTAGGAAATAGTCCACAGTATTATACTTGATTTCGTATCCAGCTGGTATATTTCCTTTAGCGTAGGAGAGGTTTTCCATGCCTTAAATATAGGTCAAAAAATCAGAAATAATTGATAAATGTAACCAAAATTTACACGTAAGCTTTTATTCTTAAAGCAATACTTGTTGCTGCCAAAAATCGATGTATTTATCACTGTTTTTCTTTTTTTTTTATCAATTTTTTAGTAAAATTACCAAACAGCTTATTATAACTAGGCCTAACCGATTGGTCTTTTTTTCTTTATACAGTATATTGAAACATGTAGACATACATTGATTTTTTTTTCTTTTTTACAATACAATTTTTTGTTTAGGCCTATTCTACTTCAAGAATTTATCTAACATAGCGTTACGTCGTCCTGATAATAGACTTAAGTAAGATAGATAAGAAATATTAGTTAATTGTAGATAATATTATTTTCTTTTGCTCGTTTCTGACATATTTATACCGCTTGTAATTTGTACTTTAGTGAGAGAGACGACATAATAGGAATATGAATACAATTTCTATATATTTATTGTTATTTTCTTTAGCGTTTCCATTAATACTATCGGATTCGTTTAGAAATAATGAAGAATTAAAAACTGGTATATTTTAATTTATTGTATTTTTTATTAATATAAATATATAAACAGTGTATTTATCTATTGATTTAAAAATGAATTAGTTAAGAAGGTAAAGTGCTTCAAATGTAATTCTAATGAAGATGGAAGATGTTTCGATCAGTTTAATACTAACTATACGAACACTTGCGAAGGAATTGCCTGTTATAAATCTATAACAAAATTAAGGAGAAAAAGTTTGGATGTCTTCAGAGGATGTAGAATGCATGTATTACCCGAAAATGAATGTTTTGGAAAATCGGGCCAATTAATAGCTTATCGATGTTTTTGTACCAAAGACTTTTGTAATAATGGAAATCAGTTAGTCGTATTTAACGGTCTCATTTTGGTTTTATATTTACTCTATAGTTTGTTCTAAATTAATTAAATAAACAAGATAATACAATCATTCAAACAATACCTCTATCATTTGTTTGAATATTCCATCTAGTATAAATTGAAAGGATTATAGTTATATTACATTTTCGTCTTCTTTCATCCGACATGAACATGTTCAAATTATGTCAATGGGCATTATTCATTTTTTCTGTGTTGTTGTTATTTCAACAAGTTTTACCGGAAGTTACATGCTATTCATGTAATTCTCTGACTAATGACTTTTGTCAAGATGAATTTCAAGGGGAAGGATTAGTCGATATTTGTACAGGTGTAGCTTGCTTTAAGAGAAAAACTTCATACGGAAATATCGTTAAAGATGTGATTAGAGGCTGCAAACAGAAACTTCGTACCAAAGAAAATTTTTGCGATTCATCAACAATTCCACTAAACAGATTAGCGAGAAGAATTGAATCATTCAATTGCTTGTGTACAAAAGATAATTGTAACTATGGCAATAGATTAAGTATAAACTTAATAATTCTTCTATTAATAAATAAAATATATTATTTATTAATATAAAAATATATATCTAAATCATCATTCAATAATCTTAAATTCTCAATTGATAACTGTTCAATAATTCCATTCAATTCTAATTTACTTAAATATTTATCCTGAAAAAGTATAAAACAAAGAATTATTAATGAAAAAATCTGTTATTTTCTTCTGCTTCTTTTTTTTTTAATAAAAAAAACTTTTACTTTATTTCTATTTGCTTTTAAAAATAATTCATTCGTTCTAGTTTTTGTATAAAGTCTAGAATCTATTTTTATCCATTCTCTTATTTCGTTTCTATTTAAATATCCGTCGTTGTCTTTATCTCTTAACTTTGAAAAGTCTTTGGTTAATTCGAAAACATCTTCTTCATCAGTTGGCATTGAAATTTCTTTTTTTTTAAATTTTTTCTTAAGAGATTAGCAAATCTATGAGATTTAATTAATCTTACTAATGTACTCGGATAGGCTAATTAAATTGTCATTGTTCGAATCGAATTCTTTAATTGTTTCCTAATTTAATAATTTTCAAGTAATAATTACATATCGATATCATTTGTTGTTTATTTGTTTATTTACATCAATGACTGCGTCACTCATAAATGGGAAATCTTCTGGATGAAGGAAATAATGCCATTCTTGAAAATTTAAACAACTATCACCATCTGTATCTGCATATTTCCATCTATTCTTATTTCTATTTAGTACTCTACTATATTCAATATCTACGTTAATTAACATATCATTAATAAAACTAAGACAAATCAATTATTAGTACCTATCTCTAAACTAGTATCTTTATATTGTAACCATGACAATTTATTATTATTCACTTGCTTTAGATTCTTATAATAGGCCTAATTATATATATATATAATCAATTTAATATAGAGATATATAAGGATAATGTACTTTCCAAAGCATTTCTGATTCAAGAACTAATCTTCTACATTCAATTTTATATAAGAAATTTTCAAGCTCTTTCTCGCTAATGTGTTTATCATTGTTTGTATCAATTTTAATAAATACATTATCTCTAAGATAAGAATATTAATGAAAGCTTAAATGAGGTTAGTTATATTAATTATACAACTAATAAATAAATTAATTAATTAACTTACAAATTAAACTTAATCTTTTGTTTTCTTTCTTTATATTCAATCTATATTTTAGTGATTATATTATACCTTTCTTTCTATATTTAAATTTTTACCTTTTTCAATTGATTTTTTGCCTTTTCTAGCCAATTTTTGTTTACTTTTGTATTAATTACCGAAAAATGAGTTAAAAGTATAAAATAGAGAACTAATTTCGTCATTTTCTCCTTTGTTATTAAATTATAAAAAGAGAAAGAATGACGTCAATTCTTCTTTCGAATTGTAAAGAGGACGGGGTCAAGTATCTTTTTAATATAGTTTCATATAGAAAAGTCTCAAAAATTAGCGATGGATTGGGATGCTATGCGACTAGAATTGAAACAAAGCGGTTTAGCTAATCATCTTATCGAAGAGAAAATTAATCAAATCAAATCAATTATGGGCATTAATGAGGTTAATATATTCATTTATATTAAAATTTCAAAGTATATTTTTATTTTTCGTAAAGCCAAAACTTCTTTCCCGCCCATCTAATCATTCTCGACCTCCTTCCCTCTCTCCTACTCAACAACAGTCAAAGAAAACTATTAAAATCAAGGTAATATTGGTAATTATAAATTAGATGTTATTAGTAAAACTCCAATATTTTAGTCGACCAAATCTCAACATTTAAAGAAGGTTGCTCTTATGGAAAAGAAGAAAATTTCAGATCCGGGAAAAAGTTTTAAAAAGAAGGTTAATCCGCTTATAAAATATCATTCAAAAAACAAATCTAGTAGTGTAAATAAGGGAAGTAAAATTCCCAAGAAAGTTGATGATAATCCGAAACAAAAGATTAATTCTTCCGATTCAAAAAGAATTAACAGTACAGAATTAAAAGGAAGGAAGACGCCCGTTCAAAAGAATCCTAGCTTAAGGGAAATGAAAGAAGAATTAGAAATACGTAATTTTTCAAGGAGTTTAATTAATTCGTTTAACTAACTAATACATACATAAAATATGCTCAGATCTAGGAAATATTGAAGGTAAATCTCCCGAGTGGGTCAGAGAAACTTGGACCTTTGTTTTTATGAACGACGATGAAGATGAACCTATTAGGCGACCTTTAAAGAATATATCAAACGAAAGAAGTGTTAAAGTTGAAAATACAGAATATCGTGAACCAACGCCGTTTGCTGATTCAAAAGCTGATAATAATTTAAAGATATCAGCTGAAATTCGCAGACGAATGGTTGAAAATAAAAAACAGCCTTTGAAAGGACCAACCACCTTGTCTGTTTTACATAGACCTAAAAAAATTGGATATGAGATTATCTTCGAAGAAACAGAAGATCAGTTGAGAAGAGAGAGAGCTATACCGAGATACGGCCAGGCAATCATATGCAAAATAAACGATTGTGTATCGTATAAGCCAACCGAACAGAAATTAATGTATAGGTCTCAAAGAGCTATAGAATACGGATTTATAACGGTTAGAACGATAGACACGTTAGATCCAAAGATACCTAAATCTTTTCTAAAGTGGAAAAAGAAGCATTGTAGAACCTCTGAATTCGGAAAATCGCCAATTTGTCGGAGTTTACTCTCAAGGAATGAAGTTCATTATTATATTTAATAGACGCTTTCGATTAGAAAAACTATAAACTTCATTCCTTTAGATCTAAAAATCCATCAAAGAGAAGTAGAACATTATCGAATCCAAGGAATACTCTTGAATGTGCCGAAACAGGAAGCTTAAACGATCTTAAAGTGAAAAATGATCTTCATCATCAAAAAGTTTTAAAAAATTCAGAAAAAGATTCAACATCAAAAAAAAGAAAGGCTAAAGATAAACAAGCAGGGTCTAAGAAGCCAGCTAAAGAGGATAAAAGAGGATCGAGAAGATCCATTAGATTATCAAGTAAACCAAGAATAAATTATTCAGAAATGGATATTTAACGTTTTTAATTATTTATATTTAATTTTAATTTGGGTATAAATTCAAATTTATCTTAAAGACGTTTTATCTATATGGTTTACAACGATTTACCTATCACAATAGTGAATTCTTTCAGCTTCGTCTTGTAATTTGTGTAATTCTTCTTGTATTTTGTCAGCTAAACCTTTCCAAATTTGTTGCTATATTCAAAGGTAGAGAAAGAGAAATTATATATATATATATGTATATGTAGAGTTTATATTAAAATTTTGTCATAAATTCTTACCGGTTGCTTTGACGTTTCTCTAAGCTGTCTTAATAAACCACTTAAATAAATAGGCTTTCCGACGACTAAAGTAACTTTCTGTAATGATTAGTAAAATCTGATTGTTGAAATAACTTATAAAGTATGTTTAACCTTTCCAACACGAGGAAAATATGGTTCCTTATTAGGCAGTATATCGTCCATACCACAGTGCCAGATTGGTAGGATTATTGGTAATGTTTTGGCGTCTTGAATTAAACGCCCAACTCCTAAGATGAGAAGTGAATGTTCGATTTATTAACTATATGTTTCAAGGAAAAAACGTATTTGAATTATAAACTAACCCCATTTGATGCGTTTCTTTTCGTGCGTCTCATTAACACCACCTTCAACAAACAAATGGATCCAACTACCTTCATTTAGTCTCTGCAAAATATATTGCATACTAGGTTGAAAAACTCCATTCCCTCTGATAACGGGTAAAACTCTTCCCAGAGCAAAAAAATAGGAAAACAATTTATTTGTATAGCATATTTCTGAAGCTCCTAAAGCCCATCTCATCTTGTCATTTGTAAATGTGAGAATATTAAGTGGCATATTACCTTTAGACAATTAAAAGTAAGAATACAAGTAATTAGTTTATATTAGTAATATATATATTAAGTTAATTACCAAATAGTACTGGATCGTCTAAACATGAGTGATGATTGCTTACAGTAATTAAACCAACTTTTTCGTCTCGGTTTTTAACAAGATCCATTAATTGATCCATATCAACACAATTTGTTCTATTTAAAATATCTATAAGATAAAAATTAGAGCACTTTAGTGACATTAGCTTGTACAATGACCAATTATTAATTATTACGAACTGCACCAAAATTTCGAAATTGCGCCTACAAGAGATATGCAAATCTTGCTAGAGATTTTCCATGTTCTTGGATTTCTTTGAGCAACGTCGAAAGGCCAAGGAGGACTAGGCTTCATCTTAGAATCTGGAAATATAAATATTAAAAGACTCTATTGTGAGCGATAATGCAAAAATAGCTGAATATATACGTTTAGTGACTTAAATAAACCTCAGTCAAATAATATTTCGAGAACGCTGTGACTTTATGATATGGTGAAGGTAATGAGGCCTACATGGCTTTGTTTAACAAGATAACATGAAAAATATTCTTTTATCAGTTTAGATACAGCAGTCGGCCATGAATTTAGCGCCATCTGCAGGCAACCGCAACGCCCTTGAGTAATGTGGTTACGTGCTCTGCACATAATTTCTAACATAAAAACCTGATTTGAACCAACGATCCCTGTTGCTCACAACCTATCCATCTTCTCTACATGGCTTCGAGAACTTTAAGTCAATTTTTAGGAAAATTAAGACATGTCAGGAAAAATGACTTGTTGTATAATCAACAGAGATCATTCTATTTATATTCCCCCGAGCCGTTTCACCCTATTCCAGGAAAAGAACCAAAATGGATGTCAGCTGAAGAAGCAGTCTCAACCGTAACTTCAGGACACAAGATTTTTATTCATGGATGTGCTGCAACACCTGTCGATTTAGTAAATGCCCTGGCAAAACACGGAAAAGACTCGAAAATCAAAGACGTGGAGGTTATTCATATTCACACTGAAGGACCTGGTAATATTCATATCTTTTTATAACTAATCTTTTACTATTGTTCAAGAACTGATATAGTTAGAAAATGATTAAAATTTCGTAACAACTTCTTACGATAATTTATTTTCCCTTAGCAACGTATACAAAACCAGAATACGAGGGAATATTTCGTTCGAATTCACTTTTTATTGGGGGTAACTGTAGAGAAGCTGTGAATAGTGGAAGAGCAGATTTTACACCGATCTTTCTCTCTGAGATTCCGCATTTATTCCGTAGAAAAATAATAAATTTGGACGTGGCCATAATTCAAGTATCTCCTCCAGATAAGCATGGTTTCTGCAGTTTAGGACCGTCTGTTGATTGTACAAGAGCAGCCATACAGAATGCAAAGCATATTATTGCCCAAGTAAATCCAAAAATGCCTAGAACTTTTGGAGATGGTATCCTGCATATGTCCCATTGTGACGCAATGGTTGAAAGTGAAGCTGATTTACCTGAATTACCCAATCATAAACCTTCTGCAGTCGAAGAGAAAATTGGATCATTGATTGCTGACAATCTTGTAGCTGATGGAGCAACTTTACAAATGGGGATTGGATCTATCCCAGATGCTGTTTTAGCTAAACTTAAAGATCATCGGGATTTAGGAGTACATTCTGAAATGTTTTCAGATGGGGTTGTTGACCTTGTGGAGTGCGGAGCAATCACTAACGCTAAGAAGACAGTCCAAACAGGAAAGATTGTAGGAGGTTTCGTACTAGGAACAAGGAGATTATACGATTTTCTAGATGACAACCCTTTTGTTGTCATGTGTGACATATCAGTAAAGATTTTTCAATAGCCTATTCATATTTGTCTTAACTAGCTTATTCGTTTCAGTTTGTCAACTATTCACCAGTTATTGCCCAGAATCCCAAGGTGACTGCTATAAATAGCTGCATAGAGGTCGATCTGACAGGTCAAGTTGTCAGTGATTCAATTGGAACAAGAATGTACTCGGGAGTTGGTGGCCAAGTTGATTTCATAAGAGGAGCCGCTATTGGTCACGATGGTCTTGGAAAGCCAATTTTGGCAATGCCAAGCGAAACTGCAAGGGGTGAATCTAAAATAGTACCATTCCTTAAAGAGGGTGGTGGAGTAGTTACAACCAGAGCGCATGTTCACTATATAGTTACTGAATATGGTATTGCTCACCTATTCGGTAAAAATTTGAGACAACGCGCCTACGAGTTGATTAGGATTGCTCATCCTGATCATAGGCAAGCTCTTGAAGAAGCTGCCTTTGAAAGATTGAGATGCATGCCCAGCCCCTAAGTTTTCTTCTCTTATCCAAACTATTATTTCTCAATTGAAAATGCTCTGTATAAGTGTTACTAAAATACGGTTACATTAGTTGCACTATAGAAACTAAGCTTTATCGTCTACTCGCCCAAATGCCCTTTCTCCTCCCCCCCTCTCTCTCTCTCTCATATTTTTCCATAGAATCTAACTACAACAAATCTGAACATTTCAGTGTAATATACACGAGAAAAACAAACTTGATAAAAAAAAAACTCTTCCAAATTTACTTTCTCCTTTAAAAAAAAAACAAAAACTGCTAAAAGAGATTTATTTAAAAAAAAAATAGTAAAAAGAGAAAACACTAAAAATTTGTGAAGAAACAAATATGTAAAACACGCTTGATTTTTGGAGATATTATATCTTTGTTTTCTATCAAAAAGAAAAAAATCTATAAAGAAAAATCTTTTTAAAAAATATTTGTTTTAAGGATTTGAAGTCCTTAGACAAAAAGATAAAAGTCAATCTTTTCCTAGAAAATTTCCTTTTAAGAAACGAGCAGATGTTGGCTTTCTTTTTCTCTAACCATTTAATATATATACATATATATTTACATATATATATCTATATATATACATATTTAATAAAATACAAAAAGAATGCCTTTACCTAAATCATACAAAGTAAACATTGTATTTTAGTAACACTTCTAATCGTTGGAATCTCGGAAAAAATGTGTTTCTGTCTCTATTGTAATTCACGAATAACTACTTGCCATAATGCCATCTTGTCTATTAAAAACGTAAATTTATTGATTTCTTTTAGTCATTGGCCGCAACTTCACCTGCAAAGAAGGATCAACGTCCTCTCATGCCCGGGTCGCTCTCCTTCAAGGGCGGTCAATGACCTAGTATATTATGTTGCGTTTGAATATTCATTAGTCTTAGGCGTCAATATTACTGTCTAAAATGAACTTAGCTTATGAGAAATGCGAAAGACAACATAGTGAATTTTGTACAGAAATGAGAATTTGCGATCAAAATAATTCTTTATTCAAAAACAAAGTTTTTTCGATTATACTAACTATTAACATGAATCTTAGTAACAAGTTTCACTCGTGTACTACAAAAGGCAAAATTTTAACACTAATTACTGGAAATGCTTTCCTTTGCTTTTTTCTTCTTTTTCTTCTCCTTTTTCGAGATTACTTCGTCTTCATCTTCAGAAGGATACGATATTTTGCTTTTGCCAATAGAAGACAGCTTCAAAATTTCTTCATCTGTATTAGTAAAAAGTTATAGCTGAGTTGAAAGCTTAAAAATAAATTGCATATCAAATTAAATATCAAATGTTACCAACCCGGTTTATTAGCAGCCTTTCCATTTATTGGGGTTGATGACACAAAATCTCTTTTATTTTTGGGACTATCTGTCAAATAGTTAAGCAATGCTATGCAAATAGTGAAATGATATACAGTTTATAAAACTTACTGCTTTCCTTTTCGTTGACCACATTTCTCATCTTCAAATCTTTGGGAACTTCTTTCTTGGTCTTTTTGGGCTAGAGAACGAATGTAATACATATATTTATGCCTAAACTTTAAAATTAACAACCTGCGGTTTATCTGCGGTAGTTTTAGTTCTCTCAGTGAGTTTCTTACGGACATCTACTAAATAACTTATAGGGGGTGCTAAAATTATTTAAAAATATGTAATTTTTCAAGCCAAAAAAATTAATAATAACAACTCACTTATAGTAAATCCGGGATCTTTCTTATTTTTCACTAAAACATTTGGAGCTTCCTGAAAACATACTAGTTTTACATATTACATTCATACACTAAGTCTAGTTGTTCCCTACCGTGGGCTTTAGAGGTATGACATCGAACTGCCAATTACTTCCTGGTAATTTTTTCTAATAATAATAAATTGATTAGAAAAGTTTATAGAAAATTCTAAGTTTTTTTTACCGTTGTATGCTTTTTCTCATCAATAACGTCTCTGCCAGGAAGATGTAAAGTTTGACCATTGAGAACGCGAACATCAAACTAGAAGTTGAAAATTTGAAAGTTTTATTTGATATCGAGTCTTTAAAACTACAACTCTTACTCCTTTGGGAAGACTTATACATAGCAAAGTTTTTCCTGAGCTGGCTGTTGGCTTCATAACTTCAGAAAAGTGAACATCTTCCGCAACAGCCATAGGTTTATCCTCTTCATAGCTAAAATATATTATACACATCATAATTAATTTAATACTACATGAAGTATAATAACTTACAAGTGCATTGTTTGTTTTTGTAGAGCAATCATTTTCTTTTTGGAAATATCTGGTGTACCCGATCCCGTTGATTTCGGTTTTACTTTAGGTGAATTGAAGTTACTATCTTTCAATTTCTTCGGACTGGCTTTCTTTTCTGTAAACATTATTTTCTTATAAATAAATCAATCTTTCGTACAATTTTACCTTTAGTCTCTTTTTTAGCTGGCATACTTTTCTCTTTCATTTCTTTCGTTTCAAGAAAAGATACATGTTTTTCCTCCTCGGAAGAATCAGGGGAATCGGATACTTCGTCTGGTGTTGTCAATTTAGACTTATTGACCGATTTCTCATCGGATTCTGAATCTGAAGATGTTTCCTCCTCTTTTTTTGACTTTATGGGTGACACCTTCTTTTTGGGACTTGTCGAAGACGATTTCGAAATATTCTCGAGTTTTGTAACAACCTTGGAAACCTTCTTTGAGCTAGCACCTCTATCGTCACCACTGCTATCGCTACCACTGGCTGAAGATGAATGTTGAACTTTACTCTTTTGAACGATTTCTAAATCAGAGTCAGACGATTCCTGCTTTCGTCCTTTACTGAAAGATGACTTAAAAATTTTCGAATTTCTGGATGGAGTTTCTTGCTCTCTATTCGGTTTTTCATTTTCGTCGCTGCTAGAATCAGAGTCATTGAACGATTTTCGAGGCTTTCCTGTTATAATAACTTGTTTATGAGCTTTCTTCATCTTCAATCTCTCGTCTTCTTTGCTATCACTATCATCATCACTGGACTCCGCAAATGACTTAGAAGATTTCGGTTTCTGAGGTGATTTAGTCTTAAATTTCTTTAAATTATCATCACTGCTATCCGAACTCGAACTAGACGACTTCTTTTTCTTCTTAGATTTGTCAGGGAAGAGTTGCTTCGAGGACTTAATAGCCTCAGGAAATTCTTCATCTGAACTCGAATCCGACGAGTTTTTAAATAAGGATGCTTGCTTCTTTGATCTTTTCTTATTCATAGACACCGTAAAAATTGCGGGCTTTTTCATTTTTGGCTTTTCGTCTTCTGAAGAGGATGAGCTTGAAGATTTTCGCTTCCTCTTTTGACTCGATTGAGTTAAGATTTCATTTCTCTCGTCAGAATCGGACGAACTATCTCGGAATTTTTTACCTAAAAAATTCGTAACGTGCGTATCTAGAACATTTAAGAAAGTTTTTTACTTACTTCTTCTTTTTTCAAAAGAAGTGACTGCTTTCATAGTTTCCTGAAATAAATAAATTTTAAAACTATTTCTTGAATTTGGACTTAAACACCTTAAGCGAGTCATCTTTCGAATGTTTCTTAGTCTTTGATTTCCCCATAACTTTGAAATGGAACAGTTAAGGTATTATCGCTCAGCAAAATAAACTCTGATGAAGACAGGAAGGGATATGTAAAGTTGTTCTTTGGATAGAAAAGATTAGCAATTTATTAATATTAATATTATTTGTTTATTTATTTACATACCTCTGAGTACTTTCTACTTAAATTCCCACGTGCTCGTTTTAGAGAAATTCGACCATCTTAGGTCACGTGACATAAAAGATTCCTCGGGCGCGAATTATTTAAAATTAATCGCGCCCCCTGGCTTATATTTGGAGAAAATCCATCACGTTACGTATAATTGTTAAACTGTCACTCATAAATGTCACTAATTGCAAACAACTCGTCTTGATAGGCAAACAAGTAAGGGATAAGGTAAATAGTTCACTTAAGGTAATCAGCGAATTCGAATAAATGAGCAAAAGAATTTTTATTATAAAAAAAAGTGTGTAAAATAAATATCTTATCATAAATGAATTGAAAACGTAGAATTATTCACTGAATAATATGAAAATTGATAACCTAAAATAGAAAACTATAACAAAAACAAGACTTTTACCTAACAAAAGAATTTCTTCTAAAGTATACGAAAATAAACAAATAGCATATTTTTCAAATTAGGGTTTTTAAGACATTGTCTGGACTAAAAAATCTCAGCCTTGAAAATAATAACTCAGAAAGAACTCATAATAGAACTAGAAAGAATTTTGTTATACCATAAACACTGATTTATGATTGCTGTAGGGTGGAGGTGAAGAACGATTTGAATCGTTGTCGCCATTTTCTTGAGTAAATGCAATATTTACAGTACCACCTTGTGTTTCAGATTCTGAAGTACTTATGTATGGAACTGCAAAACCGTCAGGATTTGTTCGTTTCCCTATGAAGCTCGTTCTAATGGGTATTTCGCTAAGAAGAACAACTGGTTCCGTACTTTCTCGAAATTGACAGAAAAGTTTTGCGAGTAAAACGATAACAACCATAATGAAAACAACGCCAATAACAATCGCTGCTATCCATGCCTTATTACTTGAGTCAGAGTCGTCATTAGAGTTAAAGTTGGCAGATCTATTATACAAATCTGTTACCGTTAAATTATTTTTTAACTCATTAGCTGAAGTTGTTAAAAATAATACTTTTGACGAATGACGCAGATGAACTGTAGATTTCTGACTATTTGTTGATGCGATCAAGGATGATTCACTTGCTGGCATAATTATTTTTTGTAACGTAGACAATTGGCTCGTTGCAGATGTAGATTCAGGTTTTTCAGATGTTTGCTGTTCGGTAGTAGTAGAGGATAACACATCGTTTTGAGTTGTTAACAGAGCTTTTAAAGGTGATAGCGGGGTCGTTCCAAATTCTTTGGCAGAAGTAGTTTCATCATATTGCGTTGTTATCAACGCTTTTAATGTTGATGGCGTTCTTGTTTCAAATTCTTTAATAGATGTAGAATCGCTTCTTTGCGTGGTTATTTTTGAAGTTGATAAATGTTTCGTTTCAAATTTTCCGGAGGTAGATTCGATTTTTTCAGGTGTATACTGTTCTGTTGAGGTAGAGAATGATTCATTTTCTTGAGTAGCTGTTGTCAGCAATTTGGAAGTGTCTAACCGACTCGTTCCGAAAGCTTCGGTTGTTGTTGAGTCAATTTTTTTAGCTGTATGTGTTTCTGTATTAACCAAGGATTGCAATGAAGCTGTAGTTGGTGAACTTTGATTACTAGACACATTTATATCGCCACTTTGGGAACTTTTTGTACCATTACTCGTTAAACTTGCGTTTTTGCTGAAGCTTGATGTAAAAACTGATGTAGAATTTGTTAAAAAGTCATTTCCTGTAGTGATGTTATCCTTTGTTCCACCTAGAGTAGTTCTTGCTTGAGTCATTTCAGGTGTTCGACTGAATAATTCTTGACTTCTGTTAGGAATCGCTGATAACGATCGGTCAGTTGAACTCTTTAATATTAATTTAGATGAGGTTGTTGTGAAAGTTTTCACTTCATTGATAGTTAATTGGGTTTTTCCAACTGCTTGACTTTGACTAAAATCTCCTTTGGTTTCACCATAAGATGCCATAGATGCGGTAGTGGCAGGTTTTGAGGTATTCACAATTGTTCCATTTTGAGAAGATAGCAGGAGCGTAGTAGAATTTGTTTTATTGGACAAAGGTGTATAGGTTGTCTGCAGCGTAGTCTGAGAAAAAATTAGCCGAAGACAGACAATTATATGAAACAATAGCACTCGAAAGGCTTTCATTTTCCACTAACAGATAATCCAAAAATAGAATCACAAAAAAATAATCATCAAACAATTAATTGTTAGCCACAGAAGATCATATTATAACTGAAGTTTTTAAGCGTCTGCGCCAATTTCCGTTATTATTTTCGTATAAAGTGTTTGTTTTTCTTTTTTACACAATCAACAAACACATTATTAATATTATGTAATTTATATCATATATTAGTGATTTTCTTTATTATATACATTCATACGAATATCGATTAGAAAATAGAGGAAGTATTGCGAAAATTGCACTTTTCTCCAGCCAATCAGAAGAATTATTACAACGGCATTTTACAAGATGGCTGAACAGCAAGTTTCGTGGCTGGACCAAAATGAAAAACTTTTGCCATTATTAGAAAAACCTCACCTAAAAGGAGAAGAATGGTAAGTATTTATGAACTTTATCTTAAATCTAAAGAGTGATTATTGAAGCTTTTTCGGCCGTAATAGTCAATTTTTTCCATGAATTTTACAACACGAGGATATCCGTTGTAATAATTACGTAGTAAAAAATTTGAAACGCTGAGTAATAATTGTACCTTTTCCAATTTCAGGTATGTCATAGATCATAGGTGGTTAAAGCAGTGGAAAGATTATATAGGAGCTAATGATGTACCCGGTGGACAGGAGACTAACTATCCGGGTACTATAAATAATGAAAATATTATCGATAAAACTCTCGATCCTTTGCCGGATTATGGTCATTTCGTTCTGCACAATATATCTGAGAACGTCAACTACTCATATGTTCCTAAGGAGGTCTGGACGACGCTTAAAAATGTCTATGGCTATCATCAAATGCATCCAATAAAGAGGGAAGTTGTTGAAATGGGAGATTCACAAACACCGACAATTGAATTACACTTAATACATGTACGACTCACAAGAATAGAAGATAGAAATAACTTGGATATTGCGAAAGATAAATACTATAGTTGTAAAGTAACGATAGACACCGTCTGTCAAGACACTATAAAACTTTTCGACTGCAAAGGGGTCAAAAATTATCGTATTTGGTCTAAATATAAAAAATGGACGCTTCTGAAGGGGAAGTATAGTTTAGATCAAGTTGGTTTAAAGGATGGTGAAATTCTCTATCTGGAAACAACAAAAAGTTCATCTTTCGATTGCCAAAAGCAACCGGACATATTAGCTTTCCAGAATGGAACTGAGGAAGAACCTATGGATTATTGTGAAGATCAAGAAATGGACAATTATGATGAAATGAGCGTTGTATCTCCTTGTGGCCTATCGAACATGGGAAATACTTGTTTCATGAATAGCGCTCTGCAATGTCTTGTCTCAGTCGGGACATTGACGCATTATTTCGTTTCAAACAAGTATGTGTCCAAAGAACTTTTTATTTAAATTTAAAGATATAATTATACTTAAAAAGCTATTAAATCTCATATAACAAGAGTTTCACCTGGAATAGAATGTATGAGATGCAGTAGCAACATGTCACTTTAATTTAAAAACGAAATTAGCATAAAAGATGAAATTTTTATTTAATAATTTTTGAATTTTTTCAGATGGAAGCAGGATTTGAACAAAAGCAATCCGTTAGGAATGAGAGGAGAAGTTGCTAAAGCCTACGCTGATCTCGTCAAAGAAATGCACTCTTCAGCAAAGCAGATGCATTCTGTTCTACCTAGACAATTTAAGATAGCTGTTTCGCGATTTGCTCCACAGTTTTCAGGCTGGGCACAGCATGATTCCCAAGAACTTTTAGCTTTTTTATTAGACGGTTTACACGAAGATTTAAATAGGATAAAGGACAAACCATATGTGGAAACTAGAGAGGCAGACGGGCGTCCAGAAGATAAAGTCGCACGAGATTCTTGGAAGGATTATACTAAGCGTAATGACTCAGTAGTTGTTGATACCTTCCACGGACAACTTAAGTCAACACTAGTCTGTCCAAAATGTTCTCATGTTTCGGTTACTTTTGATCCTTTTTGTTATTTAAGTTTGCCTTTACCTCAAATTCGAAATCGTTGTATAACGATTATTCTCTTAGGAAAAAGTCCCATATCAGAGCCTACTGAACTTCATGTGAAAGTTGAAAAACAGGGTCGAATACTGAATTTATGTGAAAGTGTAGCCCAAGCAGCTAATGATAGACTGCCAAAAGACAGTAAAGAAAGGATTAACCATGAAAATCTTATTGTTGTTGAGGTTCATAGTGGCCATATCTCTAAGATATATAACCCAGGCGATGCAGTATCAATGATAATGGATAAGGATTATATTAGAGTATTTGAATTAGCAGCTGTCGAAAGAGGAGTTCCTAGAGATAAGTATAAACTAATCGGTGTTTATGAGCGTGTTCCTGCGGCGAACTCCTACCACAAATCCTTTAAAACAGTTGGAAACCCCTTCGTCTTAGCCGTTCCTATAGAAATCAATTATGACACTTTACTGGATATGATTCTTGTGCGTATGAAGCGATATATCAAACATAGTGACAAAATAGAAAAGTTTGAGGAAGTTAATAAGCTGAATGGTGAAAGTGAAGACGCATCTGAACCTTTTGCTTTGAGGTAAATTATTACATACATAAGTTTTTATTGTATTTTTAAAGTCTTTTCTCTGTTGTATAGATTGGTCAACATGTACGGCAATGCTCAAGTAGCAGAGATGACTTTAAAGACTCCTTTGAAACAAAATGAGAATGTACAATATGTTGCTTTGGATTGGGAATCTGATGAAAATCGAAAGTTTTTCCTAGATCCACATGAAGAACGCTATGTAAAAAAAGAGGATGCCCCGGCAAACTTGCGCGTAAAAGATTTACAGTTAAATGATTGCTTGGAATTATTTACGAGTGAAGAAAAATTGTCGGAATCGGATCCGTGGTACTGTCCAAAATGTAAAAAACATCAGCAAGCAACAAAAAAGTTAGATTTGTGGTCACTACCTGACATCTTAGTAGTGCATTTAAAACGTTTCTCTTATTGTCGCTGGTGGAGAGACAAAATTGATTCATTAGTATATTTCCCGACTAAAGACCTGAATTTGAAGAAATACGTTTTGGATCCATCAATTGACGAGGAAGATGCGATCTATGATTTATTAGCAGTATCCAATCATTTTGGAGGTTTGTAATCTATTTTGGAGAAAAAATATAAAATTAACAAATATTTTTGTGCTTAGGAATGGGAGGAGGCCATTATACAGCCTTTTCTCGACGAGGAACGAAATGGGTGAATTTGGATGATTCTTGCGTTAGTCGTATTGCAGAAGAGTCAGTCGTGAACCGGTCTGCGTATGTTTTATTTTATGAAAGACGCAATCCCAAGAAACGCACACTACACTGCAACTGAATGAATTTGACAATTTGTGTACTCTTTTTTAATTAATAGTCAAATTTACCTTACTAAGGAGTATATTATAAATTATTAAATTCAAAGGTTTATTTGATGACTAAAAGTTGCGCGCAATTTGTGTTTAAAATTTGTAATTGAAACAGTTCTATTGGCAACCTCAAAGGGACAATATTAAATATTTAAATTTATGTGTTATTGAACATTAAATGTAACTTAATCCTATTATTATTCGGATATCGATTCGAAAAACTATCATTGAATAGTTTGAGTAATAAGCATTAAGTTTTTCTCTGATCCTAAAGTATTAGATGGAAGTGATAAAAAGAAAAGTTATACTCTTAAAAACATTATCATGTCTTGAAACTCAATGGAATTAACTTCTGCAGAATGTTAAATACTGTATATAGTTTTATTTAGGTCTTTTTCCGTATTCACAGATTATCAACATCAAGTATAAGTACAGTATATACTGTTATAAAATGTATTTACGGTAGGACTATGCAAAGCTTTCCCTCTGAAGATTTTCTGTGACTAAACAAGAATACATTATTATGAGTTATATCAAGAAACCTATGGGTGTTTTCAACAAATTTACTCTCAATTTCATGAATTGATTTTTCCGAATCGGTTGCAAATTGTTAAAATTTTAGACGACTAAACACAAAACGGATTTTATCATATCTAATCGTTGCCTGATGCATGAAACAAAATGAAAAATATGTTGGCTTTAAATCACCGGCTGACACGTTTTTCATTTCGTTTCAACATTCAGTTCAATAGCCTACTACAGTGAATTTCTCATGTATTACATATCATATAACTTGACAGTATTATAAATTGGTAAATAGTTGTAGAATTAGATAGAAATTTTACATCTGAGAAGGTAGCTGGCTGCATGACGTGTCAATCAATTAAAGATTTAACCAGGAAGAGAGCTGACAGAAGCACTTATGTTTATATCTATATCTCTCCTTCAGCCTTTCAACCTACTTTAATTAATACTTTACAATCATAAATAAGTCATGACCGAACAAAAAACCGAATTTTTTTTAAGAGAAACAGGAACCAAATATCTTTTAATTCACAATTGAAAATGGAAACAAACGATGAGAGAATTAAACCATAAAGATAAAGTACGCCCACAGAATAAGATTAGAATAATTGTGACAGAACGTATCAAAAGTCAAAGCTCTAAAGAAAATAAAACATCAATCAAGGACACTGTAATTATGTCGAAGACAGATTTAATATTCTGTGCATTAAACAGATTTAACAAAATCTATATACTAATAATTGGTGTAACATGGACACAAGTTAACTCAGGCTGAGGGATTAAGTTGTTTAAAATCTATTAAATTATGTACAATTTGTTTATAATTACTATGGTAATTGAATAGGCGCACATGACATAGAAATGTAATCATAAGTGATCGGTTTTATTACTTTACATGATATGAAATCTTGTGTATAGACTTTTTCTGTGATAAATTAAATAATTGAACATTTTTAATTTGATATTTTTAGATACTGTGACGTAGATGTAAAGATGCCGACTGTCTTAAGAATTAAATAATTGGCTGATTTTTGTTAAGACGATATCATGTATGACTAAATTTTTATGAACTCATTTCATACATGAGAATTACCTATATATTAGGATTTTTATCAAAAAATAATTCATTCGATTACTTATTCGATGATATTTATGTAATTGATGGTTGCGGTTTTTATCTAAAAGTTATTAAACTTACAAGTCTTATATATAGATATCAGTTGTCTGTCATTAAAAAACTATTCTTCTTTGAAATTATCTGCAATTCGCCAATCAAATATTTTCTAATTCGTTTTTCCCTAACAATAAAGATACGAATATAAAACGTCGCAAAATAGTTTAATAAAGATCTATTGTTTTCTACTATTCGAGCTTCTTACATTTTAGATAAACAGGAGAGATAATTAATCAATAATAAATCAAAATATTGATTTATAAAAACATTAAAAACGTATTGTTTTGTAAATTCTCATTCCTATTATAAACAGATTTGTAATACATTTCATTTTTCTCTGTGCTGTTATTTCCCCTCCCCCATTTTTTTAAGTGCATCCCAAATGAGTAGAAGTAAATATATTTATGTATTGTATCGTTTATAGTCATTTATCTTTATTTTTTTATTATTGCACAGGAGTGCCTTCAATTGAATTTATAAAATAACTGATATCTTTATGAATATCCATTAAAAATATGATTAAATGTTTAAGGATTAACAAATTCATTTATTATTACCTCCAAGATACTTAATTTTACTTTATTTGTTGTTTATTTCATTTAGATGTCTTGTAGTTGTCAATTGTATTATTGAGGAGAAAAGGCACAATTTATTATGTAATTGATTAGGCTGGATATTAATATATATCACGTGTTTAACACATAACATATAAAATAAATATATATATATCACGTTTTTAGATTATTCCGATTGATAATTGATTAAGATTATAAGCCGAAAGGATTATATTAGTTAACAAAATTTGATTAAATAATAAAACATTTGTGCTATTTAGAAAATGTATATTCATTTATAAATAAATGAATATATATATATATTAAATTATTAAATAGTTTAATAGATAAAGAAAATGCAGAGTAAGCTCAAAGTTGTATATTATTTGTATAGTTAATTAAACATAATTAACCACCCACACAAATACATATTAACTATATACTTTAATAATAACTTTTATAGGATAAAAAGTTTACTTTTCTGTTTTTTTAACTGATTACATAATTTAATTAAAGTTCCTTAAAGAAGAAATGTTTAATTTCCGTTATATATAGATGCATGTGATAATTTCACTTCTTGGAAGCTTTTGAAAGCAACTGGTGTTATAATAAAGAGAAATGAACTTCCTTGGGAGATATTTTGATGAAATTACTCATATATGATGTCATAAATGTTATAACCAGCTTTGAATTTTCAATACTTATTCAATATATTAAAAGTTGCAAATTAAATTTTCAGAATTGTAATCGTTCTTTAATGAAAAATTCAGGGAATTCTCTAGTTCTTTAATATAAGAGAATTGAAAAGTTTCCATCCTATAGTTGTGTATTAATTCATTCTTTGTAATCCTCTTTAAAAGTTCATACATGTAAAATGTTTTAATTAAAGAATCTTCATTTTTAATGAATACTAATTATAGGACTCAATTGTAACGATAAGATAAGAAAAGATAAAATATCTTATATTATCAAAACTTTAGAGAAATTAAAGCAGTAAGAAAATGGCGACTGGAGGGAAACATCCAAATAGCACTTTATTATTTCGGAGTATTTACGTTCCAACTGAATCAGAAACAATAGAACCTGTCGAAAGTCCTTCAGTACACGGTCCAAGTCATTCAATACTCAAAGATAGTTCGGATGATATCTTTGAAAATACAGAAACCAATTTCACTATAAGAGGAAGGTCGGGCACTCTACAAGAGGTTAGAATTGAAGATTCCCCAAGCAATGTTAAATTGCCTTGGGAAATTTATTCAGAAGATGATAGAGAAGAAGAAAGCTCATGTCTATCGAGAGATTTATGCTCGAAAGGGGAAAGAGTCCTACGAATGCTATCGTATGGTTTAATTTTAATTATTTTAGGATGTTCTATAATTAGCTCCGGAATCTATTTGCTACTATTCTCTCAGAATTTTAAAGATACGTTATATGTTTGTACCGTCATAGCAGGAATTAAAACGAATTGTCGGTTGAAAATATTCTCTAAATATTATTATGCGAACAAAACTTGTACAGGTAATGAAAGTTCAAGTGAATTAAATTATACATATTTATCTCTCATTGGAAAGAATGAAATCTCAAAAAACATTACAAATAACTCAATATCATTGAATTTGGAAGCTTCAGATTCAATTTGTATGAAGGAATTTCAATTATGCCCAGAGGTCAAAAGAATTTGGGCATGGACTATATTTAGTGCTATGAGCTTATCGAGTGTTTTAGAATTGTTAAGGGCATTAATAAATTCAATAAGAAGAGGGGATCTCTATAGAAAGAACACCTATGATCAATTTGAGAGTAATTGGGCAAAGAGCAGAATTAGAAACATTTCCATTGCAGTTTATTTTATCATTGAAATCTTTCATACAATATTTACCTCTTTGGCTTGTTTAGTTCTACTACCATCATTACCTTCTCCTCTAGCTCTGATTTTCTCTGCAAGCTTATCATTTATACCGAATGTTTTAAATTTGCTTGAGAAACGCTATTCCTCTCCAAAGAGCTATTTGCGACATGGATTAGCGATGCTATGCCAATTGGTGTTAATGGTAGTTGTTGCTGCTTATAACCTTCGTCGTCAAAAATATGTCTATCTATGGCCAATTTTGGTTGTTGGATTGTCGTTAAGATATGCTCTGAACTATTTCCATATACCCATTTTCAATGATATTAGAGAAAGGATAAGAAAATATAAAGATTCATTGCTTGCAATTCCAGTAGCGTTCTCTAAAATAGTTTTCAAATTCTTACTTATGATGCCATTAGCCATATACAACGGTAGTAGTTCTTCGCTTGTTGATATTTTTAAAATATCCCCAAAGGATTGCCCAGCGAGTCAATTGAATTCTGGAGATTTTGAACATTTTAAAGGATCTGTTGTTAGCTTATGCCTAATTTTATTTATTGTTCAATTGGTTTGCTATTTTTCTCTAAGAGCAGCTGTAAAAATACATCTTCCAGGCCCTTTATTGCTCATTGTTTTAGCTATTCCCAACGTATTCATGGGTTTGGCTATTAGTGTACTCGTCGCCGAACCCCGAGATTTTTTGGGCAATTTTCTTTATTGGAAACCTTTTGATATCGAAAATACAACTCTTAAAATCTGGCTAACAAAGTCTGCAGTGTTTTGGTACACAATCATTGGTAGCATTAGCGCTGTAATACTAGGATGGAAAGCATGGAGTGCCCCTAGCCTTCGTATTGAAAGAACGGCAAATCTTTTCTTATTCCCTTTGTTTCACAGTCCATTTTTAGAATCATCACTTATTCTCAATAGAAAATCGAAAACAGATGACGTCTTGAGTATTTCTGATAGTATTGACATGAGTGAAAAAGAAAATAGTGTACGTAAGCCCAAAGTATATGTCTGTGGAACTCTTTGGCACGAAGAACAAAATGAAATGGAGCAGATGCTCAGATCTATATATAAATTAGATATAGATTTGACAGCCAAACATATTGCGTCAACATACTTTAATTCTTTAGAAAAAAGAGACTTATTCGATTTTGAGGTTCATATAATGTTTGACGATGCATTCGAGAAGAAGAACGAAATCTTCAAAGCAAATTCATACGTTAAAAGATTTCGCGAAAGTATCGATTCGTCTGCTAAAGAAACTTTCGGAAGAAAAGTCAAAATATCAGTAAAAGAATGTAAAACTCCATATGGTGGAAAGTTAACATATGTTCTTCCTGGTGGCCATAAATTACATGTGCATTTAAAAAATAAATCATTGATAAGAAATATGAAGAGGTGGAGTCAAGTAATGTACATGTCTCAGATAATACACGACATTGATCAGAGTGTCGATGAGCTTAATTTAACAGTGGATCAAACAAAACAGGAGAGATTTGATAGATTCGATTCATCCTATATTCTCACTTTAGATGGTGATGTTGATTTCGAACCAAAGGCCGTTTCCTTGCTAGTTGACTGTCTTAGAAAACATTCTAGTGTTGGGGGAGCATGTGGTCGTATTCATCCGCTAGGAACAGGCCCTATGGTCTGGTATCAGAAATTTGAATATGCTATTGGACATTGGTTTCAAAAAGCAACAGAACATTGTTTAGGTTCAGTGTTATGTAGTCCTGGTTGTTTTAGCGTTATCAGATTATCTGCGATAACTGATAAAGGTGTGTACAAGACCTATACTCATGTTAGTAAGACTGCTATGGATTTCGTACAACATGATCAGGGAGAAGATAGATGGCTAACCACATTAATCGTTCAAAGGGGTCATAAAATAGAATATTGCGCTGCGGCTGACGCTTTTACATACGCACCCGACACATTCTCCTCGTTTTACAAACAGCGAAGACGTTGGGTAACATCTACGTTTGTTAATCAATGGGGTTTGATATCTGATTGGAAAAGATTAAGAAAAATTAATCCAAGCATTTCTCTACCCTTCATAATCTATCAATTGGCTATGATTGGCGCATCCATCTTAGGGCCTGGAACGGTGCTACTCATGTTAACTGGAGCCTTGGAATCAGTTTTCTCCGGGTTAGGTTGGATAAATTCTTTTTTGGTGAATTGTATTCCACTTGTGATATATATTCTAGTATGTTTAAATATGAAACAAGCCATTCAAGAAACTCTGGCAGCTCTTCTTTCAGCTTTCTATGCTCTTATAATGCTTATAGTTCTTGTGGGAATAATTAAACAAATGGCTTCAGAAGGTCTGTGTTCACCCTCTGCTCTATTCTTCTTAATGGTTGCTACATTCTTCGTTATTACTGGATTATTACATCCGAGAGAGATTCTTAACCTGCCTCTTGGTCTTATTTACTATGTTGCCATACCATCAGCTTATCTGTTGTTAAATATTTATGCTTTATGCAACATAAACGATAGTAAATGGGGAACTCGAGATCAGAATGTGCTTACTAGTAGTGATGATGGAAAAGAAGAAAAAGCTCAAAATGTTTTACAAAAGGGAATGGAAAAGTTAACAACATTCTTTGAAAAAGAAGAAGGACAAAATCTTTTAGCAAATGAAGAAAGAGCGGAGGGGGAGGAAGAAGAAGAAGAAGAAACAATTCAAAATGATGATGATTTTTTCGGAAGGAGCAGAACTAGATCAAACAGTGTTATTTCAGCTTATTCAATAAATGAAGATACAGAATTATGCCAAGAAGAAAGATGCTTCTGGGAGAAGCTAGTAGATTTTCTGTCTCCATTTAAATCCGGACATTCAACAGAAGATTTAAGCTTTCCGCTTCTCGAACTTAAGAATAAATCATGTATGGCATTTTTTATGATAAACGCTATGTATATAACACTTATCCTAGTTTTACAAGTTATAAAAAAAGATGGTCAATTGACAATTTCATTTCCCTGCTGGGAGAAGAGGGAAATTAATGGCGTTATTGTTGAAGAAAGAATTATTATTGAGCCTATTGGTTTTACAATTTTAGCTTTTTTTGGCATAATTTTAATTATACAATTTATTGGTGGCCTTTATCATTCAGCTTCAAATTTTATACAAGTAATGGCTACAACTGATATTCGAGCAAAGCCATCAGAAATTCTAGAGAAAGGTCTTAAAGTGATCGTTTCCATTCAAATAAGCAAAAAGAGAAAGAGACGAAAAAAGATAACACATATCTCAGATTTTAGTTCATTATATAGAAGGAGACAATCGATTATTACGACAGATGAACAGCTTCTTGAAAATGATACGGACGATGAACAAGATGATTTAACTTTGGAACAAAGTTTTCAAAAAATGTTCAGAGCTCTTTGTGAGGCAAAGAATAATAAACAAAGTTTGAAAACTCCTGCAGATTTTGAAAATATATTCAACGAAAGATTAAAATATAAGAATATCGAATTGACTGAAAGAGAAACCTCTTCACTGCAGAAACTATTGCCTCTTCTTCGTACATCACCAGTTTAGCTTGAATTCACTGCAAAATATATAAATTTTATACTGTATATATATAAAAGGAAGAGTATATCTATAAACTGCAATATATAAATGATCAGATTACATTTGTGTTCTAAAGAGACTGAAAATTTAGAGTAGAGGAAGAGAACGAGCAGGAATAAATTTATTCAAATATAAATTAGGAAAATATAGTAGATGGAGCTACTGTTTGCAATAGGGAATCTATAGAGATAAATTTTGTTTTAAAATTCATAATCTATCTGACAAAATTATCAAAACAGCAAGACATAAAAGATATAGTTGACATTAAGCATTGTTCTTATCATTGTTGTTCAATTATTGACTTATATTGTGCAAGTTTTTAAACTCTTAAATGGACAATTTTAATAATAGACACTTGAAATAATATTCTAGTTATCTATCATAAAATAAGAGTTAAGATGTGCATGAACACTTTTTTGTTTGAAATATTTTGCTGAATATAATTCAATTTGACCTTTATAAATAAATTTTTTAATAAAAATTTTATAGAGGCGACATTAATTTATCTTTGCAAACTGTATCAATTAATTAATATTAACTTAAAAGGAAAAGCAATCAGTTTGTATAGTTTTATTAATAATTATAATAATGCTCTTACTTAATGTTAATTTTAACATTTTATTCCTATCGTTCCACTGCAATTTATATATCTAAAGGAGAAAGTATTTCTTGGAAAAAGGAAAAGAAAAGAAGAGTTATAAGAGTTAAAACACGACTAAATTAACTATGCAAAAATTAGTTTATTAAGTCAAGGATAAAAAAGACTAGATAAGATTTTTACAAAGACGATGTTAGTCCACTATAGTTTCTTTACTCATCTTATTGAAAAGTGTAATATTGGTTAGGGACTTGATTTATTAAGGATTGTACCAAGAAATAAAAAGAGTCCTAAAATGCAATTGTCCTCGATAATTATATAAAAAGAGAATTTATTCCTTTCTTTATTTTACTTTCATCTCACCTGTTTTGTGATTTATATTTGGATTTTTCCGTACGTTATAGATTTTTAAGGGAATTACAGGAGCAATAAAAGTACAGAATGCAGAATGGACCATTTACAATACTTGTGTAAAAGTTTGACTAAAAAAGTTGATTATTTGAAAGAGATTAATTGTTTAAAAGTAATTTATTCTTTATTATATCGTTATTATTCAATAATTATAAAATTGTAAATAATTTTAATCAGTTTTATTAATTTTTGAGGTGTGAAAGACTAAAGAGTGCTCAATGAGAAAAGAAGGTATTTTCAATTATCCCTAAGAACTCCTGCATAATCTTTCTCTTGAAGCTTAAATACCATTCAAAGGCGTTTATCCGTCTAATGACAATATCTTGACTACTTAAAAATTTTTCCTTATGTAATATTCTTTCAACGTCTTTATTCCAATCTTTTACGAAAATAGCGGGAAAATTGTAACGTTTGAGCAATCTTAGGGAACCATTACATTTACTTTTCTCCTCTTTAGGTTTTATATTTAGTATGGGTATTGAACCGTACGATAAGGCCTCATATATCCTAAATGTTTCCAAATTTTTCTCAGCTGGACAGAGTGTTAGGTCACTCGTTCTAAGAGCTCTAATATAGGCAGAACGTGTAATCGAATTTGATTCATAGCGTTCAGCGATTTTAGGTTGAACGAAACATTCTTTTTTCGAGGATAGAAGATTATATATATCATCTTCATCAGTTCCAACTAGATTGCAAGTGAAGGGTCTCCTTATGTCTAATGTCGATTTAAATGAAGTTTTAAAATAATTATGCATGGATACGCCTAAAGGGAATTGAAAGACTGTTTTATCATCTACTAATTCTGAGTCGTAAACAATCCACGCAACGTCAATTGGACCTCCATTTCTTTTTAAAAATGGCTCAAACCACTCATTTTCGCATTTTTCGTTTCCCAAAAGAATTACCCCAACCCTTTCGAGCCGGTTAAAAAGCTTCAACGAATTTAATATCACAGTCGAAACTCTTATCTTTTTGGCATCTGAACCATTCAGAACCAATATCAAGTGGGTGGCATCCAGATCTTTTCTACTCTGAAACATCCCAAGACCTAGCCTCATCCTGTATAATAAACAAAATTAGATTAAAGATGGCGCCACCTTATCACTATGTAAAACATAATTATCAGCTTAATCGACCAGCTGGTTGTCAATTTATTATTATTCACAAATAGTATTCTTATTGAGGTAAAATATCTCTGAATTTTTCCTACGCATTACTTATAACTAAAATCGAGTTAATCTCAAAGGAATAAATGATGATAGAGAAACTTCTCCTATTGATTAAGTACGACTTTAGAGCCGTATCTTGTTTCGTTTATTTTGATTGCCTACGAAATCTACCTACTAAATATCTAATCAATCGAATAACACAAAGATGTTGAAAGCATGAATTATTCATTAAGATTATTTTAAGTAAAAAGTCCTCCAGGTTTAACTTTCCTACATCTGCTTAATAAGCCACCATCCTTTGACCTTTGCTAATAGTATTAGAAATCTTAGTCACTCTGGTAGGAGAGTAATTAAATAGGTAACGATAGTTATTTGTATAAAGTTAAGTGGAAAATTGGGTTCAAACCTGTAAGTTATGCCGTTGATTTTGGTTGTGCCAAACTTTTCGATTCCACGATAACGAGTTACAAGTGAAGCGTTCAAAATATGCTCCCATAAATAAATGCCTGTAAAATACAAGAACGAAAAAGCGATTAATGATGAATAATGAAATGTAGAGCTCTTTAATGAATTATTCAAATAAAGTAAGGAATGCTGTAAATCATAACCAAAACAATTTTTGACAGTTATCGCCTAGAGAAGAATAACCTATCAGCAACTCTTAGTTTGCTTCTTTAATATTTCGTGTACATTAGAAATGAAAGGGAAGCACTGGTTTATATAGGCCTAATAATAATCCCTTCCAGCACGCGAAAGACTCCAGCGGTACGTGTCTACACTCATGAAGAGAAATTTTATTTTTGCCCTACTCGAACAATAAGCCTCGTATTGTTTAATGGATGATAGAGTTTTCTTTGAAATATGGGTAAATGTACTCTATTTTTTTTTCCAAAAGAAAAAAGTAAGAGAGCGAAAATGAAATCATCCAGAAATTTTGTTACATAATTTAATAACTCCCCATTTTATTATTTATAAATGGAAACAATTACGACTAAAGCATTTGAGTGGAAGGAACAAAGAAGAAAAAAAATCTCCTTTAAGCGTAGAGGATCTTCAACAGACGAGGTATGGAGAGGCAAATAACAGTTTAAGGCATCTTCTATATCAAGGGGTAGGAGATTTTTTGTACATGGTGAGCAAATAAAAAACAGATGTTTATGTTACGTTTTCATGCTGTGCAAGGTGAAGGGGATTCTCTTACATTATGAATGTAAACATGTTTTCTCTCTTTCTTTTCTTCGAACCTTTACCAATTGGAAGTTAAATGTAAGAGAATTTTATTCTCTTTTTCCTTCCTAAATTCATAAAATATTGAAAAGGAAATATACTTTAAGTAAAAAGAAAAGAGGGCGCCTTCTCTCTCCTTTTCCCTTCCACTCATTGCTTCCGTTATTACCAAGCCTTCTGGAAAGAGAAATTTTATTCGCCAATTATGATAACCAGTAGGAAGTTTGTAAACGTCCCTATAAATTTAATTATTTAATGAGCTCGCTAAACTCATCCAAAATCGTTTAGAATGCAAAATTCATAATAATTGTCATTCGACGACTAGAACCGGTCGAATAATTCTTTTAAGGTTGCTTCATAATTTCTTTCGGATAAGATTTCTAGCTAATTTCATAATGTGAAATAGAATATACTTTACAAAAAGGAGAGTAAATGCCAAATAGCAGTGTCAATGAAACTTTCAATAGTAGTCTCTCAACCTTTCTAACCAATAATCAAATAAAAGAGGATTGAGCCTGACGAGACGATGAGTAACGAGTTAGGAAGTCGAAAATAACAAATAAACTAAGCGGCAGAGAGCTAAACATAATATTTAGAATATTTTCAGCCTATAATTTGATTAATGAATTGAAACGAAGGAGTCAAAAGGAGTATATATAAGTAAAAGTAATTATTCTCTATTAATCTTTAGAATGAATTTATAAAAAGGATAACAACAGATAGCAGCTTAAAAATCACGAAAGACGCATCTATATCAATTATCACCTAATTCCCACAACCTGATTTATGCGGAACATATACAGTATTTCGCCGCCGGGATATAGCCGACCAAGTAAACAGGTAGAGCTATCTTGAAAAGAAAACCCTCTTATCAAAACTTTCCTCACCTTATTCCTTTCAAAATTGGTTTGACTTTTGCCATTAGGTTCTTTTCTTTTTTTTGAAAAATTACAATTCATTTTATAGAGAAAGAAATAACTAAGCAGTAAATAGTCTAGTTAACTTGTTTATATTCGTTGAAACCTACGATATTTTATCGTTACGGTTCATTCTATCAATTTCAGCCTGGAGGATGGAGATATTAAGATTAACATTTACTTAGTTTCGCTGATATGTCTTCTGTCGACATGTTGGTGTTTTTTTTTTGGGGTTCACTTTTTATTTAAAATGACAAAAAAGACTAAAATTACAGTATAAAAGTAAGAACCAAAAGAATGAGATTAAAAGTAAACAAGGTGAATGAGGGCTTTTAGGTTGAAGATCGTATTATCTCAGTGGAGATCCGACCTTTTCAGAAACAATTTATTATAAAATTCCATTAAATATTCAAATTTTGTCCATTGGTGAGAAAATAATTGTTTTATTTGATGAAATTATGCTTAAATTATTCACAAGTAAGTAAACTAACTTGTTCTTATTTCTAACTATTTCTAATAAACTATAGTTTATTTATTAATTATTTTGTCTAATCGATTAAAAAAATTTTTTGTATAATTTACCTAAAGCAGATTTTGACCAGATTTCAACAGTTTTCCCATTCGACTTTACTTCGTCTTCCTCGTCTCCTTCATCAAATTTAAGTATATCTTCGTTGGGATCCGCGCCCTCAAACTCTTCTCCCCATGGGTTCCAATCTGGATTAGAAAGAATTATTTAGAATCTTTAAAAAAATATTATAGAGAACTAAATTTTTTTATACACGTTCAATAATTGCAAATCGTAATGTGGTTGTTGTTTGTATTGCGCAATCAATACTTAGCTGTGAATCGGTCAATAAGTGTTACAAAATCGTGATATATCCCATGTTTTGGGTTCTTAGCTCCTTAATATTTTCTAGGTTAAATAAAGTATTGAAATTAGCTTGAAAAATTGCTCAAAGGTGGTCAGTAATGGACTGCACACGCTCTCGTAATTTAACTCTTTACATTAACTAAATAATTTAGAATACTCAAAGTAAAGAGTACGACACGAAAATAGCATCAAATCAATTATTTTAAAAAACTTAAGCAAAAAAGAATAGTGATCAATTAGACGTCGCCTGAGCACACCATTGACCGTTTGGTGGCATAGGCGTCTAACGTCTTCTTCTGACGAATGATTTGTTAGATCATCGTGAAAATCATAACGTAATTAGGCTTAAGTTTATTGCGGAAAGGATTCAAAAATAAAAGGGATAAACAGTCGATGATTTTCGTTCATTTTTCGGATAGGGAAAAGTAGCAAGGTTAAAACGTACATCAGTACTGAATGAATTTTTATGTTAGCAGTTACCAAGGGTGACGATAACGGCGTAAAATTTTATTATACGGTCCTTAAACCTATCGTTAAAATGTAATGGGTTTTTCTTATTTTTTCCTCCCTTTTCTACTACGAAGAGTAAAAAGAAACCGGTAGAACTTATACAGCTGCATTCTTCGGCGTGAGAAGAATGCTGGAAAGGTTATCGAAGTCGAATAATATAAACAAAAATAGAGAACAGTCAAAACTCTGTATAGACGAGCTTTGAAAGCGGAACAGAACTAGGAAGTAGGAGAAGGGGGTAGTGACCGTTTTGAAAGCTATTTAGACCAATCAACTATCATTTAACCGATACCATAAAGCTTAGCTCTCAACTGGAATCATAAAATCCTATAAGAAACAACACATAGGCGCCCTCTTTTCTTCTCAAAAGGAATTTACGAAGTTTTATGAGGGAGGAATGGAAAAGAAAACAGATAAACGCTTCGTTGATACATTAATAAATATCTTTATGATAAATTGCAAAACGTTTAGGCCAAAAGCAAAATCGAAGTATTAAAATTACTTTACTAAATAATTGAATCCATTATGTTGTATCTTAATTGAAACAATTTGGATTTGGTATTATTAAAGACTAGAACAGAAGCGTATCTTTTAGTAATAGCGTAAAAGGGGACTAATTAATAGTCCGCTCCTTTTAACACTACACATCCTGACTTCTAATAATAATGATAGAGAGGGTTTTGCAGTCTCTAAAGTGAACAATACAGAATAGAGTAGAAAAAAGAAGCAATGGAGCAAGAAATTTATAATCGTTTGTGTCATTTTCAACTCAATAAATAAGTTAAAATATTCCATTAAATAGAATAAACTTTTTCTGTTGTTTTGTTATCTATTGATATTATCACGGAACATATTACAATTTCGATCTTCTACATTCGTCTTTGAAGAGCATAATAACATTTTAATAATATATCAAATCTTGATAAGATATATTAATCAAATAGATAAAAATAAGAACGAGTTCTGGAATGAACTACTTATCGATTATTTGCTTGTTTTTAGTTCTTTTAAAAGTAAATGAATATTTACCCTTTAAAATTTTCTCTATTTCTCTCTATCTTTTACTTACATGTATATTTGTTTGTAGAGGTTAAATGAAACTATATAGTTTCTTCAATAATTAAAAATGAGAATGCATATAATATACAATAGCCAGTATACTTTCTATCTAATTAGTATTTGTCTATAGTTAACATATCCAACGAGTTTTTAGTATGTTTCTTTCAGTTTTTTTACTTTATTCATTAATTAGATGAAAAAGAACTGTTGCAAATGTATCAATTTAATTTGAGATTGGAGAAAGAGAGATTAGAGAGGTATAGAGAATTGAAATTGGGCTCACCCTTAAAGAGATTAGGTAATAGGTTATGCAATAGAGATCACCACCTTGTAAGATGATACAATAAGATAAATAGTATTTATAATTGGATTGATAATTAAGTAATGCGTTCAATAGCGATTACTCGAAGGAGGGAAAGAGAGGAAAGAAAGCCTATGTTAAACAGTGAAATAAAACTTATTATTTATATTTGACTCTTGTACGTACACGTTGGCTACTTAAGTCTATATCTTTATTGACCATAGTGCGAAAGCCTCTATATATATAAAAAACAGAAAGAATCTTATCTGTTTTTTTTTCTTATATCGCCAATTATTCTCTGCTATGCAGGTTTTTACTCTCCTTTCAATAAATTTCTTTAAGCGATTGTTACACTTAATAAAATATCTTATTAACATAGTAAAAGAAATTGGACGAGATATAATACTAATTAATAAGCTTAATATTAAGGTTAGATGATATATATCTTCCATATGCTTATTATCCTCTTTTGGTTCCTAAAAATTTTTACAGAGGGCCTAACTGAGAGGTATTTTAGTTGGATACAAAGCATTCTTTGATTCTAACTCTCTTCTAAGATTACCTTCCATTATTTTATAAAAAGGAAATATATCGACTCTAAAAAAAAAGGCCTATATTAAGTCGAACATCACTAGTTATAGGTGTAGTTTCTATAATTAAGTAATGCGGTATGTCATCTATATTTCTATATATATATATATATATATATATATATATAGATTTATGATATATATTTAAAAACATAGCTGTTCTAACTCAAATAGAGAAAGGTAAAGAGCTAAGAAAAATAAATAATATTATTATAAAAATAGGTAGAAAAGATATAACGTCGTGTTACTAGTTTACTTAAAGATGTAAACTTAAATAGTTTTGCGTGATTATCAATAAGTTCAAACACAAAGTAACCGTTATGTTATATTCTGGCTGGCGGCGTATAAACATGCATGCAGAGAGAAACAAATAAATTGTAAATGTATAATACCATATCAGTTTTAATATAGTACATGTGGAAACTTTTGTAAAGCTTGTTAAAGTATTATATTAATTATCTATCATTCTTGGAATGCTTTTCTATTTGCCTTTTTCCCATCTAGTAGATCATTTTACATAATCAAAGGAGAATAGTTATCAAAATGTTAATAATATATATCTATATATGTCTAGTAGTCATTACCGTTACTCGTACAAGTATTTATAAAATATATACTCCGTTTATATAATTTATGAGAATGTTTACAAAGAATTTTTACTGATAGACTATAAGTGTACTTGGAATACGTTTTCCTACAAAATACATACATAATTTAGACGTAGAGATAAAGCTGATATCGTTTATTATACTTGTATACTTAAATACTTTAATCTATCTGTATACTAATAATCAAGTAGACTAGTTTCTACTCTCTTTTGTTAGAAATTAATTAAAGTTGAGTGTTGGAAATCAATTAAATTAGAAAGAGAAAGAAAACAAGAAAATTTTATAACTGACCTTCATCAACTTCGGTGAGCTTGTCTAAGATTTTCTGCTGATTACCTAATTCTGATTTCAATAGTTTCTGAACAAATTGATAGCCAGTGTAGCAGGTAATTAAGATGTAACAGATTAGAAATATTAATCCTATACGTTTCAATGTAACTTTCATTCCACAGTAGAAGAAAAATAGAGAAAAAAATCTATATCATTCTTTTTCTTCTCTTATTTAAAAACATCTGAAGTTATCTTCTTTTTATTTTCTAGTTGTTTTATGATTATTTACTACGTTATTTTTCAAGATTAATTTATAAAATAATATTTCTTTTTTGTTGCTTTTTCTTTAATAAAAACCTATTTAAAAAATACTGAATAAATTCTTTCTAAAGCAACTTGAAGCGAGCGTAATAGGGTATTTGATGATAATATCTTCAACCAAACACCTGATGGACTCGCGCTTTTCAACTGACGTCTATAAACTGGTTACCTAATCCAATAACGACTGGTCCCGAATTCCCCCAAAAAAGAGAGATATAAGGACAATTCCCATCTAAATAAGATATACTCATTCTAATGCCTCTCTTTTCTCTTCAGATGTGTATTATGTAATAATATTATAAACAATTAATTCATTTTGTCTTTCATATTCGTTTTATATTACTTTGCCTACGTTATTGTTTTTATTATTAACTGTCGATAATGTTTTTATTACCGCCAATGTTCCCATGTTCCATAGAACACTTTTACGTAATTTCTTTTTAATGTTTTTACTATAAAATTATACGTAAAATATTTATCGGATAATAGATTGTTGGACTGTTTTAAAAGTAGTACCGAATTCGGCAAAGTAATTACCTCTAATTGCATTAGTAGTGTATGTATTTAACCGTTATGCCGCTACGTGAGAAGCACTTCAACGATGCTTTTAGTTTTCTAGGTTTTCACTAGTTTATTTTGCGTAATATACAGGAAGAAATCTGCAAGGTGAGAGGCTAATTTACATAATAAGCAGGAAAGTAAGGAAAGGATTATTATTTGTGGTTAAGAGTGCAACAACAAAATGTTATACAAAGAGAAGAACATTAACGTTAACTAAAGAAAATGGAGAAAGAAGAAAACCAAGAGATTTTCCAGCTTAATACGAAACTTTTACAATTTACAGTATACTTATAGATATATATATATAAGCAGTATATAATTACTCACAAATTGCTAGACCAACAAACAATTTTATGTTAGATAAATAACACAAGGTAAAAAAAAATTTTTCGGTCCTTTGCTGGCGCCATCTTGTAGATTTCATCAATTTCATTTCTCCCTTCATCTTCTACTTTCTTTTTTATTATTGTTATTTTCTCATTAAATCCTACTTTCTTCTTGTTCATGTCTAAAACATTAGATTGAAGGGAATTTACTGATTCGCTGTTAATAACAAAACAAAAATGGCTACATTTTACAAGGGAAAAAAAGCAGGATAATTAAAATATTTATAATAGAAATTGTGTAGAAAATATATAAAAAAGAATAAGAAAAAAGAACATTTTTAAGAAATAAAAGAAGAGACAGAATAAACAAGTTTTGTTCTATTTAATAATTGATGTTAGAAGACTTTTTTTCTCTCATTGTTATTATCCTATTTCTCCGATAGATGGTGCAATCATGTCGAACAAAATCTATTAGCGAAAGGAAGCTATATGATTTGAACTTTTTATAATAGTTACATTTTGTTTTTCTGTCGAAATAGTAATTAACATTGTTGTCTATATACAATATCTTGTTACGTTTATGGTGTTAATTGTCGACAATAGAGACGTCAAACGAATCCAACTGGCCTCTAGCGTAGTAAGAACTCCATACATATAATTTACGTTCTTTCCAGTTGTAATTGAAACTCGAGTATGTTTTAGTAGGAATGGTATCTATGACTAATTCATCAGATGATAATTTCCAACCTTTTCTTTCAGTTGTGTCGTAGATATACTTGACATATAAATTAGGTTTAGTTGGTTTCCAGTCCAGAACATGTAATTTACCACAAGCGAAAAATGTTCCAATAACATCCGATTTATTTAAATTTAGGTGAAATTCTTCGAGAATTTTTATATTTCTTGAAGATGGATGCATCTTATATAGTACTAATTTACCGTAGTTTTCTTGTTTAACAGATGAAGCGGTTAAGTAAATAGATTTTGAGTCAGATGCTAATTGATGCGATGTATAATCTGTACTGAATTTATAAGGTGATTGATCGTTATGAGCTATGTCCGGAAATTTTTTTCCTCTATATGGTTTATTTTTACGATTTAAATCATAAGCCTGTAGTCTTCCATTGATTGATATACAGAAGAGAGTATGATTATATACTAAATTGCCAGTTCCTGTTGATAAATGTTATAAATTCATTATCATTACAGAATAAATATATTAGCTACTTAATTTAAATACTCTTTAGGAATAATGGCAATATACAACAAAGAGAGAAAAGAAGGAACTGAGAAAAGGAAAGTAAAATAGACAGAGAGAGAGAGAGAGAGAGAGGGAGAGAGAGAGGGGAGGGAGTAAAATGAAGAAAAAGAAAAAGAGAAACCTTTTGGGAAAAGGGAAAAAATTTAGCTCAAGTCATTGTTGATGGATTGTGTTTTCACTCTTTTCAAAAACTATCCATACCAGTAAAGAATTTTTCTATAGCACTATAGAGTATTGTACATAGTGTAAAAATGATATTGTTTGCATATCTATTCCATTTTAAAAGTGTCTTAATTGCTAATTGTGTTTCAAACTCTTAAACTTAATTACACTTCGTGTCATCTCTCTTCATGAAACGAGAGTCAGAGTTTACATACAATCTCTATATAGATGGAAAAAGAATAACTTAGTGAAATAAAATGGGAGAAAGTATGCAATAGATCATATACAGTACTAAAGTAAAAAAGGTAATGCTTTCACAGAGGAGACAGTATCAGTGATGCGTGCGAATTAATTTGCATATCATATTTCTTGTAAATAAGGAAGTGGACGAAATAATTCTCGTTCCTTCTCTCTATAAGGAGTAATACATAATTTTTGTATATTTCGCTTGATGTCTGAACATAGACCGATGGAAAATTTAAGCTTCAAAAGACAATATAGAAGGCAACCGGTAGTTTTTATTTCCTTTAAGTTTTCTTCTGTTTTTATAGTTTATAAACAATATATATTGCATATATAGATCTAAAGTTGTATAAATTATTATATCGGGTTTCGGTTCTATAAAATTTCGGACGTTGAGTGATTGAAAAGAAACGGAAAAGGATAAAGTTTATCATGATATGAATTTCAAAAGGACTATAAATATTTTCCACTCACCTGAACATTTGAAAGGCAGATGGTACTTTCGAGCCATCAATTTAAGGATCCTTCTCCTTTGCTTTGACAATGCGGATTCATTTTGATAGGCGTGTAGAAAGACGTTCTTATTACTTCTAAATGTATAAACAGTTGAATCCTCCGATTTTGCATCCTTTTGAAAAGAGCCAGCTTGAGCCCAAATATACGACGCCAAATTTTTTCGGTGATCGATCTTATCGACTCGGCAAGCTAACGGAAATATTTCGTAAACATTTTATCGGCTAAAAGGTTAAAAAGATTTTCAGAACGAATCACGTGTTTGCCATTTTTACGGTGCTAGCCATTTACCTAGAAGTTTTTTTTCACTGATGTTTGTACAAACAAAACTGGCTTCTTGATATAAACACATATGGTGGGCGTTATGTAAAGAAAAAAGTCTTACTTTTACTAATAGCGTTGTTTTTTAACGTAGCATTTATTAAATATACAAATCTTGTAATTGTTTTTATCTCCTTATAATAATACTTATAAAGATACGGGTTTTCCGATAGTAAATATTGTAAAATTAGTATATTTGTAATCTACTTACAAGACTCAACAGTTTCGCTAATTCCACCTTGGTCAGGTACCTGAATTTGTCTTTCAGTTTTAGCATTTCTATCCGATTTCTCTGTTGGCTTTGGTTGAACAATAGGAGGGACTGTAGATTTGAGACTAAGTCCACTTTCTAATGTATCCAATACAGCGTCCAATTTAAGCGTGTTACTATCAATATTTTGAGATTTAAGTTCAATGGCTTCCTTATTATTTTGAATATTTCTTTCCATTAAAGTGAATTGCGCCTTGGATGGTAAATTTAATTCAATCTTTGAAACGTTATGATATAATTTCGTAAAATTTGATTTACAAGTATTAATGTCGTATAAGATTTTACTTATATCCATCTCCATCTTATCTGTGATACGATCTAAACGACCAATTCCCGCTAACTTTTCATCCAATTCTATATTATTACCATTTTGTTTTATCAAATTTTCAATTTCCGATAACTCGAATTCGTGAGAATTGAGTATTTTTGTATGATTAGTTAGATCTAATCGAATTTGTCTCAACTGAGCGTCGACAGCGTCCAACCTTTTTTTAGAACCACTCGACTTTCTGCGTCGCTTGGATAGTTTCTTCTTTACGTTTATACTTCTTGGTCTTAAGCGTCTCTCATTAGAAGTCTGTTGGAAAGAATGAATTTTTATCATTTATTCGCTTTTCTCTTTTTATTTTAGAAGCAAAAAAATGCTATAATACAATAGCATTTTACATAGTTTGCATACAATCTCATGTTTTGGGTGGGTTATTGACAAACATCCTTCATCTAATGGAAAACTACGTAAGTTCATTTGAAATAGAGAAAGCTTTCGTGTTCTTTTCAAATGGTACCACTAAATTCCAAGATAATTAAAACCAAGTATAGCTTTCCCCTCCTTAATATGTATTATTGAGTATTGTTAATTAAATTTTAACAAGAACGCCCCCCTCTATTACATTTAGATACTAAATATATACTTTTACAGACTTTTATACAACTCATTATATCAATCAAGCGTGAATAGATCACTTTGTACTGTATCTTAAATCAATTATGGCCAAGAGATATTTCTCTAGTAAACATAATTAATTATAAGAGAGATTCTAAGGAAAAAGAGTTATAAAGTGTACAATTGTAAAGGGCTCCCCCTTTTAATAAAAAAAATACTAATTAATCGCTTTAAATTTGTTTGATGAGCATTATCATAGGTACATAATAGGCTATAATGGATGAAGAGACTATAAACTGTGCAAATATGGTATTCTAATGGAAATTAATTTGGTATTCGAATTATAAAGATTAAATATAGTGATAATTTCATCATAATCCATTAAATTTCCAGGTAAGAAGTAGAAAATAGGGAGTTACTTTAAATCTCATTAGAGTATCACTAATTCGATCCAACCGTCCAATCGATAAACGCATATTCTCCATCCTCTCCTCCAATCGGTCCAAATTGCCAATCCGCTGCTCCAGTATGTCGATCCGTCTCTCGAGGACGTCAAAAGCGTCTTGAAACCATTCGACCACCGTCGATTTCCGGTCACTATTCAATTCCGTCGATGTGTTACAAATAAGAATAAGAAATAGGAAACAGAATGTTGCCCCCAGCATATTTTCTACGGAAAAAGACAAACTTTAACAATAGACGGCAAATATATAGATTAGGCCTAAAGCAGTCGTTAATCAATAGGTTTGTTAAATGCTCTGCAAAATTGTTGCTATCAATCAGCTTAAATTCTCTTCGAGTTTTGCTTTTGCAGTTGTTTCATCTACTTTTAAAATTTTGATTAGGCGGAAACTGTTTTTCAACAAAACATTTCCACTTTTCGACCTCAAAAATACTTGTTAGAATAATTATAAAAGAGGCAAACACGAATAAACAAACACTATAACTTGATTGAATGAATCAACCTTCGTAAATACTTAAGTTTTTTTCTTATCATATTCTCTGTCTATGCAAAACTGTTCCTAATGGAACGGAAAATAAGCGTATACTGACCTATAAGATTTTTGCGCAAGTTCTTGTTCTTTTTCTTTATCTTTTCACTTAGAAAAGAACTTGTTTGTACTTTAGTTTTTTTTCTTCTTCTAAAAAAACAAAACTTTCTGTAGAAACAACCAGTAAACGCAGTATAAGAAGAAGAAGAAAAAAAAACACAACGAAGAAGTGGGAGAAGAAGAAACAATGAGATGAATGAGAAGATGTTAGAAAAGGGGAAAAATTACCTTCTCTCTTATGTACGTCCAGTAGGAGTTTGTTGGGGATTTTTTTTTCAATTTGGCTCCGCCTATCCATAGTATGATTGACATAAACATATTCGACGCTCCATACATTTTTATATTAACTGTATAAAACTATATTATTAAAATTTTACTAAATTAAATAAGAAACCTTTTAAACTGTATTAAGCTAACCATATTGCATATTATAGATATGTATATACAGTATATAAATTTCTATATATATACTATGTATGGTCTATACAGCAAACTTGTACTACCTGCAATACAAAAGGATATACCTACTATAAAAGGTAAGTCCTCTTACCCAAGCATTTTGGATTGTTTATAATTAGAAAAATGTGAGAAATTAATATTTTTCTTGGAAGAAACTAATTCAAAGGGTTAATTAATTAAAATAGACGGCCTTATCTATTTATAGTTGTTTTCTTTTTAGACTGTACTTAACTAATTCTTAAATATTATTTAGTTTGCTAATATTTTATAAATGTCTAATAAATGAATATTCATTAGATTAATTATCTAATTTATTGATACAAATTTACCTACAGGAAACACTGTACAAAAACTACTATTGTATTTTGTTGAGATTTAAGGTGCCTTAAGAGTAAATGGAAGCGCTTTTTGGCGTTAAGAAGTGCCAACTATCTGAACTTTATGGTTGTGAGTAATATATTGCATGTAAAGATAAGAGGGAATTTTTTTTCAACTAGGCCTAAGAATGAACTATAATTAATAGGTAGAACGAGTGTTATTGTTTAGTATCTGTTTGAAGATACGAAGGATATATAGAAGTTATTATAAATACAATATAGTGCAGATATCACAATAAAAAAAAGTAACCATATTTCTTTGAAAAGACCAGAATAGTGAACTTAAGATGTAGTTAGTTTGAAACGAAAGTATTGTCTACCCTATATACATATCTATACTATCTAACTATTATTAATTTACATTATTATTAATAATTAATTAACCATTTTTCATTACAAAGTCCTCAGTAAAAATGTGTATTCAAGATATATATTCATCGGTGTATATACTCTAACTGTTTATTTATTCCTTCACATTACCCACAACAAAGTAATAGTTTATGAGAGATAGCATCATAAGGAAGACTGTGGGAATTAATCTAGGTGAATATGAAGCGGATAAATCACCACCGCATCCCATATATAACATTTTGTTCGGAGAACTTTGTTTTATGTAGCTGTATCTGAAGTCTATTGTATCTTGAGAAGAGACACTCAACAGCCATTCGTAAACTTTCGCTGGTTTTATACTTTCATCATGATAGCTTAAATAGCGAGCCATAACGCCTGCAACAAATGGAGAAGCCATTGAAGTTCCTTGTAAGGTATTCGTTGCTGTGTTAGTGGTATGATAGGTGGACTTAATACTTTCTCCAGGAGCAAAAATATCTAAACAGCTTCCATAATTTGAAAAGTGTGATATTCTGTCTGCCTTATCTGTTGCACCAACAGTTATTACTTCGTTCATTCTAGCGGGAGACCAATAGCACGCATCGCTCCGATCATTTCCAGCTGCAACTGCGACAGGTATTCCTAAATTAACGGCTTCTCTCAAGCATCTTTCCAATGTTACCGATTGTCCTGATGCCGATAAGCCTAAGCTTAGATTTGCTACAGCTTTAGCCTTTTTATTTGCTGATTTTTTCTTTTTAAAATCGTCAACCATCCAGTCAATACCTTCAATTAAATTTGCTAATTGCCCAGCTCCCTCAGAATTTAGAACTTTGACCGCCACAACACTAGCTTCTTTAGCAACACCGTGTTTTGAACCGGCCGCTATTCCAGCAACGTGTGTTCCATGACCATTCTTATCTTCTGGGCCTTCTAAGTTGTGTAACCAAGTTGCAGTGAAGCCCTGAGAAGCCTGTGTCCCGAAATCATCGTGGTTGATGTTAACACCAGAATCGACAACGTATATTGTAACACCCTTTCCGCTGTCAACGTTGCTGTATCTAATAGAAATAAAAGGAAAATTTAAGTACAAAAATATTAATTTAAGAGATAAGAATCAGTATTGAAGCTTATTAATAAGTTTATTTTTAGCGTTATTTAATTCTAAATAGATTGAGCTCCCTTGCGCCTTTTGTCATGGAGATATTCTTTCCTATCTTAGTATAAGAATCTCAATGTTTGAGCCGAATTTTCCCTCAGCGTCTTTTTTTTCTATACACACAGAATATATACTTATTTACATTGTATAGAAGTAGATTTAAGGAGTTATTTCATATTTTTAAATACATAATACTTGTGAATAATTTAATAGGAGAAAGGTTCTGAAAAGGTTTACTAAACCTGTAAGATGATCCTTGAAAGCTGCTGGGAGACGCATGTCTACTTATTCTCGATAAACCCCAAAGTTCTTCTCCCGATTTCTGGTGGATACAATCGGCTTGTGGCTTTGAAGTTGTTGGTACATAAGCTTGAATTTCAGCATCTTCTTCTATGTATTCAACGACATCCAAATTTCTTATTAAGCTCAAATAATCCTGAACAACTCTCTCTTCAATAACATACCCTCCAAAATCTCCGAGAGAGAATGTAAAATTTGGTTGAAAATGATATTCTCTTGAAAATGTATAAGCAACTTCACCCAATAGATTATTAATAAGTTTATCCCTCTTCAATACGATAATGTAATTCCTAACATAATTATATCCATTACTTAATGTAGATCTTACAAGAGGCGTTTTTGCTTTATAAAGAGGCGCTATTTTACAATGTATAAATGTAAAAGACACAAATACAAGGAAAATCAGACTTAAAGCTTTCATGTCTTGCAGTTAACAGGTACAGTTCTATCAACTGTTTTACCTATCTCGATTTTTATATCTAATCTTTATCTTCTGATGACTCATACAGTTGTATATTTCAAAAAAAGACGTATAACAGTCAGATATGTTTTTTTTTTGTGGTTAAAAAACTATTTCTTCTTTAATCGAATATTAAAATTTTACCTAGAAGATAACTATCCAGTCAAGTATTGAACTTTTTATTAATTAGCTTAAAGAAAGTATTAATATGAGATTACATCTAATATGAATATGTTACGTATATAAACCGTAGCTGTGCTATATGAATAGGTTAATAGGCTGACGTAAACCAAGTATTGTTATATACAACGTTTTAGAATATATATTTGCAAATATGTATTGTCTATTTTAAACTTTCTAGTATTTAATTATTCTCCTCGTATTCTATTTATAGTTCAGAAAGTTAAATAAACAATATTATTTAATTATTTGTTTTTATTATTTTCTTTCTCTCTCTCTCTTTCTGTCAATCTATCTCTCTCCGTCAATACGTCTGTCTATCAATCTGTCCATTTTTCCCTCTCTTTTAAATATATGCATACAACACTCGCCCACGAGTCGTGTATTCAAAATATTTCATCTTTCTGAGTTCGTGAAAGTATCATTACTAATAGGCTTTATGCTGTTTTTACCACGTCCGGTTATATATAATAGAAATCAGCTCACGAGCCGTTAAAGTTCGCCTAATCCTACTAAATAACAAGACACAGGTAGAGACATCTGTATTTTTCTTTGTAATTCTAGTGGAATAAGTGAAAACATCGTAATTATTAACATTGACAGTACTAATAAATGACTTATGAATCAATAACACTTATATTAGTTTTTGTGCTTGCAGATGAATCTTCAACTCTTCTAAAACATCTTCTAAACAAATGATATCTTCGAATTTGTTTACGGAATTCTTCATATCTAAAAGTGTAAATAATAGGATTAACACAACAATTAATGAATATCATAAAGACGCTAAATTGATGAAATGCTCCCCCCAGTTGTGTTACTATACCCAAGTGAAATCCAATAAAATATATTTGGTTCCAAATCCAACAGAATATGAATGCCACGGCTACTATGGCAAATGTTTTAACAGTATTCTTTATTCGGTGATTTCTTTGAATTTTCTTTTTGTCTGTGTTATTAGAGGTAACATTTTTGAAAAATATTAGACCAATAGATATATAACAAAAGCAAATGATTATTATTGGTAAAATAAACTGAATTCCAATTAAAGTTATTCCAATAGTTCTTCTTGTTAGATCATTTGGCCATCTGGAAAATGATTGACACGTACCATTAACAATTTTTGTTGAGGTTGATTGATAAATATATTGATAAGGTACGAATATAAGCCATATTATAACTGCTGCAAAAATAGCTTTATTTCTTGAAATATTTTTATGGAATATCGGATATTTTACAGAGACAAGCCTTTCAAGGGAAAGGAAAACCAGATTATAAGTTGACGCTATTAATAATCCAAACAGTTGTATACCACTGTACCAGAAATGACAATATATAAACAAGGAGCTTGAACTTAGTTTAGTTGAATCAATTAAACGACCAGACCAATGGTCTAGAATCATAAATACTGATGCAAAGAAGTCTATAAAACTTTGATTTATTAAGAATACAGTTGAAAGAGATTTTCTTAATTTATCGTTACCCTTCAAGACAATAATGATAACAAAACTATTACCTAGCATTCCAACAATTGAGATGAGAGTTGTTATGACATCTTGAATGACTATAATTTTATGATTTTCACCTTCTGTTTGATTACTCATTAATTCAGTCAGTCTTATGAGTTAAGGTATAGAGAAGCATTGTATATATCTATTGTTCCTCAGACACTGCCTGTAAAGGAATAACGAAGCTTTCGTGTAATATAAACATGTATATATATATATTCTGTATCTAAATTATATTAATTTATTTAAATGTAAAGAAAAGAATAAATTTACAAACTTATTTGCATATGTTAATATATAAACTGTATATGCACATATACAATATATTAGCATAATAGTATGTGTCATAAAGTATATAAATTTTCATGTGTCAATTAAATATTTATAATAAATTACATAAACAGAATGTTTATGTTCCTACCTATGATTAAATAATATCACGTTATATTTCAAAATGTACATTCTCAATATACAAAAGATACTATTAAATTGTAATTGCATAACTACTGTTATAATAAACAAAGATAACCTTAACAGGATAGTTTAGATACATGTTCTCTCCTTAGAATGACGCTTTTAAATATTTTTAAATTAATATATAATTTACAATATGTTATTAACCATAAGAAAAAAGCCTTTTACTTCAATTTTATTCGAAATATGATATAATAAAGAGAATATCTTTGTTCGTCTTTATGTAACGTTCAATTGAAATTTCAATAATAAATATGTCTGATTTTAGATTCTTTGTTAAGAAGTCTTTTTAATTATTTTATAAGTGATATATTTTTTAAGCGATCTTGATTGTCTTTATGCACTTTAAGTGCATCCCTTTCACTCTCTCTCTCTCTTTCTCTTGCTCTCTATTTTTTTACATTTTCAACATTATGTGAATTTTTTTTCTGTGTACAATTATAGTAATTATGTCGAAAGGATGAAAATGAGAGCAGTGTCTTAGTAATATTAATTGAAAAATTTATGAATGTTTCAAAATAAGATCATCTCTTAACAAATAGAACTATTACGAAAGAGATCCTATTTATTTTATGAACAAGGAATTGCTATTTATTAAACTTTATGGTAAAATAATAGAAGCGCAAAGTTTAGCGGAGAATTACAATAATGTCTATATTTGCTGTATGATAGAGGAAAGTAAACTTTTAGCATTTATATGATATGTATACAATATATACTTTTTATAGAATACTTGCACAATATGCACACCAAAAGTAATTACATGTCTTTTTTTATAATTATAGTTAGCCCTACTACATTTATAGTTTTATTATAAATCAGGCATGTAAAAGATTCTTTTATGTGCTATGTTAAAATGAAAGAGTTGTAAATTTAGCTGAAAAAACTACTGTATTTACTAAAACTTTAAAGATATAACTTCTATTACTGTTTTTATAATAATTGAACATGATTGTACTTTTTAGGCTTGTCACCTAAAATATAAATCTAAATCAAAACCGTAAAAATAGTATAAAGATACATATACAGTATACATATAAGGGCTGCAGAGAGTATAAGATAAAAATTATGTATCATTTGTTCATTAGCATGTAGGCTAATGAACTCTTATTCTTCTTCTTTACGAGTAAAATATCGGTTTTTTTCATTGTCTATCAAGCATTGTAGATATCAGAAGAGCTTGAAGTCTGTTTAGTAAAATTGAAGATACAAGGTATCCTTATCGTTTGTTTTTATATATACTTGAAATAGTAAAAAAATGAGAAGAATCTCTTTTCATTTTCCCTGTAGCTATATATTTACATATAGTATAGAGAATACAGCATATTTGTCTCATTGAAATTTCATAATTAGATAATAAGCCTAGAAAATTATAAATCTTTATTTTTTCCAACTTATCAGATGAAATCGGAGGAAGAAAACATAATTACATTTCTTAGTTTGCTATTGGGGAAGTAAAATCTTCTTTTGTGGATATAATATAACTTCTAGTCTGAGTGAATTGAATCACTTATATTGTTCTCCATATGGTCTACTTCAAGTCTTTGAAAATTAATACTGCTTCGGCACCCTTAGTAAGATCTCTAGGACATAATTTTGAAATGTCATAAATGGCTTTGTATCTGAGAACGCTGCCGTGATAATTGCTTTCAAAGAGAGAGTGGCTCATGTACGATACCTGCTACACTCGTGTAATTAGCCAAAGGCTATCACATTCCGCGTTTCTTGGAAAATTAACCATCTTCGTTCTTAAAGAATTATCTTAAACAATATATAGACATATTCTTTATTTTTCAACGAACTTTGTCCTACCCAATTGCATATACAGACGTGAAACAAATAATTATTTTATGCTTATACAAACTACTTGATTGTTTACATTACTTTTAGATATTAGTCTTTACTTGTCTTTTACATGTCATAGGATTTATCCTTTCATTTCGTACGCCATCTGTCGGATAAATAACGTGTCTTCAACGGAGGAGTTTTGTTTTAAAGTTACACACTTATTTAAAATATAATAAATAATTCGTGAATAAGATTGAGTTTCTCCTGAAAAATTTAATATTCATTTAAGAATTTTCAATATAATTTAGTAAAAAGACAAAGATAAGCAAAGTAAAAGTATTACAACTTTAGTGTTAATTTCTTTCTAAAATTATATATACTGTATATGTAACTTTATGCAATATATTTCTTTATGAATAAATGAAAGAATAAATGGCAATAATGGCAGAAACAGGAAGATCACGTTTAAAAAGAGAAATACGTGAAACTTCTTTGAAATAAAAAATAAAGCAATATGGAGATGAAGAAAGGCTGAATTGTGATTACAATTCTGTAATAAAGAATTGGCTATAGCTTATGTATAAGTAGTGATGAATGAAATTTTAGTTGTCGATTGGAAACAGTGTCAATAGAGGTTTCTATTGTATTATCTTAAAAATACAGTGAAAAGGCAAGGAGACATTAAAACAACATAAACAATTTGCAGAAGGAAACATCCATGCAACATTTTATACATTATGTAACTTTTAAAATGATATGAATTTGTGGACAAGTATTCAACAACAATTACAATATATAATCATTTTTTCTCATTATGTTTCTATTGGAGTTTTTATAACAGATAATGAGCGTCTTTCAGGAAAGAGTTTGTGAAATATTAAATATTTACGTAGTTCTTTCCTAAAAGCAGAATATCTAAAAGTATATATAAACGGATTTATAAAACAATTTACAAATATCATAAACACTGAAAATAGACCAAAATCTGTTTCCAAATTATATACAATACCAAGATTGTAACATAGGAAATATACTTGATTGAATATCCAACAAAATAGGAAAGCGCCCGCAACTATTGCAAAAGTTTTAATACTGTTTCTTTTTACTCTTTCAGAAGTTTGAATTCCAGTAGATGGTTTAATAATTGTTGACTTTTTTGCAAAAATAAACGCTATACCCATGTAGGAAAACATGATTGCTACAAGCGGTATGATAAATTGTACGCAAGTTAAACCAATACCAACAGCTTTTGCAACGGCTATACTTGGCCAATTCAGGAATAAACCGCAGGTACCGTTCGGCAGAACTATCGATGTAGGAACATGATAAGAAAATTCATATAATATTCCAAATATCCAAATACATATACAAAGAACAATTAGACAGCTTCGTTTAACATTTTTATGTTGTATGGGAAATCGAATAGATGCAAAACGCTCCAACGATAAGAATACTAAATTGTAAGTTGACGCTATTAAAAGAGCCCATACTAAAACACCACCATACCAAGCTCTACAATACCATTCGCGCAGGGTAACACTTGAATTGGACACATCCACTAGCCTCCTTGTCCAATATTCCAAAACAAGTAAAACCGAAGCTAAGCCGTCCAAAATACTCTGATTGATCAAAAATATCGTTGATGAGATTTTTTTCAAAGGACCTTTAGACCTGAGTAGAATAAAAAGAACAAACATATTTCCACTAGTTCCCAATATAGATATTAATGTATAAACAATATCTTGAAGAACTTCTAGTTTTCTAGTTGAAGAATGTGCAATATTTGTTGTATTTCCTTCAATCATGGTAATTATTTGTCTAATATTCGCCACTCTACGATCAATTCATAGAGGTCGCTATTGCCTATCAATAACAAGAAATTAAGTATTTGCACTTCTACTATTTAAGTTATTAAAATTATTTTCCAAAGTATCTTCAGGAGGATAAAAAATCTTCAAACGTATTTGATCATTTAAGTATGTGTGTTAAGTTTAGTTTACTTATTTATAGTGGTATATATGTATATATATCAGACATATATAGAATTGCATGATAGAAAAAGTCTCCTCTCTACGTATTAGGTTAAGAGAAATAGTTGAAAAGAAAATGATAAAGAGATGTCGCAAAGTAATTCATTAAGAGGACAATATCAAAATTTCCTTGAATCTTAATTATCTATATGTTTTTTAGGCTCTTTAAACCATCGAAATATTGTCTATATTTATTTATCTTTACTATTTTTATTGCTTCATCCCTCTTTTTCTTACTTTATCATCTAATATAGATAATTCTGTAAACAAACAATCGTTTAAAGATGATTTATTTGAGAATAAAGTATCATTTAATACACGCTGTTAAAATTCTCATATAACTCTAGTTTTGCACTTATTTTTGTCCTATGTTAGAAATTTGTCAATTAGTTTATTTCTTCGTAAAATGCAAATAGTAAGTTATGTAATGTTTGGCTCCATCTGTTGGACAAAAAGAGATTATACAAATACGCTGCAGGGTGAGAATATACTTTATTAGATGAAAATTACAATAACTAAATATAGCTAAGGACTTAATGAAATGGAGACAAGCTTTAAAAGTTTTGTCTGGGATTTATTATCCAATTGAAGTTCACGTGACTTTGTTAAAGTGAAGGCGATTGGTGGTACTGAGATGACATAAGTTGTGGATGTAATATACCTTGTGGAAACACTTAACATGGATCTTTCATATTCAAGATCAAGTAGCAGCCACATCGTTTATTCTAATTTTCTTGACGGAGAAAACTTTAAACTGGAAACGCAATGAATTCCAATTCTGATAATACAACAAAGAAGGATGAACTACCTGTTGATCCAGAGCAGGAAAACATCGAATTAATGCAAGATATCATTTTTACAACTATATCTATCTTTGGAACGTTTGGGAATTTATTTGTTTTATTTATAATTTTGAAATCAAAAGGAAGATTGAGAACAGCTCTATCTACTATATTTATTATCAATCAAAGTCTATTGGATATGACGGCAGCTATCTTATTGTTTGCTGATCATTGGACAAGTAGATTAGTTGATGAGACTAAACTTACTGGAACATTTCTAATTTGGTATTGTCGTGCTTGGTACAAAGGAGCGTGGGTTTGGGGTATTTTAACTGGATCGTCGTATAATTTGGTTCTTCTATCGTTAGAACGATATTTTTCAGTTATATTTCCAATCGCTCACAAGAATTTATCGAGGAGGAAAATAATCATCGCCGCTATTTTAGTTTGGCTTATTTTTATAAGCTACGAATTTTCACATCAAACGCCTACGAGCACTATTTCAGAGACAGGTCATTGCGCTCCTTTTTCTAAATGGCCAAATGATCTGATAAGGCGGTCAGTTGGAGTTTTGATCATAGCTATTCAATTTATAATACCGCTAATAATCATTGCTTTTTCCTACATTTCATTGGCAATAACTTTTTCTAAGAAATCAGCTAGTGTTGCACCTTCACAACATGGTCAGGATATGTCTCAAAGGGTTAGAAAGAATAGTATTAAAACCTTTGCCATTGTAGCTTGCGCTTTTGTAATTTGTTGGATATTCAATCAGACGTACTTTTTAGGTTTTTATTTTGGTCTTGTCTCGTCTCTTACAGGATACTATTATCATTTCTCCGTATTTATGGTATTTGTTAATTGTTTTATTAATCCATTCATATACACATTTAGATATGGTGAATTTAAGAAAGAGTTACGTAAATATCGTCTATTTAAATTGTGTATGAGGTCTAAAGGTGAAACAAAAGAAGGAGCAAACATGTCAACTGATAAAACTAGTACAAATTACTAGTTGCAATTAATTATTTCTCAATCTTACCATTTTAACAAATTAGATTGATGTTTATCAGGGTGTTCGTTCTAGAATAGCAAATTTTCAGACACGTACGAATACGCAAACACATAACACACACAGCTATACTCACTTACAAATATATATATACTAATATATATATATACTGCATAAATATGTACAGTATGTATATCCTTCTCTCTCTCTCTCTTACTCATGACACTAAATTCATAACTGGTTAAGTGATGTTATGTGTCATTAAACTGTTGTTGTATATTAATTAATTCTTATTCTTTAACAATTTTTAGCTAAAATATGCAAAATTAATTTACAAAGTACCATTAATCGTGCTAGTTGATTTGAATACACAAATAAAATATACAGTATTATGATATAATGCGTTATTAAAACGTTTATTAATCAGCCAAAAATAATCTAAAGTCTATTTAAAGGCAAATGTAGGTACACTATATTTATTAATATATAGACTTATATATTTATCATATTTGGTAGAATAAGAAAAGCACTCTTGCTCTTCGTCTATTTGAATAAAAGATAATTTATTTATTTTATATTAAATAGGGAGATTTTTTTTTGTTCCGATGTTAATCGACATTCTCTTCACCTGAAATAATAAAGAGAATTTTATATATTTAGTGTGTTTGCATTAGAAACTATATGAATTAATATCCCGGTTAAACAACATCTTCGTTAGATCATCTAACGATGAAAATTCAAAAGATTCATTTTTTTATCATACTAAAAGAAGTTCATTTCCTTTATCAAAAACCAGGCATCCGTAAGTTTTGGAGCATTTAGTTACAGACTGAACTTGAAAGGGATTTTTCTGTTGTAAAATTATCCAAACAAACTTGCATTGTGATCATAAAAGACAATTTGACCTAAAAAGGGACTAACGGTATCCTTCCATCCATTTTTATATAAAAAAGAAGGTTATCAAAATTTATCCTTGTTGAAATATGTTTATATAAAAATAGTTTCCAATTTAGATAAATAGATAGAGTAATTTAACATAATTATGATCATTAATTCTTTTGTATTTCATAAAGAATAGACAAATTTCACTTTTTATAGCTTTTCTTTCATAAAAATTATTTCTATAAAAAGCTCTTTCTCTTCCTCTTCTTCTCTGTATTATCTTTTCTCTTTTCTTTTTCTTATTTAAACATTTTACTGAACTTTACTTACATCCTTAAACTTTGTCTTCGTTAATTAACTTAACAAGTGATAAGAAAAAAAATGGAATATGAAGTATGCTGTATTATTAATCCTAAATTGATTATCCTTCCTCCTTTATTACTGTCTATTAGAGTTTCTTGTTTATTGTTTACTTTGTAAATTCTATTTTTCTTTTATCACAGACACTTTTAAAGAAGATCCTGGAGTGATAATTTTTATAATCCTTCATATTTTACATTATCAGTTAAAAGGATATTTGTGTAATAAGACCATCCAAGTTTTGTCTTTTTTATAATTAACATACAATACTATAATTACTTCTTTCTCAGTCTTTTGTTGCTTAAAAAATGAAAATTTCCTAAGGAGCTCACCTTTCGGGTGCATTCATCAGTATCTAAAAAATATTTAGTCATTTTGACTTTTATCTCCTCTTATTTAATATTTTTTTGAGATGAAAGGATAAAACTTTCTATAGGTTTCCTCTATGTCAATAGCACTAGGGTTCTTTAAATTGTATCGATATTTCTAGATCGTTTACTTATTTTACAAACTGCCAGTATAATCTGTTGAAAAGTGTTCTAGCCGACTATATATTTACTGCAGAAATTCGTTATGCCTAACGGCGCAATTTCTCTTTTTTGCATTTCCTGAAATCCTCATTTCTTTATTTTTGGTGCATTAAAATAAAAAGATTCATATGAACTATATGCATGCATTCCTATTTAATGAGTATACAATAATCTATAGTTGGAAAAAATGATAATTTAATTGAAAGTCTGTTTTTAATTAAAAGTCTATTTGTATTGAGAATTATTTGTTCACTAAAAGGGATTTTCCAAAATTTTCAACATCATTACGCTGCATATATATCATAATTATTAATGCCATCTATTGGATATGAAGAAACAATCTCAAACCTACATTCTTTCTAAAATCTATTTAAATATGAGCGGAGAAAGAATAGAAAGATGAAAAAGTTATATTATCTACTGTTAATTTAATAAAAACAAATAGAAAATGTTTGTTGTTTACTGAAATAGTATTTTCTCTCTTACAGTCTATATATATACACTTTATTTATGTATTATTATAAATACACAGATAAGACAAAGTCTTTACACTAAGTCCTCTTAACCTGTTTATATTTGCCCCTATTCTATATATAAGTTGATTTTCTGGACAAAAGAATTTATAATGATAGCATTCTTTTCTATATTTATATAATTTTCGTTAAAATACAAATGATGAATGTAATACTAGATAATAAATTTTAAGCATATATTAAAATTTTATCATTCCAATTCAAAACATAATAGAATAACATTTTATACTAAAAATGTGTTTACATTAGCACGAAATTTTCTCATTTTTCTATTAAAATTTGATACATGTATAAAAACAAGGAAGAATGGACAATGAAGAAACAAGGAGAAAGAGAGAGAGAGAGAGAGAGAGAGAATGATAAAAAATGTGTCAGATACCTATTTTTAGATATTCTATCTTGGTTTCTGTTTACATCATGTATAAAGTTTATATAAACGAACTAATTTAGAATATTTAGGTACAGTTCCCTTTTTTTACTTTTACTCTAAAATCAATTTTATGTAATATTTTTTATAATAAAAAAAAGTTCACTACTTAAGTACAGAATCTTAGTATCTATTGAAAGTATATTTATACAAATAATACCATTTTTTACTCTTCATAATAAGTCTTTGATTTCTCTCGTTTTAAGTTTTTAGTTTTCTTTTTTTTTTAAAAAAAAGAAATAAATTAATTTTAACTTTATTTAAAATATTTAATATCATTCTTTACAATAAATGAAATTATTTTAAAAAGCGGCGGCAAAGAGATGTAATGTCAATACGTCTGTATAATAACAACCGTTCCTCAAACACCCTATTTACAGAATGATTACATCGAAGTTTTATTTTCCCTATGAACACTCTAGTATGAATTCTAGCGGTATTTTCCTGTTATTCTTCAAACATGATTACTTTATTTTATCATTATCCGAATGAATGTGAAATGGAAATGATATTGCACTTTATTTTATTTTTTGCGTGTTTTATATTAAATATTTTCTCAAATATATTTTACTACAGATATGTATAGGAGTAATCAATTAATAAGTATACAAACAATTTCATATGGGCTTAGGGGAGTACGACGAAATCCTACAACATTAATATAATTAGTTAGAACTTTGATTCCTTTGTGTCCTTCTCCTCTGCTGAATTTTCACCACTTGTTGATATTTCGTTACTAACTTTAAAACATTGCTTAAATAGACGATATTTACGCAATTCTTTCTTAAATTCACCATATCTAAATGTGTATATGAATGGATTAATAAAACAATTAACAAATACCATAAATTTTGAGAAATGATAATAATAGCCTGTAAGAGACGAGACAAGACCAAAATAAAAACCTAAAAAGTACGTCTGATTGAATATCCAACAAATTACAAAAGCGCAAGCTACAATGGCAAAGGTTTTAATACTATTCTTTCTAACCCTTTGAGGCATATCCTGAGCATGTTGTGAAGGCGCAACACTAGCTGATTTCTTAGAGAAACTTATTGCCAACGAAATATATGAGAAGGCAATGATTACTAGCGGTATAATGAATTGTATTACAACTATTAATATTCCTACAGCTCTTCTGGTAAGATCATTCGGCCAATTTGAAAAAGACCGACATAATCCGGTACTCAATACTACAGTTGTACCCGATTGATGAGCATATTGATAGCAAATGAATACAATCCACACTAAAGTTGCTGCAATAATAGCCTTTCGCCTCGATAAATTCTTGTGAGCGACCGGATACATAACTGAAAAGTATCGTTCTAATGATAAAAGAACTAAATTATACGATGATCCTATAAGAACACCCCAAACAGTTACATGCCCATTCCAGCCGTGACAGTACCATTTTAACAATGATCCATGCATTGTTCTCTCGTCTATCAATTTTTCTGTCCAGTAGCTAATTCCAAGTAGAACGGAAGTTGCTGTGTCTATCAAACTTTGATTAATTAAAAAGATCGTTGACATCATTTTATGTATTGGTCCTCTGGATCGAAGTACAATTATTAAAACAAATATATTACCAAAAGTTCCTAAAACAGATATTATTGTATAAGTAACATCCTGAACGAATTCAATAGTTTCTTTTTCGTTTTTTATAGTATTTGAATTGTTTCTTATTATCGTTCCATTGAAAGTTATCATCTCACTTTTCTCTTCTTAATATAATGTTCCCAACATGAATGTTATTTTTATTACAGTTCTTACGAAATTTTGTCTCAGGTGTGCTCGAAAATTACTTTACAGCTTCATTTTTATAATTAAAATATCATCCAATAGACTCTTCTATGTTTATTCTATCCAATCACAATTCGTTTTAGAAAATATAACACCTATTCTATAGTAAAATTTGTTGTTTTTTTTAACTACTCCAATATAGACGTCAGTGACGTCTAACTAATTTGCATAAATTGACAGAAATGGCTAATATTCTTTTAGAAATTAGTTTCTTTATTTAAATCTTTTTGGAGACATTAAACATTCAATTATGAATAGATGTAGGTATTGCATTTATATGTGATAGATGGCGCCAAAGATAAATATGAGAAAATGAAAATAGACGAAAAAAAAGGAAAATTATTATTATTCAATAAACAAACAAAGAAACTCTTGTTTAAAACGAAATATTCAACTTTTAATCTTTTAATGACTAATAACTTCTTTTTTTAATGTTTCTTAAGAGGATAAAGGGAAATACAGACTGTATGTACCTAATATATTTATTTGTTTATTTGTAAGTATATAGGTTTTGTTAGAAATTTCTAAGGAAAAATGTAGTATTTGATATCGTAGATGAATAGGCTAATAAAGGAAGCTAAGGAATATTTCTGTGGCTCTTTCATAAACAAAAGTATAGAGGGATACACTTTAAAATATCTCATTAAGAATAATTTTTAGGAATAGGGAAGAAAATATTCTAAAAACAATGAAAGTATCTTTTCGTATTATTTAATAATATTTTAAAATGAGCACTGTGTTCTCGCGGATGTTCCTTGTGAAGCATTTAATGGGTTCACCTCTTTCTTTTTAAAACAGTTACGCTTTAAAAGTTCTTTTTTAAATTCGTCATATCTAAAAGTATATATAAATGGATTAATAAAACAATTAACAAATACCATAATAACTGAAAAATGTCCAAATACTGTTTCTAAACTGTCGATTAATCCTATACTAAACAAGAAAAAGTAAATTTGATTAAATATCCAACAGAAAACAAAGGCTATTGAAACTATAGCAAATGTTTTTATACTACTTTTGCGTATCCTCTGAGTTGTTTCATTCGCTATGCTAGATGTTCTCTTGACAAATGATAAGGATATCGATATGTAAATATATGATATAATTAGAAGTGGTAATATAAATTGAACAAGTACGACAAATATACCAACACCTCTAGAAGTTTCCAAATTAGGCATTTTAACAAATAAACCACAATTACCATCTGGTAAAACAATCGTTGTTGGAACTTGCCTCGCTAGTTGATAGACTACACACACCAACCACAGAACTACACATAAGACAATTACTCTGTTTCGCGACAAATTTTTGTGCTGAATAGGATACTTTATGGAAACGTATCGTTCCAAGGAGAGAAACACAAGATTATATGTGGAGGCTACCATTATACCCCAAACAAAAACGCCTCCATACCATCCTCTACAATACCAGTTTAACAATCCGGAGCTCAAATCGGAGACGTCTACCAATTTTCTAGTCCAGTATTCAAGTGCCAGAAGAAAAGATGCCGAAGCGTCCAAAATACTTTGATTAATTAGAAAGATAGATGACAATGCTTTGTGAATTGAACCTTTTGACTTTAACACAATATATAAAACAAACAAATTTCCAAATATACCCAAGATTGCAATTAATGAAAATGCAATGTCTTGAACAAGTTCTAATTGAACAGAAGTTTCAGAATGAGAGGAGTTACCAGCCATACTCTCTCTTCTAATCTTTAATAATCATAAGTAAAGAAAGTATCTATAATTCTCCAGGGGGCGTCTAAATATCAACTCCTCGACTAAGGTTTCGTTTAAGGATTTGAAATTATGTTAATTAACCTATGTGCTTTGGTTGTAAATTAGATTATCAAAACAAATACTTAATTATATTGAAAAAGTTTGACTAATTAAATGCGCTATGTAATTTCTTTCATATCTTAAGTTTACCATAAAGTTTATATTTCATTTCTATGGAAACTAGAAATATCGTTAGTAGCTATTATATTTTTAACGTGCTTTTATGCTAATAGAAACTAAACTGAAAAAAGAAATTAAGTAAATAGAGAAACGTTTGAGAGGCTTTTAGGAAATAAATAAGATCTAACAAATATTAGAGTCCTAAGAATTATTAAATATCTAGATTCAATATATATATATATATATATATATATATGTATAATTGTGAATTGCAAAGCATTGATAGCCATATTCAGTCATAATTTTCAATAATAATAGGTACATATAAGGAATATAAAATAGTTTCAAAGAAATTATCTATAACTGCTATGTTTTGTCATCTCTAGAGTGAAAAAGAATACAGTTTTTATGTGCTTGAAACGTTAATCTTCCATACGGAATAGACACTTTTCTAACTCTTACCTTCTATAATATCCGGTCCATTTGTAAGATCAAGAACAAACACAGTCATACAGGCACTCTAAGATTACTTTTTTCTCAAAGTCTCACCTTTTATGTTTGACACTGACTTATAGGACGAAATAGTATCACACTAAGGAAACAATAAAACTTCAGATTAACAAGTGAAATCTTTAGAATTTAATACAATCGAGGATCTCCGAAAAGCTGCGCCACCTATGAACCAGCTTACATAAAAACTATGTAACGATTGTCAGCCTAAGAATTAAGTACTTTCTTATTTTGAAGTTTGGAGGGAAAATATAAATATAATCAATAATTAATAATTCGTTCTAGACATCAGTTGTATAGTCATATTTTCAAGCTAATTATGTAAATATTCTCGTAAATGAACTTTTAGCATATGCAAATATATTTGGTGTGCATATAGTTTATTATACATAATGTAACTGCTATATAAAATATACTTAAACAATACATAAATCTTTTTTTTTAAACAAAACAAGCAAAGTAGCTATTGTATCTTGTTTTCATATCTATAAATGGTTAGATTCCCAAGGAAATATTAATCATATTGCATATATATTGCATACGCCATCTATAGGATTTAAAATATGCATTTGAAATAAAGGCATCTTAAATAGGGCTTTATGATGTATAATAGAACATTATTAAATATAGAAGGATTATTAAATTTTTAGACACTACATATTTATATCACCATTATTTATATAGATATATATATTTTAGGTCTAGAATATAAAGGGTTAAAAATGTCTATATCATGACTAAATGACTGTTGTAAATTAACTTCAGAGATAAAATGAAGGTAACTAATCCATGCTTTGTAGAGTACATTGCTATGAATTTTCGCAAAATGAGCCTTCAAGCAATGTAAAACCAGCTTTTAATCTTCCTTTGGTTTAAAACTTTAAAAAGCTATCATGTAGAATGCAAAATGAAACGATAATAAGATATATAATCATGTAACATTTTATTTTATACTAACAATGCAAAATTTAATCAATACATATGGAAATAGATATTGAAATATCATCATAAAAAAACCCCTTAAACTATCTTTGTAGGAAAATTATTGTAAATCTATCAAAAATATTACCAACTACGACTGATTTGTTGCTCTACTGTCATTTGAATGACTTAACTCTTCAACATGAACTATTAGTTCTTTCTTAATAAAAAATACTTTAAATATAGCATAACGATGTAATTCTCTTTTAAATTTATCATATCGAAATGTATAGATAAATGGATTAACGCAACAATTAACAAATACCATAAACACTGTAAATTGGTAATAATCTCCATCTAACTGATGAATTAAATTGAATTGAAAGCCAAGGAAGTATGTTTGATTCCAAAACCAACAAATAATAAAGGCAAATGCGACTAAGGCGAATGTTTTTATGCTGTTCTTTCTGACTCTTGAATTAAACATTTGGCTATTTTGACTCGGATTAATTGTAACATTCCTCTTTGCCAGTATTACTGCTAGAGATATATACGTAAATGCTATAATAGCTAACGGAAAGATAAACTGTATAAATATTATAAAAATTCCAACTACACGTCTCGTCAAATCATTCGGCCAGTTGATAAATTGTCCACAAGTTCCATCCTCAAGAACTTTACTTGTTGTTGCCTGATGAGAGAACTGATACGGAATGAATATCAGCCATATTATTATAGCTATTATTATAGTCTTCTTTTGTGAAAAGTTCTTGTGAGCAACAACAAATCTTACGGATAAATAGCGTTCAATTGATAAAACTACCAAATTATATGTTGAGGCAACAAGAATACCCCATACTGGGACTCCTCCAAACCATGCACTACAATACCATTTAATAGCAGTCGGACTAAGACTCTTCTGATCAACTAATCTCTCTGTCCAATGATCGGTCATAAGTAAAATCGAAGCTAAACCATCTAAAAGACTCTGATTTACCAGAAAAATTGTTGATAAAGACTTTTTCAAATTATTATTCGCTCTACAAACAATAATCAATACAAAGGTATTTCCAATAGTTCCTAAAATTGAAATTGTTGTTATTATAATATCTTGTATTAGTTCCAACTTTGAATTAGAGTTAATGCTGCTGTTCATCCTACTCGGTGGCATGTACGGATCTGTAATACTCTTTATCGCACAGAGGGCGTCTAAAACATTTTTGTGCCACAAAAAAAAGAGTATCTAAAAAAAAGACCTTCAATGGTAAAGTGAAAAAAATCGCAAAATTTCTATTATTTACTTTAGGGCTATAGCAGATAGTATAGACAAATAAATCTAATAAAGATAAGCTTGAACATTTATATACAGTATATATCTCTCTATATATATAGATATAAATAAATAAATATCTACTTATATATACATATATAAATATTCCAACATAAGTATTTTTATGTATGATTTAAAAAAGAGTACTACTTATACACAAGGACAAAAAGAGAATTCTCTCAGCTTTTTATCCATTTATTACAAGACAAAACAATCTTTTTTGAAGAGTATCATCAGTCGGCAGCTTATAAGTAGTTTTTATTCCGTATAAAATCATTATGATATACAATTTATTTGTTATTTATGCTATTTATTATGTCATTTAGATGCTCTATTATTTTAGGCTTATTAACAAAAGTTTTTTTTTAACATTTATAATAATTTATGTTAATTATTCAAGTGCCTTAATTAATTTACACAAAATAAATGTAAATCAGAAGTAAATCAATGATTTTTAATTATTGAATACAATATAAACAATTAAAAATGAAAAGCTTTAGATAGCTTTATTAAAGATGTACTTATATACAATATAAATATATATATATATATATATATATATATATATATATATATATATATATTAGGTTCAATCACGTTATCAAATAAAACATATTGTCAACATCATTGTTTAATCCATTATTTTTATAAAAATAACAATAGCACGATTACTAATGATTGATTTGACTATTGTCTAAGCCTTATTTAAATCATATCAATAAAAAGAGTATTCAATATTATATTGAATTAATTAATTATTGTAAAAAGTCAACATTAACTAGACCAGAATTGGATTAATATATTTTCTATTTATTATTTAAATAATAATTCAAATTCGGTCTTATCATAGTAATTGACTTTTTTTTAGTACGTTTTTTGCGATATGTAGCAATGGTATCTGAAGATTTCGTCCCAAATCACCCAAAATAATTACGATTAAAGAAAAAAATTATATCGACTATTATTTCTTAGATATTTCGACTGAATGATTAATCTCGGTTGAGAGATGGTTTCGGATGAAATCTCCCATGACCACTTAATGATATTTATATTAATAAAATAATAAAACTTGAACTTACAAAAAACTTCTTCAAAACAATTGTACATTTTTGTTTTGTTTGAATACAGTGATTTGTTTGAATACAAGGTTTTTTTTAGTATTTTTTTAAAGCCTCTGGTAACCAGATCGACTAAAATAAGATTAAAAAGGAAAAGATTATAAGAATTAAGTAATTTACATTTAAAAACATTTAGTAAAACTATTGAAATTATACTATCTATGCAAATATCCTGTACGCATACTGACTTATACATATACTGTAAATTATCTTCTTAATACTTAAAAATATACATATGCATATCATAATTATATGAATATTAATTAGGTAATAAATAGAAATATAGACAGAAAAAAAAGAGATAAATAATGTTGATTTAGAAAAAATGTTATTTATTTTACTAAAAATGATTTTACTTTATGTGGATATTTTTTGATTTAATATTCACTTTTCTCTGAAAATAGAAATAGAGTACTTTACTTTCCACAGGGCTTCATGTTCACCATGTTGTCAGCAAAAGTTAGAGGTAACTGAACAATACCAAGAACAGCCTCCGCTGCTCCTTTCATAGCTTCAATGCAAGCTCCGAAAGGTAACAAACATACGTACAACCAGGCTAGTAAAAATCCAATTGGCCAGCCCACAAAAATTAAACCAAAAAACCAAATTACAGCCCATAGAAGTCCTGGACAAAGATCCGCCATATTTCCGGCTGTTTATTTAACTTGTACTCAAAGATATATTCAACAAAATGATGAAAAAAGTTGCATGAGCAGTTTTACCTCTAGAGAATGTATTCCAACTAATAAACAAAAAATAACTGTGTGTCCAAGTAGAAGCGGGGATGCGATTTAAGAGCGTATTAAAAATAAGAAATGCCTCAGTTCCTAGGCGACAAGGTACAATAAATATTTATCTCAGATAAAGTAAGATAATTGCATACTTTCTAGATAAAAGAGCGAACTGCTTTAACAGGTTAGATCGACATATATATGTATAGTTTTAAAAAGGGAAGCGACCTTTCAAGAAAATTCTGCGGAATTAGTAGATCGTTCTCATTGTCTTACAAAGGGAAGAGTAATTGTACATGCATTAAAAAAATACTCTGTATCATTCTTTATCTTGTTTAAACTGTAATACGCCTATAGCCTAATATCAAACAGAGTGATGTAATATCACCAGGTGCTCTCTTTTATGTGTAACAAAAACCTCGCCTACAAAAGGGAGCCTTCTAATCCGTAGAAAGCATTACTCTGAATTTTATAATTAATAAAATCTAGCTGCTACATAGAATGTATATAAACTTGTAGAATACTATACATGTATAAATTAACCATCTAGAGAGCATGTATCACATGTCATTTAGTTTAACGTGATAAAGATATGAATTGCTAATTTACAGTTAAATCAACAATCAATCGAGATAATAAGTTTAAAGAGTATTTTTTTAAAAGATTAACAAATTAAAAATTATAAAAATTTATAAAAGTTTTAATAAATGTATTTTTCTGTCACAGGTAATTTTTATAAAGGTAAAGTGAGAATTTTCAAAGTCTTCGCAAAAAGTATACAGCTGCTGCTAATCCTCCAACATTGACACCAATAGTTTGACATCTCTTCCACAAATGGGATAGTTTACTTAGAGTCTGTAGATATTCATAATTATAATGTTTTTACTATTTTACTTACATGTATAGCTATAAATTGTATACAACAGGGTTTAGGTTTACAGTATATTATATAGCTAAATTAATATTATTATTTTCTATTACCTTATTCTATCGTATATGGCTTAGATAATGTATTTATACTTACATGTAGCATACATTTCTTATCCTGAGTTAGAAGACAAGCCCTGCCTGATTCTTGTTTACACACCCTTGCCATTTCAGTTAAGGCTTTTGGATATAGTTCCCAGTTGTTTCTCTTCGAGCCGCTTCTCTTTCCAAAAGGCTTTTATTTTAAAAAAATAACACGAATAATTTTTAGTTCATTAGACCTTAATATAACTTACCATGTCCGTGACAAATACATCTACAAAGTTATCTTTTAAAGGTAGAGCAGTTACATCCCATTTATGAATGCTCATTTTATGAATAACACCAGCATTTTCCAAGTTTGTAAGTGACTTTGATAGTAGTTTTTCATCAATATCTCCGCAAAGGTGAATGTTTTCTTGCCAATTCAAACAGGCCTTAATAAAAATTTAGTAAGAAAATTGATAAAAACCCTTACTTATTTATGTGTAAATCTACCTCGATAGGAATCGATCCACCACCGCACATAGGATCACAGACAACCTCTCCAGGTTGTATATGGCACAATCTAAGGAAAATAGTAAAAATAATAGAACTTTGCTTTTTAATACGATAATAGTAGTATTATAAACCATTCTACCTGCACATATTATAGCCTATAGTTGATCTAAGAGAAGTAGACGTAAATGCTATTAAATGACGTTTGTGCAATGAGCTTTTAGTAACTCCTACACCAACGTAGACATGATCATCCTGGATTAAGAAAAAGTAGCTCATTAAAGTTTTTTGGTACATTTCTTATACAATAACCATATATAAGCTTTTATTTTAGTTATATGATGCTTTACATATTTCTGCGGTAACACCCTAGTACAAATAAAATAAGAACAAAGGTCTATAGTCACAAGTACAGTACTTGAAAAGATTTTTTACTTTATAACATGTAATTTAATAAACAATGATTTTATAAATCATCTTCCTAACTTTTAAGATAAATGATTTAGTAATGTGATAGGTTGGATACAATTAGATGACTGATGCATATAGAGAAATATATGAAACTTGTTATTTTCTTTCGTAAACATTGTAAGAGTTACAAATAACTGAATAATAGTCGAATAAGAAATCATCTATTTAAGAAAGAGATTATTACCTGAACGAATAGAACGCAGTCAATGTCAAAATTTTTTAAATCGACATTCCAATTGAAGTAGTCGTGAATCCCACCTCCGAAAAATTTTTGTAGGTCAGTTGACTGGAAATTATGTTTCATTTTATATGCAGCTCTAAAGCAAGTACCCCTAAATTTTGGTTTAGTTTTATCAAATGATTTGTTATCTTCATCTGAACATCTATAATCGAGAGGTGGCTTTATTTTGATCCTCTCTTCCCAGCCAGGTGCAGGATTATGGTCGATAGGATGTGGAAACGAATGAAACAGAGACCATAATTCTATTGCCCTTTTCCAATCTATATTTGGTATTAGCTCTTTAAATTGTTGACAATTATCAATCTGTTAGAAAAATGTTTATAATAATTATCACGTGTATCTCTTGAGAAAACAGCAATTACCGTCGTATTGGCAAATTTAAAGTCTCTAAAGTGATTAATGATAATAAAGACATTATCAATAGATTGCAAATCCAAAACCTAGAGATAAAAGCGAATATTAGCATGAGAATTGAACCGGCTATATATTATCGCTCACAACCTCCTTAGCTTTGCTAACAGGTATGGTAAATTGAATGCAGCCTCTTTCTACAATGCTATCGACGTCAAATTTTTCTTTAACCTCTTCTGCAGCAACTTTTTCAAATCCTGTTACAACCGTTGCTTCAAATTCACATAGATTTTCCATATTGAAGAAAGTGTGATATTTTTATTTAGCTGCTAACGCCATCTCTACGTTGAAATGGGATACTCAACCCAGTTCTATTCTGAATATGATAACTTTCACAATATTATGTCGGAATTAAAGTTGATGTAACTAATTTCCAATTATAACTTTAATACATTTTCAAAGTATTCTGACAATATTTCGTAACAAATAAGTGATTGCCTGCAGCTATCCTACAAATCCCTTTTTAAATTCTATACTATTTAAAAATTTCCGTTTAATTAACACCGCTCACAAAAATATTAAATAGATTTTGGATTAAAATCTTTCTATCTTAAAATCTCTTTTTCCCTAGTTTGAATAGATTCTGAACGTAAAGAGGATTACTACAACTTTTTACGAGAATAAAACAGCGACATCTACAGCTCAAGTCCTACATGCTTTATTTATAAGAATTAAAATCAATCATTATCTATTATGCAGTATGAACATGCCTTTATTTATTAAGTTTTTATATGACATAATCATCTATCAAATAAAATAAGATTAACAATTTGAATGTACAATAAATTTCATTGTTACGAAAATAGACAATTATCTGTAGTCTTTTTCAATTGTTACATTACAGAACAGACTGCAGATTTCTTCTTATCCCTGTGTGAAGAAACCGAAGTAACTGCAATATTGTATAAAATATTTTCAGCTGATTGGCTTTCATTTTCAAATACAAGAAATCCGCATTTGTTCATTATTGCCATGTGTTTACCTTCCTCTGTAGATACAAAACTATATTCTTCCTGCCTGTATTAATTTTTTACAAATATCTTTATATTATTTATTAAATAATACTTAGCAGTTTATTCTATTTACCTTATATTGCATATTATAATAATTGGTATTGAATTATTTACAGTACTCTCTATCAATGGCACCCATCTTTCTGAAACATCCCAAAAACTAAATCTATCGTTTGGTGAATAAACTATAATAACTGCATGACTTTTTAATAATTCTTCTTGTCTTATTGCGTCTAGACTTTTATTAGAAGCTATTTCCGTTAGAACAATTTCACACAGTACAGGTAGTTTTTTCCTTTCTTTTGCAGATTGTTTATTTAAAGGTACGGTAACAGTTTGTGAAAACACAAAATCCGTAGAATTAGTATAAAATTCGTCTAATCCATCTTGAAAAAATGATACTAGAGAAGTTATAAGATGGGTTTTTCCTGTATTTTTATTGCCTAAAACACATATTTTCCTAGTAATCGTCGAAGCTGTTGAGTATTTATGAACTGTTGTAAGCTTTTCTTTCTTCTTCTTTTTGTCTGTATTCTGTTCAATGTGAATAGTGGGATGTCCTACTCCAGGTAAGCGATTGAAACAAGCTGAATTTCTAAAATCCATATTAAGTTATAAAGTCTACCGCAATATCATAATCGCCAGCTAGCTTCTAACTTTCAAATAGACCGCTAGTCTAAACGAGAAACCTTTTAACCCACTTAATTTTTAGATTTATGTATTGATCCAATTTTTCTGCTCCCTGTATAAAACTTCTTTATCTATTTGTATGAAAGAATAATATCTAGGGTGGATTAATAAATACATATACTGTATACTTTAGAAATAATAAATTCATAGCGCCATCTGTAAGATTTTTTATCGATAGACAATTCAAAAGTATTGAATATTTACAATAGTACGTATTTTTGTATTAATACAAACACTTTATATTGTATCTACACCAAAAATTGAATATATATAATTTAATGGAATAAACATGGATTATCGTAAAATAACTTTATTGTTAAAATACAAAAGTCATGGCTGTGACCCTTCGCAATGTCTTTCATACTATATGTTGCATTACTAAACAATTAAATGTTTTCCGCCTACAATAAACAACAAACTTCATTTTTCTTCTTATAAACGTTTAACGATAAAATTAGATTCGTTATAGTCTTCATAAGATCTTCGATTATTTGATTGTCATTTGTGAACGAGGCAAACTTTACACCATTAAGAAATGCTCTTTCTTGACCAACTTCTAAAGAAAAACATCGAATGTCGTCTTGTCTATTAAAAAAGAAAAAAGTTATTATATTTGATTTTGCAGTCTACAATAGAAACATTAATTTAAATCTTACCTGTAATTATCAATAATTAATGCAGGTGTTGTTAATTTATGAATAAATTTCAACCATCTGTTTGTTAAATCATCGAAACTTGTTTGATCGTTTGATGAATAAACAAATATTATTAAATGACAATTGTTTATTTCTTTTCTTCTTAATTCATCACATTCCTTCAATGAACTGATTTCAATAAATTCCAATTCAAGAAATTTACTGGCTTCTTTAGTTTGAAATTTTTCAGAAACGCTTAAAAGTGGAATGTTAATTGTATATTTTGTCAGAAATCTTGAATAAACTCCATTTGATGAATAGCTACTCTCAATCCACGAAACTTTCCCCAATGACTTAATTATATGTGTTTTACCAACATTCTTATTACCAAGAACACATACTTTTCGTTCGATATTAAGTTTTTTTCGACCATCATTATCTACTGGATTGTTAAAATTACCTGTAAAATAAGGTCCTTCGGGAACTTTATAGTCCATTGAGTCTAAATCTGGCCAAATCGAACCAAGATTTCCTATGCCAACTTTCCTCCATCGTTGTTCCATACTGAAGAAATTGTAGCTATCAACTGAAAGATACTAATCGCACTTTGATTACTAGTCTAGTGATCTACGCAATAATATGATTATTGTTGTGATTACTCCTTCTTATTTTATTTATTATTTATTATTCATAGACTAACATTTTATATCTGATTTAATCTCTTTTATTCCAACCTTAAAGAGTATAAATAAATATAAATAGGATCAAAATTTCTTTTTCTTTATACGCTATTATGATATTTAATTATTAATAAATATTGAATAAATTTCCGGTCAGAATATATTTAACTGTATATATATATATATATATATATATATATATATATGTTTGATCGAAAAGTAGCAGGTAGCAATATCAAAGCATAGGCCAGGAAGGTGAGCAGACTGATTCCAAGCAACTTTATATTAGAATAATAGAATATTGCTTTGTAAAGAGACAGAATAACAATGGTTATGATTAAAAGGTATAAAAATATTGAACCGTGTAAGCGAGAATAAATAATCTTTACTGAAAAGGAATTTGAAAAGGAAGTAAAATTTTTTTAAATTAGAAAATAAGCTTTCCATAGAAAATAAAATCTCTTACAAATTGTCATATTAATAGTTCATTTATTAATTTTAAGTCTACATAGAAATGTCGTTCAACTACGACTTCTATAAAAAAAAATACTAAAATGTATACGTACATAATATAAATAAGGTATCATTTTACATGTACAGATATACGCCTAATAAATTTTGTTAGAGCTAATTTTAACTTCTTTATTGATAAATAATTTAATTAAGGTATTAAATATAGTTTACTTTATTCCTATTTCAAATTGAAAAATTCAAGTGACTAATGTTAATTGCACAAGATTTAACATGGTTATGTAATTATTATATACTTTTTGTTAATTCTTGAATTTTCCAATGCTTAAACTAAAAATAGAAATAAAATTCAAACTTTAAACTTCAACATAAACAATCAGGTTACTTCGCACATACAGGAATAATTTAATAATTTATTACACATATATATAGTTAGATCTTTCAATTTACATTAAGCAGCATGAAGATGACTTCTCACGTTTTTTGGAGCATAGAGCAAATATTCCGATTTCTCTTAAACAATTCTGGATCGTTTCTTCGTCGTTGAAGAACTCCAAATGTAATGCATTATACTTCTTTGCTAAAGATTTTCCTTGTTGTTCTGACACATGGGGCTTTAGCCTATTTCTGATTTAAAAATCATATTGATTTAGTTATAAAGTTTATTAGCTATGATATTATGTACCTCGTGTTGCGGATAAATATCTTTGGTATTTTTTCTGATAGGTATGCTGGAATCCAGTAGTTTTCAATACTTTCTAAACTTTCTCTATTTTGACTTGAATAGACAATAATAATTAGGTGACAGTTTGATATTTTGTCTTTCAAAATAGCTTCGTATGGATATGGTTTTATGTCCCAAAACTTTGCTGCTAAATATTTCCAATGAATGTTACCGTGCTCACTGTAAGTTAAAGTCATTTGAGTTTCCGCTGCATTTATATCAGAGTCACCCTTTTTTCCAGTGAATTTTTCGAAGATAAAAGACTTTCCAACCGTCACATCTCCCAATAAACAAATGTCTTTTTTTGGAAAATTTTTAGCCTTTCCAGATTTACTAAGGGTACCTGTTGAAGCTCTTCTATAAAAGTCATCTTGGAAGCTTTTCGAAAACGAGTTTTCTTGAAATCCAATCATTTTGAATGTCGTTCGACTGTCAATCGTCAAGTGCAAAGTGAACACAAAGCTCCATAGCAAAAATTTTCTTCCTTAATATAAAAAAAAATAGCTTTTTTCAATTGATTAAATAAGATTGTCTATGAATATTGTATAATAATATTAATCATGGTCCGTTCCCCTATTATATGCTTCGAAATAGATATGCTATTAAAATATTTAATGAATTCACTTTATAACTGAGGAAGATAAGAGAAAGAGAGATAGAAGAGAGACAGCTGATTAAATAACTTCCAATTTCAACATCATAATATTCGATTTGTAATAAATGCTATTTTACATTTTAAAATTTGGTCTAAATGTAGAAAATTATTATAACGGAGCATAAATATTAAAATATTTTAGCTATTCTTAATCAAATATAGTACAGAGAGTATTTATGGATTGTATTGAATGAAGACATATTACAATGAAGTTTTAGTGAAGCATTTACTTCAATTCTATGCTTCACCGGAATACGTGAGATATTTGTCTATTTTCTATGTGACCTATACTCCTTATCTCAGATCTGAAAGAAGAGCCTATTATAATTGTAAAAGTAACTTTTCTAAGCTGCTTAAAGGACTATCTACAGATGAAAATGAATGAAACAATGGTTAATTACTCTACTTTAAATAGCTATACTAATGCATATATATATATAAATGTATATGTGATTGTAGAATATTTTCTTAATATATTAGTACGGCTAATATTTATCTGTCAATAGTCTTTGTTAACAAAAAAAAAGAGAAACACCCAATAGAGGGGTTCAAGATAATTTACTTCTCAATCCTTTCCTACTCTAGCAGAGAATCTTTTAAAACGAACATACAATAGAAACGAACACGAAATAGAAAAATATGTAAATAAATGAAATATTTATATCTCTCTTTCTTTCTTTCTCTGTTTATGTAAATACATTGTAAATCAGAAGGAAAATAAATAAGTATATATAGGCAAAATGAGTTTTAAAGATGCTTCATTAAAGCATACAATCAGAGTCGACAACTAACGACGGTACTTTATAAATACCGCTATTTTTAATATCTTCTAACATTTTTGGAACAATACAAATAACATATTCATTTTTCCGAAAACAATTCAAGTTGAGATAATTAAATGTATCAATAATATCATCTCTTAAAATTCCAGTAACCTTTACAAGTTCATCTATGCTTATAATTCCTCTATAATCTTCAATTATACTCATTAATTTCCATATCCAAAAACTTCTATAAGTCTTCTTACCCAAATCTGATATAGGTATTTCAGGTGTTCCTTGTTTTCCTTCAAGTTTAGTCAGTTCATAACTCAAGCCAATTAGAAATTTTCCATATCCATTTTTTTGATAGTGCGGTAAGATAACTATGCAGGCGACGTTATAGTCATCATCTGATTTCTTTTCCTTGCTAAAGTAGCCAATTAAATGTGCTCCTTGCCGATCGACTTTGGTCAAAACATAAAAAACGAATGGGCCAATGTCAAAGAATACTGTCTTGTGATCGATGAATAATTTACAAAATAACGAGAGCAATTGACAATATAATTTCTGAAAATGTTAGAAATATCATAAATAAATAATTAATAAGAAATTGACATATTTTACCTGTTCAGCTCCATCTATTTCGTAAACTTCTAATTGATTTTTTTTATATATCTTTTTACCAGGTGGATGTCTAACGGCGCACTCTCCTTTATGATATCTATATGTTTTTTCCATTTCCATGTATTTTAAACAAAATTCACATATATATAACTTTTTACATCGACCAAAATTATTTGGATACGGTGAAAAATACCAAGTATCCATTTCTATTTTACCAAATTGAACTTGTTCAATATATTTTATCATCGTCAGGTTTTCACGTTCCTTTTCAGCATCATCTTCAATATTTTCAGATTCTTCCTTTTGAATACTTTCTTGGAGATTAGTTTCCTCGTGCTTCCTCTTCATATTACGAGTTATCTTACGGCCTTCGCTTGTAGCTGGAGATTCGGGTTCTATTTTTAAATGATAAGATAAAAAATAAAGAAATTTCTTATGTAAATATTAAAATAGACCTTCATTCTTTGGATTGTTAACTGAATTCTTTATTCGATCCGCCGTAACCCACTCATCTAATCGTCTATCCAGGCCTTCGTAATGAATATAGTACTCTTCTATACCAGCGTTTAGACGGCGTTCTACTATACATCCTACCTGCGTTCCATCCTTTTCAATATTATAGTATGTACCAACTTGGAGATCTTGAGATGAAATTGACTTTGATCTTTGTTTTTTTAGATTTGACGCCGATTCATTTGTGGATGGCATTCCGATTTGCTAGGATAATAGAGAAAAAAAATACAAGAGCGATAAATGAGGTAAAAATTTTGGGGACTGCTAAACTGTGGTAGGCAACATTATCTAAACAATAACAAAAACTCTGGGAGATTTAGAAAATATTTCGATAGCCTAGGTAATTAAGGTATGTTTATATATAAGTCTATATGAATTAGTACACAAATATATATATATATATATATATATATATGTATATAAATGAAATACACAAAATACCGTATAAAAATAATGTTTATCATTCAAATTTAAACATGCCTTTTATGTAAAAATCTGTTATAGTGCTCAATTGTATATCAGAGTAGTACGTGTTATTGTTTATACTATATTGAATGGGGAAGTCCCTCTGCACAGTATAACAATAATAATAACAATAATAAAGATAAATGAATAAACTTTAGAGGAGAAGAATAGTTTACTTATAATTTGAGAAATTTATTAAATTTTTCATATCATCTAACAAAAAAGATATAGTTAATTCTTGAATCAATATCTGTTTATGGATAAATATATTACATGGACCAATTATGTATAATTGTTTCGATGATAGGTAGTGAATAATGATGTACAAAAATATAAATATAGTATCTTTGAATATAGCCAGTCCAGTATTTGAAAACAATGATCCGTGTTTAGTGCGACCAATTTCAGTTCGAATTGTTAAAAGGTTTTAAACAAGTGAAGTTGTGTGACTCATAAGGTTTTTTATTTATCGTTGAATAGCCTTATTTTCGAGATAAATTACTATTACGATATAAAGGATATTGTTTTGTTTAAATTCCTCAAAACAAACTTTATTAGTTGGATTGAAATTAATTCACAGGTAAATTGAATTTTCCCCATTTATGATTGAAAATCATCTGATCTCATATTTTATCTATATCGTCGACACCTAATCGCCTTTTGTTTCAATCGTTACATACAATGTATTATTAATGCTAACATATTGTTTATAAGTCGTAATAGAGCTCATCCTAGCCTAATAGTATTCGTATCATTCTGTTTTACAATTATAGGGTGGATGCGGAAGGTAAAAACTATGAAAGGTTACTAATTTACAGTGGAATTATTTATTATTTAATTAGCAGCTCTATTTCATTTAATCCACAGCTATGATTGTTAAAAAAAACCCTCTTGCAGATAGATATCTGTCATATAAAATCAGTATGAAAGAATATATATTGAAATATATAAATGTAAAGACAGAAACTTACGAAGATAATTTCTTTTGTTTTCGTTATCATGTTGCTGTATCGGTTCATACATTTTAACATAATACTATCACAATAATTAAATAATTAGCAATATTTTCTCTTTTTTAGACCTAAGATATCTTCTAGTCAGTTCTCTTTTTATGAAACTTTGCGAAGTAATTAAACTGGACAAACTACTTTAACAATGCTTAAGCAAAATGATCTCAGCGAACCCAACGAAGTAAATAATAACTCCTCCACAAAATTGGATAAACCTCCTCTAAAACCAAAACCAAAGATTACAAGATCTCCTGCGACAGATATTAAAGAAACAACTTTTTCTAACGATGTGTTCACCGAAATAAAACCGCGGATTGACAGCTATTCGTCAAGTAAGTTTTAGACTTATATATATAAATATATATATATACATTTGCTTAACGTTTATTTGAGTAATTTAAACTACTGAGTACTTAAATAAACAGGTAATAAAGTCAATTACCTGGATATTAGGACTGTAACAATGTTAACAAATTTAATTTTATTTGCTTTAACTTTTACATCTACTATTTCGATTATCGTTCAAGTTTTCCTTCATAAATTCTTTATATTCAACTAAATTCCTTTTTATAAAAAATAAGAAATATAATTTTCATGATAATCAGACATCAGAATGAACACGATTGTCCTTTTTTTTTATTTTTTTAGCCTATTCTCTGATATTTTCTATATAGCAGTTCTTACTTAGTCATACACCATTTCCTAATTATAGTTTTACATAGGTATATAGTTGTTTATAGCCAAATTGACCTGGATTATTTATTCAATACTTTCTATTGGATATTTACACATGTCATAATATAAATTTTCCCAATAAAACCACCAGAATTGAGTATTGGAAAGGACCCACCCTCTGGAATTCTCGCGAGTGATATGGGCTGTGTTTTTGGAGTTAATAGACAATTAAATGACGATGACGAAAATAACGAAAGTAGCGATAGCAAAGACGACTCTCTGCTGGATGATTCTACCGCACCCACCCTTCCAAAACCTGGTCTCGTTAAAGACAGAATTAGGATATTTGGAGCATGCGAAGCAAAAGCAAATTCATATAATTCAAAATTACATGTACCAAATACCCTTCAAAAACCAGCAGAATTAACTTTAAGAAGAAAGTCAGACTCAAATAATGATCCTATGAAGAGATTATCAACAAATTCATCATCATCCGGTAACAGTAGTTTTTCATATAGAATCTACGAAGATATGGAAGAAGAATTTCCAAATGATTCTGAACGTGAAGACGCTGAAAAAAGATCTAAAAAAGAGTACCGATGTCATTCACTTAGAATGGAGTTATTAGAAACAGAAAAAACTATGTTTAGGAGATACGACTATTTGATTAAAGTAATATATAATTACTAATTACTATGCATTGTTAAGCAATAACTAGCTACTTTTTTTTAATTACTTATTTTTAGAAATTACCCGAAAAATGGGAAAATTATCGGGAAAAACACAACATCTCACCAATCGAGGGTTTTGAAGAGCGTTTATTAAAATTTTTAGAAACTTTGTACCTTTGCAGCGAAACTCTAATTGCAGATTTAGAAAAGAGAATGCAATCAGAATGGTAAACTCTATCCTTAATCAAATTAAACTCCAAAGATGAAATATCCTTACTTCTTTCAGGAAGAAAAAACCATATATATTAGATGTTATACTCAATATAGGACCTTACCTAAAATGTTATACGCCTTACCTAGCAAAGTGTGTATTATTTTCTCATTATCTCTCTCTCCCTCTATCCAGATTTCTTTTCTATTTACGACTACTAATAAACAAATTTGCAGATGGGAAGCTGAAGTTTCCCCACTAGCCCATCTGAAAAAAGAAAATCAACACTTTTGTAAATTTGCAGATATGAGAGACGTAAGTTTCCTAAATATAACTTTCTAGATTCCAAACGAATCAGTAGTGATTCGTTTAAAAAGCATATTTTGAATATAAATAACTTAAATATCAAACCAACAGCTGGAAGTGAGAGAATTAAATTTAGGTTTTAACTTAGAAGAAGTATTTAAAGCGCCAACGTTTCGTTTAATGAAATATCCAATTTTACTGGAAAGTATGAAACTATTTTTGTTTATCTTATTGAAATATTTACTACTTTCCTTATTTAAAAAGTATAAGATACTAAAAGTTTTATAATTATCATTTAGACTATAAATCCTATTTGGAACCTCATATGGAAGATTACAATTATATAGATACGGCTATTAGAATAACGAAGGCAGCTGCTGAACATTCCAATATCACGTTAGGAGCTCGCGTATGTTAAACTATCATAATTGAATTTTCTTATTAATTATTTAATATGCCTTTTATATAGAATGATTATAAAGAGTGTCTAAAATGGCAAAGACAAATCATTGACTATGATAAAATACCGGAAAAATTAAGGGTTTATATCTATTAATATTTTATAATACTATATAATATACTGTTCATACAATATATATATTATATATAGTACTATAATTTAATAATGGAATATTTAAAACATTTTTTATGTTATTTATAGAAATTCGTTCATTTTGGCCAAGTTAAGAAATTTTGTAGAAGTGTAAAGCAAGACAGATACTTGCTGTTGGTGTGTATTTATATATTAATCATAATTTTGAGCAATCATCTATTTATAGATTTAATCTTAATAGTTTTCGGATGTCCTATTGGTATTAAGAGAAATTATAACGGGACAATATAAGTGTCCACAATATTTTGACTGGACGGTTGATGGGGTTGGAAAAATCGATTTTGAACTAAAGGACAATCCTTTGGCTTTTACTATTGCAAGTAAAAAATTAGCGATGAAGTTTGAGGCTTTGTAAATATATTGTTCTACTTAATTTATTAATTTCCGTTAGTTTACTTTCGTTTTTACATCAGAGATGAGCAATCGTTTAATTGTTGGAGAGAAAAGTTGCAAAAAGTATTAGACACAGATGATAGACATCAGGGAGATGAAGGAGAAACTGAGGAACCTAAAGTATATTTTTTTAAAAAGAATTTTAGCTGAACCAAATTATTTATACTTCTTATTTACTTTCAACAGCCTTGGATAAATGATCAAGAAGTTACAAAATGCCAAGCATGCAGTAAAAAGTTCAAAATAATCAACAGGAGACATCATTGCAGGAGATGTGGGAAGGTTAAACTTCTTTTTTATTAGTTTAATGAAAATTTTTACTGTAACAACGCCCAACCCCGCCCACAACTCACTTCCTATACAGTATATCAATGAATGTATACACTGTATAATAAGGACAAAGAACAAATAGTTTCATACTTTATTTTGTGTTATTATAAAGTTGTCATATTATTGTTAGTTAATTATTGATGCATTAGGTCTTTCGTTTAACTACGAAATGAGCAAACAATATGAATAATCGTAATTTGAGAAAAAATTACTTTTTATTCTACCTTTTATGATTAATATTAATGAATTTAACAATATTTAATCCATTAGATTTTCTGTGGTGCTTGCTCGGATGGTTCAGCTCCTTTAGATGATGATAAATATAAGGGAAAGATAAAAAGAGTTTGCTATGTTTGCTATGCCATTTTATTAGGTAAATATGAAATATAATTAAAGATTTTTAATATACTAAAATATTAGTAGTTATCTTTATTTATGCTAATACGTGAATATCTGTATTGTGCAATTATTCTCATTTTAAGGCGAACATGAAAAGAAGTATAGAGAATTAAGATCTCTAGCGAATAGCCCAGGAATTAGTAAGTTATTATTTGAAATCATCAATTCTTTATATTCTTTATATCGATTTTTTAAGACATGGGCGAAATTCAAAGAATATATCAATCTATAATTAATAAGTTTAAGAGACCATCTATAATCATCGATTACGAAACTGCATTACAAAAATTGAAAGATCAAGAGGTTTGTTAAATTTTGATTATTTTATATTTTACTACTTGAACAAGTATTTAATAAATTTCTATAACTTATTATTTTATAGAAAGCTGCCATATCGAGAGAATGTGATAAATCAAGTTTCTTATTCTATCGAAGAGGTGTTAATAATACAAAATGGGAGAAAAAATGGGTTGTTTTAATTGATGAAGTTTTGTATCTTTATGGAGCACCACAAGATTCAAAGGCAGAAGAAACTATTCCACTACTAAGTTGGAAACTTAATTTCACGGTAGCTCAATCATATTTGACAGTGTTCGTTAAGAAATTTTCTTAATTTATAAATTTTTTCTCCTAATCTAGCCAAGGTCTGAAGAAAGTCAATATTCAGGAGCAACAAGGCCAAGAAAGGGTTCCGTTGCAAAGGATTTAGCTAGTCATTTTAATTCCGTAAGGAGTACTTTTTAAAAATTACTATTCCTTCCTACATATAAAGATATTTCTATTTTGATTCTAGAATTTTTCCACGATGGACTCTCGCACTGAATTTTCGTTATTTCATAAAAATGTACCAGCTATAAACTTGAAAGCTGATCAATCTATAGCTGAGGAATGGATTACTAAAATTCAAGATGTTTTATCGAAATATGATCCTGCTTAAAAAGCTTTAATTTATCCTATACAAGTTTAATTATCAAATTTATTCATAAAAAAAGATAGATAATTAGAAGACGACAACAGGAAAATATTTACTCTTATAACAATTTAATGACATATATATATATACATAACTATTTGACTTTATATTCTTTCATCACCTCCCTCCCTTCCCGTCTCTCTGTTTTTCTATCATACACATGTTGTATTTATTTTTCTCTATCGTTCTTTTTGTCTTTTGTTTTAAAGAACTTTTTAATGAATTAAATATGTCATTCTCCCTTCTCTTTTTTTTAATAAGGGACGTAATTTCTGTCTTTTTTTAAATGAAATAATATACTGTATTGTTAGTTTTTATTTTATTGACAAGAGACAGTAGACATAGTCATAAAAACTAATTTAACTTTTGTTTGTTTGTGATCTGTTTTTTTTGCATGAACGAGTTAAAAAAAATACAAAGCTTTTAACTATTATATTATTTTAAATATACAGTACAAATACATCATTTAAGAATAATATTCGAGTAAGATTTATTTATTTACTTTTTATTTGAGTCTAGATAAGGAACGTCAACAGGATTTCCATTTTATCCAGTTTTTATGTCCCATGAGAAGTGAACTTTTAATATTTAATACTGTGATTATTGAGATTATTAACATGTCGATATATCTGGCTACTTTTTATAAATAAAAAAAAGATAGAGGGATTCGCTGGGTGGAGAGAAAAGGAAACTTTCAAAAGCTTAATTCGATAGCTGGAGTATTTACCTTTCGTTTAAAATAATAATAAAAATTACTAACAAGTATGTCAAGACGAGTAAAGAACAACAAATTTGTTTTCATTTGCTTGTTGGGCACCTGTTGCTCTAAATTTGGTTTTATAATGTTTAATTTTTCCACTGGAACAATATGATTAACATAAAGACTAGTAAACCATAATATCTAACAATAAAACAAATTAATAGCACAGAGAAAATAAGGCAGCAATTCGCTAACTTGATCAATCGGACCCCTAGAGGCGTACAGCGACCCTGCACCAAGATATCTCTACTGCAACCGGATTGGTGGCGCCAATAATAACACTACTGCAAAAGAGAGAGAGAGGGAAGATAGGAAGGAATAGTTAAACTAAAGAGAGGAAGTGGAAGATAGATAAATAACTCTAGAGTAATATAACGTCTCCTCTTTTCTATCTACTAGATACAAACAATGTCACCCTGGATTAGACGATTATCGGCAATAGTTGGTCATGATGTAGATTGTAATTTATTAATGGTAGGATTACCAAATTCTGGAAAAACAACTTTAATGAAACAGTTAAAGCCGCGAAATAAGAATTTGGATATAATTCAACCGCCAATAGAGAATGAATGTTCAACTTTATCTGGATTTTGGTTTGATCGCGTGTCTATTAAGGCTTTTAATTTGTGTACAAGTATAACTTCGCATATTGGATGCGCATGGGAAGAATTGTACCTTACTTCAAACGCTTTTATATTTACAATAAACTCAGCAGATCGTCTTACAATGCATTTGAATGGCGAATACTTACAAAAGGTCATATCAAAGGTTAAAGAGAACAGGCCTATATTAATCCTAGTAACCAAATACGATTACGGCGATGAAATGAATGATCTTCAAATATTAAATAGCTTAAATATACCAAGATTTATGGGTCCTAGAAGATGGAGATGCGTAACCGTAGACTTAACAACAGGCGAAGGTTTAAACGATGCCTTTGATTGGTTAGCCAACGAAATACGTAAAGTTACTTTTAATTAATAATAATATGAAACCCTTGAATTAATATAACCCAAATTACTATAAATTATGGAAGTAGAGGGAAATCAGAAATCTTTCTTCTAAAAGTTGTAAACTCCCTGAGTGTTTCTTATCTCATAATTGCCTTATTCGTTCATCATCTATACAAAAGCCTATTTTTTTACTAAATAAAATAAACTAAAGAATAGAAAATACAATAAAAAATAGAAAAAGACAAATAGTCTCTTTCTTGGGTAATAATTCTTGATTAGTTTGTAATGAATTTGTATTTATAATACCAGTAAAAAGAATACTTTAATCGATGATAAATAGAGCTCTATTTTCTTCGTGCTATGTTATCTATAGAGGAAATATAACTATATTAACTTAACGCAAACGCAAACCTATATTTATATTTGTATTTATATTTACATTTATATGTATACCTTTCATTCATGGCGATAATAAACGCTCTCCTCCATCAATCTTACCGCTTAAGTAATCTGCATTGGAAATTTGGTTAATGTTTCACCAGACGTTCCACTTGTCAGTAACGTCTCGTTTGTCACACAAACACACACAAAAAAAAGAAAATCAAACAGAAGAGAAGAATTTCCGTCCTCTAAACAGGTTTGAATAGATAATACCATTTTTGACTATTTACTGAGTATACACATCAATGGTGGCGCATATGTTTTTTCTTATAGTTGATTTACTTTGTACTATCTCTTTTGTTTGGTTTCTGATTTTATAGTACTTAATAAAATCAAGTTATATATATTATAATATTAATATAAAGATACATTGTAAATATCCTTGTTGTCTCTTTATTTTTTTGAAAAGATATACATGTTTCACTTTTGCATTATCTTTTATATTATTACGTAATAAACCAAATAAATGAATAAGAATCGTAAATTATTTAAGAGAAAGTCTGTAAGCAAGGGGGTAAGAGTCCAACTGAAACCATTCTACAACTTTCCTCCCATAACTTCCTAGCCATATTTTCATCTTTTGATATTGTTGTCTGTAATTCTGTTACCTCACAATTATCGTAATAAAGACCAGTTTCGTTGCCAGCTTCTTCGTCGACTGCGCAATGAATTTGAGTTTGAGCTCCAGTTTTACAATCGATTGCTGTAAATCTTTATAAATCAAAAAGATGTTATAAAACAACAGATTAAGAGGACATTCGATATATCTATTTAAGCGGAATCTAACCTCTTGACGCATTCGAAAATTGCAACTAGCAACGCATTATGATTGTCTTCCATACCTTGAAAGATACCAGTGTCAACCATTCCTGGATGTAGGGAGTACGTGTTAATCCTGTACTCTCTTAGCAGTCTTGATAAGTGTCTCATATGTAATATCATAGCCAATTTACTGGTTTCGTAAGTTTTTAGGAATGGATATCTTATATCGGATTGATCCCGAGGAGTAAAATCTAAAGTTTTAGCTCTGCTATACATCATTGATGATACTGAAACTATTCTGCCATAATTTGATTTAACAATCAATTCTAGTAGTAGATAGTTAAGTAAAAAGTGACCAACATAATTTATTCCAAATATATAATGAAATTTATCCTTAGTAATAGATGGTCCAAAAGCGGCACCAGCATTATTAACAATAATGTCTAAGTGATCTTCAGTACTAAGAATTTCTCGAGCGCATTCTCGAACACTTTTTAAATCAGATAAATCTAATTTGACCACTCGGATATCATCATTTTCTGATAGTTTTATTAGCTCTTGCTTTACCGTTTCCGCGTTTGCAAGGTTTCTACAGTATAAAAATAGGGAATACAATCAATTTTAAATTAATTTGCAACAGAAAAGATCAAGGTAATAAAATCACTATTAGGAATTTTATATGTATCTTAATAGGTACATAAATATATACCTTATATACTTTATATGTAAAACGAAATATTTATGGTTTATATACAAATAGATAATAGACCTTGAGACAAATTCCCACTTAGTTTAATCTGTTTTAACTACTGACCTAACAGCTCTAAATTCCATGATTTTAAAAGTATTCAAGAGGGGAATAAAATTGTTGTATTACCTACAAGCCAAGATAACCTTCGCGCCTCGTTGAGCAAAGTCCAAAGCCGTTTCTTTGCCTATTCCATTATTTCCTCCTGTGATAATTGCTGTTATGCCATTCAACTGCCTTGAACTTTCGCAGAATTTTCTATTTCCAAGCTTATTCAATTTACTTGCGTATAAAATTATACTAATCAAGAAAATTAGAATTAAAGCAAGTATGCTTGCTACAACGATAGCAACGATAACGCCCGGATTCATGATAAAATGAAGCAATTCGCTATCAGAAAACTGATATTGAAATAGCCAAAAAAAAAAGGTTATTTAATAAAGCGCAGCGCCATCTAGATTATAGTACATTGACGTATCCCGGTAACAAATTTCAGGCGAAACGACAGTAGTTATGGTTCTTATTTAAAAGAAAATGCAACCAAATTAAAAGAAACTTTTACATGAAGGAAAGAAGATGTCAACCTCTCTCTTACGTCATAGGTAACGACTGAAAATGTTAATAGCCTAAATATTTCGGCTACGTTTAGGTTTATTTTTTATATTTATTAAGTAAATATTTAAATTGATATTTATACATCTTCATATACTCATTTCTATTATTGTATTTACCTGTCAGATATGCTGTGGGAGATATGTGAATGTTTCATGTAGACTTTTATTAAAGTATTACGAAAGTGAGAAAGAAATCTTTAAATTTGTAGTACCTTACGAAATATTTAATTATTATACTTTTAGATATAGATAGAGCGATAAAAAACTTATTTATTAAAATACAGAGCAAGTCTTCTCCTTTAAGAAATTTCCTTAAATAAGAAGCAATGACAATGATTAGCATTCCTTATACGTTTTTATATTTGCTCCATCTGTGCCTAATTGGATTTATATGGATTTATATGTTGACAATTATTATAACAAATTCTACAGTTTTAAGTATAACTAAGAAATTAGAATTATGGATGAAGTTAATTTAATAATCATTATGCTATGCTGCTGCTAAGGGTCGTTCCTCTAAAAAAAAACTCTTATTCCAAAAGTTCAAGAAAGAAATTAGCTATATTAATTTAAAAAGAGAAAATAACATCTATACATTAAAATAGAAAATAATGATAAGTTAACCCACCTTGTCAACTTATTTATTTCATTATTTTTCTTATCAAAACTTCTTTAATATTGCTTAACAAAGATATGTATATAACAACAAATTGACTATTTCTTTTACTTTCATTTCTTCACATTTGTAAAGTGTCAAAACCTACTAAATAATAATTATAGTTATCTCTTAATTTTTTAATATATTTTCATCTATATCCAATAAATAATATCTATAAATTACTGTTGAATCGATTAAATATCAATCCTAATTATATAGCTATCAAAACTATTGTCAATATTCAACCTTTCATAGCATAGAGAAGCGTGGTGAAAGTAGGAGAGACAGAGAGAGACAGAGAGAGAGAGAGTAAATGATAAATATTAATTTTTAAATTTGATTGTAACCATAGCCAGATTGTTATCTATGCTTTAAATAGAATTATTTTTTACATATTGCATAAATAACATATATTAATTTAATAATCATAATAATAATAATGAAACGGTAAAAAATAGATTAGAGAAAGCTGGACCAATATTTTTTAATAAAGTTGTATATATTTATCATTTTTTTTCTAGTCTTTTTTTAGTAACATTCTTTAGAGATAAGGTTAACCAAAAAAAAAATCATATATAAATATTCAATAAACTCTTGAACACGTTCTGATGTATTGAAAAAAAATTCCTTACTCTCCAATACTGATATAAATAACATCAAGTAACAACCGAGGAGATTTCGTGTTTTTCTTTTTTTATAGATTCAACCTTGTTTATATTTTTTTTTCTTTTTTTGCAGTACTAGTTTTTTCCATAGAAAAGTAGTACCTTTCACCTTTACTATTCTTGGAAAATTTATTTATATTAATCCACTTATCTATTGAGTTAGTTTGGACTGAGAGGGAATGTTTTATTTTTTATCATTAAACTTAATTGGAATAGATTATTAGTTATATTGTTTTTCTTATTATAAATTAAGTAAATTTGTTATCTTGATAAAACTTCTTCTTTTTCTTCTTTCTTTCTCTCTATCCTACATTTCTTACTTGTTTTCAACTAATATTTAACGCTTGAGGCACGATAGTTAGGGTATAGTAAAACTACGCCATCTACTGGAAAGGCTTTGAATATAATAAAATAGTTCCACGATCAAGTTCTTTGTTATTGTGTATTGATACGCGGGAAATCAAAATGGCTTCTGGCGCGTTAAATTCTCCGAGAAAGATTCGTTCTCCTACTATATACGTCATTTGATGTTTGATATAATATGGAACAATTTAGCAACGAAATTACAATAAACCATATCTCCGGTTCTAGGGATACGAAAACGTCGAAAAATGAAAAAAAGTCTCCCCCTTCCTATGCGGATTACAACAATTCACACGTGCCCAGATACATTCCTCAGATGAGTGGATCGACGTATTCTAGTCCCCGTTCGAGTATTAGTTATGAATATTCGAACACAGCCCAAGTTGCACCATCGTCTTCCAGCGTTAGCACAACGTCGGCTGACTCTAAAACTTCAAGTCCAAGAACCGGTTCTGTGGTACCACCTCCCCCGTATGAACAAAGGGACTATCAGAATATTGCAGAGAAGAGGTTAGCTGTACTAACTCAACAGCTGGAAAGAAATATGCGAGTGTCATCACCTCAAGCACCACCTCCTCCTCCTTACACGGCTACTCATAATGTTCAAAGACCTATTTCTTCTAGGATCAATATAGAGAGGAAAGTAGAAGCTCTGACAAATAGTATACAGGATAAAATTGACATTGGAGGTGAATACTTTGGTAGGCGTTTATATTATTTTAATAATAATCCAACATTCCTTGCGTTCTTTTGATAGGCCTAATTTTTCGAATACTTTTTTGAACAGGTGAATGTGTCAAGTGTGGCGATCGTGTAAATGGGTCGGAAGAGGCTTGCCAGGCTATGGGAAGTAAGTACTTGTAGAAGGGATTGATATCTGTTTATAAAAAAAAAATCCCATTCTGATTGAATATATAGCGTAGTAGATTGTTTAAATTTTTTCGCTCTCTTTCCCCCGTCTTATGCTCAAAGCAAAAATAGAGGAAGTGGTAAATTTTATTGACCATAGAATGTTTATAAAGCCTTAACGGATTTCGAATTTGCTTATTATCGTAACAAATCTAAACATTTTTTTTCAACTAGTCCCGAAACTAAGAACTAAGTTTTCTAGCTATTTTAGCTTTTAGTTACGTACTAAATAGCATGTATTTTTGGTATATATAGCAAAGTATATTATGCATATTTCAGTGTTATTTTTATCTATAAATAGGGTTAATTTTTTTGAAAGGGAAGGAAAAAAAGTAATAAATTTAAATTTTCCCTTTACGGCACTTAATTTTGAACAGATCACGACAAATTCATTCAATAAGTACTACGGGACCAATTGTCCTCTTAAGAATCAACAAAAAAAATGATGGAATTTTGTTTATTTTTTCCCTCTCTAGGCACTTTTTAAACATTCCTTTATTAATCTCTTTATATTATTATTAGTTTTATAAGAAAAATCTATTTTTAAACCAAAAGAAAAGAGACTTAATATTTTATTATTGAACAATGTCTAATTAATTGAATATGTAAAAATGTATAATAATGTAAACTTTTTATTTTCTTTCGTTTCGTTTTGATATTTTATTAGCCAAATATTTTATTGACGTGTAAAATGTAACGCTTTTAAAAAAGTTCAAATAGAGGCGAAAGGGCCGAATAACTAGAATATAGAGAGTGTAGGATAGGAGGGGGTGGGGGTATAAAGGGCGGCTTGAACAGATTCTATTCATAATACTAATTTTGATTTAAAACATTATATTTTAGTGCTATTTTTATCAAGTTGTTAACTGTTAATCTTATTCAGGGCAATATATCATTTTCTATTTGAGTTTTTAATCGCCCAATTACATGTGACTGATCCGGAAAAAGGGGAGTGTTTTCAACCTTTTTTCCGTCACGAAAGGATTGTTAAATTGTTACTTTAGATTTCTTTCAATTTGTAACAGAATGTTTTTATCAACCGGATACATGAAAAATGACTTACATAGACGTTAGGATCAATATATTGTTAACAATTTTAAGCCTTTTTTAATCTAGTTATGAGCTAAAACAGTTTCTTAAATTTCTTTGCTTTAGCTTTAAAGTCAAAAAAAAAAGGATTTTTTGAATTGGGTTAAAACACAAGTTGAATACCATGAACGTTGAAAATTCCTTTTTTGCACTCACCAACTATCCTCCCATCCCCTCCCTTTTTAATTCACATAAGAAGGGCATTCTTGACAAGCCTAATACGGGCGTTTAAAAAGAACCTGTTTCTATAGTTACGCTTGAAATGATGTTCTTTGGACGGCCCCCTCCCTACGTTAACCTGTGGTAACCCGAAAGGAAAAATATTGTAACTATTTAGGAATGCGCACGTGAGATGCGAACGGGAAAAGAGTACTAGAGGGGGGGGGGTGGTTCGGAATCTGTAGGAATGTTTAGTGCCTTTCGGCTATCAAAGAGTATTACATCATAGAATCCCAAAAGAGAAAATTATTGTGTTTTTTCTCTTCTAACTGAAAGAGATACTAATCTATAAAATGGATAGAAAGACGAATTTAAATTCGAAGTGAGCTATTTAAATAAAATGATTTTCTTACGAATTATCTTCAATAGCTTTTAACGCCGGAAGCTATAAATATTTGTTCGTCGATATCGTTCTGTTAGAAATACAAAAGTTAAAAAAAAATGAATCACAGATCTTTAATATCAAAAGAAAACAGGAAATAGATTCAAATTGTGTGATAATTGAAGAATCTTTATATATATTACAATAACCTATATAAGCTAAAGTATATCAAGTTATTGATAACGGAGATACGCTTTGTACATTTATAAAAGAAGGGAGTGTACATTCTGGTTTTTAAGCTGGAAGAATAAGAAAAGAAATTCAGAATATTTTTTATCTTTACATAGAGTGTCTTGTCTGAAAAAAAAATTGATGATAGTAGTGAGAGAGGAAGCAGAATGGGTTATTAAACACTTTGTAGATTATAGGATTAGGTTCATTTCAATTTATCTTAATATCTTGTTTTTAATCTTAACAGAACTATATCATACAAGCTGTTTTGTATGTGTTTCTTGCGGTAGAACACTAAGGGGGAAGACCTTTTATCAAGTGCAAGGGAAGGTGTATTGCGAAGAGGACTATCTTTATTCGGGCTTTCAACAATCAGCCGATAAATGTGCGGTCTGCGGTCATTTGATAATGGAGATGATTTTACAGGCTGTTGGAAAGTCTTATCATCCTGGCTGTTTTAGGTGCTGTATGTGTAACGAGTGCCTTGATGGCGTGCCTTTTACTGTTGATGTTGAGGGAAGAATATTTTGCGTTAAAGACTATCACAGGTATGTATTTCTTTTAAACATTACAATATTAATAAACTGAGGGGAGTAACATTTCAAACTAACTACAATATATATTGTATATATATAAATATGTTATATGTATATATACGATATATATATATATGTTGAATGAAAGAAAAGAGGGGGAGAATATTTTTTTTATCAAATCGGCTATTATTCTGACCTCCCGCAGCGTAGTAAGCCTAGCTCGCGCTGTAGATTATACTTTAGAACGCGCTGTGTACATACGAATACCAGAAGAGAGGGGGTTAGTTGGTGTGTGCGGTGCAACTGGTGACGGCTGTAGTAGCTGTATTTTTTTTTTTTTATTTATTTAGAACATGATTTTTCTAAATAGAAAATAAAAAAGAAAATTGGGTTTCTTTTCTTTTTAATGTGCAAAATATAGATTATAGTTAGCTTTTTCTTATTGTTAATATATCACATCACAATGATAGAATAAGAAATATATATATATATATATTTATATAAATATACAATATATAGAGCATATATATAGATAACGTAAGAGTGAGAAAGAAATATGAGTGAATTGATAATTAATAACTATAGTATTTTATTATGATATATATTTCTAAAATTATAAATGCTTTATTGCTGTTCACTTAAATAGAAATGTTCAAAGTACACTGTACAAGAACAATGCTTATTTTTAGATAAATTTATTAAAAGAAAGATATCAGTTATCAATTTTATTTAAATATAAATATATATATATATATATATATATATACATTCTGCACATATCTTAAAAGTTATTTTTAGAAACGTTGGTCAAGAAATGAGAGTATTAAGACATCTTAATTCTTTCTATTGATTTTATATCTAAGTTTGACGATAGAAAAGTTATTGGAGTTTGTAAAAATATTTGTTCAAAACAAATTTTTTACTGATAAAAGAGTCTCCCCATTCGTAATATTTACTTCGTAGCAACAATTTTTGTTTAATTCTATTGTACCTTTATACAAATGGTTTTAAATGTATAAATAACAGGATAAATCGTTTGTAAATTGAAGATCTTTAACCAATTCGGTTTAAATAAACTATTTCTCTATTTAAATTCTTTACTAAAGAAAGAATTCATCGTAGTACAAGATCAGACTGATCGCTATTGACTCGTCTTTTTTTTTATTTTGACCTTTTTTTTTTTCTCAGCTAATGATCAGTTTAACTGCTAAAAACATGAACAAAAAAAGATCTTTCCCTTTTTTAACTGAAATATGGGAAATAGATTAAATTCTTTGTAAAATTGTCTTGAAAAGTTATATTTATCGCTGAAGTTTTATTGTTCAAAAAAATGCTTTCTTTTTATCTAAAAACAATATATTTATACTGTATATATATATATATATGAGTACAAATAGTTTATATCCAAACTTATCTCTTGACGAACTCTTCATATAGCCCTATTTAATATTCTATAAGAAAAATATTTCTATATAAAAATATTTAAGAAATATAGAATAGAATAATAATAATAAAAAAAACACTACAACTTGAAATGTTCAAACAAATCGTATGAAAATTTTTATGAACAAAAAAAATTTATCTAAAAATATATTTACGTTCAGTTATATTGTAAATATTATACTTTTTTTTTAAGGTTCTTGAATAAGCATAAAGTTATTTTCCTTTATTTTATAGTTTTTTTTAACAATTTATACTTTTAGTTTAATTAAAGAAGGTTTATTCTTTATTTTTTTGTTTAGCTCTATAAAGCACAATTAACCCTTTTTTGGTTTTTTATTTTTTTTTTCATTTGATTTTTTACAGTTTTTTGTTTTTTTTTTAAAAAAAATTCGTGATTTTTTTTTTTACTTTAGTTTTTTATATCGTCTTTGATTTGTTTTTTTTTTATTTTACGGTTTTAACACTTTTCTATATTTATGTATTAATGAATAATACAATTTTTAATTGTTTATTATAGGAAATACGCTCCGAAATGTGCTGTTTGTGGTCATGCAATTACGCCAGTAGATGGCAGCGAAGAAACTGTTAGAGTTGTGTCTATGGATAAGGACTTCCATATAGATTGCTATAAATGCGAAGATTGCGGAGTTCAGCTAACCGATGAATGTGATAGGAGATGTTATCCTCTTGATGGGCACTTATTATGCCATGCATGTCATATAAATAGACTTCATGCTCGTTCCGCTCCCACTCCCACTTCAGTTTATTCTCAAAGATCATCATTAGTTTCAAATGGAGCATCTTCTAGGCCTCATTATAAAATAACCGACCTCTAAACAAGCGCTTTCTTAGTGCCATACGGATATTGACGTGTTGGAAAATCTCGTTTTACTTTTCTCCTGTTTTACTTTGACAATTGTATATAAATATTTACATGCATATGTATATATATATATATATACATATATATATATATGTATATGTATATTAACTTGGAAAATTTGAGACTTTTCTGCTATTTTTTTTAAGCTGTTTTTCTTTATTGCAAATGAAGTGTGGTATAAGAAAAACCAACTGAATTTTCAATGGTTAATGCGTTATTAAACTGTTTTAGAGTATTGATTCGAGTGCTCAAATGTTGCAAAAATTTTTTTTGGCTAAATAAAAATCGGGCAACAAACACATTTTAAAATCTTTTTTAATCCTCTTTTTTTTCCTTTATATAAAATCTTGCAACCAATGCTGTGGTCAATTAATTCATCGATATATTGTGGAAATATATCCGGCCTATTTTAAAGGAATTTTTCAATTACACTCTTTTTAAGTGTAATGAAAGAGTATAATCTACCTTATCAATCCCCTTTCATATTGATTTTTGTTAAAAAATATATATTAGTATATGCTTTGATATATAGTTCTCTTTTTTAGATAAATTTGGGGGTCCTTATTGAAAAGAATTTGAAGGGAAGCGATTAAAGAGTGGCTTGGAGGGAGGGAAGTTGATATGACGGGTTTAAGGATAAAGAGAAGGGAGGGGGTAGTAGATTCTTTTTCTTACTATAACAATGCTTTTATGCGGTTGTTCAACCTATTGTTAAATACGTTTGATATCTTTGAAAGCGTCCCCCAAATAATCCTCTTCAAAATCAGAGGCGGCCATACGGAAATTAAAAGAAATACTATAAAAGGGGTGGCTCTCTTTTTATTTCTCAATTAAATAGTTATGTAGTAAACATACACATAATAATACAACTGAATAAATAAACTATTGTTATGACGTTATAAAGCTTATTGTTTATTAAGGAATTCGGACATACTTAGAGGTTTTCATTGTCAATTTACATATTCTTTATCGAAGATTTATGCCACGTCTTTCCTCTCTTTATCTTTCTCTTCTTATCCCACTCTCTACCTTTATTTTCTTAATACCCTTCTATTATTCGTCTATTTCCCTTCTTGTATACAAATATAATGAATTTTAAATATTTACTAGTTTTATAATTCTATTTAATATATCTCTATATGTTAAATATATACATAAATCATTTCTCTTTATTGTTATTGACAAATTCTCACGAATTTTTAAAATTTTAACCTTTAACTTATAATATTTTCTTATTTTTAAGACATTTACCGCCCGATTTCATGTCAATCAGAATAAAAAAGAATCTGTTTCAAAATAGTTCAAGAGAGGGCGCTGTTGAAATATTTTAAGCGATTGTATCAATTAGGTTTATATAAAGAGAAATAATGATTTATTAAGAAAAAAGTAGATGGAATTGCAAAAATATATATTACATATTCTGTTATAGTAGATCGTTACAAACAACGTGTTTTTGTTTGTATATATTGTAAATAGGTAATTAGAATATTTTTACGTAAAAGTGTCATATTTTGTCAATATTAGGTAATCCTCTTCCTACATAGTATTTGATTTAGATACGTGATATTTTATTTATCTACCTCTCCCTCATTCACTTACTCCCTCACTATACCAACCTATTGAATTTAGAAATGAATTATGTTTCACAGAATAGACTTGTAGTCAGATGCATTACTACGGAGCAAATCGATACATTATTAAAGAGTATTAATATAGAACCTTTAAAAACTCTAACAAGTCATAAACAATAATTAAATGAATAGATAAATTAATAAAACTTCGAACGAATAAACGTAATAAACCTCACGAAAAAGACGAGAGAAGAATAGGTAAAGTATACAAATTTACGGAATTTCACTAAGAATGCGAAAGGAATTTTGGAAAGGGGGAGTAGAGAGGCGTCGCCAGGTCGCGTATGCACTAACGGTCGTCGCCGTCATCATTCAAAGGGAAAGCTCTCGCTTTTTCTCCTTTGAAAGTTTATATAAAATGTAATTAAAAGCAGGAAATATACTTTGAACATATATTTTACTATTTAAATGAATTGATTTGAAAATTGATTAAAAAAAATATTAAACTTGATTTATTTCGTTAAAAAATATCCATATTTTTCTGTTTAAAAAAGTAATCAGATCTCATTTTTTCTTTCTATCAGGATCTAAACAATGATAGGAAGAAATTAGCGTCACGTTATCAAGTTTAGCTGATTTAGTAAGAGTATAGGTGGAAGAGTAATAAATACAGGTTAGTGAGAGGGAGAGAGGTGAACATTTAGGTAATGGAGGAAAGATAGGAACAATAAAAACATCAAAAGATACGGACAGAGAAGCAGACAGCTATACAAAAGATAAACTAAGTCACATAACAATAGAATAATTCATTATATTATTACTTAATCCTTTAACATATACTGCTCTCATAATAATCTCTATAGGAGAGAACTATTTATAGGCAGTGAGAAGAAAAAATCTTCGAAAAGGTTTAGATATATCTTGAGGAGTTAAGACCTTCTTATGCCTTTCTCATAGAAAATAGAGTTAGGAAAGAGTAAATTCAAGTGTCTATTTTCTATTTCTATTTCTCCTTTACCTTTCCACTTCTTTCTTCTTGAAAATAATCAATGATTAAAAACACTTGTATTAATAAAAACAAAGTATGATTGCCAGTTTGTTATTGTTCGATTATCTATAATATTCTTGATCAAGTTCTTCCTTTTCAGTCTTTTCTATACATATATATCTTATTTATTTAGAATTTCTTTCAGTTCCTTGTTCAATTCGAATTCTATTTTAATAAATTTTCCTTTATTAAATCATCAGCTTCAGAATTCACTTTAAAATATTCGTCCAAATGTCTAGCTAAATAATATGAATGAACAGCGGATGATGTAAATATAGCGTGTACCCATAGCTGATTTCTATCTCCATTTTGTGCGTGCAGCCATGAGAATATTCTTTCCATATTTGGATGTAACGCACAGAAATGTCCTATATCTGAACATTTAAATTCCATAATTTCGGAAGATTTGATATTTCGAAGTTGAATACCCGAGGGATTGAGCGTTAACAGCATTCTTGGAAGTTTGTCTTCCGAGACACTCCTTCTCCATATATTCTCAACAGGTTTAATTGTACATCCATTCGACGGCTTTATATCGGTTGGAATGGAACCTATATAGCTTACCTCCATTTTAATACAGTTAGATAATTTTATTCTCGAAGGATTACCGAAAGGCAACATAATTTCTAATCTTTTCCTTTTGTCATTAATCTTCGTCTATCTTTGTTATCCTCTATTTTTAAAATGTTTGAATATTGCATAAAGATATTCCGCAATTATGACGAAATTATTAACTTTTATTACTCCATTCCGTGTAAATAAACACACAATCTTTACCTATAATTAATTAAGTGTGAGACAATTTATTCTCATCAGGTAAGGAAATCGAATGTAGGTTGTATCCTGCAAAGTACTGGAAATGCTTTTGAAGTATTTATGAGCGCTGTGATGATCGATTCTGTTCTGTGCGTATTAGGCCTAAAATGCCATTCTAGGAGCTTTTGGACAAATCAATATAACAATAGCTAATCTTCTTTATTTAATATTTTTTATTATGATTGAACAATGTATAGAAAAGAACAAATCGTTGTGTGAAAATTTAAATGAGAATATATCTCAATTAAGTTATTATTATATGAAATAGACTTATATGCTCAGAAGAGAAAAAAAAGGAGAGAGAGAGAGAGAGGGAGAGGGAGGAACATCTCTTAGACTTTATGAGTAAAAATTCTGTCTTGATAAACATACTATACATAAATTTATATAGTATACAAGTAGTAGTACCTACTAACTATTATTTTTAAATATGCATTGTATATCTACATTATATACCGCATAATTTCAATTTTTACTAGTTCAGTAACCGTTAAATAATTGACCAACACATGTTATGAGAATGAAATTATGTTATATTCCACTGCAAATCGCCTTTTATTTAATTATTGAATAAACTTTTCATTAAGTATAAAAAAGACTAATAAATATTTTCATTAAAGTATAATGTACACATACATTAAGTGTCAACATACATTGTGCAGATGTATAAGGTACAGTTTGTATTCAATATATACATTTAAACATACTATAAGTCATAAATTTCAATGCATATAAAAGGAAAATTGATCAGTATAAATAAAAAACTAAGAAACGCCAAAGAAATGGAAGAACGCAAAGTAAACTTGAGAGAACAAGAAATAGAGCGAGAGAGCGAGAGAGAGAGAGAAAATTATCAGTCTTTTATTAATAATTTCCATTTTATTTTTCGTTCTCCTTCATTTCTAACACAGCTTCGTACGTTGGCGGTGAGATTATCGAAATGGGTTGACCTGTTAGAAATGATGAATTATGTTCAAAGATCTTTTATTCGATAATGCTTATCACATACATTTCGTTCATCGTTCATTACATTAAAACCATGAAGAGAATATATAAAAATCGTACTAGCTTTATTGTTATTAATCAATAATTTATTATAAAACAGATTTTTACAATAATTATTACGCAGTAACTGTAAAGTAGTACTATTATTATATTATTTTATGCTATTTCTCTGAATAATAACATTTATAATTGTTGTTTTTTTGTCTTTTTCTAGTATTTTTCTATTCCTTTTTCATGATTTTTACTATATTCATTAAATTATAAAATTATACAATCTAGACTTTCTCTGAATTATTAATTAATGTGACCAGGGGCGTCTATTTTTGCTACGGTAAACAAACAGAAACTGATAATATTTAATTTTGTACTTACTACTAAGCATTTCATCTGTTCCATAGGCGGGCGGTGATGTCACACAGGTAATTTCATTCAATTGAAATGATGGATTAATTTGGCTGACTGAAACAGATTGCTGACCATTATCTGTTGGGTTCTGAATAAATGACAATAATTAGAGGAAAGTTACAAGTTTTATTAAGAAAAGTTTGATTAATTAGATTACCTCTGTAGATTCTAATCTGGATGTAAAAAATTTAAAGCAAATGTAGGAAGACGGCAAGGATATGAATATAGATAATCCATACATAATTCTTATCGTCGATGAATACTATACAGAATAAACAAAAAAATATAAGGGATATTTAATTAATTTTGTCAGCTTTCTTTGAATAGGAATGAATTCGCTTATAATCTGAATATTTCAAGGATTTAATTTACAGAGAACAAAAGGATTGGATGCTTCTGTGGATTTTTTATAATGAATAGTTAATTTTATTATAGTAAGTAATGAAAAGAGCTTTAGCAGCAAATCACGTAAACTAGGAATATTTAAAGAGATAAATATAAATAATGTCTCCCTATTTTCTATCAGTTTAATTTTAAATTGCTAAAATCTACAATAAATACTTTGAGAAGTAATAAAAAATTAAAGGGAAAGTTTTTTCTTTTCTTTCCTTCTCCCTTAAGTCAGTCGATTGGTCAAAAACTGTTTTACCTCTTTAATAATAAACGGGTTCATGTTGTACGATTGAATAAAAGCGATAGACTACAGCTTACTAAACACAGTTTGAATATTTGAATATTTCAACATTATTCTAATGTTAAGTGACAGATAAATAAAAACTATAATGAATATTTACCTGACCGCTTGCATAACTGTCTATAAGATGTAAAATACATATTACAATAGCGGCAACAACGGCCAGAAGAGTTATTAAAGCCGCTATTTTACTAAATGTAATATATCTTTTAAAAACCTACATGAAGAAAGAAAGAAATAAAGACATTAGTTAAAAACCTTATCAATTTGAACAATTTATTTAACGTACGTCTTCGTTTTTACGATGTGATTCCGATAATTTTATCAAAATTGCAGTTGCAAACATTAGAATAGCTAACCAATAACCAAATCCATAGCCACCGTCCGATCTTCCTTTTCTATCAATTATTATTATTGCAGTATTTATGGCTATATAAAATATTCCAAATATTATAACATTGATCCGGAAGACTGATGAATTTCTTTTCGTTAAGACGATAGTGTCAATTAGATTGTTTTCTATATTACGATTCTAAATAATCAAAATAAACGATAAATAGTTGTCTGTTATATGAAAAACAATAAAAGATCATTTTATAAGAAAAGAACCTTACATTCTCATTTTCCATATTGTATCCTTTTTTCGTTCTCTTAGTCTTTTATGTTATATTTTACGTTGCAAATAGGTAACGGCTAAGAAAAAAATTAACTAAATTAACTAAATTTAACTAATCCAAGTAATCGAGATAAGTTTAGTAATAGTTTTCTTCCTATTTTCTACGTCTGCGGAATTACTTCCTTTGTCGGCAAAGAAGATTGTCTCAGCTATACTGATTCATTTGATAAATGCACCAAATATATTACCAGACTTGCAACCTATAATACTGATAACCTTTATATCAGTTGTTATCAAGTCTAATAACATGACGCTGTTACCACGAGTGTCAATCTAACCTAATATTCCCATTTAAAGTGTTAATGAATGAAATAAATTATTAAATTAAAGTTATGGCCACCTCAGCTATTCAATTGTTACATTTATATATTAATTATTATTTAAAATACCATATTTAGCAAATATGTGACAATCGTCACTAAGTCAGTCTAGGAGAAATATCCTCTATTCTGAAGGTCGTAATTTAAAGTTCAATATTCTTTTATCGTTTATAATTTAATAAATAAACAATAATTGAAGGTTTATTCAAAAAAAAATATAACTTGAATTTTGAACTTCAACATGTATCCTTACTTACTTAACATTCAAACACGTGTTCAAGTTCTAAACAAGAATAGGAAGATGCTGCCTTGTAATATACAGCCTATATTAACTGCAATACATATTATTCTGTTATAATCTCTGTTTTCCTTTTCTTTCTACTCTACTCTTTCCATTAACAATTATCTTAGTAAATGGAAAATTTCTCTAACAAATTATTCATTGAATAAAAGATATCTTGTGCAAAATATATATCTGATTGCGTAATCAATAACTTTTCTAACAAAGATATGTGTTTATACTATATTTAACATCTTATCCTTTTTAATAGAAAGCATTTTTGAACTAATAGACCTAGTTAAACAAGAACTCAATTCAGGAAAAATATATATAATGTATAATAATAAAAGTTTGATTTTGTTCCTATATGTTATCATTTATTCAACTAGAGACAAAGCCATCACTTAGATAACATATAGTACAAGATGGCTTAAGATAAAGTTCAAGCAGAAAGTATAATAACTTTCCACAATAAGAAGAGTTTATAAAAGAATTTAAATAATTTATTGAATTCAATTTAAATTAAACGAAAATTACATAATTATTAAAGCGCAATATAGCCTTCTCCCCCCCCCCTCTCTCTCTCTCTCTCTCTCTCTCTCTCTCTCTCTCTCTCTCTCTCTCTCTCTCTTAAACCTTAAATTATTTAGTGAATTCCAGGTGAAATGTAACGATTTTGGTGATTATTTCTGATGAAAATTTCCTATTTATATAATAAATCATTTCAAATTACAAGAAGTAATAGGCGAAAAGGAAGAAATAAAAGCTTTATTGCGTTTGAAATTCACTTTCCACTTATAAATAAATATATTTATATATAGAAATTTCATTGTAGTTGTTCAAGCGAATTGAAAAATTAGTAATAAAGAAGAAATGAAAATCAATAATAAATGACAAGAACATCTTTATTGTTTTATTTTTGTAGGATAACGAGAAAATTATTTCTTGGTTACCGATTTTAATTGTTTGGTTTTTTCAATATTTCTAATGATTTAATTGGGTAATAAATATTGAAAAATGTCTAAATATATACTTGTTTCATTTGAGAATGAACACGCAATATTTATTCTTAGGATGGTAACAATGGAATTAAATTTCACACTTGCTGCTTTATCCGTTGTGGAATTCGACTCAAATTCTCCTTACATAATCCTCTTATCAGATCATGGGAAAAAAGGAAATAATCGGCTTATCTTTACGTCTTTCGCAAACAGATAACCTATTTTGAATTACGTAATAAGCCGCTAGATGGCCTTAGCGTGTGGTTGGGAATGTTTAATTATAGAATTCAAATCCATATTAAACGCTTAAATAGATTTTCTTCTAAGTTTCCGTTCAAACAAGACTTGAAAGAAAAAGTAATCGTTGTTCTGATATTTTATGAGTCATTGGAAATTTTCAAATGCGCGATTAGTGTTTTTCAAATGTTCGATTACTTAGAATTAACAGTGGCCTTTCGACTCTTCTATAAATCATTTTTCTGATTTCATAATGTGTCTATATACATATAAAGTATAGAATAAAAGGCATAGTCGTTATGATTGCTTATTCAATTTGTTAATATTTTATTTTATATTCTAAATTATGTTAATTAAATAATTTCTTAATGTTATGTAAAAATTTTTTGGCATAATTTAATCAATTATTAGAATTTTCTTTAGACTTACCACCAGAATTTGTATTCGGTTCGTTAATTTTATAAGGACTGGCTCCATCTTATAAAAGAAAAGAAAGAGGTGAAAAAAGAAACAAGAACAATATTGATATGTTATATAAAATATTATAAATTTTAATATATATATATATATATATATATGTATACAGTATATATATATATGCAAGAGTGTACATGCGATTAAGTAAAATACATATTACATTTACTAACCTAATTCGCAATCTGTATAGTTAACATATTCAGCTTCATCTTGTCCTGTATTTTTTCCACATACGAAAGACTGCTCCTGATCAATAGCTAAGTTTATCAAAACAATAAAACTTTAAAAAGAAAAGACTGAGAAATGAATCGCTTTTGCAAAGCTTACCTTTCTTACTAGTTGCAGTATCCTCGAATTCGCTATAAGAATCTTCACTGAAAGTACTATACGCTAAAAGTTAAAGAATTATGTTGTTAAAAATTGTTGGTTTCTATTTTTTTCTCTTCTTTTCTATTATATTTCTTTTAAGTCAATGAAAGCAAATATATACCTCTGTCCGTTGTTGTATTGTTACTTCTATCTTTGAGCTCTGTACGGAATTGCATATATACTTAGTATATGATATACAGTATATATATATTTATTTATTTATATAAAGCTAAGTACTGGCTACAAATACTGTGTCTATTTAAATAAGGTAGCTATTTAGATTATAGGAAAGTTCGATACCAGGCTCGTTTTGACTAACTTCGGCTTCTACGATAAGAATAGAAGAAGAGGCAGATGGTTCAATTTCACACACTTCGTCAATTGTTGGTAGACAATGCGAATCTAAAAAAAACTATGAAAGCATTCCAACAGAAGAAATTTGTCGTTTTTTACTAACCATCTTTTCTTTTATAGCAAGATGTTTCCGCTTCTTCGTTTGTTGATTGAGTAACTTCACCATCAATTTCATCCTTAGATCTTAGGCAAGTTGGTATCAATGGTAAAACATTTATAGATAGACGCTTTTTCGGATAGACACTAGGATGAAGTCCACTTCTATACCATCCCATAAGTGCTATGCCGAGAAAGAATGTCACCATTATGTAAACACTCAACTCGGATTTTCCATAGTTAACACTAATAATTATTATATTTTCTATAAATATAATAATGGAAAAGATACTAAAGTCACGCAAATAATTCTTATTTGATCTCTTATAATTGAGTTTAAAGTAAGTAAAGCAGAACATCCATGTTGCATAAACTCGTAGAGAGAATTTTGCAATTTTACCATGAGGTTCAATTGTTAGAAAATTTACATTTCTCCATCCAACGAAGAGAATTGACACGATTAACATGTGAAGTGCAAGACCAATTAGAGCCCACGGTAAACCAAAAGCGGTAGCTAACATTCCAATTGCTATACACCTACTTGATAAAGAGGCCAAATAGGAGAAATACTGAATTATAGTTCCAGGTAGAATACTTAAGCATTCCCCCCTCCATTTTGGTAGTTTTTCGCTAATATTTTCAGTCTTAATTGATCCGAAATAATCTATCATTGTAAAAGAAATACAGCATATTGACCAGGTAAGCGAGAGCATTCTCAAACCATCTGGAATAGACAGTTATTAATCATTTTGTTGGTATTGTGTAAATATAGAAAAGTTGACTTACTAAAGTTTCCTTCATGAATTGAAGTTTGTATTATGGCCTGCGATGTTGATTCCGTATAAACCTTGATTAAATCAGCTTGACGAGCTCTAAAGTTCTCATAACAAATTAACTTTCTGAGAATAGCCTTCTTTCGAGTATCTTTACTTTTACTGTATCTATGGCATAGCATCAAAATCTCCACAAATCTGACTACCACGCCCAATTGCAATACTGTAAATACATATCTCAATATTGTAATTTTAAGGTTGGGAACATATTTCTTTCCCAAGTTTAATTCAACAAAATATGTTCTCTTCTCAGTCCAGCCGCAATCGTCGGATACATATATATATAAGGTTACTATGCAGAGGAGAAGTAGTGAGAAAATCAGAAAGACAGCTGTAGCGTCAGCATATTCCTTCTCTCCAAAGCAATAGTGAATGATTAGAATTAAGTCAATTATAAGACTTACGAAGAAAGAAGTGGCTGACAAAATAAGAGGAATAAGCATTGATATACTTAGATCTCTATAATCAATAAAGCTATTGGATTCCATATTTTTAGGCGGTAATCTCTCTTCGTAATCGTTAATTGACATATCCAACCTCCGGTCTAAATCCTTATAAAATATTGAGTATTATAGCCTAGTTTAAGATGAGTAGCATATGAAATGAAAACAATTAAACAACTAACTAACTACTCATCAACAAACCAACTTATTTTTCATTGCAATACAAAATATAAAACTAAATAACAAGTTTATTCAAAGAACAATAAGAAAAAAAACATTCACTTCTTTGATATTTAAATGAAATTTTGAAGGAAAAAAAACCTGATATTGTTTTGATAACGAAAAAGAAATTGAAATTGGCAAAATGATAACTTCCTTCAAATACTTTCTTCCATTTTTCCCTTAATATACTTGTTGTCTTTAATATAATTTCTGCTATATAAATTAGTTTTCGCAATAAGTGAAAAAAAATCCAGTAATAAAAAGTAAGATGAAAAATTGAGAGAGAAAAATAACTGGTAGACTCTTTTCCAACTTACAAAGTAATAAAGAGGAAATATTTTAATTGATGGGAAAGTAAACAATTAACATATTGTCTATTACATTTTTTCAGAGGTTTCCGAATTATTCATGATCGTAGTAAAACGTACGTGGAGCACAGGGCAATTCTATGCCATATGCTGCTGGACAAGGAGGATAGATTGCTGTCGTTTCGACATATATAGGTTTTGGAGGCTGTGTGTTTTAAAATATAATAAAATTAAAAGAACAAAAGAGAAGAAAGAAATGTTTTTAGCATATTTTATTTTGAGCTATTGTTATAAACTTACCGATTTGAGGTCTATGCAAGAGAATTCACCACCTAAGCAAATATGACATTGTATAGAAGAGAAAATCACTTCACTAATACCAGTAACTTCAAAAACTATATAAATTAATATAAAGATGTCCTGTGTTAAAAAAAAGAAAAAAGAAAATAGATTAACTAAACTAAAATTTAATTAATTAATTAATTACCAATTCGTCAATTCCTAATTTGTAGCATGTTCTCAATCCAAAAATCCCTAATGCAATTACATATACGGCAGATACCAATGCTAGTATAGACACAAGAAGGCACCCCGTAAGCTGAAAAGAGGAGGCATATGAATATTAGTAGTCATGTTTTTCTTGTAACGATTAATAAAATGATATACCTGATATTTATTGTTATCTTTCTTGGAAGCATATATGCCTATTATTCCAGCTCCTATTGCTGAAAGGCCACAAATGAATCCACCAGAAAGATAGCATGCTGTCTTTAGCTCAGCCCGCTTTGGTAAAACCACACCTAAAAAGTTACAGAATACCATAATGCATCCCAGTACTATTTGGTAACACCCTATCTTTCTACAGGCTCTTCTGTGAACTACTCTATCAATTATCATAGATTGAAAAATGACCTAGATGAATAAAAAAAATAGTTTACTAAAGAGTGTGCAATCGATATATTAAAGTTCAATTACTTACCTTTCCCTTTTGCAATCTGTGCTTTGAAGAGTCGCATTTGTTTTGAGTTTTAATTGCATCTTTATCGTCAACTGTTGATTCTTTAATGTCATTTTTTTCCCCCTCCATGACAATCTTTTTACAGTCTTACGCAACCTTGAAAGAAGCATTTAAAGTTTATAAAGTGGTTAATAGTATAAAATAAAGATTGAATAAATTGCAGATTAACTTTAAAGCAAATTAGCAAATGAATTATAGATGGTTTTGTGAATAAAAGACTTACAAAAGAAGAAGAGGGTGCCTTCCAAAAAAAATATTTGTATCGGAAATGGAAATATTTTAGCTACCGGAAAATGTAACGATAAATGTGATTGGCTAATGATTTGCCTGGTGGGCTTTCCGGTGTTTTTAGATTGAATATTTAACTTATTATCTGATAAAATAATAATCTCTGATTAATTATTGTTATTAGATAAATAAATAGATATCAATTTAGTTAAATCATATTTGTAGCCCGGAAAACCACTTTTGTTTTATTGAAAAAAAAAAATCATGATATAGTTTTTATTTATAAATTCATAGCAATTCAAACAGAAGATATAAACGCATAACACGATTATTCTATTAATAAACAATAAATATATCTTACTAGTATGCTAATAGAACTCATGTTTAAATAACTATATACCTTATTTCTTTATAACCCAATTAGTAATAAACATATTAAATATGTCTAGAAATCGTATTAAGATTGTCATCATTCAGGTCTGTATCAACTGATAGATCATCGTTCTAAATTGAAATACAAAATTATTAAATATATTAGATATTACATGTTTCTTTTATATAAAATATACTTGATTATGAATGATGTTTAATGGACAAAAAACCATAATATTTAAAGCAGAGATTACGGCTAAGCATGAAGAAAATATTGCCTTTAATAAGGATAATGTTAACTGAAGAGATTAATAAAAAGAATTAATTTGAATTTCATATATTAATATATAATTAAAAGAAATTTACATAGTCGTCTTTATTTGTTTGCTTTGAGGCTTGTATCAAAAAGTCTTTAAATGCCAAAAGACTGAATATAATTGTAAACAATGATATAATAATACTCCCCATTTCCTAGAAGTTTATACATAAATATACATAAAAACAAAGATATTTGATAAAAAAGAATTATACCTGCGATGCCCTTTCCCTGGAATAAGTAGAACTATTTGCAAAAAACCCGGAAGCAATAGCTAAAATACCAGCTATAAATGACGAATCCATAGTTAACATATACCAGGTATATTTCTCTAAAGATAATCCAATATGTAAGAGATTTAGGAATATGATGAAAAATCCCAAATTAATTAGAGATAGGCCAAGTATATATTTTATTCTTTTACCACACTTTTTACTTATCAATTGTTGATTTCTAATCTAATTAATAATAATTAAAGAATACGTTAACAAATAAAAGTACAATAAAGAATTACTACCTCATTTTCATTGGTAAAATTCATATTTTCAGCTTGTATATGTAGTTCTAGATTTTGGCCTTGATGATTTAACGGATTTATCATTTTTCTGTTAGTGTTAACGAAGTTAAATTTTAGTTTTAGTAATAATAATCGAACGTTAAATAACTGGATATATTTTAATAAAAGTAGTTGATATTCGTTGGTTATCGGATAGAAACAAATAAAAGAAAACAAAGAGAGAGAGAGAGACAGAGAGGGAGAGAAAGACAGAATATGGAAAATTTTAATAACAGACATTTAATATTCAATATTTCAATAAAATTCAATAGAGATAAAATATTTCTTTTGAAGTAATACAAACTTAACACAACAGTTTATTACCAATTTGTTAAGCCAGTATTTACAAAGTGATGAAGAGACAACTAGACTGTATATAATCTTAATCTGGGACACTGTTCCTTTAAAGTATATAAAGTATATATATAGAAAATCGCATATTTCTCAATAATGTCAATTTATTATAACTGCAAAAGCTGAAAGAAATTTCTTTTCAAGTCCAAAAAAATAGGGAAATGTTTTTAAAAGTTCATGAAAAAAGAGTGTTTTGATGTTAGTTCTTCACTCTATTTCAATACAAATGAATCTATGTATATATAATTAATAAAAGTAATATCACACCTTGTTTATATTAATTTTTTAAGGCACAGCCAGAGAAAAATATTAAAGAGAATAGGAAAGGGCGAGAGGATGGGAGGAGAGAGAGATGGCGAGAGAGAGAGAGAGAGAGAGAGAGAGAGACAGACAGACAGACAGACAGAGAGAGAGAGAGAGGGTGGCCAGATGACTTGTGCGGGAGAGCACAGGACAGTATCTAACTAAGAATTAGGTTGTTTAATTTTCGAAATTGATTTATACTATGGATAAATACTCATTTACTACTTGATAATGCTCACAGTATTGTGTTATATATTCTGTTAATACTTGTTTATATGTTTGTTAATATATATTATCGAGTCACTGTGTAATTCTTATCTTTATAACGAATTAATCGATATATATTATTTTAGCACGTTCTTTTATCCTACTTTTATTCCAAATTTGTCTTTTGCTACTTGTAAAATAATTAGGATTAATTTTTCCTTAAATTAACCAATAAAACTTCTTAGGATTTAAATAGCGGAAAAATCAAATTATAAGGCAAAATTAGCGCGAACTTCATTAATTATGTATATTCAATGGAGAAATCATTATTTACTAGACTCCCAATTGAATATTGGTAGCTATCTTCAGTATATATTAGTAAACATAAAATAGTTACGTAATAGTTATAAAAAACTTGAATGTATCAGTGGAACAATAATAAAAAAGAGAAGTATATGGACATGTTTTCTTTTTGCTTTTAACTTTTTTTTCCTTTATAGCTAAGGGGAAAAGTATAAAAAAAGGGGAAATAAGAATTTATATTAACTTGACATGAAACTATCTCTGTATATCCAGCTTTTCATATATATATATATATATATATATATATATATATACTGTTGATATATATGAAAATCTCTTTCTTATTATCTCTTCTTCTATCTACCACTCTTGGTATTTTGTCTAAGGTTTTGTCTGTGAAGTATAAACTAATGACAGTCGACTAAACTACAGAAGTACGTGATTTTTCTTTAATCCCTAAACGAAACAATATATCATTATAAATACTGTATAAGTATTGAATTATTACCTATATTAAATGAGAAAAATTTAATCTTTATTGATTAAAAAATGATAATAACAGTACATAGAGTCAATAGACAGGCAAGTGAAAGGTAAAATATTACATTCATATTTTTAATGTGATATTTCTTTTATTTTTTCAAATTGTCTTATAAATACTTTAATATCAACTTTCTCTTTTACTACAAGTTTTTTTACAGCGCAAAAGAACATAAATATTACGCTTAACTTATTATAAAGTAAGTAATTAAATAATAGAAAAAAGTTAGATGTCCTTTTCTCTTTGTTTCTATTTAAAAATATCATTTTTTACATGTTTTCCTTTTTTTATATTTAACGAATCGATAATTACTTTGTTTTTTTATAGATTGATTATGCTATTCTATTAATAGTTATTTATTTATCATTCCATAGGATGGCGGTGGATCATAACCACTATAGGGCGGTAATCCCTTAACATCAGCTGGAGGTGCTGTATAAGATACTGGTACAGTTTCCTGTTGATAGACAATAGTATCACCGTGTCTTATTGCTGTTGGATCTTCCTTTTTTAAGTAACAATATCTGAACATTAGGAAGCCTGCACTTATTAACAGTAAAGCCCCTGTAACAGCACACCCAACTTTTACCCAAGTTCCGAATCTTTTCGAATTGACTTTTCTCATTTCGTATCTAATCCGAAATTCTGAATCCTCTTTTCCAGAATGAAAAATAATGTTCAACTCCTTACTCTGCGTAACAGTTTCTGTATTGTTTGGCATTGATGAACACCAACGTTTTGAGAACGATTCACTCCTTATTTCGAAATAAGCTTTGTTGCAGTCATTATTGCCGAGTATGATTAATTTCTCCAACTGCAAAAAAATAGTCCATCGTGATGATTTTTTTGTTTTTTTCACAATCCAACATTTTGTAGCTGAATCGCCAAAACTTCTCTTGTATACAAAAATATCGATTTTCTTATTAGAAGCGATTAAAGTTGCTGTAGAACAACCGCTTGGTAATCCATCATTTCCTGTTAAATAATTTCTTTTCTTTTATTTGATTATAATTAAAATTATGAAATTATTTTGAACATTTATTTAAAAAATATAGAAAGTTCTTTAAACAATGAACAAAATACTTATATTACTAGTATTTTTCAAGTAATTAAGAAGAGAATAGTAGTTAATTATTGGTAAGTTTAATATTTTTAAGTAATAGCTAACAAATTAAGTAGTTACCTGCAATAAAAAATAGAAGAATAACTATCATTAAAACTGTTTTAGTATCCATAGCAAATTTATTTTACTCTTCTCCCATATGTAGCAGCAACTGATCGACCTCTAGCTATATCGATTTTCTTCTCTATAAACTATTTAGGTAACATACATATATTATAATAAATTTATCCCCCCTATTATACCATTCCATTTATAAGCATATGTATATGTTTAAGTGATGTAACGCGTATAAATTACATTTAAAAAATCATACAATGTATGACAAAGGTTTCATCTCAAAATATTCAATACTTCTAATATATTCGTAGTACTGTTCAAATCTGAAATATAACTCCATAACAATAGATGAATATACTGTATTTATATATATTATATACAAGAATTAATATGTATAGCGTATTCTAATTATTGTTACTTTCAAGAATTATATAATGATTCGGCCTACAATTACCAGTTAATAAGTAGAAACTATTTTGTGAACGCAATACATAAAACTATGTATTCAAATAGAATATATTTTCTATATTATAATAATAATAATAACGTTATTCGGAAGGTAGAAGTACTAAATGTGTCAAAAACATTTTTTTAAACCTATAGTGTAAGCAATAATGTCTAAATGAGATAAAACAAAGCACATACATGCGCACGTACGCACCCAAATATACAAAAGAATAGGAAGGAAGGTAGAGAAAGGAAAGGAATAAAAAATAATAAAACATAGGAAATTAAAGGAGAATAACAAAGAATATTTATGTTTTTATTAATAAAATTTGATTAAATCTCTTCTTCGTCTTCTTCTTTTCCTGCTTTTCAATTTCTATTTGAAGTTATTCATTGTGTATGTGTGCTTTTATTAATGTTACGACATTTAGACACAGATAGACAATTAGGCAGATGTGAATGAGCCAGTGAGAGGGAGAGAGATAAATTATAATATTTTCGCAATTAAATTGTTATAATATTAATTGACGAGACTAATTTGCACAGACGGTGAATTAGTACCGGATGTTTCGGAATTTTTACTGCTTCTAATGAAAACTATGTTAGGCTCAACCAAGTTCCTTCGCAGCAAAAATGATAGCCATGCCATTCTAACATCCTTACATTTCAAACAGTGTAATAAGAAGATGAATATACCTTGAAAGTTGAATGTAATGACGAAGAGAGCCTTAGGAATAATGAAAAGAAAATCTTTTTAATTCTTTTCAAGTAGCAGATAAACAAGAAAATAATTAATTGATTAAAATAAACAAATTGTAAATAACAAAGATATTTTTTATTAGCGCCATCTACTGATTTTAAGATAACTTGTGTGTATACCAGGCATATTCCTTCAAAAAGCTCAAGGGAATTTGATTTATCTGCGTCAATTGCTCCAAAAGAGCCAAAAATCCAGGGTACACCTAACAAACTGAGAGTACCAATAGCTCCTAGAACTTCAGAGACAAAGATTTTTTTCTTAGATTCATCTGGTGAGCAACTTAACCGTGAAAGATCTTATAGTTAACAAATATACAATACTCTACCGGATCTTCTCGACTGTCTTCGAATTTCTCTCATTACAAACCCAAAGACTCCCAAATTACACAACATAATTAGTGAAACAGGAATTATAAAACCATAATATTGAATTTCCGAAGATAGCGTACACCTTAAATTGAAAAGATCATAAGTTGAATGAATACTGGAAAATCTAATAATGTCGCTAAATATAGATTGTTTATATCTATATATTTACACATATGTGCAATCTATCCATTCTCCAAGGAAACTATCCATACGCGAAAAGTTTACTATCAGAATTATTACAGCCGGAAGTACTGTAAAAATAGTCACGCAATCATTGTTACAAATGTTACGTCATTAGTGAGATACAAACCCCAACTAACAAGAACAGATTTCGTTCTAAAGTTAGATATTTCACTATTAAATACTTTTATAAGCTTCATGTACATATTTATAGCTTCAACTCCATTCCATAACAAAGATACCAGAATATTGTAAAGCATAAGAGAGTTAAGCATCTTACACATGAACTTAGAGGTCATCAGGAGGCTCTTTAAGTAATTAAGCAGCAACAAGATTAATAAGGTAACACATAAATTAACCAGTATAAATGTATTAACTCCTCTTCTTACTCGCCTATATTTTGAATATTAATTAATAAAAGTATATATACAGTTATAATTATGTTTTCACATAAAGATATTCGTACTTGAAGGCAATGAATGTAACAACAGTAATAAGTAGGCAAATTCCAGACATGGCTTTTAAAATAATTCCAAGAATTTCTATCTCATAAATGTAAGAAAACCTCTGTGAGGACAGAGTTATTTTAACTGACTATGAATGTAAGGAAACCATTTAAAAATGTAATTTGATCTCACCAAGGACGTTTCGAGGCCGTTGGTCTTACGATCCTCAAACGATTCCTCCTGTCTCAATTTTTCCTGTTATTATATTCAATAAAAACAATATTAACAATATGCTTTTATTATATTTTGTCCTCGTGTGACAATGTAATTATATGAAATGGATGCTTTTAATTATTTACTTTATTTGAGTATAGGCCTATATAGCCATCTATCTCCTTCAATACGCATTTGCAATAAACTTTGCTTAACTTTTTGTCAACTTCTGTTTCGCAATTATCAGAAAACCAATCTTTTAAAAACACTGAAAATAAAATCAACAATTCCGTTAATACTATAAACTAAAGCAACCATTTTTCTTTAACTAATTAGTAGTACATGAGAGATCGTTATTCTCCTCGGGAGTTCTACTTGTTGAAAAAGTAGCGCACTTGAATATTTCGTTTTCCTTAAAAAAAACAGTAGTTAGTTGATTTTCAAAGTCAATCTATTACTGAAAATGCATTGTACGACTTACATGTATTAATATCTCGAAAATGGAAAAAACTTTGACTTTCGTAACATAATCATTATCTGCAATTCTTACGAAAATGACGGCAGTTCTCAGAGAACCAGGAGAATATGAAATCGTAGAACCTGTCTTAGTTTCATTCTGTCATAATGGGTTTCAGAAAATGTAAAACAAAAGATAAAAAGAAACTATTAAATTGAGAATATCTCAAAATGAATATATTTGTTATTTACGATTTCCCGACTATATGTAACTTTCATATTATCTCTTCTTTCTTCTCTATCACCAGTTGAAGCTGCACTTTTCACTATTTTAGATTTGAATGCCTTTATGTTCTTGAATACAATGATATATGCTTTATAACTGCCAGCAAGTCCTACTTAATAGTAATAAAAAGTTACTTCGAAATAAAGAATCTATTTCATTTTGAATTTACTTCGATCCTTTTCAACAGATATTGACAAGAATAAACTACTCTTTCGATCAATTTGAAATGAATTTCTATATGATCCAGAAGCTATCCCTTCATGAAAAGTAATGGATCTATCGAATGAATGAAGATTTGACGGATATAAAGGAGGTTTCAGAATACTTGAGTTTGTTAAAGTTATAAAACATCTGTGTTAAAAAAGTATAATTTTAATAATTAGAACATTACTCTGTATTCATATAATGAATTTACTGTCCATTGCTTCTATGATCATCAAAGGGTACAGGAATGGAATTGATAACGTAGGTTATTATGTCCACATACATTTGATTTCGAAGTCTTTCCCTATACCCTGATTCTTTACGATTCGTGAAAAGATTACTTTCACAAAATTTTTTTGAATAGTACAGAAAAAGAAGTTGCGGTAGTCTTAAACCTTCTTTTCTTACTATTATTTCATGGAATGTCTCAATTAATTCATCATAATTCAAGCGCCCATTTTCATACTTTAATAAAATAATAAGTTATATTTTCATCAATTCAGATGTCACAAACATACAAATAAATATATTTACCATGTTTTGTACTATTTGTAGAGGATGGCTCAAACATGCTTCAACTTGAGCTGGCTGCCATAATCCAACATTTTCCTTCTCTGGATCAACCGTGCAAACCATATAAGCTTGAGTACTTTTAAAACTTAACTTATTGGAAATGTTCATGTTCATAGATAAATGACAAGGTAATAGAACCCTGTAACCAATTGGTATTTTTGGCCATGTTAGAGCGAAACTAAGGTCGCCAATGCCATAGTAAGTTTTCGTTTTATTGCAAAATCCAACTTATAGTGATAAACAACAAGTTAAAAGGAACAAGTTAAAAAATATGATAAAATCTTACTTTTTCTGCATTCCTTGGGCATATCATCATCATATTCATTGTCTAAACTGTTGGCTATATTTTGTACTTTTATAGGTAGACTTGAGTCTTTTTCTATAACAATTGTGGAAGATGTAGACAAAGAAATTAAACAAATTTCCAATGAAATTGCAAAGAATAATATTAGTTTGTTCATACTTTCTTCCAAAATGAGGCTGAAAGAAAAAATAAACTAATCAGCCTGTAAATATGTATATATTTATATGTGTGTGAGTATATATACTAATATAAATATATATATATATATATTTTATATATAAAAGCAGATATACATACATATAAATTTATATATATATATAAATATATGCATATAAATATACATATATGAATATTTATATATTAATTGATCAGATATAATATTTATGCCATTTAATAAATCACCAATATTTTAATGTATTATTTTTGTTCATATGTAATGCAAATAAAAATACCATTTGCAAATTCCTGGTGCATTTGTATTCATAATAAGTACAGTAAATAATTCCTCCTTAGGTTGTCTTTATACTTTGACCCCGTTATATTATTCCATCACTCCCATCATTAAGTAATGAATTAAAGAATACAGTAAAGAATTGTATACATGAAAATGTAATGCTTCATTACTTACGTAACTAAGTCAAAACTTTCCTTCAGGTATCATTTATTAGTAATTTTTTTTTTCTTATTCTCTCTAAAAGGTTTATGAAGAGAGAATTAGATGGAGAAATCACGACCAGGTACGGAATGATATTTATAACGTAAGTTCTATTTTTATTATGTTCCTATTGTACATATTTAATATATTTTGTAAATAGCTAATGGAAAGCAACTTGAATATGCGTATTAAATCAGGCTTTGTATAATAATAACATATTCAACTTTTAAAATAGTATAATACAAAATGGATTCAGTCATCTGTAAAATATACTCAAGGGAATTTAAACTTAGCTTTAACTAGGGTGATTGAAATTTATACATGTTTTTTTATCTGAAGAACGTTTTCCTCTTAGGAGGAGAAACGATAACCCTATTACTGTTAAATATACAGTATACACGACTAAATACATATCTTAGTATTGTGAATAAATGATATTACTAAAAATATCCAGGTTAAGATTAGGAATATCATTATTTTTAACAATGATATATAAGGATAAGTCCTTATTGTTTTTTTCTTCTCATTTTATACATCTTTTCATGGTCACTGGAAATAAGAGAAACAATTAGTTTCCTTCTTTTCTATTCTTAAAAAAACTATTTTCTATTAATGTAAATGTAAAGCATTGTTGGAAAATAACAAATTATGAGATATAAACTGCATTCCTTTCCCAATTAGTTTAAGAATAAAAGAAATCTAGGTTTGCGTTGTGTAATTCGAAGAAGTCTTTTGCAAAGTAGCATTTCTCTTCCTTATCTCTATAAAAATTTATATATGATATATATAAATTATAAATAATATTTTCCTTCACTATTCATTATCTTTTCTTCCCTTCTTCATTTTATCTTATAACCTTGTACTTAATATCTTTTTAGGAAACATAAAAAAGAGTATCGGTTAAAAGGCTAAGGAATAAAGTTAGAAGCTCCTTAGTGATTTAGATTTCCCAAGCAGAGTTGAAAAAACTCTCTCCTAAATTTTTATTCCTTCCTTTTTAGTTTAAGTCCAACAGGCTGAAGTCTTCAGACTTCTCTATAAAAAATATACTATATATATATATATATATATATATATATAACAGTATGTATTTTCTATTGATAGAAAAAATGACAGTAGATCTTTTTCTAATACGATGAAGAATAGGCCTTAATTATAAATAAGTAGGTCAAAGTTTTACAAGTATAGATAAAGAAATAATTATTTTATTTCGTACTAAACATATACAAGGAGATTACTATGAGCAAATCAAAAATTTGTTGAATATTATTATCATTCAAGTGATATGTTATCTACAAGAGTATATCAACAACAGAAAAAAATTTCATTCAATCAAACAATCAATCAAAGTTAAAGAGTCGATATCGAATTGGCTATTTCTCCTTTTTTTTTTAATTTAAAAAATCTTTATTCAAGTTAATAACTTCCTTAATTATTGTTTGTATAATATTGTTGATTTGAACACAACAATAATGACTTCTGAACAGGTAAAAACAACAACAACATACTTCTGATATTGTTCTCTTTCCATTATAAATGTTTGAAATAATTTTATATTGATGTTATAAAAAGTGATTAGGCAAGTGAAATATATTGATTGTTTTTTTTTGTGTTTGTTTTAATGAAACAAGAGCGAAGAATTGAATAATTCTAACGAACAAGGAAAAGGATGTAAGTATTTATAAATACGCTAGCTAATCTACTTGCGGATAGAGTATTAGATGATAAAATGAATAGCTACATAATTGATTAAGTAATTAACTTATTCAACATATATATACAGTATATATATATTTAAATTTTGATAGATGAATGTAGGCTTGTATAAAAAGATATAAAAAAAAAGAACGCTGCTTGAAAATCAATACATAATCAGTAGTGCTTCATTGATTTCTCTAAATTATTGGGCATTTGGGATTTTTTCAGACCCTTGATTACATTCGTTATTTGCATTTACTGTTTCCTATCTCTTTTCTGTACAGCTTTGCAGTATTTCTTTGTATCTTAGTTAAGCATTATTTCAGTAACGTTTTAACAAAATAAGTCTAAACTTTCTCTTACAGGCGATTTGGTCACTTTTAAAGAAGATTTACTTCCAATATTGAAACTTACGGAATACGTTGATGATCAAAGACAAGCAATTGAATCAAACGACAATACAACATGCGATACTAATGATACTAAATTATTAGGTAGGCCTTTTAGATAGTTTCTATTTTCCTTTTAAACAGAATAGACAAATGAACAAACAAAAACCATTTAAAACAGCAGAAAAGGATACAAAGAATTTAAAAACAGTTAATAAAACTGCAAGTGATAATTCTGAATATGAAATATGTGTTAGATATTCTGATCTTCTAAATCCTCCTCCCTTACGAATTCAAGTTAATACTATTCAATCAAAAGTTGAAGAAATATTACAAGAAAAATATCCTGAATCCTTAACATTTGATGAGAAAATAATAAAATTTGAAAATATACTTCGTATACCTAAGAAATCAATTGTAAAAAACAAGAAAAATGTCCGACTAAAGTCGTATTCGCATTCCAATTTATTTGATATTAAAAAGATGAAACGTTGTGAATCTCTTAAGAACAAAACTCCTAATATTCTATCTCATTCTTTGGAAGATGTCCGAATAAAGCCTGATACTCCTAATGTAAGTTTAATTATCAGATATTTTGTGATCAACAGGTAATATTATTTTGTTTTCTATATTTATAGCTCTGTGAACCGGAAGTTGATTGTTATCCGTACAATAGACTATCAGAGGTGAGTAAATAATTTTCTATTCTTTCTTAATTTCAACTTTTATTCTTTTATCTGTTTCTCTTCGATCATTTAGATAAACTTTTTCTTAATTAATTGAATACAAAAAAACTAAACAAAATAAAACATACAGGGCATAATGAGTAGTCGATTACGTCATCTAATATTGGAAAGAGAATGTCTAGCAACAAATATAAGACATTTGAAAAGACAAAAATGTATACTATTCATTTTATAGGAAAAAAACCTATTTTTCTTCTTAAATTCTCTTCTTAATAATTGTACTAACAATAATTTGTAATTCGAAATTAGCAGCAAGTTCAATGTTATATAAAACAAGGACAAAATCATCTAAATTCTTATTAAAATTCCTCGAGAAAAATAGAAAGACTCTTATGAAAGAAGTGATAGATTTGAAAGGGACAGTATCAAGTCTAAAAAATAAGGTGTGAAGAGGCAAACTAACGCACAAACATCCGTGTCCTTTCTACTCTCCCTTTTCTTTTGTAGAGTCAATAGCCCTCACTAATTTATTATGTGACACTTTTCCTCCTCCTCCTCTGTTTATTAGTTACACAAAATATAGAACTATTCTTATTTATATAAATGAAATTACTTTATTAATTAATTATCTCATTAGATTGTTAATATTGTTGTCTAATTGCTTTTATTTTTGTTTTTACATCTAGAATGAAATGTTAGCTCAAATGCTTTCTGATAAGGATTTGGAAAAGGAAGAATTACTTGAAAATCTAAGATCAAATGATTTTATTGCTAAAGAAAAACATTTATTACAAGTTAACCTCTTGCAATTTTTATAGATTTTTTTAAATTAATTAATATTACTTAATTTACTTTGTTAGTTAAGATCCAATGAATTAAAGAATAACCTTCAAGAAAGTAATGAACAGTGTTTAAGGATAATAACCGATAAACAGAAATCAAAAGATCAATTTACAACACAAACTAATGAATCTCAATTGATAAACCCTTTAGAATTTGACATTGTAAAAGTTCACTAATTATTTGTTATTATAGCCAATCTAAACTATTTTTAATTGACAGAACGTAATTATGGAGGATAAAGTAAAGATGTTGGGCGATAAATTGGAAAACGAAAGAACTGATTATAAAAAACATAAAAGATTATTAGAAGATGAAATTAAAATGCTTACGAATGAAAATCGGATGGTTAAAGCTAAATTTGAGGAAGAAAGAATTCAAAAACATCTTATTGAGCTAGAAGCTGAAAAACTAATAGAAGATAATGATTTATTAAGGAAAGGATCTTCGGAGAGATTATTACAAAATAATGTAGGTCTTTCTATTAATTCTTTTAAAATATTTCAATAGATTTTATTATACTATTCCATAGACAACAAACTTTGAAAGAACCTTGTACGAAAGGAAATTTGAAGACTTAACTCAAGATTTTCATCACTTATTAAACGAGAAACAACTTGCAGAGACTGAATTTGACAATAAATTAATTGAAGCTAAATCCTCAATTCAAGAATTAAAAGAAGAAAATCAGCGAATTCAAGATAAATATGATGAAATTTTAACGGAAAATCGAGCGTTAAAAAGTCACAATTTAGTCATTAAAGTAGACAAGAAAAATCAAGAAAAACTTGAGAATGAATTAATTATGATAAAAGGTTGTTTTTTACTAATATTTTTCATAAATTAAAGAAATGTAGTTTGTTTTTTCTTATTTGTTTTAAAGAAAAGCTAAATGATACTGTGGAAAGGTTAGAAACATCATCTAATGAAGGTGCCATTTACAAGAGGCAACTTGATACTATAAAAGTTGAGATGAACTCTTTAAACTATCAATTAAAATTGAAGGAGGAACAATGTCAAACTTTAAAACCTGACAGACAATTAATACCTGAAAACAACTCGCAATCGCTAAAGGAAATTGCCAGTCTTCAAGAAAAAGTAAGATAAAAGAAGATAGCCTCTTTTCTTTTAAATAGCTAATTTTCTAGATAACAAACGCGGAAGAAGAGTTGATTCTATGGAAGAAGAAATATGATAATTTAAATATTGAAAATTTAAAACTTCAGGATGAACTAAATTCTAAAGAGGACTTGAACGAAGCAGCACGAAACGTTACGGGTAATACTAGAGTACGTATTGAACAATATCTAAAAGTAGCTTTTTATATAAATACACTGTATTATATAATTATATAAACTGACAGGTATTGGAGTTAGAAACGCTTCTTAGAGAAAGAGAAAATCAAATAATTAAATACGAAATCAACACTAAATTAGATATAAATGAATTGCATAAAGCTCTCTCTACAACTAAAGAATTAGAAGGAAAAGTAGAAAAATATGATGAAGAAGTATTTATAATATATATAATTGAGTATTTTATAATCTAGTTATGAACTTAAAATTGTCTAGAGGAGAAGACATATACAAGATGTCAGGGATTTAAAAAAAGATCGTGAAATTGCTGTAACAAATTCGATTGCGCAATCGAATGCTTTAGAATATTTAAATGAAGAATTAGATAAAGTTAATCAACTATTGATAGAATCTTCAATAGAGGTAATTTATTATTATTATTATTATTATTATTATTTATCAGCACACTATAGGTCAGTGAAAATAACGTTTTCTTGAATACTACTCCCCAAGCTATCCATATGATTCATTTAAATCTTGAAAATTGGCACCAAAACATTCATATTTATCTATAATCGATGACAAGCAGATGTTTCTTTCAACCCCATTGACTTTCCTAGGATATGTAGAAAAAAATTAGGCAGTTTTTGTAACAATACTTGTAATATTATGGAAGCATTTTCTCGATTCATTGCAAGAATAAGAGACGAAGATGATGAAAAAAAAGAAGATAAGGATAAAGACACAAAAGAGGGAGACGCTATAGTAAAAGACGAGGTTTAATTATTAAAAACTTAGGCCTAATATCTTATGTATCACTCCTGTTGCTCTTGAAATGTTCTACCGGTTTTCGGCTTTAATTATTCATTTCTATTTGTAGAATAAAAAATTAGAAAAAGATGTTCAATTAGAGAAGGAGAGAACAAAAGAATTATCCGATCAGGTATTTTATAAGCAAGATTATTTCCGTAGTATTTTATAATAACCTTTAGTAGAGATATTTATGTGTCACAAGTGTATTGTAAACTTTTTACTATTTCTTTATACTATTATCTAGGTTACCTCGAAAAATGCTCTCTTAGAACAAGGAGTTTCTAAAGCCATTGAAAACGGGTCATTGAAGATAGCTCCAGATGCAGCGACCAGTATTGCAGATTTGCAAAATCTGAGAACAGAATGTAGTATATTACAACGACAATTAGAGCTTTCTCAAAAAACCGTAGAAGAAGCTCACATTGCTAAAGAAAATGCCGAATATAAGTTGAGAGCCTACGAAACTCAATCCGGAAATCAAAATAGTATCTTAGAAGCTTTAAATAATGCAAAAATTCAAGCAGAACAAAAAGCAGATGTTAGTTTTTTTTTATTAATTTTAATAAATTAATTGATTTAATTTATATAGTATTTTGTTCTTAAAATATTTGTATTTTTTATTCTCTTTTCTCTCTTTTATCGTTCAAGTATTATGAAAGTGAATTTGAAAAATTGAAAGAAAGAAACAAAGAACTAGAAACAATTGTTACTGGATTCCAACCTCAGTTAAATGCTATTCAAAATTCATATCAATCTGATCTCGAAAGAGCCCAAAAACAGGACACATTTACAGTTTGTTTAGTTATCACTTATACAATTACTTTACTGGAAGAATTTATTAAATTGATTTTTTTCACTTTCAAGTTAAGGCAGAATACAGCTGGATCAAAGGCTTTGGTATCAGTAAAGGACGGAGAATTAGCCCAACTAAAAGCTTTAAATAGGTATTTGATGTAACAATCTTATAAATGTGGTTACTCTTTAGAAATGCTCTAACGTTTCTTTTTAAATAGGAATCTCAAAAAAGAGCTGGAACTTCTTTCAGAGCAATTAAGAATTGCCAAAGATGAAATGCTCTCAAACAGAGAAGAGATCAAAGCTCTAACATTCGCTTTAAAAAATAAGGTAAACAATCTTTATAATACGAATACTGTGTTCTTCGCTTCTTTCTTTTTCTTCTTCTTCTCTTGACGATATTCTCTGGCATTTTTAAAAGGAAGAAGAAATATCTCATTGGATTTCTGAAATTGAAAATATCAAAAGTGATAGAATGAATACATATCTTCAAATTGAACAATTAAATCAAGATATTACCAGGAAACAACACAGCTACTCTCAAACGTTGATGCAATGTCAACATTTGGACAAACAAGTCAGAAAAAAATCCTTTTCAAACATCTCTTTCATTATTAATTCATTAAACAGTTATTAGAGGAGCGAGAAGCTAGAAAGAACCTTGAAAAGAGATTATGGGAAAAGGAAAATGAATGCTTGTCTCACGATTCTGACTTTCGTACGGTTTCTAGGACATTAAGTATAACAAGCGATGAAAGAGATGGGTATAAGGTATTATGCAATATGATAAAAAACGCAAGAAATGTTAAATATTTAATATTTATATTATGTTTGTTAATGTGTCTATAGGCCAAACTGGATGACCTTAACGAAAGGGTTCATGAAATGGTTAATGAAAAATCAAAATTACAGCACGAGTTGAGAGTAAAGGAAAATAAAGTAATTACTTTTCTTCCTTTTAACAACAAAAATATTAAAAGCATCTTTTCTTCTAATTTTGGTGCTAATTCTATTTTGTTTTTAGTTAGATGAAGCAATTATGATGCGTAAACAAACGGAAAGGCAGCTAGAATCGACTAAAGAAGAGCTAAACGAATTGCAATTATCAAGAGATTGTTTACATGAGATTACCGATAATCAAAAAAGCTCTGTTTCAGCAGCTAAAGTTTGTTGTCACTAGTGTGTAATAGATTAAAAATCATTACATAATATACTTATAATAGAAACAGGCCACAAAATATCATCAGGAAAAGACTGAGTTGAAAAAAACTATATCTGGTTTAGAGGGGGAAAAACATAAACTTCAAAGAAATTTAAGAGAGTCAGAAAGTGAAAAGGATCAATTAATTTCAGATAAAGAAAAATTGGCAAAAGGTTTAGTGTCACTCTTATTAAATGGAGATATTTAAACTTAATACCTCTAAATTACTTTATTTTCGTACAGATGTCATAAAAATAGCAACCCAATTAGAAAACAAAGATGAACTATTGATTGAGCAAAAACATCGATACGAAAATGCTATTGAAAATATTAAATTAGATTTTATCAATGAAACAACGAAACTTGCCCAATTAAAGGATGCCGCCGAAAACGAGGCAAAGAAATTGAAAGAAGAAAAGAGAGAATTAGAGCATGAATTAGAACTTAGAGAGAGAGAAATGACAGACTACGATAAGAATTCAGATAATAATGAATATTTTTCAAGGGAGAAGAAAGATTTAAATAACAAACTTCAAGCTTTACAAAATGAAAATAGAGATTTAAGTTCAGAGGTGAAAAAAGTCAATCAAAGTCTTTATTTATTGGAAAAAGATAAAGAACATCTAGATAAGCTTATTCAAGAAAAAGATAAACAATATAGTCAATTAAGGGAAGAACTAAATACCGAGAGACATAAATTTATGAACGATATATTTTCTTTAAGAGAAAAATCCTATCAACAAGAAAAGCAAACAGATAATAAAATTGCTGATATTTCTGAAAAGTATAAAAGATCCAGAAGCGAGAAAGAAGAATTAAATATGCAATACACAGATCTATTGAGAAGTTACGAAAACGTTAAAGGCGATATAAAAGAATTAGAATATCAAAATGAACGTCTAAACAGTCATATTGAAAGTATTGGAAACAACACCCAATATGCCGAGAAACAATGTGATGTTTATAAAGCTAGGAATGAATCTTTAAAGCAACAATTGGTAATAAAAATACAATTAATTACACATAATTAGTATATTTATCTCTCTCTTTGTATATTCATATATATATATATGATTATTATAATTCACTAAGGCTAAAGAAGAAGAAGAAAAACAAAAACTGAAGGGTCAATTGATTAATTGTCAAACAGAGTTGATAAAGGTTAAAGAATATTACGACAATTATAAAAGAGAGGGAGAGTCTTCTATTACACTATTGACAACCAACCAAGACTATACGAAAGGTTTAGAAGAACAATTAAAAGACGCTAGAGTAAGCTGTAAATAATGATTAACTAACTCATTAACTGTAAACATTTTTTTTAAAAAAAAAAGAATCAAATTTTAACTTTACAAGAAGAACTAGAAAAAACTAAGCTAGAGTATGAATGTAAAATAAAACTAATTCAAGATGAACTAGATGCAATAAAGTAAGTTTACCAGTTCAAATAGAAACATATAATGTAATAAAAGAGTTAGATAATGTAATTATCCTCTATTGCGCAATAAATAATTCAAGATCTTTGACAGTAATATACTGTATATATACCTTTCTCTAATCAAAAGGGGGACAAGCGTTAATAAAATTGATGATTTGACGAAGGAGAATGAAAGATTATCTACTAATTTACAAGATACAAAACGTATTTTAAGTGATAAAATAGAAAAACTTAAAAATGTAAGATTAAATTATTCATTTCTATTTATTTTCCTCTTTTGTAATGTCTAATATCTTCCATCTCTTTTTTTTCTCTTTACTATTTTTAGCTACAAACTGAATTAGAAGACACTAAGTCTGCTTATGAACACAAGTCTAATGAATTAATTAAAAACCAATCAAAACTAAGACTAGAATTAGAAACGAGACAAGAACTTGAGGAAAGGTTAGTGTATTTCTTATAATACGGTACCGTATATTTTTAAATATTAAATAGATAATATACCTTCTATAGTTGTATTAAAAAGAAGTATAACAAAAAAAGATCTTAATAAATCACTCATTTAGTTGAATATATTAATAATTTAAATAAAAATAATAACAATAGGCTTAACAAGCGAGAAGAAATGATGAATGAACTCCTGACAAATTCAGAGAAGGATAAAACCCATATAATAGAAATCTCTAAGTTTGTATATGTGTGTTATAGGCCTTAATGTACAATTATTCACCAATGAATTTTAAATATTCATATTAGCTATATTATCACACTATATATAATTCAGCACAAGATACTTCACATATACTTTTTAATATATTTCACTATCCGCTTCCTTTCCAGTGCCAAGTTAAATTCGGTATTGAAAAGAGTTGAAGAAAGGGATAAAGAATTGGAAGTTCAAACCGAACATTATCAGGATATTGAGAAGAAAAATGTACAGAGTGAATATAAGATAGTGAACGAGTTCTCTACAAAGGTATATATTTTCAAGTATATTAATATATACACATATTAGTGTACACATGTCGACTGATAAAATAGTTAAAAGAGGCTGACGACCGTTTAAAGAGAGAGAAAATGTCACATTCCTTAACGAAACGACAATTAGAGATGGCTCACGAAGATTGCGAAATACTAAGAGAGCAATTAAGAATGAATAGAAGCAAATATAATCAACGAATTCTAAGTATGGCCAACTTCGATTCTGGTAAAAATAGATCGGAAAAAATTAATGAGATTATCGCGAGAAGTGAAGAAAAAGCCCAAAGACTTTTAGAAAGTGGAAAAGTATTCGACATTCCCTAAATGATAATAATAATAAAAATATTAATAATTAATAACAATAATAACAATAAACAATCAAAAATTTCAAGCGTCATCTGTGATAATAGGAAAATATGTAGATATTTTTTTTACTACAAATATACATGAATTAAATACAAAATATTGTTTTTTAATCAATTTTTATGTTATTTTAAGGTATGATCAAGTATTATTACATTGAAAAAATAGCATAAAAAATATCTAATTAGCAACAAAGATAATTTAAAAGGCAAAATGTTTATAAAAGCACAGCGGTCTAAGACACAATAGGATAAATTAGACAGAGAAGAAAGTATATAAATATGGACATATACACACATACAGTATATATATATATATATATACTGTATATTATATGGGAAAAAGAAAACAAACGAAAAGCTGTTCCATTATCAACTATTCTACGGGAAAAACTAAAGTGTGACACGATATTTCTCTCGTTTCTCTCTCTCTCTCTCTCTCAATCTTTTTCTCATCTCTTCTTCTGTCTTTAACTTTTTTGTATAATTCATCTTTTTCTTTTTCTCTCTGTCTGTCTATCGCTCGTTTTTTTTTCTTTTTTTTTTATTCTCTCTTGCTCCCCATCCATGCTTGTTTTCTCGGGAATTCAAGGAATTCGATAAAAGAATGTTGAATGTCAAGAGAATTAAAGACGAGAAGGATGAAAAATATACTATTTTTATATTTCGTCTTAGGAATATGTGCATTAATTATAAGTATAGTTATGGTTCATTTTGCAAGAAAAACCTGTTAAACGGAATTTTTAATATGTATAAATGTTTCTTTTCTATAGCCTACTTCTAATTTAATACATATTTGTAAAGTTTACTGATAATTAGTTATATGTTGAAAATCTGCTTTTACAGGTTGAAGCGGAGGAATATATTCTCCGTTTTGAACGTCGTTAGATGGCGTCCAAGGATCATTCATAACCATTCTAGTTTGATCTTTGTTCGCAATTTCAGGATCGAAGTGTGTGGGTTGGTGATTTTCTTTCATTTCCTCAGCTCTTTCATTGTCTTTCTTTTCCTTTACGCTATTCCACATACCATAACCAAAATAGATAGCAACACCTATAAATCAATTAGCTTAATTACTATCTTTAAATGAATATAATAAACCTTTTTATTTATATTGTTTATACTCAATAAAGACATTTTGTAAAGATATTCTTCTCTAACATTGAGAGAAAACTCATTAAAGTTTTATTGCACAATGTGTATAGTTAATCAATTTTTACTCTACTTTCAAATGTTATATATAGTTCATTAAACATAAAAATAGTCTTTTCTATAGACTAATTCCCCTAGTATTCTGAAGAGGAAGTTATCTTTTTATTTTCCTCAGAACAGCGGTAAAATATATATAAAAAAGAACAGCATTGACAAACAACCAGTTATTGATATGATCGATATGTCTGATAGCATTAATTAAATGTTATTTTATTACTTTCGGTTATAAAATTGGTTTTTATGATTGTTTTATTGTTTACTTACCAATTACTAGCCAAACACCCAATCTAGCCCAAGTTAAGGGGGGTAGTTTTAGCATTAGATATATATTAAAGAACATAGCTGCCGCAGGAAGAATAGGGACCATAGGAGCCATAAAATCTAATTTTCTCCTATTTGAAAAAAAAAACGGTATTACCTTTCTCAATTAGACGCTTTTGTAAATAAATTGGAGTTTCATGACCCCGTTATACTCACTTGTTTTGTGGTTGTTTCATTATAAGAACCAGAAAGATAATCATTGCAAAAATAAATATAATTAAAAGAATAACTAACATAGCCTGGCCGGATGCTAAACCGTCTGCCCCTAAGACAATTAGTAAGCACGCTGAAAACTGTAAAGTTTAATTAGCAATTAATGAAAATCATATAGATAAATAATGAAAAGTTATTATTAAAGCTCTCGCAATTAATTACCAACCTGTACAACACTTAAACAGCCGACGAGAAATATAACAGTCCTAGCTGTTTTTTCTGTAGCGACTGTTTCGTCGTCAGGAAAGCCAAACTGTAATAAAACATTCTTCGTTTTAGTCTCAAACCACACGACTCCATTCTGTAATTTTTCAGTGTCGAATGGTAACTTTTCTAAAATTGCTCCGTATGATTTGGGGGGCTCGATTTCGTCCAATAATCTTGAAGGTTGTTCTATCTCCGATGAAGCGTCACTAGCCGGCGTCACTGGCGGCGTCACTTCTCTAATTGGATCCAATCTCTTGATGACAGTCTTCGTCTTCTCCAGATCGTGAGCGTCCGGCTGATAGCGCAGAATTAATACAGAAACTGAAACTAGAGTGTAGGCAAGCAATGTCCCTATGGACATCATTTCCACCAACACTTGTAGGCCTACCAATAAACTTAAAAGAGAAGCTATAAATCCAGTTATTACAGTTGCCACCAAAGGTGTTCCAGTGTTTTTATTAACGACCGACAAGAAATTAAATAATAAACCATCACGAGCCATAGCATATATGACCCTAGGCATTGGAAACATCGAGCCTAGGAGAGAGACTGTCAAAGCCGCTATTGAACCAACAGCAACCACGTACTTTATACCGGGTGGAGCTCCTATCTGGTCCCAGACATCCATCAGGGCAGAATCGGTGTGAATTTCGTTATAAGGCAGCATCAAGGTTAAAACTATGCTAATAGCCGCGTAAACAGTTAAGCTGATGAGTAAGCTAGATATAATAGCTTTTGGGATGCTTTTACTAGCTTCTTTTGCTTCTTCTCCAGTTGTTGCAATGATATCGAAGCCGATGAACGCATAAAAGCAGGTAGCAGCACCGGAAAATACACCAGATGGTCCATAAGGGCTAAAATTACTCCAATTCTGCTTGTCAGCATGAACTAAACCTATGGGGCGAGATTCCGAAACTTCCTATTATTCTTTCAATCATATACAGGTAGCTTGTTTCACTCTTCCTAATATGAGAATAGACTCCCTTTTACTAGTAGAATAACTAACCACCCCTTATATTGTCTTATAAAATGGGAAATAGCTAATTTAATTAATTATTTGATTAACTAATTAACTTTATGCTATAGGAATAGACAATACGATAAAACAAATTATAAAATAAAGTCATAAAAAAAGCGGAAAAGTAAGATAATAGGTTTTTTTTATAGACGACGAGAATATTTTCTTACAAAAAAAGTATATCATTAATTCCGAATCACGTACTCACCTAGGCGATTAATTTACATCATCTGCTTCATTATAGTATGAATACAGTTTGCTTATTTTCGTAAACTTATCTTTGAGTGAAAGATCAATTTCTTTAACTTTTTAATTGATAAACTTTTCCTTAAATGATACTCGACTGTTTCTTTTTGCTCGTTAGTTTGAAATTATTGTATTATGCATGTGCTGTAAATACATCTCTATTCTATAAAAAAATGTGTAGCCTTCTCTTGTATTGTAAACAAAAGGACCCTTTTCATTAATTTATTATTCTTCCTATGCTATCTCGAGTTATTTCCTGCAACTTTTCCTGTTGTTGCTTGTAACTTTCTAATTCTTGCTCATTAGCTATATGTAAGAAAAATTGGTTGAGTGAGTAACTAGAGACAGTGAATGAAGAATCGGTATGGAAAATAAACTAGTTTAAGAAATGGACCGGAATATAGGCGATAGGAAAGACGAACAATGGACGGGGAATAGGAAATGATGATAAATATTCTAAACAGCCCTTCTATACAAGAAACAGGGGAAAAACAATGAAATTTTCAAAATAACACATATTTATCTTTCGTCTCTGTTGCGTGAAAGGCTACTTTGTTCTTAATCACGAACTCGTCTCTCTGTACAGCTACTACAGTTGCAGAGAAGGTGGCGTTGCTAATGGTAATAGCAAGATAACAGGAGTTGAAACTACATTGAACAATTAAAGTATAATAGGAATAAATCGGAGTTACGCCCCTGCTATAAAAATTATGACGCAAGATGCCAAATTAATTATGTTTAGTATGTTGTTGAAAAATAGTGATTTTTTAACACCAGCTGCCATTAAAGTCGTCATAACAATACCGATGGCGAAGCCAAGGAAATCCGGATACGTCTTTCCAATTACCGTACCAACGTTAGCCTCCAGACTCTCCGACATAGTGTGATTCCCTAACGAATCGAAGCAAGCCGACAAAGCGGATGCTCCTGCAGCAGTACCAATCATATATTCTAGAATCAGATTCCAACCTATTAGGAATGCAACGAATTCCCCAACGGTCACGTAGCTGTACATATAAGCAGAACCGGAAGTCTTTGGTACGCGGACGCCGAATTCCCCATAGCAGATGCCTGTAGAACGCCATTTTTTCCGTTTTTATTTATATTAGAATGATGGAATGAGAAAACTTGTCTTATAATTTATAGACGTTGACGTGATTTGCATTCGTTCTTGCTTATCTACTGTAATTATATAGCGTGTGAAGTATTTTATAAGGCGAGTAAAAAAATTTATTCGATGCCAACAATAGCATCACTTTCTTCCTCTCTCTCCTTTCTTTTTTACTCCTCATCTTCCCAGCTCTAATATTTCAATTATATCTTTCCTACAAATATTTAATTTACCCATACATACTATTCAAGTTAAGTTCTAAACTATAACGTTCATATATGAATCTTTAGAAAGAGAACCATATTTAGCCTTGCTGTTAAAAGTTAAATATTTTTTCATAGGTTTAACTAACGTTTAGTTTGAAAGACAAGAGACAAAGGAAATGATATTCATTCTCTCTTAGCTGTTTTTCCTCCCAGTCAGCTATTCTTATATTTTAAGAAAAACGGAAAAAATAGTAGATAGATAAAAATAGACCTATATCTATTTATATACATTTGCCATATAAATCTTAATCCCATACTGTATATATTACAAATTCTAATGAACATTTATTCGCTAAAACGAGTATCCTAACCTAATACTAATTGCTTGTAAGCTGTATTGATGTCAACATTAGTAGTTAAAATGTATTTAAAAGGTTTCTTTTATCTTAACGACGAAGGGAATAATAGCTGAGACAAAGACTTTATCATTGTAATTGCAATTATTATAAGTTCACATTAATATATCGATAGTATATATAAAAACTATATGCTCTAAATATAGTAGAAAAATTGATTAAATATACGTAAAACGACTAGCCTTCTATATCCACATTGATTCTATCGTTAAAGCGTTGACGATGCTTTTTGTTTCTTTTACGTGGAAAACAGGCAACTAATCCCTAATTTTTAGATGTTTTCTGTCTCTTTGTATTATATATATACTCTATGTATAAATGTCACATGCATAATATAGACTACAACATATGTTTTCTTTCTTTATATTTTAATTATTTTTCCTTATGCTTGCCTCTAAATCCTCTCTTGCATCATGCACTATTCTTTTTATATCTTTTACAATATCCTAATAATTTTTCGGGTTTCCTATCTATCTCCTTACTCTCTCTGTCTCTCTCTCTCTCTGTCTCTCGTCTGTCGCTCTCCATGTTTCTTTATTTCTTTTATTTTTTAGTATACTCTATTTCTTTTAATTTTATTTTTTTTTTTGGATGTTCTATAAATAACTTGGGATGATTTCAATTACGTGATAAGACTTTTTAACTTATTCAATTTGTAGAAGACAGATGTTAGAGAGCGTTAGATGGCGCTTACAAGGTCGTATTTCTTTAATTTTAGAAAATTAACTAAAGCATATATATATATATAAATTAGAATTTAAAATTTAGATATACAGTATATAGAGTATATTCATTATTTTAAAAAAAACAATTGATTATTTGATTTTACCAGAATTTCTTTTTTTTTCAGTATTCTTTTGTAATTTGTCCAAAATAATACGCAATTACAGACATTATATTGTATTTTACAGATCCAATGAAATCGAATAGGCCTACACTCATTCCCTAAAGTAAACTTTTAGAACACGACCGTCTACATAGAAATAATAGAACCTGCAAAATATCTCGTAAATACATTTTTTGACATGTTTGATATGAATATTTGTAAATTTGCATTCCACAATAGGCCTCTTAAAAAAATAGCTTCGCTTCACTTAGCTGTATATTTGATACGCTATTCCTCTCAATCGATGGAATTATATAACCTTATTCTAATGGAAAAGTGCAGTTGGTGCATTATATTAGATGTTCACAGCGTCCGGTGAAATAGTATACTTGTCCACATTTAAGCTTATTATTAATGCCTCTTTTTTTATAGCTACTTAATTGAAACCTTTCATATATTTTTATCCTTTTTCTTCTTCATTTTCCAAGTAACGAAAGAAAAAAAACAATACAAAAGTTCTCTTTTTATGTCACCTATATTATTTCTTGTATACAGAATATATACATATATATATATACACGATATACGACCTATAAAATATATACTTCAGAAGGACAAGCTTCATCAAATACAGCAGTAAATTAGTCCATATTGTAGTATGTACTTGTTTCTTTATAAAAATATATTTTAAGGGAAAATAGAGAGTAAATAAATTCATCTAAAACAAACAGTTTCGACATCAATTACACCTCCTGCTGTACAAGAGCATCAGGGGAAGAGAGAAGACAATTTTTTTTTCATTTCGTTTCTCTTATTCTCTTGTTCTCTTTATCTTTTTTTTTAAAAAAACAAATTTGTTACTTTTTATTCACTTTTCAATTTTTTATAATAATATATCTCTTTTTACTTCAATAATAGCGGTCACGTTGAAACTTTAGCCTTTTATAAATATATGTTTTGTTGAAATGGCATTAACACGCCATTAAGTTTATTATTTTGTCAGAAATAAATGAAATAAACGTAATTTCTATTTATTTATTTTATTCTCCTTTTTCTGACCCTTTTATTCCAGTTTCTTTTCTTTATAAATTGATAAAATGTTTAATTTTCTTCTTTTGTTTGATAGAGAAACAGATAATATAAAACAGATCAGGAGACATAGAGATATAATAAGGATGGGTAGATAAAAAAAATTAGCGATGTGGAAAGAAAGACATAGAGAAGGACACGAAGAGAAAGAGAGAGGGAAGGAACGAAGAAAAGACAGTGAAAGGGAATCAATAGGAGGATTAATTAGGTAGTTAAGTTATTTTGCAATTTATGGAAAGTGAATAGTTGCCTTTGGGGAAATCTACACGTTATACGTCAAAATGTTTAAGAATATGAGAGTTGATTACGCTATATTTTCTTTCATTCTCTCTGTACTAGTTTAGCTTGTTAAGTTACTGGTCACTTCCGTTTCTACTTATCTTTTTCCCTTTGTCTGTAGTCTTTCTTTTTCTATATATAAATACACAACCTACGATTAACTTATAGGAAAAAATCAATTACGTACATATCAGGTTACACGTATCAGTGAGAACGATTGGGGAAACGCTACACTATTAGACGTCTTATTTACACAGCAGATGGAAACTGGAATAATCATTGACAGTTTCCCTGATATAAGCCTATAGAACAATACATACCCTCGAGTAATAATATATAATAGATGTGAAAAGTTGCCAATTATAAACAATCACGTTCGAAATAAAAACCCACATACAAGCGTCAATAAGTTATCAATAAAACGCTTTAGCGACGCCGCACCGTTTCCTCCCTCTCCTCTTTACTATTCGTAACTACGAACGTACAAAAACGTTCGGGTGCGTAAAAAAATTCTTTTTTATCAATATCATTGCGGACTATATATGCATTGCATCTATTGATTTATACCCTCAATTTTTTTTATGAAAACAATATTCATACATGTTTACGTTCTATTATATACTGTAAAAGCGTCTAAAATATCTACTTTCAATAAAATGCTATGGCTAGTAATTACTAATTAGTACGATTAATCGCGGATACGAGGACAAGGATGATAGCAAGTTTTCTGTGGACGTAAAAAACTAATCACTGTACAGATCACGTGATTCACTCCAGTTCTCTAGTTCTTGTAAAACACGTACAATATATATTCGGATGTCAATTGAGGGTTAAATTTGCTATTGACTTAAATAGTCAATAATAACAGAATTATATAATTATAGGCCTTATTTCTGCTAGTATTATTAAAACTTAGTTATAATAAACATTAAATATCGATAGAAGTTAGATAATAATAGGAAATAGATTGTTGACTTTCATAAATAAAACATTAGCCTATTATAGATACAATTCATTCTCTTATATTTTTTCCCTTTCATACTTTTCTCTTTTTATTAATTCGGATCGTTTATTGGATTCTTTTATTTTGGTTCCTTTTTTTTATTAAAAAAAGTCCAGCATTAATAAAAAAAATAATGTTCAATTAAAGTGGAACCTTTGGAAAGATGATAAGCTCTTTTTCTTTTTTATCTTTTATTTTGTTTGGTTTTTTCCTTTCTTTCTCTCTTTTTTATTTAGACTAGATTTTATGTGTATTTTTAGTTTTAAAAAAAAACAACTTTTTCTTCCCTTAAAACAATCCCTCTTTTGGTCAACTCAAAACTTTTTTCTATCCGTCTCTGCCTCTCTCCATCTCTATCTCTCACTCTGGCTTAATCTATCTATCTATCTATCTATTTATCTATCCTACCCCCCTCTCAGTTCTCCGCCTTCCTCTTATTCCTTCTTTTCTCTTACTTATTCTTTTCAGTTATTACTATGCTTCTAATAGTATGATTAATGAGAAGAAAGAAAAACATTGATTTGAAACAATTAATAAATGTCTATTACCCATCTTTTCCCTCCCTCTATATCATTGATTAGTTTTTGTTTTTAGCGTCAAATATAAAAGTCATCTCAGTCGATCATCTCCATTATACATAAAGTGCCGGTGACAATTGCAAAAAGACGTCTATATTACAACTAAGCGTCACCTGGTATAGTCATTTAATTTTTTTTCAACACTTACCCGAAAGGATTGACGCAAAAGCCGCGATGATAAATGAGAAAAGAACAGCAGGTCCCGCAACATTCCTCGCAACAAGACCAGCAACTATATAGACACCGGTACCGCAACAACTACCAACTCCCAATGAAATTAGGTCGAGCGTAGTTAGAACCCGGTTCAGTCCGCCGTCCCCATGAGCTGCGTCAGCATCCTCTGTCTGACTCTGAAAAGTTCTCAAAATTGCCATCTATAACGAAAAGTGACCAACCAAAAACTTTACCTGTATTGTTTTCGTCCTTACGAGACGTTTTTTAAATCTTCCAATATCCTCGCTCACTTCCATCTTACGACCATGTCGTCTGCTCAACTAGACGCATCGGTGTCTCCGGAAACGCCATCTGGTAGACGCCCCGCCTTATCAAAGCTATATATCGTCTTAATCGATCGACCAAACAATTTCGCCCGTTTTACTTCATATAAATCCTTAGGATTTACGACCAGTGGTGATTTATCGCACAAATACGGCGTTCCGCCTGACCTATTCATCTTTCCCTTAGCCTTTTCAATAGTTTTTTACAGTCCAAATATTGTTTCTACTTCTCATTTCTACTTTTCGTGACAAATTAATTCAATAGATAGTAGGGACGAAAGTGAAACATGCAACAGAAAATATCATAAACATAATTTCACTTTCTCTCTCTCATCTTGTTCTAAAGGAAAGCGAATTTTTATTCTTATTATCACTTTTATTATTAAGGTCGTCATCATAATCATCTTCTACTTCCTACTTCTCATTCCAAAGAGTCTTCAATGAGCGTAGGCGTCGTAAAAGAGTCTAATTTCGTGCTGCCCACCAAGTAAGGACGTATAAGGTGGGATAGAAGATATTCAGCCAGGCAATATATAATCTTGGTTTAATTACAATATTTATATAATATTGTATTATTAATCCCAGTTAATTATATACCAAAAAGAAGAATAAATTATTCTAAAGTAGTCTATTTTTGACTTAGTAGGAAACGATTACAAGCGTTCTATTGATATACAATGTACAAAGGAAAACTACATATGTTTGTACGATCAAATGTTATATTTCGTTTCGTTGACAATCGAATCGTTTACTTAGAAATCAAGTGAGTATTATTAAAAAACGTCACAAATTTAAATATTAATATATTAGTATATATTGATATATAGCATATTATATAAGTATATACAGTATATACTGTACATATATACAATTGATATATATATACCTTTTTTAATAAATATAATTACACAGTATACTTAATAGTACTGCTTGCAATTAAATAATTATATCTATTTTTTATATTAACAATTTCATAATTTTAATAGAAAGACAACAACAATCAGTATCTTCAAAGCGTCTATATGCTTATCTTACATAAAACCCACGCCATCAGAGCGGAAGTTGTTGAGATTTAATCGAAATTGTATATTTTTTTGTCAACATAAACTCTAGTATCTTAGTTTAAAAGGAATGTATTAGAGGTTATAGGAATATTCAACACACTAGTAAAGACACACGTAATGTCTTTGTAAATTTATATTCAGAATATTCATATAATATATTATCTATATTTTTAGATTGATACAAATATTTATATATGCTTCATATATATATACAATTACACTTCATTATTATTTTAATGGCGATGTGACAACAGTAGGCGTCTTCAAACCTTCGAATTCGCTCCAAGCAAACGTTACAGGCATTGTAGGTGTACCTCTATTACTCGTTGAAGGAAAACAAAAACTTGGACCCAAATGGGGCACACTACCGCTTCTTGGGCTGGCTAAGTCAGTCCAAAAATTCACTGGATATAAAGGAGTTCCCAAACTCACTCTGGGTGAATGGCCCGGAGTTTTTTCTATACGTCCTGGTGTTGAAGATAACTTCATCTCGGGAGGTACTGCATTTGGATATATATGAATGGAAGGTGGTTTGTTCTTAGAGTTCCTCCTCTGGTTTATAGATGAAGTGTTTGAGTCTCTAATATCAACCTCCTTTTTTACTTCTTCCTGTTTAACGGAAGCGCTGGGTGTTACACTTGAGGCTCTCGGTGGTTGTGGTGTAAGACTTCGCCGTTTCTCAGGATCGGGCGTTAAGCTCCTAGGAGGACATAACAAGGGACTCAACACATTTGTCATTTGAATTAAATGACCAGTACCACCCATAAGTCGAAATTGATCTCTCATTGAGTTCAGTTGGGGCTGAATAATGTTATTCTTTTTCGGCTCTGTCGATAATAAATGGCTCATTCGAAAATCATTTGCTACTTCTCCCGTAGATGGAGCAGCTTCTGGAATAGGTTTTTGTCGAATTTTTTCACTTTCCATAAGTTCGTGATATTTCACAAATTTATATACAAATTTTTGACCCATAACTTTTTTAATAATATTCTTGTCATAATAATAACGTAGAGCCCTGGAAAGCTTGTCATAATTCATATTAACCTGCAAAATATATTAATATGATTAGTTAACTAATTCACTACTAATTACTTTATTCAAATTATTCAAATAGCTTATAAAATACAAACAGTTTAATTAATTTTCATTTTTCCGTTAATAGAGAGTGACAATTTTGTGTTCTATTTTCATATTATAAAGAGATGGCACTACTGTACATTAAATACTGTACTTTGGTAATGTATTTCTATTTTTCAATATTACATACGTAGTTTTGAAAATAAGGTGAAAACCTAGTGACGAAAGAAGATATTTCTGCCATTCGCTAAAGTGTTAATATAAGGACAAAATAGCTTTCTTATTTTATTTACTAGGCCAAATCTATGTGGTTTTTCTTTAATATTTAAGTTAGAAACAACATTCATTGGCGTTTTGTGTACTTTAATATATGTAGTATCTAATATATATATATATATATATATGCCATATACTTCTATTAATATATATCTATATATCAATTACAGATAGATTTCTATATTTTAACTGAAGTATCATCCATACTTAATATCTATGACAAATATTATTCTTTGTTATAAGAGGACGTTAACAAAGTAGATTTGTTCAATAGATTATTTACTAACCTTATTCTTTCGCATACCCCATAATTTTGCTACCTTCTCTGCATCCACAAGCTTAAACTCTCCATCGTTATTTACCCACTGTATTAAATCTTTATGCGTTCCATTCCTCAGCAATTCAAACAAAAATTGCCATAAAGTAATATTGGAATCCATAGTGCCTATTGGACAATTGATACTTGTTAAAACATACGATTCGTATGAAGATAATCGACGACCCGAAAGTAAATCACTATTAAATAGTCTATTAAAAGCCGGATAAAATAAATTCAGATTCGAAAGCATATCCACTACGAATGAATCTGATTTACACGTTTAAGGATATATTTCAGTAGGATGTTAATTATGCGAGACGCTCGACCAATCAACACTTTGCATTATGAATCCAATTATAAATTATTTCAGTTGGAAAATTTCATTAAGATTGTACAAAAGAAAAAGAGGATAATTATTCATAAGTTAATTAACGCCTAAGTTTGTAATCTGACTAAGTATTTAACAAATAGAACTGTAGTCATTTTTTCCTGGATATACTGAGATCGAAATTGAGCTAAAGCATTCCCTAGTCTCTGCAAGAGGCTATCGCTGATCATTATAAAAAGTATTTTTCTCTTCATTAGTTTTATTAAACGGAAGAATCAAAGTATTTAAGACAATCTTTCGCCGGATGTAAAGCACATTGGAATTTATCTAAAAACCGATTTAAGAAAAAATACTAACATAAAAAGATACTTCACATTTTTCAATAAATATTCTATTTGATAAATTAAAAAAAAGACCATATAGAATATCACCGAAGGAAAAAAATAAAAATCTATTTAATAGTAATTCTATTATTAGAAGTACCATAATCGTATACACGTCTTTAGATCTCTCCAAAATTCCGATACGGTATTTAAAATAGGCTTATAACAATTCTAACACAAAACCCTACAGAAAAAGTGAATTCTTTGGACCAAAGTAACAAAAAAAGAGAATTCTAAAAGATTAAGAATGTTTCTTAAATATTGAATAGAAAATTATCATCATTAACAATAGAAGCTTTTTCTTTAAAAAAAATCTGTAATTGATTTATAATTAAACTTTAAAGTTGAAATATTCTAATAAAACAAAAATTGTTCAATACAGTCTATTGATTTTTTTAATAAAATTAGTCAAGTTTTTAATATTTATGATTAAATCCTTAATGATGCTGGTAGCGGCACATTTACGACAATTAATTTTACTATATTCATCGATGCATACTATTTAACTGCTATTCCTCTTTTTTGTTTATGCTTTGGCTTAAACGTATCTGAATAAAGTATTCTCTCTATAAGAAGGGGTGGTTAAGAGGGCGGGAAGGAATATTAGAATTTTTTTCTTCTCTCTCTTTTTTAGATGCAAAATGCCATTATACACATATGTGCACAAATACACTCATATTTACAGAATACATTTAGAGAAACAACTATTAGAAAAAGTGATACAATAGACCTTGAAGAACGTAGCAGGAAGAAATGAGATGAAACGGAAAGAACTTGACAGGCAGCATCGAACGGAAAATGGTCATCAGGAAATGGAGTAGCGCCGGAAATCAGTTTCTTAGATTTGATCTTTGATATTATATGTAAATACTTTTACGTTCTAGTGTTTACCTTGGCCAGGTGGCCCTTCCTTTTTTTTTCCAACCAAAAATGAAAAAAATATTTCTACACTTCCTAGACACATTAAATTAACGATAGACGGCGCTGTCACTTAGGCAAATTAAATTGAGAGATAAGCCTTTTCTCTTTCCGTTACGCAAATCTTGTCCCACTAATAACATTTACTTAATTATAGTAACAATCTTTAGAGAAAAGTTTTACACTACAGCCTGTTGCTAATTAGCGACTTAGCGACTAAATAGTCTTTCTCCATTTTTATCTATATATAAATAAGTACTGAACCATATTTACAGTATCTCATAAAACAGGTCTATTGAGATAAAATTACGTTTATTAAGATAACTTTAATACTTAATAAGTTACTTACTTTATTCATAACATTTTACGTATGTGCTAATTGTTAGTGGTTTGTTTTCAAACAGTATACTTCAATGTCAGCTAAATATATTACAAAGGCGTATTCATTGACTGAAAAATTTATCCAGCTTCGGCCTGCGCAATTCTTCAATGAAATCAATAGTTAATATGTATAGCATAATGATAAAGGCCTATTTTGAAGATTACGTTCAAAGCCGATAGATGGCGTAAATTTATTTAAAAAATAAACTGTTTAATATACTCTAGCATTTGCTCTTTTTGATCAGCTAGTTCCACATTATCTTTAAACGCAGACAAACAACACCCAATCCATAATGATTTTCCGAGATCTTCTATCTTTTTATCATTTTCTTTTACACCTTCCTTTAAGCAGTAACCCTCAAGAACTGATTTAAATTTAAATCTGATTTGATCTGTTAATGGTTTTAAAAAGCTAGGCACGTCAAATTCCATATGTTTGGAAACGATTGTCGGTCCATGAACAGCTAAAGGCTGCTGAACGCCATACGCTAAAGTATCAGCAATCTCGATATATTCAGTTACTATTAAAATAAAAGGCACAAATTAGACATTATTATCATTCTTATTTATATAAATATGTAGACAAACCTGGTATAGCAACGTGAGATCCTTCTTTGTCACCTATATTAACGTGAAAAGTCTTTTCTTCGACGTTTTTGACATTATCTAACAAATCCTCGGAAGTGAGCTTTAAGACAGGAAGTTCCTCCTCTTTCTCCTTCTCAGCATATGATGGTTCAGGTATAATAGCTTGAGGAAAAACCGGAGGCACATACGCAGGGACATGACCAGCCGCAGGAGCAATTTGAATAGGTACAACAGCCGGTATTGGATTAAATACTGGATGGTAGTTTGTCTGACTTTTTGGTTGACCATAAGGTATATAGGATTGACCTAAACCTTGTGAATCATGATGGCTTGGAGCTGAAAAATAGATATAGAAGTAAAAATTATAAAAACAATTAAATTTTAACTTCTAATTAATTCAAAAGTTTTGAAAAATAAATAAAGCCTACTGTTCATTCTATATCTTATTATGTAAATATTATTTCACTTAAGCCATTTCACTCTCATTTATTGTTTACCATTTAATTCATTCTTAATTTGCATTCCATGTTGAACTTATTCTACCCCATGAAAATAAATAGATTTACTATTGCTTGTCTCCTATTGGTTACTTTTATATTCATTTGAAATGTTAGAATTGTCCATTGTTTTATTTATGCTTAACAGATTTTAAAATATTAATTAATCAATTATAATGTTTTCTTATGTTTAGTGCAATATCAGCAAGATTTACTGTAGAATAGTTGCATCTGCTGATCGATTACTCACCTGTGGCATAAAACATAGAAGGAGGTACTGGACAGAATATTGGTGGAAATGCTTGTCCTACATTTAGGTAGGGAGGAAGACGAACGGCTTCCTGTACTCCTTTAATCTTCAATTTTTCCAGTTTGTCCCTAGCTTCGAGTATCTTTTGCTGTGTTTGCTTCAAAGAGTGAGAAGGTCCAGTCGTAAATGCAGAACTTTTGGTGTTGTTTTCCATTTTTAACCTCTTGTTAGATGCACTGCTCTCGAAACCGCAAGAATTAATAATTTGTATTACTTTACAGCTTAAATTTAAATTGAATAGATATATAGTTCCTCTATATTTCCGAAATTTTATTGATTTACCAGAGTGTCTATTTTCTCCTGCTAAATATGGATTGTAATTTAAATTTTTCTCCACTGTCTTCGTTTAGACGCGGAATTACAACCAGTTTTTTCTCAGTTCTAGTTTGTAATCCAGGTAGCGCTGGTTAAAAATCAGTCGTCGAGTAAACGTAGCATTTCGTAACACCTAAAAGGTCTATAAAATACCAGGATTTCTTCAATCTTTTCTATCTAAGCTATATTAACGTAGATTCACGTCAAGTAGTTTAGCTTCTATAACAAGTGTCTATTTAGGTAACTTATCGAAATATTTTCGAGCAGATCTTTTAATTAGTATTCATACAAATTTTCTTTATTTAAAAACAATTTAAACTTTTCTCTTTAAATAGCAGAATGCCCGCAAAAGAAACCCCTCTCTTTGGTGGCTATATGAGCACTATCCTACCACAAAATTTGACTGATGCAAGGTATACTACTACTTTAAAATGAGGGAACCATAATTTAATGTTTTATCTCGTACAATAAAGTAATATAAGGCAAATCCCTGATAACCAAGAAGTTTTTCTGAGTCAAAACGATCAAAGTTTCATAATTGAACTTATGGAATACGTTGACAAGAGTGACGAAGATGCTATAAGGTATTCTATAGTAAAATATGTTAAAACTCGAATGAAAGAGTAAGCAAAATTTCTTATTCAGGACTCACTTTGAGGATTTAAGCGAAGCCAATGATGCAAATAATCCAGAAAATTCGAAAATTAATTCAATAGAGAAGATTGAAAATTCTAAGCATTCATTGAATGGGTAAATGATTTTATGAACTTGGGAACGGTTCCTATCTACATAATATTTTTCGTATCAGGTGCGAATCTGCTTACTACGTCTATGGCACTCAGATGGTATCAAAGTTTAAAGAACAAGCTAGAAATAGAGTCGATTTACATTTGGTTTTATTTCGTCTACCACAATACCTAACAGATATATTAGTAACCTTCAACAATCCAGTAATAGTCGATACTCAAAGTAGCAGTTTTGATCAAGCAACTGCAGTTTCCACAGCACTGACAAAAGAAGATTTTGAAAAGATTACAACAAATTTAAAATTATTAGATCCTGCCCTTTTTGGATAATCAATTGTATAAAAGAAGCAAATTAATAAATCCTACAAGTATAAAGTCATTTTATTCATTAGAAAAGCATTAATAGTCCATAAACAGTGCAAAATAGTAATAATAAAAGATATAAACATATACATAGAAACATACATTATAGCGTCTACAACTTTCTTAAATAATTCAACTTTCGTCCTTCTTTCATTAAAAATGAGAAACAAAAAGGAGACATTTTAGTTCTTGTGGAAAAATAATGAAAAACAATTAAAAGTGATATGATTTTGGTACTTCGGCGACTAAAACTTCTTTTATATTTAAAGAGTTTTAGTACATCATTGTAATTAAACAATTTTAATTCTAATCTAATTGCATATACAGTATAAATAATATATATACTCTCTTAGGAAAGATCAGCAAAATTCAAGTTATTTCTAACCAGATAGATACAATATTAATAATCGTATAAAAAATTATTTGTTTTTTTTTTAATTATTCCCTTGCTAAAGATTTATTTAGAGAGATTAACACTGAGAGTTAAGGTTTGACAAAAAATCCTTTTGCTTTGAAACTATGTCAGCTTATAAAATACAGTAAAAGGAGATAAGAAATATAAACATGCACACATAGATTTTCGCTTTTACTATGTTTTGTAACTACTTGCTTAAAGCTTTGTATCAGCTAACTTTTTATTCTCGAATGGTACAACCCACCCACTATCTTGAACTCCGTTTGAAGAATTTGGATCAATTTCTCCCTCGGTTATTATTGTATCTGATACTGGATTTCCATATGATTTCGGTCGCGTTTGATAATCATTTGGAACTGAGTGCATCTTTTTTGCGGAATAATAGCCTTTTTGTCTACACTTAATACAAACAAATGACACAATAATAGCCGTTAAACAGACTGTAACAAGAATAGCAATTGTGAAGAACAATATTATATTCTTCTCCCAAAGACTCTTCTCTTTTATTTCAAGTAATAACTCAAGGGATACTTCCGGTCGAAGATCGTTCTACATAAAAAGTTATTTCTGTTAGTATTTGTTGGATAAGTTTAGGCGCGTTCTATAACTACGTCTATTTCCTGATATAGTGTTAGATTACTCTTAAGAAATATTATATCCTATATCATAATGAAAAACTAACCAATGTCACACATTCGGAGACGTTTTTAGTCCAGTCCCTTAATCTATCATTTTTATCGAACTCTGCTCCTTTAAGGTAATCTAATATGTAGGTATAACAAAAATTATCATTTTTATATTTACCTGAGCAACTAATTTGCATAATTTTTTCATCTACGGTTGAATAGGCTTCCAAACGTTTACAAGATTTACTTATGGACTTGGTAGTTTTGCATTCCTATAAATTTTAAAGTTTCGTATAAATACTTGATCTTTACACTTGAAACTTTTTCTTAATTTTATAGAGAAAAAAGATTCACCTTTAAGCACGTTTTGTCTAATCGACATCGTAAGATGTCAAGAAAATTTGTACGCTCTTCTCGACTAATCGGACGATGAAATTTCAAAGTAACAGCTAAATGGGGTTTCTTTGTTCTCTTTCTCTGCATTGATATAGTTAATTATTGATTTTAAATTGCCATTTTCTATCTTTACTCACATAAATACAAACTGCCGAATCATTATACGGATTGTCACTCAAATTTGTTAAAACGTGAATAAAACTATCATTACATTTCTGAAACTTAACATCAGCCAAACGCCAACTTTTTAACATAGCTTGATAATTCGGAGAAGGGGAACCAATTGAATCTGAAGTTTCTGTTGCTCGCCGAACTATCACTTTTTCTTCATCACAGGTCTAGATATAAAGAATACAATTGGATAAAAATATGCAAATATCTATAAATAGTAATAATATTAACCCCTTCATCAATATTTTCTACGAATAATCTCTCATTACTAGCAAAAGTAAATGTTTGTAGCTTGATTAAATCGACCCATTTATTGTTTTTCATAGGTAATACTTTAACTTTTATCAAACCTCCAGGACAATCTAAATTCAAAATGAATTAATTAAAAATATACTTGAAATATTTAAAACAAAAAAATAAGTTTTTCTTACCAAATATTTGAAAAGGAATGTTCATAGAAGTGGAACTAATTGTTGATTCAATCTTAGGCGTGTCTAATTAAAAAGTCAACAAATAAATAATAGAAAAAAATTCTATGTAAATGAATTATTGACGTAAAATCTAATTTCTGACGGTATTCAATTACTGGGAAAAAGTTCGGTTACTGATAAGAACATGTTAAAACTATTCCCGCCTTTTTTAAATGTATAGTAATATATAGAATGTACTGTACAAGTTCGGTATCAAAAAAGCGGATATCATCGTTTCAAAGTTGCATAATCGGTAGAAAATCCAAATACACAAATAAAGAAAAGTAAAGAGAAAAGATAAAACTTCATTCATTTTGCCGTTCTTCTTCTTTATCTCGGTAGTAAAAAAGTCACAATACACCTATACATTCAAATAAGGGTTTGAAAACCGTAATAAATCAAGTATCGTAAGTTAACTAGTTAAGTAACTGCCTTATAGATATCTCTGTCAAAGGTTATTAGATTATCTTAGGATTTCAATAAAGATAGCTTTCTAATTAATAGATATGTTTCTTTCTTAATAAGAGAATTATAGTTAAACAATTTAGTTTTACTGTAAAATAATCTGCTTTATAAAAACCTTTGATGGCTTGCGTTTTTAGAGAGAAAAAAAGCAACTGTGCAAAAGATAATCGAACCTGTCGTCGCTTTTGTACTAGGTCTATTTGTTCGTGAAGTTTCGTCTACTTTTTCGATAGTTACTTTGCTCGTAGTTGTAAATTCTTTTATAGGAGAGGGGGATTGAGAAGATGTAGAGGTGATAGGTGATATGGTTCTTTTATTGATATTGATAGTTTCAATCATATTGGTAGTACTTTCAATCAGATTGGTAGTAGTTTCAATCATATTTGTAGTAGTTTCAACCATATTGGTAGTAGTTTCAATCATATTGGTAGTTTCAATCATATTTGTAGTTTTAATCTTATTAGCTGTTTCAATGTTATTGGTAGTAGGTGAAGAAGGAAGTGATGTAGTTGTTAAATTACTAAGAGAAGAATTGGATTGAGTAGAGATGGAGTTTAGAGGATCATCGGTTATTGGGTAAGCTACCCCTAGTACAAATGCAAAAAGTATAAATACAGTATATTTAAAGTTTAAAAATAAAAGCATAGTTAATTAAGTTCTCACGTATGATTAAGATAAAGTTTAAGAAGAATAAAGTCCATTCCATCATCTTTGGCTGCTCTTCTCAGTCTGAACGGTAGTCGTGAAAACTGATTGGCCAATTACGTAATATAGTCAATACTATGCCTTATCTGACCGCCAACATTCGAGACTGACGGTCGCTCTCGGTTAAATTTATATGCAAAAACTACCGTAGCGACCAATATGGAGAGGAGAAAGAATTAGAGGAAAATGAGAGGGGGTCGAAAGAAACGGAAAAAATTTGTTTTTTTGTTTCATAACGCCCCCTATCTTTCCTCACCAAGCTCTGAAGATCTAATGCTTTTACGAGACGATAAATAGCGATAAAAAGGGGGGAGAAAAGGTCGAACTCAGAAAATTTTGCCCTATTTGTGTCCCCCCCCCCTTTTTTTCTTTTCCTCTTTCTCCACACCTCTCTCTCTCTCTCTCTCTCTCGCTATTCTCTCTCTTTTTTTCTTTTCCTCTTTATATCCCTATGGCACATTTACCATCTAACTCTATTTATCGGGCTAATATTCATTGCTAAATTTATCATCCATCTCATTACATAACTAAAAAAGTTATCTTATTAAAAAGTCTATTATCTCAAATAAACTAAACATATCTTCCAAAATTTGCATATTTATCAAGAATAAATGAAAACTTATGGGAATAATTACATTTTAATAAATTTTAACTGTATAAAGAATAATTAAGGAAAAACTTCCAGACTGAAATGAAACCTATGAAAAAGAGATGAAAAAGAAGAGAGAAATGTAAAATCTGTAAGCAACGCGTGCTTTTCATCAAATGCTTAGTAAAGGGTATTGGGTTGAGGTTATAAACAGGGCAATATAATATTTGGATAAACTATCTTCATGGAGAATATATTAACAAGTACTACTTGTATCACATCAAAGATAATTTAGTATGCTGATATGCATATTGATATTTGGAAAAAAAAAAGTAACTATAAAAAAGAAATGATATACATAAGAAAGAGAAAGAAAAAGAAAAAGAGAAAAATGTTTCTTTTCTTCCTTTCTAAAAATAATCAAACTCCAACTTGGTAATTTGTTTTTTTACTTACTGTCTTTATATGTAATTTGCTTCCACTTAGCTGTCTTCCGCTTATAAATATAGAATAAGAATACTTTTGAGTAGATGGAAAAATTAGTTTCACGGTTTAAAATTTTTCAGTTAAAAGGACCGGAAGTATCGGATATTTACACTACGACCTTTAATGTTTACAAGCAAAATTGACGACCGCTGGTTTTTGGCGTCCATTTCTAATCAAAGTACATAAACTGAACTTGGTATGGTAAATGTTTAACACCAAAGTTACATAATGTTGACTAAGATGTTTTTCAATTAGGATTTGAGTAAAAAAAAAGAGAGAGAAACGTTAAAATAATTAGAGAGAGATTACGCAGATATAAATGTTTGTTAATTGCTTGCTATTTTGTTCTAACTACTTATATAGGCTTATCAAATTTAATTTAATACCAAATTGTAAATTAAGCTTTTTTAAATGTTTGTTTTCGTTGTGTTATAAAGAGTTCAGTATGGGATAGTTTTTTGAACATGTTTGGGATAATATTTACGATTTCAAAAGGTTCATATCTTTATACGAAAATAAAGTCGAATAAATTATAACCCGAAATATTTACACCATAACGGGATAAGGTCAGTTGGTCAATTTGTCAAATAGTTAAGCTGTAATCAAATCCGCTCTTGGGTAGGGGTATACATAAGGGAGAGAATAGAATTAACAACAACGCCATCTGTCTTTGAGAGAAAATTTGGTTTTTAGAACATGTATAGAGAAAAACAACAATCAAATTACTTAATAAAACGCTTTGTTTCTTGTATCAAAATTGGAAAAATGAACAAATACATAAAAGTAATAATTTTAAACAGTTTTATAGCATTTTCTTGCTTTCATTCATCATTTGTTCGTCATATTCATCGGCTGGAATTGGCTCGAGATCAACGAAGTGAGACAGATGAAATTTCGTTGCCTTAGGGAAATAAAAAACAGTGATAAGGTTTATTTTACTGGTAAACTAGTAAAAAAGAGAAAGAGAGAGGGAGAAAATAGCAGAGGCTTTGTTGAATTTTGCTTACTTGATATTTTACAAGCATCCTTATAGCTATAAAACCAGATATAACTTCGAATAAAACAAATGCTACATATATAGCATTCATAGCTCTTTCCATTGGAACGATAATTATTGCATCATTAAACAGAAGAAAAAGAAAAAGTGGAATAGTTAGCACCAGAGTTATCAACCAGAATCCAGCTAGTTCGGGAACCTTTAAGAACGTATAGGGTTAATGTTTAATAATTAGTCAAAGAAAACGTACTCTTTCTGAGAGGTTTCCACTAAAACCCAAGTATAGGCGAGTTATTTCAAGAGGAGTAAGAATTACAACTATTGATATGCTTATGATCTTGTACAATTGAGATAATTCACTAAACTGAAGAAAATAAAAAGACTTTAATAAAGTTCAAACATTTAATTAAATAAACTTGGAATAGATAATATACCTTTAACTCAATCAAAATAATTTCCGTGATAAGCCAAAGTGGAAAGAAAAATAAATTAAAATATATTGCCATCTGCAGGGGCAGATTTGACATATATTGTCCTGAAAAAGAAATTTACGAAATTAGGAATATAACGAAATTTTCCAACATTCCATTTTGACAGTATTAAAATATTATTAAATTATTGGAAAAAAATTAAAACTATTAACCGCCACTGAGAATCTCTCGATCAGGCTTTTGCTGAATTTCTTTAGCTTCAGGAAATATAACATTTGTAACTGTTGATACTACTCTCTTTACCGCCGCCATACCAACAGGGATCACGTGCGGTGTCACATGATCTGCTTGACTAAGTTAATGGCGGGTGAAAAATCACTTTCGAAAGGCTGAACTTGCTTAAATTAAACCTGCAGATTTGATAGGATCACTTACCGATATCATCTCTGAGAGTTATTTTACAAGTTACAGAAAAATTGTTAAGTCTTTGGAAAAGAACACTGCATTTTGTTCGTTTCTTTAGTAAGTCATTTTTTATACACAAAGTTTACTTGTTTTGTCTTTAATGGCGGTGATATTATCTTATTAGCTTTGCTAAAAATGGAAAATAAAGAGCGGAGACCATCTCGAGAAAGTTTAGCTATAATATCTGGAGTGAATCGTCAATCAAATAATCGTCTAAGTTATTTGAATCAGACATTATTAAATTTTAATCCAGATGCCAATTCGACCATTTTGAATCAGCCATGCTTAGACAATGACGAAAACATGAAGAAAGATAAGAAAAGAGGTAGATCTAGAGTATCTTTTTGTCCAAATCCTATGGTCAAAATAGTTGAAACGACGGGAAGTTTAGAAGACAAAATGGACATTGAATCTTACTCAAAAAGTCGTTTAGAAGCTACAACAAAACCGGTCATGACTGATAAGACAAACTTAAGTGTGATGTCAATGAGTTCCGATGTTGTTCCCGAATTGAGTACATGCACGTTTACCCAAGATAGTATGGACATTAGCTCATTTAGTGAGAAAACTATCGAGTCTAATCAGTTTCTCGAGATGATGAGAAAGAATAGCGACGCTGGATCATGTTTGTTAAGCCCCAATAAAACGAAATATACAAGAATGTCAATGGAATTAACTAGAACATCAGAAGAAAAACTAGAAAAAACATCAATTTTGGAAATTAAGAAAAGTAATCACTTTTTAAAAGAAATTGACCGTATGGAAAAAACTGTAGGAACTCAAAAGATGATATATGAAGCAATGAGTAAGAATATGAATAATGAGCAAAAACTAGATTTCATCTTGTTTTTTCCCAAACAGTTTGTCGTTTATTTGTTAACGTACTGATAAAGTCAGCAATTACTAAAGGAGACTTAGGTAAATAAACGGAAATATTATGATCATATATATTATTATAATTTCTTTTATACTCATACAGAACTGATAGAATCTTATAAAATTGATAAAAGATTCATTTCTTCATTTTTAAAAGTTAAACTACTTGAAAATCCATTTTTGATACTAGAATCAATAGAATGCGACGAACCTTACATATTTTGCATGAAATTATTAAATTCAACAATTGGATTGTTTATTAAATTAGATAAAAGTCCGGCAGATGAGGAAAATCTTCAATCGTGGAATTTCAGCAAACTACTCAAATGTAGTAGACATTTTTGTGACTTTGTAGGCGGGAAAAAAATTGAAAAAATTAAATTATGGCATTCGAATCCAGGTAAAAACAAATAAATATAACATTTCTATATTCATTATTAATTACAAATTATTTTTCAGATCTAATAAAAGACACTCGTGAAAAATCAAACTTTATGGCTATAGTCAAGAAATGCTATAGCATAGCCGAAAATCCACCAATTAAACAGGCTTATGATTTACCTAAAGTATATATATATATATATATATTTATGCAAATTAATCACTTCAAATTCATTTTCTGTCTTCGAATATTTCTAAAATATTGACATTTTCCCTGCACAGATGATAATAGAGCTAAGTACAGTCGTTGAACAAGGTAAAAGATTCAAATAAGAATTTGTTATGGAAATGTCTTTTTTAATAACAAAAAATCAAGAAAAAAATTGCAAAAACAAGAAACTTCAATAGGGAAAACTAATAAGAAAAATTGTTATTATGGTTTCTTCTATTTTTTTATATTTTCACTTGTAAAAAACATTATCTTTTTTTTACTTTGAAAGAGAAAATGGAAAATTTATCAACTATAGATAAAAATCATTCTATGCAAATTAAGAAGAAAACGGACTAATTCTATTCAAAATTTCAATTTGTTTTATATTTTTACACGATTAAATCTTTCTTATTCATTAATCATCAAATTTTTATTACTATTCAGTATCAACAATTTATAATAGTTTCTTTTTTTTAAGAAAAAATAAATTGATGACTATTTTTAAAAATAAAAGATAATCAATTGATGAAAATAGTGTTCAATAAGTTGCTTCTAGCATGTTTACGGTTCACTGTTCAGATCGTGAAGATAGCTGAAAGTTTTCATTTCTTTGCTATTAACGTTCCCTATTTCGATGGGTATTTTCAAAACTACATCTTTATGTAGTTTAGCTCTCTTAGCAGTCACATAAAGATTATATTTAACTTTTAGCAAAGAACATGCCAAATCCGATGTAGGTAAAAGATGTTCGTCGATTTCTGTATTAGAGAAAACCATTCGTAGTGTCCAATCGAAAACCGGCGATTCTCCTGAACTTATCGGACCAGAAGTTAATCGATCAGAGCAATGTTTAAAAGATTTTGTACACGAGAATTTGGACGCTCCCGTATTATATTTTCCACTTAATACAAGCATTGCTTCAATACATTCAATAGGCCCACTACTTCGATTGTCAACTTCCACATTCAAAGGAATATCTTCGCCAATCACATATCCTGATTTTGGAAGTTTAACTACCAACTGAATGAATCCGTCATTGAAAAGTCCAGTTTGTTGATATTTTTTATCCAATACAGGATTAAGGTTTTCCAGGTTAGCAGCAACGTCAGATTCCTTTTCAATCCATACTCCGAAGCATGATATCATGCTTCCTCGACTGAATAGATTTCCTTTGTCCATTGTAGCTTTAATTCTACAACCAGCATAGCCATAATTAACTTTACACGGGTTTAAGCAAGGAACTGAAGAAAATGTGCCATCCAAGGGAATATGAAATTCGAAAGGCCATTCGTATTCTCCAGGTCTAAAAGAATCACCAGCCGAAGGATTCTTTGACTTAATATCCGAAAAGTTACCCCCTTTGTTCCACAAGACCATCTTACTATCAACATACTTATCTTCAGCTACAGAGTCATAGTATCCTCTGCCAGTGTGTATTCTATAACGAGTGAATGCTCCCCCAGTGAATGCAACATTGATATTTTCCAAATCGAATGGTTTAGTTGTTTTTAAGCGCAGTTTACCTCTAACAGTCTCACCTGGATAATAAACTGGTAGAACGCAGTAAGGAATATCACTCTGATCGTCACTTCCAGTGTTTGTTAATTCTTGGAAAAATGACTTTTTCATCAAACCATATTCTTTTTCGTCATCAGCATCTTCGTTAGACTCTACATCACCTTTAGGTCCTTTTTTCTCAAGCCATCTTCCATGATTAATGAAATGATACATTAAACTTATTTGTGCGACTTCTTTAGAATTTTTCTCTCTAATGTTTGAATATCCTTCGAATTTCCATTTTCCGTTCTCTTTGCGAACCTTCTTTTGCTAAGTTAGGTAGAAAATAACGATAAAAAATTATTGTTTACGCTGAAAAGGTAGAGTAAATATTATACCAAGAGATAATCATAGAGAACAGTTCGGTCACTTAAATCCACATCTATATAGTAGTAGTCGATACCATCAATACTTTCCTCCTTTTTATCAGTTGGTAAAGCAAAATTATTTCCCATTTTTCCAAATTTTTTCTATTTTGAACGGTCACTGCAGAAAAGTCTGTCTGCTAATGTAGTGGAGAATGAGAATAACAAATGTTGTGTGTCTTTATATAGTCTTGCCTGATCAATATTATTTTTTAATATGACTCTGAGTCAGAAAGCTGATACAGTCAACATAGATCCACTATATAATCGTTTAATAAAACAGTTATGATCCGACTTGTTTACCTATTCATAGCGTTATCAATCTTTGTAAGCATTGATAAATAAATTTCAAACATATATTTTATCAAAAGATCTTATAATCAAAACTTACATTGTTCATATAAAAATTAGGAATTTTTTATGATTCAACAATTCCCAATGAGATTAACAACAGTGTATGAAAAGTCCATTTTTTCGTATATCACACAAAGTAGGCAATTTATTTATAATATAATTATTTATAATTAATTTATATATATTAGTAATATATTCAAGAAAAGAGGCTATTATAAATTGTATATGTTTTTTAAACAATAAATATAAAAGTAATTAAAACCGAGGTTATATCTTTTCTATTTATTTTACATGGCAGTCAAAGATTTGAACCAAGTCTATACTGTTTAGACTATCATTATCAAATGCCAGTTAAGTTTATGTTTTGTTGAAAAGACTTTAGAAGCTCTAGCATTTTTCAAAAATATCTTGGATAAAGAAGCGTTAGATTCACCCTGTGCGGGATACTGTTCTGAAAATTTTGGATAAATATGCTTTTTTTCATTATGAACACGGTTATAGGTTGATTCGTAAAATATACAAATTTAGATAATATTATTGCTGATTTGGTTCTTGTTCAAGTTTGTTTTGCGTTTTTAACTAATTGTCACTATAACAAGTCACCAGAAACCATATGTCACTCTATATTTTGCAATGAAATACGTGTTAAAGTAACTGAAACATAATTAATCTAGATAAATATGTCTTTGGGATAGTTTTTCTAAATAAAAGACAAAGCGAAATTGCTTTCCACTTAAAAGTCTGTTTTTATATTATTTATTAAAGTAGAAATAATAGAATCATTTCTTTCCTTCGACCATTATAATATGATAACCGAATTTTGTTTTAACAGGAGGGTCTGTATACACAGGATTATTCAAATTACTTATGGGGAGAGCAAAAGCGGCATCTTGAAAAGGTCCTACCATTCCACCTCTTATCATCCATCCCAAATCTCCACCACTTCTTGCTTTATCTTCACTATATGTAGCAGCAACTTCATTAAATTTCATTCCACTTTTAAGCTTTTCCATAGCTTCCAACACCTTCGACTGTTTCTCACAGAGAATATGGCGAACTTTAACAGAGTTTCCGCCTTTCTTCTCCTTACCACCGCTGGCTTCACCTCCAGATGCACCTTTAGCTCCCTTAGAATCTCCTTTACCTTTCTTAGGCATAATTTTACCTAATTTTTTCAAACTGATTGCAAATTTCCAAAAAATTACACAATTTTGAGCGGCTTTAGGCTTGTCGGGTATACCTAAAGTATGCAACTAGTCGTCCTATGTTGTGAAGAAGACTATCATAAATATAATTTTAACATAGAATTTTAACTATAAATCATGTATAAATATCATATGGTAAGAAAAGTGTTAAAGATAGAATTATTATCCCAGTGAAATCACAGATTACAATAAGAGAGAAAAATTTAAAATATAATTTTCCTCAGAGAATAGTTCTATCAATTTTCCTCGTGCAAATAAGCGAATAGTTTTTCTTCACAGCTATTAAAATTGCCAAGAATAATTGGTATTTTAAGCTCCACATCCTTCTGAGTAGCTTTTCTTTTTATCAGGACTATAACTTCATACTTTATCTTTATAAGATTATGGCATAAATTGGATAATGGCAACAGATGATCATCGATAGAGCTATTTGAAAAGGACATTTTGAGGATCCAATTAAACTTAGGAGATTCTCCAGATGCAATAGAACCAAACACTATAGGATCGGACTCTAATTTAACAGGACATTCCACGCAAATTGCTGAGGTATCTGTTCGAAATTTTCCACTTAATCGTACCTTAGCGATTACGCCTTGAATAGTTTCTCCACTTTTATTATCAATTTCAATGTTGATTGGTATACTCTCTCCCGCAACATATCCTCTTTTGGGAATACTTGCTTCAACATCAATAAATCCATCATTTAAAATTCCAGTTTTTTGATTCTTCTTCTCGGAAACTTTCAACAAATTTTCTTTGTCGGTAGCTACATCGAAATCTTTTGTTAGCCATATTCCCTGATGAGTTGCTATATTTCCACGACCACAGCAATTCCCTTTATTCAAACTAGCTTTAACAAAATAATGTATAAAGAAAAATGATTCATTTGTATCGGATAGATGAGGAATGGATGGCTGTATATTGGTTCCACTCAGTTTAAAAGAAAAAGGCCATTCATAATCACCTGCTGCTAGACACTTGCTTGAATTAATCCCTGGACTCTTTTCATTCATATTCGTAAAAGTTTCATCCTTTTTATTCCAAAGTTCTTTTGAAATGTCTAATAAAACATCCTTCCTCGCAATGTCGAAAGACATAGCTTCTAAAGAAATTGTGTCAGCTATTTCTGCGGATCCATACAACTGAACTTGTAAAGTTTCTAGATCAATATTCTTATTTGTTTTTAGGTAAACTTTTCCAGAAATGACTTCTCCTTCCTTATAAATTGGAATAACTCCAAATGGTGCACATCCAGAAGCCGTATTAAGTTGAATATTCTTAAACATGTCATCGTATCCCTCCTCGTCGCATCCTTTTGGTAATAAACACTCTTTTCGTTTTGAAGTCGATGATTGGAGACGTTCTGACGACGATTTTTTCTTTTCACCAGTCTGTTCACCAGTCTTAGGTACTCTCTTTTCAAATGTATCAAGGCTGTTCAAGCCAGCATGGATCAGAGCTATTTGCAGTTTCTTCTTTAAATTCTTATGAGGTATCACCTTATAATCGTTAAATTCCCATTTTCCATTCAAATCTTTACATAATTTTTTCTCCTAGAAATTAAGATTTATATTCTAAAATTTATTGTCCAAATATTAATATCTTACCAATAAATAATCATAAACAACTCTCCTATCACTTAGGTCTAAATCGATAAAGAAATGATCGATTCCTTCAACTTTTGATATTTTCTTATCCGTTGGCAGGGACACATTATTACCCATTTTTTATAACCAGATCTGTAAAACAAATTTGCAGGTCCAATAAGGTAATTTACAGTATATTGATGGAGCTGTATTCAAAAATTAAAGCGTTTTTCTGAAATTTAATAGCACAATAGAAAAATTATTTTTGATTCGTTAAGTTAATAGAATGTTAACATTCTTTTAAACGATAGTGTGCTCAAAATCACCGAAAATTCAATGCAATTAAGAATGCTCTTACAATCAATCATTTAACTATAATAGAAATCAGCGCCATCTAGTATTCATATTATGTTAAAACAGCCAAGTATAAACTATAAGAAAATCAATATTCAAATCAACCAAGAGAATAGCCATTTGTCTAAATACTAATTAAACTATAAAGAGATGTATTAGCATAATTCCAGAAATAACATTTCCTTTAGTTTTGGCAAAATATACAACATACAATAACACAATGTTTGTAATCAATACGAAACTTTTCGAGATTTCTATGTGACCCTCCTCCTCCTTTATTAAAATAGATTTATTCTTAAATTCTATTTACATATATCTGAACAAAAATTTCATTGATTTTTAAAAAAAGACCTCTATATTCGATTATTTTTAATTTAAGAAGCCTGAAAACTTATGTGTATGAAATTAATGGCTGCGAATAATTCCAAAAGGCATTTTATTTGGATTGATAGTAATTGATTTTATGTGATATAATGATTAAAAAAGTATTTGGCATTTTAAAGGTATTTTAAAACAAATTACATTAGACGGTGATAGTAATCAGTTTAGCTAGAGATACATAGTTTTTCTTCCTGGAAATGGGCTCTTAATCTTTAAGTTTAAGTTGATTTATGTTAAAAAAAAGACCCCTTGAAAACCAAGTTTTCTTTTCTTTTCTAAACATTATAACTTGTCTTTGATCTTCAGTTTCGAAATTAAAATTGCTTATATGAAGAATTTAATAAAGCTTTTCAATAGCCAGATTAATCAATAAATTAGTTTAGGTAATATTATTCGATCGGTTAGAAATATAAACATAATGTGAATATGTTTTACTGTTGATTTCAATTTGTATTGAAAAATATAAAATGAGGTTTACTTGAAAAAGAGCTACTCAATGGAAAAAATGATTTATTAAATATAAAAAAATATTAATGTGTTTTCAGTTAGATAAATTAACCCGAGTTTACTGCTTTATCGAATTTGTTTCATTAGATTGAGTTGGTTTGGTCTGACATATATAATACTTAATTTAGCTATAACGATAAAACCGGTATCCACCGTAGTAGTAAATTTTACCGGTTACCGGATGTAGTCGGCTTCCATATTCTAGTAAAGGAGCGTTGTTTGTTTAACTTGACATTTTAACGAAATGGAAAATGAAGAAGAGATTTTATTAGCTTTGGATGGTAAGACTTTTAGGTTACTCAATTACCGTGATATTTATGTATGGATTTCTCATAATTTTTAGAATTCAATCAGTATCCAAACGCTCAAATTTCGCCTCTCCTAGAAGAATATTTGAAATATATCGCCAGGAGTGGTTGTACTATGTACGTATTTTCGATCTTGATATAAATATGAAACATATTTTGAAAGTCTTTACTAATTCAGATTTTCTTGGAAAAAATTGAAGTGTCTGTTTGTCAGAAAGCTAACTGACGTCATTGTGGACTTTCATAATGAATCGCCCACGGATCATATGCGTTCGTACCCAAACGTAGAAAATGTGAATTTTGAAGAAATGAAAAGTCGAATATTAGACGCTATAGAACAATTTAACGGGTAAAGCAAAGGATAATTTCTTTGTAATCACCTCTAATGTCTAATAAATTTGTTAAAAGGATTCCTTTTACCATACAACGTTTATGTGAACTAATAACGTGTCCAAAGAAGCACTATAAAGCAAGCGATAAATTTTTACGCGGTCTGGAGAAGGTAGGTACCTTGAATCTACGAACTGATCAGAGATTAACCCTGCATTATTTGGCAGAATTTGATGGTAGTGACAACAATAGATCCTTTGGGAAAGTAAGTATTGCAAAATTTTGATTTTTTTTGTATATTTATTATCTTTGATCGTATTTAGTAAAATCTACAATGAAATGAAAATTGAAGAGAATCCCGTGTTTAATGGTGTACGACCTCAGTCCCCTGTGTTCTCTTCTCCTGCTCCTACATCTTTTCTTTCTTGGCATCCAAACTCCCCAGCAAGTCCTTATACTAGTGCCGCCTACCCTAAATCAACTACATCTTCTACAACTACCACTGAAGAATCTGATCAGTCTTCAAATAGGTCATCGAAAAATTTCACTCGAAATCCTATGGATATCGATCGTTTGTCTAATGTCGAAAATATTAGCGATCCTGCTACGGCACATCTTAGCGATGAAGAAGTAAATAAAGAAAATGCGGCATCTAAGGAGAACAAAAATAATGAAAACTTCGAAACAGCATCAGTTGAATTTAATACTCAAAGTGATACAGACCATACAGAAAAAGAAAGTGATACTCTTGCCAAAGAAAGTACAGGTGATGAACAGAACAATGATAGTGCGAAGAATACTTCAGTTGATTCTCAGTCAAACCCAGCTACGAAAAATACAGCTGAAGTGGAAAATTCAACTGAGAAAATGGATAGTGTTGAATCAGAAAATAACTCAGAAAATTTATCGGATTTACAGAACAAATCTGATAATGATACTAAATGTGAATCCGACGACGGTAAGTAAAGTAATTTTATTATCATTACAGAACAACTAAGCAATTTTCTTAATTAAAGCCCCTTCAGGTTCATCAAGTTCAGGTAAATATTAATATTTCATTTAAATATCTTAGCTATTTCTAACGCGAATATTATTCGATTAGAAGGGGACAGTTCAAGTGGATTTGATCCGTCTCTGGAAGATGCTAGCCAAATTTCTGAAGAAAATGCAAGTAAAGAGTCTGAAGAGAATGGTCAAATAACCGAACAGAACAAAGAAGCTTAGGCAATTCAGGCAGATGTAGAATATTAGTTATTGTTTTGTTAATGATTTCCTTCGCGCCATTATCCATAATCTGTTCACTGCCTACTACAATATCAATCACATTGAAATTTTTTCTGATCTCAATATGTTAATAGAAGAAGCAACCATCTTTTTTATGAATGACATTCATATCTGTATGAAAATTATGTAAAATTTTGTAAATAAACGAGTCTTGATGAAGCGCATGACTGCCTACATAATGGACATTCAGGCTGAAATAAATAAATTTTTTAATGCGTAATAATATATTTGCATAATACTTGTATAGTAAATAACTTACATTCGTAGCGCACCATTCGTGAATGCAATACCAGCAGAAAAGATGACCGCAAGATGTTGTGGTTGTATGACTAATTGTATTCAAGCAAAGAGGGCATTTTCTTCCACCTTCTTCGTCTATTTCCTTCTCGATCGTTTTTACACTTTATATTTGTCAAAAATGCGAAATTAAAAGTCTGCTTATAAGTTACAGATCATAAGTTAATTTACCTTTTTTCTTTCTCTTCTGTTTTGATCTGATTGCTCTTTTCTTTACTTTTTTTATATATCCCTATTAATTTAAAGGCAAGTGCCAAAGCCAATTGAGATACTGATAACCATCCTAAAATTTTATAACTGGGTCGCGGAGTTTCAAGTAACGGTTTAATTGCCATCTAAAGAATAATAAAAAGTATAAGATTACGTATTAAAAAATTATAAAAAGTGTTACTTACATATCTTACACCGCATATCCGCTTAGCAAAATGATAAAAGGCAGCATTGAAGTAGAAAATTGCTAAATGGCACCTATGCAAAAGTAGGAAGATATTGCGTGAATTTCTAACAAGATCTAATAGTAGTAATCGACCCTCTTCCGTTAAACCCAATTCATTGTTCAATTCCAATTGTCTTTCCAAATATAAAAGACTTTTTTCTATCAAATACGGAGCGGAAACGTGCAATACTACCATAAAAATTCTTCTCTGTCAAGGTATAGTAAATTGATAGTAAAAATACATAGTAATATCGTAAAATGAATAGGACTATTTTATAATATTTATATTTATACACTTTAACTACAAGCTATCTATATTTAAGTCAACTTACAATTAACGATGGAACCTGCCGCTTTGATGGATCGACTTGGATAATGTTGACATATTCTTCTCCAAGTGTTTGTAAACCTATATTAAGTTGGTTTCGGTTATTTCGAACAGTTTGCCTTATGTAACAGATTTATATTATGCAAACCATTTAACGTTGTCAGGCCAAAGTATATAAATTCAGCTGCTATGTCCAATTCTTTTTGCCATTTAAGTAATATTCTTGGTCCTATAAAATGACATACAGATAATTTTTGTAAACACACATCGTAAATTCCTATTTAAAGAATCGTAGACTAAGTACCTAGGAACGATTGAACAACTTTATGAATATTACTCTTAATAAAGCTACTATAATATTCATCTTTTTGTTGAGATCTAATTATTTCGGCTTGATGAGCATCTTTCAATCTGGCCATGACTCTCTTGTCGTCTGTCTGAGCTAATGTGGTTAATGGTTCCGTATCGAATAACCGGTGTTAATATTCAAATAGCAACACATTCAATTTTTTTCAGTCCTTCAACAGTTAAAGTAAACTGGTTAAGATTGAAGCTAGCTCACACCTTCCTCATTTTCTATAAAGTGGAGGAATATGCGATGCTAAATAATTATGTCCACCACATCAAAAAGTCTTCGAAAATGTAAATAATATAATCAGCAACTAAATTTTTTAAAACTTTCATGTTCTTTCAGATATCCAGGTGGCCTTAATACTTTGGACATGCTTTATACTATATATAATATTTAGCGACACAAGTTATCCAGATGCTAATAACAGTATAACCTTTTCTTAATATTTCTTCAACAGAATTGACTTTTTTTTTTCACTGTGAAAGTAGCTTTGCCTGTCATACACGTTGGTTTAACTTCTGACGAAAACACGATAATAGGAGCAATGGCTACAATAAATAGTGTAAGAAAGCATACTAAAAGATCTCAAGTATTCTTCCATCTAGTCACAACGAATCGTTTAAGTAATTATATTCGGTAACCCCAAATTTTTCTATTTTGTATAATATGTCTCATAGTTAAAATATACTTTTAACATATTATATATTCTTATATTTAGAAACTGGATTTCAAATAGCGAATTGAGAAATATTAATTATGATATTACCGAATTTGATACAAGTTTACTGCATTCAAAAGTTAAATTACACTCTGGAAGACCTGAATTAGCTAAACCTGTTAGTAGTATTTAATGAAACAGTATTTCTATTTATATATACTGTATATACATGTATTTACAGATGAATTACGCGAGATTCTACTATCAAATATTATTTCCTCACTTGAAAACAAGAATTATTCATTTAGATGATGATACAATTGTTCAAAGGGACTTGACAGAATTATCTAGAGTTTTTATACATGATGGGCATATCGCTGCCTTTGCGGAAGATTGTAATTGGTTACTTCAAAAGAGTTCTACTATGGTAAAACAGATATGACTGATATATTTACATAAATTTTAATAAATTATCTAATATTTCATGATAGAATAGATACGAAGATTATTTTAATCTGGAACATGAATTAGTGAAAAGATATGATGTTAATCCTAAAGCATGTTCATTCAATACTGGTGTATATGTGGCTGACTTGAAAGCATGGAAACAGCATGATATTACCCAGAAATTAGATGAGATCTTAATTGCTAATTATAAGTTTGTAACAGATTTCTTTAAATCTTTACTTTTTCAAATATGTCAAACACTTTTAACAGAGATTACGTCTACGGTAATAAATATGGAGGGGGAGGATCTCAACCGCCAATGATGTTGGCATTATATAAAAAATATTCAAAGTTGCCGGCAGAATGGCATGTTCAACATTTAGGAGATGTTAAAGTTGACTCTTTATACTCATCTGACTTTATTGAAAATAAAGCAAAGCTGTTACATTGGAATGGTAGATTAAAACCATGGAAATTAACTTCCCCGTATCATCATATTTGGAAACGTTACTATGTAGCAGATCCATCAAAAAGATTCACTTTGTCACCTAATACTAATAAAAGCTTCAAAGAGCCAACTTAATAAGTTGTTTTGAAACTTAAGATCTGATATATTATGATATCTTCTTTCATTCTCAACGGTTAAATAAGCTTGTTTACAGAATCAATTGATATTTTTTGATAAAGATTTATATTATAAAGATGTTATTAGATAATAAATGATAATTGAGGAGTAGTTATCTTTGTTATTTATATTGTATTTATTAAATTGCAAGAATTATGTTACTCTTTTGAAAAAGGATATTAAATAGTAAAATCTTTTAATTCTTTTTTTTATTTAAATAATTCACTAAGCAAAAATAACAAAAGGAAAATTTTTTGCTTGATTAATAAACGTTATTAATAAGCTCAATATCAAATTTACGCTCTTATTTGGATTAAGTACTTAAATGAAATTAAAACCATACAAAATAAGGCTAACTGATCTAATTTAAATAGTTCACTTAAAAGCTTGGAATTAGTATATTGTTCAAAGATTATTTCCGTATCATATATCAGTAAAACTTACTTCAATAATAATTACTTTATTTTTGCCGACTAGGCCAAAAAGTTTTTCATATAGGTTTTATAGAATCTTTATGATATCAAAGTTGGTCTTTACATAATAATGAATACAAAATTGATTTGAATTTATTTACAAAAGCATGATAAATTGCAACGAGAGAGGGAAATCGAAATTTCGTATCGACTGAACAAAAGAACAGAGCAAACATTGGGACAAAAAGCAGATTAAACGGTCTATATGCGAATTTAATGTAGTGTAAGGAAATCTCCTATATTGCAGTTGGCCGTTATGCCTCAAGTTATTAACAAGAAAGCTTTTAACGAACATATACCAGCTGGAAAAGGATCCACGTATAATCAACTGTTAGAGGCAAGTTGGAGCGTTAAAAAGCGAGCTTTTAAAATCAACGAAAAAGCGTTAAACAGATTGGATTCAACCAAGAAGAGAATTGAAAGACACGCTAAAGTATTAGAAAATCAACGAGAAAAGATAATGAATAGAATGAATAACAGTTTGTTGGAATTAAACGCCTATCAAGAAGTTTTAAGAGATGATTATAGGGCTGTAGAAGTAACGAAAACTACAAGACGAAGACCTGAATTAGGTAGTGAACGTAATGCCATTGAAACTAGAGTATTCCATTCCGGATTTTCAATTTCCAATTTAAGAAGAGTTGTGAAAAGAAAAATGACGGAAATGGATCCATTATATCAAAAGAATGAAAAACGGAGACAATTCATGGACGAACTAAAGCGTAAAAATGCTCCGAAGACAATTGGAAAAGATCTCATACTGCCTGAATTTATGCAACTCAAAAGAAGATATCCTGTTCTTCCACCAATAGCTGACGTCAATAGTGATATTGAAGATGTACATTCAGAGAGTTCTCACTGAATAATTTATAAAAGTAATATAATATTACTGTATAGCTATTTGAAAGGTAAATTAAACAATTTCTTATACTGTTTTTTTAGTCTTTTAAAGACATTCTTGAAACGATTTTAAGCGCAAATGAAGCATTTAAAAGTTTTTTCCATTCTCCTGTTACTATTGAACAACTAATGGATTATCAGTAAATTTAACCATATGCATTTAACTAACTGTAATAAGATAAATATTTGATGGCAAATACAGCGAATAAAAGCAAATTATTCAAGCTAAAGTTAACTAACTTAAAGAGCATCTTTCTTTATCGCTAATTTAGGCTTAAATAAATAGAAGTATCTATAATCATCTTTTCAAGGACAAAATCAATTTTTAAGCTTTGAATATAGGTAACCTTGAGAGAGATCTATGCAAATATTACATAGAAAAGAGTAAAATATTAGAAAGACTTTAAAGCTTTATTGAGTAGAGCCATCTTTTGGTTTGATTTAATTGATCTGCTTTTGTGATAAAAATGATTTTTTTCGAAGTTATATACTGTTTTGAATAAGTGTTATATATAGATCACAGATAGAAATTAGAGCTATTACATTCTCGCAAAAATCGATTGTTTATTTTTAATATTGTGAAACATAATTCGTAGACACGTAAATATATCACAGACTGGGAAATAGTCAGTAATATTATGAGAAAATTAGCATGCTCTGGAAAGTGTATAGTAAATATGCTGCAATAGTTACATAATGATTTGCGGCTCTGGAACAGATGCCGAAATGCTTTTATGCGGTAATATTCTTCCGCCGTTAATGTACAATTCGTCAGCAACAACGACATCTTCTCCAAGTACACTAACACCTTCCATTCTGACCCATCTTCCAACAGAACACTTCCAACCAATGATACAATTATCTAACCATGCATGGCTTCGTACTCTAGAGCCTTTCATTAGAGTTGAACGTTTAACGCAAGCTCCATCTTCGACAACAACATCGGGACCTGGACGAGGATGGGAAGTAATTATTTAGCTAGGATATTTAGAAAAATTTAAATTTAATTATAGAATATTACCAATAACAACATTAGGTCCAATCCTACAACCATTTCCTATTTTTGCGCTCTTATCGACCAGAACATTACCAACTATTCCTGGTCCTTCGTGTAAATAGTCGTTGTTATACATATTCAAAGCTGTTAAGTATAATCCCATTCCCGTCAAGAAATCCTTTGGCTGTCCAACGTCCATCCAGTAACCTTGTAGCTCCATGCAATACAATTCTCCATCAACAGCCATTTTAGGGAAGACCTCCTTTTCAATAGACGTTGGTCTCAATTCAATTCTAGACAACATACTTGGCGACAACATATACATACCAGCATTTATCTTGTTTGAAACAAATTCTTGAGGTTTTTCAACGAACCTTTCAATTTGTCCGTCCTCTGGCCTATACACAATAACACCGTACTTTGAAGGCTCATCCACTCTTGTTACCACTAGAGTACCTTGTCTATTATGAGTCTTATGGAATCTTATCATATCTTTAAAAGGAAAATTACATATGATATCAGAATTGAGGACAAAAAATGGCTCGGAGTCCTGTAAGAGTATATCTCGGGCCAAGGCTAGTGGTCCTGCGGTTCCTAGTGGTTCATCTTCATGGCTTATGACAATTTTGATACCTAATCTCTCCTCTTGTGCTCTTAGCTCCTTTTCGAGAAGCTCCGCTCTGTATGAGACGGCTAAAACAATTTCAGTTACACCTACTTCAACTAAGGCTTCTACTTGGTGCATAATCATGGGTTTATTAGCGAATTCCACCAAAGGCTTTGGCCTAGATAAAGTTAGAGGTCTTAACCTCGTTCCGAAGCCACCGACAAGTATAAGAGCTTTCATTCCTTTAAGAGAGTTCTTTTCTTTCGTTTTAATCTAAAATATATACATAACAATAATAATAATAAAGTATAAATTGCATCATTGTAACAATTCTATTTCAGAAAGAAAATCAAATAAGTAAAAGGTGTAGCACCTTCATAATTCCTGTAGATGAGTTTCAGACGGATAGAAATTAACTATTGAAGTAAGGCGACACGTAGACTGTTTCTTTAAACAGAATAATACAACTCACTCAATGCAACGAAAACAAAAACAATCATGAAAAGTAAAAAGCTATTTTCATATTTGTGAATTTTTCAAAACTGTTCCGGCTAAACTGCACCCATATTTTTATCTATAAGTGTACTATTTATACTCTTGAACTTCATTGTCGTCATTTTTGACAATATAGGCACGTACCTTTAAAGACGATTAAGCAGATATACTGTATATTAAATTTTAGAATTTGTTTAATATTGAATACATTTCACCCCGATACATGTTGTATTGTTCCATTTAATTTTATTCTTAAATAAGTATTATATTAATTTATTTACACGTTATAGAATATTTTTGATTTCTTGTTTGTTCGAATGAAAATAATCAGTAAACTCTAGTTCAACTCAACTAATCAATATCGGTCACCAAAATTTTTATTCAGAACAGAGACTGATTTTTAATTCTGAGAATATGATACACAATCATTCTATTAAATATTACTTTGTATATATTTATAAATGTTTTATTATGGGAAGCGAATGAATGAATACTTTTTTATGTTATTATTTCGAATTCGTCGAATAAAAAGAGTGCTACGAAAGCTGGATACATAACAAAGTCTTTATTCTTAAAGATTAAGGAAAGAAATTATGGTCTGGATAACAAAGACAAAGAATTTATCCTACCTTAAAATTAACAAATTATCCGTCGATTTGTTAACTTGATATGTTGTGCTGTCCAATCAACTATAGCATATACATTTTTACGGAAGTTACGCGTAGTAGTGCCACGCTGTAATATGGTTCGTGACCGTTTCAAAGATAGCTATAACTATAAAGTTAGAGTAACCAGCAGTCTATCAAATTATCTAGTAATAAACTTTTGACAGTCATTTTTGCATTACAAGTTTACCAGTTTATCATTTTGTTAGAGTCTAAGAAACTTAAGAGTAATAGCCATAAAAATTTTCAGATAAATCAGCCAGTGAAGCCAAAAATCCCTCAAATATGTATTCTTTCAAAAGAGCCAGCGTTAAAAACATAGAAACTTCAATATAATGAACAATGACCCAGGGAAAAAAATGAATGAGGCGATTGATTACATCTCACATAAAGAGACGTTAAATTCATTGTTCCAGCATGATTACTAATTTAGAGAGCGACAAAAACAATTTGTTACTGTAGTGTGCATCACTAAATCGCCTACAGAGAGTAGTAGCCACGATTTGAAAAATGGGAATAAAACGTAAAAATCATGCCTTGTGATCTAGATAGAAGAGGCGATTTAATCAAGATGACAATGAAAAAATTAGGCATGATTCGAAGAGACTGACAATGTAAAATGATACATTGTAACCTATTGTAAGAATAGTATTACCCGATGGAACACACTTTCAAAATTCAACTTTCTAATTCGAGCGGAATGTCAAATTATACATTTATATGATAAAAGAAGGTTCATAGATTAAAATTCAATGAACTACAGCTATTTCAACTTTAAACAACAAAATAGATGGCCTAGTGAACATCTAATTAAATTCACTTTGTTTTCATTGACTGGTTGGCTCGTCTATTCTTTTTTAATTATAATAGCAGTGATTTTTACAAAGTGTGTTTTATCAAGGTATATTCATCTTTGAGTAATAGTATTCTTTTAGGTATTCTCTAACATGGCATAGATCCATTGGGCTGCATATGTTAAAAGAAAAAGTATAAAAATTAAGAATCGCCTAGATTATTTCCACATAATCCGCAGAATTCAAGTCGCCCCGTGAATCTTCCAGCCCTTCATTGACGTAAATAGGGGCATTATCCTTTTCAGCATTTTCGTTTAACCAAGGATGTTGTAAACACTGCTCAGCTGTAGCCCTTTGGCTAGGGTCAAAGTGCAGCATAGGTAATAAAAAGCTAGTAAAATTAACAGCATCTTGTGGATCCCATTCGTACTTTTCTGTTAATACTTCAAATAAGGGCCAAGGTTTTAGTTGACTTATATGTCGCAAATCGCCTTTTTTATTGAAGTACTCTCGTGAATAACGTCCACTGAGAGCAATGTGTTTAGGTATCGGTCCTAGTAGTTCGATAATGTGAGCAATATGATCCTCATCTCTAGTGTATGAATCGCCAGTGTGAGGTTCAAACAAATAATCACCTGTAGCTAATTCGAATGCCATACAAGCTGTTGACCAAATGTCAGCTGCGGCATCGTATCCGGAGCCAAGGAGAACCTCTAAACTTCGATATTGTCTCGTTTGAATATCGTCGGTAAAATGATGATAAGTCCAGCAAGCATTTCCGAGATCGGCTATTTTAACGTCTATATCGCACACCTCATGCCAAGCTTCAGTAATTTTTGGCCCGCTAATTTCACTAGAGGCCCTTTCAGATTTTTCTGCATTTTTATCGTTTTCCTCCGATGTTATATTGTTGCTTCCGTTACATAGATGTTGACCATTTTCTTGCAAGTCAATAGACTTAGGTCTTTCAGGAACTCGTGGAGGTGCTTCAGCCTCTGGCACTGGTTCTTCTTCAGCTTCAGGTTCAGGTTCAGGTTCAGGTTCAGGAGGTTCAACCTGCACTACAGATATAGGAGAACCAGGCTCGATGGGTACTATGGAGACGAATTCTTCTAAAGTCTTATCTTCTTTGTCCGGATCAACGATTATATTCGTTACATGATCGTTTGATTCGGACGGAGGGGATAGAGGTGAAAGAGGTGAAGTAGCAGTTTGCAATTCCTGTTTAAAAGAAATTTTATAGTTTAAGATTATATGAACATCTAGAAAAAATGAGATCACAGTATGAACAAACAGACGGCGCATTTTGGGATAAAAACCTTTCCAATAGATTACTATCGCCAGCACGGTGGAAATTTTTTTAGCGATTAGATAAACATGGAAAGCCGTAATTTATAAAAAAAAAAGTTTTTTTTATAAAGCAACCATTACACTGTCCGAGATAGTTGAAGAAAATAGTATATATTTTTCCCAACGATGCGCTATCCATTGAAATATATGTAAATGTTTGTAGGATTAATTAAAGCAATGTTTCAGTGGGAAGGGAGGGAAAAACAATAAGCAATTTTGATTCATTGCAAAATTAAAATAAAAATAAGCATTTCAACATAATAAAAAATATACATGGAAAAAGAGATCATGTACAATCTTTTGTTTAAAATAAACTAGTCTACCTGTTCACGACATGTCGAACTGTCAACAGAATCCGTCTAGAAAAGAAACAAGCAAAAAATACTACACCAAATCATAAAAATTTAGATGTAAATAGGATAACGATTGGTCGAATAAGGTTATTGTTGGTATTTAATATAGAGAAAAATACAACAATGATAAAATATATATCTGCAGTAGATAATACCAAAAAATAATACATACTCTTTCCTTATCCAACTCTTCTAATTGTTCCTCCTGCTTTTGTAACAGCAATTTTTGTTTTTTCAATTTTTTCTTCATTTTCTTTTTCTTATTCTTTGAGAGTTTTTGATTAGCTGCTGTAAAGAGATGAAAAAAAAATACATTCTTTCTTGATTATTTGTTCATCGCTACAAAAGGGAAAAAACTTAGGAATCAAAAAGAAATATGTAATTTACCAGTTGGTATATCGACAGCATGAGGTGCTGCAGCTAAAGCTGTAGAAATAGCCGAACCGGGTGCTTTTATTCCACTTTTTTGCCATTGTGCGGCGGTTTGAGCTAGTTGTCGTACGTAATTTTCATCAACACAAATCAAGACGTTTTCTGGCTTTATATCAGTATGGATAATTCTACACTTTTCGTGTAAATAATGAAGCGACTGTAGAGTAATAAATATATTAAATACAATATATATATATAGTTATAAACAAACAATATACCTGCAAAACTTGTCCAATAATTTTCTTAACATTTGGTAGGGGAATTCCTCGATACTGACTTTTAACAATTAGTTTTAAAAGATTATGTCCTAGGACTTCAAACACCATGCAAACATGAGTCCCATTAACGCCAGATACTTTGAAGTCGTCTAACAGTTGAACTGTTCGATCTCTATAAGGGTCACTGGGATCGGTATCTCGAACGCATCTTTTTAAAGAAAATATAACAATAATAATCATTAGCAGTATTAGAAAAGTTTCTCTATTTTAATACTTTGTTTATCTCTTTTATAATATTTTTAAGGTGACGGGCAAAAGAAAAGGATACTTATAAAAGGCTTTTATTTTACTCTTACAGAATACTCAACATCCCTCGAGGTAATTAATAGCAAAACAAACTTTAACGGCTTCAACATAAACATGCTTTAAAGTTAACCTAAAGGATTGATTTAAAAATGTAAACAAACTATTTTATGAATTTTTCGGAGATTGTTAACACTTTGATCAAACTTTTTAAAGGCAAATACAAGTTTTGGCAAAGGGATTATTAATAAAAAAAAAAAAACTACAGAGAAGGAGAAAGAGAACGAACTGAAGAAAGCGAAATAAGAACATGATATAGAACATTTGAATAAAAGATGTTTTAATGGTTCGTTGAAGACTTTAAACTTGTGCTTTAAATAGTTTATCAGAAAATATTTTTTGTCATTTATAAAAGGTATTATCTAAATTTTGACAACTTGTTATCAACTATAGCTATTTGAAATCTTTTCTTAACCAAGAGCCGTATAAAAATAGAATAGCAGTTTGCCTTGGCTACATCTGAGGCAGGAAAAAAAAACTACGAAATTACGCAGTTATACAGAAAATCTTACTTTAATAATTTTATCTCATCCATTGCTGTCTCTGTATAATGTTGAGCCGATTTTACAACCTTTAAAGCAACAAAGCGTCGGCTTGTCAGATCCCAGCATAACCATACTGTGCTAAAATGCCCCCATCCAAGTTTACGGACTACATGATATCTTTGCTGAAAGAGGTCGCCTAATTTCACCGGATGGTAACCTCCCACGCAATAGTCTTTTCGATCCTCTTGCTCGTCATCATCGGAACCTAAAATTTCATCCTCTTCGTCGTCTTCTTCTTCTTCATAGTAAGATTCGGGCCTCTTCGCGGGTTCGTCTCTGGCATTCTGATTTTGACTGCCTTTGCTAAATAAAATTAAGGGGGAAGTGAGAAAAAGTTTTATTTATTTAAATACAAAAAGCTAATTGTGTTTAGCAACAAGTGTAATTCTTAGAAATAGCCGGAAAATTTCGTTTGAATAAATCTTAAAGCTGAGATTTCTATACTAGCCTGCAACTTGTTAACTTTTTTGCATCGTAAGGAAATATAATAATTATGCTGTTAGCTGGATTTAATTAGATAAAATAATTATTGCACGCGAAGCATTGCAGGACACTTTTCTTTTTATTCTCAACTTAATGCCAAAGTAAAGTTTATCTTCCTTGAATAAAAAAATGGAGTAAAATATACCTAGAATCCCACAATCTTTTTATTATGTAACATATATTATGCACATATGTTACACTATTGCAGTACCAACAGAGCGATGTGTCTTGCCTTAACTGTTAAAAGTGGTATTGTTCGGCCATAAAAGAAACCAAGTATCAACACGCTTTTCTTACCGAATATAGTAATTCAAATAGTAATAGAGGATATAAACTTAATATCGTTATATTAATTGTTTTATTAAGTCATTATATAAATGAATAATGGCTACTAAAAGTGTAATTCACTGTCTAACTGTCTTCTCATCTGGTCTGATTAGGTTGATGGAGAAAATTTGTCGATTTAGAAATACATCTACTGTTTCTTAATTACTTTATATGATTCAAACTCAACATAAAAGTAAGTAAAGATTAGGATTTTCCTCGACTGACTATTTAACAATTCTTTTTAACAAAATAGAAAAGAGTTCGCGAATTAAGAAGGGCTTTTTCACCCCACCCAACTCTGGCCATGTGAATAATTACATTTTCCTAGAAGAAAATTATCGATCAGGGCCATTGTTTATTAAGAAAAACAATTATGAATTAAACGACAAGACTACCTTCTTAACATGCGTATTCTTTATTTACACAAGAAATCTATGTAGAAAAAGCTAACTGAACAAACCTTTTATTGTCTGATTTCTCATTTTTAAATCTAGGTTTAGCTTTCGATCGTTTCTTTCGTGCTTGAATGGCAAGCACTGAAAAAAAGATATCATTTTTTGAAAAAATTAAGTGTTATTTAGCCGTAATCGGTTAATTTAAGAAATTCACCTTTTTTTGAGCTCATGATCCCTGAATCAAATACGTACGATGCACATGCGCAACCGGAAGTTTAAACAAATGTATCTTCGTATAAAATATGTATTATAATATTAAAGGTTTATTAATCATTTTTAGACTAATCGTAAATTTTAAACATATGAAAATATACTATAATTTTTTTAATTTTCATCATATGTTTAAATTGTTTGCCATCTAGCGGTAAGGCGCAGACAGTATAAAGTAAACGAAAGAGAGTTAAAACTATTAAAGTCATATAAAATTTCAAGTGAAACGTGCTTAGTAAAATTTCTTAAGATCTCAAATACAAGAGGAAATATAAATTATATCTTCTCTTTTTTTTAATTTAAACTATTTTTATTTAATTGAACAAAAACTTTACTCTCTATGCAAGATTGCGGTAAGGCCTGCAGTTGGCCGAAATCCAAGTTAGCACTTGGCATATCAGCTTATTCAGTTAAACAGAGCAGACATAGTTAAGCGTATATGACGGAAATTCTAATACTATAACAACCAGAAAAACAAGAAAATTCATGTATAGTTATTGAGAGAAATCAGTAAGTTGCATGTAATCGAAATATTTTTATTATACATATTATTACCTAAAATGTATTTACACAGATCGCAATAAATAATATGGAAGGGCTGATATTAGCCGCTCGTAAACAATATCAGAGCGAAATGCAACAGCAGGCTCGTTTTGAGACGCGCATAGGCCTGCATAAAACTTCAGACGCTAACCCTAAAAATATACAGATGGGTATGGTAGCCGTCTATACATTCTTTCGAATATCTGCACCTAGGAAGAAGGGAACTAGACTATTTGTTGTCCAAGGTGACGCAGGTGCTGGAAAGAGTGAATTTATAAAGAATATGATTTATGATTGGGCGCACAACAAGGCAAGATTTTCCTTAATCTTTAAAAAAAAATCTATAAAAATACTTAATTCCAATAGCTAAGACGTTCTAAGTAGAAAAATGTGTTTTTCTTCTTTTGAATTTTCTAAATAAGTGTATTTTAATTTCTTGTGAAGATTGATAACCTTTAATAAGATATTCTTTCATATTCTTTAATCTCATCTAAAACACTGAAAACGTTCTTTCTATTACTATTCCCATTATTTTCTCCTATTCTAGTCTTAATCTTAAATCTTCGAATAAAAAACAATTACAATAGAAAAAATACCGATTAATTATATAAATATATATATATATATACCTTTTAGTTCAAGTTCATACTATTTATTTCAATACTTTAGTAGCCATAAACTTCATTACCTAATTTTTTAAACATTAATCAATTAACTAATCCATATGTTTTTTCTTTTAAAGATTTTTATCAATATACAACTCTTCCAAGAATCAGTTGTATCTCTCGTAAATCCCGTAACTTAGTAACCAAAATTAAAAATATTGTATGTTTAGGCCTATAGCCACCTGTTTTTGTATAAAAGAGCCTTTAAAAATATTCTATATCCTACCTTTGAAATTTTATTTTTTATATATAATTTTTTTAAATCAAAAGGATGACAAGGATTTGAAAATGTTCGATATCTTAATGGCTTTGGATGCTGCTAGGATAAAACCTCAATATGACTTTTATGACATGTTAAGAAAGCGAGCATTTACAAAGTATAATACCAAAGACGTTGCAAAGTTACTGCAAAATGACAGTAATTATAAACTACTATTGGCTATTGATGGTGCTGATGATGCTAGAACAATAAATTTAGTAAACTTGTGTATGGAAAAGGTTAATGAAATTCCAAGTGATATTACAATAGTTGTAACTTGTCGACCGTGGATAGCTGATAAGTTTATTCAACAACATTCTGGTGCAGTAATCCAGTTGGAATTGAACCATTTTATTATTCAACAGAGACGTTTGGTTTTTAAACTAAATGATATTTCGGATGATAATATTTCCTTTATCGAAAGTGAAATTGAAAAGTTCAAGCTGGATGAAAACCTGTATACAAATCCACTTTGCGTTTTCCTTGCTGCTCATGTTTGGAGAGATAAAGGGTTATTATGCAAAACAAAGATTGAACTTTACGAAGAAACAGCTGCTCTATTGCATCAGTTTCTCAAACTTAAGGATTTGAATAGTCAAATGTTACTTTGGAAACAAGTTTACAAAGATGTTAAAGAATGTTCAACAAACTCTGCAGATAAACAAAAAAAAAATTCAGTCTCATCTGGTTATCCGAGTGATTCTAAATTATTTTTAAAAATCAGATCAATAAGGGAATTTCTAGCGGCGAATTACATAATTAATACACTACCTCCTCAGAATGTCAAGGATACAAATATTCCTCTTACTGAGTGGAATCATATTCTTGCATTAACTCAGACTTTAAAATTTTGTTGTGCCCTCTCAATCCAAGCGGCAGAGATACTTCTGCCAATCGTTCACTCCGTAATTTTACAAAAGCCCGAAGGTCGTGTCAAAGTCAACCAGGACACTTTTCACCCTTATATATTACATTTAAACATTTGGCAAGGTCCAATAAATGTAATCGTTGATCAGGTTACTTGAGTATTTACATTAGAGATTAAAATAACATTAGATTATTAATAATTAACCAATTTTGTAACGATAGGTTCAATACAACGTTGAAGAAGAATGCTTAAGCGCTCTACACAACACACCTGAAGACTCAAGTCCTCTCCGTCAGTTATTCCCCTACGCTGTTTGGTACGTAGGGCACACTCCAAAAGTAATGCCAATACCTAAATTCGTCCAAGTTATCGTCCTCAAGGGGCAGGTCCTCGATAGAACTCTTCGCTATACGTCCAACCTCCGCATTTTAAACCTCCAAGAAGTTGTCGATCTTGACCAAGTTGGGTCATTTACCAGGTTTTCACAAGATATAATGCAGTCTCGACCGCCAATTAGGCAAATAAGAATGGTAGCTTGTGGGTTAGATAGCAACAAATGTCAAGAACTATGTTCATCGTTTCCAATGTTACAATTCCTAACTCATTTAGATGTTCACGAGAATTATGACATGACAATTGGTGCAGAGTTATTGTTGAAATCTCTAGCAACTGGCGAAGTTCCATTGACCTACTTAAATATGGAAACCTGTGGTATAACAGAAACAATTTGCCCTGACATCTCATCTTATTTAGTGAAATTAGTGTGTAATTTGGATAAAAATAAAAAAAAATAGTCTACTAAATAAGCCCATACATAATACTCGTAAACTAATATGGGCTATCTATCATACTGTCCTTTATATATATGTATAACTATTCCTATGAGAATTTATCCAACTTAAACACTAAAATAATGCTAGCCTCTTTTAAAGAATGTCAATTTTTCAAGAAATCCATTAAGAAGAGGAGCGGTATCTATATTAATAGCTTTATCTACATCTGCTGTTGACCTGGAGGAGTTACGCCTGGCTTTTTGTAATATGCCTTTGGATATGGCAGATGAAGTAGTTACGCAATTATCGAAAATGAAGAGATTAAATGTTTTAGATTTGAGATTTAATCATTTCCAACACAGAGTAGTCGATATTCTTTCTGTTTTAAAGCGATTAGAAAAGAAGGTTGAAGTTCGCCTGCAGTACAATTATCCACAGGAAGAGGGAAATACCGATCTGTTCACTTGATTATCATTTAACTCGTCCAAAATATATTATAGACAAAAGACTGTAACTTAAAATCCATTCGAAAGGAATTTGGGAGGTATCATCTGCACTTCTACTCTCCTTAAAGAATCGTCCAAGAAAATGGCACTCATATCGTTATATTGATTTACTTCCAAGGTTTAGCTCTAATGTCAGTTGACTTAAAATAGAAACCTATTGTATATACGTATTTATTTATAAAAACTGCTTAAGCCTCTAAATAAGTAATCTTTTATATGACTATTGTCTTATTAACTGTTGATATCTATAAGAAGTAACGGTTACACGTAATTGTAATAAAACTATTTATAAATATTATTAGTAAATTATAGCTAATAGCTACATGTTATGGCCGAAAAAACTAGAAGTTGGACAGTAATATGTCTATATATGAGAGAATGAATAGAAATTTAGGTTATGCTAATAACGTGTTAATATTTGTGGCTTAGTTTGATTAGCCTTTAGGTTGCAGAAAAAGAAATAGCATGTCTTTTTTTATCTCTAAAAACTTTAATAAATCTGTTTTCTTTTTCAAAAATACTCCTGTTTATTTTTTACTGTTATATTTTTTATATCAATATTTAGTTTTACAGAGAGCCAATCTATTCTAAGAAGAGAGTATTGCATTATAAAGGATTCATTATTTATTATCCTTGAACTTTAACCTTAACTTTCTCTCTCATATCCCTCTTTAGTTGGTATTTTTTCCTTGCCAATTGTAAAGATTATGTGAGGTATATAGAGAAAACATTTGCATGTTCTCTGTCTTCACTTTTCTATCAATCTCTATTCCTCTCTCTTTTTCTCTCACTCTTTCGCTCTCTCATCTGTCTGTCAGTCTCTCTCTCTCTATCTCTATCTCTTTCTCTTCCTACTCTATTCTATTTTATGTGAACCCTTATTTAAACATCTGAAAATATCTTTGTAGAAACCTTTCAAAATTTGCTTTTAACCAATCTTTTAACTGTAAAAAATATCTGGCTAAATCCTTTCATTTCTCCACTAGCAGGCTCTATTGACCCGAACTAGTGCTGTAATGCAGCATAATAATCAGCGAGTTACCTATAGTAGGCTGGCATTTACTGCGTAATAATCCTACAGTCATAATAACTAAAGCTTAAGACGAAGCATTAATCTTTCTATCCGAAAGATTTATAGTAGAACGTAGAATTGTGGAAAGATTATAATAATAGCTAAGAAAAAATAATATTTATTAACATAGCTCGTAAAAAAATTTCTTAGTCAGTGTGTATGTATTATTCATTATTTAACTAGTAAAGAGAGCGTTACGGGTGGGGGGTAAGGAAGGAAAAAAAAATAACTTGCTCCTTAAAATCTTATATAGGCCGATTATTTGTCAGAATGCATATACACACTCTTTATACAATAAATACATTATGGCATATAGTATTAAGATTGATATTAAAGAGTAGAAAAGAGAGAAATTTGGTCGATTAGTTATTGATTTTATATATATTTGATAATATATATATATAATATATTAGTACTATATATAAACTATTTTGTGGAAAAGCATGAAATATAAGTTAATATAAGTATAACTGATAAAGAATACTTTTTTTATTAGAACTCAATAAAAAATTGAAAATTACTAATAAATTCGAGACTTGAATAGAATAAACTTGTATTTTTTATACTTTATTTATGTATACATTCTATTTTATTATGTAATTTAAACTAAATTTTGTCCTTGTAATGCTTTTATACTAGTTTTTTTTATTTCTTTGCTTTCTAAAATAGATATTTTGACCGATTATGGTAAAACATTAACTACAATAGCAAAACATAACTAGGACTTTGTTAAAATCAAGTAAAAGGTCATTCAAAGTTCCCTTTTTCTCTTCTATATAGATTCTTCTAAAGTAGAAAAAACACTTTTTTCTCTTTTCTATTCGTTTCTAAATTCATTATTTCTAGTGCAGCTTTGTTTTATACTCTAGTTAAGGGATGTTGACCTCTAATTGGTTTAGGGTTCAATTGATATTGATACTTTGGTGTTTGTGGATCATAGTTTTCGGGTCTTCTTAATCCTGGTCCTTTAACATTCAATATCGTACTGGCGTATGCTCCAAAATAATTGCTAAACCTCGATTTTGGTAGGATTCCTCCAGCATAGATTCTGATTTTACCTGGAAATAGTTTAAAACCATTTTCCTTGTCTTGGAAGATTGACAAATGTTTTTTTGTTAATGTAAATGTTTCAGTTATTGGTCTACCAATGGTGGCAGGTAGATCTTTTCTCTTAAATGCTACAAGCTCAATGTTTGGCATGGGGAAAGGAGTTTCCAACCATTCTACGTAGACTTGAATAATCTCGTCGCAAGAAACTCTCCCTATATTCTTTACCATTACCGTTACAGAAATAGCCTCTGAGTCCTGCATGGATGTGCTGATTTGGGACGGATACACTGACACATTATAATAGTGGAATTTAGAATAAGATAAACCATAACCGAATGGAAATAGGGGTTCTCCTCGAAAGTATCTATAAGTATGACCTGAGACTTGCATATCGTAGCTTTCAATGGAATCTATCGCAGTAGCATTTGCATGCCAAGTGAATGGTAATCGACCGGAGGGTGTAGAAAACTGACCAAATTTTGTCAGTATACTGAAAAATGAATAATACTTAAAACTATCTATATACTGTATACAGTATAAATTTATACGACGGAAGGTGTCTCTACTCAGTGGTAAAATTTAAAACCAAACTTACCGATAGATGGCATGACCGGTCATCTGACCCGGATAAAGGCAAGCCAAAATAGATTTAACTTGATTTGATTTCACAGCTAGTGTAATATTTAAAGGACCTCCGGAAAATAGTAGTAGGACAATTGGTAAATTTTTCTTAGAAGCCAAAAGAATCGATTTTTTTAACATATATTCCTGGTTTTCGGGTAGATTCAATGTTTTTCGATCATTTCCAGTTCCCTCCAATTCAGAACCTAATTTTTAAGATAAAGCCAAAAAGAAATAAAACGATATTAAAAGCCTATCAATATTGAAATATAGCATATTTTACAAACCAGTCCCAAGCGTTAAAATTACTAGTGAAGCGTCATTTTTGAAAGCCTTGTCCAATAATCCATCAATTTGTTCTTCATCCGAATCTCCACAGGCTGGAGTATTACAAATGTTATGTGGATAAGTCTTGTTAGCCAAGAAAACTATTCCGTCATGAACAGATGACCCAAATTGGTTATCAGCATAGGCAGCAGCATTTCCGTATACAAACTGTAAATTGTTTATGAATGGACCAAGTAATATAGTACCACGACTTTTAACTGATTCGCTTAAGGGAAGGAATCCATTGTCGTGCTTGATTTCATTTTTTAACAAAACTATAGATTTTAGCGCGGCTTCCAACGCTAATTGGTTGTGTTCTTCGTGTTGAACTTCCGTAAATGGTATATTTCTATGTAGAGGAAAATAAAGGATACCAAGAACCAAGTTAAATGTAGAATTACTCAAATAAGTTCATTTTATACTACTTACTGATATGGATGGAATTGATCAAATTCTCCTAATTTCATCCGTATCGTAAATAATTTTGCAACACTTTCCCTAATTTCCGAAACACTTAATTCCTTAGTTTGGATAAAATTCTTCAAATGGTACATACTATATCCTCCACTTTCAAGATTAACACCATTTTTAAAAACATCAAAGGCTGCTTTTGAAACATTTCCATATAATTTACTTTGTAAGAGATTTGAAATGGCTCTATCTTCTGCAACAATAACTCCCTTGAAGTTCAATTTATCTCTTAGAATTTCTTTTTGTGCTCTATGGACACACGACGGTGTACCGTTGAACCTGTGATTTGTACACATAATTGTTGATGCTCCGGCTTCTACACATTCTTTAAATGGTGGTAAGAAGGTAAGATAAAAGTCACGATCGGAGACTTTTATAGTTGAATCATACATTGAGTTCTCTATGTGACAATATTTTCAATAGACAGTTGGTATTACGTTAAATCAATTTCTATCTTACCTGGCCCACTGTGTGCTATGAAATGTTTACAACCGGCTGACACTTTCAAATATTTAGGATCATCACCCTGAATACCGGTGATAAAAGCTCTAATCATTGTTTTAACTAGTTCAGGATCCTCGCCATAGGTTTCCTGATTTCGACCCCAAAGAGGATGTCTCATGATATTTGCAACTGGAGCAAAACAATTTAGTCCATGATTAGTTACTTCAGCGTTCCTTAATTCTTTCGACTTTTTGTTGATTGCTCGAATTTCATCTCCAATAGCGCTTGCAACTCTTTTAACTAGGTCGGGATCGAACGTGGCGGCTAGATTAATAGAATGAGGAAATCCAGTTCCTTTGGTTCCAACCTGCCCATGAAGACATTCCGTGTGCCATGCAAAAGCTTTAATACCTAATGACTCAATAGGTAAGGTTGTACCCTGTCTAGCATATGTACTCATATGTAAAAGTCGATTTAATCCAAGATGTAAGACCAAGTTTTTAGCTCTTTGTTCAAAACTTAACGATTCATTAAAATAATCATTGACAATAGCAATGTTTTTCTCCTTGTAAACGAATGCGTTTCGTAACCTATCATATTTTTCAAGTTTATTTTTTGGGTCTTCCTCCTTAGCACCAAGTACTCCAGCCAAAGAATCTTCCGATTCAGTATATTTAAGCGAATTTAGTTTACCTTTATCAATAGTTCTTAGAGGTTTATCTGGTTTTTTATTTTCTGAAACATGTTTCTCCGGCGTTTCACTCCTTTTAAAACTTCTACTTGTAAAAGTAAGTATAATGATAATCAGAGCAGAAACTACTACAAATTTTTTCAAGTTGCATAACGGAGGCTTAGGCCTATCTAAATAATTTCTTTTCATTTTCTTTTATAAATTAATTATAAAAATATATATATGGTTTTGTTGCTATACTCTCCCTAGATATCTCGCTACAGACAGAAAGAATTTCGAGATTGAATAGTATTGATATTTAAATAAAACTCAATAGAGCGTGGCAAGTCTGAGTGAGAGGGTATATATATGGCCCAGGATTATTGAATACGTTCTTTTCACCTAAGGTAGGCCTTCATCTTTAAATAACTTTTTTTTTTCTTTTTTCTTCTTTTTCTAGAATCTTCTATAATTCAGAGCTAAAAATAGAATATCGCAAACTACGATAAATGAGAGATGTTAGGTGATAATGTTTGATAATTGTTGCATTTGTATTAGTTTTCTTTTCTAAGTTTTGGCTGTTGAGAAATATAAAATGAAAGAACAGATTCTGTGGAATTTGACGATACGAGAAACAAGGATATATTCTAGTTTTGTTTATCGCTATTATCGCCAAGAGACTTTAGAAGCACCATTTATTTTTCTTTCATGATTTCCCTTTCGTTTCCAAATGAAGTTTTAGAGTTTGAAGAAATATTAATCAGTTATAACTTATCATTTACAGTTAGAGCGTTTGTTTACCTATTATATTAATACTAGGATTTGAAAATTAACTAATTAATTTTGTCTTCATTGGCCGATTTAAACTTTAAATTTTCCCCTAATTGAAGTTCAGTTAATTGGAATTACAGTCCAACACTCTGGGGAATTTTATGCAAATGATGCAATTAATGTGGGAGTTTGGTAAAATTGTACTTTTTTCTTTTATCTTTTCCTTTATCGTTTACTATCAGATAACATTTATTTTTTACCATTTCCTTTATATTTTTTAGTATTGACCTTATTATTTGTATATTTATAGATATTCTTTATATAGAAAATAATATCTGTTAACTAATTCATTTAGTATAACTATATAATAATATAGTTAGTACTGAAAAAATGGTTTAAAAATGAATAAAAATCCTTTTTTTTTGTTTAATAAAGAAATATTTGTCCATAATCCCAAATCAAGAGGAGGAAGGGAAGATAACTTAACTGAGTTCTTATCTGTGTGAGAGGAAGCAGAGAACAATCAGGAAAAGGGCGCATTCGAAGGAGAGAGAGAGAGAGAGAGAGAGAGAGAGAGAGTCAGAGACATAGACATAGACAGTAAGAGACTTTTTTAGACGTATCAATTTTTCCAATTCCTTTGGCTTTGTTTTATATTTCCATTGGACTTTTGGAGAATTACCACAAAATCAGACTAAATAAACGACATTTAACCTTAGCTGTCTTTAGATGTGAAGAAAAATTACCAGGAAATCTGGGTGTGAATGTTAAATGTAATAGTATAGACTTGTAGACAAATAACATTCTTAGCGAAAACAATCTCTATGTTTTCCTTAATAAAATCAGACAATTACAGAAGAGAAAAGATTAAAAGAAGAATTAAGAATAGAAAATTAGAGAAAGGCAAAGCGGGAGTTGAAAAAAGTAGTACGTAGGTGATTAATTAAGGGTAATAAAATATAGTCATAGTAAAATAGAATATAAATCAAATTTATAGGCCTAAATTATAATTCAATGTTAAGAAAAGAAGTAATCAGACACAAAGAACGTCCTCTAGTGGCAGCCTATCCCTAATCAATCGATGCTCCTTGCCGTATTCATCCCATAATCCGCAAGCGATTTCGGCCGACGCCATTTCGCCAATGTTCTTCGCTACTAACCAACAGATAAAAACCCCATCTTGCTTGAGATACTCGGAGACAAATTTTTCCGTTATAATTTCAGTTTCTTTAGTTATTCGACCAAAAGTTTTTAACTGGAGCGTGATTAGATATCCCATATAAAATTCATCCTTCACCTTTCCCATCTCCCTTTTTTTTACTTATTAATAACGAAATATTTAATTTAGGAATTTTTAAAATATTATAGAAAATGTTAAACGTTAACGCTTCTTTGATATTATAAAACATTATAGTATCTCATTTTTGAAGAATTGTCTCGAGAATGTAATTATTCAAGTAATGATTAAGAAAATATAATAGGGAATTGTTCTAAGTCACGCTCCTGTTTCCGAATGTATATAACTCTTGCTGTATAACCGCCAATTCGTTTTATCCACTGCAGTAAAGAAAAAAAGCTAACAACGGCCAGGAAGACAAACCAAAACCATAGGAATAAATAAATCTTCTCATTGAATAGGTTAATCGGCAGGACACATTGCACAGTATGGCTGTGCTGGGTTGCTAACCTTCTTACTATAAAGTCACACATTGTGACTCTTGGAAATATTTGGGAGGATTTCGCCCAAGCGTTATTGCCTTCTAGAAGTGACGTAATTACATGAACCCCGTACATATGATAGTCAGTTCCCAAAAAGAGATTCAATAGGAATAATTGGGCAACAGCATTCACGACGTATAATAGTTTCACCCCTAAATATGTGCAGGTTAAATAGTTTCCATGTAAAGTGGACGCAACGCACAGACAGCGTTTAGCCAAGGATGCATAGAGACGCTTGGCGCAATTCTTATGCTCAATGCGTTTGTGTTCGTGAGAGCAGAGGTGGCGTTCCAGATGAGACAGTAAATAGCGCATTGTCCTTTCTCTAGAAGCTTCGTACGGTCCTCGACTACAAGATAGAGCGCTGTCCATGACAGTGTTTAAATTAACACCCGACTTCCGCCTAATTAGACGCCAGACGACACATGGTAGGAAACAAAGTATCGCCTGTGAAATAAAACAAAAATAAATATATAAAAGGAATGAAACTACAGTGATAAATGAGCCTAAATATACAAATTTATATAGTATGTATAATAAATAAGCGTAGGTATCAGTGACTTATTTGCAATTATTTATATATGATTATATATGCTTTACTTGAATGGAAAATTTTTAGGCTAAATTCTAAAGATTTATATGCATCATATATCCTAAAAAGAATATTATGTTTACATTCAGAAAAAGCTTTTTATTCTTCAAATGAGGCAAAAGGATGGATATTGTTATATTCGATATAAACAAATGACTCCCAAAAGTTCTTTAGCCCAACTAAATTATCTTCTGAACGGAATATTATGGAAATACTGTATAATAATCATTATGTTAAAAAAGCTTACAAATCCTTTCCAGGTGAAATTTTCCAATAGAAGTATAAGCCCTTTTATAAAAGTTTAGGCCGTCATTTGCATAATTTTCTCATAAGTTACACTAATCTCACCTATGATTAATCTAAATATAAATTCATGTATACAATAAGGTACCAAACGACCTCTTTATGTAAACTAGTAGTATTTACTATCTAAAATTAGGCCTAATATTTATAATTTGTTATTTAAACACGAACAATTAAGACATTAGTACGATTTGTATGAAGTAAATGACTGTTATGACTGACTATTTAATCATGTATAGCATCCATGGGACGGAAGAGAGAGCCTTGCTAGCTTACATATAGAGGCTGGAAAGTAGAAATTTACAATCCGGCGCCTAAATAAGTTATTATTTATTATATATATACAAAACTAAAATACGTATAGTGTGTAAATTCTGTATATATCAAATATATATAAGATGTCCTAAAGTGTAAGGGAATTTTATATATTCATATATACAGTTTATACTGTTTGAATACATGCTGCTTAGATAGTATAACGTATATCTATTGAGTTATTATTCAATATAAAGGTAAACTAAACTGCTTACCTGTGATATTAGTAACATTGGTACCCATTGGTAATAAGCAATATGCATTTTCTGAGCGTCTTTGTTTGGGAGGCGCTTAACTTTGGTCGGAACGTAGTAGGTATTAACAACCCAACAAACGTTATTGGCATACTTCTCGTGATTGTGAGTAAACTGAGCCGGTAGCCAACAATGTATAGGTTCACCAACGTATTGCTTCGTACTGACTAGGAGGGCAAACAGCACCAAAAACGAAGTTGTATAACGTCTTGATAACCTATCGACCCAATCGTCATCCAATCTGGTTTTAATCTCGCCTATCGTCGCCAAGGCACCAACCACTTTATCCATGATTTAGAGATGGCGACCTTAAAGGTTGGCTTTGGCTTCAAATTATTACAAAGAGTTTCAAGTTTTTCAATAAACTTGTTGTATAAAGTAGAGAAAAAGTAAGGAATGATTTTCCTGGTTTAAATGAAAAGACACACAAAGTTGAGAAAATTCGGGGCGTCAGGTTGATTGCTGAGCGTCGAATGAATCGATTATGGTTAAAGGGGGAGGGGTTTGTGTTGGTAAATGATGAGACGTTACTATCTGATAAAGTGCTTTCTATTTGTCCACCGACAGATGTTCATTTTTATGAATATAGAATTAATGGAGGCTTTTATGAGTTTTGTTCATAATCCTAGCCGTCGATTAGTAACGGTTGATTAAAAATCGACAAGAGATGGAGCTACCAGTTAAATAAGTTATTCCATCAAATTATTTGGCAGGTGGCGTCCAAGTAGTTGAATTCAATTTAAGTCAACTCCTTTTTTTTCTGGAGGCCTTTGTGATTGTACTGATTTTTTACAATTGATTCAGCATCCTTAAAGAACCCTTGACACTTTCATCTCCGTATTAGCTTTTAAACAGACAGAGTTTTCGTCTAGAATCAATTCTTCAATAGAGAATTCAGGCTTTTCATATTCATTTCAAATGATTCAACCCGCTAACAAGTTTAATTATCATGGCTATATGATTTTAACACTGTTGACGAAAACTAACATAATCACAAGATGGCATTGTTAGTAATAATAGATAAAAAATATGTTGCACTCAAAAGTTGATTTGAGAGAGCCGAAGTAGTAAACAAATTTACAAGTTTGAAGAAAATGAAAATTAGTAGACTGATGAAGATGGAACGTAAATCTTGTGCTAATAATCAGACAAGTTCATTTAATTATCATATCTATCTTCAATAAGATAAAAGAGAATATTTAAATTCTTAAGAAAAGAAAGAAAGAGAAAAAAGGAAGCTGAGGTAAAAGTTAATAAAAATAAAACAAACTAGATATTCAGACAAACAAAACTAAGATAATTAACATTTTATTAAAATAAACACTCTATATATAGAAAAAAAGGATTTCTCATTTTTATGTCATTTAATAATTGATAAATTTAATAATTTTCTTGTTATTCTTAATTAGCATTTCTTTGTTTTTATTTATTATTTTATTAATTAGCAGGTTAATTAAGGCTACTATGCGTTGTATGCTTGATTCTTTTTTTTCAATAAGGCTCAAAAAGAGAAATGAGGTAGAAATGATTGTTAATAGAATGCGTAGGTGTTTCTTTAATAACTTTAAAATAATACTTAAACCAATCTAACAATTATATCATTTTTATTTAATTTTAAGTTATAATCTGTATGAGAGTGATAGAGAGAGTGATGAACTAGAAGACGGATGAAAGTAGGAGAAGGAAGGATAGCAGCCGCTGATGAGTGTAATAAATTTAAACGTAGATAGGTTTACCTATTATACACAGTATATATATATATATATATTTAAATTTGACAGAACTCCTATTCATATATAAGAATGCATTTATGCTAGACATGCATGAATAAACGGTTTAACATAAAAACTATATCTATTTTCGGAGTTACATATGCTAAATTAAAGAGTATCATGATTCAAAAATGAACCTTGTAGTCTTCTCCTATTCTTTTCGTCTATAATGTGTTAGTTATTAGGGCGCTTTTTTGCTTGGCGTTTGTATTTTTAATTGATAAATATTTTAATTCGATCCTCTTGTAAAAAAGAAAAAAATATTCTAAAGTAATGCCGTCGACATATTAAAAAAGATCGAGCAAATCGTCTCTGCACTGACTGCAATAAAGCTCGAGAGAGCGTCGAGAAAAGGCAACAGTAAATTTTTACTGCAAAGAAGAATGATGCGTCGGACTGCTAGTATGGACCGACTTTTATCATCCTCATTTTCTTTGGAAGGATGCCATTACGTTTTATTGGTTCATGGGTCACCTGTTAAAAGGACTCCATCTTATGTAACAATTGAGGTAATTTTTGACTATTCATTCTTTTATAGGCGTTGTTTTTCTATAACTTGTCCTTATATAGTTTTATATATGTATATCATAAACTCTATATTGCGGCACTCTACAAAAAGTACATTGTAAACATTTTGCCCTCAATGTGCACCTGCGTCGGGTCGATTACAAAAACTGAGTCGTGACAAACGTCCCATGTAATTGGTTCCTATGAGAAAAGAAACGGGTATAAACTTTGGAAAGGGATTTTAAATAGATATTAAAAAGAATTATTAAAGAGATTAAAAGAAATACTTTTGACAACGAAATAAATATCATTGATTTTTCATTATTCAATAATATTAATAATCATTTTCACTTGTTTTTTCGTAAGTTCTTTTAGACTCAGAATAGAAACTACGGAGTATAAAGTACATAATAAGATGAAGATACTTTATTAAGTATGAAATGACATGTGAATATTTTTTCATTTACGAAATCCAGACAGTTAATCGATTTGTTTCGAACTGTATACCGAATAACCTTGGTATTTATTGGGTTTTTTTCCTATCAAATTATTCTCTTCTCCCAGAGTTTTTAAATAGAGTTTATTAATTGAAAAAAATTCGACAACTACAGACTAAAATATAGAGTATTTAGGGGAATGTTGAAGCTGATAGTCTCCTCTAGATTCTCCTAATTTTGAAAGGCTATAAATAGTAACTACGTACAATGCGCACTAAAAATGATGTACTACTCTTTGTGTATATTATCTTTATGATTATATAATAAGTCTACTGATCTTTTTTCTTGACTCTTTCTTTTACAATTTCATTATTTTTTAATATCTGAGATTTATTCTTACAAAATTTTAGTCTTTGTATCTTTGTTATTCAAGATTTTTTCTAAAACTAACAATACTAATAAGGTAGAATAATTAATTTTTTTAATAACACATTATTCTTGATCATATAGTACTTGATTTCATTTCTCCTCATTTCTTTATCTTGTCTATTTTTACTAACTATAGTTTCTTGCGTTTAAGACATTTCTTAAAGATTTTGCGGTATAGGTTATTCTCTTAATAAGGTTTCATTTATTTTTAATATTGAAACTGTTTCCAAGAAATAAAATACACTTTTTTCTTGTATCCAGGGTAATTTTCTCTCTCTAAATTAAATGCAATAGTTGCACTGTAGAATATCTAAAAAAGGTGACTTTCAAAAGCGATAGAAACTGTATCACAGGAAAGTTTCTTTTAATTTAAATCTAGTAAGAGAAAAGTAGAAATGTCATATTTGCTATTTTTTCAATGGCAAAAATACTCGGAAAAAGATATTTTCAAACTTCAAAGATACAGAGGGAGAATACATTTTTTATCCATATTTATCTTCACTTTCCACTAGACTCTTATCTATCGATACAATCGATATCTTATACTGTAGGGGTTAATACCGTATAATAACGCCGCTGACCGTGCTCCATATAGTATAAATCCATTTGATTTATCTTTCCATTTCAAGTTATCCTATCTTTTGCTATATTTCCATAAACAGGAAAATAAGAAACTTTTTAATCATTTCTTTGAATACTCTCATCGTCCTCTTTCCTCGCCTTAACTCCCCTTAGTCCATCCCTCTTCCCAAGTCAACCAAAAAGTGGAAAAATAGTCGAAATTCAGCGATAGATGGCATTATATATGAATTATGGAATATTAATCTTTATTACTGTTTTGTAAAAATTTTAAGAAATGAAGATAAAAACATAATGAAGAAAAAATCAATGGGAGAGAGAAAAAAAATTAATACAGCTTTGAGTACTTTATTTTTATCGAAATGTAATATTTTAAGGTATAGAAAAAAGTGGCCAATACAATTAATTGATCTATTATATAAAATACTCAATAAAAAACATAGTTTTTCCTTTCTGAACTTAGTTCACTTTCTCTCTCTAGCCCCTCCCCCCTCCCCTCCCTCCTCCCTAGCTGTATCTACCTCTGTCCATCTATGTATATGCCTTCGTATAGAATAGTTTTTCTTTATCTCTTGATGTTACATGTACTAGTTATTTGAAATTAGAATTATAGAGGTATTCGGCGAGTTACTATTGAAGTCATGATGGTGAAAATCTAAGTAAATAAAAAATGGAGGTATACGTAAGTAAACATGAGTTTTCATAGTACTTATGTAATTTTAAAATAGAGCTGAACATATAAATCTTTTACTAGTAATATATGAATATTTTTTCATTTCATTCTTGTGACGAAATAGATTTCTTATCACTTTGTCTTTATAATAAAAAGAAAAAGAATTTTAAACGACGAGTGAAACGATAATCTTACATAAGTAATCAAGTGGAATCGCTTTTATAAAATATCCAATGAAGATTGTACCTATCTCTGACATACATATTATTTGTAACAAAATATGTTGGAATAGGAATGATGGGAAAGAAGAGCACTACAAGATGGCAGCATGAGTCGTTTTTCTTACATAGCGCAGTTTGATTTTATATGCGACTACTACATATAAATTATATATATAGACAGTATATATATTTTTTCATTTATAAGGAGTGTAGGATAGAGAGCAAGAGAAAAATATTGCTTTAGAAGTCGACTTAAAAGAGGGATTCGACACGAAAGGGTCAACTGTGCAATGATAAAGAAATAGAAATATGCGTAGCATATGCCCCTAGAAATAACAACACCCTCCTTCTTTTTTTATAGTTGGAGTAAAGAAACAGGATAAGGGATAACATAAATACTAAAGGAAGAAAATATTTACTTACAATATTTATTTAATTTAAAACATTAGGAGAAAGAATAGAGCTATCAGTATTATAATTAATCCGGATCGAATTGACCCGAATCGGCGCTCGGCGTGGAACGGCTTAACGCCAATTAGGCAGCCAGCTTCAATCGACCCTTCGAATCTTGTAGTGTGCCATATGCTTCTATAAAGATAAGATTATCCGTTCTTGTCACACTTAGTTATACTACTCGGGAAATAGTTTAGAGTAGACTCATCCAATTTTTCTTATCTATTACGTAATAGGGCTATTAAGCGAGAAAGAAACAGTTTTATTAAGTGAGATTATATAATAATGTAGAAAGTAGAAGGCAGAAGGAGAAAGAGTTAGGAGTGATTCGAGGGGAAAAAAGCAATCATGGTATGATGTTATTACGCGTGTTCTATTGTGGATCATAAATATCTTTGATTCCGGATAGAAGCAGGTGCGAACGAATTCTTAAAGACCGATTTATCTTTACGCGCCTTCAAGACGCGCCTGATACCCGACTCAACACGTGCTTTTAATTTAACAACAACGTTTTTCCTACTGCAACTGGCTAGCAGATTACAAACATTCGCTTTGGTTTGCCAGCTCCCGTACGCCTCTTAAAAATAGATAGTTGGTAAAGGTTGCCGGTGAAAGGTTTTACTCTATTGGGGCCTCCCATTTCCGATTAAATACAACATTTTAATTCTTATTTAATTTTCTTGAGGTATATGTAATCGATACGTTTTTACCGTTAATTATTTCTAAGCTGTAAGCCGTATAATTAATTTCGTATGGATGAGGAAGGGGGGGAGGAATCTAATCGTTTGAATAATATGTTTTAATCGCAAAACCCTTTGAGGAATTCAAGATTAGATTCATAACTTGTCTTATTGAAATTTACACAGATAGTGATTAGCTGAAATATTTAACTAATGGAATTCAATTTATTTATTGATTTCTATTATTTTTATAGTAATGAACAAGATATTTTTCTTTCTAAATTAGAAACAGTACTTTTTCTAGTAAACCTCTAGTTTTTATTAATGTAGACAGAGATGAGTTTCCTTCTTGTTGTATAAACATATAAAAACAAGCTAACGTTTTACTTATTCTTCATCTTCTATAAAAAAAAACGTCACTATTCGATAAAGCATCGCAAGACTGATTAGATTAATAGGTCTATGCAAAAATCATTGATAGTCCATGAAGGAGAAGAGAAGCGGAACAAGTTACTAGGTTGATAATATAGTATACTTTTAACAATAGAGTAGGATGACTTAATATTAGGAGACTACTTATTGTCATCTACGTCCTATTGAATAGTTGAAAGATTAAGGATGTCAATCTGTAAGAGTGCGTCCAGGCTAAAGCGGTCATCAATTTCTGACAAACAAGTTACTCTAAAAACGAATACCGCCTGCATAAGTAGCGGCGTGCCTATAAGAGGAAGATATTACGTTTGATCGAGCATGGAACGTGCCGGTGCTGACCATCTCTATGACCGATCCGTCGGGGCGAAAAAAGTACAAAGTCGTGATAGGCGTTTCTCTTGCGTAAAAGACACTTATAAAGCTTATTAATTAATTAAATAAGACCTCAGGCGTTTATTTTTAGTAATCTTTATATACTTAAGTCAAGCACAGATAAAAACTTACGAGGAGATATAACATATTAATTTCCCCTAATTAACTCTTAACTTAATAAATCTATTTGGACGCTGGAATCTCTTAGTCATTAGTCCACAGAGAGCTTTGATAGGGAATTCGTAACATTTGATTTTAACTGACTGATATTAAAAGATTAACCTTAATGAACCATTTAATGAGTGAGGTCTAAATATTTGGAAACTTTAAAATATCCTAAAAGTAGCAAAACTCATATGTTTTTTATCCGACAAACAATCCATAAAAATACCTATACGACTTATAAAAACTTGTTAACGGCTATAATAAGCTACCTAATTCTTTCATCTAAATAAAAAGATAGATAAGGATTAAATAGGTATAGAGATAAACGTAAATTGGTATAAAGAAGAGAAAAAATGGACCAAAGAAAGCAAGTTTAGTGAGTTGAGTGAGTGAAATAGATAATTTTTGTTATTTCACTGCTCTTCTCTCTTTTCTTAAACTATTCTTTCTAACCTCTCACTCTATTACTTTCTCTCTCGCTCTCTCTCTCTCTCTCTTTCCCTTTTACCTTCTTCCTTTATCTTCTCTGCCCATTTTTTATCCCTCCTAAACAGGGAGATTAGGAGTTTGGAAAATATCAAGTGCAAAAGGAAAAAAAAGGCATCTGTAGGCCTATCTCTTCCCCACCATAATTAATTAAAGAAAAAAAGAAAATTAGTAGCAGCTTAAACCTCAATACGATAAAACAAAATACCCATACCTAAAGTACATGCGTCAATATATCTACATATTTATATAAAGCATATAGACTGCTGATAAAATACCAATATAAAAACTATAAATGTCCTTATTATGTGTACTCTATCAAAATCAAGTTGTTCCATACTTAAGAAATAAAGATGAGAATATATAGGAAAAAGGGTAAAAAGAGGTGAAAAGGGCAAAAACAAAACTTTTATTTTTATATATGAAAATAATAGTTATACGAGTTTGAGTTTTTTCCGATAGTTCAAGCACTTTACGCGCTATTAACGTCTTACTCTTGTATTAAAAAACATATGGGCTAGAACCTTTTGAAAAGGGTAGGACTAAAATGAAAAGTCAGTAATGTTTTGATTATTAATAAAATTGTTAAGTGTATGTTTCTATTTTCTTTCTTTTTATATTTAAAAAAATATATTTTGAAGAAGTAAAAGTTCAAGCGTTGAAAAAGAAAACTTCTAAAAGTTTAATAGAGAATGAAGGAGAGCATTAAAGAAAAAGTTTATCTATAATATTTGATTTCTTATGAATAGTAAATAACTTGGATTTATTACAATATTTTTATTTATATGTAAATATATCGGTTTATCACGGGAGGGCTTACGATCCATAAAATTATATAAAGGAAGTTTTCTCTCTCCTCTCTTAATTAACTTTGGCTCGATATTTTTCCAACATTATACGCTAATACCATCGCAGGCAGTCCAACGAACTTCCAACAGACGGCGCTCAAGCTTTGTAGCGTCTTCACTTAAATTCCGCCCCTATTCCGAAGCGGATCCAATGCAGAACAGCGAAGTGGAACGACAGAATACGCCACCCCTTCCTCCACCACCAGCACCTCACATTTGTTCGCACAATTACGAAAGCATAGACGAACCACTGCCACCTCCTCCTCCACCAACTTCTGCTCAGGAAGTTAAACCTCAACTTCTCGTTCAACCTACTATGCCGTCAAGTCCTCGTCTATGTGTTACTGGCTTCCCAAGACGACGGTTAGACGCCGAAGAACCGAAGCAGAACGAGCGCAATCAGTTGAACGAATGTCGAGATTACGGTGATTATAGAGCTACAAATACGCCAGGCTCAACAACTGGTCAAGATACTTCGACATCATCAAATTCCTCTTTTAGAAGGAGAGCGGATAGTTTCGGTTTAGATAGAACACCTATAGCAAGAACAGTTGTTTGCAGTTTGTTATCAGCCTTATTTGTGTCAACTCTCCTACTCTTATGCATGTTTGGATGGTACGATTACAGCTTGAGAGTTGCTGTTACAGTGTCTGCTATGGTTCTTCTCTTCCTTTCAATCTCATTGTGCATTTCGAGGTAATAGATCATTTTAATTTATTCTTTTACATCATATTATAAAATTAAAGATATTTCCTACTTGAAATTGATCTTGTTTCTATTCGGAAGTCAAGTGTCAGTTGTTTTTGCCCATTTCCGTATATCAAGTGGCACACAAGTTATTAAGGCATTTTTTTCTATTTATTGAAAAGTAATTTATCCCATTCTTTGTATATTTATATATGATCTTTCCATCATTTTGTTTCCTTTAACTTATAAACAATCTAAACCTAAACGGTTCAATAATAAATAAGCCATATATTGTTTTCCTATTACTATCGCCAACTATTTTCATGTTGTTTTGTTCGTTTCTTTCTAGGATGGTCAGATGCGCTTTGGCCCTTATTCTACCAAGTATTATAACGACAAGAGGAAGGCTTGGATGTTTAATTCTTCTTAGTAGTTTATTATTAAAAGGTCCAGCTGACAATATCTTTCAAAACGTTGAAGAAGTTTGTAGGAGTCTTAGTTGTTCTACTGAGCAGTCTCATAATCAAACGGCCATTTTACTTCAACCATTTGACGCTATGATGCAACAGCTTAACCATACAACTAGAAAATTACAGTACGCAGCTCTCAATGTCAGCAATCGTTTTCGGCCCCTTAATCGATCCCTTATCGAAGCTGATCGATCATTGGTTAGAAGTGATAAGATAATACATCAATCGGTAACGGTGAGTGTTGTAAGGCTATATGTTGTCCTTTGTCTTGTTTTTTTCCTACATTAGTTTAAAACTAGTATTCCAAATACCCTTTATTTTCACTATTAAAAGATGGAAATTGGAAATAGTTTAAGTATTATTGCAGATGATCTAAAAAAGAAAAAAGCCAATTTCTTTAGCAAAAACTATTTTTCATCGCTACCTTCACTAATTTATTTTGCAAATTTATAAGAGAAAAAAATGTTGAAAACCTATCCTCTCTAAACAGGCCTATATATTTATATTTATAGGTTACATCAGTATTCATGGTAATTAAAATTAAACAAGTGAATAAATAAATAGGTCAATTTCACAGTTACGATAGATAAGATAAGTCAGCAAAAAATAAAAGAGTACGAGGAAGAGAGAGAGAGAGAGAGATAAATTGATATAGAAAAAGAATTTTTTTCCAAAATTTCTCTGGAAAACAACTTGAAGCAGCTGCAAAAAAATTGCCTACTCTAATAACCGAAAGAATTTTTCACTATCCCATCAAGAGATCGCCCTAATCGACCTTAAAGTAAATTCTTTCTATCGTATACACCATCTTTTAATTACCATTAATTATAATACTTTATATTTTCTTAACTTTTATTTAAAGTATTCCCTTACATTTCGAATTTTGCTAGCCGTAAAATATTATACGGAATAGAGTTAGTGAAGTGTAAAGGTGAAGGTCGTTCTGATTGGATGCATTTTAATGAAATGTTTGACAAATTTATTGACTGTTTAAAATAGAAACTTGTCGTATCTGTCCATCAAAGGAAAAATATATGTTTACACCAACAGGGGGAGCTTTGAATTGTTATCTTTTCCAATGTTTTTTATTTCTGATATTGCTCCTAGTAATAACGATGAGTAGATAAATTAATTACAGACACTTGCGGTAAATAAACGCAATTTATTGGCTGTTTATTGCAATAGGGATAATTTAAGACGTACTGCAACAGAAGGCGTAAATAAAATATTACGTTATTCAAAAATATTAACATTTTGTAGTCTACACAGCAAAAAAAAGAGTACGATCAGGGTTTGTAAGAGAAGGGGAAGAAATTAGGAAAGAAGAAAAAACCACCTGTTAAACGTCAATCAAAATATAAACATTCTGTTGCAGAACTGCCGTAATTTGATAAAAAAAGCCCATGCCGATTGTGAAAATGGTATACAAGAAGCTAGATCAAGGTGCGACAAGATAGTTGAATCGATAGCAGATGTGGTAATGACCGCTCAGAGTTTTTTCAAAAAATTAGAAACAAACATACCAAACGATCATATAGAGAAGCGGAGGGCAGAGGAAGAGAAATCGGCTCGACCAAAAACTAATGAAGACCGATCCAAGTTAATGTGTAAGCCCCTGCAGACTGGCAGTGTTTGTTCGACTTTAGCTAATCCGAAAAATCTGTGCGTCGAATCAGACAATGCTGGAGGAGCTATTAGAAGGGCAATTAACGCTACTCAATCAGCTATGGAAAAATTGGAAAATTCATTACATTTTTCAGTATCACCAAGTGTTAAAGGATGGATAGACAAAGGAGGAGGAGGAGGACGAGGAGGATTAAAATCAAATCAGAATAAGACAGTATCATTATCAATATCCGAAAGGATAGAAAAAAAATTCAGAAAAAGAATTGAATATGTTCAATTAGCTATTGAAATTCTTCATAAAATGTTACCTATTTCGCTTTTATTAATTGCAAACTCGGCATTTAGACATATAAAAGTAACACCGGATAATCGTTTTTATATCTAAATAATTAATCCTTACTTAATCCTTAAATATTTTATTATTTGATTACGTACACGATAGAAGTATTTAAAGAAAACAGCCCTCAAGTTAAGACAGAAAAATACGAGCGTTTTAACCTTTTTGACCCTTTTTATATAAACAAAATAGAGCAGTTTGGTATCAAGCCGGTAAAGTTTTAAGATGTATTATATCAATAAGGAATTGTTTAAATCTATATAACAATAAGTATTCTTATATCCGGTGATACTTTTCTTAATAAGTTCTACTTGACTGATATTCGCTATGATAATACTTACGTATCGAGAAGAGCTGGAAAATTGGATGCGAGAAGGAAAGAAGTTGGTTCTGTACCTCTACTACCTCTTCGTAGATATGAAAAAAGGACTGTTTCCGATGTTTCCGGTTCCGCTGAATTAACGGCAGCCGAAGAAAAACTCTATTCCGTTGGACTGTGTGTTCTCCTACTCCACTTTTTGCTTGCTTTCGCTTTATATTCATTTGATTTTCTCCTTTATTGGGTACTCAGTTTAATTACTAAGAATTCTAGTGGTTTAAATCTTGAGAATGATCCGATAGTTTCATCAAGAATATCCTTGAGGGGAGAAGGTGCACTTTTTGAACTTCTTCATATATTTATATCTTCATTCAATTTGGGTAGTATGTCCAACTATGCACAAGCAGTCGATTCCCGAAAGTGCTTGCCGAAGCCCAACTCTCCTAAACTTTTATATTTGTTTGTTTTATTAATCTTGTATATTGTATTGCTAGTCACCCTTCTACTCAAAGCCTATATATTCCGAATTCGGGCCAGGTTATCTGCTTATTTCTATCCGGAAAGGGAAAAAGCTAGATTAGTTCACCTATATTCTAAGCTTTTGATGAGGAGATCCAAAGCCGGGATAAGCCTCTCAAATAGAGTTCGAGAAGAACAATTGAAGAGAGATTTACAAAGAGAGGTTAGCATCTTCAGGAGGTTAGCTTCAATTTGCCCACCTTTGAAACCTTTAGTATTTGGCCCAAGAAAGTGCTTGGCGTGCAACGCTCTAGAAGAGCACGGTTTTGTCGATTGTTCAACAGCTGGTTGTTGCGGTTTCTATTGCCCCGATTGTTTCCTCGACCTCGGTAGAGTTTGTACTTTATGCGAACGATTTTTTAGAAGAAGTGGAGGATTTGCTTGTGAAGAAGAGGAAGAATACGAAGATGAATTCGGTGAATTTGAAGAAATCTCTTTAGCATATGACAAGAGAGTATACTTGTAAAGAAGATAATGAATAAGCTGCTGTTTCAAGAAATATCTTTCTATTTCCAACAATTCTACTTACTATAAGATATCGACAAAAAATTTCAGCAATGAACAACTATATCAAGGATAAAACTGGCATTTATTCAAGTTTTTAAATGTAAAATACTCTAAACTGTATGTCTTTTTTTTTGCCAACATAATATGAACTAGAACATCTTATGATTCATATGTTTATATATATATATATATTTATATATTATTTATAAAGAAGCACACAATTTCCTGTTGTTTAGACTGCACTGTCAGGATATAAAGTAGATGGCGCTTCAAAACTATTATACAAATAAACACAACATTTTCAAGATATATAAACAAAAACATTAACGCTAGTTACTATAAATGTTCTTGACATTTTCAATAAAAGAAATTAAAGGATAGACTTTTTAATACTACAGAAAGGTAATAATATTTATCTTTCTCTTATCAAGTCGTAGTGTATTACAAAAAGACGCCTATAAATGATAATTGGAAGAAGAGAACAAAAAAAAGGCGAAAAGGGATATGTAAGATACGTTAAAATAATAAAAATAACAAAGCAGAAGCAACTAGATTTTCATCTAGCTTGTACTTTTGTAAAGTTCAGAAGAAAAGATAAGATGCATATAACTTTCTGATTCGTAAATGTCAACGATTAATTGCAGTATAAACATAGTCTATAAATTAGATAATAAGGGTTAAAAAAAATTCCTGATAGGGTAGTAAATATATATTCTATGTTTTTAGGTCAAAATCAAATCAATTAAAACCTTTTAGTTAGGGAAAATAAATAGAAATAAACGTTTTTACAATTTTCTGCATTTAGCAAATATGCACCTCCCTCCACTTTCATTTCATCTTAAAAAGAAGAAAATAAACTGAAATCTTTTTATATTTTATAGATTCAAGGTAAGAAAGAAATTGTTTATATATAATAAATATATGATAAAATTACTTTAAATAGTATATATACTTTATATATATATACTTTTATTGAAAAATAAAATTCCTATTAAGTAGTAATTTGCATAGTTGGATGAAGAAGAAAGAGAGAATTTATGAATGAATGAATGAATGAACGACTGCATGAATGGAGAATAGATATAACAAAATAGTCAATAAAAAGAAAATGATGTAAGGATAAATGTTTTCGTTATTAACTCAGCACCACCATTATTATTTTTTCTTCCCTTCTTTTCCAGTTGAATAAATCTTGGAAAAAGTTCTCTTTTTTTGTCCGAATTCTTTCTCTTATACGATTAAGTATCGAAATATTTACTCTTTGCATTAAATTTCTCATTCACTCTCTTCAGAAGAGCTGGACTATTTGTTAACGGATTTCGACATACAATTAAAGTTATTTCGTCTGCACATCTTGCAAGGAGACAGGCCACCTGTCGGCAATCTAGTAGCCTTGTTGAAGTTTCATTAATTTGCAAAATTCGATCATAGACTTTCAAAACACCGGATGCGGGTGAATTAGGTTTAATGGCGCTTATGTAAACTCCTTTTTCATATACCCCATCCGATAAGCTAAAACCAAAAGGTTCACTTGATAGCCTTTTTACGATAATTCTCTCTAATTGAACAGGTGTAGGTCTAAAAACTGTTTGAATTTGCCTTTCGACTTCCCGTAGCTGCTCGTCACAACTTTCCTTCCTCTTTTCCCAAGGATCATTGGAACTAATGGTATTATCACTAAGCTCTGATAGGCGTTCCCAGATTTCATTTTCATTTCGACGCTGGACGGTTGATTGACTTCTCCTTAGTGATTTCGGCGTCTTAGCAGAGGGAGATGAAGGATTGCTTAATTCTTCCTCTTCAGGATCTTGTCGTCGTATTTTCAGAGTAACTATGTCATTACAGTCGTCTTGCAGTAACAGCGCTACTCGTTCCGGTTCTATTCCCACAACGCCAACTCCATCGACGCTTAAAAGTTCATCACCAACTCGTACGACATTGGAACGATGGGCAACGCTCCCAGTACGAACCTTGTTAAATGAAAAAACAAAATTATCTCTTCTACCGAAAGATGGCGCTATTTCTTCTCTAATTACTTTACCTGTGATACTTTGGCAACACACTCTTCCGTGTCATGATTTCGGTTATTGATATGTCGAGGGGCTGAGACAGTTAATCCTAAAGACTTAGCCGCTCTTCTAGGCAGTTTGACAGTTAAAATGCCATAGGCTTCACTCAGCGAATCGGATATATCAAATTCGAAAGTAACTAAATAATCTTGCTCGATATGAGATGAGAGGAGAGACGTGATTTGATTCAGGTTCAATGAATTTAGGTCTATATTACTAATCGACAATATTCTATCCCCTATAATATAAAAAATACATATTTTTTATTGCATCATTCCAAAGCGATTTTTTTTTGTAATTCGTTTATACAGCTACGTATCTAGAAGTATACCAATAATGCATATATATCTATAATCTGTATATACATATATATATATATATATATGCATTTCTCCATCAATTTCAACTTGAAAGGGTATTGCGAACATCTCAAAACATGCTTGACATAATTATCTTACATATAAAAATAATCGATTTAAGCCTATAAATGTGTTAATTAACCATTATTTTTACGCCTAAGGGGCCTTTCTTTTCGGATGAAAATACCCTTGACATTCGTCGCAAGAAAGTGTAAAAGTATGATTCTGGATTTTTTCAGTCCTTAAATATTCTTCAAGGAGTTACTCTGCATAAAATACGTCTATTATTTGCTTGTGCTTTCTTTCTTCAGTATTCCCTCTCAAAGGATTCATATTTTATTAGATGAAAGAAAAAGAATATAAGGAAATTTGTATGTTTTCCAACACTTAATACCTCGTAGCCTATTGTTTGAGCCTTTCAAGCATGTAGCTGCTTGTTTTTATGGCTCTATGAGTCTTTCGGGCTGGGTTAGAATAGATTTTAATTTGAATTAGCTTTACGAGTTAGATTAATTAAGTGAGATTATCCACGATGGTAAAAAAGGCTACTAAAATGATTTATGAGCTAGCTTCTTAAGCAATCACAATAAAGTAATGACCTTCAAATATAACTCCAGTCTGCCATGCGTTTCCACCAACAAATACTTCACTAGCAACTAGTTGAGATCCCTCCTTTTCCAACAAAAGACCGCAAGGAGTTTTCAAGGAAACTTTATGTGTATGTGTTCTACGAACGGACGGTAAAGAAGACCCACGGAACAAACCGTCTCTTCTTGACGTTGATACAGAGGATGATGAGGCTTAAAGGAAAATAAAAAGAAGAGGGAATGAATTATTTACCAAAAGAGTGACGTCAAACTCATAAAATGCAACTCCTTATATCAAATAGCCTATGAAGATTCTTTTACTTGTTAGTAAAGAAAACAGACAGGTCAAAAAAAGGCTGTTTATAACTATACTGTTTGTAAGAGATTCTCTTTTTTTGCCTATTTGTACCACTTATTATTTAGGAATGAGCACAAAAAGAAAAGCTCCCAACACCCTCAACCGTTCCCTAATTAGACCGACTATAATTTTTTCTAATCACTACAAACTCCTATTTGGCCTAATTAGCAAAAGGCATTTACAGTGTGTGTGTGTTTCTTATTTTTTACTTTTATTTAATCAATTTACATTTCTGCCAATAAAATAAGAAAGATAAGCATAAAAGATAGATTAGGGTTGAAATAACAAAAAGAAGAATAAAAGAAGGGGAGTTTGGGGAAGATATTATAAAAACAGAAAAAGGATGGAATTTACAGATTTTTGTATATATACAGTATATATATATATATATATAGAGTATATAAAAAAGGAGATTTTTTACGTTTCTTAGGCCTATAATGCAAATAAAATTCTGATAAAATCCAATATAGAAAAAAGAGAAGGAAATTAGCAAAAAAATAAACAGTATTAAGTAAAATAACACACAAGGCTATTAATAAATATTCATAAAAACAAATAAAATATTTTTTTTCAACCGGAAGTTATTAATTAAAGTTAATATTTTAGAGATATCTTTTTTTTATTATGTTTATATCTCTATATCTATGTATTTGGAACATGCGTATTCACCACTTTCTTTTTGAAAAGCTTCTCGAATATCATCAACGCTTTTTGTTTGACGAATAGCATTTTTAGGACGTTCATTTTGCCGGACGTCAGGCGTCGATTCTATTAAATTATGCATACGTAAAATATAGTTTTACAATCTGAGTTATACATTTATATTTATATTTTTTCCTCCTTTTTACCTAGTTTAATGCTAAAGAAAGGAAAAAAATTGCCTATAAATTATCGCAAATTGAAGGGAAAAGGCTACAAAAAATAACAGTTTGCTTCATCTCTTTAACTCTGATAGACAAAATTACACTAAATAGTAAAAGAGGAAGAAGAAAGAGAAGAAGAACAAGAAGAAGAACAAGAAGAGGAACAAGAAGAAGGAGTAGTTGTTGTTGCAGTAGTAGTAGCAATAGCAGTAGAAGGTGGTAAAGGAAAAAAAAATACAAGATAAATTTCTAGGCCTACTCACTGTCGGAAGTTCGCGACGAATTTAGAATGCTAGACGTTCTTGATATGGCGCCGTTCTGAAAAAAAAGGGAAAAAGGGAAGAGAATAGTGGATGGAAAAGGTGGTAGAAAAAAATATATAAATATATATATACATATACTGTATATATATATATATAAAATGATAAACGTATACTAAATTATTAATTTTCTCTTTAACTACCTGAGTTTTTTCTTTTTTTTATCATTATATTCTTTTATATGCAATTAATAGTCTTCTAAATCGGATTATATTAGAATTTATCCTACCTTGGTTGTTCTTATTTCGGAATTTTGTCTACTTTCAAAACCTTTACCATCTTGACAATTCAACTGAAAGGTATTTGATTTCGAATCATTGTTCTCCGATTCAGCGTATTCCTTATCGGTTATGACTAAAGACACTTCTGGATTAATCAAATGGCGAGGTAGAATTTCAACTTTGACCTACAAGAATTTAATTAAATATAAATAATTGTTTTGTATGTTTTTCTTTCGTTTGAAGACAAATAAGCATAATGATAGTCATTATCTACGAAGAGATTCTGGAATAAGAAGAAAGGAGTACATATTGTTAAAACGAGTACAAGACAAAGAAACGGGAAGATAAAGATGGTTGGAGAGGGAGAGATTGGAAAAAAAGAAAATCTAGCAATAATCAATATAGAAACGCAAACTATTATAAAAATGTTATAATTCTCCTTAATTATTTCACTAGAAAGACTGGCTTATAGATTTTCTTGTACGAAGAAATTTTTAAATGATTAAAAGAAAATAGAATAAAATATTCTTAAACCATCTACTGCTCGCGTTTATTAGTTTATTACTGTAAAGGAAATAAGAGGGAAGAGAGTTAGGGGAGTATGGAAAAAAAGCTTAAAGTTTGTTTTCTTTTTTTTTCTGTAAAGTAAAGTAGCTTTAACTTACTTCTGCAGCAGGAGACCACTGCATAAGTTGCTGAGCTTCTTTGATGGATATGTTCAAGGTCGGTACGTTATCAATTGATAAGACATGATCGCCGGGCTTTACAGCACCGCAACGGTCCGCAACACCGGCAGGGATAACCTGAAAAGATATAAGGTAAAACATCCACTTATTAATTCTATTATTATGACTTTTCTTTCAAAAACAAATTTATTAGCAATCAACTATAGCTGACAGTTTATTGGACTCAAACCGCCAAAAGTCGTTAGGATCTGGTAAATACTCGCTAGGTGGCGATTAAGAAATATTTCGCAATTGAATATGGTAAGTATATCACGACAAGAAAATAAAATAGTCACCAACCCTCTCAACTCGAAATCTTGACGACGTCCCATACATAATTTTACTCAACTCAACGCCCAGAATGACGCCTGGGTTTTTTTCAATTTCCAAAAGAACTTGTGCCTTTGATTCTAAAATTGCAGTAACAATGCTGACGTCGTATTCCAATAACAGTTCGATAAATGAATCTTCCTCAAAACGTAAACGGAGTAGATCAACTACTTCGTTAAGCGGCAAATTTACAGTCGAGACGGTGTTTACCCTCAAAATCCTATCTCCAGGCCTAATTATACCGCATTTATCCGCCGGAGAATTCGGTCTAACTCTTGTCACAGTAATAGGCCTAGACAATTTGGAATCTGACTGAATTCCACCGCGTGCAGTTAATCCAAGATTATCAGCTTCTGTACGTCGTATCTGGACAATTGTAGTTTTGCGTCGAACGTTAGAGGATGTATGAATGTGCTTGGGTGGAAGAGGATACTCGAGGTCAAGCGGTACGACTTTTTCACAGAAGCGAACCAGATCAACCACCTTCATTATAATGAAGAAAATTGATATAAAAAATTCATTATAAAAAAGAATATGCATCATAAAGAAGGCGTGGATTTTAAGGTATTACTGTATATACAAAAGAGATGAGCCTATAGGCTGATGTGCATTGGATTGATTAAAGATAGAATAAGACGAAAGATAATGTTTAAGACGTACTTCTGAATGCGTTAGTTGATCCGTCCTTTTACCGTCGATTGCAATAATGACGTCACCAACGTCTACTAAGTCCGATCTGCAAGAGAAAAGTTTGTTTATGCATAGTACACAGTACACTAGATAATATATAAAGTTAGAGAAAGAAAGACAATCCTCCTTCTCTGTCTGCATAGATGAAATTAAAGACTTCTTCCAATGAAAATAACGAAAGAACAGAGCGATGGAAGTAAAGAAGCGTAAAAAAAGTAAAAAATTCAACATAAGTAACGATCAAATATATCGATAAATAATAAGAATAATTAAATATCTTTCGACTAGAGTATTGCAATTGATCGGAAGAAACGTTTGATCCTTTAGTTAATCATGCAAGAAATATCCTTCAAGTTTATAAGAGAGTTTCTTTATTTAAGCGTACATCTTTATAAAATTAGGGAAATTAATTTTGAATTATTTTCACCAACAATCTACTAATCTACTATATTTCGTTACTGATATTAATCTTTTTGGCGTAAAGAAAAAAACTGCAAAGTATCTCTTCTAACCAAGAGAGAGAGAGAGATTTTACTCATGAATAATTTACAGTTTTTTTTCAGATCCTACGAAAATAATTAATGAGTACAAGAAATTCATCCCTTGTATGCAAATACGTTAAAAAACTAACTACTTTTTCTCTTTTCTTTTATGGAAATAGAAGGAAATAATATAGATTACTTATATTTTAAGTATATGAAATCAGTAAAAGCAAAGATGAAGAGAAATGAGCAGGAGAGGGAAGATGAGCAGATGATAGAGTAAAGAGAGCCGTGGAGGGAGAGAGAGAGATATATACGAAAGAAAGGAAAGAGCAGGACGGTAATGTTAGTATAAGGGGGAAGGAAAGTGAGGTCAATTAAATTCTCTTTTTTTTCCTCTATCCTTTTTTAATTAGTTATCGAATTCTATCTTTTTTCTTAATTCTCTTTCCTTCTCTCTCTCTCTCTCTCTTTTATATTCTCTTTTCACTTTGTTGCATCAAAAACACTAATTCTATAAATTCAGAGTTTTGCTAAATGATTCTTTTTCTACTTATTTAATGAGCCCTTTCTACACGTCTAATGAAAAAAATACCATTAATATATTATTTTATCATTAAAAATATATTAATCTAAGAGAACTACACGCCATTTTATAGATTTATAATCCGATCATACTTTTATTGAATTTGCGAAAGACATTAACACCTGGTGCCTTTAAACTACGAAGAGTCATAATGAATAATTAAAACGGGGTTATTGAACCTACCCATTTGCGTTATGTCGGTTCTGGAGAGTTTTTGTGGTTTACAACTCAATTAGGGCCTACAGAATGGAATTTAGGCCAATAGCAGAATGATGAATCACGCTCTTCCAGGCGCGTTTATCACAGCAAACTCTACGCCAGATAAACGCTAAAGTATCGAGTAAACAAACAAACAAAGCACGTGCGAAAGTTTTTCGTATTAGATCGAGGCTTTGCGTCGGTTTTTTAGGTGAAAAACAAGGGTGAGCAGCTTTGGAATGAAAACAGTCAGATAGTTGAAATGTGAGGAAAACGAAAAAGAAAAAAGAGTGAGATAGAGACAGAGAGAGAGAGAGAGAGAGAGAGAGAGAGAGATAGATAGATAGATAGAAAAGAAGGCGAACAGTAGGAAATGCGCTTTTCCCCTTTGTTTATTCGCCCTTTCACGTTCCCCTTTAATTAATCCTTTTGCAGATTTTTTTTAGTATAAAACAAAAGAAAAGAAGAGAGTAAAGATCCTCTCATCGCCTTACCGATATGCCACACCCCCGGGCCGCAGATAAGACACTCTTGGTCTGCATTCTTTATCAGCACCTCCTGATATAACCAATCCCAATCCACTATCATTATCTGACCGTTCCAAATCGACGTGCACACAACCCCTTCCGCGTTCTTCTACAGATGTGACGTAATCTATTTCAAATTCGGCTCTCTTCCTGAAAGCTGCCGTTGCAAACCTGTCCGGTTTCCTCCATTCGTCTTCTGTGAAAAAATCTTTATCGTAAATGTTCTGATTAAGAAAGAAAAAAGAACTATATAGGCTTAAATTTTCAATATAAACAGAACTAAATAGAACTGAGGAGGTCTTTCTTTTGTTTATTACAAACTGTAAAGAAGAAGCATTTAACAAATAAATAACGTTAAGTCTAAAGTGAAGGAAAACTTGGGGCAGAAATTCATTTAAATTATCAGTCTTAATAGCTTTAAAACAGGAAGTAAGTTTTCGATTCTCTCTCTATTGCTAATACAGTATGCTTCTACACTTTAATGACCCTCACTCTTTTTCATTTTATCTGCTTCTATTTCATCTTTGCTCCACCTTTTCCTAACCTTTTCAGTTTACCCTTCACAAATGACTGGCACGTTAAAAGGCATCCGTTGACGAAAAATTTGTTAAAAAAAGAAAAAAGTGAATTGTAGAAGTATTTTAACATAGAAACTAATTTAAATAGGAAGAACCTAAGGGCAAATTGAAGTAGAACGATATAGAAAGGACAAATTTTCACTGGCAGAAATCAATGAACAATGCTCTTCCACTCGAACTTGTACAAACTAACGTAGTTATCGTTTTCCCTTTGCACTTTACCAAACTACAAAATTAATCATGAACTTCTTCACTAGTAAACCATGCAAATTACTTAATCAAACTTAATTGAATAAATATAATCTCTTAACACTTTAATACAGTAAATAATATCACGAATATATTTTTGCTTTATAATGGAGAGTATAGCCAGCTATAATAATAAATGTAATATATACATGTTTGTATCATAAAGGACATTTCCGCTTTTACACATTGAAAGAATTGAATGAAAAAGAAAATATCTATTAAGTAATGTGAAATTATATTAATGCTTGTAATAATTAATTGATAACAAATACATTTTCATAAAAGGGTATACTCATATAATCTATACAAACTTTACATGTTTATACGGAAGTTAACTATGTAATGAAAATAAAAATTATGTAAAGTAATATTACAAGATTGTTTACTCTTATTAAATGTAAGAGATCGTGGAGAATAACTACGAACTATTGTATTTATTATATAAATTTATTACATACAGGGTATACAGTATAACATATATAAAATCTTATATCTTCTATATATAGTATTTACTGCATATATATATAGTATATAATGAAATATATTATAAAATTGGTCCAAATTATAATCCTATAAAATACTATTTTTTATTGGTTTCTTTCCTTGGTCAGTTTTATTCCTCATGCTTTTTATCGAAAATTATATTTTGTGCATAAATTCCCTAGAGACTAAAATATACAATTCTCTCTCTCTCTAGTTTTCCCTCTCTTACGTTTCTACTACAAAAGGAGGAAAAGTGGTCTGCCTACACGTTGAAAAAGTTTGCTCTATTCAGGTTACTGTCCATTAGGCTTGATAATCACGTGATGCTTACACATACACTGTTTAATAGTATTAACAAAGCGGATAAAGACAACTGGTACTAGAGATTTAAGTAAGTGAAATTATAGCTGGTAAGGGTGTACAAGAATAACTATTAGCCTATAGTCAAACACCACAGCTAATCAACGTACCGCAAAACGAACGTGTTCTGAAGCTAAAGCAGATAAACAAATCCGTCTGTAAAGCGTAAAAGTGACGTTGAACTTTAATTAATTCGAAAATTTCGTGTTTTTTCAAGTTGAACTTTTGTAAAAGAAGGCAAACAAACGTTCTTATCATTCTTTCAACGGAAATGAAACGATCTTCACCTGCGAACATTTAAGACTATCGATCATTTTTATTGTGACCGCAATTTTTAAGACGACGAGCCAGTTAAAGAGATTTCCCTTCCTCTTCTAAAAAATCATTATCGTTGACAATTACAAGTGAAATTAAATTTTCTATTTTTTTTATTACTTGATTCCTTTATTTTCTAAAGAAAATAAGAGAATATAAAGAACTGGGGAAGGGCAAGAGAAGAAGATTGAAAGAAAGAAAAAGTCAATAAAAGAAAGAGAAAACCTTTAAGACCGCATTATTTTCTTTTCGTTAGGAAAGGTAAGCTATAAAGATTTCGTTAGATGATAATTCAATCAGGGGGCCTAACGAAAACCAAGGGAGATAAGGTAGAATCACGTGATCAACAGATATACCTAGGCCTTTACACAATTTAATTTTATCCCTAATTTGAAAAATAACCACTACAAGGATTTGAGTCAATGTATAATGTTTCCTCAAAACATAGGCTTTATCTAGGGTAAGGTTTGCGGTTTGCTCTATAAATTGTATGTTTAACATAGTTGATAATATTTTACTGGAAGAATAACATCTGTAAGTCGTAGAAAGAAAGAGGTCAACCATAACGAAAAATATAAATTACAATTATATACAAATCTCTTCGTGGTTTTTAAATATTTTCAACCCTTTGGGTATTACTGTTGATCTTTATTTTTAAAAAAAAAGAGGAAGAAAGAGGATCCTCCTACACAACATACACATCAGCTTTCTCTTAAAATTTTATCAAATCTAAAGCAAATGGTCTAAATAAATAGTATAGAGGTATATATAGCATATACATATATATATATATATATATTAGTATATATACTTTGTATAATATTTATGTACGAGGTATCTATTAAAGAATACACTGTATATATATTTATATACAATATATAGTACATATATGCAAACCTAGACAAACATTCTTAGGAACACACATACACCATACATACATATATATATATATATATACATATATACATGCACAGACTCACACATAGCAAACATACACAACACAACCACATACACCTACATACATACTGTATATGTACGTATGTGTGCATGGTATTATTGGATTTAATCAATCTCAACTATCCTTCCTTCTCGAACGAGCAGTTATCTCGGTTAGAACCAGTTTGTTCCAACCGACAATAAACACCTGTTTTTGGTTTAGGAAGGCGAGAGAACGATTAGACCAGTTATACTTCTGTAAGATATGTTTAGATTTTTATGAAGGAAACCCTATAAAACGTAATAACTCGTCTATTTTTTTATCATGTTAGACAGATAGTGATGTTATTTATGAACACGTTTAAAACATCTGTTCTATTTATAGCTAATTCAGTGTTAAACATATATTAAGTCCTGTATATAAATATGTATGTAGATATATAAAAATATATATAAATATATACTAATATATATATATATATGTGTGTGTGTATGTGTGTATGTGTGAGTCTGTGTGTCTAATATATGTATATGTTCATAATACGTTTATACATACAGACAAATGTATATTTATAAGGAATATTTAAAAAAAATCAAGGAATTATAGGGGTTGTGTTCTGAGGGTTTAAACGAAATTAATTAATTAAAAAAAAGTTTTAAACAGCTTTCATTTTTTTTTACTTTATAATAGAAAAGTTTTTTCTTTTATTTTTAGATTTAAAAAAAATATTTCCAAACAAATATCACACCTGTGGAGAAAGTTTTTTTTTTTAAAAGGTGTTTTCAATACAAAAGTACTTTACAGGCAAAACTAGCTTTTTACGCTATCCATTAACCAGTTAACAGAAAAATACTTTAACAATCATACACTCCCTCATACTTAATATTGCCTATAAGACAGACTTTCCCTTTTAATAAATAGATATAACTTAACGTTAGATTTAATAAAGAATTAATCAACCAATAATAAAAAGAATCTCTGATGTAAACATTTTTGTATTATGACAAACAAGCAAACTGCACTTTCTACGATTTCATAGCCGCCGGAAATCGTTTCGTTAAAAGCTCTAACAAAAATCGCTGTGTATTTTATAGTAACGAGTTTGCTAACGCGGCTGCCTCTATTGAAACGGTATGGAAATAAAACGAGCAATTTCCGTAATGAGCCCAATCTTTAGAACGTGTCTATGAATAAAATTTCTCTTATTACCCGATTTTTGGTAGTAAAACGATATACCACAAACTATCACATGACCAGCTACCTGAGAAATACATTCAGTGCTCCGACTGTTGTCAAAGTTCGCTATTAATATTTAAAGCAGATCTAGTCAATATGCATATAGGGAGGATTTCATTCTAGTCAGATCAATTAACTGAATAGTTTCATTTAGAAAGCGCTGTGATTCAAGTACTATTCAACCTTTTATTCCCACTTGCTTTTTACTTTCAGACAGATACGCATATACTGTATATGCAGTATTAGTATATATATTAATATATATATAGTTTTGACTGATCCAGATACAATTTTATCTATCATTCCTACTTGATAGGATCTGACCATGTTTTCATTTTATTCTTTTATAATCGTAGTAAAGTATTACGAACATAAAGTCTATTCCCAACAGTCGGCATCAATTCATCTAAGATGAAAAAATGTTAAAATCCTACCAAACTGTACTGCAAGACGAATGTCTCTCAAATTTTCAAGTTCTAGTGATACTCTATCTGTTTTCTAATGGTCTCTTCTAAACAACACCTATGTATAGAAATGATATATACGAACCGGTGCGTTTGTCGCCCAAGCACTGTAGCATTCCCAGAGGCTATAATATGAGAATAAATCGAAGTGACAGCTTTATTACATTCCTACTAATTATCTGTCGATTTCCAATCGATATCGATTTAATCCGTCAATAAGATATCTTAGCTGTTTGTCTTTGTAATCAACAGCCTTAATTCCTATAGTCAGTGAAGTTTGGCAAAAAGTCAAAAAAAGTTTGCAGTAGTCGATTCTTGTTTATATAGCAAATTTTTAATTAATCCTTTTTTCCAATAGAATCCTTCATCCAGCCTTTCTTGTTTATTCTTTACATTTATTATAATTAAATTAAGATCATTAGCATGAAAGTACACTTTTCTATTTATTAAGACAAGCAGTAAAATATGAGCGATAATTTAGTTCTTTCCCTATAGATTTTCGTCGACTGCTGTTTTGCAGTTTTTTCTATAGTATATAAGCAGACTGTAAATGAAAAAGAGATCTTTACCGTCGCTCATTGGTTGAGTTTTGCGTAACGTTGGAAATTATCCAATCAGCGTCTTTCAAAATCCTTTTATAAAATTACTAATATTCGTCCAAATAAAAAACAACAGCAAAATCAGTAATGATCCGATCAAGTAAAGCAGGACATTAGCCAAAATTGACCTTGAACTTTGATATAGTAGACAAGAGGAAACTTCTTCCCCTCTCGAAACCCGCTTTTTTCAGTCTGCTGAGTGTATTACTATAAAACTTGAAAATACATAAAAACTATATATAAACAATAAGTATTTAAATAAAAAGTCATATAAAATATAATAAATAAATGAAATTAGAGGATATTTTAATATTTGAAACACATCCCTTGTTTAATAAATCCTCCTGAAAAACAACAACAACGCACTAAATTTTCCAGCTGCGCAGTAATACACATACACCGATCGATAAATTTCGAGAAATATACATTTAGAACCGGAGAAAAAAATCCCTATTACCTTTACTAAACCTCTATATATAATAAATTTTCTGTGCATTTTCGAGAGGAAATACATCAAATTATGGATGAGGAATATGATTTTATAGTTTTAGGAACAGGATTAAAAGTAATCAATGCTTAAAATTTTTAAGTAAGCAATCATCAACGCCCCTATTCTCCTTTTCTTTCTTTTTCAACAGGAATGTATTCTCTCCGGTCTGATGTCTGTTTCGGGGAAGAAGGTGTTGCATATGGACAGAAATGATTATTATGGTGGTCAAAGCGCTTCAATTACACCCATAGACCAGGTATAAAACATTTGTACAATACAACTGCTTAAAGTAAACCGTATTGTCGTTTCCAGTTCTATAGATACTTCGGAAAACAGTATGAAATTCCTCTATTAGAAGAGAAATTTGGGAAACTAAGGGATTGGAATGTTGATCTTGTACCAAAATTCTTGATGGCTAATGGTATTTACTCTCACATATAAATATACTTTTGTGTGCATATATATATGTGCATGCAAGATATAGATTACTTTACGTATTTGGGCATAAAAGGGAATTTTTACTTGGACTGTAGATAAGGACCTATTAGCTGTGAAAGAGTGTTTATTCAACTTGTTAATAGGGTAATTCCCAGTGATTTATTCTCTAATCTACAAAAAAGAAACAAGAAAAAAGGATATCTATATATATATTGTATATAAGTCAAACATTTAGCTCTTCGGCTATAGATTGATTAAATATGACTGTAAATATTCCTGTAAATGGGGTGATAAAAGGTTAAATAGAACTTTTTATAACGCAGTTTTCCGTCAAGACGGAAACGGATATGATAAAGAATCAATTCCTTATTGATAATCAACTAAAAAAATGAAAGGAACAAAAATAATTCATTATTTATAATAGAGAGAAAATTAATTATTACATCTACTAATATATACACAATATATATATGGTACAAGATGTGTATTAGAGCATAAAATGGACGTTCTCTCCTTTTATTTCTATTTTCTTTACCAATATATTAAACCTATATACAGTACGTCATAAATTATTTTTATATAATAGATATTATATTGTCACCACCCTCCATGCTCCCCCATTTCTTCTTTCCTTTTTTCGCTTTACTCCAAGTTGTATTTGTAATCAATATGGATTCTGTAATTACTAAATAACAAAAAAAGTTAAATTCAATATTTTACAATAAACAGGTGAATTAGTAAAGCTTCTTATCCATACTGGCGTAACGAGATATTTGGAATTCAAGCCTATAGAAGGATCTTATGTTTATAAGAAAGGCAGTGGGATTTGCAAAGTACCATCTAATGAAACAGAGGCAATGAAAAGCGAAATGATGGGATTATTGGAAAAGAGAAGATTTCAAAAATTCTTACAATTCTGCTCCGAGGTAGATGAAAAGGATGAATCAACTTGGAAAAATATGGATCTAAGAAACATAAAAACCAATGAATTCTATGACAAATTCGGTTTAGAAGAGGAAACTAGGACTTTTACGGGTCACGCTCTCGCTTTATATATAGATGATTCCTACCTAAATGAATCGGCTATTGATTTGATAGTTAAATGCAAATTGTACAATGAAAGCCTATGCAGGTAAGAGTTAAGGGGAGGGAATTTTTTTTATCTCTAAAATCAAAGAAAATAAATAAATCCAATAAACAGTATATAAGCTTACTATTTTTCGATTTTTTTTAAGTATCCCCTCTTTACAAAAGCTTTGTACTGTTTATATTGATTTTGCAATAATTAAAGTTAATGAGAAATATTCAATCTCTAGCCTGTCTTTATGAAAGCATATTGATTCTATAAAAAAAATACTACTATAGAATTATTTAATATACGCAAATATTCTGTTTATAAACAAAGTAAGAATTTTCAAACATCCCTCTCTCTCGCTTGCTTTCTCGCTCTTTCGCTCTCTTTCTTCCTTTCTTTCTATTTCTTCTGCATTTTTTGTACTCTTATGAATTGTTTTCTTCGTTTTCTCTTTCACCAAGTTTCTTTTTATTATTTTTTTTCACATTGGACATAAAAATAGAAAATAAAAAAAATGGAAACAAATTAAGGTTTGCCCAAAGCAGCTTTTAGAGTGTCAGTTGTAAATGCCTAAGGAAGCAATTTCACATGTTTCTAGTCTATAATAAATCTTTATATGAGGACAATAACGAGAAATCTTCGATCCTATTTTCTCCGCTTCCGTATTCCCCAGTATAAATGTTAGCCTGGGGGCCGTTTACATGCATTACAACAACAATGAATATGTATTGAATATGAATATAGGTATTCACTTAGAATCTATCAATTTCTTTTCTTTTTTTAAAGGAGTCGAAAAAGTCCTTTTCTCTACCCTCTCTATGGTCTAGGCGAGCTTCCCCAAGGATTTGCTAGGTAATATAAATTTTAAAGATAAAAGGATCATAGATAATCATTATCGTAAAACTAATTTCTCTTTAAAAGACTTTCTGCTATCTACGGTGGAACTTATATGTTGAACAAGCCTTTCGAGAGTATCGTATACGACGGAGGAAAGGTAGTGGGGGTCGCAGCAAAAAATGAAAAGGGAGAAGTAGAGGTTGCGAAATGTAAACAGGTAACTGTTAAATATAACAAATATAACATTTTCCACGGTATTTAGGTTACGAGTGGTAGAAAAATATCCTATGTACATTATATACATTATATATATTATACTATACTATACTATTAAGAATGTAATTAACAAATACTCTTTATATAAAAAAATTGCTAGTATTTCAATAAAAAGAAACTTAAATTGCTACCTTCCGTTCCCTAAAGGTAATCTGCGATCCAAGTTACGTTGATAAGGACAAAGTGAAATTAGTAGGAAAGGTGGCTAGGGCAATCTGCTTTTTAAATCATCCTATTCCCAACACTAACGAAGCTTCTTCCTGCCAAATCATTATACCGCAAAGTCAAGTGGGTAGAAAATACGGTAAGATTTGCCAAAAGATCCTTTTTATATAGTGCACCCTAAGTTTATACTCATCTTTTGCTCTGTGGAAAGATATATAGAAAATATTCATTTATTATTACATATGGATAAATCTTAAACCTTTCCCCCCCCATTTAACAAGTATTTTGTTTATAAGAAACACATATAGTTGTATATATGATAAGCAATTTACAACATTACCTAGGAAATATCATTATTTTTACTTTTTACCATCTCAACTTCTCTCTGTCTATATATCTTTTCTCTCTCGCTCTCTGCTTTTTCTCTATTTGTTTATACAGCATATATATATATATATATATATATAAATTTATATATATCCTTTCTTCTTTTGCTTATTTACTTATATATTGTTATAAAATAGAGACCTATACGAAATCAACAAAAATCCTCTCTAATACTTTGAAAGAACTAGATCAGCAGAGAAAAATTTCGCTTAGGATGACATTCCACAGATGTCAATTATATAAAAGACGCGTGGAAAACCGAATAGCTAAAATATAATATTAGCAGCTAACATCCCACACAAGATGATAATTATATTATCCATTAGATTAATTATATCTAACCAACGTTCCATTCCTTCCTCTCTCTTTTTTTCCCATATAATATACTATATAAAAAGAGTCTTTTTAGTTTGTTTTTTCAATAAGCTAATCCGACAAAGTATAATATAGAACAGGAAACTGAAAAATTTCACTTTTACAATAACTAAATAGGAAAGCTAATTATCTTTTCTTTCCATAGTTTTATCTGTAAATAGATTATATTCTATCTCAATGATTAAAAATGACATACTTCATGTTTTCTTTCTCTTCTACAGACATATACATTTGCAGTATAGGCAGAGAACTTAAAGTTTGTTCGAAAGGAAATTATCTTGCTCTTGTATCGACCACGGTTGAAACGTCTGACCCAGAGGCAGACTTACAACTTGGTCTTGATCTTTTGGGACCAATATCTGAAAAGTTTATTAGCGTAAGCGAATTATACGAACCCGTCGATAAAGGTACGGAATCTAAAGTCTTTATAACATCTTCTTACGATGCAACAACTCACTTTGAGAGTACTTGTAAGGATGTTTTGGAAATTTACAAGAGAGTAGTGGGAGAAGAGTTCGACTTTTCGAAAGTTAAGCATACTCTCGAAGTTGCCGAACAAGAATAGGAAAGATTGTTTTCCTCTCTTTTTTTAATTTTGGCCTCCCAATATGAGAATTAAATGCTTGATATGATTGATTACTAGTTCGCAATTAAGGAAAAAGCTATATGGAGAAAAGAAGATTCTATACATGCATTTTACAATATTTACTGCTTCGTAACGTTCCTTGTTTTCATCTTGCTAGAATATCTAATAGATATTCTAGTTGAAAGTCGTGCTATATTAATGTTTCTTTTGGTTCAATTTTGCTTCTGATTTAATAGTGTCAACCTAAGTCCAAAATATTTGTGTTGTATGCTTTGATGGATGTTAAAGTACGCTGCTTTTTATGCTTACAAATAAATCCAGTTATCCCGGATAGTTAAGCCTTTCTAAAAAATATCGTATGCTATTAACATAGAGGATATAATATAGATTAAAAGAGAATAATCATTTCAGTCGTTAGATGTCACTACTTTAGTATATTTCATTTCGTTTCGCAACATCAAATTCCCGCCAATTTGAACTAGCCAATCAGGATCAAGAATTTTGGCCCACATGCCAACCAACATTCATGGGTTTTAGCACTACCCGAATTATTCATTAGACGCCATTTTGAGACGAGAAATAGCTAAACTTTCTCATTTTTTTTAGTTAACCTAGTCTCCAATTGATTTATCTTAATATAGTTTCATTGCGTTAAACCATTATCTCTAGAATGGTTGAAGACAGATCAACGGCGAAGGAGTTAGATCAGTGGATCGAACAGTTGAACGACTGTAAACAGTTATCAGAAAATCAAGTGAAAACTTTATGCGAAAAGGTAAAATCTCACATTAATTTTATGCTAAGCGAATAGATAACTAATAAATCTTTCGTTTGGAAAAATTCATGCGAGCGCTATATCGATTAGCAAATAATATCAAACCTTACCACTATTGAACCGGTAATCCTAATTAACGTTGAGCTTCGTTCATAGGCTAAAGAAATTTTAGGGAAAGAGAGTAATGTTCAAGAAGTCAAATGTCCTGTCACAGTCTGCGGAGATGTACATGGTCAATTCCATGATTTAATGGAACTATTTAAGATAGGAGGAAAATCACCCGATACCAACTATCTTTTCATGGGAGATTATGTTGATAGGGGTTACTATTCTGTAGAAACTGTGTCCCTTTTAGTAGCTTTGAAGGTGAGTTCTAACAAACAAATAATGATTATGCGAAAAATATCTTCGATTCCATTGTAGGTAAGATTCAAGGAGAGGATAACGATATTACGTGGAAATCACGAAAGCCGGCAAATTACACAAGTATATGGATTTTACGACGAATGTCTTAGAAAATACGGCAATGCCAATGTTTGGAAATATTTTACGGATTTGTTTGATTACCTACCTCTGACGGCCCTGGTTGAGAATAAGGTAAAATAAGAATAGTATACAATTGACAAAAAATAGCGATTAAATAAGCTTTTATTTTATATTTGCACTTTTCTTCTGATAAAAATCGTTCAGAATCAGTACAAAGTATTATTTATGATCTCTAACAATTTCTGATAACTAAAGACCTATAGATCTATATATGTATATTTATAAACTAAATAGGTTGAATTTTAAGTTCTCTATTTCAACTTTAGATCTTCTGTTTACATGGCGGCCTCTCTCCATCAATTGATACATTGGACCACGTTAGGGCATTGGATAGAATTCAAGAAGTTCCCCATGAGGTGAGTCTAAATTTATTTGGCTAATATGTAAAAGTTATTTTTTTGGCGACAAATAAAAAATACAATACATGCTAAACGTAGGGACCTATGTGCGACTTACTCTGGTCTGACCCAGACGATAGAGGCGGTTGGGGAATTTCTCCTCGAGGAGCCGGGTACACTTTTGGCCAAGATATCTCGGAAACTTTTAATCACAGCAACAATTTGACTCTAGTTTCCAGAGCTCACCAGCTGGTGATGGAGGTAAATATCGTTGTTTTTCCACCTTCAATGTGTCACAGGCTATTTTTACATCATTTTATGATCTATATTTATCCTTTATTGATTTTTCAGGGCTATAATTGGTGTCACGACCGTAATGTCGTTACCATCTTCAGCGCGCCAAACTACTGTTATCGCTGTGGAAATCAAGCAGCAATTATGGAGTTGGATGACGCCTTGAAGTATTCTTTTCTGCAGTTTGATCCAGCACCTAGAAGGGGAGAACCTCACGTCTCCCGTCGTACGCCTGATTATTTCTTATAAAATCAGAAGGAGCATGGTTTTATACCGAGGCAATGTGTTGTGTCCTCTCCATTTTTTTCAACAGTTAAAAATATTATATATATTTAAATACTACGTGTTTAGCATTGCCGGTTATCATTATTTTCAATACAAATTTAAAAGAGTCGATTCCGACAGATGGCGTTATTAGTTATTTCTTAGGGACTATGTAATGATGCATCTAGACGGAAGAACTTTCGGGAGGATAGAATTTAGTCACGTGACCCTAAATGACATCCTTAACGGTGTTTTTTGTCGTTTTTAAACTATATTTATGAGTATAGAAGATGGAGAGATCAATGACATCCGAAGAACTAGTTGGTTTATTATATTTCGAGAAAAATCCTTATGATTATATGAAATTAGAGGAACAATTAGAATATCATAGAAGTATGTGCGAATTTGGAAGTGAAAGAATTGATCATTGCCCTCTGTGTTTTAAAAACTTAGACAAGGTAATTATCGTGGGTAATAAGAAAGTAAAAGTTTGAAACCTTATCTTTTTTAGCTACAAATCAAATAAGGAAATAACTTATTTAGACTTAGAGTTGTACTAATTTTATTGAATTTCTGCTCTTTGAGAAATTGTATGGTTACTGCTCTTTCAAAAGAAAACTAATTTTAATGTTTTTGGTATTAATGAACAGTTTAAAAAAACATGATTTGCTTTAACTTTAGTTTTCTGAAACTACTTGAATTCTATCTATAAGACAAAATTACAGTAGTTCTGCATAAGATAGATATACACATGCTTATAAAAAATACACACACACACACGTTTGCAGCAGAATTTATAGATTTGACTATCCTATAGAATATTAATATTTATTAATCTGTTCAATGTTAATAAATTTTTATAGTATGCATCTTTTCCACTTGAAAACAGGAAGCACCAAAGTATATTCTCTCATTTATGGATTGTGCTAAAGGTGATCGTTTCATTTCTTGGATGAAAAATAAATGTGTATTTGGTTTTCCTCAATTTGAATCGATATTAAATCACTACGTTACATCATGGCAATTTACTGAACTGCATCTTGATAGTTTAAAAAAATGTGGTGGAGAGAGTTCTATACCTATTGAGCTATTTACCCTGCAACATGTTACTTGGCTTTCTCTTAGCCATAATAATTTAGAGAGAATTCCTCCAGATATAGGTCGAATGGATTCATTAGAACATCTTGTTTTAACTGGTAATAAATTGGATGTAGCATCCTTACCAAGAACATTGACTTTCTGCAGAAAATTAAAAACTCTTTTGTTAGATAATAATTTATTAGACGCCTTACCAGGATTTTTACTGTCAATGCCTTCATTGATTACAGTACATCGACATGGCAATCATAATTATTTTAAATCCACTTTTATGTGGTATCATACAGACGTTAACGAAAGAATTTTAAAGGTGGCTAAAAGTCACACACCTCGATATTACTCCGCCCTTTCACTTCAATTTCTGGCAGCTCAAGCTTTAATATCGTCTCCAACCGAATATCTAACTGATAAAAATATTCCTCCATCTCTGAAAGTGTTCCTTGCCGAATCCTTCAGACGTTTTAACATATGCGAACATTGTAAAAAAGCATTTTTAAAGCAAAGTGATGGATATAAAGTTATAACATTTAAGAATCCTTATCTCGGAAACACCTGTGTACCATTTGAACATTGGGCTTGTAGTCTAGAATGCTCAAGAGCAATAGAAATACCAGCGAGAAAGGAACAAGTAGAAGCATCTAAAAGAGCTGATAAGGAATACGAAAGAAAAGTAAAATTTCACGAAAAAGACATTGGAATTAGATCTGGTATAAAACCTAAAATGACTTATAAAAGAAAAGTCTCGTGTTATGCATGTACAACAATGTGATAACGTTTTTTTTTCTTCTTTTTTAATGAAAAAATTGATAAAGTTATTCTTTAAAAAAAAATAACAATTGAAATTGAAAGAAAATGAACAAGTGCACTAAATAAAAAGTAAGATTGTTTTTGTTTACGGTAGATATTATAAGCTCTAAGTAATAGATAGTACAAACAAGAAACCGTAATATATAATGCTAGGGCAAAGCAGTAACTTTATAAATTCTCTACAATGCTACGTAATATGACTAAGCTTCTTTTTTTAGTAATTAATTATTTTATTCTGATTTAGGTCTTTTAATTTACTAACAAGTATTATATTGTTATAGATTTATTGTATTGCTGATATAAGTTTGTCAATTAGACAAAAATATCATAAAGATATTGAAGGTAAAACTCTTCAACTTGACTGCAAATACTGCGCTCCTGGATTTAAAGTTCATAAAAAGTGTACGAATTCAACCGATACAGTTTGTAAACCATGCGAAAATGGTAAAACATTCTCAGCGAGAAGGAGTTTAAGGCAGAGATGCAAAAGATGTAGCGAATGCATTTATCCATCAAGGGTAGTTAAGGAGTGTACAGTTACATCAGACACGAAATGTGGGAGATGTGATCGAGGTAACTTTTATAAAAACTTAATTGATTGTATTTCTTTTTCAGTAAAAAACGTTTCATTTTAGGATTTTACTGGAGTTACGAATACAATATATGTCGTCGATGCTCTTATTGTTTCTTGGGAAATCCTAATATTAGAGCTTACAAACTGCATGCTTGCGCTCTTGATGGTATGCCAAGAAATTTTCAATGTATCCCTATTCGTAATGGACCTAAAGCTCCTATATGTTAGTATTTAAAATAATAAAATGACAAAATTTGAAGTAAATGACACAATCGTTGAAAAAAACAGTTGATTTAAAGAAGCTACGAAAACTAGATAAAAGTGATGATGATAGAAAGTATGAGAGTTTCAGTAGTGGCGATGGAAGATATTTCCTGGACGACGATGAGGATGTGACACAAGAAGCATTTGAAACGCCACTAGTAAAGAGACGTCTTAAAAAAAGACATCTTACTGAGGAAAAATTGAATACCAATCCTGAAGGTTCCGTAAAAACTAAACAATTGATGCTGTTATATTTTAAAGAGGGTTTGTATCAGAATAAAGTTTTTATAATCTATCTTGCTGTAGTATTTAGTATTGCATTAATTGGACTAACTGCTCTTTGGTTTTCTAAATGCAAAAAGTTTAAACCAAAATTGCAACTGAATTGATTTCCTGTTTCCTTTGACAACACAGCAACAAGTACTTGAATACTGAACACTTGCACACTAACCTTTAATACTCTCTATTTATATAATTGCTAGCCAAGTGTCTTTTCGGAAATAAACGTTCTAAATGGATATTCATAAAGTTTTTTTGATTTTCTTATGTTGTATTTTATTAAAGGAAAAAATTAAATACTTGATTAAACATTAAAAAACAACATCAAAAAACACATTTGCAGTATTACTAGAGCATAAATCATATTTTATAGTGCAATTGATGTCATCAATAAATAAGTTAAATACTTGTATATGTATATATAAATAGAGCATAAATACACTTTCAAAAGCAGCTTAATATTGTAATCACATCTTTTTTCATTATTAGATTTACAAATAAGCATAAATAGTTGCTGTTCCTATCAAGTATATTGGCTAGTGCAAACTTTAATTATGCTAATTTGAATCCACCTAAAAAGGTTCGATCGGATGCTAGTTGATATTTGCACTCAGCACTTACGTCTAAAGGTTTGAGATAAATCAAATCTCCTTTGCTCAGGTTAAATATTCCTTGATGACCAACTGTATCGAGTCTTCTTACTTCTGGCGAACTACAATGGAAATGAATTGATAAATCATTTTAAAATTTGCGAAATATTTCTCATTTACTTACTCTAATATATTTTGAGTTCTCTGCGATAGCATTAGCGTCTGTACGTCATTAGTTGAACTCCTTTTAACAGTTTCAACTGAACATGTTCGAACTTTAGCATACCTAACGGATTAAAATAGATGATATGATTATATCAATTATGTTGGTTGGAATTGCAAACTCTATACCCAATAAAACCGGATACTTCTGTTTGAGCATACAGGAAGTAAATTCCAGATTTGAGTATTTGAATAGCATTTTCGTTTTTATTAAAAATCAAGTGTCTCGTTCCAGTAGAAACTTTTGGCTTGTCTTGCCATTCGAATCTCTGTCTTGGTTTCTTTGTATATTCCGCGTTGTTGTTGTTCTTTCCTATTTTTTTGGAAGAAAAGGGAAGGAAATTGAATATATAAATCATTCGCTTTCATTAATTATTTCAGTTCAGGAAAGATATCAGTAACAAAGCTATTGATATAATTACCTAAATAAACCCACTCTGAACCATTTTGTGAATCCAGGTGTATTGCGCTCATTTGGTTTCGTTTCGCGCCTCTTTTATTTCTTATCTTTAGTTTATAAAAATAGAGAAGCATGAGATAATAGATTTTTGTTAATATAACAATCCTTTAAGCTACAAATAAACATTAAGGTAAAAGTTAAATAACTACCAATGTGCTTTGCGGTGGCATAACTTTCAAATCGAATCTCGTCTCCAAATTGTTGTATTTCACATAGAGAAAGATACAAAAAGCAGATGGTACGAGAGCAAACAGGAATGCCAATAAAGACAATATTCTACTCAATGAGTATCTTGTCGTTTTCGTCGTTGTTTGGTCCATTATTCCAATGAAAAGTTTTCCACAACAATGTTTCAGTTTGTTTAAAGTTTCTTTAGAAGTGTCGTTGTTGTGTTTGTAGTTTTCTCTACTTCTAACTTCTCTATATATATACACGATCCCACCTAATGTGCATATTCATTATGTTCTGGGAAGCTACGAATTCAGCGAGAATTTGATCCACAATTTTCGAAATTATAGTATATTCAGATTACAGATTTTCCTAGTTGTATTGCAAAAGATACCATTTAAGGAAAGTTTTGTCCTATCATTCACAATGTATATAAACAATAAAATGTGATGATAATAGTAATAAAACCACAATAATTATAATCCCAGTGACTGTAATAAAGTCATATTTTTTGTTAATTATATTCTATGCCCAAAAGTAAACAGTATTCAAAAAGACTTTAATGATGGTTATAAGCATAGTATAATAGAAAATATGAAAGATTATTCACTTCCTTTAGGTAATAGAGGGAGGAAGCTGAGAAATAGATAAGAATACTTGCAGGAGGTCAGAATGAATTATAAATGTATGTTTGATATCTTTTATTACATAAAATACAAATAAAGTGGTTTTGGAGAAAACAAAAGAGCCTATTTTACATATTTATTTATTAATTACGATACGATTGCATAATTATTAAATATGTGGAAAGAGATGAGAACGTGAAGAAATATTAGCTTTGAAATAGATAGTTAAATGCATAATATACCATGTTCTTTTCCCTACAAAACACTAACAATCATTTGTAATGGCGTTTCTTTCTGTTATACTAATGTTATTATAGCTATTTATACTTAAAGAACATTGTACAAAAGACGTATATATATCTATGCTATTGTTTTTTATCGTAAAAAAAAACTACTACAGTCTTGTAGTAAACGTAGTCCTATGATGGGTAGCTTCAATGGAAAGTCCCTTTTTCCCAGAAAGCTTTTAAAATTTCATACCAATTCCCCAAAACACAAAGACTTTCTTCAGATCTTTACAAGGACTGTTTAATGGATTCTGCGTATTGAATGTCTTTACAAAAAGGATTTGTAAGGAAGTGTAATTTAAGATAAATTAGCTATAAACAAACTTTGTATGAACTTACAAACTCCCGCCAACAGATGTTTAAAGATAAGAAAAACTTATGCAACTTTTTAATTTCATTTTTCAATTTCTTTTTGATTTTTTTATTATTCAAAAATATAATAAAAAGAAAGAAAAAACATTTATATTCCAATATAAATACATAGTAATATATTTATATGTGTATAAATGACAAATTAATATGGTTTTCTTTTACGTTAGTTCAAATGATTCAAAAGAAAAGACAGGATATGATATGAAAAGAAAGTAGAGGGTGGGGAAGGGAGGAAGGTGTGATATGAAGAAAATTCAACAGAGGCGGAGAGAGAGAGAGAGAGATAAAGAAATCTTTTCTTCTATCACCATTAAATGCAATTAGTATTGTACATTGTTTAATCACACTTTTTTACTTCCATTTTGCTGCTCTCTCAAATAAGCTGAATATTCTAATCTAGCTCTTTCTAAGACACTATCAACATCGTTACTTCTAATAAATTTATCATAATGCATAGCTATTTCATTGTAATCCATTCTTTTCTTAATGATAACATCTTTCTGTTGTAGTAATAATGCTAAGCAGAGAAATAAAAGAAACGGATTTTCGCACCCAAATTCATCAGGGGCAGGTAATTTTGGTACAACTTCCTCTGCTTTCACATCTTCCACCATTGATCGACATCCATCTATATCTTGACACTCCAATTTCTTTCTTTTTAATTTCTTATAAGCAGTATTAAGAACGTTTTTCTTTATATTTGCTTGCTTCATGTATAATGAAGATTTTTCATAATCTAAATCAGATAATCTTATACCTAACATCATATTTGGATAATCGGGCGGTATACTTGCCCACATGACTTCTAGCAATGTTAAAACATTATCTAAGGGAAATTCTCGTTTTAGCTCCAGCAGCACCCACCGATAGCAAAACAAGAGATCGTCAGCATTCTGGTATTTTAAATAGGAGAAGAATTCCGGATCCTTTCGTCGAAGTAAAAGTTGAAGATGTTCGAATTTCTTATTTAAAACTAAACCTTTTAAATCAAAGTTTTGTGACAAACGCCTCATAAGAGAACAAAAGCAAATATAAGCGTGTGCCTCATCTTCTAGAACCAATAAAAGAGGTGATGCTAAATCACTCATCCCCTGACAATAAGACAGAGAGGGATGAGTCAAGGCATAAGTGACAAGTAGATTAAAGAGTCTTATAACATTCTCACTGCTGTCATCTGAAAAAAGCGGATGACCTCTATCCGTTCTTAGCGTATCTTTTCTAACCATATTCGCAACTAATTTTACATTTTCTGAGCAATTATCGCTATCTAGTAACCTCTTCCATTCATCCCTGATTTTTGAATATTCCTCTTTCTTTTTTGTCAAGTAATCGAATCTTTTTTTACCGTTGAATTCTCTAGGAAAAACGTTCAGCAAGTGCTTCCAAACAACTTTTCTTAGCGAATGTTCAACACCATTTTGATACACGTGCATCCGAAATTCTGTATCTCTTGTTAAATTACCCACAGAATCCAAATACTCCCTAAATTCTGCATCTGTAAGAGGGCGTCTCTCCCTCGATGTATTGTCCTCAACTTGTTTTTTATTATAATTGAATACTTTTGAGACGTTAAATACTGTTGATTGAAGTGTTTCTAGAAGTCCTGTATTTTGGAGGAAACTAGCCACTTTACCCGTACTATTATCTGGTTCTGGTGAGACATCCCAATCCTCTAAGCCTTCTTCGAATGGTTTTAAGTCAACTTTTAATTTTAAAGCTGGATCTGATTGTTTATAAGCCATATTTAAATCCCAATCGGAGACTAAAGAGAGGTAGCTTTCTCTTCCTTTGTCATCTTTCGATAAATAAGATATGGCAAATTGTCTGTTTAAAAATAATAAAAACAATAACAAATAAAGTAAACAACAACAATAATATCAACACTTTTAATACAAAAAAAGATAGTAAAATTAGTATATACAGTATTACTAATATACTGTGTATAGCATATAAAATGCAATGGTTATTCATATAATCTCTAACCAATTTATAGTAAATTGTTATATTTTAATAATTTAACTATTATTCAAATATTTAATGTCATTAAACTTACTGTGGAATGTGAAAAGCTCTTGATAATAAACAACGTAGAACGTCAAGTGATGTTAAACTTGGATCGATTGAAAATTTTTTGTATTCTGGATCCTTTTTTCCATCGCATTTCTGTCAAATAAAACACGTTTAGTTATAATCAATACAAATATTAAGTCAATAGGATGAATTAGCGGGCTGTTAAACGTGTCAGAAATCCCAGATGTTCTGTTGAATTTTTTTTATAAATATGCTACTTGTAATAAAGTGGGAAAAATGGGAAATTTACCTTAACTTGAACTCGAATTACATCTTTATCCGATGATTTAACTAAACTAGTCATTATTAATCACAAGTTCTGGCATGTCCTCAAGTGATAAAGCATTTTATTAGTAAAATTGTTATGTTTGTCATGTTGATATTGGGAGACTAATACGGTTTCGTCACCAGACAGGATACCAGATTAGTATAATATCAACCAGTAGAATTTCAATATTTATTTACCGCGGTTTAGCAAAATATCGTCTGCTCTGAATAAAGATAGTACTGCCAATTTCATATTCACCAGTTTTTTTTTTACCATTTTCAACACTGGACACGAACTTTTAATACAAATTTATAGGAAAAGATATCAAAATCTCAATGCAAAATGGAAGGTGAAAAACAACTATCTTCGGATAATCACGCAAAATCAATTTTAACACTAATGAATCAGTTACGAAAAACCAATACTTTATGTGATGTAATATTAAAAGTGGCCGACCACGAATTTCCAGCCCACCGAATTGTATTAGCAGCCTGCAGTGACTATTTCCGAGCAATGTTTACAAGTGAAATGAGGGAAAGAAATAAACAAGAGATAGAAATAAAGGAAATATCAGCAGAAGTGATGACTATTCTATTAGACTTTGTTTATACGGAAAGTGTAGCAGTCAGCGTTGAAAATGTTCAAGTAAATATCGATTTGTTTTTATTTTTTTTTTATTCTTGGAAAAAAAATAAGTAACAATTTTCCTTTTATCAATATGTTTACGCTTTTAGGCTTTTATTTTTTTTTTAAAAAAACAAAACCTTTTTTCATTTCATTTATCTAAAAATTGAATTCTATTTTTTTCCTCTCTTTAACAGAAGGTGAGAAAGAGTTAAAATACAAAAGTAACTGAGCTACATGTTAGAAGTGAATAATAAAGAATTGATTTCAAAAAAAGATGTATATTATACAGTATATAGTTCAAAAAGAATATTCGTAAATATAGCTGAGCTTTTATGAACAGGCCATTTGTATTTTAAAAAAAAGACACAAAAAACAAAATGAGATAAAGAACTGTCAATATATTTCATATATAGAATAACACCTTTTTGGTATATTTACTTAATTTGCATAAATTTGCATAATTAACTTATAACATTGTAAAATCTTATAATTATAAGATAAAGGTAATTTTTTATTTTCTCTTGTTTAACAATAGTTGCTATCATTTTAGGAACTTCTTCCTGCTGCTTGCCTATTACAATTGAATGGTGTTAAACAAGTATGTTCAGAGTTTCTTGAAAATCAATTAGATCCGTCAAATTGTCTTGGAATTTCAACATTCGCCGAAAATCATTGTTGTAGCACTTTAAAAACTTCTGCAGACATTTTTACTTGTAAATTCTTTCAAGAAGTTATTGAAAACGATGAATTTTTATCGTTATCTTACAAAGACGTTGAACGTTTAATAAGTAGGGATGAGATTCAAGTAGATAACGAAGAACCTGTATATAAAGCGGTTATAAGATGGGTTGCGGAAAAGCCAAACATTAGAGAAAGATATTTACCTGATTTACTAAGACACGTTCGTTTACCACTTTTATCAGCAAAATTCCTAACAGACGTTGTAGATACAGAGGTAAGAATAATTCAATTACTACGAGATATATCATTTATTATTATAATTATTTTGTAGAAACTTTTAAAACGTAGTCACGAATGTCGTGATTTGTTAGACGAGGCAAAAAAATTCCTCCTCAGACCTGATCTTCGTAGTAGAATGCAAACTGAAAGAACAAGAAATAGAACGGGATGCGACGATGTTCTTGTTGTACTAGGTGGTTTTGGTACTCAACAATCTCCAATAGATAATGTCGAAATGTACGATCCTAATACTCAAACGTGGACTATACTACCAGTAAGTATATCTTATTATTCATTTTATTTATTATTAATGTTATTGTAATAAGCAAGAAAAGGTTATTTCATTTCTTTCTTATGAATAAAAACTATTATAAAATTCATTGAAACACAAAACAAACAAACAGAAAATAAAACATTTTATGTTTTAAACAAAAAACAGACAATATCAAAGAGACGAAGATATGTTGCTGCCGTCGCTCTGCATACAAAAATATATGTTATTGGCGGCTATGATGGTAAGTTTTAAAGTCAATAATAAGAATTTTAATCGGAAAAAGACTATTCATTGGAATTGAAGGTATATAGATATATAAATATATCATTAAAGAAATATAAAATTCTGTATAATTCAATATATTTACATTAAATTTTCGAAGAATAGACTGTATATATTGTATATTGAATCATCTAATACTTTTCAATTGAACTGATACTTTCTTTTTATCGTATTCAATCATTAGGAATATCTCGGCTAGATACTGTAGACGTTATTGATATAGCTGATGAAAAACCAACTTGGCAATCGGTAGCAAGAATGCACCAACGAAGAGGTTTAGCTGGAGTTTGTAATTACTTAGGTAATTGTTTTCTTATTTTGATTTTTTTTATGAAAAAAACTTGTCATATTTGTGACGTTCCTTTATACTTAGATCAAATATATGTTTGCGGAGGGTTTGATGGAAGTAGTCGTCATATGTCAATGGAACGCTACGATCCTCAAATTGACGAATGGGTTGTTTTGAATAATATGAGTACTGGAAGGGAAGGTGCCGGTCTTGTTGTAGTTCACGATAAATTTTATTGCATTGGTGGCTACGACGGTGAACTCTTGCTCAATACAGTTGAAAAATATGACACCACCAACGCTAGTTGGAGTTCTTCTCCTCCAATGGGTACAAGACGATCTGGTAAGTTTTTCTTTGTCATTATTTGGTCATTTTGCGCTTGATATCCTTCCAAGTGTTCTTCAAGTATGATAAAATCAAATATTTATATATACTGTATATATATATATAGATATAACTTCAACATTATAAATGTAAGAGTGAGAGAGTATTATTGAAAAATCTTATAGCAGGTTTGCATTTCATGAGAGCAGATAATCAACTGTTTTTGGGGTGAGTTAGGGCTTATACATTCCTGCTTCCAAGGATTCAATATTTTTCAAGTAAACAAATGTTATGAAATAGAAATGAACCATTTCTACTTTCTTCCTGGACGAAATGCATCATTTGTCTATTATCAAATGATAAATATTGCTCTGTTTAGTAATACTGATAAGCGAATGCGCTAAGATGACTTTTTTACTGACTTAAAACAGTAGACGCTATTCAACGTTTATAATATATGCTTGAAGAAGAGGTGGTATAGGTAAATATTTACAACTTTCGCATACATTGGTACCCAACGCTTTTCTTATCACAATACGCGACATATCCTTAAGAGCTTGAGGACATGAAAGATGAAAACAAACTGTTTCAACTAATTTTTCGTTGCGAGAAACTCTTAAAGCATTATCTTCGTTTGATAAGAATTTATAGATTCCCATTATATCAGCTCCGCAATACAGTACCATCTCGAGAATGTGTACATTCTCGCGATATAAAGCCACTTGGGCGACTGTCCAAAAGTCAAAATTACCTCCAATACAAACACGTGAGGTACGATGCACGTCTGCTCCATGCTGCAGTAGTACTGCTGCTGGCTGTGTATAATTTGAGTGTACAGCTGCCATGAGAGGTGTTACAGTGTAACGATCGGGAACATTTATATTCTGGTAAGATACTAGACGTTGAATAATTTCAACGCTTCTATCTTTACTCACAGCATGAAACAGAGCCGTTCTTTCGGATTGATCTCTTTCTATTGGAGATGCTCCAGAATCTAGTAATAACTGAACTGTTTTATCGCATGAATATAAAATAGCCAGCATAAGTGGAGTATAACCCCACATGTTCTTGGCATCTACACTCGTTCTATCGTGGCTTAAAAGTTGTTCAACACAACTTGGATGATTGTAACGGGCAGCGTAATGTAATGCTGTATCTTGTTCGTCACTCTTGACGCCAATATCACACCCTACCCTCAAAAGAATACGCAGAATGTCGGGAAAACCCCTTCGAGCACATAGCATTACAGCCGTTTCTCCATATAGTTCTTGAATGCCAACATCAGCACCAAAATTAATTAATAGTTTAACCAGTTCACGTCTTTGATTCCAAACGGCTGCGTGCAGTGCCGTCCTTCCTCTATCTGACGTATGATTAATTTTCGCACCAATTGCAACTAATAACTTAGCGACGATGTAATGGTCATTAGCAGCTGCCAACATTAGCGGGCTATCACCATCGGCGTCCACAGTGTTAACATCAGCTCCATACGACAGTAATTTTCGCGTGCAACGGTTATGTCCAAATGAACAAGATCTCAGTAAAGCTTCGTTCAAATCAGTAAAAGAATAAGGTTGACCTAAAGCGTAGTCGAGCAGCTCCATATCCCCTATTAAGTTGTTAAATTAGGAATACTTTATTAAGTTAATTCACTTATTACGTATTAGATCTAGCTTAATATACCATATAGGACAATATTATTCATATAACAGCAATATTTAAATAAAAAATGCAAGGTTTTGTTAAGATTATCTTTTCTTTAGATTGTAAATGAAATTTTATACTATTGCGCAATAAACACTTTTATGTGTTTGCCTGATCATGAGTCATAACAGTCTAAAACATGCGTAAAAAATAAAAAAAAGACGCAAACAGCTGTAGATGATTAAGTCTCTACTTATGAATTAAGTTGAAAAAGAATTGGAAGAAATGCGATAGAATTTTTGTAAAACTTGAAAAAAAAATTAGCTTAGTGAATATAACTTAGGATAAAAGTTATTGCAAACAATCTAAAACCATGGTGTTTTTCCATATTTTTTCCTTTATTTTCTTTATTTTTGCCAAGGCAAAGAAATAGAGGATTTTACTTTTAGAGTTTGCAATTATATGTTTATTCTACTTTGAATAATTTTAACAAACCTTTCGACGCCGCTTCTAGTAGGTAACGTCTTCCAGAAAGCATTTTTCTTTGTGCTTAACGGTCAACTATCTCAAAACAAATGCTCTGCATCTCCCGCAAAAAACATCACGTGAGTTAGCAGTGTATTTAGGTCGGTTTGCTGTAAGATTATGCTGCACTAGATCTATACCCCAAACGGATTCGAACCGAAAACTATCATTGAGTCGTCCGAAATAACCTTTACTTTTTTATTACTTTCCTAGGGGCCGGCGTTGCTGTAATTAACGATACAATTTACGTTTGTGGTGGATACGATGGCTCAAATCATTTGTTTTCTGTTGAAAGTTTTAATGTACAAACTTGCAATTGGACAAATGTTGTTAGAATGAATTCGGCCAGGTGTTACGTTGGTGCATGCGTTCTTAAGGGTCAATTAGTTGTTGTCGCTGGTTACGACGGAAATCGACTACTCAATTGTTTAGAAAGTTACGATCCCATCTTAGAGAGATGGCAAGTCTTTGACGATCAAATGTCAGCTCCTAGGTGCGACGCAGGCGTCGCAGTAGTAAGAAGGAAATATTTGAAAAAAGAAACTAGAAAAGTTTCATCTTACGGATTGGTAATAGGAGAAGATGAAAGAAGTCAAGCCAGTTGCGTTTAAAGGAATTTAGAATAGAATGATCTCAATTAGAGTTGTTTTTACTTTTTTACTCTTTTACTCTAACTTTACAAAGAACCTATATATATATATATATAATTTATTTATATATATATATATATACATATATTTTTCACAGAAATCAACTATTTTTTATTCATCTCAATAAATTACTCTTTTACAAAAATCTCCCTTACTCTTCATCTCGTTTTACTCAGTATCCTAAACCTGCACACAAAAAAAATGCTATATTAACAATCCTATTTCAAGAATTGATTGTTATTAACACGAAAGAGACTATATCTTTGGAAGAAAGAAGGAAGAAAGAAACTGATATTCAAAAAACTATTATGTTCACTCTTTTTGGAATTTTTTTTTATATTCCTATAATGGACGTTTTTATATATATACAGTATATAAAATTACATATCCATTGATTTTAGATTACAAAATATGTAATAATACAAAATTGATAAAATAATCTTTTAAATACTTCTTTATACCTTTATTAATAATATTTTTGCGCAACTATTACCTAGTCACATGTTAGCTGATAAGGCAGACAAAAAAAAACATGTAGGCATAAACAAACTCTAGAAGAAAACTTTGTCGAAATACTCTGATATATAATAAATGTATAGTTTAAATATTTAATGATGCAAGAAAGAATTGATTGATTGATTGATTTATTGATATTTTTATATTTTTCTTAATATTTTACATATTAATATATAAACGTATGGTCCCTTGCAAGCATTCTCTCAAAGCCTTGTTTTTTTTTTCACTTCCCTCTATGCTTCTAAACTTTCATCCTCGTGTCATTTTTTTAGTTTAAAAGTATTATATACTGTTTTCTCGATACTTATCTTTATCATTTACATCCTATAAAACTTTAAAACTATATTTTAAATTTAAAAAAAAAACAGTTCCTAGCTATTCTAGATATTAGACAAAGATGTAAACAATGTTTTGTACTTAATAACCTCTTGCTGAGGATATAGGAGGAAATATATCAAAAGTTATCGATTTAGGTTTATTTTTTTCCTCCGTTCCTCCTTATTCCTCTCTTTACTTGAAACAAAATGAATTTAAAGATTATATAAGAGAAATTATTGATCATTCTAGTATAATGAGAAACCGAAAATTGCGTACTGATCTTTATACGCTCAATAATTAAATTAGATACAAACTAGTATCATGGTAAATAGCTCTCGTTGTCCCTCCCTCTCTCTCTCTCTCTCTCTCATATGCACTCACCTACACACACACTCTTTTCTCTCTCACAATATCTTAAGCAATTGAAGCAATTCAATTATCGATAACAAAAAGATAAAACATAATTTATATATTATGCAATATACTTTATATATAACGAAAAGGAACAGCAGACTTGTTTTGATACTCTTTTTATTCATTTCTTAACATTTAAACCAAGATAAAGAAACTTTTCTATAATATTCGAAGAACAAATAGCTATCATTCAGGTTTAGATCATTTATAAGTTCCGGTAAAAGGTATAGTTATGTTCTCTGACTAAATTATCAGATTCTTCCGGTCCTCGGGAACCGTATTCATATCTAAGGGGCGCAATTCGTTCTTCATCAATTCTATGCAACAGTGGAGTAAAGATTCTCCAAGCTTCGGATAGTTCATCAGTTCGAACAAAGTGAGTTTGAGAATTGCGGAAGATGTCAAGAATTAACCTTTCGTAGGCGTCGGGTAGATTTTGACCAGGGTAACGAAGAGCGTAGGTTCTTTTGATGGAAAAAATAACCGTATGGCTTAATTAATCTATTCGTATCAAAAGAGGTTACGTTTAACTTACAGATCAAGCTCTGTTTCCTGACAATCGCTTGAATTTCCTGGTTGTTTTCCTATTATTTTTAAATAGATTGCTTCGTTCGGTTGTATTTGAATGACCAGCTCATTTCTAGCTAGCTCGCCTTTACTGAATATATCACCGGGAACATCCTTCATTTGAACTCTCACTTCGCATTTTCTTTCATTCAAGGCTTTTCCAGCGCGAAGGATGAAAGGGACGCCATCCCATCTTTCATTCTTAACATACAATACCGTCGTTGCAAAAGTTGGAGTGATAGATCCTTAAAAAATGAAATTTTCTATTGATTTCTTTCACAATAAAGCATTAATAAAAAGTTTCCATACCTTTGTCTTGAAGAGTTTCGTCATCCAAATATCCCTTCTTAGACTCATCAGTTGTGCCATTCGGATCACCCTTATATTGGCCAAGGACAACATTATCGAGCTCAATAGGAGCTATACACTTTAAAACTTTTACTTTCTCATCCCGAATATCTTCTGCATTTAAAGAAACAGGCTTTTCCATTGCGATTATAGATAGTATTTGGAGTAAATGATTTTGCATAATATCTCTATTGTAAAAAATAATGTTTTATTAAAGAGTTCAAAGGGTAATAATATTAATTTGCATTTACCTAATTATACCAGATTGATCGAAGTATCCTAATCTGCCATATGTACCAAAGTTTTCTTTAAAAGATATAACTACTGATGCGATATTATCCCTATTCCATATTGGGGAAAATACACGATTACCAAACCTCTGGAAAACTAAATTTTGTACCATTTCCTTTCCCAAATAATGATCAGTACGATATAATTGTTCTTCAGTGAATAAATCTAAAAAATCATTGAATATTCTTTAGAAATTTGAATTAGCATTATCAATGTTTCTTTAAAAAAATTTTTTACTGGAAAGATGATCAGAAAGATTAGCGGAAGATTCTGAATCGTGTCCAAATGGTTTTTCAACAACAACTCTAGTCGAAGAATCACTAGAATTGATTTAATTAATTAATTAAAAAAACTGTTTATGCATATATTTAAATGAAATTAATATGTATAGAAAGGTCAAAAAAAAGATCACTAACCCTCTTGCCATACAATGGTCATGTACTAGTTGGCTAAATGGTACATAAACTTCAGGAGGAAGTGCAAGGTAAAATATTCTATGTGCTTTTTCACCTGATTAAATGATAATTGGTGTAGGAATTGTACAAGCCAATTGAGGTTATCAAAAATGTATAACGTACTTATTTGTGTAATATGAATATCTAGTCTTTCAAAGCTTTCACTGTGATCATAAGATTCAGCAGCTATATAAAAATTCCTTTTCCAAAATTCTTCCAATTTATCTATATCATTGCCAATGTTTCCGAAATATTTTTCCACAGCTTTCCTTATAGTGGATACTGTTAGCTTTGATCTTGAATATCCAACGAAGAATGTATTTTTAGGCATTAAATCATTTTTATATAGCGACCATAGGCTAGGATAAATTTTCCTCTTTGCTAAATCTCCCTGTTTAATTTAAAAAGGGTCACATTACTTTTCTTAGGATAAGATAAACTAAAATTGCATATTCAGTCCTCTGTTAATCAAACACGCGATCTTTCTTGAATTATCATTAGTTGAGATAGAGTCTTGTTGGTTACGAGTCCAACAGATGGCGTGCTTGGTTTCATACCCTTCATTTCTACTATTTAATATAATATAACGACTGTGTTGAGACTTTTTTAAACATTTAAGTTGTATGAAAATTTATGAACCGTATGTCCTCTTGTGATAAGATATTGAAAAAATAACCAAGCTTCATATAATCCTATAGTCCTATAATCCTTTTCTTTCATACAGTATATACGTGACTATAAAATTAATGATTTGCTTTATCTTACCGAGGCTCCTCCAATGACGAATATATGAGGATCTTGATAATCTTTCATGCCTTTTAGGCCTTCTTCTCCTTTTTTATGGTCGTTCATTATCAATTTTTCCTTTAAATCCTACTATAAATAAAGTAGCACAAAGTTAATTTATCAATGAATTAATTTGTTAAATAAATCTTTTGTGCCTAATATACATATATATATATATATATATATATATACTTCAAAATTTACATGTTTGATATATATTAGTATATAGATGCCTTTCAATCTCGTATTTTTTTCTTCACTATGTTTCTCCCTTTTCTTTCTCACCTTGTTCCTGGAATGCGTTTGACGTGGAAGCGACTATATCAATGGATTTAACTTCAATGAAAATAACCATTAAATTGTAAAAATAAATTGTTAGATTATCTCATTATTAAATAATTGTATATTCATATGCTAATTAACAACATAAGTTTTAATTAAAATACCAATCTGTTCCGGGCAAATGTATTAGTCGACAGGTGTATTAAATGATGTGATTTTTTAGATTGTATATTGCTCTATGGAAGAGTGCAACTTCTGGTTGGAAATACCATATTCTATATATTCTGTACATTTGCAATATTTTCCGAGTACAATGTTGTTTTTCCCATATTCTATAAAAGAAACGTATTACATAAGTACAAAATTATATATCTAAGATAAAAGGTATTAATATTAATAGAAATAATGATAAATGGAAACGAGAAAATAGAAATAGAGAAAGAAGAGACAGAAGAGATTTCCATTAATATTTTCTTTGTTATTTATTTAACAATTTTACAAGATGAAAACTTGTGTAAAATATAAAAGCAATACTAATAGCAAAGTATAAGCAATGTAATATTACTTACCACTATTAATTCACTGTGCCATATAATTTTTTCATTAGTTACAGTCAATCTTAACCTCTTTATATATGTCTACCTATAGTGTGCATATATATATAACTTTCCAAGACAGGATTATTAATCAGAGACCTATGGTAGAGAGAGCTATCTTTATAAAAAAAAATTGCACTTTAACGACGATAAGGAATGTTTTATGTAATATACAAATTTTGCTATGTCCTATTCTTCTCTCTCTCTCTCTCTCTCTCTCTCTCTCTCTGTACTAGCTATAGGATATTATCTATGGACTCATAACTTAATATTACTATTGAATGTATATTTAATGATAATCTTCAATGTATCTAATACTTTTCCACTCTTTTCATTCACTTGTTATTAGATTCTCTTAAATGTTATATTTACTAATAATAATTAAAATATTATGTAATTTGGTAATTATATCGAACTTGTGTTCTCTTTTATAGTTCGATTGTATCCCGCCCTTGACATTATTTTCTAAATTGCATAACAGATGTCGCTTTATCGTATAAATATTTTAAATTTCTGATAGGTCAACTAAATTTATCAATTACAAACTCAAACTATTAAAGAGGATTATAAGATAAATATATTTGTATTTCAGAAATAATTCGTCCTTTATATATAATCTAGAAAAAAGAGGGTGTGGCAGGAATAAAAAAGAAAAGGAGAGTAAGCAATATATTTAAAGAAAAAGTATCTTTTTCTTCTTCTTATTCTTCTTCTAAGAATTTCTCGAATTAGAATCGTATAGAAAATTGCATTATCCAGGAAAAATGTTCAATTTTTTTGTCATGTTGCATAAAAGTCATGAATAAATTAAAATAGAAAGAGAAAAAGATTATCTTTCGTATTTTCAACGAATATATATATATCTAGGCTAAAAAGTAATTTTCCCATTAATATAAACAGCCCCTCGCTGCATTATTCCCATTATAAATGCTGCTTAAGTGTTAAAATATCATTGAAAATGTGAATAAGATCATTAGGAAACTGATAATAGTAATAGTAGAGGTGCACCGAGTTATGATCTTAAAAAATACAAGAAAAACGATAGAATTTTATACTGAACTACCGGGGTTTCAATATATATATATATATATATATATATATATAAATGATATATATATATATTTATATATATGTTGTATAGGCATACGAATAACAAGCGATTGGCACTAATAGGGGTATGTTCTCATTGAAAAGGTTTGAAAAAAAAGTCATTAAATACGCTTCAGCTTGTAAATTAAATAAATATAGATCTATGCATAAAGTATATATATATATATATATATATATATACTCCGTTGCTAAATATACAACACATCTTTTACTTAAATGTATAAATAGGACATGTGAAAACAAAAAGTTATTATAAATCTGTAATGCATTTCTTTGCAAGAAATGAATAAAAAGAAAAATAAAGCGAAATAAACATTTATTAGGGGTAAAGGATGTATTTTCTAAAATTCTTTGAGAAGAAACTGTTTCATTTCATGAAGCGTATTAGTAAATAAAAACTTGAAAAAGAACACACCCCAAACGAATACTGCTATTAAAAAAAACGTTGCTTTTTCCTCTCGCACTTTTCCCGTCTCTTACTCCGCTTTATTGGCTACTTCAGACAGATCTGGTACAAGCTCGTCGATCTTTTCTTCAGCCATTAGTTTCTTTTCCATTTGACAAAGCAAATTGACTCCATCGACTACCTTTTGTACTAATTCTACTTCAGAAAAGCCTAACCTATCCAAGTTTGATATATCAAAAGTACCATCGGTTGATTCTGTATCAACTCCTCCAGTTCCTCTCTTTTGCAGCCTCAAATATTTGAGAATATTATCAAATCTGTCATCTTTGCATAGATTAGGTAATTTAACGTGTACGCCGGCTCTTAGACCAGTTCCGAGATTAGATGGGCAAGTTAAAACGTAGCCAAGATGTTCATTCCACATGAAATCATATCCTTGCTTCCTTATAGAACCCTCAACGAGTTTCAAACCTTCGCAGAATCTATCGAATACCAACTTCATATTTCCACCCTTTTCCATTGAGATAACCCTTAAGGAAACAATAGTTAAAATTATTATCCTGCACACTGAGAGAATAAGTAATCTGTTATATTTTACCTGGAGTGGTCTTCTTCATTAATCCAAACCAAAAAATTTTTATCCTTATTGTGGAATATTCCTCTGCCATCTGGCCAGTCCCTAGCCATTCCAGCGCAAGTAAGTAATGGAGAAACTGGCTTATCAAACAGGAAATGATCCGCAATAAGTTGATCTTGTTCTTTTTCTGTCATGCCTGATAATGGATAATATTTTCCCTTGAATTGCCCGCTCAAGCCAGAGAGCGCTTTAGTTAAAATTCTTTCAACTTCTCTTCTCTCGTGTCTAGTGCAATGAGGTGGTAAAGGAATAGGTCTTATCGAACGTCCAGTTCGGACACGAGAAGATAAGACAAGATCATTATCTAATTGACCATTCGTTATTTTCGATGAATCCATATCAGTTGGGTGTTTTTTATCCTTTGTATAACCGTTATGACGATTCTCGATAATCGGATCCAGGAGATCCGCAAAGACTTCGTACGTTTCTTCGTCACCTGCTACCGCTCCAACTGTAAATATAAAAGGATGACCTGGATTGTCAACACCAGTCTGAATGACGCCATCCAGATTAAATCCACTCTTAGTTTTGGCATCTTTCAACTTTTCAAAAACTTCCTTTGTCAAGCATTTGGCCATCCAGTTGTTATGTTTGCTTAAATCTGGGAAATTGGATGCTTTAGGCTCGCACACTTTAAATTCTGTAGCAATAGCAGTATTCTCATCTTCAGCTTCGTTTCTATAATTTTCGGGTAATAAATCGTCAAAAGATTTCTTTGCTTCGAGTCTCTTTTCGATTTCAATCAATTTTCGAACACCATCCATTACTATTTGAACTTGCTGTACTTCGGATGTTCCAAGTCTATCCAAATTCGAAATATCAAAGGTACCATCTTTGGCCTCTGTATCAACACCTCCAGTTCCTCTCTTTTGTAAACGGAGGGCCTTGAGAATTCCAGCGAATTTACTGTCTTTTGCCAATTTTGGCAATTTGACGTGAACACCGGCTCTTAAACCTGTTCCAAGATTACTTGGGCAGGTTAATATGTAACCGAGATGCTCATTCCACATGAAGGAGTAGTTGCTTTTCTTGATGGAGTCTTCGAAACTATTTAAACCGGCACAGAACCTTTCAAAAACTCCCCTCATGTTTCCTCCTTTTTCCATGGATATAATTCGAGTATGATCTTCTTCATTTACCCAAACAAGGAGATTCTTTGCATCGTTGTGGAAAATACCTCTTGCTTGGGGCCAATCTCTGGCCATTCCCGCGCATGTTAGCAATGGGGACACTGGTTTATCAAAGAGGAAATGATCCTCAATAAGTTTATTTTGTTCCTCTTCCGTCATGGTTTCCAATGAATAATATTTGCCAGCTAATTCACCCTGAAAAGAATTGCATGCCTCAACAACAAGAGTTTCAACCTTTTTCCTCTCTGCCCTGGTGCAAAACGGTGGTAACGCGATACCTTTTATCGATCTACCAGTACGGACTCTAGATGATAGCACATATTTTGAGTCTAATTCATCTCCTTCTAATTTAGTTGCATCTAGATCTGTTGTATGTTTCATATCCTTGGTATAGCCATTATGGCGTTTTTCAATGATAGGATCTAACAAATCAGCAAAAACCTCATAGGATTCTTCATCTCCAGCAACAGCTCCAACAGTCATGATGAAAGGATGACCTGGATTGTCGACACCTGTTTGTATAACTCCATCGATAGTAAAACCACTGCTAGTTTTCTTTTCCTTTAGCGAATCATAGATCTCAGGTGTGAGGCATTTTGCCATCCAGTTGTTGTGTTTTGAAAGATCTGGAAAATCTCCCGGTGGTCTTTCGACAATTGTTGGCCAGTGGTCGTCAATTGATTCACCTTTTTCCAAAGCCTTCTCAATCTCAATTAGCGTCTCAACGCCATTGATAACTAATTGCACTAATTCGACTTCAGATTTACCAAGTCGATCAGCATTCGAAATATCAAAAGTTCCATCGGTAGAGGCAGTATCGACTCCCCCAGTTCCTCTCTTTTGAAGTCTGAGAAGTTTAAGTAATTCATCAAATTTGTTTTCTTTTGCTAAATGTGGTAATTTAACATGCACACCAGCTCTTAAGCCGGTTCCGAGATTCGAAGGACAAGTAAGAATGAAGCCTAAGTGATCGTTCCACATAAACTCATGCCCCTGAGCCTTGATAGAAGCCTCAACCTTTTTTAATCCAGTACAAAATCTCTGAAAGACCTTTTTCATATTACCAGATGACTCCATGGAAATTACCCTGGATATAAAAAGGAAATTCGTTCAATAAAAACGTGATCTTTCGATCTGCGAAATACTTAGCAAACACTTGATATATGTGTACAGTAAATAGTCTACATTATTTATGCATATGTTTTTAGGTCTACACAGTATGTGTTGCAGTATGTACTGTATAAATAGAAACGTATATTGTATATATAAAAACTTTTCATCAATAGTAAGCTGTAAATATAAGCAGCTGCTTTTCTTTACCAAGCAATTATAGAATATATATACAGCGATGTTTGATTTTCTTATATTACTAAAAAAATCAAAGTAGGTTTATGTTATAATGTAACGACACTTAAATTACTTTCTCCTTGCATTTTACAGACCTAGACCTGATCAATGAAGCTATTATTTTAAAAAAATAACCTTGAATGATCCTCTTCATTAACCCATACTAGAAAGTTCTTTTGATCGTTATGAAATATTCCTCTGGCATCCGGCCAATCTCTTGCCATACCAGCACAAGTCAAAAGGGGTGAAACAGGTTTATCAAAGAGGAAATGATCTTCTATTAATTTATTTTGCTCTTGCTCCGTCATTGATTCCAACGAATAGTATTTCCCCTTAAACTCTCCATCCAATTTTCCTAAGGCTGTCGTTAAGATGTCTTTCACGTCTCTCCTTTCAGCTCGAGTACAGTGAGGAGGTAGAGAGTAGCCCCTGATCGAACGGCCAGTTCTAACTCTTGAAGAGAGAACATATTTTGGATCCAAATTATCACCGCCAACAATTTTCGATGCGTTAAGATCTGTTCGATGAATAGCATCCTTGGGATATCCTCCATGTCGACCAGAGACAACTGGGTCGAATAAGTCAGCAAATAATTCGTAGCTTTCTTCATCGCCAGCAACACAGCCTATGACATTAGACAAATTCCATTAATAATAAGCCTATAATGATTATAGTCAAATTAAATTTATCAACAGTAAATGAAATGTTAGTGCTCTCTGAATACTATGTAAAGAGAAGGTAAAGCGAAAATAGAAAGAATTAATAGTTATACGAACCAACTGTATAAATAAAGGGATGACCCGGATTATCTACGCCTGTTTGTATCACTTTATCAATAGTGAATCCGGTTTTCGTCTTTTTATCAGCTAACAATTCCCATATTTCAGGAGTTAAGCATTTTGCCATCCAATTATTATGTTTTCTTAAATCCGGATAGTTAGGAACAATTGTGTGAGCCTTATTCTTATCGACGACTCCCCTGATAAAGAAAGGATAATAAATTTTCGCCAAACATTATATAAAAATTTCAAGTGCCATAATAAGAAGAGTGTTAGTGCATGTACAGGATTAACAGGTGGCGCTGTATGCGATTTTTTTTTTGGATTTGGCATGCCAATAGAGATAACTATTTTGTACTGGACAAATAATTCATAATAATTAAAACATATATTAATTACTAATTACGGCTGGCCTTTGGCCCACAGGAATGTTCATGCAAAATAAAAGTTACCTATCTTCCTCGCTATTTACCAGCCCGTCGTTAGCAGTGACCTCAACGATCTTTTGCTCATTCTGTTCCTTTTCAGAACTTTTTTCATCTGTCTGAGCATATCTTACATCGTCATTTCGGTCACTACCGCTAACAACGGGATCTGCAGTGATTGCGGCTCTAAAGAACGTTAGAAATTAGCAAAAAGTGTTCCATCTATTTCCAAACACGTGATTGGAATGCTGACTTAATTAGAGATCTTAATCGCAAATGTATTTGTATAAAAGTATTTCACGTCACGTCAAACTATTTCCTTACTCTCTTCTACTTTTTTTTCAACGCTTGTTCAGAAAATGGCGTCAAAATTAAGTCACGTGTGATCGTGAAATACTCCAATCAAATTAATACTTTTGTGAAGTTTTCAAAGGAAATTGAAGGATGAGATTATCTGACTGCACCGATTAGGTATTATCTCATAGAAAATTGCATAAATATATTTGACGCCAGGATTTCCGCTTGGAAACTTTTTAGCTTCACTTTAATTAATCAAATTACTTTATTAAGATAACAAGTCAATTACTAATCAGTAATAGGCCCATTATTAAAAAAATGTTTTCATTCGTTTCGTATGACTGCATTAGCGAAAAATATCCAACCAATTTTGTTTGTCTTTCTGCATCAAGTGCATTGAATAGTGACGCCAATTGGGAAGCAATTAAAATGAACTCTTTTATGGTTATTTTTAAGATAATCGATTATCGGTGCAGGAGAGATGGTTAGATTTATCAAAATTATAAAATTTGTAGTTTAACAAAAATGAATACAACAATATTGATCCTTTGAGGATTTTTTTTTATTATATATATACAGTTAATAGAAAAGAGATAAACGTAAGCAAACCTTTCTTCTCCTTCACTGTTGAACAAAGGGTGTTAGCAAGCAAGAGGGGGGTAGAAAAAAATATGTAGTCTACTAAACAGATACGTCAATGGTATAAAAAACACATGAGAATTGATAAGATAGAAGGCGAAAAATCGCCCTCCAGCGCAACCACATCTGGAACGCAACCGGTCGAAATTTTGCGGTGTTAGTTTAAGGATATTATATTGTTAACAAACGAAACACAGTTGTCAAAATATTTAGTAATTTTCAAAACCTAAAGGACCGCAAGGTTTCCGTCCGCCGGCCCTTTTTTCTACGTTTTTTTTCTTATCCCACAACTACATTCTTACCCTTTCTCTCAAACCCCCTTTTCCGATTAAGACAGACGTTCCAGTAAAAATAGCCTAGACCGTGTGATGAATGATGGGGATGAAGTATGTAAAGCATTATACAGCAAGTTTTTTTTTGCAGCAGTTCGTCTTATCGATTTATATACAAGAGATCATTGAAAAGACCGATTTTTAGGCTATGGATTAGCCACTAAATAGCTCAGGCCACGTTTTTCTTTGTTAGAATTCATGTCTTTATACAAGGTCGCGAAATATCTTAACGAAACTAATGCAAAGCAATCATTAAAATTCAAAGCAAACTATAACTAGGATGGGGCGTTGCCCTCTTAGTCTAAATCTTCGAAGTCGGACTAACTGATATCACATGGATGCTGTTACAATTTAGAAGCTTCTCTTCAACTATATCGCTTTCAAAAAAAAAGAGTAATAAGAATAAATACTCACTTCCTTTTCTTTTTCTCGCCGGAACTTCCTCCGCCGCCGCCGCCGCCTCCTCCTCCAGCTAAGAATGAAAAGCACGAGCACAATGGCATTAGTTCACCTTGTTAAGCCTAACTAATGACAAATGGTCTAGAATTCGCAAAATCTACAGTACAACTTCTACGAGGCACGTTGTAAGAGTATATATTTATAGAGTAAATTTGGGACGGGCGTTTGTGCAGACGTTTATCAATGTGAACATGGGCGTAAAAAGCGCCATCTGTCAGTAGGGCGAAATTTACATCTTTCATTGATTTCTATGCCCCAATACGGTTATGGAGTTTAACGAAGCGCCTATGCAAATTAGCAGAACGTGTATTAATCGCTTGGAAGAAGGCAATTTATCGCTTTTGATCAATTGACGAATATTACGAGAATTCAAAGATAAACATCAAAGTTAACTTTTGAATACTTAATTTCATGTATAGCTGCTAAATATTTAAATATTTTTTAAACAAACTTACCTTGAGTTGAATTCCCGCATCCCATTTTTTCCGAACCTCACTCTACTCCCAAATGCGACAGTTTGATGGTTGCTATGCATAGCCGAGCATGCGCCTTTTTTAGTTGAAAAAACACGCCCTCTGTAGGAAGCATGGATCGCCTACTGTAGACCTGAATAACTTAATTACTTGGTTACAAATTGAGAGTAAAAAGATCAAAGAAATATTCATGACTAGACCAGGAATAGGAACCACCCCAACCATGGGACATTTATTTATTTTTTTTCACAATATCTATATCTAGTCAAACATGTGTTTTTTACCGTTTAAGTAAACCTATTAAGTGAAATTTAATCTGTCTTAAATACAGATGATATTTGGCCAGCTTTCGTTACTTTTAATAATATAGTTTGACAGATTTAAAGCATTTAAACTAACACTCGTTGAGATGACATTCGGAAAGAAACTAGGACATATCTCCTATAAAAATTATCACGAAACAAAAGAATGTATCATCCTATAGGAATTTTCCCTAATACTGGTTGCAAAAACAAGAATAGGGAACACATTTTAGCCATCGAGTGCTTTATGCCGTGGGTGATTATATTCTAAAAAAAAATCCTTATAACACGTTTTCTGGTTTATTAATTCATGAAGTGGTAATAAATAAAAGGTTTAATTTTCATTGCTAATACGACTATAGAATTCTCATCACAAGATCTCTGATAGTAGCTGCGATTTTCAACTTTTCTCCATTCTTCCATTTTTTGGTTAATATAAAAAAATTATCAGATATAATCAATCTTCGCTATCTATTCCTATCATAATCTTAAGAATGCATAAAACTGACTTTTCTCTCTCTTTTTCTCTCTGTGACATTGAATTTCAATAATATTATTTAAAGCAATAAAATGTCTAATGATTTATTCTTTTTTTTTTACGTTATGTGTTTAGTCGAAACAAAGCGCCATTGAGGCAGACATAATGGAATGTTCTCAAAAAATTTAAAATATATATCTTTTTTTTAAAAAAAAAACAGAATAACAAAATAACTATAAACCATTTTTTACTGCTCAATAGCATTTAAAATTACCTTTTTCTCTTTTTATAAGCTAAGAGTGATCTTTTTGTAGGTCACCTTCGTTTAATATATACAAATATATATACAAAGGCTTTAAGAAAAGTTTATATGTTTAAATTAACCACTCTATGTATATTCAGTAGTTCGGTTTGGCGGGCTTATTTACATTTCATTAGTTTAACATTTAAATAATCAATCTCGAATTTATATTTATTTAATACTAAAATAATGAAATTTCGAGCTATTTTAAATGATGTAACTTGTGTTCAGCATCTATCACGTAAGTATATTTTTTGGGCGTATTGAAAACAGTTGAGCGATAATAAAAGAAAATGATAAAAAGTCATGTTTTATTTATATTTTTTCCATAGATGTCTTATCAGCTCTTGTAAAATTATCCAACCCATGGACCTTGAAACTTTCACCTAATAAATTTTTCTTTATTCTTAATCAAAGAATTACCGATGGGGGTATGACTGTTTGGTGTGAACTAATACAAACTTCCTTTTTTAGCGAATATGCTATGGAAGGAGTCAATCATGAAGATGCTAACGAAATATTACTTGAGCTGCAATTAGAGCAGCTTGTGAATGTTTTAAAAACTTGTTTGAAAGGATGCCAATCTGTAAAATTAAAACTAACAAACGCCCATGGACCCTGTATGACTGTTATTAGCAGAAATTCGTTATCAGCTGAAGTTTGTAGTGAAAATCACGTTCCGATTACGGTAATACCAAGGAAAGATTGGAAATATTTTCAAGAACCATCTAGTCCTGATATAGATGCATCTATTTATTTACCTAAAATGACCATCTTTAAAAACGTAGTTGATAGGATGCACAGTCTTCATGATAAAATCGTAAGATTTGTTATAGATTAGACACTACGAATATTATTATAACTGACAGGGCATCCACCTTCAGATCTTATCGGCCAACCATAATGGAGAATTAGAAGTTTGTGTCGATGCTGATTTAGTGACGGTTAAAACACACTTTAAGAATCTGGAGCATCCTCGATGGTCGGGAGATTCTCAAGAGAGCCAAACAAGAAACACTCAACAAAATAGAGAATTTCATAGCGTAACTGTTGATAGTAATAAACTTCTACTCTTTCTTCTCAGCGAGCAGCTATCGCCTGATAAAATAGCCTGCAGTTAGTAAGATATAAAATTAATACCTTCTTTATTAATGTCTAATTTACTACGATTTTTTCCCGCAGATATCAAACAGGACATGGTCGCCCATCTAATACTTTTGCACCGAGATTTGTCAATTCAGTATTTAATACCAGCCTGCTTTAATTGACTATTTTCAATCATGACATTCAACTGAGAATAATCAAAAATGTATAAAAAAGATTATTCTTTCGCAATTTTAGATGTAATTTAAAAAAAAAAAAAGAAACAGTGACTTAATGAATTACAAATGTTTCCATAAATTTCTTATTTACACTATACAGCATATTGAAAAGAACATTAAACTCTCCTTTTCCTCTTAATAAAGACGTTTTCATTTGTTTTTTTCTAGGTCAGATTACGAATGTTAAAAGGTTCCAATTCTCGTTCTAAGCCGAAGGTTTTATTGAGTCAGATTGCAATAAGGAGTAAAACTGATAGCGTTAGTTTACGGCTAAAAGCATATTCATCGAAATATTTAGCATAACTTTGAGTAAATAGATTTTATAAAGGTCTACGCAAAATTTTAAGGAAACCGAGTAATATTTTTTAAAAAAAGGCAATAAAGTTATAAAGTTATAAAAGCATACTTGGAGAAAGACTCTATTGTTCAACTTTTATCATTAACTTATTCACTATTACAAGTAAAAAGTTTAAATAGCGATAATATCTGAAAAACAATATTCATTCTCTTGTAATAAAATAGAATAACGAAGACATTCTTGAAATATTCTCTCCTTTTAAATGTTTTATATTATTTCTTATCACAATTACAAATAGGTCTTAAAAAATTTATTTATGCTTTGAAAATATAAACATGTGTTTGATAAGTTTTTTTGTTATTCATCTTAGGATGAGTTTATTTAAGAATTTTTTCTAATTTTATATAAATATTGCAAGTAAACTTTATATTTCCTTTCTAGTTTGAAATAACTTCATTTTATACAATATTCCCTATGTATAATATGTTAAATTCAATTTTCAAGATACATATTTAATATTCAAGTCTTATAAGCGTGATTCAATTTGGGAAAGGGACGTCGTTTTTTTTTTTGGGCTTTTTTCATTCGATTTTATTAGAAACTTTCCCTTTGAATTTCTTTTGAATACAATGTTCGGATTTATCACTGCCTGTAGATAATCGCATTGTAAATGAATATATTCATTCCGCTCCAAAATTTCTCAATAAAAGCATAAAATCTTTAGATTTCTGGTTCACTAAATTGATAGTAAATATCCCTAATTTATTCGTATTAGATAGATTCAACTCTATGTCGAGTCTTCTGAATTAATTTTACCCACTATAGTTATAATTTGTAAAAAAAAAGAAAAGAGACTCTCTTCATCCTATATGCAGCTTCTCCGTCTTAACAAAAATATATATACATATATATATATATATTTTCTATTTTCGATTATAAAGGAACCGGAAATAGTCATGATATTATAAAGTTATATTATTCAATTGTTTTTACATTGTATCTAACACAGTAATAATCATTAATAACGAAAAAAGTAATATAGGTTTGTTTGTTTTTTTTTTCGAAAAAAAATCTAGATTAAAAATGTAAACTTTATAAAAAACTATAACAATTTAGCTTAATTATGTACCTTGACAACCATTCTAAATAGATCAATTTTTGCTTTGTCTCGCTATTTATTATTATTTTAGCAACAGCCGTCATTTAAACTTGACAGTTTTATAAAAATATAAAAAATATTTATTTGCTAATTATAGAATGTCGTGTGAAAGAAGTTAACACTTAATAATTAGTTACCAAATTTATTGCATTAGCATTTAGATATTTAAATACAAATAAGTAAATATATAAATCTTCTTTATATTAAAAATAAACAATTAATAAGAAAGCGAAATGGACTCAGAGTTTCTTTGTTTAATTAGCCATTATAATTTTTACAGGTGAAATAAGTTTAGCAAAAACAAAGGTATCAGACAGATATTGTATTCTATTGATGGACATAAAAAGTTTTTTCTCTCTTTGTCTCTCTCTCTCTCTCTCTCTCTCTCATACACATAGTACATATATACACATTTGCTTTCACTTTCTTATCACTATTATTGTTATGTATTCTCATGATATTTCATTAAAGAGATATCTGCAAATACTTTATTTATAATCTTCTTACCAACTCCTTATATTAATTTATTCAAAAACTTTCATTCAGTACAAAAATTATTCAATCTACAATAAAAAATGTGCTATTTGTATATGAATTAATTATTATTTAAGGTATTAAACTATTTTTTCATTACATGTTATTTATTTATCAATTCAGTGCATTATTAGTATCTTATTAAATATTTCCCCTTAAAATTCCATTAGCTCTCTCGTTGCTCGAAGAACAACATTAGACTAAAGTGCTTCTGCTAAAACCTTAATTGAAGGAAATGTATACCATACATATATATCTTCATTTCATAAAAAAAATCTCCATAAAGTTCATAATCATTTAACATTGTCAATTATTATCATTTCAAAAATAATTCTTATTGAAGATCATAATCTAAAAATAACTACTTTAAGTTCCTGCTTACATAATTATGTAATTAGGTATAAACTTTTTTTATTGTTTTTGTTCCTTCTTTATCGATTAATTCCGCTTATTTAAAGAAAATGATAACAATGATAATAATATTATAAATTGATTTCTTACAGACTTGTGAATGACAAGTAAATTAGTTCACGTGTCCCAAGAATTAAAGCTTGTTCATCTATTCGATTTTCTATTTAAATTTTTTTAAGAACAATGTCACATAATCAGTGAGTATGAAAGATAAGAAGGAAGAGTGAGAAAAGAAGGTTTTTCTACCTAAATACTATTTAGATTATCTTAGACAGATTGAGTTTCTCTTTCAGCTTCTATTTTGCAATTTTAATTGATTTTCATATTAAAAAGATTTTCCATTATAGTTTTTCCAGCTCTTCCTTTTTCCTTTCTTCCTGTTTTTTATAACCTGAAATGTATTGTTAATGGTGCCGGCAACCTTGCCACATCTTCAATTTGTACTCTTTTCTAAATGATATACTATGTTGAAGAAGAACCTCCTATAACTTTGTTTACATAAATCAGACTCAATTGGGTTCTTTGTCTTCGTTTTGCGAAAATAGAACAAACCTCGCTCTCTGTCTGTCTGTCTGTCTGTCTGTCTGTCTCTCTCTCTCTCTCTCTCTCTCTCTCTCTCTCACTTCTATTTTGCTTGGTGTGCTCTTATTTTTTTAAAAAGATTTTACACGTTTAGTTGCATTGGTAACGGTTAACAGGAGCTTGTCAGGTACATATTGTCACGTTTTGAGATTTTTTTGGAAAGAAAAAACAAAAGATATAATATTCTGATCAAGTACATATCGTTTAGAGATAACCTAGTACTTAGACTATAACTCCTAAACACTTTTGTCAGATTTAGTCATCATGATGACAATTTTAAGACCAGAGACTTAGTCATGTCTTAGTCATTAAAATTACTAAAGAACGCATATATGTTCATTTTCGAATTTTCCTTCAAGAAAATATTAAATGTATGAAAATTAATATCTAGATTTGTGACGAAATTTTTTAACATTATCTATTTTGTAATGACAATTATTATTATTATATATTAAAATTGCCGCTAAATAGGTAAAACACTCAAGAGTCAGCCATTTTGATTTACCGAATAACGGTCAGGAAAACCATCTCTAAACGTAAACAAAACGAACGTGGATTATTGGCTCGTTACTTTACAATTAGGTCAGGCGGCATGAACAATAAATAAATAACAACAAAAACGTAATCGAAAGAGAAATATTCACTTAATGCAAAACTTTCGCCGCCAAAATTTGATTTCTCTTTGTTCTGTTTGAAGCATTTCTAAGACATCTAAAGACCCCAAATTTGCGCACAGGTAAGAGTTGCAAAGGTCATCAGGTGTGACAGTATAACGTTACTCTCTTCTTAGAAATGATAAGTGATACGGATAGTGGATGTGCGGTTGAAGAGTATTCTTGGATTCCACCCGGATTAACGTCCTCACGAATTCGACAGTATATGAATTCCCTTCCAGAAGATAAAATTCCCTACGTAAATAGTGTAGGAGAAAAATATCGAATCCGTCAACTACTCTTCCAACTTCCTCCTCACGACAACGCAGCAAGATATTGTCATTCTCTAAGCGCCTATGAAAAGAAGGAGCTCGACGAGTTCTGCGTTAAAAGAAAAAATGAATCTCTGGGCAGAGGTCGTTTACATGTTCAGGGGATACCAGCAAAGTGTTTCAAATGTTTAGACAATATAGCAAGGGGTCAGATAGCTGTGCTTTCTTCCAGAGCTGGTCCAAATAGTTGTTGGCATCCTCGGTGTTTTACTTGTTCTACGTGCGGTGAACTTTTAGTTGATTTAATTTATTTTTGGAACGACGGTTTGTTTTGTGGAAGACATCATGCTGAAAGTCTGAAACCTCGCTGTTCGGCATGTGATGAGATTATTTTTGAAGAAGAATGCATAGAAGCTGAGGGTAAAAGTTGGCATCTAAGACACTTTGCTTGTTCTGCTTGCGGAAAGAGTCTTGGAGGTGAGGAATACGCAACAAAGGACGAAGAACAATTTTGTAGTGCTTGTTATAGTGAAAAGTTTACTTGCGACGAAAAGAAGAGTGGAATTTTAAAAATATCTTCCTCACCAGACTTGACAAAACGATTGAAAAGCGTAAAATTCAATGTTCCTATTCAAAGCTATGAATATTCACCAGCAAAGAATCTTGACGATTCGTCAATCTCTTCTAGTGATAGTGAATTTGAATATCAAACGTCAAAAAAACCAATCAAACCTCCTTATTTACAAAAACCTAAAAATAACTGTATCATATCATAAGAAAAGAACAATATTTTCGACGATTGTTAAAGACGTTAGTGATTAGAACTCAATCTAAGACGATTGGGCATAGTACAGTTCTGTATATTGTTTGTTATATTTTTTTTAAATGGTTTTATTTACAACAAAACAAATTAAAAGATTTTGAGAAAAATTTCTTTTCAAAAATATTTTCTATTATTTTTTCTTATTTATATTATAAAGTTAATTTAAAACCCAGGTATTATTCTTCCTTTCTTCTTAGCTTTATTTACCTTCTTCTTAATTCGTCCTTCTTTTCTCTTTTTTAGATTTTCGTTTCGTTTCTTTATTCTCTGATCTAACTTTTGCTTTTCAGCGTCCTTCCTCTTTTTCCATTCTTTACCACTCTTATCCTTCTTCTTCTCTTTACGCTTCAAGCTCTTTTTCAATAATTTTTCATCATCTTTAACCTTTACTCCTTTGGCTTTATCCATCACCTTCCTCCATTTTTCTTTCTCCTCAACAGTTTTTGCTTTTACCGAATCTGTTTCTTTCAATTTTTGCAACTTTTGTTTATTTTTTTCCACTCTTTTCAATAGTTTCTTGTAGTCCTTATTGCCAGTACTTTTCTTCTTCTCAGCATCAGCCTTAGATGTAACAAAATCAAATTTTGAGAAGACTAGGTTGCCTTCTTTGTTAAAAATAGGTTTAGGTTTAATCTTTTCTAAAACCTCCTCCTTCTTTGAACGGATAACGCTTTCTTTCACAATAGTCTTCTTTTGCTTATTCTTTTTACCCTGTAAACGTTTAACTTTACGCTTTTCTTTAACACTTTCGCTTGTATTTCTCGATTCTATGCATAAAAGAAATAATGGTTAAATTTTGTCATTAAGCTGTCAATGATTTTAGATTGACATTACTTTCTAATTTCTCAATTTTATATTTTAATCTTTCTTGGAGTTTGTCCTGTTGACGTTGGTTGTCGTTTCCCGCCACTTTAAATTGCTTAAATATCTCAACTAATTCAGACTGTTTTGAATCAATCAAATTTTTCGTTAATTTTCGATCTGTTGGATAGAAAATAAATATTAAAATTATTTATGTTAAGCAATATAATAATTAAATTAGGTATTAAATTTACTTGAATTTTTTTCAGGAGCACTTAGGCAGTTTTTAACTGCAATAACTTGGTCATGTGAAAAACTTATATTTGAAGGCAAAATTTTTCTAAAGTAGTCTTTATAGAGAGCAGTTTTTTGTTTCTCACTCATTTCTCCATAGTTAAAATTTTTAGGTAAGAAATTTAGTGCAGCTTGCTCTCCTTTATACCACGATATATGAGCTGCTTTCTTATTCCTTTCATCGTAGTAATTAAAAACATTTTTAATTCCTGACGATAGTTCTTCTACATTTTCTGAGCTCTTTTTCTTTTTCTTATGCATTCCATTTTTCTTTGGTGATTCTTGTTCTGCTGAACGTTTGCGTTCTTTCATTTTGTTAACACCTAGTGAACACGTGAAACGCGAAATGAAGGAATGGTGCGAAATATGGTAGGAAATTAATATTTCGATTACTTACTAAAATAGAACGGTCGTGAAAATTATTCCTCTAATAGTTTATATGTTCAAAATTCATATGTAATTATTGAACATAAGATAATTTTTGAGATAAAATCTGTAGACGAAAATTCACGATTAGTTATTACCTACTCTCGTTATATCTCGTTCATGGAAAGTCGATTTATTTCATATTTTCTAAGTATTTATGCTATTTCTCGATAATATTAAAAATTAACGTTATTGGTAAAAAATTTTTACTATTAAGAAAATTTTATACGAAAATATGACAACAACAATCACTGACGTCACCAATTTCTGTTTCACCGCGGGGAAGAGTGTTTAAGGTAAATTTTTGCTGTTTTTTCGTATCTTATCGATACTTTCTTTGTTTTGTTTTGTCTGTACTTTCTTAAGGACCGATTAAGCATTTTTTCATAAATCTGTGTTTTATATTATCCTTTAACCTATCGGACCATTAAAATTCAGGTTTGCCTAATCAATAACTACGCCCGTCGGTATAAAATCATCCGTACTTTTCAGTTAACATTACATCTGAACCATGTTGAGTGATAAAAAAAAAAGTTGTAACTGATAAAGAGCGTATTACCCTTTTCCAGGTGTAGGAAAACGATACTATAATAATGTTTGTGGAACAGTTGATGCTTAGAATCCATTGTTTAATGGAGATGGATTTTTTTTGTTGTCTAGGCTATAGATTTTTTAATAGTTTATAAGTCAATAAAGGCGATTGACCGAACGAATTGTTTTGCTCTGAAAAAAGGAAAGAAAGCGTGACAAAGTGGTATTTTCGATGATGCATCGCGAAAATATCCCGTTTATTCAACGTGGTGTTAATAAGCCATATACTTGAAAGGGGTGTAAAAGAGGAAACAACTTATACGTATAAACTAATATCGAGTGGTATAGGGAGAAGGGTAGAACCAAAAAGAGACAAAAAAAACTGTATAATTTATTCAGCAGGTGGGCGTTTGCGGTAAATTGAGTGCACCTTCTGACGAGTTTGTCATTTCATGATAGAGCCAATGTATACGCTATCAATAACCGGCGAGTTTTAAAGATACACTTTTCGACCTTTAGCTCTGCTTGTTCTTTGTAAGGATAGAGCTTATTTTTTTGCCAAGATTAACTGATTATTTTCACTTAGTTGTTCTTAGGCGAAAATCAAACCAATTATTAAACGTTCTTCGAATAAAGAAAGATTTGCTGATAATAGATTGTCTAACTTACTGACTGCGTAACCTATTTACCGCTTTTTATGTAAATAAAACATATTTCTGCAGGCAGTCGATAAGAGATGAGAGAATATAAACTTGTTGTACTTGGCAGCGGTGGAGTTGGAAAGAGTGCATTGGTTTGTAATTTTTTGTTAATTATCTAAAAATAATTCCATTTCCTTTGCGACGCGCAACTAATACATCAATTAGTATTTGTAGTGAGAGTAACCAATTTCTTATTATCATTTAACTCACAACAGACAGTACAGTTCGTCCAAGGAATATTCGTTGAAAAATATGACCCGACTATAGAAGACTCCTACAGAAAAGTTTGTCTTTCCTTGTTATTTTGTATATTTTTACTTTCCTATTAGTTAATTTATGTATAAGCAATACTTTTATAACTCTTTAATGATATTTTAGCATGTCGAAATTGACGGGCAGCAATGTATGCTTGAAATACTTGATACTGCAGGAACTGTTAGTAGATTAACTTCCGCTCTCTTAAATATGACAATAACTTTTTCCTTCTATAAAGGAACAATTTACGGCCATGAGAGATTTGTATATGAAAAATGGACAAGGTTTCCTTCTAGTTTATAGTATAACAGCACAATCGACTTTTGATGACTTAGAAGACTTGAGGGAACAAATATTAAGGGTAAAAGACACGGATGACGTGAGTTTTTTTTCTTTACCTTTTATAAAAGACCTTTATAGAAACAAATAAAGATAATTATCTGTGCAGGTCCCAATGGTACTTGTGGGCAATAAATGCGATTTAGAAGACGAAAGAATGGTTGGATATGCCCAAGGAAAGGAAAGAGCTACCAAGTTTAACTGTCATTTTATAGAAACGTCAGCCAAATCGAAAATAAACGTCGACAAGGTATGATTCATATAATATTTATATAGATATTTTATGTAAAGAAATGTATAAGAAAAATAAAAAGTAAAATAAACCTAAACTAAAGTAACAAAAGTCTTTTTTGTTTTGTTTCTTCCCTAACAGATATTTTATGAATTAGTATGCTTTATAAACAGGAAAAACCCGCAGATAAGTAAACCTAAAAGAAAATCCAAGTGCACGGTCCTTTAAGAACGTTTCCCTCGTTTTTAAAATGTTTTAGAGTTCATAAATTATTTAGTAGCTTACTTTTATTATTTGTATTCTTCATGTATAATAATTATTATATATTTTTTTGAAATTGGCTTCTCACTTACACACCAGCGTTTTTCTGTATGTACTGTATTCATTATATTTATATATACTACATCATTATTTTTTATGTATACACATACATATATATATATATATTAGTATATATATATATATGTATATATATATAATCTATACATATATAGGGAATAAGAGCGATAGAGTAAAAGGATGCGTTTCATAAAGGTGTCTAGTCGAAAAAGAAAACACATAAACACATTTTTTTTAAGTTTTTACTTTTCCATATATTTATCACTATAATATAATTTCATAAAAAAAAGCGTTTCTTTCTCTTTATTCTTTAATTATTTACATATATATATATATATATATATATTTATATTTATATATATTTATATATAGCAGCTAGTGGTGTTAACTTTCATTTTTTTTATTTCTGCACATAAATTCCGAAAGCTTTTCACATTTTATAGAAATTATAGGATCGCTTATAACTTTTACTATCTACTGTCTCCCGGAACTTCCTAAGCCAAAGGAAAGCGCGCATTTGTTTTTTTGTAATTTATAGCGTTTACTTTATGTGGCTTTCTAACTGTTAAGTGTATGACAGATTGATTTAGAGATCTAATACAAATTACATTTCGTTTCTTTATATTTTTCTTAAAGCCGTAATGTAGAATTAATTAATAATATGATATGTCGATTGTTTTATTTCTTTTATATTAATTTATATCTGTTTTAGTTTATGAAAAGGAATTATTGCAAACGCTTCTTAAGTTAAATTCTGTTTTAAGTGTAATATATTGATTTAGCAAACTATGTTCTTAAATATCTAACATACTCGTGGCTTTTTTAAGTGTGGTTACTACGGAATTTGGTTGAGTCATTGAATCAACGTCAAACACATATAAGATGCTCCAATCCCTTAGGTATATGTCGTATAAATAGCTAAAAAGCTCCCTTTACACGTCTCGTATCAAAATCGTCCCCTTCATTTTCTATTTTCAGCTCACTACTCTCTTCCTTTCTCTTGCTCTTTTTCTCCCCTTTTCGCCGCCCCCTTTCTCTCTACTACTTAGTCACCTCGTAATGGATGAGAAATAAGCGTCCTAAATTTAGAGCTCGGAGAGAAATGCAATAATAAAACAGACAATGAAACCAAACTCGCGCAGGTCTCGGTGGTATTGCAGATTTAAAGATTATGTTATTCAACAGAAATCTTTTAAATATCTCGTATTTAAAGAAATAAAAAAAACAAGAGCCAGACAGATAGACAGAGAAGAGAGAGAGAGAGAATCTTTTCTTTTGTGTAAACAACACGTATATATTTATTTTTATAATTTACAACAGTTTCGTTTAAAGTTTACCCCAAAGGCCTATTGACAAGGATATTCTCTCCTTATGTTACTTATTCTATTTTATTCTTAATGTCTTTAACCTCGTCTTTTGTTTTTGCAAAGCAATAAAAAGTAAATTTTTCCCCTAATATAGAATTATAGTTTTATAGAATGTTTACTGTTGTTTTATTAAATATATTTTTATATATTAGCTATTACATAATTATCTTTCCAAATATAAAATTAATTTAATAGCCATAATAATTGGCTGGAAAATAGGAATATTAAGAAAAATATGAAAAGAGAGGAAACATTCCATTTATACTCTCTATTCCTTATGGAATGTACAGAATAATCTTGAAATTGTGGCTGACACTATCAATATTATTTATTTTTATCAATAAAGAAATCCCTTAAATGCGAGAGAACTCGATACTCTAATTAGATACATTTTATTGTTTCTTGTTATTTTTTCGTTTTTAATACATATCCATTGATGCTCCTTGTCTTTTTACGAGGAGAACGGAAGTTTTAGTTCATTTACCCCACTGTTAATTACTCTTGCTAAAGCTATTACATATACATATAATAATAGCCGTAATTTTCAATAAAAAAAGTGAATAAAAAATAGATTTTTCGCAGTTACGCCATCTGTAATTTTGTTGACCGAAATGGTTTTTAGTTGTCATTCCGTTGAGAGTTAATTAACGGAATTCAATAGAATAAAATTAAAACATGACGGAGAAAATAATCAACTTCAAATTAGAATTGGCTTGGTCGATTTTCGCAGTTTTAGGAGCAATTTTATCGGTAAAGAATAGCAACAAAAGGGCATAAAATTAGATAAATTGATAGTCTATTATCTTCTTTTCTATTCTATGATTCTCTATTTATAAATAAAGAAATATTTATCTAGAAATATACTGCATTGTCTCTTTTACTAGAAAGTTGTTTTCTTTTCATTTCAAATTATAGGGTTCTGTAATGTTGATTCTGGCTCCAGCTTATATCGATCTGGCAAGAAACATTCGAGTTAGCTTGTATCAATTCTCAATAATTTTCACTTTCAGAGGAATAGGCGGTTTAGTTAGTACACCTATATCTGGTAAATTATATGATAAGGTGAGTAGATGTATACAAAGTCAAAATCATAGGCATAATTATATTTAAGCTAAAGCTGTAATGAACATTTATTGTTATTATTAATTTCTATTTAAACAGATTGGTCCGGCTATTGTATTTACTGTTTCCTTAATTATACTTTCTGGTTCTGTATTAGCCATACCATTTATTACAAACTTTTACACCATGTGTTTTGTAAGTTTTGTACTCTATTTAATGGTCAACAGCTCAGCAATTGGTTCGTCAATTAAATTTATATCATTTTCATATATATATTTATATATATATATATATATATATATATGTATAGATAGATATTCGATTATAATCGTATATACAGTATATATACACATACAGTATAATAGACCCACACAAACAGGCTGCTACACTCTAGGGTTTAAACTTTGGAATGGTCGCTTAAAATTCTTCACTCAGTTAATTAACCTCATGTTTGATATAGGACTTTTGACTACTCCTTATCTTATTGGTCCATTTCTATCTAGGAAAGAGCATACGTTCATTAAATTCGGAGCGGAAAATTATGATGGAATAGAAAGAAACATAACGAAAAGTATGAGTGAAACCAACGATCAGTTACTGTACGTTCCATTTGCCATATACTCATCTTTAGCCTTCTTGATGGCTATATTTGCTTTTATTCTGTTTATTATTGACAAGAGTTTTGTACTGACAAGAGAAGATAGAGTGGATGGGAATCAAGTAACAGGAAATAACCGGAAGGCGATAACAACCTATGTTCTTTTACTTGTTATACTATTTCTGGTCTCAACAATAGATTTATGCCTAAATCAAATGTCTATGCCAATTGCGGAGAAACATTTGAAATGGTCCGTTGAGGACTCTATTTATTTTGCATCCAGTCCATTCGTGGCAAAGACTATTGCATGCATCATTGTCATTGCAGTTTCGCATATTGTTAATCCGGCCTCCATTCTCGCTATTGATATCCTTTTAATTACATCAGGATGCATTATACTACCTTTCGTCATTTACAAACCATTCTTTATTTGGCTATCAGCAATCATGATAGGAGCGGGAGGAGGTACAGTCTTCTCGACAATTTTATGCTGGAAGGATAACAAGATTCGAGTGACCTCGTTTATGGCTGGTATTTACGGTTGTACTTATTGTCTAGCTACCACGTTTAGCATTCAATTTTCCAGTTATCTAATGGAGAAAATTTCCTTCTCCAGTTATTTATATTTTATGCTTAGTTGTGGGATAGCATTAATAATTTTGCAAATAGTATGTTTTCAACTGGTTCGTTCTAATCAGACAAATTTCACTAATGATGAAAATGAGCCATTATTAAAAAATCATTCTGATAACTAGTAATAATCTAATTAAAAGCACTATTATAATACATGCAAAAACATATATATTAGTATACTTTATATATATACTGTATATACACAGTATACTGTAAATATGTATATATAAGTTTATAGATTTATACAGTATAACTGTTGTAAGGATCATTCATTCTATAGTGAACAACTGCAAAAATTAAATAGGAAAATTCGAAACGCTACAAGCCCTTAACCTGCCAATAAAATAATAGAAACCTTAAACAGTCTCGCAATCTTTGAAAGCCGAAATCTCATTGACTTCTCTCCTTTTATCTATTTATAGAAATTATCCTCAATGTAGGCCGCAATAAGGAATTGCTAACAAAGACGTATTATAATTTTTACACCTTAGATATACCATAGCTTTTGGTAGCGGATGATGAGTTGAAAGGAAGAGAAAATAAATTACAAGTCGTCCTTAGTCATTCTTCAGTTTTATTTATCACTTTAACAAAGGAGAATTTTTTTCTTTAAAAATAAAGAGGATTAGGTCTTTAGTTACTTCCTAAAACTATTTATTAAAATTTTGTCTTACAAGGCCTAGAATTTGCTTTCTCTTTCCTTTTCTTTATCTTCTCTTGTTAAGTAAACCTATTTTTAGATTATGTAGGCGTTTCTTAAGGGAATAGTAGAGAAAGGAAAGAAAAGGGGAAGGGAGGGGAGGGGGGAGGAGGAGAGGGAGAGAGGGAGAGAAAGAAAAAAGAGATAGTTAAACTAAATCATAGACTGTGACTATTTAAATATCCTTTATTTACCTACTATAACGCCATCTGCGTACTGTAAAATATGTTAAAAAACAAAGATTTCTTTTTTTCTTTCTGTTCCTTTGAAAGAAAAAAAAGGGGAAAAAGTTATGTGATCAAAAGATTTTCTTGTTTTTCTTCTTTTCTCCCCTGTCTTCCTGATTATCAAAAAATTAATGTAGTAATTATTCATCAACGTCCGCTTCTCGTCTTCTTCCTCCTCTTCTTTATCAATATAACATGGCTTGTTGTTGATGAGCTTTAGTAAAACCCCAAGTTTGATGAATGTTACCCTTTACGTTAACAACCTTTTTAGTCGATTGTTGAATCGATTCATCCTGCTTGTAAAGCGATAATTTTCCACTAAATGAACCAAAGACGTTTCCAATAGCCTTGCAAGTTGGCGTTACAAAACACTCAAGAAAAGATTTCCATATAACAGATAAAATTCTTAAAACAAGAATAGCAAAAATTGACGAAGGTTGAAAAATATATACAATAATAAATTTGCATATTGCCATTAAAATTGCCCAAAATACCATTAATATCATTCCTAAAACTATTGAAAGTGCAGTAAAAACGCCCAACTAATGAAGAAAAAACAAAAGCAATAAATTATTTAATATTGAAATAAAAAATTAAATATTTATATACCGAAATATAGGCGTAAATCTTTTTGAACACTTCGTTAATCTCTTGGCATTTTTTAGGTAATTTTGGTCCGTAACTTTATCGTTTTTTAAAGTAACTTTTTAAAACTTGATGCTCTTTGTATTTTTTTTATTCATTAGCGAATTAATTAAATAGTTTATTAGGAAGGAAGTTTTTAACTTTATCTAATTTAAAAGGTTACTTTAAGGGTTCGGGTTGTACAAAAATATCGTCAAAACCTAGCTAAAAAATCAAACAAATAAACAATAAATTTATAAAGGATATACTGTACTTTGAAAAGAAATTATAAGCAAAAATAATACCGCAATAACAGGCTGTAGCAATTTACCAGTATCAATATCTAACTGTATTTCATCCACTTTCGAGGCCGGCCAGCTCTCTCTTACCGCTTGATTAAACGGATTTTCCCTTGGAAGGGTATCTCGCTTTTTCCTAGACGGAGGATGAGGTTGGCAATATTCTTCAGTAGTTTCTTTAGTGTCAACTGTTTGAACTTCGGGTAATTGTCTTTCATCAGGTAAAACATCATCGAAAGTTTCTGTTTTTCCTTCCTCGTCCATAGTTGGTTAATTTGAATTGGATATTAATAATTTTTTATAAGAACTGCTTTATAGATTCGTTAAGGGGTAAAAATGTTATACGAGATAGTAATTCCATTAAAGAGCAGTTAGATACTAATATATTACAGGTCCTAATAGGAGAATATAATATGCATTTAGAGAGGCCTTTTCGTTATTTAATAGTCTTTTTACAAAATGTATAATTAAGTAGGAAAATATATAAATACACGTGCATCTATATATAATTAAGCCAATTTGTTGTTATATTGCTATTAATCAGTATTTATTTCATATTTATTCGCTTGTTTCCCTTCACCTTTCAAAAATGGCCTTCAATCTTTACCAAGTACTAGTATAGTCCTTCCCCAAACCATTAATATTACCTATTCTGGAGCATGTGTTCATTTCTCTTCCTTCTTCAACCCTTAATAACGTCTTTCTAACTAATTGCTTAACCGGTTTAGATAGTCCTGATTATTGGGGAATTTCTTTCTTCCTTTACCCTTCATCCTAATCCCATAATTATAGGGATTGTTGGAGAGAATTTATGAGATTTTTGAATAATATTTCTATTAATAATAGAGTTTTATCTTTTCGCTAGAGTATCCTTTTCCATATAAATTAGAATGTAATGTGTTATTAATTATTCTCAGTCACTGCATACTTTTAATTATTGGCCGAATTATAGAGTTTTTATCAAATAATTGTTTTTTTTTCCATTAAACTAAGATGGCGTATATATAATATCCAGAATATATAAATATATCTACATATTAAATGAACGCTTTTTGTTCTATTTAAACCTCTTTAAAGGCTTCCTCGATAACCTAATTTCTAATCTGTCTGCTCTTAGTACAGAGGGAGAAGAATGCTTTTTAAGCTTAATTTCGTCCATATCACACGGCAATTTAAACATCATCTTTTATGCATTCTTTAAGTAAATGAAACGTGATATGTCTCTTGCAATTTTTCTCAGTAGTAAAATCTTAGCTTTCTCAGTCCGTAGGGACGAAATTCTAGATTAACTTTTTTTTTGTATTGTTGTTCTAGTCACTCGTGTTATTTTTAGATTAAAGTTTGTCACTCGCATTCGTCATTGATGAGGGTCAGACTCATAGGATTATTCATGAAACTTTCAAAAATTGGAGATTGCTTTGTGCAACCGTCGACAATTTTCAGAAAGTCATCATTTATCCGTTCTTTAATCATCATTCCCCAAAATGTTCATTGACATTATGTCTTACAATATATTTACTATCATTTCGGTTAAAACCGATCAAATAAGATCAAGAGTTTAGTAATAAAATTTATTATTAAATGAAATGGCTTTGGACAAGACGGCCTCCACCTTTCATTTAAAAATACGCATGCGCACAATGAAGCACGAAAACTGGTAGAGTGTTGTTATGATTTGGTGAATTCTAGTCGCCTAGCACATGCGCAGTTAAAAGCTTTCGGACCTTCAAAATGGCTGAATATAGAGTACTTTAGTACAGTTTATTCTACAAAACATTAAGAGCGATTTGGCTTTTAATTCAGCTATTGCATTTGAATATACAGCCTCGGACGATTAGATTACTTGTGTAACAAGTTATTGACAAGGAACGAACTGTTATTCTATTGTCTTTTGGGATCGTCCACTGTTGTATGCATTTGATTGAAAATGGCCACTCGCTATGTTCAACCTGTCGTCCCTCCCGGTTTTCATCTTATTGAAATGAACAGAACGGTATACGTAATTCCAGAAAGATACACAGAGTTAAGCACGATCGGTCAAGGAGCATATGGCCAAGTTGTGTGAGTAACTTTATTATAGATTGTGATTACGCAAGCAAATTTTAAAATATATTCTATATTTACAGAGCAGCCAATGACACAGACCTGGGAACGCGAGTTGCAATTAAAAAGCTATCTAGACCTTTTCAAACGCATATTCATGCAAAAAGAACGTTTAGGGAAGTAAAAATGCTTAAGATGATGAACCACGAAAATGTAAAGATAAATATTAATATAATTTAAAAAAAACATTGACTTTATAATAAGATCTCTTGTCTAATCCGACAGGTGATTGGCTTATTGAATTTATTTACTTCTACACAAAATTTTGAGAGTTTTGAAGACGTGTAAGTAAATGAAAATAAAACTCCTGCTTTCATTTTCAACACATCTCGAATAATAATCGATCTTTGCACGTTATATATATATATATACATATATATATATATGTATATATACAGTATATTTTAAAACACAAAATTCCCTCTTCCCCATATATATAACAAAAATGTAGAGCATTTATTGCACATAGCATTCTGTGCAAATTTTTTAAATGTTGTCTTTGTTTTTCACCTAGTAATTAGTGTATAAACATTTTGCCCAAACTCTACAGGTACCTCGTAACGCATAAAATGGGTGCCGATTTATCAAACATTCTAAAATCACAGACCTTGTCTGGCGAACATGTGCAGTTCTTGCTCTACCAAACTCTCCGAGGTTTAAAGGTGCGTTTTTTTTATACAGTTACTTTGTGTCCGATTTGGGAGGTGCCGATTTGAACACACGCATAAAAAAATTTGGTCCAATTATATCTGAAGCTGTTAAGTTGCTTGTTTATCAAATGCTTAGAGGATTGAAGGTACTTACTTAATCATACAGTTGTAATATTAATATTTTTCTTTTTTTCCCTCATAATTTTAAATATAACTAGTAAAAAAAATATAGAGAATGAACTCTTTCTTTCAGTGAGAAAGAGCAATTCTAGGATAATGTAAAATATATAGTTATTCTTAGTATTATTTATAATTACTACTATACTTTATTCTATATTATCTTTATAAAAGTCATCAAGAATATTTTGTTCTTTTCATTATCCATTCAAATTTTCTATAGGTTATGATTTTTTACGTTAAAAGATAATAAGAAACAACTTAACCAATAAATAATACACAGATAGAAAGTTAACTGCCATATTTTACAAAAAAAAATGGTTACTTTCTTTGTCTTTATTCTTCTATTCGGCACATGATTGAATTGATGTCAACAATGAAAGATAAAATGAGTGTAATTAAGAAAAGGATACAATTGCTTGTATTACATAACTAAATATAGCATTCATGCAAAAGTTGTTATGCTAATTAGATTATATGTTTACATACATATAAGTATTGTATAGTTATAAATTATATATATATGTATATGTATTGGTATATATATTGAAATGTAGATATGTTTGTATCATGATTGGATAATTATTTCCATTTTCCATTTAGTATATTCATTCGGCGGGCATTATACATCGAGATTTGAAACCGTCAAACATTGCTGTTAATGAAGATTGTGAATTGAAAATTCTTGATTTTGGTCTCGCTCGACAAACCGATGATGAAATGACGGGTTATGTCGCAACAAGATGGTACAGAGGACCTGAGATAATGCTTAATTGGATGCACTACGGCCAAACTGCTGATATATGGTCAGTTGGTTGTATAATGGCTGAAATGTTGTCAGGAAAACCTTTGTTTCCCGGTTCGGATCACATCGATCAGTTGACCAAGTACAAACTCGCTTTTGTAACATTTATAACCCACCTAAAAATTTTCTCTAACCTTTAATTTGTCGCTTTAACACCCTAAAATCCTTCTTAAAGTCTTTTAGTCGGAGTTATTTTTCAATTATTCCACTATTTTTTATAATTTTTTCAGAATAATGGACATAGTTGGAACTCCAAGCAGAGAATTATTGAATAAAATAAATAGTGATGACGCTAGAAGATACGTAGAGTCCTTAGCTTGTAGACCAAGAAAGAACTTTTCTGAAATATTTCCGGTAAGAATTTTCCTAGCCTTTCTCTTAGTGTGCAAGTAAATGAATAAGTTAGCAAATTCGTTGATTTATTTATAAAATCATTAAGATTGTATTCTAAAAAGTGTCAATCTGCAATGTAAATGTAGGCTAAATTTGGTCGCAATTATTCTCGTATGTATGTATGTATATATACATCTCCTTTTGATTAAGCACTAACGACAGATAAAATTGCAAGAAGATTATAGATAAGATTTAAAGCTATGATTTAAAATTCATTTATGTTGATACCGTAACTAAGATAAATAAGTAACTGCATTAGTGCTGAGCCTTGTTTATAATAACAGATTAAAAATAAGCATATTGGATTATGCAGTTGAATAAAGTGATTTTTATAACCTTTGCAGAGCGCTTCACCGAATGCAATCAACCTGTTGGAACAAATGCTTGACCTTGATCCAGATAAAAGATTGGATGCAACAAAGGCTCTGCAACATCCTTATCTTGAACAATATCACGATCCTGATGATGAACCTGTAGCAGATTTTACTTATGATTCTAGCGTAGATAATGATGCAACAGAAGATATAGCAGTATGGAAAGGTTAGTAATAGCTACTCCGAATTCAAATTTTCCTTTTAATGTATCATATATTAGGCCATTGTTACAAATACAATTTGACAATAATGCCACTTTTCTCTCCCGAAACAGGAAGAGTATATCAAGAAGTTTCAACATTCACACCTCGAGCTCAACAATTGTGAAATATGAAAGAAAAAAAAAACAAACAATAGATGTAATTAGAGTTTATGTTATTTCCTTTCTGCTCAAAAATTGAAGAAAAAAGTTAAATTAATTTAACAAAATGTTTATTTTATGCAAAAAAAACAGCTTTTTAAGATTTTTTTTCTAGCTTCAGTTAAAACGTGATCTATTTTTTTCTTTTTTTTTTTTGCAGTTTGCCAATGTGTACAATATATTGAAAATCATGTTGTTACAATGTAAGACATTAAAAATGCAGTACAATCCTAAAAAAAAATTGTTTTATATTGAAATTTTTTTGCGTAAAGAATGCAAAAGTAGATATGTTTAATGAGAATCGAAAGAAATACGTATGTTTGAGGATTGAGGTTTCATCCTAAATTGAAGCTGATACAAAGCAATGATTATAAAAGATATACGTAATTTAAAATTTGAGTATCTTTATTTGACTACCTTATTATTTAATGAAAAAAGCATAGTTTATCTCTTCGAATACATGCTCGATGCCCACTGTACAGGATTACATGCTTCATCAATATTGGTTGAGTTAGAACCAACAAATTTATTCGCATAAAGATTTATATAATTTATTTCGACGAAAAAGTGCCTTGATTTTTGACCTTGTTAGAATCAGTAAATTAGGTTATACGGATTTCTAGAGTTCTCGTTATAACCAAAAATACGTCATTAAAAGTTAGATGGACAAAAAAACGACAATCTCTGTTCTATTCATATCCTAGCTATGACCATGCAGTGAAATTTGAGAACAATTCGCAAATACATAATCATCACATCTGGGACTTTAGATTATAGGGATAAAGTGGTCTATAGTTCTTATTTTTACATACATAGATCATCTTAACTTTTGATACTTAATCTGTACCTAATGAAAACCTCAATCCTTGTTTTTCCCAGAATGATGTCAAGTCTCATTAAACATTGGCATACAATAATTTTATAAAATTGTAACAAATTTTTTTCGTAAGGACGAAAGTAAAACATGCATTGGATATTTTTTAACAAATGAATTTTTATTAGCTAATAGTATAGGTATACGTAAAGCATACAAGTGAATGAAACTGGTGAAAAATCGTTTATACGATACCGTCCTTTAAGCTGCGGCAAATTTTCATATCGGATTCTTAAAATTACCCCCTCGTAGCATACATTTTGGTCCATTGTTTTGCGGTTGCAATAGCCTGAGCTTCGTTCACTTTCCATTGCTCAGCGACATCATTCTCTAGTGGATCATCAGGATTTGGTGCGCTCAAAAGAGCTTGAATACTCAAAAGTACAGTTCTAATTTGCAACGCCGGACTCCATTTATCTTTTAGAATATCTAAACAAATTCTTCCTAACTTATCTATGTTTGGATGATAGATTTTAGTCATGAATCGGACTTTAGGCGCGCTCATCGGATATTCCTCTGGCAGAAATAATTCTAATTTAAAGGTTCCTCCTTCAAAAGGAGATTCTGCAGGGCCTTCTACAATAACGTGAAAGTAACGGGCGTTTCCTTCGTCTGGAACGGCTTTAATACCCGGTACCGGTTCAGCCATTAGACGCTGTGTCTCCTAGGTAAAAAATTTTCTATGATTAATCAGTTTACGAAATTTCATCACCTAAAGAGTACATACCTTGATAATACGTCTAGGCAATCCACCTGCCATCTTTGTGATAGCTTTTTTTCGGGTTTCTTTGGATTCCTAACCAGTTACAATATGGCGACCAGAGGAAGTGACAAAATTTTACTAATCAGTATTTTCGTACCCGAAGTAAAAAGAAGAAATGAAACAATATGCAATATTAAATTCGTTAATCAACTTTATAGAAATTTTATACGAAAATAATTATTCAAATATGACGTCAGTAAAATGGCGGTAAATCATTTCGAAATTTTCATAACTTACAGTATTTAAAGCAAAAATATTTTCTATGTCGATGTTAAACTATTTCTGAAAAATAAATCGATTTTTGAAATCGAATGTCATTTACGTTTTCAATAGAAACCTTTGAATAGATTTTTAATTAATCTTTTAGATAGAAAATTTTCCTATTAATTTGTTCAAATGAGTCAAATTTATAATATTAAATCGTTGTATTAAACAAGCCTTGGTCAGCTTTTTTTTTTAAATATGGTTCAACAATGTTCGATTGTATTAAATAATTATTCTTTTTCTAATAAGTAGTCTTGAACACAACAAATAAACACCACTTTTTTAATTACATCGCTAACTGCATTCATGAGCTCATAATTTACAAGAGATAGCCGGTAGTTGTGTAGCGTAAACAATGGCACAGAATGCAACAAAAAAACAAAACATCACAATAAAAGCTATCGAAAAAAATTCTTATGTACAAAAAAAGTTTTTGGAATCTTAGTCACGCCTCTTCCACCCTAAATACTGGCAGTGAATAAAAAATTCGTATAATCAGTTTGCTTTAAGATTATGACGCGACTGTTTTTTGTTGTTTAATTTTTTTCCATGTTGCTCCACCCAAGGCTCTGGCAAAATGTTCGTCAACATCGCCCGTTTGTTCTTCTCTCCACTTGTTGCCTAAGGATCTAGCAAAATGATCGTCGACATCTTCACTGGCTTTTTCAGTTTCTTCAACTTTCTTTGACGGTCGGAACTGATCGTAAGATGCTCCTAACGATTTTCGAAAATGTTCATCTATCTCCGAATCTAAATGTCCCGTGTTTTTTGTTGAATCTGGAATGGGCGTGCTTATGATCACCGGTTTTTTCATACTCAGGTTTAATGGGGCTTCTTCGTAGTTTGGTGTTGGAAAAGGAGAGGCGTGAGCTGGGGGTGCTCGATGTGTTAGACTTGATACTGCTGCTTCGTAAGAAGGAGGACTGAAAAACAAAAAACAAAAGCGGAATAAGTAAATGAGAAAAAAAAACTATTCGAAAATTTCTCAATAATCTCTTCAGTTATTCCACTAACGACTATTTTACTTAGAGAATCCATTAATCATTAATATTTTTACAGCACATGACTAATGATCTCGGATCTGCCAACTATTATGATAATAAGTAGATAATCATATGAAGAGATCGAGGTGAATAATATTTAAGAAATATATATAATCAAAATATTCCAAGTACAGAAGTACAAAAATGTTTTAAATATACAGTTTAGCCTCTCAATACAGTTTATACTTGGAATTTTTTCCCTTCACTTTTAGAATTACAAAAGAATTCTTTATCCATATGAAAATTCCAGGTATTTTTTCTCAAGGTGGAAAATATGTGTGTGCATTTTTTATAAAATAGCTAACGTTACCAACATTTCCCATCTTAAAATTACCTCTTGAATTATGCTGTAGTAGGATTAAGTATAAGTATTAAACCGACAATTTTATTTTCAGTTTATCCTGTCATTTCAGATATGTGGGGCACTTGGAACGAGTTTTTTTAGCTATCTACTAGGTTTACTAGTGCAAGTTTAAATATTTCCCATTTATTTTTACTAAACTATTAGTAATGTCCGTGGCTATTTCAAACAAATATTCACGATTTTTATTATAGAGGCTCTACGGGATGCGAGGCCATCATTCGAAAAAATTTCTATACAGATAGCAAGTTACAATAAATGTTTTTTCTTTACCTTGTTTGGGTTTCCGCGCATTTTTTTACTTTATCATTTTCCAATTCTCTAGCTCGTTCTCTTTCCAGTTTTGCTCGTTTATAACGGATCATCTCGTCCCTTTCCGAATTTGATAATCGTTTCTCTAAATATGACAAAAGAAAGAAACTATAGAAAATAATTTTACAAAAGAATTAAGGGGAAATGGAAAAAAATCAATCTTTTATAAAAAAGATATTGAAGCAGAAAATGCAATTTTTAAGGTAAATAAATAGCAGTACATTCTTTCGCAGAGGTTTTATCTCCCAGTGTGTTTCCTTTATCGTAAAAATGCCTATATATCTTCATCTGGATGACTAAATTTCAATACGAAAAATATTTTATAAAGAGACCCTTAAACATCCAATCTTTTTACTCGTTTAAAAGTAGCTTTTATTTAAAAGGGTAAGTTGATAAGCCATCAACCATTTTCTACATTACTAATTACCTATGCACACAGGAGAAAATATTCCAAAATTTTTGTTCTAAATAGTAGCGATGTGTCTGCGTGACACTTCCGTCAGTCCCGGACTGTACAGGTCAAGCAAATAATTGCTACTAAAATTTAGACAGATCGTTCTAATATTGAAAAATAAAATATATTTGAAAGACCATTGAAAAAAATACCAAATTTTTTACAACTATTAGCTAAAGTGAGAAATTAATATTCGTTCTCATCAATCTATTATCAACTCTAAAATATTCTGTTGATAGCTAATAGCATCATTTAGTAATGTTAAAAGGGGAAAGGTAAAGGTTTTTTTTTGTGGCGCGCTACTAACATATAATCATGTACGATTTACCATATAATTTATAACTCAGGATATACATTTTTATCATTTTTCTGACAATAGCTGATAAGAAAAACTAATATAAGCTATTTGTTCACTGAATCATAGTGGGAGAAAGTGAAAACTATATTCTTGCACATTTTTTTCTAATAGATCCCATTTACATATATGTATATATTATATATATATATATTATTTTTAATAATGAACCTTTCCATGGTAAAATCTAATAAAAATAAGTTATATGTATAATCGATCTTCAATATACAACATTCGTACGAACAAATAAGTAATAGTATTGCGAAAATATCTTAACAGTTACTTTTCTGTAGTCGACAATATATTCCAAACACATTTTTCATTGCCAAAAATCATAAATTTAGTACCAGATCTGACTGGTAATTGGATTATATTGAAAAATCTTTAAGAAAAAACTATCTACAAGTCTTAATGATAGAACAAGATCTTTTTAGGCAAGTGTTAATTAAAAAAGATTTAGATCACATAGTGACAACACATTTCTAGATTGAATAAGACGAATAACTGGAATAAAACAACACTAAACAATAAATATACAAGGATTATCGATTTAAAATTCTTAGCAATCTGTCAAATATTATCAACAAGCTGATCCTAAAACAAAAATAACTTTAATCTAGCTTTTTACACCATTTATATCTTATACAAGTATTCTAAATATGTACCAAATATTACTACAGTTGTATAGTCCATCAGAAAATAGTACAACATGTTGATTTCAAAACATGTTTAATCAGTTCGAAATTGAAGAACCCATCAATAGTTAAATTCAAAGAGAGTAATATAAAACCTCTTACAGAGAAGTGAAAATAATAGAGGATTAAATGAAATCAAGAAAGTTTCTGACTTACCTATATCACTGGATGTTCTCTCCACTAACGACGCGGCCCTCGATAGAACATGCAACGGACTTTCTTCCATAACAACAGCCGGCGTTCGAATGGCGCTGTGGAACGCGAATGGTGCGAAATCTTTGGAATTCCACCGATTATTGTTCAGCCTGCTTGCGGCGCCTGTGTGTGTGTGGGGAAAATATGTATAAGAGATTCCTTAAATTCTAAATTCTCCTCCTGATTTTCCTTTTACATCTTTTAGTTGAAAGTATTTAACTTCTACTATTGATAAATATGTTCTGATTTACGTTTCAAAAACATAATTTGTCTACTTTCTCAGGGCGAAAGGAGAAGATATTTATTCGACATGTTAAGGAATGGCCATAAAGGAATGGTAGTAGCAATGAAAACATTTATATATATATATATATGCCATTTTAACTATTCCACCGACTTTTACTATATACTTCCTTCTTTGTTCATATAGCATTTTAGAGCCATTTTCTTGAACACTTAAGCGAAATCATTTAGCACTTTTGTGCTAAGTTAAATACAATTTAGATACCCTATCGAACAAAAACATTTGTTGGTTAATTGATTACTTCTTAAATCAGCTAAACCAAACATACCGTACAAACCAGATAATTCAATTCGATTAAGTATACACTTAATGCTTTTAACGACCAATAGCAATCTCTAAATAGTAAAGTGAGATTAATTAACCCTGGAATTTTAGACATTAATTTTAAAACCACGGTCGTATCGTTTCTCATCTAAATAGCATATTATTTTATCGGTAGAACTGGCTCGTTTAAATATTATGGCGAATCTATTATCGATACACATTCCCTGCATTCCTTAACTAAATGTCGCCGAAATTTAGCGTTTAGCAAACATTTTAAACGTTGATAGATGCGAAACGGCTCATCATTGTTTTTTAAGTAATAATTCATATTCGAAAAACTCTTGAAAGTGCCTTAATGGCGTAAAAATAAAATATTTACCCAATCTTCAAAGCGAAGGGAATACACCTGTCGGATGAATGACGTCACAGCGATTCCAAGCATAATTTGCATATTGAAATCTGAATTCTTATTGGTCAAGGGAAAGTGTTACATCCGGTAGATGTACTCTTAAATGGAATGAAAAATGGCGACTATTTTATTGATATGTTCGACATTTTTATTCCACTTTTGAAGTTTAACACAAATAACGGTAATAGCGCTTTCTATACAAATATTTTTACAGCTCCATCTGTCGCTTTGTGGCCTTAAGTTATGCTAACGGTATTTCCTGTACAATGTTTGATAATTTTTAGAGAGTATTTACTTGTCATTGAAAGGCGACACCTCATAAAAAAATCTCCGTTCATTGACACTTTATCACAACTTACTATTGATTAAACACAGAACAATAATCCAATGTGTCAGAAACCGAAAGTATGATATGGATAGGTTTATTAAAAATAAATACAAAATTCCAAATAGGCAGCAGAAATTTGAAGATCATAATAGTTTATTAATATAAAATATCGATGACTAGACGAGCCTTCTAAAGTCTCTGTACAGTCCATTCTTTGAGCGATTTATAACATACTTCACTTTCACTGTCATTCATTCCAAACATATTTAACCATTTAATAAAATTATTCTTCTCTTTCTTCATAACAAGCAACATACCGAGTAGACTTTCAGCCTATTATTAGATTAAGAAAGTATAATAGGTTAGATGTTTCAGTCAAGAGACAAAACAAAATTGAATAACATCAACTAAAAGTAATATTTAAATTACTGTGTCAAATTTAGCTTCTTTCATGTTCCTGCTATGTTTTTCGTTTACGCCAGGAACTGCTGTAGTATCTTTACCGGCTAACGATTTTAAGCTTAAAAACTCAAGACAATCTTTATCACATTCCGCCATTGTTGCTTTTGAAATAAGAGGTAAAAAGTATTAAACAAATCATTACCAGTTTTTCTTATAGTGATTGAATACTACTTTAGTAATGGGCACAATTTTTAAATCTTTAAGAATAACATCATTAAAACAGATTTCGCGCAGTTGTTACCCGGAGAGAGAAGGTGTAACTTTATTGAAATGTTACAAAAGTGGATTACGTATACTACAAAGATGGTAGGAGGGGAAAAGGAGGTTTAACACATACATAATAAATACAAAATTCCAATTAATGTTGTACACTATTCATTAAATTAGAATAAATAACCTGAATTTAATAATTTTCATTAAACCTAAATTAGAATGTTACAAATATTTAATCCATTTTTTATTGTAGATGATGGGTGGGGGTGGAGGGTTAGAAAATTGAAGATAGAGAGAACATATTAATTAATTTCTTTTGTCATAATCAATTAAATATTGTAGACAGTTTCAATTAGGACAATTTTGTTTGTATTAGAAAAAGGAAACTCCAAATAATAATAATAATATCAGCCAAAAATTGTAATAATACAGTACTATTTAACATAAATTAATAAGATTGACAAAAATAAATTGGGTTAATTAATTCAGTGATGAAAGAGTAAAAAGTTTTTATGATTATGTCAATTTGTCTTAGCAGTTTATGTGAATTCATTTACTGGAATTTCAGTTTTAGCTGGTACCATTTGACTAAATAAATATGTTTGAGTCAGGCATGATAGGCCAAAGAAGAGCCAAAAGAACAAACGATCTACAAATTTTGTAACTAATTTCCATTTTCTTTCAATAATGATGGAGCTATGTTCGATTTTAACTGAATCAGGATGATCCGAAGATCTATGTCCACATATGTAACAATCGTTATCTACTTGATTACTCATTTCACTATCGGTAATTGAAAGAACTTCGCCACTGTGGTTATGTTGTAAGTTATTTGCTAGACGATTACGACTTGATGATCCTAAACCGTCTTTATTATTCGAGTAGAATCTTAAAGCTATTTTGTAAATAAATTTCGGTGGCTCCCTTTTAGAATCCTTCTTTGCGTATAAATTCGTTACAATAACTGCCATAACTAGGGCGATTGTAACCATAAGCATAGTTGAACAGAAAAACATACCTGAAGGGTAAAAAAGGAAAAAAAATGATCTTTTAAGTAACAATTATTAGAATTGAGGTAATATGCAGTGTCAATTTTTTACGCCGCAATGCTATTTTTAGATACGGCCGTCCCCATTTAACTTTGACGTCTATTTTTCTGCTGTTTTCTGGAACATTCCTCAGATAAATCGAAAATATTCTGACTTGTTCGAGTGATTGCTGTATTATTTATAGGGAATAAGGGAAAAAAACCAACCTAAGACCGGCAACGCGTCCGGAGTAGGCGGCATACTCTCGCCAACCATCAGTAGAAAAACACACAGGGCTAAAAGGATTGTTGTCTCCAAATTTACTTTTTCACCACTTTCAACAGGAAGGAAGAAACCCAAGAAGGATATAAGAAAAATTAGGAAGCAAGGGGCAATCAGATTGACTACGTAGAAAAGCGATCCTCTCCTCATATGAATAGTGAAAGTGACATCCGGATACGGCTCTTCACAGCAGGTATACTTTTTCTCATTCCTGCTGGCTGTTATTCCTTCTACTCTCCATTCTTGGTTATCTGGGACATAATAAACCGTATTCTTGAAGGTAGAATTGTAGATTAAATCCAACTGGAATCCATGATAGGTCCAGCTGATAAAGACTATATCGCATTTCTGAGTATCAAAGGGAAAAAATTTGACGTTTAACGTGCAGTAAGTCTTAACCAAAGCCGGAAAAAGCCAAAGAACTAGGCCATTGTTGTAAACGATGGCATTTGTAATCACGTAATCGTTAAATTTATCGCCAGCACTGTATAAATAAGACGATGTACATTGAGAGTGTGAAGAAGAGAAAACAAGAAATAAATTATCTTATTTGAAGGTAAATGAACCTTAAAGAAGTGTACAAGCAAATGGACACCTGTTCTTAAGTAAAATTGGAAAGGGGGCAATTACTAAATACAAGAAGAATATATGAAGGATAAAAGACAGTTGCTGGGTTAATCTTTTTTGTTTTGCTGTTGAGAATAGAATTCATAAATTACCTCATTAAATATGAATATTAATAATATCTAAGAAGATCCTTACAAATATAAATACGCGCTAAATGATTTGTAAAAATAATCTACGAAATTTTCTGTTGCCTTTAACGGCAGTATTTCCGGTTGGATCACTTAAGTTGTAAATACTTTAAGCCCTTGCCAAATGATTTTATCAATATTCTAAAAATATTCTCCCTCTCCCCTCCTCTCTCTCTCCCTCTTCTCTCTCTGTCTCTCTCTCTCTTGGTGTGTCTCTGTGTCTCTTTCTTTCTTTCTTCGTTCCTCCTTCCCTTCATCTCTCATTCTATTTTTCTATATGTCTCGACTTTCCAGAACAAACTAAGAATTGCTACTTTGATTTCAAAGAGCAGTGAGGAAAACTAGTTGAAGAGATGAGCAAGAAGGACAACTTGATACATTTTTTAATCGAATTCTAAACAGAAAGTAACAATTTATTAATTTATCTAGTAACTTACAAATTTGATATAACTAAGTCTGGTGTCCATATAGCATCAGATGGTACGTGAATACTTTGAACGTTACCAAATTTTGATGAATCCCATACCAGTAATTCGTCGTACCAACGTTGTCTTATAGATAATAAACTGGTAAACGTCTGCTGCTTTTCATCCTGTTAAAATGGGATATGTCCTTTGATACAAACAGGCTCTTCGTGATAAAAGAGGAACTTACCGTGTCGAGAATGTGATACAATGAAATGGCAACGCTAACTTCAATAGTACTGTTATCGTTTTTAACTGGTCTTGTAGTTTTATCGTAGTTTTTTAAGATTCTTTGCTTTATCTTATATTCGTACGATTTAGGCCTATATGACGTTACTGTTTTGAAAAGTGAAAAGAATATTAGAAGAGAATTAGAAAGCTCTATTAATCAACTGTATTTTGACTCTTTTTTTTATCTGTCATCAAAATGAACACGCAGACGCATATTTCATCACAAACCGAATTGTTTATTCCCTTTTAGTTAGAACTTTGGCGCATGCGCACGAAAGTAGATCTGCCCGAGGGTTTTAAAAAAATAGAAGGAATTAAGAGGTATACAAGGAGAAAGTAGAAAAAGAGGAGATGGAAAGATATTAAATTTTTGTGAATTATTGGTTGTAAAGGTAAGTATCTTAGTTTTTTTTAACGCCTTTGTAGGAGGTTTTCAATTTTTTTCCTAGTGTAAAGACTCAACGTCACACTTTTCTAATGTCAATCCAATTAACAAGTTACCCTGTGCTCTCTCATCAGTGGGATGTCATAAATTAAATGTAATTGCATTCTTAAAATCTCCTATTACCAACAATAGCAATCATATTGAAATATCAATGAAAATGATGTATACTCTAAACTATCATTTATAGTATATGAGATAGATAATAATGCTGAATATATTTATATAAATGTATAATATATAAATATATATTGTATATAATATACATAAAATAAATAGGAAGTGGAAAAAGTAAGATTATTTTTATATCAGCTATGAAAATACCAAGTAACTTGACTCAATAAGAACAGTTATGTAATGCGTGACGTAATTCGTTGAGGCAAAACTAGCCGAAATACTATACTTTGTAAACTATGATTTAGTGAAGTATTGAAAAGACATTTTAGCGTCTAGGGAAATATTTAAGACGTCTTTTTTTTTCTTTTCTCTTGTACTCCATGACTTTTACATTATACAAGATTTTCCTTTTTTTGTATACACACACTTTCAATATTATTCTTTATTGTTTTCCTAAGAAATTTTGCCATTTTCTTCTCTCTCTCTCTCTCTCTTCTCTCCTCTCTCTTCTCTCTTCTCTCTTCTCTCACTCACTCACTCACTCACTCACTCACTCACTCACTCACTCTATATACCTCTCTCCCGCTCTCTCTCTCTTACTGTCTTCTCTTTCTCTCCTGTGTTCCTACTTTGAGCTAAGCCTCTCTTTCTCAATCTTTCCAATGCTTAGTGAAATAATATCATTGTAGATAAAAGAGAAATTATTGTTGGATTATATTAATCCTTTTCCATAATAGTGTTTTAGTAAGTCTTCAATACTATAAGTAAGAGAATATGAATATGAAAATATATACAGCGTTTGTATATAAATATTAATACATGTGTACGATATTGTCAATTGTAACGCGTAATACATATAAATCGCAAAAGAAGGCTCATTTGCATATGCAAAATCCCACCTATGAAACAGTAATTAAAGAATACTTAAAGCCTCTTTTTGCAGGATATTTTATACATTTTACAGACACCAATATAAAATAAAATTACTTAAACCAACCTGTTGCAAACATAACTATAATGAATAGCCTAAGGGTTATGAACCTCTCCATTATCCTCTTCTTCTGACCTTCTACTTGTTTTACTCGTCTCTCTAGTCTTTTTTCTTTTTCACTATTTTTCTTCGTGACCTATTTTTTAAAAGGTTATTTTCCGTATTTTACCATAAAAAAACTTCAAAATTTTCTCCAGTTGTTTTTTTTTACTTTACCCCGACGCGTGCGAACCGCAAAGGACAAGTGGTTGTGCAAACCCTTTCGCCGTGCGCATACAGCGCCGCCTTTTGAAGTTTTATCAACCGTATTTATTTGACCAGATAATCCGATGCTACGAAAGCGATAATTGTTTGCTTAATAAATAGCTAGCTAACGATAAATGGGTTGGCGTAATATTTGCTGGTAAGCATGAACGAATTATTTCAAAAAAGTGCAATGAAAGAAAGCTTGATATGGTTCGAGGGGAAAGAGTCTAACGTTGGTTTAACGAACACCAAAAATAAGAAGAGAAAAGAGAAAAGATTACGCCTCTCTGACAAGTCAATACAGAGATAGCTAGAAAGAAAATTGATATACTGCTGAAATGATTTTTAATATCTGCAAAATTCGATCACTGTCATTTAAGAATATAAATTCAATATTTTTGAGATATTTTGACAAGTTGGCTGTAAAACGACCGTTACATCGTCTAGCAGAGTATCCATTTTCTATCAGAAATTGATAGAGAATACAACGATGTTACACGCAACCTTCGACATTCTCTCTTCTCCCATCGCTTTTTTTTTACCTTCCTTCACTCCGTAGATCTATTATTTTTCGACATTTTCAATAGGCAAAGCGAACAAGTGGAAGAATATTTTATATTGTACAGTAAATTCGAAATCATTAAGAGGAGTTCCTATAGTAGTGCTTTCTTTTCATCCCCTTTATGTTTTATACTAAATGACAATGTACTATATATTAAATAGAAAAGTTACAAGAGAAGTTACTGTGGAAAGCTTATAATAAAGAATAAGTTTCGCTGATTTTATAGAAGAAATTAGCAAGTGGATAATGGTGTAAGCATATGTATTAAAAGAAAAATAGATAAATGAAAAAAGCATTTCTTTCCATTGATTTTAATTCAATTTAGGAGAAAAAGGGTGAGGGAGAGAAGGAGAGAGAGAGAGAGAGAGAGAGAGAGAGAAATGTGCAGGCAGATAGAGAGGAAAAGTGAGGGAAAGAAAGAGAGAGAGAGAGTGAGAGAGAGAAAAGGAGGAAAAAGCATCATTGTTGTTAAGTATTAGGTTTGTAATTTGTTTGTCAGTTTTTATTCCTTTACTAAATCAATTCTATTTGTGAGAAACATTTCCTAGCAATTTGTACAAGTTTAGTTTTTCTACATTCCAGATCTGGTGGTAACATTATTCTATAAAAGTTATAAAGAATTTCGAACATAACATTTTTAACACTATCTTTTTTTACATCTGTTGACAAAAAAAGGATCTTTTTCCAGTCTACATGCCTTATACTGTATGTATATATATAGAGAGATTTAATAATTTATTTGAATATAATAACATTTATACAAATTTTTACCCATACTTTGATACAACTGTAAAAGAAAAAGAGGAAAGATAGAGAATATATTGGAAAACAAAAGACTTAAAATAGATTTCTTTATATAAAGTTTTAGTTTCATTTTGGCAGCTTATCAGACATAAATATTTTAACAAATTCTGAATAGCTAAATTTACCATCTCTATCTGTATCGTAACTCTTCGCTAAATCATTTAATAACTTTCTCGCATCTGCTACTTCCATTTGATGGGGTCCTTTTCCAGTAAGGATCTTAAGCATCTGAGGATATCTTTTTTTTTTTGAAGGGATTATTAAAAAGTATGTAATAATTAATTAAAGATTTGACAATGTAATCCTTATCTTTAAATACCTGATGTATCCATCACCATTTTGGTCAAATTTTTTAAAGGCTGCCATCAATTCAACACCATATTCGGCGTGTAAGTTAATTACGTCCAATTGATCGATAATCTCTTTGATTTGTAGTTTACCATCACCTTTTTTCGATTATTAATGATAAGTAATTATCTATTTTTATTGTATTTTTGTTTTTTATAAAAAGAGATCTTTACCATTTTTATCGAGATGTTTGGTTAAAAATTTTAAATCTTCGAAAGATGCTTGAAATCCAACGGCGGATAAACACTCTTCTAATTCATCTAGGTCAACATCGCCACTTCCGTCGATATCTTTACTCTTCAATATGTCCTCTATCACTATTGATCGGCAAAAAACGAAACTATAAAATAAAAGCTACTAAACTAAGCCATTTACTAAAGACATTCTTAGTTTTTGTTGTCGTGTCTTTTTTAAAGCTCTACAAGAAATACTTAGTCATCATTGAAAGGATTATTAAATGAGATAACAAGATAAACTATTGGATGGATACTAAAGTTAATGAATATTTAAAAGGTAAATAAAAGAAAGAAAAATAACTAACAATAACTATTAGAAAGCTTTTACCTCTTCTAGCTTCGTATGATAGTAAAAACCCCTGACTTTTGCCTTCCATATCCTCTACGTCAGACATGATTTGTAAGAATAAACTCTAATATAATTTTGTGATTGTTAATATCACTATCCTACAAAGGAACTATGACAACAATCAACCTATGATTACGAGTTAATATTCCTATACAAACAGCAATTCAAGAAATCAGATATTATAGAAGATCTTTATATTTATACTATTTATTTTTGACAATTCTGTTTTGGCCTAACGAAACAATCAATAATTTTCCCATTTCTTAGTACTATCAATCAACCTTTGTAATTGTTAAATTCGAATTATTTAAACATTGACAAGCCAATCGTTACACCGTATACGTTTTATGTTAGTTTAAGCTTCAATGAACTTAATGATTTATTCCTTATATCATTAATTTTTATATTTTTTACACAGATTTCTCTTTTTATCGATTTCCTTTTCCTTCTTATTTAAATTTTAATGTTTTTTTCTCTTTCCCGCTAAAAAATTATTCCTTATATGTTACATATATATATATATATATATATATTGTTTGTTTGTTTGTTTTTTGGGAGTGGGAGGAAAAGGAAAGGAGGATGGGTTGGCAAAAAAGATAAAGAGAATGTGAGAAATAATGATAATAATATTAATAATAAAGCTTGATCACGTGATATATAGAAATCATTATCAAAATAATTAGTATCAATTATTATATATAATAACTTTACAGATTATTTAAATTGTTGATTTTTTTGTTTTTGAATATTTTTGTTTGTCCTAAGTTAATTGAAAACTTGTCCATTATTAATTTTTATGTGTTTTTAACTCTTTGAGAATCCTTCTTCTCCCTTGTTAATCTTTAATATCTTGTTTTATCTGATTACTTCTTGGTGCTATTTCTGTAAAATACAATAGGAATTAGAGATGATAGTAATTTCCTTTTATTAAAATTATAATAAAAAAAAAGGATAGTATAGAATAGAAAGAAAAAGTGCCAACGTCCTTCGTTCAGCCTTATTAACCAATCGCCATTCGAATTTCCGGTTGAAAAGCCGACGAGGTTGATATCGCCAAGAAAATTTGGATCTTGATAAGATGTTAAGATATTAATACCAAACTTTTCACCCCGTCCAAGTGTAATTGTCTCTCCTTCCCAAGTAAGCCAAAAGTCCTTAATATTTAAAAGGATAATCAATTAATTAAAGGGAAAGATAATCGAAAACAAAATACATTAAACTGATTACAATCCAAAGCCTTGTCCAGTAACTTTCGTATAACTGTAAATCCTTTCCTCTTAACCAGAATTTCGGTATTATTATTAGCTCCAATTACAATAAGATAATCAACTGCTGTAACTTTATGACTTATCTTTATCTCAGCTTCTGAACAGGATCGCAGTCTAAAAGACACTTGGTCTCTATGTTCAACAGTCCTCCAGATTTTTGTGTAATCAACTTTTGGGTAAGTTCTGGTCGACGCCGCGAAAACTGTTTATAAAAATATTTTCATTAATTAAGTGCAGAAGAAGGAAATAGAACTCTTAAGTACATATTTATTTTCTTATACCTTGATCTTCGTAAATTCTCCATTTTTGCTGCTTAGCATTGGGATTGCCCTTAATGATACCAGTATATATATCAAAGCTGTTAAATTTCTGAGTGATCAAGGGCTCCCCGGTTCCTTCTGTTCCTGTGCCGAAGATAAATGTTCCATTAGTCCAACTAAGATAGAATTGTTTCATCCTATTGCAATGTAAGATATCTTTTGTATCTCGTTCAACATCTTGAAATTTGTTCGATTTCACAATGGTTTTGGTGTTGCCATTTGCGCCAATCTCGATTTCAATCATATCTGGAGTATTGTTTTCGTTTGCCGCTAATGAAATAATCGCGCTTTGACACGCCTGAACATTAAATTCCAAATAATATTTATCTCTTCTCAGAAAGAGAATTGTTCTATCTTGATTCCAGTCTCCATTATTACTGCCAATTGTAAATACTATATCATCTCCTTTATCCTCTTCAATAAGCCAGTCACCATCTACACCACCACCGGGTACACCTCCTGTCGAAATTCCTACAGCAAATATCTGGGGTACAAGGTCACGATAACCTTTGCCTTGAAGCATTGAAATAATTAATCTAATTAGTATAGTTATTAATTAATTAACATTGAAATATCAACCTTTCAAAAAGACTTGTTCACCCACGATATCTCCTTTACCAACTTGAATCTCGTAATTAAACCAACTTACCCAAAATGGCCTATATTCATTTTCAGTTAATAGCCCTCTTTCGTTGCTAGAATCTAAATTTTTTCCACCTGGATATCTGACAGTTATGATTGATCTAGTTCCTCCCCAACCAGCTATTATGACTTTTACAGATGGTACTTCAGATGGTTTGAAGAAACTACTGGGAGCCAAGAAGAGGGAAGCATCTCTCTTTGCTTTAACGGAGAACTTAAAGTATTTGGTTACTTTATTATGCCTCCAAAAGTAGTCTAATGTATTTCTATCAGGTGTATGAATTTTGATTACTTCACCTATTCATAATTAACAAGGAGATTAGAAAAAACAAGGTAAATATAGTAGTTATTTATTCTATATACCGCCGTGTTCTGTAAATCTCCATTCACCGCCACTATTGTTTCCGGTCGCTAGGCCGATCGAATTCACTTTATAATCAGGAGCGATGGGTACTTTTTTATTTCCAAAGAATGAGTTTGCTTTTGGTACAAGTCCATAGCCAGCGTCGAGAGTTTTTTCATCCCATGTTAACCAGAATGGCCTAAGTGAATTATTAGTATAATATTGCTGTAACTCTAGTAATAAACTTAACCCTTTACCTAGATTCTGTACAGGATAAAGCATCGGGAGTTTTTGCAGTTACAAGTTCCTCAGTTCTAGTAATATAACGTATGATAGTATTACCATCGTCGTTTCCAATAATTAACTCTAATCCCCGTTCTTGATCCACAAAACCCTATAATTTCGTATGAAAAAGAGCATACATCAATTGAAAATCAATTAATTCTCTTAAAATAAAAAAATCCATTATCGCATTAATTTTTACTTACCAATCTAGTTGAAATATGAAGTGTAGCCCAACCGCAAGCCTTAACAAAGAATACTAGATAAGATTGACGGGGTGAATTTAACCATAGTGTTTTATACAGTTTGCCAATGTCGTTTGTGGGCGTTGCTGGAGTAAATGCATAATTGGTACTTTCCACATTATCAACCATGTACCATCTTCCAGAGCTAAATATACTTGTCGAAATGCCTAAATAGCGTATGGGGGAAGGATTCGGATCTTGATAAGATAGGATTGTATTCACTTTTTGAACGCCCCCTTTACCGACTTCAATCTTTCCATCTAACCATCCAATCCAAAATTCCCTTGATTCTCCTTCCTTAAGAATATTTGGTGTGTCTTTCTGATCTCTAAAATGTTCTGGTCCACCTCTACTAACCACACGAATAATGGACTTTTGATTAAAGTCAGTTCCTAGAACAACCTATTAAAAAATAATTCAATAATGAACAATTAACGATAAAGATAAAGGAGTACTTCATAAATATTATTCTGCGAGTCACCCTCATCTCTGGCCAAGATGATATGTGCATAGGCAGCCGCATCAACCCAGAAATTTATAAAATTTCTCGATTTAACAGATTTCCAAAGATATCTATAAGAATGTTCGAAAGGAGTTCGGCATAATATCATGTTACCTAATTATGATAAGGAGCTCTATTAATATTCATATATTTTTTATAAGAATTTTTTTTCACCAGAGTTCTCAGGTATTCTGAACGCGGCTTTATTGCCATATCGCGCAGAGAATCCGACGCCTACCACGTTATCGGCTATGTTCATGCTTGTGTTTAATTCGATAATAACATTTCGGCCTAGTGAATTTCCGATTCCAATTGAAACTTTCCTAGGTAGCCATTGCAACCAGAACGACCTATATTTTCAATATATGTTTGCAATCAATTCAATGCATTATTTGCCGTTGGCGTTAAGATAATTGTTATACGTCAATCGAATCAGTTTTTTTCAATTCTATACCTTTCCTTTTTGTTTGAAAGTTTCTCTATTTTGTACGTTTTGTAGTTTTATACGATTAACTTCCTCGTCCTTTCCCTCTTTCTACCGCTATCCTTTGTTTACCTTCCCGCCCCCTGCCACCTTATAAATCTCTCTTTTCTGTGACATTTAACCGTCACGGCTATTCAATACTAGAATGCCCATTTTACGTAATACAAACTATTTACCTATAGTCATTACAGTGCAGTAAATTCTCATAGGTAGCAATTTGGCCAGGAGAGAAACTATTGCTTATCGACACTCCGGTATTATCATTTACTCCTAGGCCTATTTCTATTGTATCATCATCTACAGCCTGGAATGTAGATAATTAGTAATTATTTAGAATTCTAAATAAAAACATAAACCATTGAATCGCTGAGATAAACGTAGACAGAGGCGCAACCTTGCACTCTAAAGTTCATGAAAGTTCTCCCAACAACATTATACCAAAAGGGATTTTCGCCAGCAACGAAAACTGTATAATCTCCTGCAAAATAAGTGATAATTATCAAAAGAGAGAGAGAGAGAGAGAGAGAGAGAGACCTAGAACATTACGATTTTTCATATACTCTTATTAATTTTTTTTTCATATCGATTGATTAAACGTTTATCCCAAAAAAAAAGGGAAAAAAATGACATACCTGTTTGAAAGGTTCTTTGTTGCATGGGAAGAATATTTTGAGCAAATCCATTATTACAAACTATTGTTATTATCATTATTAATAAACTATAAATGGATAAATATTGTATATTAATTTACTTACCCAACTGGAAAATTAGTAAGAGTGTTGAAATATTTAAAAATTTCATAATTCATCAAGAATAATAATAAAAACAGTATCAAAATTAAGAGAAACTTTATTGGTTGTTGTTTACGATTGACTCTGATTGCAAGTCTGGTGCAGTTAGTAAATTTCTTCAAGATTTATGATTAGATAAGTGAAAACACCCATTATAAATGACTAAATATACAATGTATATATCCAGGTATAATAATCGCATTTATTAAATATATAGAATTATAATATTGTATTTTACTCTTTTTAAACACTTAGTTATTGTCTTAATAATTCAAATGGAATTTTATACATAAAAACACTCAAACATATCAAAAAAGTTTGTCTATTATATCCTTTTCTACAGATGATTAGACAAGTTTCATTCGATTTAACAAGCATAAAAACTTAGATCATTCCCATTTATAGATTCTATTAATAATAAATAGAGAATGAGTTCATAAAGAAGTTCTTTGCTTGTAAAGACAAACTTTTAATGTAAAATTTGATATATACATACAATTTCAAATATATACTGATTTATAGTCATTTTATGATAAAAATTTTGCTATAATCAATGTGTTGTTCCTTTAAAAAGTCAGAAAAAAACGACAGCTTTATCTGCTGAAACTCTTGAATAAAATTAAGAATGATTAATTGTTATTCTTGTTTTTTAAATAAAACAAGACATACTCCTTTATATACAGTATATAATCCGCCTACTTATACCATATGTGTACTGTATATTATGATTATAAAACGGGAAAACAATGATACGGTATTTATTTACACCTTGTTCAATTTTTTATAAGTTCTTAATGCACTACCTAAACAAACTGTTTTATAATCTGTAAGAGTTGTTTTTAAAAAATATCACGTGATCAAGCTTTTAATTGAAAGAAAAGGGGAAAATATAGAAAAGTATATTGTTCGAGGATCAACTTTGTTTTCGTTTGTTTGATTTTTTTTTGTATTTATTGAAAAATTTCGTTAAAATTCAATTCGACATTTTGAATTGCTTATTTAGAAATTAAGGATTTAAAAAGGGATAAATTAGAAATTTGCTAACCTCTTTTACTCTCGTCCGAAATGTTAAAATGGTCTTGTTTTGCCGAAGAAGACGACTTAGCCTGTTCAAAAGAGAAAAAGTTGAGAAAAAAAAATCATTTGAAACTTACCACTTTAAAGAAAGAGTAGTTTTAATTATTGTATACCATTTTGTCAAATACTCAAAAGATTTTGTAATAAAAGTGTCGGAGGTAAAAATAGAAATCGATGGAAAAACTATAACGGCTTACTCGACTTTGTGACAAACTTATTGCAATAGCGCCCTCTACGGTAGTGAAAAATCAATTTAAAATGACCGTTTAAGTAAAAATAGGCTTAACGGGTGGTTACCCACTTTTTCCTGTTATATTATGATTTAAATATTAATTTAAAGGATTAAAATAACTGTTTAACCCTCCTTTTTTTTAAGTTTGTATTTTTTTCAAGTGTTTGTTTAATATCGAATTAATTTGTTTATATTTCATTTATACAGAGATATAGATATAGATTTTCTTCTATACCTTTTATTCACTTTCCTTTCATTTTACTTTTAAATCTAGTTATATGATATTAAATAAATAATTAGGGCTTAAAAGCAGTATTTATAACTCTCCCCATTTTCCCAGGCTAATGAATAGATTTTAAGAATTATATTAAATATTAATTTAACCTTTTATCCCATGTTTTTCCTTCTAAGGGATCTCTTCACAACTATAATAATCTCTCCCTTCCCTCCCTCGTCCTTTTTTTTTTGTTAATTCCATCGGTATGGTATTTCTCATGCTAAATACGAGTTGAAACATTTAGACAGGCGTCTCTTTTTTTTCTCTTCTTAATTTATTATAAATTAAGTCAATTTATTAATCCATCGTATTTGACGGCTTAGAACGTTGTTTTTAGGTGAACAGTGAGATTAACCACTACATCAAAGCATCATTTTATAACAAAACATAAACAAATTATTTAAATAATAGCATTTTCTTTTTTTAAATCAATGAATGTATTAAGTGAATTTTGCAGGAAAAGATAAGTTAAGTTTTAGAGTGTATCTTCTACTTCTTTTTCCTCTTTATCTCCCTCTTGCGGTTTCTCAACGTTTCCCTGCTGAGAATCATTTATCTTTTCTACGACAGCGGCTAGAACTGGATCACTAGCAACTTTCTCTCTAGTTTTATTGCTTTGTCTGAAAACTTTTCTTAACCTTTGCTCTGTTCTAGACGAGTACATTCTTGCAATTTTCCGACCCAATCTTGTTCCTTCACTCTTTGGCACTGTCGCGTCAACTTGAGATTCGCATTTGTCGAGGTGAGGTTTATCGTTACTTTCAACTTTTGGCTTGGAAGTTACTTTAATCGTGGATTTGACTTGGGGATTTGGAGAAATATTAGATTGTGGCAAACTGCTTCCAATACTGGAGGCTTCGGTTCCCATGCTCATTACAGAATCTGTTCGAATTGGAGACAATGGGGTAGAAGACGAATTAATCGTCACCCTCCTCTCAAGAGAATCCCGGAAAACAGTACAAATAATAGGATTATAAATGGTCCAAGAATTTGATAAAAGAAATACTCCTTGCTTTATTATAATTCCGATATGACGCCTATTTGGGAATAAATAACATTATAATAAGTTTTCAAAGAAAACACTGCGAGTTATTGTATACGATAATTAAAGTTTGCGTTATATACATTTTATAAAGCAAATCGATAGGCTCGCATTTAATATAAATATATATATACGATTATATACTGTATTTTATATAAACAACGGAGTAGGCCTAAAGGAAGAGGAGTTTAATTGAATTCTCACTTGTCTTTTGAACCGACAAATTGGCCCAGAGAGAGTATCCAAAATGGAGTCCACGAGAGAATTATAAAAATATAATTTAATAATCCAATTTTTGTTCTTCTCTCTTTTGTTGCTGAGAACGCAGCTTTTGCGTATAAATAGATAGTAGCCAAACATGGTAGAAGTATTGTTATAGAAAAGCTCGTGAATACATAACTTGTATTTGTAAAATCTTCACTTAAGTAATCTAATGAACAGTATAACTGGTGATTTTGTAAAATATACGTTCCCCAACCCAAAAACGGTAAGAGGTACCAGACAATTGACCAGAGCCATACAAAAAATAACAGGAAAGTAGATGTGCCAAGGTAAGCTCCTTCTTTCCATATAGAGGAGTAATCATCGTACGCAATTATTGATAGAGTAGTAATACCAGCCGTTAAAGATGAACTTGATAGAAACGCTTGAAACTTACATAAAAAACCTCTAAGAATTGAACGCTTATAAATTGAGCTTAAAGTTAAAGGTAGTCCGTTAACTAGAGCAAAAATTACTTGACTAGCAGTATATGAAAGGAACAGCAATTTCGATGGCATCTTTAGATGATTTGATCTGGAAAATAGAATAAATGAACACTTCCTTTGCAATTATTTTTTGTACAAAAGAAAAAATGCATTCTCTATGGATACGTATTCCATGTGCTCAGACGTTTCGACAAAAAAATGGGTAATACCTATAAAAATATTGGATGAAACAGGCGTTTCCCAGAAATCCGATAACATTTGTTGAACCAGCACAAATACCAAAAATAAGATAAAAGATGTTCTTAAAAGAACCAAAATTTTCGTGAGCTTCCTTACTAGTACCATTCCACATAGCTAAAAAAAGACAAATGTGCTAGTGACGCCCTGCTTTCACTGATTAACTAGGATTATCTACAATACGATTAATAATTGATCAATCTGTATTAAAACTGTCTAGTCAGTTTATATATTCTTTATTCTTTTTCATATCATCATTTAAAGTACATGAAAAGAGCAATTTATAAAACCTTGAAGAGGGTCTCTTTCTTCTAAAATTATTTTACGCATCCTTCGCAACCGTCACATTTGCTGAGGGAAATGAACAAAGTGATTGATTAAAAATTTATCTAAAAATATACCAATTTTCCCTACGTATTGTGCCTTTTATATCATTCTGACGGTGAAATAACCTAATACGGTTAGTTTTGAATCCGCCCTTCAATTTACCACTTTCCACAGAAGGTAAAATATAATGCGTTTTTCGCATTTAACTCCTCCCTAAAATCGATCACTTCCGCAAAATATTTACAAATAAAAATCTCTAAATGATCGGTTACTATAAAGATTTTTATTAGAGTACTTCTTTCTTTTTATATATAAAGAATTTTGCAGTATTTTTATAGTTTTTGCTGTATGAAGAAAGGAGGGAGGGGGAAGAATGTTAAAATTTATTATTATTGGTTTAGGGAGTGAAGGATTGAAGAAAAACTTTTAACCAATAGCAAGCTTATCTGATAAGAATTTCTCTAATCTGACATTTGAAATTTGTGTTCTCTTAATCCTCAGGAGTCAGTTTTCAAGATGCTAAAATTTCAGTTTTATTTCAATTCTTGTCAGTTAGCTTGGTTTTTTTTCTTCTTCAGATATCACCCTATAATGATGGAAATCTGAGCTATTCGAAAATAGATTAATGTAGTTACAAATATATATTAATTATTGTGTTATTTAGCGATTTACATTAGGTTTTGTATTTTTAATTATTTAATACGCACACATTCAATTAAATTAGACTTAATCGTGACTTAAATATTTGGAATTTTTGTCTCTGCTTGCTCTTTTATTCTCGTTAATGACTCTCAAAAGGGGGGCGGATTTAGTAGGCCATTCCATCCTACCCCTATCAGATATTGGCCATGACACGCTAATGATTGGCTGGGCCATGCGGAAAATCCAACAAAGGTTTCCCGCCAAAACCCCTGCCCTTGACTTTTTATTATCCGGCTGCCCAAACCGGTGAACCGATCACAACTACGATCGGTAGCCGCCATCTTGCTTGTTTAGTGTTTTCTATAACGCGCGTTTTAGGGGTCCGAAAAAATCGCGTTTTCGCCAGGGAAAATGGCGGATGAAACGAAGATAATTTACCATATAGATGATGAATCGACACCTTACTTGATAAAACTGCCAGTTGGAAGTGATCGGGTGACTTTGGGAGATTTTAAGAACGCTTTGAATCGGCCCAATTATAAATTCTTCTTCAAGTCGATGGACGATGATTTCGGGTTTGTTATTCAATATTTTTTATAGAAATTAAACAAGATTAGACTAGGGAGATCACTGATCATTCACAATTATCATTGAAAAAGTCTCTATGTTCTAGGAAAGTAGAAAGAAAGCCCTCTGTTTATAACTTGAGATTTTCTTTGTATGATTAGTCATTCCTGTTAAGCAAGTTAAAAGTTAATTCTTTTGGAAAGAATCTTCTGCATTTCCATTGTAAGATTGATGGAAACCATATCGTTAAAATTAAAATAATATGTATATGCCTAAAAGTAAATTTAATTATATTAAAAACATTTGATAATACTATTTTTAATAGAAAATTTTGAAGAAAAGGAGAAAAGACTATTTAAAGTTTTAATTGGTTAAATCTGTGATCAGATGTAGTGAGATTTTTATTACCAGAAAATATATGGACTTTAATGGCATATTCCCGTCCAAATTTATTGCTAATCAATAGTATGATTAACAGCATCTTTTATTGTACGTTACAATATAGTGAACAAGTAAACGTTCTATAGAAATGTTCTTTTTTCTTTTTAAATGAAATAATCACAAATACTATACGTTAGAAGAATTTTTATATAATTTCTAATTAAATATTATAAAATATATTTCTCAACAGAAGAAAATACCAGTAATTTTAGCATTCTATATAATAATTAATCCAATTTTAATTGGGCAGAGCAAGTAGTTTATTTTCATTATAATTAAACAATATATTAGAATAAATATTCACCTTAAAGGAAAAGGAATTATCGATAGAATACGAGAAGTTCTTGTTAACTGTTATTTTATTTAGTTATATATTTGTTGTAGGTAATAAGAATAATAAAAAGCATTTGATTTTTAGAATTTTCTACAATGTAATCAAATACAAGCATGGAATAAAGACTATTCTTACTGTTTATTATAACTTATATAATTATATGGCTGGCTTTTTCCACCATTTAAATTACTATTTAACTTTATTTAATTGACGGTATAAGCTAAGCTAAAGAAATAGATATATATATTAGTGTTTATGTTTATATACATTGTTAAATATGGAGTACAGCTAAACACCTTTTTCTGATTAATGGATCTTTTCTTGCTCAATACAGAACTAGGTTTAGAAACGTGATGAAAAACTGTTTTCTATCGGATGATGTTAATTATCCTAGGCTAGGAGTAAAAATTTGTTTTTTAGTTTAAAGTAGGTTTACATTAGGAGAAATGTTTTCTGCGATAATTTATTCAAATATATTCACATGATACTAATTAAATTTTTTATCTTTTTTCTTATTAAAAAAAGGGTTGTTAAAGAAGAAATAACGGACGATGATCAGAAATTACCTTGTTTCAATGGAAGAGTTGTTTCCTGGGTAAGATAATTATGTAAATGAAAACTTTTCAGTTTGTAAATTAAAACTGCTGGGAGTGTTTGTTAAAGAATACTATGGAAAGAATGTATCAATTATCATTTTTATAGTTTGCGTAACAATCTCTGCAATGAATTATATATTATTATTTTTAAGTGGCGATAACAATAAGTATTTGATCTGATAGTATAATCTAAATAAGTTCTTCAACAATAAGACATAGTGCTTAATAATTGGTTATTTTTAGTTAAAATTAACGATGTTTCAATACTTTTTAGCTCCTAGAAAAGTTTAGGACTTAAATCTGATTCTAATTAGAGTGTTAAGATGATGTGTAATCATTAGGGATAAAAATAAATGTATGAATATGTTATGCTATATTCCTTTATTTTCTTTACACAGCTTGTGGCCGCAGAAAATAGTATATCGGATAGTCAGTCTAATTGCACTGAATCAGCAGAGCTTCCAGGCGAAAGAGTAGCCGGCATTGGGGATAGCCGGCCCCCTTCCTTTCAGTAAGTTCTTATCTATTTGGCCTAGCTTTTTTTTTTTGCTCACGTACGTTTGCATGCATATACGTTCGTATGCCAGTATGGAAGTATGAATAATCAAAAATATTTAAATTGGTAATGCCAGATGACATACGAAACAGCTTTCATATTAGATAGTTAATATTATTAAAATTGAAAGAGGTCAAGCCTCAGTAGCCGATAATGTCAATTGCTTTTTAATCAGTATCTTCCTATAGAGAGATTAAAGATTAGCAATATTTAGGGGATATATCCAATCGCTATCAGAAATCGACAAGTAAAACATTTTTGACTTAGGGCTTAAAAGCTCTTCATAGTGAAGCCGGAAATAGTAAATTATACACTATATTTTTCTCTCTAGCATGTATAAAAAAGAAAGATATGTTTTAGAATATTCTATTGAAAATGGAAAAAAAAACCTCCTTTTCGATTACCTGTAGCTAAAAGAGTGATAAAAGTATTATTTCTATAAAATTTACATATTATTCTATAAGTTCGCAAAGTGTAAAAGGCTTCACTGTTACATACGGAATATTTAGACTTTAAATAATTTAAGAGAAATCAAAAGATAATGATAATGCTTGTTCGAACTAAGTTGTTTGTCATTAATAAGATAGATGGCGCCCAATGAAAAAATCGACCAGGTCGTTGGCGTATAGACCAAATTTGATTCCAATACATATTAATGTAAATATTTCGTCCGAACGACGTGGCGCCGATCTATGCGCAAGTCAGTGTAAAAAGGCTTATTTTCCAGTCTATTTTAAATAGCAAACAGCAACGGTTAAAAATAGAGAACTATGGTGGGAGGTGTAAAAGGAGAAGAGTGGTATTACTAAAAGTCGAATCATTAAGGGGTTGTTAAGATGGGCAAACAGTTGCAAAATATTTCTTCCGATCATCCGGAACAATCATAGTCTAGTCGGGTTTGTTCCGGTTAAAAAATTCGCTGTCTGTATATTTAAGTATATGTATACCGTTTATAAATGAAAAAGGGAAACGGCGTGGGAAAGATAGCGATTTTATGTTAACTAAGGCCTTTTTTGGCCTATAGAATAAGAAATTTCCAATGCTGTATAAACATTCCTGAGCGAATTATTCGATTTCGCTAGAAAAATAGGAAATATTTCAATGATGAATTACCAGTTGACTTTTTAAAAAACATAAAATTCAAAGAAAAGCTTTAATACGTGAAATCTATGGCTGTTAAAGATATAAACGAAATCGTCACTTGTAGAAGCCGGCGAGACGGCGTATTGATTTTTCCCTACATTTTCTTATAGACCTATATAGATCTAGACGGTTCAGTCTTAGCTTATAAAACCTATATACTTTTCTTTGGCTCAAGGTCATTACACTTTCGTCTAGATTTTTTTCTTTTTTGTCTGCAGGTTTTAATATTAATTTCGATATCGCAAATTACCTTAGAGGCTAAATCAATTAAGCCTAACTAGCTTAATTTTAGCAAAAAATTTTCATGTAGCTAATATATAATTTAGTGTAAAAACTAATCAAACAGTTAAGTTTTTATAAAACCATTCATATGGACAAATTCTTTTATAGTTTGATTTTGTTATAACTCCTTATTCACTCAATTAATAATATTTCATTTTAATGAGATTGGGTTTTTATATTGTAAATTATCCGTATGTAAATAGAAATGCAAAAAAAAGAGAGGTTTGGAATGAGGTTTTTTCCTTTCTTCTTTTCTCTCACCTCCCCTGTATCGCTAACTCAATCGCCAACATATCTTTTTTCCCTATCCTTTCTAGTTTCCTACGAATAATCCACTGTCCAAAAAAATCTTTTTAAAAGAATAATTATGAATTTAGGCCACGATCTTGCTTTATATAAATCATATTATAGTTACATATGATAAAAGATTGTTTAACGAGAAATGAAAAAGAAATTTATATGTAACCAGATGAATGTGC